GGCATCTGAACTATGTACTGACTGGTGCAACAGCTCTGTTGACCGTTGCCTATGTTTTGTCGAGCATCCCTCAGACATTGCCTCCGCGCCTGGCATCCAAACTGTCGGCAACCTTGGCACAGATGGACTATACTCACAGCAATGCCAACCGCATTGCTGGCGAGGTTCGACGAGTGCTCCGCTTCCCAGCACAGCAACTGACGACCGACCTTGCACGCGGCGTAGAAGACTTGAAGCAGAAGAAGGAGGATGTGACAAAGGTCAAGCACGAGAGTCAAGTTGCAAGGAAGTACTTTGGAAATTTGGTGCGGGACTCATCAGAGACAAGGCGGAGAGTTACGGGCATTGATCTGGAAGGGCCACCAGGAGCCGTCGGGGCTTACGCAAGTTGAAGAGATCATTCGTTATTCACTATTCACGAGCTGCACGGTACGATTGGGCGTGATGGATTGCTTAGCTGGGCGTCTTGTAGCTTTGCTTCACCTTCTCCACTTGATTCCGTCCTTGCGAACGGTGAAAGAAAAGCACGATGGACGATAAATCAAACATAATTTCACGGTTCGAGAATGCCTGAAGTGCTATATATACGTAGCGACAAATAGGGGGTTGCGGAGCGAAGGGACCACCGAACATGCAGGTCTCACAGTCTGGAGCCGGGGGATGCATGCATACCTATGTAAGAAGGTCGCCGCCGGGGGCATCGGATCTGCCTGCGACCGAATAGTAGGTGCCTTCTTAGGTGTGGAGAGTATCCGTACTCCGTATAGTACGTACTATATACGGAGTAGTGGGCAAGTTGTTGATGGTATTTCTCCCCTGCTAGCCCCATGCCCTTAGGAATCCCCTCGGCCAACAAGTGCGCTTGTACTGCACGCAGACGGCGGGTTCGCTTCTCCATGGTCGATATTTGCGGTGGGAGAGGGTCAGGGACGACTAGCGCAGGAGGAGCAGGACATGATGGGTTGGATGGCGGTGCCTGTGGAAAGCCCGGGGAGCCTGAGCGGACGTAGACACGACGGCAGCAATCGAGTTACAGGACCTTGTAGGATAGAGCAGACAAACACAGCAAAGAGCATAAAATGAGATGGATATAAATGAGTGTCGTGATGAAAGACCGTCGGACTGCCCGTGTGCCATAACAAACTTTCCACCTCCCTCCTCCGTACTCGTACCTTGCGCATTTCATTTCCCCTCCCCCACAGTCGTCAACCACCAACTTGAGACACACTCACACCCGTCTATTCAGTCCTCCCTCCAACCTCCAATTCATCCATCCAGCCAGCGAGCCAGCCTCCGTACCTCTCTCGACCATTCATGCTCTAGACCTTCACCAATCCCACCACTCTCTACCGCGGCACTGACTGGCACACTGAATTGGAGTCACCTTTATCTTCCTGCCTTCCCTTGGTCTACCTGATCTGCTGCGCCTCATCGCGCCACCACTTTCTCTGTTACGCGAGCTCGCCCTGCAACTTCATACTCCCTTTGCCTTCTCCCCGCCAACTCCCATAGCGGCCGAATAGGGTGGATTTCTTCTGCGCAATCCCTCTGCAGTCCAAACGCCAACATTCACCTCTCCGAGCCCCTCGAAAAGAGCGCCGTCGCCTTACCCTCTTCAACACCTGGCCATCGTCAAACTGGCGGGCACAACCGAACGGAGGTCCTCCACACATGGGGGCATCTTCAATCGCATGTTTGGAAGCAGAAAAGACAGGGATGTAGACACGGATACCATACCTGTACGCACTAGCACCGACGGCGATAGCGAACAGCCCACATCCCCAACCAGCGGCATTACTGTGAAAACCAGCGACCTAAGCCCTAAGTCTCCCACCAGTCATCGGTCTGAAGAGAAAGCGCCCTCGCCAAACACTGAACCCAGCAAGAAACGGAGAAGTAGCAGTTCCAAGGCCAAGGAGATCTTTACGCAAGCCAAAAACTCGCTGATTCACGGCGACAAGGACGGTCCATTGACACCCATGCAGAAACTAGCCAGGACCGATCCCGCCTTGAGTGTGCCGCAAGGCTCCAACAACAATTCCGCTGGCGAGTCGCAACCAACACCCAATTCATCCTTTTTGGTGGGCGTCACCGAGGACCGAAACAAAAAATGTCGACGGACGATGGAAGACACCCATTCCTATCTCTACAACTTCCTCGGCACTCCGGCTCCTGTCCTGGCCTCCTCCGATACGTCTCTGTCCCAGAGCAAATCCACAGAGTCCCGAAACAGTCCGAATCCTCTACCGTCGGATCCAGGGCAGCATGTGGTGGAGACGGATAATGGCTATTTTGCCATTTTCGATGGCCACGCCGGCACCTTCGCTGCTGAGTGGTGCGGCAAGAAAGTTCACGTCATTCTGGAAGATCTAATGCGAAAGTATCCCAATACGGCTGTCCCGGAGCTGCTTGACCAGGCCTACACTGCGGCCGACAATCAATTGGAGAAGCTGCCACTGAAGAACAGTGGGTGCACTGCGATCACGGCTGTGCTGCGATGGGAAGACCGCGTACCTACCAACCACTCGGCGACAGGGTCCCAGGCCATTGCGGCATTGGCTGCGGCAGCCGCGAAGGAAGCAGAAAAGCACGATAACTCCAAAGACGCCAAAGATGCCACTCCACGATCAAATTCGACTGCAGAAGCTGCAGCGACGGCAATCCAGGAAGCGAAACAGAAGGCGACGCGGCAAAGAGTGTTGTATACTGCTAACGTGGGTGATGCACGCATTGTCCTCTGTCGAAATGGAAAGGCGCTTCGTCTCTCCTACGACCACAAAGGTATGGATGAGAATGAGGGCCGTCGTATCTCTAAAGCGGGCGGATTGATATTGAACAATCGGGTGAACGGAGTTTTGGCCGTGACTCGGGCTTTGGGTGATTCATATCTCAAAGATCTGGTCACCGGACATCCCTACACCACCGAGACTGTCATTCAACCCGAGCAAGACGAGTTTCTGATTCTGGCTTGTGATGGGGTAAGTCCTTACCTAGGCAGCATTGTCCTTGGCACATGCTAACATGATTTAGTTGTGGGATGTCTGCTCCGATCAGGAGGCGGTAGATCTGATCCGCCAAGTTCAAGATCCTCAAGCTGCTTCGAAGATGCTGGTAGATTATGCATTGGCCCGATTTTCGACAGACAACTTGTCCGTCATGGTTGTCCGATTCGATTCTCAAAAGTTACAGCAAAACACAAAGATTGACATTGGCGTAGAAAGCGAGGCCAAGAAGGACAAAAGCGCAATCAGCGAGGTAGAGATGATTGTCGGAGAAGCTCGTCGGAACTCTGGTTTTGTACAAGAAGGGGCCCTGTCTGACCAGGATTCGGAAGAATTGAGAGAGATGGTGATCAAAGAGCAGGAGGAAGAGGAGCCAGGACCCGAACTCACGCCTGAAGGAAAAGGCGAGGCGGAGAGGATTCTCTCGGAGAAACAGGAGAACCCGGAGAAGAATGGTGAAAGCTAGGGGTGGACGGATGGCCTTGTTTGGACTCGATTGATTGATGCATCGTTGGATATTACTCCTCATCGCAATGCAGAGCGGCGACAGCGACGGGACTCTTCTGAGGCCATTGCCCAGCCATGGCCTTGCACCTCCTGGGACTTGCATTGGACGGGACCCGACGGCCCTGGCGCATTGGTGCGTGGGAGCGCCTGGATATAAGAGTGATGAGAGCGGCTTCACACGATTCAGAAGATATCATGGAAGACACCAGGCTGATGATCAGACGTGGTTGGGGTGTGCGACTTGTTTGAATTGAATGACTGGGAGCTTTTCCGAGTTCGAGCAGCAGCCACACAGATGGGTCAAGGCTGGCTCCGAACGGGCTGGGTGAATGAATGCTCGTTGCTTGACTGACTGAGGTATTGAATGACTGTTTATTAGTTCGCTCTGGCTAAAAAGGCGGGAGGCGTTGATGTGTCCCCTCGAGAAGGGCATCCCGCTCCATTTACGAGGACTTACTGTAGGCTTATGGGCCCTGAGGCTGAGGCTTAGGCCTAGGGGCTTAGGTGCTTAGGTGCCCCAATATGGCCGGGTAAAAGCTCTGCCGGGCGCATTGAGGCAGATAGAGACTACTAGTAACTACACTGGACTCTGTACTCCGTACTCCGTACTCCGTACTCCGTACATGTACTTTGTAGCTTCAATTCGCAATTCCTGCGTGTTGGCAGGGCATTAACCGTTAAGGAGATCGACAGCCATGAACAGACGGGCTTTGTATCTCGTACCTCAGATCGCCTCTTCCATCTCTTCCATCTCTTCCACCTCTCCGCCCGCAAGGCCCTAAGAGGCCATCGCCACGCCTTCGCCTGTAGTTTGAAGGATTTCCCGTACTCATATCCATCCACCGTGCCAGCCACATGGAGCTCCCTTTTATCCAGGGCCCTAATAAGGCCCTCAGGCTCATTATTAGCATCCAGCCTTGACCGGCGTCCCGCTGGCCTCCTAAGCCTAGTAATATTAGGCCTTTTATCCGCTCGGCCGGGCGCAACAGGCTACTTTAGGTATCTGCAGGCGCTCAGCTCTATGCCACCACGGTTCCTTGCCGGCGGCCCACAACTACAGTGTTTAGGCGCACCGGGTCATCCGTTTAGGGGCTGCAAGGGAGCGAACCGCCTTACTGTAGGAGCCTCCAAAGCCCTGGGAGCCCCCAGGCAACACTGCATTTAATAATAAAATCTCCGTTTACTACTATAGGTACCAGGAACCTAGGTACCTCACTGATCTGTCAACCTCGGCGACACCCCGATCCCCATCGCCCAGTGCCCATTAGCCCACTCGCCAATCCGCCGCTTATCAGCACCATCCCTACAAGCGGTCATAGCTGGAGCCACCAGGTAGAGCAGGCAGGCAATCCTCGAACAAGCTCCACCGTCTTTCCCACTGAGAAACGGGTCCGGAGGGCGTGGGCAGGCAATTACATTATTGCCTGCAGCTACTGGCGGTGCTGGAAAGACGCTTGCTCCGATCCTATTTGCTCGTCTCTACCACCTGCCGGAAAAAATATAACATGTCCGTCACTATCAACAACACCTCTTCATAACTGTACCAGTCTTCTCTCCTCCTATCCTCATGCCCTCCCTTTGATCTACCTGGACAACCGTTGCCGTCATGGCAGGCAAATTCCCCCTGCGCATGAAGCCCGCCAGCTTCACAAGTGCGTCACGCAGGTCGTTGTCGTCCCTAGCCTCCAGCACCAGCCGCAGAACAAGCTCGCCAGTCATTCCAAGACAATCAACCTTCCTACCACGAGCAGTCCTCCGGCAATCGTTCATCCGAACGTATGCTGAAAATGCTGCTCCACAAGCACCTCAAGCCATCCTCTCCCCAACGCCCAAGCCCAAGAAACGTTTCAGGTACATCCGCAACCTATGGCGCGTCACATATCTTTCCGTCCTGGCTGCAGTGGGATATACGACATACACCGTCTGGGAGGGCAATAATCCTCCCGAGCAGTTTGAACCAGATCCAAGCAAGAAGACTTTAGTTATCCTAGGTGGGTGAGACTGATGCGCAACCCATGTATCTTTGCTGACAAGCTCAGGAACGGGCTGGGGTTCCGTGTCCCTACTCAAGAACTTGGACACTGAAAATTACAATGTCGTGGTCGTCTCACCTCGGAACTATTTCCTCTTCACGCCTCTGCTCCCATCATGTACCACCGGCACCATCGAACATCGCTCCATCATGGAACCTATTCGAAACATTCTCCGACACAAGAAGGCGAAGGTGCAATACTACGAAGCGGAATGCACCAAGATTGACTATGAGAAGAAGGTTGTCTACGCCAAAGATGATTCGGAAATTAAGGGTGACACCATGGAAACCCAGATCCCGTTCGACATGCTCGTGGTGGGTGTCGGGGCCGAAAATGCCACCTTTGGTATTCCGGGTGTGCGTGAGCACGCCTGCTTTCTGAAGGAAGTCGGTGACGCTCAAAAGATCCGCAAGCGTATCATGGATTGCGTCGAAACTGCCACTTTCAAGGATCAACCCCCTGAAGAAATTAAGCGTCTCCTTCACATGGTCGTGGTCGGCGGTGGGCCAACCGGCGTGGAATTCGCCGGTGAGCTGCAGGACTTCTTCCAGGAAGATCTGCTGAAATGGGTGCCTCAGATCAAGGAAGATTTCCACGTCACCCTCGTCGAAGCCCTTCCCAATGTGCTGCCCATGTTCAGCAAGCAACTGATCGAGTACACCGAGTCTTCCTTCAAGGAAGAACACATTGATATCCGCACCAAGACCATGGTCAAGAACGTCACTGACAAATACATCGAAGCGGAAGTGCAGCAGCCGGGCGGGACCAAGCAGGTTGAGAAGATCCCGTATGGCCTGCTGGTCTGGGCGACCGGCAATGCTTTGCGTTCTGTTGTGAAGGATCTTATGTCGCAAATCCCCGCTCAAGCCAAAGCTCGGCGAGGTCTGGAGGTCAATGAGTACCTCGTGGTCAACGGTACCGAGAATATCTGGGGGGTGGGCGACTGTGCTGTTGCCAATTACGCCCCCACTGCGCAGGTGGCCGCCCAAGAGGGCGCTTTCCTCGCTCGTCTCTTCAACACCATGGCTAAAACTGATGCCATTGAGGACGAACTTCGAGAGCTCTCGGCGAAACAGGCCACCACATCAGGAGACGACCGCAATGCCGTTCTCAACGAGATCAGAGAGCGCCAGAAGCAGCTCCGCCGCATCAAGCAGATTGGCCCCTTCCAATATTCACACCAGGGTTCGCTGGCGTACATTGGGGCGGAAAAGGCTGTGGCCGACGTATCCTGGTTCAGCGGCAACATCGCGACTGGTGGCACCTTGACATATCTGTTCTGGAAGAGCGCGTACTTGAGTATGTGCTTCAGCGGTGAGTGGTTCTCCCCGGTATTTCTTGTGTCAACTGGATTGGCTTGCTGACTGGTACTGTGTAGCGCGCAACCGCGTCCTTGTGGCGTTCGACTGGACCAAAGCCAAATTCTTTGGACGTGATGTGTCGAGAGAGTGAAAGCCCTGACCGCACCGAATTCTGTGTTTGTTTGCTTTCCAGCGATAGGGACTCGGATGGATGGGATGTCTGTATTACTTGACCATGGGCCTCGTTGAAGGGTCAGGTAGAGGTCGGGGTCGGGGTCGGGGTCGGGATCAAGTCGGTGTCCGTTGTCCTTTGAGAATCCTCCTCAGGCCCTGGTGATCCGGGGCCTTCGAGTTGAAGGGTTGTTATGGTTAACAGTGCCAGTCTATCCATTATCGGGAACACCAGGATGGCTTCAAAATAATACTAGTCTCACGAGGCCCGGACCACGATGGAGCATACATGTGCTTGCATCGTTTTCCGCGCTGCGGTCGTGGCGAGTAGGACTTTATACTTCATGTCACGATTCTATGGACGGATCGCCAGCCTTGCCCCCTTTTTGAACATCGTCTCACGATATAATATAATGCCCCTGTACCCTCACCCTCATTGATATATTTGGCAACCCAAAGCAGCTTGATGTACACATAGTTATGCCATAGTGCCCTAGTCTGCTCGCCGACTACTAGGTAGGCAGGGAGGAGTATATTCGCTCCGCGTTGACGTGAATCTTTCAAGTGTCTGGCAACTTGTTTCTTCTCCAAACCCAAATCGAAAACAGACACCACCTCGAGGTCCATGTCTGCTATCTACCACAGTTTGTTCTCCTCCCTGGCCTTCGCCGCCTGGCCGGCCTTGCCCGAGGCGCTCTTCTTCTTCAACACCTTCAGCTCCTCCTCGCTGATGGGCGGCTTGAAGTACAGACTGGGTCCCTCGCCCTCTTTCACAGTGTGGCTGAGGTATCCCCGGTTCTTCTCGTCCCGGTAGTACTCGAGGTCCTTTCGCGACGTCGGATCCGGCAAGCGGTATTCGTATCCTACGCCCGAGACGCGTTCTTCTAGCGTCTGGCCGCCCACCGCTGCAAGAGCTGGCTTGTTGAGAGCCTGTGGATCCCAGCGCAGGGATATGAACGGGTGCATCTGTCGCAAGCGAATCCGTCGGATCGCCTGCGGCGTGTAGAATCGCGTCGTGACTGTTCCGCCGAGAGCCTCGACGGCTGCAATGGCCGACTGCGAAGCTTTCGACACAACGACATGGATGGGTGTCTTCAGCTCTGCCGCTCCGTCGCCCAGCAGTTTCACGCCGTCTTTAATGCCATGCAGGGCGCGCGAGCGGACAAGTTCTAGTAGTGTAATGGGCTGGGACGGGTCCAGTCGTTTCTGGTCGATCCACGATTGTATCCGGTTCAGGTTAATGGGTGACATTTCTGTCGCATGTCTGCGGGCCAGCTCTCATACGTTAGCATTCAGACGGATCTTAAACACAAGATACAGCTTAACGAAGCACACGAGGAGTGAGCACTGACAAATTTGTAAATCCATATTTCCCATGTACGATATGTTCGGGTGTTTGGCCTCCATTGAATCCCGCGGGAACTTTGCCGTGTTGCTTCTGCCCGTCAGAGCCGCGACCTGACTTCCCTCCCTTGCCTGAAGCTGGACCTCGGCCGCGACGGATCCGTTTGTTGTAAGCGCCTGGTGTGTCGGAGAGCGAGCTTAGGATGGATGCACTTCGGGACTGGACGTGGAGGAAAGGGAGGAGAAACGAGGGAATGGTTGCAATTGAAGCGAGAGTGTCCAATGGCGAGGATCTGAGCTGCGGCAACCGCAGCGGCAGACGAGGCGGCATTGCCTCTACCTCCTGGTGGGTTGGGAGACGAATTCAATGGGATGTTTTGTATAACTTGTGAGAAGCTGAGGTCTGTTGGTGAGTACTCACTCCGTACAAAGGTAGCCGTGAACTGGATGCTGCCAAGATGCAAGATGAGTGAAAACTGCTACTACCTGCTCCTGGCATTAGTGGCTCACCCCGATCGGGACAAGGGTGATGCCGCCCTATTACTGTAGAACATACTGTAGGACTCCATCCGGATACTTGCTAACACCTCTCCTCACCCCGGTTGATGCCGACGTTGCGAAGATGGAGGCGATCTCATTCTTGGTGAGTACATCCACATCGCGCCCCTTGCCCATGACCACAGACATGGGATAAAAGCCCGGCAAATAGAAGGTTGGTCGCCGCTCTAATATACTGTACGAAGTACTCCAGAGTGAAAGCGAAAGCGAAAGCGATCATCTCCGACAGGGCGCCTGTCCACCTCCGCCCTTTGATAAGGGACCTAAGGAGGTCCTTGGGCAGTTTCTGACGCTGGAATGGGAAGCTGTCTCCGGTTGTAGAAGAAGCGGAAAATCAATGCCGCGGAGTGGCCATCAGGACTCAGACATCGCCGTCCTTTGATTGTCCCAGTCAATTCTCACGGCAACCTGAATTAGATCTCGCTTCTTCTCGGCGCACATCTCACGTCTCAACCATCAGTCATCACCATGAGCGCATCTGCCGAACCCCGAGCAAACGTGCTCTTATTTGGCGGCGGGGCAGTTGGAGCCATCGCCGCCCTCAACATTGAAACGGGCGGCCTGGGTGCAGTGACGGCAGTGCTGAGATCCAACTTCCAGGTGGTGCGGGATACAGGATACACGATTGAGAGCGTGGACCACGGAAGTCTGAAAGGATGGAGACCAACCAAAGGCGAGCAGCTCTCCCTCAGCCTCCGTTCCGCACCAAGAAGACAAAGACAGGATCGTTGACTGAAGTGCAGTGGTCAACACTGTGCCCGATGTCAGCAAAGAGAACTTGCCGCCGTTCGACTACATTGTCACCACCACTAAGAACTGCCCCGACATACCGCCCACGCTTCCCGAGCTCATTCGCCCCGCCGTCACGCCGGGCCACACGACGATCGTGATGATTCAGAACGGACTGAACATTGAGCGAGCAATGTTTGAGGCTTTCCCCACCAACGTGGTGCTGTCCGGGGTGTCCATGATCGACAGTCACGAAGGGCAGCTGGGCGAAATCCTCCATGAAGAAAAGGACGTTCTTCACCTGGGGGCGTTTCAAAACCCCACATTGGACGATCACGAACGCGAAATCGCCCTGGCACACAACTTCATCCAAATCTACGGTGCGGGGGGGAAAACTGATGTCAGATTCTCCGAAGACGTGCCATGGGCCAGGTGGCGCAAGTTGGTCTTCAATGCGGTGCTCAATCCACTGTGTGCCATCACCGGCCTGGACGATGCCCGAATCCGACTCACCGACAGTCTGGTCGAGGGATTGGTGAGGCCGGCGATGAAGGAGATCATCGACACCGCGGCCAAGCTTGGGCATATTTTACCCGCCGACATCAGCGACACCATGATCCATTTGGATCCCATGGACTTGTATCTCAAGCCGAGTATGCAATGCGATATCGAGAAGGCAAGTGAAGCCCCCTGTGTCTGTGTTTTGCGTCACGATGCCGTCAGATATTCAACCGCCGTGTACTTATGTTGACTTGGACTTTGACTCGGTAGGGAAACTTTATGGAGTTCGAATATCTACTGGGAGAGCCACTTCGAGAAGCAAGAAAGGTGGGCGTGGCGACGCCAAACTTGAATGTCTTGTACGAAATATGCAAGGCTCTACAGTGGAAGATCAAGGAACAGAAAGGACTGGTCAAGGTGCCTCCTAAGAGAATACTGTAGCACCGGGGTGTGTTTTCCATACCTTCCGACGGTTCTCTCTGTAGCATGATCAGACTATTTGCTGGGCCAGATTCAAGCGCCCGGGGCTGGTTACAGCATCACTAGGTCAACCGAGGCCGATCCAGGCACTTCATCCATGTACTCCATCCATATACTTCATCCATATACTCCATTCAGACAGCATACTCCATCCATACTGCTGTCTGAATGCCTAGAGGTCTCGAGTCCAGCCATGGGATGATGAAGGATCCACAGAGCAACCCCTGCATGGCGGAGACGGGTTGCCAGATCGGGTTCGGGTTTCCACGCCATATTAGGTTGGTAATGAATGGGCTCGTTATCAGTCTTACATACTGTACTGTACTGTTCGAGGCGCACTTCTCCAATGCCCTGCCCTGCCCTGCCCTGTTCTCTCAAAGTTAGGCTTAGGCTTCTCTTCCTCTCGGTCTCCGGATCCCATGTAACTCGAGTCAGAAGCCAAAATGGCACTTCGACTGCCCCGTCTTGACAAGGATGTGTTCACGATCCAGGATCTCAAAGAACGAGCCGACAAGCTCCTGCCGGTCGCCGTCAGAGGTAGGCGAAAGCCCGCGAGAGAAAGGGAAAGAGGATCAGTCATCAACCGTTGACTCTGTCTAGAGTTCTTCAACGAGGGGTCGATGGATCTGTTGACGTAGGCATCCAATTCTGGTCCAACGATGCCACTGCCGTGGTGCTGACTTGACTCATCAGCGTCCGGGACAATGAGCAGGCCTATGATCGCTACAAGCTGCGGCCCCGAGTCATGAGGGACGTCGGTGAGGTCGATACGTCGACCACCATCTTCAACACCAAGGTGAGACTCGGGCTGCGTGTCCTCCCTCTCCCTCTCCCTCTCTTAACAGCCATGACCACGACAGGTGCGCTTTCCCTTTGGATTTTCTCCAGCTGGCATGCATCAGCTGGCGCATCCTGACGGGGAGATTGCAACCTCACGTGCTGCGGCCGGAAACAACATCGCCATGGCGCTCTCGTCCTATTCTACCAAACCACTCGAAGATGTGGTGGCCCAGGGGAAAGGCAACCCGTACGGCATGCATGTTTGCTTCTTCGAAGACCGGAGAATCACCCTCCAGATCATTCGAAGAGCGGAAGGTTTGATTCCGATCAACAATGCCGACATGTGCGAGCTCCCAACCGCTGACTGGCACGCATGAAAAGCTGCCGGCTTCAAAGCTCTCTTCGTATCCGTCGACACTCAGGTCCTGGGCCTTCGACTCAGCGAGTACCGAAATGCCCTCGCACTCCCACTCGGCATGACCACGCCCATGCTTGTAGATGACGAGGCAGGCATGGGCGTAGATGACGAGAAGTCAACCGCCGCCCAGAGTGACCGTCTCTCGTTCGATCCGACGCTGACTTGGAACGAAACCATTCCTTGGCTTCGGAAACACACCAAGCTGGAGATCTGGTTGAAAGGAAGTCAGTCTGACCATCAAGTTCTCACCAGCCTTGCAAGCCGGGTCATGGTGATTTGGCTGACATGGTCTTTTTTTTGCAGTCACCTGCCCCGAGGACGTCGCTCTTGCCATAGACTGCGGCGTGGATGGAGTGCTGATCTCCAATCACGGTGGCCGACAGCTGGATGGCGTCCCGGCCAGTCTCGACGCATTGCGAGAGTGTGCTCCTGTAGCGAAAGGCAGGATCCGACTTGCTGTCGACGGGGGCATCCGGAGGGGATCCGACATCTTCAAGGCTCTTGCGCTAGGCGCCGACTTTTGTATGGGAGGTCGGATCCCGCTATGGGGACTGGCGGTAAGTTAGCTGTATTATGCTTGCTTCTCAACTTCTGCTTGATGTCACGGCTGCTTGCTTCCTCAGCTTCTGCTTGATGTCACGGCTGCTCTGTATCCTCAGCTTCAGCTTAGGATAAAGGTTACGCTTCAGCTTGGGATCAAGGTTACATGTAGTAGCTAATGTTGGTGACGTGGTCTTACAGTATAAAGGCGCAGATGGCGTCGATCTCGCGGTGAAAATCCTTCTCAGAGAATTCGAAACCACCATGGCACTGTGCGGGTACGTATCATCATGACTCTTGCTTTTCTTTTCCCATCCATCCATCCAACGCCACTGTCGTCTCCCGACCTACCGACCGGTCGAGCTACCGAGTTATCCTAATGACCCTGATACTGTAGGTGCAAGTCGGTCCAGGAGATTTCGAGAGCTCATCTGTCCGTGCTCGGGGCCAACGGACTCCTCTGCCGCCTGTAAGAGGAAAGAGACAAGAGGCAACATATGGACATGAGACATGAATCCGGTATGAGCGAGAGCAATAGTGCTGTCCCGGCTGCAATTACAGCGTAGGACATAGCGATAGTGCTCTCCAGGCTGCAATTAAGAGCGAACCACATGGGGATAGAGCTGTCTCGACTGCAAGAGCGAATGATATGGCGATAGAGCTCTCCTGGCTGCATTAGGAGCGAGGAGCATAGGACATTCTTTCAGGAGGCTTGCCAGGTGATGAGGTGACTAGACCGTCTTTGATTTGATGTCCTTTGGCCGAGCACGTTTCGTTCCAGATAGACGGAGACGAAGACGAACTTAGACTCCCTACGGTTCTCTTCTTGTCTTGTAAGAACAGGATTTGCCTTGCTTGGACAGTATCGGTACACTTACATGCCGAGGGACAGTATCCTCAAGGCATGCTTAGGGACAGTATCCGGACAATTGAATGATTAGGGACCTGTCCACAACTAAATGCTTAGACAGTGTCCACAATTAGATTACATACCACCGGCATAAGGTATTACATATTAACTACTAAATACATGTTAATCTGCTCTGCTCACTATCTATACATTGTAAGTATAAGTATAAGGACAAGGCCGATGGCTGATGGCCGATGTCAAAACATCAAAATAAACTTATACAGTTTTCCTACAACGTACCCTTAGGATTGGGATTTCCCAAAGCCAAAGCCAAAGCCAAAGTCACCGAGTGGGCTGCTGGTCGACCTCGGAGAGTGTTGCCAGAGCCTCGAAATATAGATAGAGATGGAGAGGGAGAGTGAGAGGGAGAGAGGTTACAGATTGTTCGCTCCAGGCGGCGATGGCGATACTATAACCCTAACCCAAGTCATTACTCGGTGATAGTATAATATAGGGGTATAGGGCCTGGTCTGGTCTGGTCTGTTGACACTATTCCTGCTCTTGCTGTCGTTGGCTCCTGATGTCCACTCGTTCATTGCGGGCGATCCGAGAAAATATGGTTGCGAGCTCCCTTCGCGACTCTAATAGCGGCCACTAGGGGTAAAGTAAGCATGAGTATGAATCTCCGTAGGTGTAGATGCTGGATATGGTTATAGACAGAAGGGAGAGGAAGAAAATAACCAAAAAAGGATAAGGACAGCGACAACGACAACGACCAAAACAAGGACAGGGACAAACAACAAAATCAAGGACAAAATCAAGGACAAAATCAAGGACAAAATCAAGGAAACGACATGGACAAGACAGGGATACTCACAGAAATGATCAGGACCAAACTGACAAAGACAAATGTGGCTGCCGCGACGCACTGAAGAACGAACAGACCCCTCGGGTAGACGACGGCGGTGCCGGCGAGCGGAGCGGGAATGAGGACAACTATTCACCATCAAAGTCAATCAAGGCATTGCAATTGCAATTGCAATATCTGGCGGCACTCACGGATAACGAGCAGAAAGAGGGCGGTGATGATGCGGAAACGAGTCTGCGATGCCTCGAGCTTAACCACTTCTTCGGCATACTGCGCGTCGGCCTCGGCGGTTCGGCCTCCGCCTTGGACCGAACGCAGGGCAGGCTCGTCAATCGGGTCTTTGTCTTTGACGACGTAACTCTGGTTCTGTTGAGGGGGCTTCTCGGTCAACGCGGTCGCGGGGTCGGGGTCCGGAACCGCGGCCGCACCACGGCCGATGGCTCGGGTGAGCTCAAAGTCGAAGGAGGCGGGTCTGAGGAGAGACAAGGAAATGGACACGATGGCGCCCGTGCCCAGGGCGGACAGAGAGCCGGCGAGGATGACCTTGCTATCGGTCAGGGTGGTGGTGGAGATCGTGTCCTGGGTGGTGACGGCGGTGACGAGCCAGGCCACCATGCCCATGACCAGGCCGCCGATGACACCTAAGATGGCGCCAGCCTTGTTCAGTCGGGTCCAGCACATCAGGAGGCCGATGGGGAAGACGGCGCCGGACGTGCACACTCCCATGAGGTAGAAGAGGAAGTTGAGGTCGAGCCCAATGTATGCGAACGCCGTGTCGATGCCGGCGAGGAAGATGGCCCAGAAGATGACCACTGGGGAGAAGGAGACAACGTTAGTCGCTGAACCGTGGACGGGAGACGGGAGGGCAGCCTGAGAGGGAAGTGGGAAGTGGGAAGTGGGAACTTGCCGCCATGGTTGACCCTCATCATCTGCACATTTGTCGCGTCCTTGTTGATGTATTCACGATAGCTTGGAACATTAGCAGGGGTGTTGGCTACAGCAGGGGCGCTGCTAATTGGGGGGAGAGGGGCGATGGACTTACATGTCGTAAGAGAAAATGGTCGACACCGCAACCAGTTGAGCAGACAGCGCCGAAGTGGTGGCCTTGAAAGTCGGTCCATTAGCAAAAAGCAACGCAACGCAACGAGGCATTTGGATCTTGTACTCACCATGAATGCGATGATAGTATACATGGCGGGCCCTGCTTGGCCGAGGATGGTCATGCTCGCATACGGGCCAGCGAGTCCGCTACAAGATCAAAGGTCAGCCTGACATGCTAAGGTGGAATGAACAGGAGAAAGGAGAAAGGACACCACTCACGCGCCAATCTCGGCCGGGGAAAGCCCTTCAGGATAGGCTGGGAAGGCCGGGTTATTCGCCAGAGCCCTCGCGGCCAGGCCCATGGAGGATCCGATCCCAAGGGCAACTATAGTCCCGCGGCATCAGCATCCGTCCTCATCGTCATCCCCGTCCAAAAGTTATGTAACATACCTGAGAAGAAGAAGCAGCCGGCGAAGATGAAGGCCTTGCTGGTCCCGGCCGGGCGCGCGGCGATGCTTCGCTGCCAATACGACCTGCAATCTGCTGTCAGCCTGTTCCTGTATCTGCGTTCCCGAGCGGCGAGCCTCACTGGTCACAAAAGGATAGGCCGAAAAAGGAGGTGGCCGCCGTCACAGCATAATCTATTCGCGGGTCAGTCCAGTTCAGCCGAGACGATGGGCATCCAGTGGTCACAGACACATTCCACCATCACTCCGGAAGCAGAGGTAAGACTCGTGGCCGTTGCCCACTGCCGGGGTCGTCTACGTCGTGTTAGCCGTCCAACACGCTATGCTGTGGTATTTCGACAAATGGGACCGGCTCACCTTGGAAGCATCGAGGAGAAGTTCATACAGCTTGCCGGGTGAGCCAATGACGTCGCCTCGGGTGTAGGTTGACAGGACGAGGACGAGGAGGCATGTAAAGAGAATGCAGCAATGGAGGTAGTCCGCTCTGTGCAGCTTGATCAGTACCAGGGCCCCCTGGCGCTCACGGACATGGAGAATGGACCATGTACATACACGAATGTGGCTCGCAGACCACCAGTCAGGACTGAGAAGGAGTCAGTCAGATTGACAGCTGGGTCAGGTTGGGGTTGGGGTTGGATTGGATCACAACGTACCATAGGCCACGATGACCAGCGGCAACAGCCAGATGGCGGCATACTGGCTGATACCCGTCATTCCCGTGATGACTCCAGCCCCGCCGATGAGGATCTCGCTGCCCACCACAAAGTTGGCGACGAGGGCAGCAAACATGTAGGCAAGATGGCCCAGAACGCCGAAGCGGACCTTGGCCACTTGGAGGAAGCTGCAGAGAAGGATGAGTGATGGCCCTTGTGACTCCAAGCTGACCAGGGGCTCAGGGGCTCAGGCTTACGTCGAGGCGCCACTGGCGTTGGCCTTGATTTTGGAGGAGACGACTGCGAACGCGGCGATTTCTGCCTCGTTGTCAGTTTCGGCCGGCTGAGATGCATCACGTTGGACTGTGAACTGGCTCAAGCACATACCGACGAAACCTCCCATCCCGAACCACCAGGGGACGGACACGCCATAAAGGTAGGTGAGGGTGCCCGTCTGCAGAAAGACCGCGGCCCATACCCAAGCAGAGGTGATGCCAACCGACAGCCTGCATGCGCGTCAGTGAGCAGGGGCAAGCATCGCGGTGGAAGACCAAGACAAGGTCCTGACATACATTCCGGTCTTGACGGACCGAGAGGCGGAAGAGAACTCCTCCACCTTGCCTGGGTCGAAGTTGGTGTATCGCCTCTGCACCCAAGTGATGCCGTTCATCAGGGCGGCGAAAAAGGCACCGCCGACCAAGACTACATCGACATTGCACGAGGTCAGAGATGAGATATACAAACAAAGCAACCGTGCGCCTGCAGGGAAAACTCACTGGTGGCGTACCCGGCGCTTTGGGGTAGCAGAGACATGGTGCTGGTGGCTCGTTCTCGTTCTCGTTCTCGTTCTCCAGATCCAGATCCAGATCCATCCTGCAAAACTCAACGAAACTCACATGTTTATTATACTCTGTAGAGGGCCAAACCGGCGATGGCGCAAGAGGCTGTGCTGAGGCACAATTCGCATCCATCTCGGCCATCCGAAGGGGTGAAGTCGAGATAGAGATGCCACGGGCCAATCACAGCACGGCCGGCCCAAGCACGCCATCGCCGTCGCCGTCGCATGGAACATGGACAGCAGCCTGGATGAGGAAATTGCTCTCGAGGCCTGATACAGGAATGTAATTGCTTCTATCTCTCGTCAACTAATTAGTTATCATTGTGCAGCACATCCACCTCCTGCACGGAGGACCGATACTCTGGTGTTGTCTTACGTCTTTTGTCTTACGAAGCATTCCGACGAGACGGAAACAGAAACGGATACCATGCCCCAGGCCCAGGCCCAGGCCCCGGCCGAGCAACATGACGAGCCCGTCGACCTGTCCGAGATCAGGTGGAAGATGCTGGTCGCCTGTGACATCTGCCGGCGACGAAAGGCACGTGCTTCTCTCCCACTCCCACTCTCTCTCTCTGTCGTCGTGACGAGGCTAAATCAGCCCTCCATTTCAGGTGCGGTGTGATGGTCAGAGACCGTGTTTGAGATGCAGCAAAGGTGGCAAGAAATGCACCTTCTCCACGCCGTGAGCCCCCGAGTCCCAGTCCGGAATCCCATGTGCTGAATACTGAATACTATACCATTGACAGGCGGCGAGTCGTGGTGCATCCCCAGGACGCAAGGTGAGCTGAGCACCGGCCATCCCCTATCCCACATCCCATCTTCCAAGTGATCCGCAGCGCTGAAGATGCCGACAGGGCTCATACCTCGAAGCGGCCTCGAATCAGCTCTCTCTCCCCCGGACAAGCGTCTCCGAACCGATCTATGTCGAATGTCTCCTCGCCGCCGCCGGGCCCTGCATCTTCGTCCACGGCTCCAAGGATTCCCATTCCCACTGTGACGGGCAAGTTCAGGCTAGATGTGAGCAGGACATTACATTTCCCTGGTGTCGTTCCCCATGACTCACCACCGATTCTAGGCGGCAGAGACCCCAACCCCCTCCAGGTCGGGCAAAGAGCACCTCCTGCTCATCGACGCGGATGACCAGATCGTCTACTCGGGCCCATCGACGGGGATGCCCCTATTCGCTCGCCTTGGCTTGCTTCACACGGTCGAAGTCTCGGAAAGTGACACGACGGGGGCCTCGTTTGCCTCTCACTCCGCCGGCGCCTTGGGCATCACGGGCGCCACCACCTCTTCCGGCGACTTTTTCGATCTCTGCCTACAGCATTGTCCACAGGAACTCATGTTCAAGTTGATCGGCTATCATCTAAACACGCGTCAGTTCCAGTTCACCTGTCCCCTGTCCCCTGTCCTTCGGCGCCTGAGTGAAGTGACACAGACTAATCAACCTTCTCCTGAAGCCGTCTTCTTTCCGCTCCTTCACGCCCCTTCCTTCCTATCTGTAAGTCCTGAATCCGTCGAATCCATCTCGATCTCGGCCACAGAGTTGATGCTGATGGCTGGCTCAGGAATTTGTCGCGGTGACCCAGCGTCGCCTGGTATGTACTGCCCAGTACGGCGCTTTCCTGATGAGCATCCTCGCGGTGACGGTGCGGCTGGTCGAAAGCGCAAAGGCCCTGCTTCCAGCTTCGGAGCGCGATCAGGCTGGCGAGGCCTACTTTGAGCTTGCCCAAGACTTTCTGCGCATCAGCAAGAACAAGCTCGACATCCGGCACATCCTGGCTCTCTACCGTAGGTTTCAAACCATGTGCTGATTGTTTCGTATTTCGACGGGACTGATCAGATTGGACGTCTAGACCTTGCCTTGTTTGCCGAAGGTCGCACCGGTTCGGCGAGTTAGTTACTCCTCCAGACACCAGACCTGTGTCCACGTCGTACTGATCTATCTGTTGCATAGGCGCTGTCTCCAGTTTCGTTGCCGAGGCCGTCGGTCTGGCATTCACCACTGGACTGCATCGGAGTACCAAGGAGTTCAACATGGATCCCGTTACGCTGCAGGTGAGCACTTAGTCTCCTGGTGAAAGAAGGGGAAATGCGGGATTTAGCAAGTGCTGAACGGTGCAGATCCGAACCCGTCTATTTTGGGCTCTATATACTCTGGATACCGCCCTTGCCTATTCCCAAGGCCGCCCACCCCTCATCAGGCTGTCGGAATGTAAGTAGGAGGCCGGAAAGTGTGGTCGCGGTTCGGTTGGGGCTAAGTCGAGACAGGCAGCGTGGAACTTCCCGTCATCGTGGACAACGAATACATCAAAAAGACGGAGATTCTTCCCCAGCCAGAGGGCGATCCGCCACTGGCCATGGCCGCAGCGGTCAAGATGATCGAGATCTATATGGTCCTCGAACAGGTGCGTTGCGCTACAATCCCCATGCATGCATAGCCATGCCATGCCCTTGCATGTCCCATCCCAATCATTGAGCTCACCACGCTCCAGGCGCTGTCTGCGATCAACGCGCCATCAAGAACCCCTGCCGCCGCCTTCTCCCTGGCCGACGCTCCGCTGGATCGCAGCGAGCTCATGAGGCGGGCGCAGAACCGACTCGACAAGGTATGTGATTGTGATTGTGACTGTTCAAGTATACAGAAGTGGTTTCTGCCAGCACCTGCGTCGTATTGAGCATGTTGTTGTTGTTGCTGTTCTTGTTGTTGTTCTTCTTGTTGTTGAGCATGTCGTCGTCGTTGTTGTTAATGACATGCATGTCCGGCTTGAACAGATTGAACGCGATCTCCCGCCGTACTTGTCGCAGGCCGGCGTGACGCCCAACCCGTCGTCGAACTTCTTCCACTCCTGCCGGGTGCGGACGACGCTCCAATTCGTTCGCACGCTGATCGCCCGTCAAGCGCTCATGGACGAGCTGGAGTTGGAGGCCGGCCCCGGCCCCGGTCCCGGCCCGTCCAAGGAAAAGGAAGTGGAAGAGGGAGAGGAAGAGGAACAGACGGAGACACAGACGGGTTCAGGTTTAGGTTCAGGTTCTGTGTCGGCGACGTATGAAGCCTGCCGCCTGTCCGTCGACACGGTCAAGACGTACTCGCGGCTCCGGCACCTGGGCCTCCTCCGGTTCTGCGGCTTCCACGCCGTGTCGCACGTCACGGCGGCGGCGCACACGCTCATCGCCTGTATGTTGCGTAGCTCCAATCTCGCGTTCGAGCATCGGCCCGACCTGCTCACCGCCATCGACCTCCTGCTCGTCTTCTCGTCGCCCTTCCCCTACGTCGAGACCGTCGCTCAGCTGCTGGTCCAGCTGTCTCGCACGCTCGACCACAACCACGGCTCCGACAGCCAGAGCGAGGCCGTCGCCATCCGCGTCCTGGCCCGCCGAATGGCCCGCTCGCCTTCCAGGTCCAGATCCATGTCCATGTCCACCTCCAGGTCTAGGCCTATCATGGCAGAATCGTCCACCTCCAGGTCCAGGCCCGACCCGCCCGACTCTCGGTTCAAGCATGCCGTCGGCGTCGGCGTCGGCAGCCAGGGCCCTTCTCACGCTCACGCTCACCCTCAAAGATCATCACATCCTTCGGCTTACAGCGCTCCCTCGACCTCAACCTCAACCTACAACCATTCCTCCCTCTCCAATACCTCCGCCATCCCTATCCCGCCTCCGCATCCTCCTCCTCCTCTGCGGGGGGACGCCTCGACCTCGACCTCGACCTCAATCACGACTAATGCTAACGCTAATGCCAATGCCAATTCTAATGAGACTTCCGCGTGGATTTCGCTGCTGCCCACTGACTCGGTCGAGCCTCAGGGCATAATACATCACCCTTCGGCCGATGCGGTGTGGGAGGACAGCTTTTCATTCCTAAACGATGGACTGTTTAGCAAATTGTGATAGAATTGGAATGGACTGTTTAGCAAATTATAGACAGCATTCGAATCTAGCATTAGTTTGCTGGTAAATCCCTCCAGGGTCGTGCTAATCCAACCGTTGTTATCTACAAGTACAGACTTTCTTTGCTTCCTAAGACTGAGGCTGAGGGCCCTGTATATACACACACGCACACACACGCACACACACGCACACCCTCTCTCTCTCTCCCCTCCCTCCCCCCTCCCTCCCCCTCTCTTTCTGGCCCAGAAGTGGCAAAGGGACAGATTTATATAAGCAGCCTCTAGTCAATGAGCTCCCGAATACGCTGCTTCCAAGCCGGCCACGCTCCCCAGCGTCCTTGATCGTCAACTTCCTCTGGTCCTCCTTCGCCAATCAGACTCAACAACTTTTCGGCATATTTGAATCTGCACAGACGAGACGATCGATCAGCTTAGCTTGGATTCACCACAGAACAAAAACAATGAACAATGAATCACGGCAGACTTACTCTCCGGGATGGCCGAGAACCAGGATCGAATGCGAGTCCGAGTCTTCTTCCGGATGAGGCGTCAGCTCGAGCGGCGTGCCCGACCAGTAAGCCGCGACCACGCGGGCCTGCATTTCCGAGAAGGGCCAGGGGATGGCTTCGGCGTGCAGCAGTAAGAATACGAGCGTTGGGTCCGGAAGGTAGAAGATCTGGTGAGCGTCGAGATTGTGAACGCCTTCTCGCAGGTTAGTAGGCTGCCGGCTTTCACTTTCATTGTCATTTCCATCAACTCACGGTGCCCGCCGTCCAGCGTAGCCTGTCCCACCAAGTCCTTGGGCGGTCGAGGAGCCTCTGCAGGCACAGACGGATACCTCAGCAGGGGTGCTTTGTTGAACGGAGCATCTGACGCGTGGCAGAACTCGAAGCGGATCACGAATCCTGTAGCAAAGATGATAACCTGTGTATGGGATTGACAATCAGCTCGGCATTCCCATTGCGTCGGTCAAGTCGAAGTCGAAGTCACGGTTGGCGGGGAGGGGAAGGGAAAGCGGAAGGGAAAGCGGAAGGGAAAGTACTCACGTCCACATCATCCAGAACTTCTCCCGACACGGTGACGATCCGCCCGGTGGCAGAGTTGGATGAGGGCGGCTCGACGGTGCGGATAGGTGTCACGTTGTTGATGTGCTCGCTCCATCCCTTTTCGTGCTCCGTGTCGTAGCGCGGCTTGCTTCTCAGAGAGCGGTAAACTCGGCGTGGTGCCAGGGGCGACTGTTCAACCCGAAGCATGCCGAGTTCTCGCACAATATCGGCGCCTGCCATGTCAGCCGGAACAATACTCATAAAGACAGCTCAGCTCAGCTCAGCTCAGCTCAGTATCACTCACTCGATGGCCCGGCACCCACCACCATTACGGTCTATTCGCATCTGGTTTTCAGCTTGTGTCCTTGGCCTCTTTTGTTTTGATATACAATCGGAGGATAACTTGTTGGAGGACAACCACAGTGGAGAGGATCTGGACTTGTCTTGTCACTTACCTTTCCAGCAAATACTTTCGCGTCTCTGTACCACCTCGAATGCAGGATTTGGCCCTTCCAGCGCCACAAGTTGTCTATATAGGGGATGAAGGGCCTGGAATCCGACCCGTTGGCCACCACAATATGGTCAAATCCCTCCTCAAACGTCGTTCCCACATCCGGCGACTTGCTCGTCACGGACGGCGTCCACTCCACCAGCCATCTTTGCCTGGCAGCATGGTCGTCGGGCGTGTGTCGCACCCGAGTGACCACACGGTTGAGTCGGATGTGGTTGGCGTAGGTGGCAGCGTGCTGTTGCTGGTATTGGTAGATGACCTGATAAGTCGGGTACTCGGCCGTGCCCTGTGGGTAGGGATGCGAGCGATAGGGCATGATATCCTTTTAATAAGCCCATCCCCATCGTAAGCAAGGATCAATAAATGAACGGGAAAGGACAGGACTGGTCTCGACTCAGCACTGGTGAAACTTACCCTGGGCGTGTTGGCCGTGACACCGGCATACATGGGAGTTGGAGCCGCTGCCGGCTTACCAGACCGCTCGTGGTCTGTCAGCGCAATGGCATGGCCGTCCTTATCGAATGAGATCTGGCATGGCGGCGGAGTCGGGTCAAAGTTCCTGTGTCCGTCAAGTCAACTCAAGCCGACCTAAGGCCCCATCACATCATATACCGCATCAGCACAAAGGATGATGCTGTGAGCTGTGAGCGGTGATGAGATGCTGCTCGTCGTCTCGTCATGAGAGGACCCGTCGCACTTACCACAGACCACCGACACTGTCGCGGGCCTCGTAGGCCACGACATCAAAGCCTTTCCGCTTGAATTGCTCAATGGCTCCTAGACCTCTAGAAGTTGGATTTCGTCAATCAGCGATAGGTTCCCGGTTCCCAAGCAAGCCTCGTGGTTCGAGCCAGGGTGAAGGTGAAGGGGACACTCACGCTGGGCCGCAGCCTATGATGAGAACCGAGGGTCGCACCTTGACCGTCATCGTTCGTGGTGGTGATGCTGGTGATGCTGGTGATGGTACCCAGAGTCAAGTCGGTCGGGTCAGGCTCGCAAATACTATATATAGTATGTATCAAGTATGTAATCTTCACCTCACCATACCAGCCTTACCTTGTGCCTTGATACCGAAGATATAGCTACCTATGTACAGTAGCACGCAGAGTCTTTCTGGAGGGCAAGCACAAGCACAAGCACAAGCACACGATGCGGATCCATCATTCGGGACAAAGACCCTCGCTTCCTCTTCCGTTGCCGTTGCCACCAGACTGAGCCCCAGAGATATTTCGCAATATGTTGCGTGAGCTCGGGAGCGCCGAAAGCACGCAATATCTGGCCTCGGATGACCGAGATGCGACGCGATGGCGACAACATTCTCTGGAGACATTTCTGATTTATCAATAATGGCAAGGCAAGCAAAAGACGTCATTTTAATCTTGTGAATTATTCCTGCAGGTACAGAGACTGAGACTGAGACAGAGGACGCAGACCCTGATATTTGTGAGATCCTGATCCTGATCCTGTCGCATTGTGTAGACCACGCCGACGAACACCAACACCATTGGTGGCTCCTTGAACTCCCCAATCCCAATCCCAGTCTCAATCCAAGATGGCCGTGCCACTCATCATCTCGCCGACATCGTCTCTCATCACTCAGCCCGACGCTGTGGTCCTCGACGCCTCGTGGCTCTATGAACCCGACCCGCCGACGCGCAACGCATACGAAGAGTTCCAAGCAGGGCCTCGCTTCCCCAACGCGCGGTTTTGGGACCTGGATGCCGTGTCCGAGCCTCACCCCGACGGCTATATGCTGATGCTCCCATCTCCCGAACGATTCGCCGCTTTCGCAGGGAAGCACGGCATTACGAGGGATTCACATGTCATCGTGTACGACAATGACGGCGTCTTTGCTGCTCCGCGGACAGCATGGACATTCAAGGTCAGTCCGCCTCCGCCTCCGCCTCCGCCTCCGCCTCCTGCAGGCAAGGCTGCAGTCTACAGTGTAGTCGGTGAAAAACGGAATCATGAGGAGTCGCAGTCAAGTGGCTGACCCGCCACCGACGTTGGAACAGGTTTACGGCCACGAGAAGGTATCCGTGATCAATGGTGGTCTGCCGCGGGCCAAAAAGGAGGGCGTCAAGCTCGAGACTGGGCCGCCCAAAGAATTCCAAGTGAGTAACCACTGAATATCTGTCCTGAGTGCCATTGCCATTGCCACTTCCATTCATTCTTGAGCGAGGCTCGGACTGAAGCTAAGCTTGGATCCATGTCCACAGGAAACCGAATATGCCGTGCCTACTTTGGACCGCGATGCTGTCGTCCGTACGTATCCTATCCTATCCTCATCCGATATCTGAGGACTGATCTCTGACGTACTGCACTGGACTGGACTGACGCCTGATGACCGGGGTAGAATTTGACGAGGTGTTGAAGCTAGCACAGCGACCGTCACCGTCCGCCGGCAGCACTCTGCTGATAGATGCGAGACCTGCACCCTCCTACCAGGCCGGCCACATACCCACCTCTCTCCTTCTTGACTTTCCTTCCTCCCTCCTCAAGGACCAGGCCAGCAATTTCACGTACCTGCGAGAACCCGAAGAGCTGAAGAAGCACATTGGGGAGCAGCTTGGGCAAGACAAGTTGGACCAGATCGTCTCTCAGAAAGCGACCGTCGTCAATAGTGAGTTCGGCCATTCCGGCCATCACATACCTGATGTTATCATTGAGCATAAGAGCTGACGAAGTGGTGTCCAGCCTGCGGTGGTGGCCTCTCGGCAGCGATCAACTGGCTGTCTCTCAAGTCCATTGGAGTGGATTCTCGACTCTATGACGAGGTGAGCATCCTGATCTACCTATCTACTCCCGTCTCTGTTCAGTAACTGACACATTTCTGTAGTCTTGGGGAGGTTATTCCGCCCGAAAGGATACTCCCAGAGTGACGGGTTCAGATCCTTTGTAGATACTAGAGCTCGGCCCGCTGATCATCTATGTATCATGTATCAAGACTCATCCACAGTCTGTGCCTCCCAGAGGCCAGTCACCACATTCTTTCCTTCCCTCTCTTCCACTTTGACGATGGTCGTCGCGCTCTGCTTGAGTTCCTTCCCATCTGCCTTCCCCTTGGTCACGTAGGCTGTCCATTGCCCAACCACCCCCGTAGAGCCCGAGTCGTTTGTCGTCACAATGTTCAGGTCTTTGATCTCGACGATAGATGCAAGGAAGGCAGTGCGAAATTGTGTGGTGATCACGGTGACGAATTCGGAACTCGTTAGGAGAGCGCCGTTGATCTTCACAGACAGATAACTTGAGCATAGGCTCTGACTAGAGACGCAAGACAAAGGAGACCACGTACACAAATGTTGGCGTCTGGCGCAAGTTCGGTGGCGAGCACCGACGCGGCGAGCGCATCGTCCGCCTGGAAGAGAGTGCGGGTGAAGAAGGTGTCGACATAGTCGGCGACAGTGGAGCGAGACATCTGCAAAGATACAAAGATACCCAAGGTTGCGGACGGATAGTGGTGGCGGTGGTAGTTGTGAGAGGCACTAATATAGGGTGATATTGTTCAACTTGAGTCCGTAGTCACTACAACGATAACTGCGCTCTCTCTGTAATGTCACCAAAGCTAGTGGACGGCCACCAGAGAGACAAAGGGCACTTATTGTATCATTTTATGATTGCATGGCGCGATAATGTACGCTGCCCGATACAATGCTATGCTGGTAACTGGTCAAATTCGGATGGCCGAAGTCAGCGGGACACGGACATGGTAGCGGTCCCAGTCTTCCCTAGATGGCCCGACCGACTCCCCTGGTCGCCCTGATACAAACCGCGACAGTACTAATGGAAGGTGTCGCAGAACATGAGTTGACACTCTGTAATGATGTGTGTAGTAGAAACACAAGTCAATGGGTATCCATGACGTTACCTATGCTGAATCTCTCCAGACATGATTTTGATTTTATCCCCACACCTTTACCATGTTCCTCCAGGTTGACACGATGGAAGGGGAGATGGGTGTCTCTAGATCCCTGGTAGGAAATGGGGAGACCGATGATGGAAGACGAGTCTGTTTTCACTCGATTGCACCTGCTGCAGCGACTGAGGATGCGACAAAGACAGGAGCGCAGTTGAACAGACCACCCTTTCTCCCTCCTGCTCACACAATTTCTGTGTAGTACTACCAACATCAAACTCCACAGCTTCAGCTTGCATTCTTGAAGGAAACTCTCCATATCTTCAAGTCTACTCTCCATATCTTCAGGTCTACAACCATGAATTTCGGCATCCCTAGCCCATCGGTGAGCCCCGAGCCTCCCGACGAAGTCGAGGTTCAGGATACATTTCAGCAAATCCGGAGAGACAGAAAGCGCTTGGCAGCTTTCATGGACCTTGAGAAAGAAATGCAACGACATGTCTTCACTCATCTATGGGAGGAATACTCCCGTCTGCGTGAGGTCGAAAAGACCTACGATACGTACCGCCGCTGGTGTCCTGCCGCCGACCGGGATCTCTACACCAGTACAACAGGACTGGAAGAATCAGATGGTAACAACAGTGAAGAAGGCGGTGGCAACTCCAACCTATACTATCGAGAGAGATGGAATTATCGCGACCAGGGCGCCAGGTATGCAGAAAGCTCAGGGGAGCCCAGCTCGAAAGCGTACCTTTTGCCTGTGCCGCGACTCGGAGGCACGAGATTCAAAGGCGCAGGATTCAGAGGCACAGGACTCAGAGGCGGTGGTGGGGACGTGGTTTGGAGTCAAACCCATCTCTCCATGGCCGTGCGGTCTGGGTCTGGGTCTGGGTCCGAGTCTGAGTGTGACTCTGAGAGGTGCGTTGAATTGTGCGATTGTGCTATAACGGCGAGCCAAGGCATGTGCATCTGTGTCTCATCTCCAGAAAAACCCAAGGGCCCAAGGTTCGGGCAGGCTATTTCTTCGCAGCTGCTGCTCTACCGGTTGAATACCGTATTTGGTATGCCGCCGAAGAATCCATTTACCGGATACAAGACATCTTGGTCGGTGGAACTGGAACTCTGCACAGACCCCTACACCGTGCTGCTGCTGGAGGATTATAGGGGAGGACCGATTGTACGCTTCGAAGGGTCGGAACAAGGAAGTGAGTCCGCAATAGAGCTCCTGAACTGGCTGATCAGCAACAATGTGAAACATGACTATGACGGTATTTTGGCGGGAACGGTGCCAGACCAGTCTCTCCAGGCTCAACTGGATCGTCGGAGGGTTCCGAGGGCTTCTCGAACTAGAGTCACAGCTGTGACTAAGGACCCGTGGGCATTGGGTGCAGCCATGGGAAATGGTGAATGAGTTTGAGGGGGGACTGTCGCTTGCAACAGTCAAGGAGGATGCGAGGAAATCACATCCCTGGCCACATTCTATCTCTCTAATAACGTGGCGGCGGTATCGACTAGGTTGCATTGTCTGTGCCGATATTCTCCAGTCTCGCGCCAGCAGGTATCCTCCGTAGTCATATAGCCTTCTCTTCCTTGCCCCAGCGCTCGATCAGAAACGGTTGGCCAGAGATTGCTGACCAATCCAGCAATCCATCTGTGACGGGTAGATTTGCCGGCTGCGAGACCAGCAGCCTCGCAACATCGTCGCTGTCGGTCCATCTAACCTCAAACGCCTGCGGGCCTCGAGTGGCGAGTGGGGGATTGAAACCTTGACATGACGGACTAGACTCGAGAGCCTTGAAGAGCGAGGTGATGCCCACGCCGTGGGTTGCAATCACGACAGTTCGGTCCTGCTGCTGAACTTGAGGAGCCTCTGCGCCCACGATACGGGCGAAGGACCTCTTCAGCCGTCGCACAAAATCGTCAAAGAGCTCCACGCCGGGCTGACCATCCGCACTCCTCGGGTTGCCCATGTCTATCGCGTCATACGAACATCCCTCCAACTCGCCGAGTCCCTGGCCCTTGAGATCCTCGTCCGCATGTACCTGGACACCCGGCCGGTCGGACAGAAGGGGTTCGATGGTCTGGACAATACGACGCAGTGGAGAATGGTAGACGCTGTCGATGTGCTGTCCACGCAGCTTGTCCGCCAGAACATGTGCTTCTCGAACGCCTTTCTCGGTCAGGTTGGTGTCTCGATGGCCTTGCATTAGACGATCAATATTGTCCTGGGTTTCGCCATGCCGGACAAACAGGAGGTGTAGTTTGCCACGCATGGACTGGTTAGAGGAGGACATGGTTTCAGATGCGCCTTCAAAAATATGGGAAATATCTCGTCTCTCGAGAAATAAGGAGGGAGGAATACTTCTCAAGCATGAATCCTTTTTCAGTGCTGCGAATGTCGCTGAAGCCGCAGACTTGCCTCGGAATTACTGTACCGAAGATCATACCCCGCATCATCACCCCATACTTTGTACACTGTACATACAGCTGCCTTCCTAATGTTCACAAGAGGACTGTCGGGTCGGAGTGCCTGGAGTTTGTGCCCCTTTGTCCTGCTATGTGAGGGGATGATGGGGCTATGAGGACCATGGGCGGGTGCGGCGACGGCCTGTACGGTGCTGTGAATATCGCAACTCAGGCACTCAGCCCTGTACAGAGTACACAGTACAGAGTATCTTCTTCTCGAAGCAGCTCACAGGCGTGGCCAACTGGTGACGCCTTCTCACACGCCAGTGCAGCCCACAGGTACATTGTCAGGAGGCATAAGGGCGCCCGTCATTGATTTCTTAAGGGATGTCAATAGGTAAATTTGGCCCCGGCCTGAGGTTGCCTAATTGACATAGCGGCGCGCACTAGAGAAAATAAAGTCTGCCGCTGCTTTAATGGAGAACTTATATTAGAGTAATTTGGTATCACTGAAACAATCAGGAGATAGTCCAGCATAATTGCTGGGGAATGAGTTATAGTAACGCAGCTTCACCCACCCCCCAATTGTCCTTTCGTCTACTCGGCCTCGTATAATTCTCGATCATGATATTGAGGGCTCCAGCAGTCCCCTAGACATAGAACTTGGTCTTGTCGTCCCGCAGCATCCTTTCTCCTTATGCATCAGTGAATTCACAACGAATCCCATCAGGATGGGACCCATCGAGTTGAACAAGCGACGTATCTTCTTTCTAGTCGCTGGCATCATATCCTTCTATATCCTTTTCCACGGCCTGTCATCGTTTGACCGCGACAGCCTCAAGGATGCCACTGCTCATATTCCCCTCCCGGGCTATCTGAGCCCGACTGAGCACAAACCTCCAATTGAGGCCGATCCAGACGACATATGGGATTTCAGTCCCGAACCCTCTCCTGCCGCGCACCCAGATATCGATCCGGCCAACCCTCCAACCACCGAGTCGAAGCCTGTTCAGCATTTCGATTTGCATCCTATTGCGCGGTTAATGCAAGAAGCCGATGACCGGTGGAGAACTTATGAGTCTGCAATTTCTACGAGCTTCAGGCAGACGGTGGAAAAATACAGGAGCCGATATGGCAGACACCCTCCTCCAGGCTTCAAGGACTGGTACAGGTTTGCGCGCAAGAGAAATGTCTTTAATGTCGACGATTTCGACCAGATCATGGACGACCTTCGACCATTCTGGGCCGTCAATGCCTCTGACATCCGCACCCACGCCGCGCACATGGCAGAGGACCCCAAATTCGGCGTTGCGGTCATCCATATCCGGGATCATAAGATCGTGCGGGCGGACAATCCCAGTTGGAGATCAGAGACCATGGAACAGGTCATCAACAAGTTCGTCGAGTTCCTGCCCGACATGGACATCCCCATGAATAGGCTGGATCAACCTCGAGTCATCGTGCCATGGGAAGATATGCAGGAGATGCTGCAGAAGGAGTACGATACTCGGGCAATGCCTCCCGAAGTGGCGGACAGTTTCTCCGAGGGCCAACCCAATCTGTTGGATCTCAGCATCAAAGACAAAGAACAGGACAATTCAACTCGGCTCGACGACGGCTGGTTCTTCCGCCCAGGCAAGCAGTATATGGATATAGCTGCGAAGGCATGCCCCCCCGAATCTCCCGCACGGTCAAACATGACCGTTGCAGAGGCGGACCAGTTATACAAGGAGTCCACAGTCGGGCTGGTGGCTAATTTCAATCTGTCATCGGATCTCTGCACTGTCGGACCAACCATTCAAAATCTCCATGGCTTGCTGTATTCGGCCAGCAGTATTATCGCGTCCCACAAGTTGGTGCCCATCTTTGGCGAATGCAAGGTCAATGTCAACAGTGACATCCTGTTCCCGGCCAACATGTACTATCGACACGATGATCGATACGACTACAATGCCTCGGACGATTTGGACTGGAGGGACAAGGACGACACTATAATCTGGCGCGGTGTCACTTCTGGAGGCGTTCAAACTGGGGACAATTGGCAGACCATGCATCGACAACGACTGGTCCAGCTTACCAACGGTACTTATGTCGCCAAGTCTGCAACAGAGGTCAAGGTGCTCACGGAAAAGCGAGACGATCCCGCCGCTGAGAACACGACTTATGAGCTCTATGACCGATTCCAGCCCTCGCAATTTGCAGACCAGCACTCCGACATTGGATTTGTCGAATCCTGGGGCTGCGTGCCGGATTGCTCGTTCTACAACAACGTCTTCTCCTGGAAGCCACAGGTCTCTCTCACGTCGCAGTTCAAGTCGAAGTACCTGATCGACGTGGACGGCCACTCTTTCTCTGGCCGCTGGCGTGCGTTTCTGCAGAGCAAAAGTCTCGGTTTCAAAGCAACAATCTTCCGCGAATGGCACGACAGTCGACTTTTGGCATGGAGACATTTTGTGCCCGTCGACAATCGATATGACGACCTATATGCCTTGCTTACCTACTTTATTGGTTATGGAGAGGCGAACAAGGATCATGCCGTCGAGGATCAAGAGCTCAACCCGCAGGTGTATATCGCGCCGCATGTCAAAGAGGCGCAGAAGCTGGCCAGACAAGGTCGGGAGTGGGCCAACAAAGTCCTCAGAAGAGAGGATATAGAGGTTTACATGTTTCGATTGCTTTTGGAATATGGCCGCATCATTGACGATGGTCGAGATTATATTGGATATTCAGGTGACGGCAGCGAGTTGGATAAATTCGATGCCGGCGACGAAAAAGATGGACTCTGGGGTATCGGCGGATGGAAAAGGTAAAGCCAGGTCTGACATTCTCGGGGCAAAGACTGGGGAGTTGCATCAACTGTGTTGATCGACCACCTTGACTTGGTTTCGCTGAGCTGGCTCTCCGCAGCACCCCAGATTCCCAGTGAGAAACAGTGAGCTTGAAAGCCACATCGATCGGCACCACAGCTTCGATCGTTGCTTGATCATACATTGGATACAATCCGAGTGGCCCAATGAAAGCCACAGTCCATCTTCAGTGCTGTACGGCATCGGGACCTCAAAAAAGGCTTCACTGGCATCGGCCATGTCCACCCGCTCCGATAACACCGGCTTCGAAGGGAAGACGAGTCCCACCCGCAGCGAGCAAGTGAACAGGTGATGACGGTCTCTCGCTGTGGTTGATGGGTGGTTCTGGCAGATGACTGCGTGGAATCCGGGCTTGACCATACTATACCATCGATTCGGGCATGGTTGGGCACATGACGGGTTCCAAAGACACCTCATCTCAGCTTTGAATTTGGTCACATTATACATAAAAAGGCCACGGCGCAGGGATGGGTGAGTTGGTCTATACAGAGTACATACATAAGGTGGTAGCTTATTGCAGATCCTACCCTGTGGTGCATGCGCTGCACACTGCACACTGCAGGCAGGATATTGACGGTTCATAAAACCTAGTCATTCATCTGTGTAATATCATATCATGATTGACATATCATATTTATCGTGTGTCTTAGACACAAGGTACCATCAACCACCTTAGCTGAGGCAATCAACTAGCTGTGGCGGACATGGCTCATGGCTCAGTTCTTGAGTTTCTTCTTCAGTCTCTTCTCCGCGCGGACGTCTTTCTTCAGCCGGGCATCCACGATCTTATATCTGCCCTTGACGCCACGAGGTCGACCGCTGAGGCCCTTGTTGTGGCCCTTGGCGACGACGACCTTGACCTTCTCCTTGGGGCGGCCCTTCTTGGCGGCGCGCGCCATCAACTTGCCGATGGTGACGGCCTTGTCCTTCTCGCTGAGGCCCTCGTCGTCCAACAACAGCGCCGACTTGCGGCGCAGCTTCTCTAGCCGGGCCGCGGCCCTCATCTTCTTGCGGCCCTTGGCCTCGCGCACCTTCTTGATCGGCCGGGCATTCAGGGCGCGCAGCTTCTCCTTGATGGCGGCCGCTCCCGCCGCGGTGATGGGCCGCTGAGGCTTCGAATGCTGGGTTTCGTCGTTCAAAAACCACTCCGGAAGCCCGTCCACGTCGCGGAACGAGTACTTGTTGAAACTGTCGTCGACCAGGTCGCCGGCCCTGGTGCGTCTCGTCGCTAGGTCCTGCGCAAGCGTCATGGCTTCTGCGGTGATGATGTCAATGTCTAATTGACCGTTGGGCAAGAGAGGGTCTTCAGGCCGAGAACCGGCGGCTGACGACGTCGGATCCGCCGAGTTCTCTGGTTCGGATTCAGAATCCGATGCATCGTCGGCTTGTTGCTGTCGGGCAGGAGGCTGTGGTTTTTTCAGAGCGGACTTCAGTGCCTTTGACTGACTCTCTCGAGGTACGTCTTTTGACGGCGCGCGTTTCCCTTGATCCGAGGACTCGTCTTCCAATGCTATGGCGCTGTCATTATCCTCTTCGATGCCGAGGTCCTGGAAGATGTCTTGGTCGAAAAACATGGCAGCCTGCGTGGAAAGACCTTCGCCTTTGGGGAGCTGCCGGACGGGAAAACCGCCCTCGACATCGGATTCTCCATCGGTTGCGTCGCCAGCCTGGTCCTCGTCTGAGAGTCCGCCCCATTCATCCGTCTCTTTTTCTTTTCGTGCCCTCTTCGCTCGTAGCTTTGCGTCCGCTTCCTCCCGTCGCTGCTGGTACGTTTCGTACAGCATGTCAAGTTCGCGTTCGAGCCTGTCCCCATCATCGTCCGAGTCTTCGTCCTCCAACTCGTCTTCTGAGTCTTCTGAGTCTTGGGCATCGACGTCGTCCATTTGCCCATCAGTGATCTTAGCTGGATCTTGAACCTTCTCGGCAGATTTGATAGTGAACATCGCCCCTTCTCCAGCTGGGCCTTGTTGCTCCAGCCCGATGTCATGTGGAGTAGTCATGTGCATCTGCATCCGTACAATCTCCTTCCGCTTTCTCTCGTTTTCTTTCCGACGAGATTTCCGCTTTTCTTTGGAGTCTTGGTCTTTCAATCTCTGCAGCTCTTCCTGGATTCTGAGTTCCTCGTCCATTGGCTCAACTTCCGCAACTTCCTCTCCTTCCTCTTTGGCTTCGGCCTCTTGCTCTTTCTTTGCCTTGCTCGACATGCCGAACTTGTCACGCACTTTCAAACGCCAGCGTAGCAATGTCCTGAACTCCTTTTTCCCTAGGACTTTCAAGTCCGCACAGCAATCCCTGACTTCTTGTGTCGTCTCAGGTAGTCGATCCACGGCTGCCAGAGCGAGATCACCATTCGGAGATTGTTCAAAGCTGAGTTTGTTGACCGTCCCCAGAATGGCAATGGGATCTGTTGTGTGGATGAAGTCGGAGACAGGAATTTCCTTGTGCTGTGTGTAATCCCCTGCTTCATAACCTTCTCGCTTTCTTTTCTTCTTTTCCGGATTAAACACTTTAGCTTCATTGTTAGGCGTAGGCTCCTGCACTTCGGCGAAGACATGCTTAGGATCCAGAAATTTGGGATCGAGTTTTTTCGGGGCTTTGAACCCTCTGCAAACGACGAAGATTTCCGCAGACACGTTTCTTGAGGAAGGGGGTTTTGTAGCCTCAACTGACGTGAACAGCTGTTTGAACACCCACAACAGCGCATTGTAATCTTTCGATCTGAACACTTTAGTCACGAATGTGCCACCTTCTTTCAAGAACTCCGTAGCCAATTTCATAGACTCCAGCACAAGCGCTGCTTGAGAAAAGGCATCTTGCACCCACGCAACACCAACATTCGGTGCTCCATCGTGCAGCACAGTATCCGCCTTCAAATGTTTGAGATGTGTTCGAATGGTTGCGCGGCATTTGTCTGTTGTAATATCACTCTGGAAGGAGATGACTCGCGGAATCGGTTTTATGGGCGCCAAATCCACCCCGATAATCAGACTCTGCGCAGGCATAGTCTCTGCTGCAACTTGACACCATGATCCGGGGGCGGCGCACAGATCCAACACCACCCTGCTCTTTTCCAAGAAGCCATATTTTTTGTTTAACTGGATTAACTTGAAGGCCGCTCGAGCTCGATATCCTTTCTCTTTGGCGAGTTTGTACCACTTATCTATCGACGAGTCAGTCAAAGTACGAGAGAGATGAGGGAGGGAACACCGATGGTGTCGGGCAGATCGTACCGAGTCTTCCCTTGCCGTGTTTCTTTTGGATGGCCATAATGGCGGTAAACTGGGGAGACAGACAATGAAGTCCAGTTTGACCGAATGGCAAATCCAAGTAACAGGGTCTGGGCTGGTCTGCTCGTGAACAGTGAAATACTAGGTTCGACTTCAACTTCTCCGACTTTTAGTCTTGAATTTGTCTGGGCGCAGGCAAAAAAATCACGTCGAAGTCAACCCCCAATCCGGAAAGAAGTCACGCCGCCTTGTACTCCGTCCTATAGCCGCTTTACTACACTACGTACTCCGTACTATAGTTATCACTCTACTCCCTACATAGCAAGGAGTACTGGCACCCATCTACCTGTCGATTGCTACCTAGTATCTTGCAATGATAAGATCTGTTTTCTAAGGTTATATCACTGGACTTGGTCAAGCCTACCACTCCCCTGTCGCGCTCCCCCCTCCCTTTCGTGACAGCAGCGACAGGAAACCGTGTGATCTGACTTGTGAATCAATGCAGCTTCTAATCCCACCACACTAGAAGCATTTCATCATGTGAATATGAACTCTCCAGTTCGCGAGATATGCCTCTGCCGGTCGCTATCAACTAGCAAACATCGCCGGCGGTGCATTCTCTGCTACAAGATAGCCTTGCGGACTCTCACTGCTAATCAAACAAGTGGGAAGACTCGATGTCTGTTGCTGACCAACGCGCTCCTGCTGCGTATCTTTGTTGGTGTCAATACTGTGATGGAATAGGTTTGCACCGAGTCCGTCCGTCCGTCCCAATCTTCGTTTGAAGGGAGATGGTAGCCAAACCTCCGACCAACGAGCAATGGGCATGACATGTGGCTTCTGGACCCAGATCCATAGATGCAAACATCACAGCCATCGCCACTACAGCACCCAACCTTGCGCGCTTAAGAGGAAATCAAGAAATATAATGGCGTGAAATTAGTAGACCGAATGTATTCTCAGGGCCGCTCTTGATGACATGCAGCTCATTCGAAAGCTTCCTGACGTCCTCTAGTTGGCAAACCGGGATACATATGTATATTACAGGTAATGGCTCTGACAATCTCAAGCCCTCAGCTTCAGGAGCGATTCGACCGTGTCTTTCACCGAATTCTCCAAAGATGTATACACAATTCCGAGTACCTCAGTCGATCGTTTCGTGCTGAATGTATACCGCTCGGCTGGGCCCGGGAGATCATCGTCCAAAGCTTCCAGGTTCGCAGGGAACAGCTCCCTAAACTCGGGGCCCAGTGTTGCTATGATCTCGGCGATTCTCTTGTTCGTATGGTACCCAGCCATCAAGAGAAACCGACTGCCGCCGGCTTCCGGGATTTCCAGGGCCCTGACGTGGGCGAGTGCCACGTCGCGGACGTCGACCCAGCTGTAGAAGCCGGTGGGGTCCAATCTGTCCTTCATCTTGCCTTGGATCATGTCCCAGATGCGCAGGTTGGACGTGTTCAAGCTGGCCAACTCGCCCGGCGAAAGATGTGGTGCAGCAGGACCGAAAACGAGGGATGGATTGATAGTGACCAGGTCGAAAGTCGGCTTCTCGTTCTCAATGAAGGCCCACGCAGCTCTTTCGGCGAGCGTCTTACGCCAGACAGGGTTAGCGAAGTTCATGCAGGAAAGCAATGATGTAAGGAAGAGAAGAAGGTTTAGCAGCTCAAGCTCACCTTGCTCCCTCGATACGCCTTGGTCTTGTCTTGAGCAGCTTCGTCCCAGGTGATTGGGTTCCAGCACGACTCATCGTAGAACGGCGGAGTGGTTTTAGATCCACCATTGACGGCTGCGAAGGACGATGTGAAGACCACCCGCTTCACTGAGGGAGCACTGTCCTTGATGGCTTGCAGGATGCTGGTTGTCCCCGTCACCGCCGGCTCGAGAAAGTCCTTGACCGGGTCTTGGACATTGTAGTGGAATGGAGATGCAGTGTGTAGCACAAAATCCAGGTCGGGGGTTGACTTGACGACCTAAACAACGCGGCAGACAAGCTGGTCAGTTGCTAATTACGAATGTGGCCATGGTATTGTGCTCCTGTTGAGCCAGCTGTCTAGCAACCGTGGACTGACCTCGTCAAAGGCTCCTTTTCGAGCCACATCCTCGACGATCTGGTAGCTCAGTTTCCCTCCGGAAGCAGAATGAGCGTTCAGCACTTTGGTGCCCTTGTCGTGACTTCGCACTGTAGTCACCACCTCGCAGCTGGGCAGCAGTGTTAGCCACAGGTTTGGAAGGCCGGTCCGCGGTCTCGCGCTCGGACGTAGACCGCCATAGATTGTACTCACCCGCGCTCCAGCAGCTGCTTGATACAGTATGCGGCGATGAACCCGCTCCCGCCTAGAGCTGCAGTCAGCTTCTGTTCTTGTATGGAGTCATTCGGCCATCTTAGCCGTTGGTGGCTGGCTGAATCTAACTGTAACTGACCTGTTACTAGGACTTTTGGCATTGTGTCTCCTGCTTTGGTGTCACTAATGAATCTTCTGTTGAGTTTCAAGTTGAATGAGAACGCAGAAATTCAGTTGACGACTTTATAGCTGCTCGATGGATTGCGACAGGTCTCCTCTGCTCGAGAGCTGACAATGCTGTCGTTGGCATCCACCCTTAAATACTCACATGTCCTGGGTTTAGGTGGATTAATACGGCTTTATCTCTTGTATCGTTCGTCATAAGTCCGCGACAGCATCACAGGCGGTATATCGTGTCAGTGGTCATCACAATACTCCATACACACAAACTCTGTTCAGTGCGAAAGATGCGTATGCGTACTTTGTAGGCTTATTAGGGGCGTTAAGGATGGCAGCGGATTTTCCGGGAATATGTATGCTCTAACCCCGATCCCTGATAACACTGGTGACACTATTGGGGCACTGACGTAGAGCGCATATTGACAATAATATTAAGTTAAGTTTAAACGATAACCTTAAGCCGACAGCTTTCGTGGCGATTCAACTAATTATATCAACAATTCCCTAAACTCGGATCGTAATGCTGGAGCGGAGGGGGCCTGGTCTATTATGATATAGATAAACTCACATCAAAGTCCCATACCAGTTGCCAGTCTTCCTCTCTCATACGTTCCCCCTTCTATATCAGCCGCAAATATCAGCAGATCTTCGGGTTTCGAGATCTGAAACTTTCCTCGCAATTCACCTGATGCTTCTCTGTTCGTCAGATCGACCAAGACCGTCGTGGCCTCACACCAAAGCAGTCTCTGCTTGAGGAATCGCAATGCAGCTGTGGTGTCCCTTGTCTTTGCAACGACATATCGACCCTTGATTAAAGCAGATGTCCGGTCGCATATAAAACCTAGCATTGTGCCTCGGACGCGAAACAGGAAATCGTCTGACGTAACTCTGTCGAAGGTAATGGCTGCGGCCTGGGCTGCGGATGCAAGAGTGAGATTCATCATCTCGTTGATGCTGATGCCACTAAAAACGTTCGAGGGACGCAAGGTAAAAGACCAGAGATCGGGATAGTGACCAGCTAAGCGTCGCGATGATGGTCGCGATATCATCTCTTCTTGCTCGACCTCGGCGATGAAATCCTGAAGTCGTGGCCCGTCAATGACAAAGACCCGAGTGCTGCTCCTAACGCTAACAGAGGGAGGGTTGTCATTGCGTACGTGGCTATCAGCGCGGATGCGAGTGGATTTGAGATACCACCGCGTATGGACCGTAAGGTTGATTGCGTAGCAGATGGCAGTGAGCCCGAGGTGCCATCAAGGACCGCCGAATGGCCTAGCTCCAGCATCGCGTACAGCGACTTCGCGAAGTCTATCGTCCTGGAGCCCAATTCAGCTTTGCAGTAGAACAACGTGTCGAAGAAAACGGTGATGTTGGACTTTGAAAGACGAATGAAATGTCCGTACTCGAACGGCATATTTAGAGTGTTGATGGGGGACGATGTCTGTGACATACCAACGTAAATTGAAGCTGTGGTATGAGACGCGGCAAGATTGGCTAAACCACCTCGCCACCTGAAGAGAACTTGGAGAAGGGCCAGTCTGCTCGTGGTAAACTCGCAGCCTAGAGTTATCTTCTAGTGTAGCGTAGGTAGAAACCAGGTATGCGTGAGTCTGTACAGACCGGCCTCGTGCAAAGTAGAATATACATAAGATTTTCGGTATAACTAGAGCCAAGGTCTGCCCAATATGGATAAACCGCCCACAATCCAGGGGCCAAGGAACAGTAGTGGTTCAAACGATATCATCCATGCTGGACTGACCTGGAAGAAGTCAGGGCTGAACGCGGCATCGCCGAGGCTGTATTGGAATGCAAATCATATAGAGTTCAGTGTTTGGGTCAAGATCAAATCCAGTCTGAATTAAGACATACAAATTAGGTCTTTCATGAATATTGTACAATCCGACGTCGCTCAGCCTCTCGCTCAGGGCCAGACAAGAGTTTGAGATGCTTTCCTAACAAGGCTTCAAGCGCGGTTCTCTCAATCACCACCCTGCCAGTCTCCAGCAGATCCTTCACATCGACATCCTCAATATCCTTGAGCAATCCATGCTCGCCGATTTCATGCATCTCTTCGAATATCTCGGGATCCTGTGACTCAAGGGTGCTGGTGACGAGTAGACTTCTGCCGTTGGCTTTGCCCCAGCTATTGGCTTCGAAGACATTGTTCAGGAATCTTGCTCCCGTATCTTCTGGCAAGGCAATTCGGTTGTCTAGAACCGTCAATTCACCTTTCCTATGTCGGTAGCTCAGCGCGATCTTGAATGCCTGGTAATAGACCTTGCGCTGGAGTTCGGTAGAAAAGTCTCGCGGCTTTGGCCCGAAAGCCACACCTCCACCTCGTCGTATGGGGGATTTCTTGTCTCGGACACGGGCTCTGCCTGTTCCTTTCTGTGCATATAGCTTGCGATTGCTGCCATGGACATCATATCGCCATTTCGTGCTGGCTGTGCCCTGTCTACTGGCGTCGGCCTCGAAGACCACCGCGCGATGGAGGATATCCCTTCGCATAGGGGCGTCGAGAAACTGTTGTTCGTACCACGCATATCTTGTCGGTTCAAGATCTGGCCAGGAATACAGGGTTTTCAGGATAGGAGAATCGAGAGTATAAATTGCAGTCGAGGAGGGTTGTGGTGCGGAGGACTGCTGAGGATCGGGATTCGTGGATCCGAGACCTGCTTCAATCTCTTTGGCAATCTCCATTACAGGTATCTGAGTTTGGGCGGCAAAATGACGACCAAGCCGAGGTGCGAGGCATTGCTAGAAACAGTCAGAAGGCGAGGCGCAACATTGATTCGAAGACATGCATACCGTCAATGGGTCTGCCACATTGAGTCGTCTCAGACTCCGTGCAAGCCCAAGGAGGCTCTGTGACGCGGATACGTGCGCCATCTCTGGTGTTCAGTGGCGCATGGGAGTCTCAACAAGTCGGCCGCTCTTGATCGTTGGACGATGTCTTCATCCGCAGTTCGGAACTTCAATTTACAGCGGACCGCGCCAAGACCACGTCACGTGGAGGGCTGCCTTAGGTATTCAGTGTGGCTGCAAGCCTTACCTGGCTTTCACCTGTAAAGCTTCTTTCTACTAAAGCAAAATACAATAGATATGTTCCCATTGCTTATTGCATGCTAGCATGTGTCCCTGAAATCTGGCTGCTGATCGCCCTGGTTTTTGGCCTGCTGCACCGCAGCCAGATCTTTCAGTTTCCTTTGCGATTCTCTTCCGCAGGTTCACGTCCGCACCGACATTTACTTAAGGTAGCCTTAGTTCTCATTCTCTCGCTACCGCCCCTCCTTCCACTTCTGCCCAGCGCCATCCAGAAGGCTCCAGACTCTTGAGATTTTGCCACCCTCCAGCTGGTAGAAGACGTGCTCGTAGAAGACCTCCTTGTTCGTTTGCGGCGGAGTTGTCTGAAGTGAGGAGTTCGAATTAACCGTATCACTGTTGTAGGAGAGCTTGATCCTTGCAGCAACTGTTCCATCTCCAGCTCGACCCTTCTCGCCTTTGGCACTCTCTGTCACCAGCGTTTCAACATCGAAATGGAGACCCGGAAACGAGGCCTGACTATCGATGATGATCTGTGCGTATTCATCCACTGACATTGGAGCAGAGTCATTGTGAACCACACCGTCATTGACAAATTTTGACAAGGCGCCTTGCTCACATCCAGCATTGATTTGGGCGATATAGGAGGTGTAAAGCTGTGCGAGATCCATCTTTAAAAGCTCAGAACTTCCTTTTAGGATATCTGTCTGAAGTGTTAGAGGTTATACAATTCCGCCAACCTTGAATATCTGGGATTTAAGGAAGCTTTAATAGATTGTGTACTCCGTAAATGGTGGATTTGTAATAGGATACGCGCGTGAAGATCGTCACTGCGTCTATTTGTTACTACAGCCTTGCCAGATATGCTCTTGCTGTATCAATACGTTGCCGTAATGGCCTGTGTGGGGTACGGAGACGTAAATCACCATATCTGCCAAAGCGCTTCCGTAATTGGAGTGCAACCACATCATCTTTCCGTCCCCTGTACGGACAAAGGCCGCGCCAACATTCTCAAAGGAAGTCTCTGGGCATACTGCCGGCGCATTACGAACATCAAGCTTCTTGATATGCTGAGTGGTCCTTGTAACGGTATATCATTGTACTCTCGCCCCATGCGACGACAAAGGACAGTACCCTCCAAGGCCTTACCCATAAGTCACCGCTGTCCATGACCTCGCCGAGGAATGGAGACCCTCTTCAACAGCCTGAGGATCTGTCCTCAATACCAAATCTCGACGTGTACAAGACAAGACTATCCGCGAGAGACGAATCACCCGAGACATCCAGCGCCAGCCTACCCATCCGCACCTCCAGCCCGCCCACCCAAGGCTCGCGCTCGAGTACACTGTCAGGTGTTCTCTCCCGCTCGAGCTCCTCTAACGGAAAGCTCTCGCTCTCGCTTGCGAGGTTCGGCGGATTGCAAGTCAACAGTCCCTTGGGCAATCCTTCGGATGGATATGACGATACAAGATCCTTGATCGTGCGTGCTTTTTCACCTACTGTCGCAGTTTACGCCGCGCAGGAAGTGGACGAATTGGCCGTCCGGAAGGGACTGAAACATGGATTCGTTGAATTGGTGAGGCCATTTGGCGAGAAAATCCCAGGCAAAGTGGTAGTACGCGATAGCACGGGGGCAAGCCGCAGCTGGGACGACTTCGGCGTCCATTTCACTACCCTTGACCAATTGACCGAAGATGGTTCATCATCGGCCGCAGAGGTCAACCATCTGGAAAAGCTGGAAGAGTTGATGGAGCAATATATTGGAGACGGCTATTATGACACAGCTGATACGCCCGGGCGAGGTGAAGTCTCTGAGTTGTACAAGTTGTTCTTGTCAAGGCTTCTCTGCTCTCGATCGATGAGTCCGCACGAATCTTTTCGACACCCAGTAGGTGCGATCATTGCCATAAGCTCCTCCACAAAACAGCCGATCGATACACTACGGAACCTCTATCAACAGACAGCGCAAGGTCCTCGGGCTTTGCCTACGTACGCCAACCCGGAATACCTCAGATATTACGTCCTTGTCCACGACGAGGATCACGATGATTTCAGCAAATCCTCAGCGCTGTTTGATCAGATGAAGCGACATTTTGGCCTTCATTGCCACCTTCTCAGATTGAGATCCGCATCCTGCACTCAGTCTGACGATGATGCTGAGGAGCTTCCTACCGGCGAGTGGCTCTCGCCGGAGGAGCAAATATCCGTCCTAAAGGAGACCGCTAATCTCATTGATCTCAACACTTCAACCTCGCCCTTCATCTTCTCATCTGATGCAGCAGCATTACGGACCTTCGTCCGCGAGCTCACGGCACAGTCCATAGTCTACCATATGGAGCAGCGAATCGCCCTGTGGAATGACCAAGTGGCTTCTCGCCGTCGGGGGATCTCTGGACGGTTCATGTCCCTTTCAAAACGCTGGACTGGGATTGGGGCCTCTTCTCGCGCTTCATCCTCGAGTGCTAACTTGGTTGGCTCGGGAGCGAGCGGCAACTATGACAGTCTGCAAGGAACATATCGTTGGGATGCGCCTGAAAGCCTCCTGCGTAAGTTGGCAGATTATGCGTTCATGTTGCGAGACTACAAGTTGGCGGCCTCAACCTACGAACTTGTTCGATCGGATTATGCAAACGACAAAGCATGGAAACATCTGGCTGGGGCGAACGAGATGTGCTGCATCGCGACCCTCTTAAATCCCTTGACCAGCAGTGGAAGCTCCAAGTTCAAAATCGAGAACTTCGACCTGATGCTCGAAACGGCAAGTTATTCATACCTAACTCGTTGTTCAGACCCTGCGTTAGCATTACGCACTCTCCTCCTGGGTGTCGAACTCCTAAAGGTGCGAGGAAGAGCGGCAAGTGAGGTAGCTGCGAAATGGGCGATCCGAAGCCTGGAACTTGGCCTGGTGGGCAGCATAGGGAACGTTCTTGTCAGCGAACGGGTGGCGTCCTGTTTCGCTAACCGGATCGGAATCGGCAACACCGGTTGGGGACTGCGGAAACGGAAAGCTGCGGTGTGGAGTGTCATGGCCGCCGATGAATGGATGAAATTGGGACGGGCAGAGATTGCTGCTCAACGGCTTGATGAAGCGCAGGAGTTTTACAGTGAAACCAATCACAGTGAAGCGATAAAACAGTTTAAAGAGCTGGCTGCATATCTGGAGCAATTGCGTCTCGCCGTCAGGATGAAGCTGGGAGAAGCGAGAAAACGAGGTTTCAGCGGCGCCACGCGACAGCTTGAACTCGACGGTGAGGTCGAGGATGAAACAGTAGAAGAGATGAACGCGCTGGAGAAACACGACAGCAGGGTAAACAGGCTGAGTCTGATGGGTGATGCCTCAGGAGCGGCCATCTCACTCGAAACTGTGGCACCCCTGAGTCCAGTCAGGCTGACAAGACCGGACCCATTGTCAAGAGAAGATGATGATTTTGAATGAACGAGCTGGCGAGCGAATGGTACGGTGCTCCGACATGTACAAACCTGGAATGATAGAGCAGACTTTACACGGAGCATTACTGCTGTACAATACCTACTAGGTACAAAGCGGCTCACACTTACCAGCGTCCGTACAGAGTACCGAAAGTACCAGATGCCTGCTAGTCACATGATGCCCTCGAGGCCACTTTACGCGTCAAGAACGCGCTAGTAGATCACGGTCTTGGCGCGAACTGCCGCCCTGCAGCAAGAGCGGCCCACCACCAAGCGAGACGAGGAAGGCTGTTCTGTGGTGTCTGTTCAGCCTGTGCCCATCCCGACCTGGCGTGATCACATTAGGGGAGCCAGGAGAGTCTACACCTCTCTCGACACCACCGACAGGCCGCCAGGATGCCGGAACAATACGAGTTTGCAGACAGCACAGATTGGCTTCCTACTCCCCTCGCCGCCCTTGCGCCACTTGAATCCTCGCTGCGCTGTCAAGTGTGCAAAGACTTCTTTACGACACCTATGATGACTTCATGTTCCCACACGTTTTGCAGTTTGTGTATACGGCGGTACTTGTCGCAAGAGGGCAGATGTCCGGCATGTCGAGAACCCGACCAGGAAGTCAAGCTGCGCCGGAACTGGGTTCTGGAAGAGTTGGTCGCTAATTTCACAGTCTCAAGGAAAAGACTACTTGACTTTGCGAGGAGTGGTATGGAGAGTCTGGAGGAGGATGCCACCGAAACACAGAGGCCGAAGAAGAGGCGGAAAGTGGAACAGAGCACACCCAACGGCACCGAGAGGCGAAGTACTCGCAGCCAGAGCAAGAAGATGCCCTCAAGCACCAATCAGCCAAGTCTACCATCCACACCCGAGGTTATTGAGGACAGTGAAGAAGGCAGTGTGTATGAAGATGTGGAAAGCCAGAGCGCACATTTCACAAACGGGACGAAAGAGCCCGACGATGGCTTAGTGGCGTGTCCTTGTTGTCATCGCAGAATGAAGGAAAACCTGATCAATTCTCACCTGGACAAGTGCATATCGGGCAACAGTCATACGCCGGTGGACGATACCTTCTCTCCCGCGCCCCAGATCGCCCCGCCTGGAACGATAGCATACGCCCAGGTGAAACGCTCGAAACAGAATGACCGCCTTCCCTTCATCAACTACTCTTTGCTTACTGACAATGCATTACGGAAGAAGTTACGCGACCTGGGAATCCCATCACACGGTTCCAAGGATCTAATGCGCAGGCGGCACACCGAATGGGTCAATCTATGGAATGCCAACTGTGATTCTACGAACCCTGTGACCAAACGACAGCTCCTTCAGGAGTTGAAAGTGTGGGAGGATACGCTGGGAAGGCAAAGCGAGAAAACAGGCACTTCGGGCTTTATGGCCAAAGATTTTGACAGCGGCAATTATGTGAAGAACCAGAAGAGCAACTTCGATGATCTTATCAGGCAAGCGAGGCAGAAAAGGGCCTTAGCCTCCAATATACCGGTACAGATTGTGAATGGCGAAACGCCTGAGCCGCCACAACCGGAGAACACGATATCGGATCACGAGCTGCGGCGCCCAGATCTCTTGCACCTGCAAAACGAAGCTTTACTATCCAAGCCAAAATCTGACGCGGACGAAATGACCGTTCTGCCGCCAACACGAGGGCTGCTGCCAACAACTCAGATGGAGACGAACAAGAAAATCGAGCAGCAGACCTATCCCGGGCCAACCAGCTCAATATCGACGCACCTGTCCTCCAAGAATATGGCTTCGCAATCATCTGCGGGAACAGCTTCAGATCAAGCCCCTTTGCAGTCATATATGGGGGACCTTCCAGAACCGAGTTTCAGTGCTTATGCCCCGTAGCTGGACTGTACTGTGCGATGCTCAGATACCCTCCCCTCCCTGTCCACTGCCTCAGTTAGCAAATGGACATATCCGGGCACAGTTCCTTATACCTTTTGTACAGTTCCTTATACCTTTTGTACAAAGAGTTTGAGTTTGAAGAGTCCGGTTCGAGTGCGTCTTGTAGCATGAGACAGCATGCATTCTCACGGGGGAGGAAGCATATATAGGTAGTAGCTTGTGGCCCGCACAAGATGCTCTAGGGAGGCTCGATGGCAACCCGACATAAGAATTCAAGCCATCTTGGTCATTATCTTCGTATCACGTTTGCCAGCATGTGTCTATGTCTCTTCCGCAACCTGCTGTGGCCGTGGCTCTGGCTGTCGCTCCTGCTCCTGATCTCGTTGTGACAGACCGTCGATATCCAGCTTGTGGAGCTTCTCGATACTCGAGGATAATGCTTGCTCCAACGCCGCATCGGACATTTGCACTTTCTCCTTTCCCTTCTCCCGTTCCTGTTCTCGAGCTTGCTCCGTCTGCTGCAGGCTTTCCAGCTCGGCAAGCCGTCTTCGTGTAATCTCGGCTTGTTGCGCCTCGAGTCTCTCCTTGTCCCTCCGCTCTTTCTCTTCCCGCTTGATCCTCTCCTCGCGCTCCAAGCTTTCCAGCTCCTCGTCGACCTCTGCCTCGTCCAAGACGGCTTGCCCACCAACAGGCTCGGCAAGCACGCCGCTGACTTCGTCGACCTTGCCCATCTCCTCGCGCAGCGAGTCCAGCACGTCCTCGACCTTGTCCACTCCGCCGACCTTCTTATTCAGGGATTTCAGCACTCCAGCGCTCGCCTCCATGGCCGCCAGAACTTCGACCTGGTCCGCCGCAGTCTCGATCTTTGTATACACTTCTTCCAGCTGGTGCAGGGTGTCGATGCGAGACTGCAGAGAGCGCTCGGCCAGTTTCTTCGACCGCAGCGCTGAAAGAGCAGAGGTCTTGTTTCCTGTTTTGACGGCCGATTGAGCGCTGCTTTGAAGCGTGGCAACTCGCGCGGTCAGGTTGGCGATTTGACTGGTTAGGTTTGAGATCAGGGTCTTGAGGGAAGCAATCGAACCGTCTTCGTGGGTGATTGGTTCTGGTAGCGATGCAGTTGGAGACCTGAATTTGATTGTGGTGTCGTCGTAGCTGAGCGCGTGCTTGTCACGGGCCAAGTAGCGAAGCAGAACGTTGATGTCCTGGTCGGAGAGTGGCGTTGGGCCTTGGACGAGCCCGTTCACTTCCTTGAGGAACAATTCCCGGCTCACGATTCTATCGGTGAGACTCTGTGAATGATCGTCTCTCAACGCCTGCGTCTTCTTCCACAGCTCCTCCAGCGCAGGGATAAGCACAAGATTGCCCTTTTTCAAGCGACCCCCTGGCGCCTCGTAGCTGGCGCTGCCCACGATCCCGACTTGGCGCAGACTCCAGCGCAGGACGGCCCAAGGGCTAGGAAGCCAGGAGCGATTGTAAATGCTCTTGTCGCTGGTGAGGAAATCGTGCATGTCGACCATCTTGCCGTGCCGGACGCAGTCGTCGAGCACGCACCCGAGCCCCGAAGGCCGGCCGTACTGCGGGCTGGCGAGCGCGTTGAGCAGGTCGTCTGACGTCTGGAGGATCAGGCGCTGTTCGAGGGGGAGTTGGCCGGCCAGGGCGGCGCGGGCGAGAGCGGATTCCCATGCCGTCACGTTGGCCGCGTAGCCTTCGGGGTTCGACGACTTTTGAACGGCGAGGTCGGAATATAGAGACGGTAGACGCGTTCTGGAGACACAGACAACGGGTTTTCGTCAGCATGCTGGCCAGATAAATGGAAGTAGCGCAGGCAATTTGAAATCTGTGTCGTGAAACGCAAGAAATCACTTCAGACATCGGACGAGATGGATGCAGACATGATAACACAGAGGGGACGGGATGGAGCGGCATACTTGCGGAACGCAGGCTCATGCTCGACAAGCCAGTCTAATAGGGGAGACATGGGCGACCGCGTGTACCAGTACCAGTACCGGTACCAGCGGATGGAAGGGTGTGGTGGGATCTCCAAGAACAGACAACCTGGTGCTGTGTGTCGATGCTGGAAGATCAGAGGGATTTCTAGGAAGGGTCTGTTTACGTCACGCAAGGCTGGGCTCACACAAGGCTGGGCTCAGACAAAGACCCTCCCAATCACCGAGGCGCAACATAGGAGTAAATCCAATGTTGGCATAATGATGCAGGTTTGAGGTGTATTATGAGGCAAGATCATCTATGGCTCGTTAAGGGTCATCTAAATGCTCTTTGTTCTAGTGTTGCAGACCCCTGAAACGGTCATATACAAATCTAGCCAACACGAAACCAACACATCCTACAACGCTATTATGGCTGTTTTATTCGTCCCTTGTCCTCGGATTACGCCACCTCATTCCAAAGACCCTCGACGATCGCCCAGTACCTTTTCTCGTCCAGCACAGCATGCGCCACGTGTCTGCTGGGGCCAAAGTCCTCGAGCTGCACTCTGTCCCGACCGATAATCTGCGTGGCCTCTTCAGCGTGTGATTCCACGTCGGCCGCCGGAATGAGCTTGTCCGCCTGAGAGTAGATGTAGACTCTCTTGACTGTGTCATGGGTGAACGCGCTAGCGGGATCGTTGAGCCGCCTACGTAGAGAAAGCGTGAAGTCTTCTTTGCCTGCGACGGTGCCAACAACTTTCCCAAGCCCCAGGTACGCCCAAACCGCTGCACTGCCGAGCGTATAGGCAGCAGGTGATTTGGGGAGATATTCACAGATGGCCGTGTGGTTTCGTATTGTGGATGGACAGCTTGGTGTGCTATCCAGAATCAACGCCGAGATAGGTGGGAGCTCGCCCGTCGAAATGCGGTACGCATCGGCAAACTGGCATGCCGTGTACGAGCCACCGTTTGAAAAAATATGCATCAGCACGCGGGGCTGGTTCGGCTTTCTGTTATAGACGAGGTGTCTCACGACGCCCACAGCCGGTGCCAAATTCGTCATCTGCTGCCCAACCGAGCGCCAAAAGAGGTCGCCTCCATCCTGGCGGAGCAAAAGGATCGACGAGACAGGAAACCGAGTCTGAATGGCCTTGGTGTACTTTCGGATGTTGCGCGATTTCGCGCCCATCCAAGAACAGACGACATATAGGTGCGGATAAGTTGCTGCGCTCGAATCCGCCGACACAGCCGGACTCGCATTCGTGTCTAGTACCGGTGGACTGTACATAAAAATCTGTGGACCCAGACGTTCAAACCCGGGGAGAAATGGATCAGGAGGGATATCCTCTTCGTCAGGCTGGAGATAGGGAGCTGGTCCTGCCAGCTCCATTCTGGGAGAGCCGGACGAAACAGTCCGTATCCAAGGACCTTCGATCGCGATAGGATAAGCAAGCGCTAGCGATTGTCCTAGAGACCGGGGTTTGTGTCAAGCAGAAACAAGTCCAGGCGAAGACAGTGAGGCGACTTGCGGATGCAGTCGTTCCTTGAATGGGAATATATATATATATATATATATATATATAGTAGTATAGGATAAGATGACTCTGTGTCACATTTACTGTTAGTAGTCAGTACCTTAGAATATATGCTTGAATGCAGGCAGTCGTGTACTTCCTCCTTATCTGCTGCCCAAAAGCAGCGCATCAAAGGCTAATTCTGAAGGACCGATTCTTGAATGGCGCGCTGACTGCAACAACTGAATGGAACAATATATTCTGACCTTTCAATATTTAAAGAGCGACGCCGTCTGCCCCCTTTTACTAGTCAGATTGCAAGTATGTCTCTGAGGATCAAGACGGAGAGCGAACGTCCTTGGCACTGCGTGAGAGCCTAGGTAGGCGCAAAGCCAAAGATACACCGCTAAATGAGAAAGAAACAAGAAAAAAAAAAGCTGGAGTGGACAAGGTGGTTGGACAAGATGAAGAGGACGTATGCCACCTATGCTTTGAGGCAGCTTGTCGGTAGCCTCTGCAGTACTCCGTACATGGTACGGCAGACCATCTGGTTGCGCTCCGCAGTACCGGCCAGAACGCAGGATTGGTGGGCTGTCGCTTTGACCTGGCGAGAAAGAAGCTGGCAGCCATGAGAATATACACCTTTTCCATGGGCCGTCTTTTACAGAGACGCGGAATATCGGACTGACACAGCTCGACCGCATGTAGAAGTGTTGGATCACAACGTCAGTAAGGAAGACTCAGCCTTGCTTACATAACTGCAGGATGAGACCGTGGTGACGGCACAAGGCGGCTGACGGCTTATATTTGGCGTCCCCAAGGTGCAAAAACACACTTTAAATATCGTGTCTGGGATTCGTAAAGACTTCTAGATTGACTCATAGACCAAATCGGGAATCATCTTGTTCTTTTTTTGCAGATACTGTTGCTTGAGAAAGTTGCTACCTACGAAACTCAAAGTGCAGATAAAGGCAAATACTGAGCCGTAGACTGGCGTACAGAGCAGTACATTGGATCGTGGTGCGGTGGTACTTTACGCGTGTCTCGGGGCCGCGTCCTCGGAGGCGCGTGTCACCTTCCACTTTCCACAGAGTAAGCGAACGCAGTGACCGGATCCTGCTTCATACCACCACAACCGTCGCCGCCGCCGCCGTATCCAATCCCTTGCGCTCCTGATAATATGGCCGACGACTTCAAGAAATACCTGGCCACGGAGATCCTCTCAGAACAACGTACCCTGTCCTACCGCAACGTCTCTCGCGCTCTGAGAGTCCACGTTAACGCTGCCAAGTGCATGCTGTACGATTTCTATGGGTTCCAGAATGAGAAGAGGCCTGGGTCAGTGTATGCTACGTATTTGGTGTCTGGGGTCAAGAAACCCCGTAAGACAGTTGGGGGCACCAACGGCACAACGGATGGACACAAGCATGGAGACTATGATGAAGATAAACCTATTCCCTCCAGTCCCCCTCCCTTCACGAGTTCCATGCTCGAACCTAGTCAGCAGAGTAGCCATGCTCCAGAAGAGTCAGAGACGCAGGTGCCTGTGCGCACGATCACGATAGTTCGCGAGGAAGATTTGGAAGGTATTACCTGATGAGCCTGGCCCAAATTGCAGTATGCTAATTCGTGGGTGACGATAGCGGTGAAGCAACAATACGAGACAGTAACTTCAATGCACATCTACAGCCTTTCTCCCACGCGCCTCCAAGATCTGGTCACATTGACGGATGTCAGTCGAGGCCTGTTCAGCGATAGGTTCACAAAAGAAGATCCGCTTCTTACCAACAAGATATATGGTATCATTCAAAATCCCAATGTTCGCCGGCGGAAGGGCAAGAAGCCTGTTTTCCCACAGGGACCGTCGCCGAAATTTCAACCAGTCAAAGACGACCCCAAGCCACCGAAGTCATCAGCCGTCACAACCGACACCACGGCAACCGCAAAACCAACAGAGTCATCACGCCCCAGCTCTCGCGGCAGTGCATCGACCACCGGATCAGGCCGACAGCCTGCACTGAAGCGTGACGCGTCCGACCTCTTCAAGGCGTTCGCCAAGCAAGGCCAACAAAAGTCTAAACCCAAGCCCACACCTTCGCAAGATGAAGACACACCAATGCCCGATGACGACGAAGGTGTGTCTGAAGACGAGGCGCTCTTTCTGGACACAGGGACACGTAAGGCCGCCACAACAAAGAAACGACCTAGCGACGTAAAGAAAGACCGAGATGACAAAGCGGCCAAGTTGCGCAAAATGATGGAATCCGACGACGAAGCGGAGCCAGCAGTCTCTAATGCCAAAAAAGCAGCCGGCGTCAACCAAGAGCCAGTGGCAGCGCAGAATGGGACCGTTGCCGCTGAGGATGACGAGGAAATCGCATGGTCCGACTCTGACACAGAGAAGCAGCAACAATCGGCACCGAAACAGAACGCGTCCACTGGAAACGTGGGCGACGAGCTGATGGCCACCCCCGCTGTGGCTTCGGCCTCGGCTGCAGGACCTAGACGGCGTCGTGGCAGGAGAAAGGTCATGAAGAAGCGCACGATGAAAGACGAGGACGGTTACCTGGTGACGAAGGAGGAAGCCGCCTGGGAGAGTTTCAGCGAGGACGAACCGGAGCCGGTACCAAAGAAGGAGGCGCCAAGGAGTAGTTTGGGCAGCGGCAAGACCCAAAGCAACAGTCAAAAGGGAGCTGGAGGGAAGCCGGGCGCGAAGAAGGGAGGGACCATCATGAGTTTCTTTGGTAAGAAGAGTTGACCACTCGACATGTCAGCCGGCATACCAGTTTGCATAGATAGAAGTACTAGGAAAGATAAGCATTGAGCGTCTCAGAAAAGCGTATGTCAAGCGGAACCGGCATGATAACATGCAAGGGTTTGTGGATGTCAATGACACCACAGGTATTAACGCTTCAACCAACTGAGTAGTCCATGAACAGTATGAAGCACGCCACGCTACGCCAACAGGGGGTCGGCCATCATTGGTATTTGACTCGGGTTGATGTTGCTGCGATGTGAACCATTATATATCCGTATAAGGTTCGCCCGACGCCGTGCACAGATCCAGTAACACCAATATATGGAATACATCCTGTTCCCAGTAACACCAATATATACAATACAGCCTGTTCCCCGATACACCACCGACTCATTCCTGTTCCGAGATACACTTTGTTCCCAGATACACCACCGACTCATACCAGTGAGTCGGCAAGGTCCACCAACAGCAATGGCGACCCTATATCAGACAATCCGTACACTGCTCATACCAATACTCGGCAAAGAGCACCGAAGAAGCAATCACGAAAGTATATCTTCAGGGCCAATGGTAGCAGAATATCGAATATCGCTAGTCAACCCAGCCCTCTCCCACTCGGTACGTCATCTTGCCGCTCCCCTCGTCGTTGAGGATCAAGTCGGGCTTCTTGTCAACGAGCCACAAGACGGTTTGCGCAAAGACGCTATTGGCCCACGCGAACCAGCTGCGTGTCATGCCTTCGCCGCCGGCCCGCACGCCGCGATGGACGTCGACGCTCTCGTTGATGAGACCTAGCAGGCTGACGTTCTTGACGCGGTCAAGGCACTGCAATATCTCGGTGTCCGAGGTGCTGGTCATGGCCTGCACGAGGACCGACATGGGCCAGGCGTTGCGCAGACCGATATGAGGCCCGCCAATGCCACGGAACTTGGAGCCGGACAGGAAGTACGGATTGCCGCGCTGCGAGAGGATCATGCGGCGGGTGTTCTGGTAGATGGGGTCCGAAGCGTCAACAAACCCAAGTAGTGGGAGGGATAGAAGTGACGGTACGTTGGCGTCGTCTATCAGCAGATGCGAGCCGTACCCATCGACTTCGTAAGCAAATACCTCCCCGAACTCCGGGTGCGTCGTGACGGCGTGCTTGTAGATGCCGGCTTTGATGGTATCCGCGCGGGTTTGGAGGTCTTCGGCCACAGTCAGCATCCACTTCGCTTCGTTGGGAGCCGACCACACACTCGAGGCTGCCTTGAGCATCGTCGAAGCGCGGGCCAACTCCACCGACATCATGGCGTTTGCAGGAATGAGAAATCCAAAGACGGTGGCGTCATCAGAAGGGCGGAATGCGGAGCGAATGAGTCCGGTTCCGCCGGCTAATGGATTTCCTGTGCCCTCGAGGCTAAGGGTTTCCGTGCCGAGTCGGGTCAATCGGCTAAAAGTGTATTCATTCCTTTCGTACCAGCCTGTGGCAGTATTGAACGTCGGTCGTGCCTGGGTGTCAAGAACGTTGAGAAGAGCCTCAAGAGCTTTGAACCAGCGATCCGTCAAGTACGTAGTCGATCCGGTCGATTTGAAATATTGGTTGGTGAGGGAAAGGAAGGCTGCCAAGCTGTCGAGCTCGTACTTGCATTCGAAGACCACGCCCTGTTCGTAGGCAGGGTGCACATAATCTTCTTGACCCGAATGCACCGGGGGGAGGTGGGATGGGTCTGGAGGTTGAAATGCATTGCAGTAAGGGGAAGAGATCACAAATTCCGCCTGGGTATTGATTGCGCCCAACAGTAAATTGGAGATGTCCGGAGCAGACCTGGCAAGAGGCTGATACTGTGCCAGCTGGTTGGTCGAGTCTCGCAACCACTCTGCGTTGATGTCGCCCGTGACGATGAATGACTGCGCACCTTGCCATTTGTTTTTATCTCTTGCCAGCCGCGACTTGGGCGCGTGCGTCTTTACCCCGTCGACATGCCATAGGACTGTGGTGTCCAGGGTGTTGGGGAAGGCATTGCGGAATATGTGTGCTAGGTCCGGATCTTTTATTCGAGGGTATAAATCTTCGATCACCTGTTCCACCGCAGGGGATGAGAACTTGCGACAGTGGGAATGTGGCCTTTGGTAAGGGAGTTGTAACGGCCCCGTGCTTAGAGGTTTACTAGGTACGCCATGGTCAGTAACTCTGCAAGAGTTGGGAGTCAGGTCGCCCGTACTGCTTCTGACGAGCATAGCTTGTATAGTCTGGACATAGGCCTGCAAGGACTCCCTGGTCTGAGGTCCTGCTGTCGTATACAGGCGGGCCGTGGACATCGCCGAAAGCAGCCTCAACACGGCCGATCTGTGAGCAAAGAGTGAGAATGAGGATGCAGATGTACTCAGGAACACGCATGGTAGAAGGACAGAGCCGGACGCTCAGCCCGACAAAGGATGGAGCACGGCCTCGGTCCCATGGAAGATTGAAGCGAGACGTGACGGGAAGCGGGGGGACGTGACGAGATGCCAATCAATCCAATGTTCCCCCGACACGAGGCTGTGTCTGACATCTGATGCGCAGGTTCCTCAGGCTTAGGGGCGCTTAGGCTGGTTTTATTGCTCCGCAGTATGGTTGATAGGGCGGAGCAGGAATTCGGCAGACGTATAGCAGTATCGAGTACGGATAGTCCGTACACTAGATCGCAGTAGAGTTGAAGTACGAGTACGGATACTCCGTCCACATATGGAAGTCGGTTTCATCGACTCTATCTGCTCTTCTCGGTTCGTCCCTACCATCTGAGATTCACCGGGAAAACAATCACTTCGACAGACTAACCAGCAACCATCTTCTATGCCTGCCCGTGCAATCAGAAGCTCTGCAAGGCCCTACGCCTCAGCTCTAGAGCTGTCTTGGCCGTCCTCGTATCAGGGCAATACAGCTCAAAGGCGTGTGGAACGCCTGGGAAAAGGTGAAACTCTACACTGATGTTCTCCGCTGCCAGCCGTTGAGCATAGGCGATGTCCTCGTCACGGAAGATATCCAACTCTCCCACGTAGATGAATGTAGGTGGTAAGCCGGCCAGGCTCTTCGCCCGCGCTGGAGCGGCATAGTAGGAGACATCTGCATTGAGATTGCCGGCCTTTTCTCCCAGCAAGGCCGTCCAGCCCGTGATGTTGTCGTCGTATGTCCACGACGCCAGTTGTGCAAGGGCTGGGTTTGGGGTCAGGTTGCGGTCGTCCAACATGGGATACGTGAGGATCTGCTTTGCGAGAGGTGGTTGCAGGTTTTGATCCCGTGCCATCAGTGCCACGCCGGCCGCTATCCCTCCTCCCGCGCTCTCTCCCAAGATCGCTATCCTCGTTGGGTCGATGTTGAGCTGCTTCGCATTTTGGCCGAGCCAGACAAGAGCGGCATAGCAGTCTTGGACCAGACTGGTGTCTTTGGCTTCAGGGGCCAGACGGTATTCGACACTGTACAGAGGGATGCCGGTTTGCTGTACCTCGATCGCCAGGGTCCTCTCGAATGATCCGACTGACCCGACAATCATCCCGCCGCCATGGACGTGAAGAATGGCCGGGCCGGGTGAGAGGGCATCAACGCTTTTCTTGGTGAAACCGTGAACGGAAATTTTGGCCCCGTCGTAGCTGTCAACCTGGAAAACGGCTGTTTCCACATCCGGAGAGTCTGGAATTAAACTCACGAACGCCGGCATTGCGGCGTCGAATCTAGCTCGCTTTGTCGCAACATCATGCACAGCAACTTTGGGAACGCTGGCCATCGCCGAGGCGATCGGCCCCCAGGCCGTTTGGAAATCAGGGTCAACGGAAAGAGGCATTTTGTGTGAACCAAGGACCAAGAAGGGTGGTGGTTAACAACGTGCGAGACAATGGCCGATTTCTACTATCACCCAATGTATTATGTAGCAAGATCTACAACGTTTTCTGCGCATCTCTCTTATATCCTAGGGGTGTAATACCAACCTCCGCCTATACCTAAAACGGTGATACGGGACGGCCGGAAGAGCTAGAATATAAAGTTCCTAGGTAGGTACCCAGAAACTATTATCCTAGACTCCCTCGATATAACGGTAGAAGAAAGCGCCTCGTACCTAGGTGGCAGGTGGAAGCAAGTCTCCGTGTTTGCATTTCTCTGGACGCGGTATCCCTACCTAGGTATGTACCTGTCAGTCTAATATCTACTCTACAACTTCGATCTAATCCCTTCTAGCCGGAACTTGACGTCTTTGAGTGCCTTGGTCATCGGTTTCCATTCATCAAACTGCGCCAGTAATTCTTGCGCTTCCTGCTGCAGCTCTTTCTTCACGTAATCTTCCTCTAAGATTCCTCGCATCGCAAAGGGTAAAATGTACGGGTTTGTCCCGCTGCTGCTTGTTGGTCTTCGGGACACTAGTGCGTCTTGAAGAGCATTCGTCTCCAAGGCAAACGAGATCGCAATGTCGTAAACTGCATCATCTTCGTAAATGCGTGAATGTCCTTCTCCGCCGTACAGACTGCCGGCCAATGGTGACGACAACTCTTTAATCAGCCCATGATCCGGGACACCAACATTGCGTAATTTCAATGCAAACCCAACGAGATGTGATAGGAAGTTTGGCGCGTGAATTCGAGAGTCTATGAAGACCGCTCTGTAGATATGCGGATGCGAGATGGGTGCAAAGATCGACGAGTCCATGGACACGAGCTGATCGTCTATACTGCCGACAAACGTCAGTTTGACCAGACCAGATCTCAGCACCTCTTCGATAGCAGCAAAGTAGTTCCTTGACACCTTGCTGTTTGGGTCAGAGAACTCGAAGAGCTCGCCAGCAGAGCCACTGATCCAACGTGACTTGTACTCCTGAAAGGGCCCCATATTGACTCCGGCCATGGCGCAGATTCCCACCCGTGCAGCACTGATACACCCGAACTGTAGCAACTTTGCCACCAGCATGATGGCTACCGGAACTCCTTGACTGTGGCATGCTATCATGACAAAATCAGATCGGCGGATTTCGTCGATCCAGTTGAGTAACAGCTTCCATAGTAGCTCCACCCTCTCAGCGATCCGACCCTCACCTTCGAGGGCGGCACTCTTGACTTCGCAGTCATAACCATGGCTTTGTGTCCACTTCTTGATACATTTGGCCGCCATGTCAGCAAACTTGATAGATGTCCCCGTCGGCTGGCCAAGAACGGTGCGAATGAGAGGCGCCGGGAAATAGCCATGCACACCAATGGCGAGAGCATTCTTTATCCGTGGGGGGTCTTTGACAAGGGAGAGATGTTTGAGCTCCGGCTCTTTCGTGTAGTAGAGTAATCTGGCAATCTGCTGCAAGATCGAAGGGGTCTCTTCCAGATGGAGAGTTTCTTTTATCGGTGGCAATAGCAGATTTGAATATTCCGTCTTTGACGGGGCTGGCGATGCTGTACGAGGTGTTCCGACCTCGACGGGTTCTCTTACGACCGCAGTAGCATTACGAGATTTGGCATTGGTGGTTGAGCTGTCCATAGATGCAGCGGTGTTCCTCTGGGGTTTAGTTGTTTTAGGCGTCTGTGGCGATTCCGTCAGTGCCTGCGGCGTCAAGGCAGATTTCTGAGCGACATCAATCTTCGATTGCTCTTCGTGAAGACGGGGTTCAACAACAGGTCTGGTCGAGTCATCCTGTAGAGATATTGATGCACGTCTGGGCTTTGTCTGTGATAAGGTATCTGACACGGCAATCTCTCCAACATGCGGCTCATTTTCCGCATTGGTTGATGAAGGTCTCTTCCTATCCCGGGACCAGAATACCCAGCCTGAGGACTTTGTGCCATCCTCTCGGAGTGGTGGAGGCGCTGAAATCTCCAGGGATGATGCCTGAGAAGCTGACTTCGACTGTGGCTTAGCAGGGGTGGGGATATCGAGGCATTGGGTTTGCCTCTTCGCCGATTGGGGACTTTCGGTTGCAGGAGACGCATGATCCCGCGAAGACTCTTCCTTTTTTGTTATCCCACCGAGTGCATCACCAGCCCACATATGATACCAACTCCGCTTGTTGTTGACGTTCAAGCAGTCTTTTGATTGCTCGTTCGTGACCGAGTGAGCCTCGGTATTTTCATTTGTTGAAGTGGGAGTGGGAGTAGCCACCGCCGTGTCCGATTGAGGCGATGACTGCTGTCCTTGTACACCTACCAAGCTAGATGTAGGGGCATCCTTTTTTGACAGCCAAGCTAGCCAGGTGCCCTGGGGATCCTGTGCTTGGCCGCTCGCGGCGTGAGGGTTCGCATCTTCTGTTGAAGGTTTCGAGGTAGGTTCTGACTGATCTGGCTGTTCAGGTCGTTGTTCTTCATTCTTCTGTAAGCTGCCCGTTATGCTTTCGCCGTTCGAATTGCCTGCAGCCTCTAATGGCGGTCTGCTTTTGGTAGACGGCGTAGCAGATTTGGATGTGGCATGTACTTTGGTGGTGGTGGCATTGATAGGGAGAGATCGGTTGGTACTAGACTTCCCCAGTGTCATTGCGAGGGAAGGCGAGCGTTCACTCCTGGCTTTGTCCTTGATAATCGTTACCGCCTCTTGAGCGGCGCTGCTTGCAGATGACACGCTCTCCCGAGCGACCTCTGCCAGAGGCGCAGCCTTACGAGGCCAGGTTCGAGTGATCCATGACTAGTCGACCCGTCAGTTATTGATGGCTGTATCTGTACAGGCTTCTTACTGGTTTATGGTCCTTCTGGGGCGATGTTGAAGTGTCTGGTGTCGGTGTGGCTGGCGGGGTGTCGGTGGGAAGAGGGATGTTCGTAGCCTGCGCTTGGGCTGCCTGGAGGTCTCCGGTCGGGTTCGTTTTCTGGCGTTTTAGTGGCCTTGTAGGCGCCATGAGCCCTCTGAGAGTAGTGCTGAGCGCGAAGAATGGATGGTATAACAGTCAAGCAAATGAAGGAGAGTGGCAGGCTAGCATCATTAGATCCAAGAACTCTTGTTTGGGATCCCAGATGGATGGATGGCCCGGAGGCTAGCACGGCCCTCAACACATCAGATACGTCACTTTCTCGCCGCCGACGCTGGCCAATAGCAATGGACCTTGCGAAACCTCGAATTATGCTCCACCAAAAAGTTGTTGCACTTCACAACAGAACGGCACACCGCAAGAAGGTCTCCTTTCCAGTGAACATTGTATCTAGAGAGTCTACACGGGTCGGTCAAAATGGGAAAGACAGGCAAAGTCAAGCAAAAGTCCACGGGTGGGTCCTTTGCAACTGCGTTAAGTTGTCTTCGACTCTGACAGTAGCACAGCAAATCCAAGATCTCGAGCCTCGAAGAGAGCCACTTCTCCGTCTATCGACGTGGACAAATCCCTGAAGGACACGCCTCGTGCCTCAGACGCCACACCCATCCTCTCGGCACATCCAAATGGCGGGGTTACTAAGCCCAAGAGGAAACAAAAGCAGTTGACGAGGGGCCAAAGAAAACGACATGAAAAGGAACTGGCAAGAGCACAAGCTGTCCAAGACCATTTAGCAAAGAAGGTGAACGATGCTACAGTAAAGCTCAAGAAGAGACGTGAGAGGAAAGGGGTGTGGGACGAAGTGAATAGCACCACCAAGTTTGAACAGACAAGAGCAATCCTCGACGAAGCCACGGACCAGCCCGAGGGGAGCGAGTGGGAAGACGAAGTCATGGAAGAGGTGGATATTGTTCAGCAAAGTGATTTGAAGATTATCGAAGGGTCATTTTTGCCCTCGAAGACACCTGCGAGCAAGTTGGTTGTGGTCGATCGAACAGTCTCTGCACATGCCACGGACGTGGAAGACGAGGCCGACAAGATTACCTGAGGATGCTCCGGCAGCGAGCACATCATCTCGGATCTATCTCTTCGGCCGCAAATGACTCAGCATCCGCTCGATCTCCACCAATTGTTGTCCGTTGGCCTTATCTCTGAGCGACTCGAGGGCGTTGGTGTCTTTCGCTCTCAACGCTTCCTCGCCAGCTTTGACGACCATGCCGCACTTAACCCACATCTCAATTCTTTCTGCTGGTTGCAGGCCGCCACATTTTGCAATGAAAGAAGAGGCAAGTCGCGTATTGCCTGCACCGAGGACTTCGTTGTAGAACGGCTGGAAGGCGATCAGTCAAGACACACTTCAAACTTGCAAGAACAACGACATACCTCCCAACCAATAGGCGATTTCTTGTTCTTCCCAATTTCCTCAACTTCACCCCAGAGGCGACCAGCTGTCAAAGCACGAAGGCGAACCCACCACCACGTCTTTTCCGGGACTTTGAATTCGCTTTGAACCTTGGCCGCCCGTTTGCTGTAACCGGATTTGATGAGGCGGAACATTGTTTCATTGATACCCAGACCGAGATAGCTGCCACTGCTGTCGGTTATATCCTTGTCAAACGCCTCCTGCATTTTGAGCAGTTGTGTAGCCTCGGTGAGAGCTCTGCCATGAAGAACGGCAGTTGGATCTTTGGTGTCTGTGAGCAATCGAACTGCTAGCTTGAGCTTGTCAATGACTGCTTGAACCTGTGGCTGTTGCATCGCCTCTTCCACCAATAGGTTTGAACCTTGTACTGGCCTGTCATCTTGATAGTACAAATCCTTCAGCAATTCCCGGTCCTCTATTCTTGCCGAGCTTTCCACCAGGGCTGCAGCAACGGGTTTGCTACTGATGGTCCGGAGAAAGGCTGCTAGGGGAAGTTTCTTCTTCAGCTCTAGAAGAACGAAAAAGATCAGATCTGGATCTCCTGACTCGATGGCTTTGTCGAGAGCGATCTCATCTTCTTCCATGTTGAGCAACAAAGGAACTTGCTTTCCTGCTCTTGGCTCGTGGTTTAATAAGCTCGTTGCGAGATGGCTTCGACCTTCGTTATAGGCCGCTCGGGCAATTGTTTCGAATGAGATGCCAGGCTTGCCGCGCAATCGTTCAACAACGATGTCTCGAATCGAATCATCATCGGCCGAGGATGCCTTGACTTTTTGGCTTGCCCAATGGACGTAGATCTTGTTCAAGGGCAAATGGAGGAATTCGGACAGTTTGATTGCCAAGAGGTATTCCCGTCGATCGACCAGCCGCGCAATCAGTCTCTCCGGTGTAAGCCTTAGGTACTGCTCATATGATATGTAAAGTCCTATACGGTAATCCCGAACCGCATTCAGGACCCTCAGGTCTTCGCACATGTCAACAAACTCGTCGCTACTGTAGAGGTCAAGCACTGATTTGCCAAATGAAGCAGCACGGAGCAACTGCTTCTGTAGGCTTTGGTTGAATTCATAACCCGCTGCCTGGATACAAGTCTCGACGGCTTCCGGGAGATTTGGTTTGATCCGTTGTATGTTCTCGTCCGCCTTCGGAGATTTCTTCTCCAGGAGCTCGATCGAGTCCAACAACACAGAGGCGGCGGAACTTGACCCCAGCTTGAAGACGTCTTCCAAAGGATCCGGTACCTTATGCAGGAATTCGCACGCTTCATTAGTAATGAGCCGGACACCGTCAATGTCTGGTACAACGTGGACTTGGTCGTCGTAGTAATACTTTACCGCGGCACCATTGGGCCCTACCATATGAATCTCATCCTCCCATGCTAGGAGAACCGAATCATTCCCACACCAATGGGTTTGGGTTGGCGTTGTTTTGGCCTTGGAGTCGTATTCGCTGTATTTGTTCTGGAAGTCACTCCCTACAACCCAAACCTTGCCGTCCTCTGTGAACAATGCCGCAAACCTCCCATTTGGGGATACGCTGACATGCTTGAACGGTCCGTCCGAAAGCCCTCTATCCTCAGCCTCGGTCGCATCGACGACAAAGATGGTCTTGTCGATAGCTAGCAAGACCTCGACAGACCTGGAAAGGGTATAGGCCGGCGGAATCAGTGACCAGGAGTGAACTTCACCATCAGGTGGCTGGGCGAGGAGCCTGGGCCTTGGCTCGTCGAACGATGAGACGGCAATCAAGGCATTGTTGGATAACAAAGCGACCAATCCATGGGACCAGAATCGACACGATTTGACACCAAATTCTTCAGCGCCGTGTCCGAGAGAGAATGGCTGAAAGTCGCCATGGAGCCCGAAGTAACAGTGCACTGTACCGTCCTCGGTGACGACCAGGAGCTTCTCATCATCTGACCAGCCGAGGCCTTTGATGGGCCCCTTTTCCCAGTTGATGTTGCTGATCAGTTTTCCCGACGATGAATAGATGTCGATAGTTGGCTTAGCCGACTGCCCTGTCCGATATCGAGCAATCTTTGCCGGGTCCCGCCATAATGCTACAAGCATTAGCTAACTTATACAACAATTCAGGACCACCATACCTAGAGCTCCGCCATAGGGAGCGCCGGCCACAAGATAGTTCTCGAGCTCAAGATCTGGATCGAAGATTGACTCGTAGAGCTGGATCTTTTGGTAGAATTGATCGCCAATTTTTTCCCAGCCCGCCCTGGGATTGTGGTTTGTCATGAGGACGGACTGTCCATCAGATACTGGTGCACGTGTACAGCGTAGAGATGAGTAAAGACAACATAGACGGAGGACATGAACTCGAAGCCCGGGTTGAGTGTCGTTGGGATGGAGGCTACTTTCGGCTAGTAGCTAGGACTAAAACAGCCAAATAAAGCAGCGTGATAGGTCGTCCAGATATGGCTAGACTTGGCATCTGGTTACCGCAGCCGACTTCATTCAAGTGCAACCATCAACCAACCATCAATCATCAACCATCAACCGCTCAAGTCTTTTGCCGACCTGCCCAGAGTCCGAGCTTGTCTACCACGAGCCTCTACTGCTGGAGATATGCCATCCCTTATCACCCCGGAGTCTTCGACAATCGAACGACGACCCTGATCATACAGCATTGGTCACCATGGAAGCCGCAAGCTTTGTGGACCGTGTGGAAGACATGACAGACCTTGAACTGGCAATGCTACTCAGTCTGATAGCGGAACATCATTGTCTGATTGAAGTAGATGATGATTTACTGAACGACCTTGCTTCAGAGTTGGCCTTGGTATGCGTTTCCATGGTCGTATGTTAGCTGTGACGGCACTGAATGGTCGCCTAGATTGCTCGAGACGTCTTCAGCCTTTCATACATCATCCTCGAGCGAGCAGATGTGCAGTCCATCGATGAGTTTGTTGCTGCTATTCTGGATGACAATAACGATGTCGAGGACCCAGCGGATGCTCTAGAGGATGACTCTAACCAGGCATGCTTCTCTAACCCAGGGATTTGCTTGTGATACTGATTAATCGACTACTAGATTGGCATGCTCCATTCCAGGGTCGATGGGCTTAGCTTTCGGGGAGCACCGTCAACCCAGAATGCTCAATTTCAATCTGATAGCCCGACAGTTGTCAACGTAATCATCGCGAAAGACTTCAACTTTGCACATGACGACGTACAGGTTCAAGCCTTGGAGGTGCGGGATCCTGACCGATGTTCCCGCTCTGTCTGACCCTATGTGTAGCTGATTCGAAAACGGAGGATATATAGTCGAACGACTGTACACGTTGCCCCGAAGGCCTTTCTGCTGCTTCCCATCGTTTCCACCTCGTCGAAGCATGTTCGGCTGAACGCTCACCTTGTAAGGCCATTATACGCTTGTTTTATCTTTACTGATGTTTGAAGAATGATCGCATCTTCATGTCACATTATCATGAAGCAGAGGACGGGTTCCCCAATCTTGAGGAGATGGATATTGCTCGTCATTCCGAAGACGAGTCTGCATACTCATATTCTCACTCTCCCAGTGTTCGACGTGAAGACATGATCGCAAGCCGACGAATCGAGTCAGAGGTACCGTTTCCTGGCCCCTAGACCCTGGTATGACTGCTGAACAGATCCTCAAGTTGATTGACCAGCTTCGGGTCCAAGGCAAGGCAGCCACGGTTACACCCGAGATTCGGAGATATCTCCAAGACGTCGTAGCCTTTCTTCGACTGGCAAGGGGTGTCGATGGAGGCGTCACACCTTACGCGACGACTCTGTTCCTTGCTCTGGCAAAGTTAGCTTCTAACCTGTTGAGCCGAAGCACATCTAGCTGATTATGTCCACAGGTATCTGGCACCCTTCCACGGCATAGACTACGTGACACCCGCTCTCATTACTTTGGCCGCGAAAAAGGTGTACCCGCATCGAATCATCATGGCATCTCCGACCCGAGAACGCAGTACACAGTACGGGACCAATGTGACGACAGCTCGAGACTTGTTAAGAGATCTCGATCCTCACACCGTGCTCCAGCATGTGCTCGATACAGTTGAATGCCCAGCTTGATACCGATTTCAGCATTTTGTAAGATGCAAAGGTCGGTACAATACACTGGTTATGTACAGTGAATTGATTGTTGACCGAGCCAAGTCTACGTATGGACTCATTCACTGCCTTCTAGTACGCTTTTCTTCGATCGCGCTCGGATCTTCTCTCTCGCCTACCATCTACTCCTATCATAGCTTCCCATCAGTACATCGACCGCCTTGATATTGGGCTTATACCTGTCCCATTCTCATCAAATATCTAATCCGAAGTGGCCGACATCGCAAGGATGTTGTCTTCGACCGATTCTCGCGACACTAAGCGTGAACTAAGTCCGGATCTTGATACGCCGGCAGAGCCTCTCCCGAAGCAACAGAAGAGATCCCTTGAGGCGCAAGAAACTAAAGGTACTTACCTGCTCCAACACAATTTGATCCCCAAATCCACTAACCTGTATTGCAGCAACGATCTCGTCTTCGACTAATATCCTCGACATCAAGCGTGGACCTATCCCGGACTTTAATGAGCCAGCAAATACTGTCCAGGTCCAGACACAACAAATAGGGTCTCAGAAGATACAAGAACGTGACACAGCCATTGTCCGACCTGCTCTGACAATACAGTGTTCCCAACCTGCCCAGTCAGTCAACAAGATTGGAAAACAACCGGCTACTGATCAACACCAAACCACCACCGTGCAGAAGCAAGGCTCGCACATCAAACAGGGGGAAGAAACCCAAGACAAGTCAGAGTCAAGCGACCATCCAGGGACGACAATGACGGGGACTACTCCGACCACTCTTCCCGTTCTGTCCCATTCTAGTGCTGCAGCCACGGCCGGGTCTTTATCCGATGAGGCTATAGCGACGCTTCCGGTTTTATCTAATGATCCATCAACTTTCCCACCATCACCCATGATTCTAGCGACTTGCCGAGTTACCTTCACTCCACGGCGGGCCATCAACCTGGTACGCAGTGCTTCAAACCTGCCACGACTTCTCCATTCAGACCATTCAGCAAGAATCAATTCAGTGATAGCCCATCTGCCCGCCGATAACTCGTATTTCGCAAACGTTCTGAGTGCCGCCGACTTTGCGTCTGTCGCTCCACATCACTGGCATTTGATCGCTCCTCGACTAAATGGTGTGTTGAACCCTCACATCAATTATTACCATGTCCATGGCCGTGTTCCAGGGGACGATACGCAGGTCCGGCGGCGCGCTACTGTACTAGGTCTATTTGTAAGCTTTACTCTCACTCTAAGGAGTATTCTATTTATTGTTATCAGTGTTTGCCTGTTTGCTTTCCTCTCTTGAAGGATCTGAACACTGCCGCCCATCATTAACTAACCCTGGGTCCATGAATAGATTCCTCAACTTGACAGCAGCCTGACCGTCAATCCGTATCCATGGATTCAGGCAGAAGGTCCCGCAAGCGCGACTTCCTTCATTGGTTTGATCCGAGGTATGTGTACTCCTTTTTATGTTTTACCTAGGATAAGTCGGCCCTATTCTTTATGGTCCTTTTCATTACGAACCAATACCCCGAAATGAAGCAGCCTTACATTGTGTTGACCGAGGAACGGATAGCCCTGCAGTACGAAAAGGAATCCCCAAGCTAACCTGTCCCAATTCCTTCCCAGAATACTTCCGCGCCCAACTCTTCTACTTTTACCAAATTCGGACGCTACGCAATGAACATGACCGGCAATTCGCCACTACATGGTGGTGGCGCCACGCGCCGGCGCGCGTAAGTACAATCGCTGTCACTCTACCGACCAGTAGTGCAGAGTTCGAGCGCTACGTCTGGACCTTGAGGGCACAGATCAGAGATCTGGCCGAGTCTGGATGCCCGGATCCAAGTTGGGTCGTTCCTCGGGTGTTTCGGGGGACATTTCGTGGACTGGATTGGTGGTCGCTGAACTGAACAAACCGGTACTGGTATCAAGGTGTCCGGCATGGGCAAGAATGGAGTGAAAGTATGCGGTTGGAAAGCCAGTCGTGACATGCAGTCAGCGACTGTCATGGCTCGTGGCCCCACAGCCGATATGGGCAAACCTCACAGTCTGTCGAAGTATCCTGCAACGTGACTTGTGCTTGCAGCGAGCGAAGCACGCAACCGAACAGGTGCTCTGGAGCATGGAATTCAACATCGTGTCGTCGAGAAGGCTATCTTACTGTACGGAGACGACTAGATCTGAACGGATTTGGACGGAAAGCCTGCGGAAATATGTTCGAGTATTATTGAAGGAAACGAAGACTCTTCCTCTTACTCTTCCTCTCCCTCTCTTCAGGGAGAATTAGATAGGAGAAAACCAGGCTGTACGACTAGCGATAATCAAAGATATCAAACCCTGTTTTTAACCCTGTTTTTGGCCACTATTATTATTTCACCGCCGGACCTAAGGTGAGCGAGCAGTCATCATTCATAGTTAATTTATAGGTTAGATACTAGGATATCTGCTGCTGGCATCTAGGCCTTAGGCCTCAGGATCCTACATACCCAGAGAACCACTGATGCACGACAATGCAATGGCAGGCGTCAACGACCTCGGTAATGCTCGAAAGAGCGTGGGGCGCGGTATCAAGCATTTGGTATTACAGTATCATCCGGGTGCTGGCATCTGCTCTTCCACCCTATGTGCCTTGTGCCTATCTGTCGGTATTAGTTTAGTCTCATAGGGCCCTAAGGCGTGCTTTTACCAGGAAGATAGGTGATAATGATCATCTTAATATATTGTGTGTTCAAACACGCCTGGGAAGCCACCAAGCCCCTAAGCCTCGACCTTTTGCCCCCATCAAATCACTAGCGATGAAGACCCTACTTATGCTCAAATAAACGCTCGTCAGGGCGTGGTTGAAGGCAAAGTCCTCGATAGTAAGGGACAGCCTTGTCGTCTCTATCATTTCCAGCAAAGGGATGACTCGATCAACTCTTCGCCTTTCGAAACGACACTCAGCACGCATGTGTAGCAATCCTCCTCTGCGGTGCATGGCCCCGGTCATCATGAGCCAGATGCACTTCCATTTGTGACTTCAGGAATTCCAGGCACTACCAAATGTCCAGCATCAGATCGGCCAGCGCTTCCATCAAAAACAAAGGGTCCCGCATTATTTCTCGGGGTAAGTGGTCCTTCTCCTGCAATGATGTGCTCAATATCCGGGGTCCGCGTCCTTGTGTTTTCCAGGTGTACATCCATCTCGTCCGAGTCCGTCTGGTCGGGCATCTCGATACTACCGTTCATGGTATGGAGGTTGGTCGAGATTGGTTTTGCAGCCTGTCTCCGTGCTAGAAGGCCGGAATTTCTAGGTGGTGCAGAAGTAGGGCTATCGTCCAAATCCTCATCTTGGCTTGATGCAACTACGGGAGGAGTGTCGAGGACAATATCTGTGGTGGTAAGGTCGACATCGATTGCATCAGTCGCAGCATTGGCATCGACCATCCTCGGTTCACCGTTGACCTGACCATCTGTGCGCGAGTCGGCATTACCATCGGTCTCGATCACCTCACCATCTGCATCCCCGGTGTTATTTTCTGCATCGTCTGTGTTCTCCATCCATTCATCGATATCAGATTGAGCGATGTCCACGTCGGCAGTCAGGTCGGTATATGCTCTGCAGTTCGGGCACTGAAACTGAGGATATGAGCTGTTTCTGCCTTCGAGTAAGGGACGAATGCATTTATAATGCCAGCAGTGTGCACATGGAGCCACGAATAATGCTTGACAAGGCTAGCAAAACGGTCAGCACAGGCGGCAGCATGGACATCAGGCACTTACCAGGACAGAGCCAAGGCAAATGGCACATTCGCCACTATTTGCATTTGCGGATGGCTGGTCTTTGGCGAGGCTTTGCAGTTGTTGGTGTCTGGTTTTGCTGCCATGTTCTGTTAGTTTGGAGGTATATTTGGTCTGGAGGGTAACGAACTTGAAGTTGTTGGGTTTCTTTTGCCAGGCCCGATTACACTCGATTCTGATCTTAACGCAACGGAATATCATCTCTTCGCCTCCTCGAAAATCGATTCCCAACTGCACAATATCTCCGTCTTTGATTGGAAAAAGTCTGGACTCGGTGTTCGGCTGGCTGAGCCTGATATGGTTGAGGAACGTCCCCGATGAACTGGCAACATCTCTGATCTGCCACTGGCCGTCCAAGAAGCTAAACTCACAGTGTTTTCGACTGACAACCTTGGATTTGAAGCCCACAGGGGCGTCTGAGGGCGTGATTGGGTTCGCTTCGGGAATGCCCTCTCTCTCGGAATAGCGGCCAACCCGAATGATAGAATGCTCGCTAGGCAACGTTCTTGAGATGGGGGAAAAGGTGAGAGATGGCCGGCCGTTTCTCATCTCCTGGTGAGCGAAGAAGCGTATGGTAGGTAGTTGATGCTTGGATTCTCCATCGGGGGCGTCCCCCTTGTTCCCCGAGGTCTTTTTCCCTGCGTTCGCCGGCCGTGAGACAGATTCCGCCCTCTCGGTTATTGCAATGTCGGCAGGCTGGGTGCCATGTGTATTCCTCCTGTGTCTTGCCATCTCGTCGGTGGCGCTCTGATCAATCGGCCCCGAGTCCGAGTCTGGCTGGACAACGGCCGGCAGTGCTGGATGATCTGCAGTTGGCGGGGATGAGGGCCTTGTATTTTCTTGTGAGGTGGCAACCATTCGAGTGTGGATGGCTAGCGGGGTTGTAGGCTCATTGGGACGTGATGCACTTCTTCGTCGGGTGGTGGTCGAAGGATCGGGTTGATGAGCGTGGTAGCTTTGAGATCTTTGGAAATAATGTCTCGGGGATCGCGAAGGTTCATTTGGGCTGGTCCCGCCAGACGAACGAGGGTGTGACAGAGCACGCAGGTAACTCAGACCTCGTCGGCGAGAGGTGGTCCTACTGAGGTCTGCACCCGTTTGCGAGGTGACAGGGGCAGGCGGCGAGATCATGGGATGACGTGGAGGTGGAGAGGTGGAAGACAGGGTGTATTTTGTTGTAGAGGACTCGGACTCGACGCTGAATGTCAGCAAGGGTCGTGGGGCCGCAATGGCAATTCGAGTAACCGCAACACGGCCTCGAGTCCCGCTCGTCAATTGTGTTGCTGCTACTCCTGAGCCACAGGTGTCAGTCGGATGGATTGTTCGTGTCTGGTCTGGGTCGGTCTCGTTTGGGTCAGGTCGCACGTCTGGGACAATGAACGCAGTGGTACGGTGCTGTTCCCTTCTATTGCCTGCGCCCCAAGGAGGAGCGGGCCAGAGCTTCAGAGATTATGGGTTGCAGGGGGCGGTGGCCTGCCGGCAAGGACAGGGCTCTGGGGCTTGAAGCAGGAATAAGGCAGGTAAGTAATGCTGCAGAATGGACAGTGCTGCAGGTAACGATGCAGGGTGGTTGCAGGCAACCTAGAGAGCCCGCAAGCCTAATATGGTGAAGTAAGGAGGTGTTGCTGGGGGCACGTTTCAACAATACTGTAAGGCGGATAACGACTCCGTAGGTCCCTGGTAATAATGATATACTCCGTACACAAGCAATCGAAGTCACACAGTCGTAGGGATGTAATGCCGGATGAGAATGAGAAACGAGAGACTTCGGCTCTAGAAGGCAGTCCGTCGCCTTCTATACCATGCTCTCTCGGTCTGCCTGATCGTCTGCATTGCGCGATGGAGGCTGCGGCCATCGATGTCATGGGGGCTTGGGGGGCTAAGGCCAGCCAGGAGGCAGACTACGCTACCCTGCGCCGCGCATTTCCTCGTCTTTTGGCCTCCAGGGCAGCAGTTCGCTCACAGCTGGCTCTGTACATCCCAAGGCGATCAGAGGATGCCTATCGCCTCTCATCCCATCCTCCATTGTTATTATCTGGTTCGCCCACAAGCCCATGGCCGACAGAACCGTGGGAAAAGCGCTTAGGAGACGGCTTACCTACCCTAGGCGTCGGCACCTGGTGGCGACCTGAGCCTCTAGGAGCCTATCATCTCCCCAGACTTCGAGGTCCACCGCAGCCGTAAACCTCTTGGACTTCGGGCCTAACTTTGGATCAGTCAACGCCCTCGAATCTTTCTTGTCCATCACCGTCCTCAACGAAACAGCTTGTCAGGTTCAATCGACTCGGCCATCATCGCTGTCAGCATGCGCTCTGCCGGTGTCAAAGCTTTGCGAAATGCAAGACTAGCTACGAAGCCCCCAAGGCCCTGGGCGAGGAACTATGCCACCGTCAAAGATCCTCTGCAAAAAGTACGTCCAGCCATGAGATAGTCAACCTGGTGTAGAACTGACTTCTCCTTCTGCACAGGACCCCGTGGAATTAGACCAAATTACCGAACTGCCGAACGGAGTTCGAATCGCTTCCGAATCACTACCTGGTCCTTTCTCCGGCGTTGGCGTCTACATTGACGCCGGTTCACGGTATGAGGATGAATCGCTTCGTGGAGCCAGTCATATCGTGGACCGGCTGGCCTTCAAATCAACAAAACAAAGATCAGCCGATCAGATGTTGGAGGCACTAGAAGCCATGGGAGGAAATATCCAGTGTGCATCGTCTAGAGAAGCCTTGATGTATCAGTCGGCGACCTTCAACTCCGCTGTCCCCGACACGGTAGCCTTGTTGGCTGAAACGATCCGCGATCCCCTAATCACAGACGAGGAGGTGCAACAACAATTGGAAACGGCCGAGTACGAGATACAAGAGATCTGGTCCAAACCCGACCTGATCATTCCAGAGCTGCTGCATATGGCTGCATACAAGGACAACACCCTGGGCAACCCTCTTCTTTGCCCACGGGAAAGGCTACCCTACATCACAAGAGGGCTTATTGGAAAATATCGGAATATTTTCTACAAGCCGGAGCGGATAGTGGTGGCATTCGCCGGCGTTGAGCATGAGAAGGCTGTCCGCCTAACAGAAAAGTATTTTGGAGATATGCCACGTGGGAACGAGGCCTCATTGTCACAAGTCGATGCGCAACCTCCTACGACCGAGTCGCATACTGCACATGCACAGTATGAATCACCATCGGCTCCGTCGGCTACAAGCAGATTCTTATCCAAGATTCCCGGATTCAACAATTTCTCGACATCAGCACCCCATCACGCAACCGTTTCTCCTCTCGATCCCTCGCTCCTTCAAGCTGCTCCCAATTCCACTCTCACACAGCCCTCTCGCTACACAGGCGGCTATCTCGCCCTCCCCCCTCTCCCTCCTCCTCAGAACAATCTTTCAATCCCGCTATCGCACGTTCATATCGCCTTCGAAGCCCTGCCAATATCATCGGAGGACATATACGCGCAAGCTACGCTGCAGACACTACTCGGGGGAGGAGGCTCTTTCTCCGCTGGCGGGCCGGGCAAGGGCATGTATTCACGGCTTTACACCAATGTTCTCAATCAACATGGGTGGGTGGAGAGCTGCGTCGCCTTCAACCATAGCTACACAGATAGTGGCTTGTTCGGCATTGCCGGGGCGTGTGAACCAGGCAGGGTCGGACACATGGTGGATGTGATGTGTCGCGAGCTGCAAGCACTGACCCTGGAATCTGGCTTCCCGAGTCTCCAACTTGCAGAAGTCAACCGCGCCAAAAACCAACTGCGGTTCAGTCTTCTCATGAACCTCGAGTCACGACTGGTAGAGCTGGAGGACCTTGGCAGACAAGTCCAAGTCCATGGCCGCAAGGTTGGTGTCAAAGAAATGTGCGCCAAAATTGATGCTTTGACTGTGGCAGATCTGCGGCGAGTAGCCAAAAAGATCCTGACCGGCCAAGTAGAGAACAATGGCCATGGAACTGGTGCACCCACCGTCGTCATTCAAGAGGGGGAAGATGCCTCGGGGAAGAAGGTGAAGCAAATACCCTGGGAAGATGTGCAGTCGAGGATAGCCAGATGGAAGCTGGGAAGGATGTAAGATGTCACCCGAGCTGAGGTGTATGATAGATGCCTCTTTGCAGTTGTATTATTATATATCTCCAGCATCAGGCTGGCTTCGGGCGGGCTTGGAGTCTTGCAGCCGGACAGTAACGACTCAAATACCACTCACATTGACCCATACGACGCTTCGACCATTAAAATTGCCCAGGGTATGGTCTGAGGTATTCCCTGCGTTGTAACTACTTTCCGGCGGGGGCGAGGCTGAACGAGGCTACGGCACGTGCTCGGCCGGTGATTGGCCAGGTGCACGGAGGTTTCATCCTCGCTCGCACAAGGCCAGTAGTTTGTTTCTTCATCTCCGAAGAATGATCAATGTCGTCTCACTTCCATGTATATCAAGGAGCAGTGGCCAATCACCTGTATCAGGCCATCTCCGGACGAGAAAATGAACTTGGCCGACTACGAGGGGCCTGACTGGGCTAGTGACACCTTTATCATGCAAGCACTGCCAACACATACATGGCTCGCGTACGGCCTTCTAAGCCTTCGCCATAACAGGCTGTCGGGCCAATCGATCCCTGTCGGGCACGCCAGTCTTGTCTGTTGCCTCGGCAATCCTCATGCAAGCTTTAGCCTTTGCGAAATGAACTCTGCGGCTCGATCTGCAAGAAACTGTGAACCATTCACTATGGAGCAAAGATAAACTGCTGACCAGCGTCACCAATTCGGGACACTTCTTTGCCATATTCCATCTCCCGTTGGAAGCAGCCCTGTCTACAAGTGAGAATTGCCCGGCCCCTGGGTCAGCCCGGCTGTGGCTCGCTAAATTTGTGACTACGCATGATCTTTGGTCCTAGTTGCAGCAGCCTTAGGCTCTATCTGGCCATGGCGTCAACGACTTGCACCACAGGGAGAGCGGTAGGCTCAACCATGGCGTTGCCATTGCTTACCTTCAGCCGCACGCTGCACTCGATATATCTCCAAGCCCAGAGCCATGTTTGGTCTTCGCTTTTGAGCTTCCATCACAGAATTTTACACCACCATGGCTGGTGATGACGCTAATAGTGAGCAGGACCCTGCTCCTGAAGAATCCCATGTCAAGAGTTCAGAGAGAACAGACACGGCTGGGTCCTCCAAGGCTACGGAAGCTTCCAAGGACCGTGCCACGGTCACCGACGGCACAGCACCATCCAAGCCAAACGTGCAACCCGCACGTCTCAAACCTAAGAGAACACCTGGTCCCGTTGACGCTGATGGAACTTCTCATAAAAAAGTAGAGCCCGCTCAACCCGCGCGCCAAACCGCCAGCGAGAAAGATGCAATTCTTCGCCTCCTATCATCTGGTACTGAGTCAGATATCCTGGTCGATATTGTTGCTATAAGAGACTATGACGATGACTCCTCTACCGCATGGACGTTCAACTTTGAGCGCTTCAGGGAGCAACTCCAACAGAAGCTTCCCGAGCTGCGCAAGGTTCCTGGGGAGGCCCACGAGAAACAGACATCTCGTGCAAGCGAAGAGGATCCCGCACGACTCGCAAAGGGCAAAAATGCTGCGGTGGACATAACTCAAGCCCACATTTCCGCCCAAGACAGTCCATCTGGACGAGAACCACATGATCCAAGCAAGCTGCATCCAAAGAATCTATCTAATCTCGGGGTCCTTCGAATGGGCCGGCGAAAGTCTCATGCGCAAGCAGATGAAAGACAGGTACAGGCTGACAAGGCCTCTTCCGTCACTCCCTTGAAAGAAGAAGGCGTCACTACGTCCGATATCCATAACGACCTGAACGTCAATTGGCTTGAAAATCGCGAAATGCTTCCTCAACAGATGCCCTGGGCAAGAATATTTACCTTTGAGTACCCCCGGCAACACAAAGAACGCAGTGCAAAACCTCAGCAGCTTCAAAGTCTTGTATCACGATTGAGTTCTCAACTACAGAATGTCCGACGAGGAGTACATGGGAGAAGACCGATTCTGTTTCTTACTCATGACTTTGGTTTTGTCCTCTTTCTCGAACTCTTATTCTCCAACCCTACCGACAGCGAGGGTGCCGCTCGTATGGAGATCCGAAAATTAACAGCGGCCGTATTCGTATTCTTGACGGCCGCAGACGGTAGCACCGGCAACATTAGCATCTCGAAATATATCAGGAGCCAGAGCATACACGAGCGAGTTCTTCCGGATAGTCTCCCATATGCGGAGACCAGGAAGATGGGCTATATCGACAAACACCTGAAGCAGGTTGAAGAGCTACGGAACCTCGTCCCGAAGAAGGCACCAAAGCCATTTGTCCAGGTGATGATCGATGATGGCAAGCATTTCAAAGACCCGACCGATAAGCGCTTTTTAGCCATCGTGGCTAGGCTGACGAAGGCGACTCAAACACGCCTAATCCTCCAGGCGACAGCAGATGGCAAGGAGGAGTTGCTGCGAAGCTACGAGGAGCGCGGCTGGGATCTGAACCTCTCAGATGGCACCGGGCGAAGCGCGCTTCATTTTGCGATAATCACCCGACGCATGGAAATGCTCTTCTTTCTGTTGAATTGCAAAGGCATAAAAGTCGACGCAAAGGATGTTAGAGGTCAGACTGCACTTCACTATGCGATCAGGATGCTTTCGAGGCCGCACGGGGCCATTGCACTGCTTGTCGATAACGGCGCCGATGCCACGACAAAGGATAACAACGGGATGGCAGTGACGGACATTGCAAGAGAGAAAGGCATCCGGCAGTCCCTGAAGACCTTTCGTGCGATCACCGGCCCGTCGAGTCATCCCGGCATGGTCCTCCAACTTCCAGACCTCAACACTCTCGACAAGATAAAACAACTGGCTGCCGAGGATTGCTTGATGGCTATGGCCGAGTTCTTCAATGTGGAGGAGGACGGCATTGAGACTGAAAAATTCATCATGCAAAGGCCGTCGGTGTTTCAGGCCCTCTACGGTATGTATCCAGATGATATCCTGGAAGTCGCTCGTCGGACGACGGAGATGAAGCAGAAGACTCCCGTGTGTAAATGGCTTCACCTTCCTGCCAACCACACTGGGTGGGTGGACGGCTTGTTTGCCCGGTTGGGATTGGCGAAGGAGTCGGTTCAGGTCGACCAACACTCTGGAAAGACGTATTGGAGCGATTATTTGAGGCCACAGTGCCGTACGTTCAAAGCGGTGCGACAGCCATTGCCATCCACAGCCGACGACAGGCCACAGCGGGGTCTGGGCCCTGCAGCCCAGGTAGCCCCTAATGCACGTGAGGTGCGCGGGACCCTCCTGTACATGCCTTTCCTGACGTCTGAAAGGCACTGCGATCAGAGAGTACTGTATGATACAGTTGTGAGCAATCGAAGTACCTGGGAGGAAGAAGTTTACTACATGCAAGGCCGACAATTTTTGCCTCCAGAGCCCCCTGAAATCACCATGGAGAATGGTTCTGACATCTCTGAAGACGCGGTTTCTGAAACGACACGGCTTCGCGGTGCCCAAAATGACGCCCTGATTCACGAACACGCCATGCCTGCATCAAAGCAAGCAGATAATTCTGATGCAGATTCCTCCGACGATGTGATCGCCATCACTCGGGACGACGAACCCGAGAACCGGCGGCTAGATCCTGAACGCGAGTTGTTCCATGCGTTCAGAGACAGTTTCACTAGTTTCGGGAGACCGCTGCACATCCGCAGGACTCTAGATCAGTCGCATTATCTCATGCTGGAAGATACCACCAAGCGTGACCGCGACCAGGTTGTGCTTCGGCGACAACAGGGGCGGCTGGGGTCCAAGGTTGCGCCTGTATCCGACTCCGCGGACGCCGATGCCGAAGATCTCAAGGATAAAGACCCGATGGTCATGGTTGATCAGTTATGGCTTTGGGTTATAGGCGACACAGTCATCTCAAGCTTTCCACGAAGCTGGCCACGGCCGGAGTGGGAGCACGAATGCGATGTATTGGACCGTCTGATTGGATACATCAACGCGACGCAGCAGAGGGGGCCCATCAAATCCAGCCATGATCTGGCGAAATTGATCATCAAACACTGTGTCGAAGTTTTCAACCATCCGCCACGCGAGGGTCATTACCACCCGCTCTCATTGCATGATGCGTTCGAGACATCTGTTGGCGTGATTGCAGACGATGAGATGACGCTATTCCGGCAGTTCGAGGAGCAGGTGTTCCTGCTGAAGGAATTCGAAGTACCCGAAGAGCAGGAGGAGGATCAAGACGGAACCACCGACACAACTTCAGGGTCATACTATTCCTCTTATTCCTACACTGACAGTGACTCGATTTATGGCGTGGCCACCAAAGAGAGGAAGGAGTTCTCGGAGACGAAAACGAAGACGGTGGACTCCTCAAAGACACTGCATGAGCTTCCGAAGCCGAAGCCGAAGCAGAAGGAGGCACAACAATCGGAAAATCGAATTCTTAACCGGTTGTTCGATATTCAGAGGGAGATTGCGCTGTTGGATGAAGCGAAGGACGTCCACGACGAACTTCGCATGATCCTAAGGATCGTGGGGGAACAGAAGCAGGTGATGGAAGACTGGTCGGAGATTCTAACGCCCACAGCCAGCCCTGAATCCAGGCGGACCGGGGAAAGAATGCGTAACAGACATCTGACAGGCGGATCGATCGGTAGCGACCACATGATGGAGAGCGCAGATGGGGCAAGCGTGTCGGCCAGACGCTTCTCGCCCACTGACGTGGCAGAGGAAGCATATGCCACCATCCACAGCAACCTCAAGGACTTTACACGCATGCTGGACCACGTCACTGCCGCCGAGCAAGGAATCAATCAACTGCTGAACCTCAAGCAGAAGGAGGCCAATGCCCTGGAGGCGCGGTTCTCGCGCAAAAGTGCTGACGCGGCCACGAAGCAGGGCAACACGATTCTTTTCTTCACCATCGTCACCATCATCTTCGGATCGCTGTCATTCATCACCTCCTTCTTCGCTCTGAACGTGACGGCATTCCCGCTGGACGCTTCCACCGGAGAACCAGTCTGGAGATTGCGAAAGGTCATCGGGCTCATCATCGGACTTTCACTTGGCTTGTCCATCCCGTTTATAGTCATTGCCCTCACCATCAACCCGACCATGGCCCTCGTGGTCAAGGGGGCCAGGAAGGTGCAACACCAGGTGTTACTGAAAGCACAGCTGTTTCTGTCAACTGTTGAGGTCCTTTCTTGGCTGTTTCGACACCGGCGGCTCCCGGTCGGGGATTCTCACCTTAGCGCCACGGAATATTTATCTTCCTCTTACATAACCGAGAGCTCAGACGATCGCCGTCGCCGCGGTTTGAGCACGGAAACGAGTCGTGGTTCAAGCCATCGCACCGATCACGACCAGACCCCGGATGAGAAGATTGGATGGGTAGCTATCGCCGGAAAGTCCATACGCCGACTGAGACCACGATTCAAATCAAAACGCAAGCCATCTGATGTTGCAAACGGTCGTGGTAGTGGTTCGGAACGGGGGAGCGTTACCTTCGTGGTGTAGCCCACCCAGGCGGCATGGGATGCTAGCACCTGGACAGAAGGTGGGCGGTGGGTATTCTCATGTGTCGAGGGCACGGGACGGCATTATGAATTCCCATGGTCCAAAGACAGAGTCTACGTCGGCGATCGGGGCGGTGGGTTGGACTTGGGAAGAGTGCGTACCGTACGGACATGGTCATGCGATGCCTATGCCTGCAAGGATACCCTGGCCTTTCTGGACCTCTACATTGCCCTCTGACTCTCACTTGACGCTGTTCATTCGTTGCTCTTCTAGCACGTCCTTTGTGGAATCCGCCACGATCTTCACCAGCTCCTTCACCTCTCGCTCATTGATGATGAATGGAGGAGCAAACACGATGGCGTCCACGGCCGGCGAGCACAGATAGACTGCTGCACCTTTGGAGAAGCAAGTGCGTGCGACGTCGGCGGCGATCCGACAGGTCGGCGAGGTGGCGAACTCGGCCGCCTTGAACAAGCCTAAGCCCCTGATCTCCTTCAGCATGGGCACCTGCTCGCGGAGCTCTCGGTCCAACAGCTCACCCATGCGGACGACATTGGCCAGCAGATTGTCATGGATGATGGTCTGCTGGGTAGCCAAGGCGGCGGCGCAACCGATCGAGTGGCCCTGGTAGGTATGGCCGCTGATGAAGGGATGGCTGGATTGCGACGATTGCATGACCTGGTGAACCTTGGACCCGACCAAGACGGCCGAGATGGGCTGGTATCCGGCGCCCAAGCCCTTGCCGATGGTTTGCAGGTCGGGCGCCACATTGCCGAGTGCCTGCCAGGCATGCAGGGTGCCGGGCCTGCCCATTCCGCACATGACCTCGTCGAAGATCAGCAGGGCCCCGTGTGTATCGCACAAGTCCCGCAGCCGGGCGAGATATCCTCGTGCAGCGTGCACTGCCCCCAGGGTTGCTCCGCTCATGGGCTCGATCAAGACCGCAGCCACGGAGGAGGGGCCGAGCGTGTCAAACATCTCCTCATACTCGGCCATCAGGCGATCCACGTACGCCTCCTCGTCCTCCTCCGCCTTGGCATCTCGGGTGAAGAAGCAAGGAGAGACGTGGTGGAAGGCCGAAGACAGCAGCGGTTCGAAGGCCTGTCGTCTGGGCGGGTTGAATCCGGCCGACAGGGCTCCGAGCGTGTTGCCATGGTATGCGTACTCCCGGCAGATGAAGTTGACGCGCCCAGCCTCGCCCCTGGAGACGTGATACTGTCTGGCCATTTTGATGGCTGATTCGACTGCTTCCGAGCCTGTATGTGGTGGTCAGCACTGATTTTACATTCGACTTGGTCCCATGTCTAACTGAGGGTGGTTGGTTGGGCTGGATGGTGGTTGGGCTGGGCTGGACGGTGGTGTGGCTGTGCTGGGCTGGGCTGGGTTGGGTTGGGTTGAGTTAGGTTGGGTTGGACTGGCTAGGTTTGGCTAGGCTGGACTGCCTCACCAGAACTCAGAAACATCACCTTGGTGAATGCTCCGGCACTTTGCTCGATCAAGAGCTGTGCCAGTTGTTCTGCCGGGTCGCTGGTGAAGAAGGAGGAATGGGCAAAGGCCAGTTTGCGCGCCTGTTGCACAATTGCCTCAATCACCACGGGATGGCCGTGCCCGAGACACGACACGGCGGCGCCGCTGCTGCCATCTAATGTTCGGGACCCATCAGAGTGCACAATGTACACGCCGCTCCCACTGGAAGCCGTGTCATACTCCTTGTTCAGGGAGCGATGAAAGATGGCGGTCGACTGTCCATTGACTGGCATGATCATTTTGGGGAGGGCGGAGGGGGTTGGTGGGAGAGAGAAGGGGGTAGGGCGTCTCAACCTGAGTCCTGATCCTGAGGCCTGATTCGCACCATGCAAGACACTGGACTCGACGCGATGGTATGTTGTTGAAGAGATACAGGAACTCGACGCGATGTTATGTTGTTGAAGAGACACTCTGTTTAATGGATGGTGTACTCTGTATCTGAGGTTCAGAAGATCCAGCGTTGACAGGAAGAAGGGGTGAGTATGTATGTACCTAAGGTATGTACCACCTATGTACGTATGTACGTATATATGGAGCAATCGAACTCTTCGAGATATGTATTCACTGCCAACCAGCGCTTGGGATTGGATTGGGATCGACTGCGCCCTACGACGAGGAGAGGAGAGGAGTCGACTCATGGCGGACACACCCATGGCCATATCCGAACCCATAAACCCTCTATCTCCTATCTCTCTCTGGTGTACAGTACAACCTCTGGACTGTACAGTACTGTAGAGGTAGACAGACAGATGCCACGTGAAGGGCGCAGGGCATATGGCCGGGCCTGAGCCCCTCAGGGATACGTACAGTAGTAAAGACCATCAGCCAGCCAGATAGCCAGCCAGCCACTAAGACTCGGCTACAGCCGAAGCTGAAGTCACCAATTCACCATAATGCAATGCAATGGCAGGTCTTGAAGTGATACTGATTACTGTGCTGGACTGGACTGGAATTACTAGACTGGACGGGACTAGACTGGACCGTGTGTCGATTCGGATGGATCCGAAGCTGGCTGCTTCCTACTGGCCGGGTCTGTCCAACCACGACCCCAGGGATCGGCGTCCAGTGGAGGCTGGGCTGGTACGTACTCGTACTGTCACACTCACTGACAAGGCGAAGAAGGGAATCCGGAATCCTCAGCCATGGCATGTCATGTCCACGGTCCCAGCCGAAAGACGGGACGCAGGGCGCAAGACGTAGGACGTAGGCTCAGGACGCGGGATCTAGGGCCAAAGCGAGGCACAGCTGACTTAAGTAGGTACTGTACCTACAGGAACTACGGTACAGTACTGTATACCTAATACATGTATCCCGGACTGTGTAAGGTAGTGGAGTACAAACATGTATCCCGGATATACGCTACAACCGAAGGGAACTGAGACCCATCAGATTAGGGTAAATACAAGATAGTTAGTGCCTAAGGTACCCTATGCATGTATAACTAACACGGTGGACGGAGAGGAAATTAGGGAACTGTTTACATGTACGGAACAGAGGAATCTAGGTAACTAACTGTGTGCTTGTGGATTGTTCTTGTCTACAGGACAGCCTTGCGTGGAACCTTGACGTCGACATCAACCTTGGACACATACATCTACATCGACATCGACATTGACTTCGATACCAACCTTGGACACCGACCGACATTGACATTGACATCGACATCGACATCAACCTTGGACATCAACTCCGGACACCGACATCGACATCGAGATCGAGATCGACACAATCAATTCAATCGATCTATCGTCTCCCTGCCTGGCTGTCTTTCTGCTGCCTGTCTCTACCCGTCTGTCTTTCTACCTGCCCGTCTCTTCCGCACCATGAGTTCCACCGTCACCATCACCGAGAGCACATCGGCATCTGCGTCGCAAACGCAAACACAAGAGCAAGGACAAACGCAAAAGCAAGAACAAACCCAATTCCAAGTCCAGCTGAGATCGGCCGACGACGGCGTCCTCAACTGGAACGTCCGCAAGGTCGAGGGCCTGCACCAGATCCCCGTGTTTAGCGACAAAGAAGCCGAGCGGACATGGGCCAAGCAGCACATGGCGGCCGCCTTTCGCACCTTTGCTCGCCTGGGCTGGGCGGACGGCGCGTCCGGCCACATCAGTCTGCGCGACCCGGTGAACCCGGACTGGTTCTGGATCAACCCGTACGCGAAACACTTTGCCCTCATCAAAGCGAGCGATTTGGTGCTGGTCGACCATCACGGCCGCCCGGTCCAGCCGACCCCGTACAAGGTCAACGCCGCCGGCTTCATCATTCATTCGTCGATTCATCGCGCGAGACCAGACATCCATGCCGCGTGTCATATGCATTCGCCGGCCGGACGGGCTTGGTCGGCGTTTGGTAGGGGGATCGAGATGCTTAACCAAGGTATGTGTTTGCATGTAGCATTGCATTCATCTTCCATCCATCATACATTCGTCTTCCTATCAATCTTCCATCGTCCATCATACATTCATCCATCTTCCTATCCATCTTCACATACATCCCCCATCCATCTTCCCATCCATTTTCCCACCCATCATATTCGTATCTCATTGACATCTCACCATTCACCACTCAGATTCTTGTATGTTTTACAAAAACCTGGCCGTCTACGAAGGATTCGGCGGCATCGTCCTGGCAGAAGAAGAAGGAGTCCGACTCGCAGAGGCCCTGGGCAAAAATTGCCTGAATCTGATCCTCCAAAACCACGGGTGAGTCTGTTTGGGTTTTGTTGGGACGTTGTTGACTTAGTCCTTCCCTTTCTAGCCTCTTGACCTGTGGCTCTACCGTCGACGAGGCTGCGGCCTACTTCATTGCTCTGGAACGGGCTTGTGCCAACCAGATCCTGGCCGAGTCTGCGGCGGCAAATGGCATTGCGAAGAAGTATGTCGGCGCCGAAGAGGCAGAGTATACGTGCAAGTGTACTTCCACCCCGGGCTGTGCGTATATGCAGTTTCAGCCTGAGTTCGACTTGACGGTGGAGTTGTCGAACGGGAAGGTGTTGGAATAGGAATAGTTTACCATCATCGGGTGTCTAGGTGTGGTAGTGGTAGTGGTAGTGGTAGCGGTAGTGGTAGTGGCAGAGGCAGAGGCAGAGACAGAGGCAGTGGTAGTGGTTGTTGTACTGGCAGTGGGTGGTAGTGGTAGTAGCAGTGGTAGTGGCAGTGGTCGTGACATCTACTGTTGAAGAGTAATGCACTAGTACTACTTACTATAAGCCGGGTACTGTCAAAAGTTGAAATGTTCCATGTTCTCTATCAATGAGGTATGGGGGGAGCCCAGACTATACACGTAGGTGTGCCTATACCTATACCAGCTTCTGGTCAAAGGGCGAGGCTTGTGCCTAGGTAAGTTTGACAGGTAAGGTATAGATGGACAATTGATTGATCGGTATGACCATATAAAACCAGAACCATTGATATTGTCGGAGGGCTTTTGCTTTTTCTTTTTTCTTCTCTTCTCTGGCTTTCTCTCTATCGACGAGACGACGACTCCTCCACTGATGACTAGACCACTGCCATGAGCCCTGAGTCCTACTTCTGACAACAACTCCTCCACTTATGTCCAGACCACTGCTACGAGTCCTAATTCTGTAACTGCAACCACTCCTACCAGTCCTACTTCTGTAGTTGCGACCACTCCTACAAGTCCTACTTCTGTAACTGCTGCACGGCATCCGCATTCACCGGCGAGATAGCCTTGCCCGTTTGCAAGAACGAGCGGATATTCTCCAGTGCTTCTCTGTACGCCCGCTGCCACGCCACGTCGGTCAAGCCGCCCATGTGTGGCTGGATGATGACACGGTCGTTCCCGATCCAATATGGACTTGAGAAAGTCAGCTCAGCTCAACTTCACGTCACGGGGGCTCCAATCGAATCGAACCGAATCCAATTCAACCACAAGAAACAGACAAATAGCCGCAGAGAGAACGAAGTTCACAAGAAACACACAAATGGCCGCAAAGAATGGAACTTTACAAAAACCAGACAAATGGCCGCAGAGAACGAATTTTACATGAAACAGACAAATAGGCAGAGAGAACGGAACTCACTTGATATCAGGCTCGTTATGGTGCACATCCAGCCCGGCCCTGGCCACCTTGCCGCTCTCCAAGGCAGCAATGAAGGCCTCCTCGTCGATGACGGGCCCGCGACACGTGTTGACAATGAAGACGCCGTCCTTCATCTTGGCAAATTCCGCGTGAGAGATCATCCCCTTAGTCTTGTCGGACAGCGGGAAGTGGAATGAGATGACGTCGGCGCTGGACAGCAGTTCATCCAGGGTGGAACAGTACGTGGCGCCATAGAGCGCTTCATCTTCGGCCGACATCCGGTTGCGCTGGTGGTAGATGATGTGCATGTTGAAGACCCGGGCTTTACGAGCGACATGCTGCAGAAAGAAGTATGATCATGTCAGCGATGGCGGTTGTGGTTGCGATTGCGATCCAACAGAATCCTTTGTCCAGCCCTTGACACACGCGTGTGCCCCTGCTGGGATGGAATGGAACAGAACAAGAACAAATTTGCTGCCGTCCTGGACATCATACAACATACAATAGACGACAGACGACAGACGACAGACGACAGACATCAGACGACATATGTCTATTATGCACATACCTTGCCAATGGCACCCATGCCCACAATCCCCAGCTTCAATCCCGTCGGGTCCCTGGTGGGAACCAACGGACCCGGAATGCCGCCTCTCCAGGCTCCCTTCTTCACACTGGTCTCCAAGCTCTGGATGTCTCGAAGAATGCCCAGCATCATCAGGATGGCCATGTCGGCCGTGGCCTCGTTGACCGCGTTGCGGCTGTTGCAGAAGACGATGCCGTTGCGTGACATCCAGTCCACGTCGAACTCGTTGTAGCCCGCGCTGGCCGACCCGATCACCTTGCAATGCGGCACCAGAGGTCCCAGCAGTTCCTCGTCGAAAGGCTCGTAGGGCAAGATGCCCATGAGAATCACCAGCGCGTCAAATGGGCCGTCGGCCGCCACTTTGGCTGCTAACCGCTGCACGGTGGTTTGTCTGTCGCCGGGAGTCAGGACCTAGATGGGATGAACGCCTCGTCAGTCAGAGTCAGAATGCATGGAACGCCTCATCACTTGGCCATCATCATCACTTAGAGTCAGTGGTGGTTAGGGTTAGGGTTAGGGTTGAGCCACTGGCTGACATACATGAAGGTCGAATTTCGACTCGAATTCTCCGAGATACTCTTCTCCCGCCCATGAAGGGTATGTGATGGAGAGCACTCGCGGTCGTGGTCGTGGAGCCACCATCTTGAACGTCAGTTCAAGTCCAAGTCCAAGTTGCTGCGAGGACGAGGGCCGGGATCAGGCACGGTCAGGGTTCAATCAATTCCTCCACACGGGTCACTGGCAACGGTCAATTGCTCATGTCAGCACAGCCGTCAAGGTGTTTCGATCTCAGTTATAAGTTCGACATATGCTGCATCTGCTCGAAGCCAGAACGGATCCCTACTGCACCAAGTACTTAGCACCTGGTACCTCCTATACAGTACACAGTGCATCCAATCACGGATGATGCCGGTCGTTTACAGAGTACAGAGTACAGTACATGACGGGAGACATCCGACCTCAGAAGCCAAGGTAACAGATCCAGTCCGGTCTCCCTGGTTTGGTCCCACGTACGTACGTGGAGCTGAGGCTGTTGAGGTTGAGTGAACAAGTTCCCAGCCCAGGTGCAGTATTGTACAGTAAGTACAGCAGTATCTCTATCTCCGCTCCCGCGTCCCCTCTTCTACAGATAAGACGGCGTCCACACACTGGCACTGGCAGCCAGAGTCGGCCCACTCCGCCCGGGAATAAGAAGACCGGCGGGGCAGACTAGGACTATTCCGACGTCCAGGGAAACCGCTTGGTCGACCTTGAATCGACTTTATCAAGAGCTGCCAGCCTGACTGCTGCCCGGAACGATCCATACTTGATTGTTACAACGTCTTTCAACATCTTACCTTGCTGTAACGAGTCCAGAGTCCAGAGTCCCCGAGAGATTCCCCTGTGCTGTGCGGGCTGTGCTGTGTGGCAGCAAGTGTGGCAGCAAGTCATGTCAGCCTCGCAGTCTCCTTCAGGCCACCCCGGTCGCCTAGGCTCTTCTGCACGCCGGGTCAGAGTGTCGCATGCCTGCATTGCGTGCCAGCAGAAGAAGCAAAAGGTGCTACACTCTCGTTCTTTCCCTGTCTCTCTCCATGTCCCTGTCCATGTCCCTGTCCATGTCTATTCCTCCGCCCAGGCTGACTTGACTGCCTCGACTGATCCTACTGACCCTACTGACTCTCCTACCGCCAGTGTGACGGACAGACACCCGCGTGTAGAAACTGCGTGCGAGCAAACAGAGGTCCGACCCTGACCTGACCCGACCCATGCGTGGAAACGTCGCTCACTTCAGGTCTACAGTCTGCGTCAGCCAGGATCCATCTACCAAACGCCGCCATCCTCGTGGCTACATTGAATTCCTGGAGCAGCACAACACCTCGCTCGAGAACCATGTCGCCTTCCTCGAACATACCATCCGCGAGTGCAATCCCGACCTAGATCTCGACAATCTGCCGCGCAACCGCAACCGCAACAGTGACAGCAACAGTAACAGCAGCCTTCGACATGAAGACGACACTCTCATTGCCACGTTAGTTCCCTCTCCCACTCTCGTTGCTCCCCCCCCCCTCTCTGGTCCTCAACCCTACCTCCTTAACCCTACTCCTCAGCCCTACTTCCTCGACTCCTTGTTGAGCAAATCTATTGACTGGCTGGCCTCTGCAGATCAACAGATGAGGCCGTGGATCCAACCCTAAGGCGCCCGCTGTCCAGTCCCCAGGAGGCGCCTCCATCTCTGGACAAAGACGGGGTTGCAGGTGTAGCAGCAGAACCAGACTCCTTAGCCCCCAACAGTGGCCCCGTGATCGACGACATGTCCAGCTTGGAACTGTTATGTCTGCGATCCGCCGGGGCCGATCCTCATTACTTCGGGGCGTCGTCGGCCTATTCATTCACCAAGATGTTCTCCGCCAGCCTGCGGGCAGTGCGCAAGCAGGCGCCCGGCTTGACCATGTCGGGGATCCGAGACCAAAGCTTTGAAAGCCGGCCTTGTGCCACGCCCGCGCCGCTGCCCAACCGAGCGCTGGTGAGTATGCTGACAAGCGCGTACTTCGACCAGGTGCATCCGCAGTTCCCCTTCCTCCATCGCCCATCGTATCTTCAGTGGGAGGAAGAGGTGATGGCGGCCTCGGAGGCTGGCATGACTCCGAATCCTGTCTACGCTTTTTTTGTTTACGCGGTGAGTTCTGTTCTATTCGTTCCATTTCGCTTACGTGGTGGTTCTGACTCTGACCATGTCAGCTATGTGCGGTAGGGGCCTTGACTGGACCCCTGGCGGGCGCGACTCTCCCCGAGGTACGTTGGGCATCCTAGTCTAGTCTTCATACTAGTGACTCGACGGAGTACTGGTACTGCCGATATCAACCCACTGACGCTGACCGATTGTTAGGGCTTATATGCAGCTGCCGAGGGCTTGTTTGAGAATGTGATGCAGCAGAACTCCCTCGAATCTATCCAGGCCATCCTGTGCTGTGCCATGTACTCGATCCGCTCTCCTATCGGGGTGTCCGTTTGGTATGGAATGATGCCACCTCGCTGCCCTCCACTGCACTGTTTATCACCGTGTGACTCTGACTGACATGGACTGTCCAGGATGCTCTCCGGTCTGGCTCTTCGGCAATGTCTCGAGCTCGGCCTCCACCGCAAGATCCGCTGGTCCAAGATGAAGTCGAATTCGTTGAAAGTGGAACTGCGCAAGCGAGTGTTCTGGTGTTCTTACAACCTTGACCGCGCCGTGGCAATCACGCTGGGACGGCCGGTGGGCATTGCGGATCACGATATTGATGTGGAGGTAAGATTTGGTCACGAGGTTGGGTCGGAGTCAAGACCGACACGCCCGGCTTCAAATCCACCTACTTTTGCTGAGGCTGAAACTGATGAACCACCACGAACAGCTCCCCTTAGACATTGACGACGAATACATCACCATGAACGGAGTGACGAAGCCGCCGCGAACGTCCAAGATGGAACCGGTGACGACCATCTCGACGGCCATCCACACGATCCGGCTACGGCAGATCTGGGCGCGGATCCAAAGCTCCGTCTATCCCCAAGTCGGGGCGGAGGCGACGATCCAATCGTCGGCCCTCTTTGAACGGTTCAAGCGCGAGCTCGCCGACTGGCTGGAGTCGGCGCCTGAACAACTGCCGTCGAATCGGGCGAACAACAACTCGTTCGGGTCGAAAGAGTGGTTTTCGCTCATGTACCACCATTCCATCCTTCTCCTCCACCGGCATCGGCTGGTACAGGACCGACAGGGGGACCAGTATCAGCAACAGCATCAACATCAACACCAGAATCAGCATCAGCATCAATACCGGCACCACCACCCCAACCACCCCACCCCGTCGTCCGTCTACATGGACTGCGCGCACTCAGCCCAGGCCATCTGCATGGTCTACCGACAGCTGTACGTCAGCCAGCGGCTCAACGACACCTGGGGCGCGCTGCATGTGCTGTTCCTGGGCGGCGTCACCTTTCTGCACTGCCTGTGGTCCAGCCGCGACGCCAGGCTGGCCTACCGGCAAGACAAGGTGTCGACCATCTGCACCTCGGCCCTGATCGTGTTGGCCATCATGGCCGAGCGCTGGTCCGCCGTCGAGGCCTACCGGGACGCCTTTGAGATGTTGTGCAGTGCCACCCAGACCATGTTGGCCGAGACCTCGTCCTCCTCCGCCTCCTGTCCGCCCACCATGCCGGTCATCTCGTCCACGGGCCATGGCCACGACCAATTCACTGATTATCTGTCGTACATGACTGAAGTGGGCATGTGTTCGTCGGTGGAGGAATTGTTGTCGAATATGGTGGAATGATGCGGTCATTTGTCCACGGCCACCACGACTATTCACCAACCACAGCCAATTCACCTATGATCCGTTAGCTGGTGACGAATGATTGAATGAGGATGATAGGAGATTTACCGTAGAATGATACCGGTTGAATGAAGAGGATAGAGGGTTTACTGCTGAATGATACCAGTTGAATGGAGATGATGGAGGACTATGTACTTGTCAAATATAGTTGAATGATACATAATAGATGATATATGATACATTACATGTTTCTGTAGATGCCAGTATAGAATAGAATGATTGATATTCGGATTAGCTATGGCTATGGCTATAGCTATGGCTTGGGATCTGAACTTGGTCGTCCATGGTCAATATCTCAAATCTAATATATATACATATACATACAGAGTCTATACTGCCTAGGGTTGCCTTACCTTATAGCCCTCATTATCATCATCATCAATCATCCACTTGGCTCAGTTTTGTCTAGACGTACTGTTTAATGTCGTAACCAAGCAGAACTGGAAATCAGACCAGACCACTCAAGGGCTCAGGCCTTGAACTCTCCATTCTCGAACTGGGTCTCTACTGCCGATGGTGATATATATTGTACTGACACTAACACAGCTACTGATACTGAGACTGATACTGATATAGATTCTGACAAAGACTGATTCTGATATAGACCAGACCAGACCAGACCATCCATCACATCCATCAGGTAACCGCCACCTATCGCTTATCTATATCTACGGATCACATCCGGTATGTACTGTACTGTACTGTATGTACCTTTTCCAGACAAGCCAAGTTGGCGGACTTGGCCGTCTGAGTTGATTACATATTCTTGACAGCGACACGGAGCCATACTACTTACAGCACTACTGGACAGTGGACACAGGCAGAGGCAAAGTAGATTGCACTCGGATCATTCCGAGCCCAGCAAGTATCCGTACTGTTTGTCCTCACTGGCCGTGGCTGCTGTAGCTACCTACTGTACCGGCTCTGTACCAATTCTACGGAGTACTGTGCTCTACTGGACCAACTCGACTGTCCCAGTTCGACTGGCAACTCTACTGTATGTACACTACGTACACTATGTACTAGCCCACCTGCCGGCCCAACACTGGATCTACTGTACTGGGACCAACGGAAGTGTTAACGTCGAAACTGATATCAATATCGATGTCGATATTGGTGTTAGTATCAATCACATCACGACCAAGCCGACAGCAGTAAACGCATCACATCACGACCAAGCCCACATCAGTAAACGCATTACATCGAACTCGGCAGTGCGGTACTTTCATCAAACATACATACATATCAACTGTGTGGCTGTATCAACAGATCAATACTGAACCCGACCCCGATTCCCGAATCACGGTCCACGACCATGTCGACGACTTCCACTATCACCACCGCCGCCAACATCGCCACGGCCACCAACACTACCGCCGCCACCACCGCCACTGCCACCGACGTCGATCTGATCGAGAAATTGCACGAGATTCCCTCCTTCAGCGACAAATACGCCCAGCGGCAATGGGCCAAAGAACACATGGCTGGCGCGTTTCGCATCTTCGCCAAACTCGGCTACAATGATGGGGCGGGCGGGCATATTTCGCTGCGAGATCCGGTGAAGCCGGATTGTTTTTGGATCAGTAAGTAGATCTTGTTGAATGATATATCTTCCCAGTTCTGGTTTCTTCTGGTTTGTTCTGTAGGTTTCTTCTTCTGGTTGTTCTGTTCTGGTTGTTCTGTTCTATATGCCTGTCAAAGGTTGAAATGTTGAAATGTTCCATGTTCTCTATCAAGGTCGCAGGGGCCACATGCTATGTAGTATAGTATGCCACTACCCCTTCTGCTTAAAGGATAAGGCTGGGAACACCCAAATTTGACACTACCCTCCTGTCCAGTCCACCTCTAACTTGTGTTCCCCCAGATCCGTACGCCGTTCATTTCGGCCTGATCAAAGCCAGTGATTTGATTATGGTGAATGAACACGGCCATCCCCTGACGCCGACCAAGCATAAAGTCAACAAGGCGGGATTCATGATCCACGCGGCTCTGCACAAGGCTCGTCCGGACGTCAATGCCGCATGCCACACGCACTCGCCCTACGGTCGAGCCTGGTCGGCGTTCGGGAAGCCGATCGAAATGCTGAACCAGGACGGCTGCTTCTTCTACAATGACCTGGCTGTCTACGAGGGCTTCGGCGGCGTCGTGCATGCCATGGAGGAAGGCGAGAATATCGCGAATGCGCTGGGCCCGCTGAAGAAGAATGTCATTCTGCAAAACCATGGGTATGTTGGGAGATTTCTGTTTCCTACAGCGACCACGATCCGATTGATTGCCTAACTGTACAAATCCGATTTGTTTATTACCTTGCCTGCGAAACAAGTGTCCAAATTTCCGTCTGGAGAGTGTTGAGTGCCTACATGCCATATGTTGTCTTGTTCAAACCAACCTCACCTCACCTCAGTCACTAACGTCCATCTCTGATATTCATCTCTGACATCCACCTCTGACATTCTTCTCTGACATCCATCTCCAGAATCCTGACCTGCGGCGGCACCGTCGGCGAAGCAGTCGCTTTCTTCATCGCCCTCGAGCGCGCGTGCCAGGCTCAGCTCCTGGCCGAAGCGGCCGCCGCAAACGGCGTGCAGAAGAAATATATCGGCGACAAGGAGGCTGCATATACCAAGGAACAGTCCGGCACTCCAGCCGTGTTGTATATGCAGTTCAAGCCTGAGTATGATATGATATTGAAGGAGAGCGGTGGGGATTTTCTTGACTGATAGACCTAAATATGCCTAGTAGGTTTTATACCTGCAGGTGTCAAGCTTAGGCACTAAGGCACTAACTTGGACATTCCCAGCCTTGTACTTTGACTAGAAGGCTGGTCTTGGTCAGGTCAAATTTGCTCCTCATCCTGTCCTGTCCTTTCTCGTACTGCAAATGCTCAAGTCTGTCTTGTCTCGTCTTTCTATTCCAGTGTCTGTGTCCATAGTAGCTAGCAGTCTATCACCCGCACGAGAAAATAAGTCTCTCGTCTGGCAGTCCTGCTCACCAATCCTTTAGCCCTTATACCTCACAAGTGAGCTGTTTTGATACCTCCTACTCCTCATTGCAACTTGCGAAGAAGCTGTTTTGACACCTCCTTCTCCTGTCAAAGGTTGAAATGTTCCCTGTTCTCTATTAAGGGGTCGCAGGGGTGCGTGTGTAGGCTATATAGTGTGTGTAGCATGCCTGAACCAGTCTTCTGGTTAAAGCACAAGGCTGGGAATATGTACTTAAGTTAGTGCCTAAATTTGACATCTCATCGCAACTCGCAAAGGAGCTGCTCCGACTCGCCTCCTTCTCCTCCTCCTCCTCCTCACATCTCAAAGTGCTAGGCTCTTACCACCACTCCCTCACAGCTTGCAAAGCAGTCCATTCGCACCGATCACCGATAAATGTTGTCTCGAAATCTCCTTGACCGACGCACATCTAAGAAAAGAAGCCAGAAATGAGCATGAGCACGAAGAGCGTGGGGCCGATGTCGTGAAACCGAGCCAACGACGACAACCACCTCACGGAAGGATCACTTACCCAGCTAGAGCCATGGCTAACCGGAGCTCGTCCTCCAGCGTCTTGACCGCCCATTCGACACCTTCTTGTCCGTTGTACTAAATTGAGGCGATCTGACATCAGCTCTGGCCCATCCGAACGAGTTAGGGGTATTTTTAGGGTTAGGGTTGACTTGTTTGCTGTTGTTGTTGTTATTGTTGTCGTTGTCGTTGTCACTGTGCCTTGTTGGCTGTGGTCAACTTACAGCAAGTCCCCATAGCGGCACCCGGCCCATGAAACAGCAATCGGCACCCAGGGCCAGCGCTTTGAAGATGTCGGTGCCACGTCGAATGCCGCCGTCGATGGCGATCTTGATCCGTCCTTTCGCCGCCGCCGCACACTCTGGTAGAGCTTCAATCGTGGCTGGAACCCCGTCCAGCTGCCGACCTCCGTGGTTCGACACGATCACGCCGTCAAGTCGGTGATGAATGGCTAGCTGTACGTCCTCGGCGCAATAGACTGGTAGTCACTGCATCAGACCTTGAATGACTTCAAGAACACGGGTTCGGGTTCGGATTCCGATTCCAATTTCGACTGGGGAGATTTGGCTGGGCTGGGCTAGGCTAGGCTTGTGACTTACTTCCTTTGAGCCAGATCTCCAGCTTGGTGTTGGCTTTGACCCATGGAATCACCGATGCCCACGAGTTGCTTGCGTCTCGACCTGAGTAGTTGTACGACCGGACCGGAGCAGAGGGTGTCTTGCCGTCTGATGGAGGGGAGAGGTTGGGAAGGGACAGGTGCTGGGGCAGTTCGAATTTCTTGCCTGATCTCTCGTTCGCGCGTCTTGCCAGTACTGGCGCATCTACTGTGATGAAGAGGGCCTGGAAGCCGGCAGCTGAGGTCAAGGTATGTCAGATGGAGATCTTGTCATCACTATCCTATACCTCTATACCAAACCAAAACCAAACCCAAACCCAAACCCAAAAATGTGACGAACAGACGACTAAGAGAAAGAGATAGAGGGACGTAAAGCACACCAAAAGGACGACGACTAAGGGAAAGGACGTACCACACCAAAAGATAAAAAGAAAGAAGGAAGCATGGAAATGGAAAGACAAAGAAGAGTGTAAAGAACATGATCAATACAACATTTCAAACCCCGAAACGGCTGCAGTACCAACAACATCTCCAACTCTAACGGCTGAGGCAAGACGTGTAATTGAGGCAAGACATGCAATTGAGGCAAAACATGCAATTGAGGCAAGACATGCAATTGAGGCAAGACATGCAATTGAGGCAAGACATGCAATTGGCAAGACTTACCTTCAGCCCTCTTGATCCAATTCAAGCTCACATTTCGATCTTTGACAATACTCAGCTGGAAAGCGTAGGGATTGTCGCCTCCTTCTCGCCTCACATCTTCCAAAGACGTGGTCGCGTAGGTCGAGAGGCCCATTGGAATGTTCGTCTTGGCCGCGGCTCGTGAAGTGGCCAGCTCGCCGTCCGGATGTGCCAGACAGTGCATGGCAGCCGGGGAGAAGCCGAAAGGAAGAGCTACCTGTGGCATATGTGTCAGTTTGATTGCCTTTCTTTTCCTTGCTTCGCCTCGTCTCCGCCCAGGGGAGGGGGGCTGGTCTAGCATAACCCAAGAAAAGAACCAAGATGCATCCATCCTCAGACACTGAAGGCGAGGTTGACGTTGAGACACTGAGGACTGGGGCTGAGGTTGAGGTGGAGGCTAAGTTCAAGTATAGACTCGGCAAATTATGGCTCAATAACAAACTGACTTACTTTCTTGCCCAGGATGGTGGTCGACGTGTCGATGTTCGACACATCGGACAGAATGCGCGGCCGGATCTTCAGTCGGTCGAATGCCTTTTCGTTTTCTCCGAGTCTACTTCGGCCTCAGCATCGCATTGCGGACCCCTACCACCCCTTGCCTTTGGACTGAGGCATGTGGTGGGTGATCGGATCAGGGTCATGGTCATACGTGATCATGTCCATAGCCCCTCCATTGTAATAATCTGAACGGGGGTGAGTAAGAGTAGAGTCCTGAGCTTGGGGGGATGGGGATGGAGACGGAGACGGAGAGGTAATCGCCAACAGCTGGTATTGTACTGGTGTGGATCCGCTGATGGTGATGGTGATGATGATGGTGATGGTGATAGTGATTGTGAGATGATTGTGATGGTGATGGTGATGGTGAGAGCCAGCATGGCAGCCATGGATATACTATATTGTACATACCTCGAACCGCCGGTGGCAGCTTGGCCGACGCAATCTCCTTCAATTCTGCGATCGTCATAGGAGCAGGAATAGGCTCTTCTGTCGTCGAGTCTATCTTCATCTTTACTACTGCCCTGGCGGTGTGTCTTGTGTCTGTCGGTGAGTGGTGGGATGGCCAGTGGTTCTGTATATGATATAGTAGGACAACAACTCAATGAGGCGAGGCTGAGCTGAGGTAGAAGAGCAAGACAGAAGGAACGACCTTGACCGTGTTAGGGGTATGGATGTGCACCAGAAGTCTCCATACAAGTATTGCAACGACAGGGCCCTCTGTGTGTTTAGTATAGTATCGTCGTGTCTCTGAAATCAATCATCAACCTTGAACACTAATACTCTCGAACCTAATCAAATTAAAGTAACGCATCTTGTCTTGTCTTGTCTGTGCTGTGGTAACCGGATATCTGGTATTCCTGGTCTGTCTTGTTCGAGTTCGAGCGTGATTGGAGTGGGAGTGGCGGATCTCGGGATCGGATCGGGGTATACAGTCCTACAACTAGTAGTACAGTGAAAGCACTTCCACTTCGGCTCAGTCCGATCAACGAAATATGGAGTAAGCTACAGTAGACGTGCGTTTTGATGTGTTCCCACCTTCTCCTTTTCACCCCCATTGATATTGGCGCTTGGATCTTTCCATCCTGTTGGTACAGTTTACCCCCTCCTCGTATGTATCCATCTATGATTATGATTGTGGATTAAATACTAAATACTAAATACTAAATACAGGATCTGTATCAGGGTCGCTCAGATCAGGTCGGATGAGGCAGCATCCGCGACCCTACCTGGCGTAGCGGGCCAGCCTTACTGTGGCCACTCGCTGGCCCTAAGGCCTCGACTTGACTTGACTTCGGAACGTTCCATGCACGTACATGGTGCTAGCCTCGAATGGGACAAACCGCATCAGCGCACACTGGAGATGGAGCTGATGCTGATGTTGCTGAGTGAGTGAGTGAGTGAGTGAGAGAGTGAGACAGTGAGTGGTTCGATTGTAATCGTGATATAACCGTGCACATTATTGTTGTCTATTCTACATGTAATTCACATGACTCGATTTAATCGGGCCGAGAAATACATTCTATATCCCATCTGTATCTGTAGTGGCTTGGAAATGTTTGATGTTCTGGGTGGACGTGTTTTCAGTCAGAATCGAGTCGTCCTGCCTTGCCTTGCCTTGCCTTGCACTCTTTGCAGACCACACCACACCACTCCACCAACCTGGGCTCAAGATAGAATAGATCTCGGTCATTGACATCCAATATGGAGATGGAGGCATTCCCATCCGTTAGCCCGGCTGTGGCCAAACCACGAGAGGTTCCTGTGGACTATGCCAGGCCCATCAAGGTCATCTGCATCGGTGCTGGCATGTCCGGCATTCTATGTGGAATCCGATTCCCTCAGAAAATCCCCAATCTCCAGCTAACCATCTACGAAAAGAATGACGAGGTTGGCGGTGTGTGGTACGAGAACAGGTATGTTTATGTTCATGTTTCGTGAGGTCCTGGATGGCATCATAGTAGTGATGTCTCTATCTGCTGACTTGTGACTTGCGATAGATATCCCGGTGTCACTTGTGGTAAGTCTCCCTCGAGTCGACAGATCCAGATCCGGCGCCCAAGGGGTTTGAGGTTTGAGATTGTGAGGACGTCGAGGTGGAAAGCGGCCAGTGCTGATACTGACACTGACGACGGTTCACCAATTCAGACGTGCCTTCTCATTGTTTTCAATACACCTTCGCCAACAATTCAAACTGGTCCAAGTTCTTCGCTCCTGGGGAGGAGATCGGCGACTATTTCCGCCAGGTGGCGGAAAAGTACGAGGTCAAGAAACACATTCGCTTTGGCCATCTCTTCAAATCGGCACGATGGCTGGACGAAAAGGCGCAATGGGAGGTCAAGTTGGTTAGAATGGCCGACGAGCTGGTATGGCATGGCCCTCCTTTTCCTCTCCACAGTCTACATTCGATGGTGTTCGCTTCTCTTCGGACTTTGGTCTTTGATACTGATTGTGGCACTGTCCTCTCACACAGGAGTTCACCGACTACTGTGACGTGTTTGTCAAAGCTACAGGCAATCTGAACAAGTGGACATGGCCCAAGCTGCCCGGGCTGGAAAAGTTCGAGGGAGAGTTGATCCATTCGGCACATTGGAAGAAATCATTCGATCCCACCGACAAACGCGTGGCAGTTATCGGCTACGGAGCTACAGCGGTGCAGCTGGTTCCAGCAATCCTCCCCCAGGTCAGGTATATGGATCACTACGTGCGAGGTCAAGCGTGGATCTCTCCTGCTGGCTACGTTGCCGCCGACTCCAGGAAGGCCAACAATCCGGATCTTCACAACTGTGAGTGTTGCCCTGGCGCTGGCTCTAGTCTTGAGAGACGGCTTTCCTAATGTGTGTGTATCTCCAGTCGACCACCCTCCGGAAGAAAGACAAAGATTTGCCAACAACCCCGACGAGTATCTCAGATACCGCCACCAAGTCGAGGACTATGTTAACCAGGCTCAGCTGATCCACTGGGTCGGATCGGACATGAACAAGACATTCTCCGCCGCCACGGAAGAATCAATGGCTCGCAGATTGGCTCGCAAGCCCGAGATCTTCAGACACCTGAGACCAACCTACCCAGTCGCTTGCCGCCGAGTCTCGCCGGGCCCAAGATACCTCGAGAGTCTGGTAGAAGACAAGCTCAACTTCATCCCCAAGGGCGTTAAACAGGTGACGGCGACCGGGATCGTGGACGACGATGGCACATTGCGGGAAGTGGACGCCATTATCTGCGCCACTGGGTTCGATACGTGAGTCGAGTCGGCATCATCCTTTCCTTTCCTTTCCCTCTGCTCTATCGTAACAATAAACATCAAATTGAGTCTGACTTCTGACTTGACGGAAAGGTCGTTGAGACTGGACGAGACGCCGATATATGGCCGGGAAGGAGTATCGCTCGACGACCTCTGGCAGTCCGAGCCGGGCGCGTACATGAGCATGTGTCCGCCGCAGATGCCCAACCTGTTTCTTTTCGTCGGCCCCAACGGCGCCCCAGGAGCTGGATCGACCATCCACATGAGTGAATGTGCCTGTGACTACATGGTCCAATGTATCCAGAAGATCCAAAGAGAGAATCTACGCTGGATGATGCCCAAGTGAGATGAAGATTCTATTTCCATCCCAGCACAGTCGCAACTGCAACTACAACTACAACTGCAAACCCAGACTAGATCACTCACTCACCCCTTTTGTTTCTAGGGAGAAATCCATCCGTGCTTTCATGAAGCAGGTCGATCGGTATTTTGCCAAAACCACGTTTGCGTTCACTGTAAGAGTTCCCTCCGGCGCCGCTACCATTCTGTCCAAAACCACAGTGTCAGCATCTGCGTCAGCTACAGCCACAGCCAAAGCTACAGTTACAGCTGAAGCCACTGACTGACCCTTTTCTTCCCTTCACAGTGTAATAACTGGGCCAAACGAACCAGCAATGGCAGGATGTTGGGCTACTGGCCCGGCTCGGCGGTCCATCAACGAGCCACATTGGCAGTGCCGCGTTTCGAGGATTTCGAATATTCCTCATTTGAGGACGACGAAGAGGACTCGTTGGCGTGGATGGGCAACGGCATGATCACGGCTCAGACCGAGAACAAGTCGACCACGGATTACCTGGACTATGTCGACATACCACCACCGCCGCCGCCGCCGCCATCAACATCAACATCAGCATCAACATCAGAACCAGCTCCTTCGTCATCTTCGGCGTCCAGTCAAGCCACAACTCCTTTTTCAATTGTGGAAGAAGTCTATGTAGCATGAGAAAAAGGGGTGAGAAGAAAGGGGCGAGGAGAGGAGAAGAGCGGGAGAGATTGGATTTGCCTTGCACATATTTGACTTGCATTTATACTGTTAGCATATCTTTCCAGGTTTGATTTTCTGTTGGTCGAACTTGTGCTGTAGCTTGCACAAGATATAAGATACAGTACATATGTTAGGCCTCAACCCCTACTGCTGTAGAGGACACCTCCAAGTAAGTGAGACACGCTCAACTCTACCGCTATAGAGAACGGACACTTCCAAGCAAGTGAGACAGCCTCCTCTCCTGCTATAGAGAACGGACACTTCCAAGTAAGTGAGTGTAAAGACTAATTACGAGTACAGAGAGGGGAGGACATCTATCTGACGGCACACATAGACGGTCTTGTCTTCAAGATAAGAGTATGGAATAAATAGTGGGGATGGTCCATGGTCCCCCGTTCCGCTTCTGCGGCCAAGGATACAGTACGGAGTACTTACTGTAATTACAGTACTACTAATAGGTACGTACGGTACTCTTGGTTGAAGTAGGGTCGGATACATCCCAGAGTGGATCTCGTCGCGCGGGTCACTGCGACAGTTCGTTATCTTTCTCCTCTCCTTCTACCTTCCACCTTGTACGTGCTGTCCCTGTCACCTACAGTAGTAGTTATTAAATAGCTGATAGCTAGTTCTTGTTGCTCGGGCTTAGGCTCAGGCTTAGGCTTAGGTTCAGGCTCACACTCGCAAAGTTGTAGAGTACAGTAAATGTGGGTCGCCATGCCTCTAGACATTCCGACAACCTCGTCTGTTTCGGGTCGCACACAAGAACTCGTTCTGTCTGGGGGTGTACATTGGACCAGATCCTAGTATCCTAGTATCTTAGTTGGTATCTTCAAGTATCCTAGTTGGTATCTTGACCCGACACTGACACACCCTCCTCCTCCTGCTCCTGCTCCTCGGTTCAAGCCGACTTAGGTTCTTATCATGAATGCGCCGCTTGACGCGTTTACAAGATAACCACCGTCGGGCTTGGTGTATATAAGATATTTGCATGCTTGACATGTACAGTATGTGCTGAAGATTGGGCCCTTTATCCACCAGCACCAGAACCACCAGCACCAGAACCACCAGCATCAGCACTTGCACTAGCAGCACCAGCACCACCACCACCAGTGGTCGCAAGATCCTTGTTGTACAACCAAAGTTCGGGAGCTGAACTTGAATTGGGATTGGGATTGGGACTGGGCATTTCTGTACGGGTTGGTATATACAGTACAAGCCACCTACAGACCAAAGAACCAGGACCAGGCCCGGTCAGACCATTCCAACATCTTGCGTGGAATCCGAGCCTTAGGTCTATTCCTTCAATTGGGACCCCTGATCCCTCTTTGCAGGCTGACGGCCAACATGTCTGACAGGCCAGCACCGTGGTCATTGGCGGAAGAGAACAGCAAACAAGCAATGAAGGAAAGCTACACCCAGGAGGGCGATGTCGAAACCACCAGTGTGCACGCCGGCGAGGTGGACGCTACGCATCGAGGAGTATTCGGGACGGCCGCCGCTGCAGGAGGCAAAGAGTATCGAGTTCTGGGCCGGTGGAAGGCCGGGCTGGTCTTCATCCATACCGAGGTCGGATTGGGCATCCTGAGTCTGCCGTCGGTGTTGAGGACGCTGGGCCTGATCCCGGGAATCATCGCCATCATCGGCGTCGGCCTGGTGGCCACGTACACGGCCTACGTGTACTTGCTGTACTGGCGCAGGTACCGGCACATCGACAACCTGCCGGACGCGATGCGAGTGCTGGGCGGCAAGGCGCTGGCCATCGTCGGCGGGATCGGCCTGCTACTCAACCTCAGCCTGGCCTGTTCGTCGGCCACGTTGACCATGAGCGTCGCCTTCAACACTCTGACCGCGCACAGCATGTGCACCGTGGCTTTTGCCGGCTTTGCCGCCCTCATCTGCTATGTGCTGTGCATGCCGCGGACGCTGAACTTTGTCGCCTACTTTTCAGGTACGTTTTACACAGCCACAAAGCTTCCCAAAGGGGGTCTGACCACCCTCGCCCCTGTCCACGGAGAAGGGACACTGCCGCTCCGTTGCTTCATGCCACATTCCTTTCCTATCTAGAGAAGAAAGAGTCCTGCCGACCAGTATTGACTGTTTGTGTGGTGTATAGGTCCCGCCACCCTCGGCATCATCGTGCCCATCTTCATCGTCATCATCTCTCTCGGGGTGGCGCGACCGCAAAACGCCCCGGTGGACTGGCACAAAGACATGCACCTGGTCGGCCACCCGTCGTTCCGCGACGGGTTCACGGCCATCCTGAGCATCTGCTATGCCTTCGGTGGGAGGCAGGCGTTCCTGACCATCATGGCCGAGATGGAGAATCCGTCCAAAGACTTCGTGCCGGCGCTGGTGATTCTGCAGAGCTTCGCCATGCCCATGTACGTCTTGACCGGCGCGGCCATCTACGGGCTCGCTGGCAAGTACGTGACGTCGCCGGCGCTCGGGTCGGCGCCACTGGTGCCGGCCAAAGTGGCGTACGGCCTCGCGCTGGTGACGCTGTTCAATACGGGCCTGCTGTACGGCCACGCCGGTGTCAAGTACCTGTACGTCTTTGTCATGCGCGACTGCCTCAAGGTGCCGGAGCAGATGACGCGCAACAACATCAAGACCTGGTCGATCTGGGTCGTCCTCGCCACCCTGTTCTGGGTCTGGGTCTTTGTGCTGGCCAACGCCATCCCCGTCTTCAACAACATCATCGGCGTCTCCTCCGCCCTGCTTGTCTCTTGGTTCTCCTTCGGTCTGCCTGGCATCTTCTGGCTGCATCTGAACTGGCACAATCAGTTCCGCGACTGGAAGATGACCGTCAAGTCGCTGCTGAACTGGCTGCTCGTTCTGTCAGGCGCGTTCCTCAATGTCGCGGGAATGTGGGCCTCAATTGACTCGTTGGTTAAACTGTTCAACAACCCGGAGAGCACGGTGCATGGTCCTTTCACCTGTGCCGACAACAGTTTGTTCTAGAAGCGCCTTCCCGACCAAATCAACCCCAAAGCTACTATCGGGGGAAAGAGGGGTGGAAGAGACTGGTTATATTTATATCATTTTATCTTTTTGGCCAAGTAACCTTGATCTAAGCTTGAGCGAGAGGGGAGAGACAGAGAGACAGAGACATACAGATAGAGTGAGGGAGCAAGAGAGACAGAGGGGAGCCATGCGTGTGCTGTACATACTTTAGTTGAGGTCAAGAGTCTCGCTCCTTCCAAGACGCTTGCTCTAATAAAGACCAGAGTTGCACAGTTTACACTACATTAGTTTTGCATATGGTCCAATACTGTGAGCGGTAATAAGAAGCACGCACCGGATTTGTTGTCCAATACGGAGGCATTTCCAATCCTGTTCTTTGACCTATGATGCTTGCGTATCTGTCCAGTGGAAGCTCTGCTCAGGCTCCTTCGATGGAGAACGAGGAACATTTCAGACTTGACATTTGTTTCCCTACAGATAGTCTAACAAACCAAGCCATCGAGCTGATAAGGAAAAGGTGCCAAAAGGAGAAAGGGGAAGAAAAGAGCCCTCTCACCCTTCTCTCTGCAATTGGATTTCGGTCCATGGTCATCAAGTAAAGACTTTAGTTGTTGGTGCTGTATTTCCGACTCTACTTTCACCACAGTCCGCACAACCCCTGCTCTGACTTACCCAAGACAGGGTCATTCTCCGGCTTCTCGACCGACCAGATCTTGTCGTACTGGCCAGCGTTCTCGCCACCCTTCATGGAATCCCAGTAGCCGTTGTTGGCGGGGTAAGCGCCGATCATGGTGAAACCGGAGAGCTGGACGTCGTCGAGCGCCGCTCTCGGATCGTGCGCGGCAATATGATGCCCGTCACCTGGAGTGAGCAGGGTAAACTCGGCGTCAGGTTTTGCATTGTACGTCTTGTGCGCAGTACCCGCGGGCAGTAGGAACACGTCACCGGCGCGAGCCTCGATCTCGACACCGCCTGGCTCCCTGGCCGACCCGGTCGTGCTCTCAATCAAGTCCGTGGAGGTGTCACCCACGCCGAAGCGGATGGTTGCCGTGCCCGACAGCACGGCCATGCATTCGTGCACACTGGAGTGGTAGTGCGATCGCTGTGTCGCGCCGTAGCGGTAGATCCACTGCACGTTCCAGCCGTGGCGCTCAAACAGGTCGTAGACGGCGCTCGCTGTCAGAGGTTGAGGCAGAGGCACCCCGGTATAGTGCAGAAGCGGGCGAGGCGAGTTCGGCATCAACGCCGTCGGCGGTAACTGGTATTGCTTGACTTGGACCATGGTTGCCTGGATGGCTGGTTGGAACCGCTGGCTTTGTTTCTATGTTGTGGTGACTTGGCTCTGGTCTTCTCTTTCGAGGTTGAGGGCGTGACGGGGTGGATGAAAGGGATTGGACGGGAATGTACTGTGTGGTGCGGATAGTGGGATGAAGATGACTGATGGCTGCTGCGCTTGGAGACTGGTGTTCACCAAGTTCGAATACGGAGTAGTCGGTCGGATTGGAGGGTCTGTACGTGTACTCGACAGTCTCACGCTCACATGTGCGATGCAGAGCAGATGTCGAACTTTATATCGATGCAGTACAGCAGTGATCGAGGATGGAGAGGCACAGAATAGGCCATGATACAGTACATCTTGTTTGTTGGTGGGGTGGCACAGTACAATTCTCCGTACACTCCAGGAGGAGGATGACGATGGCGGGGATCTCCCTCGGCTTAGGAGGCTGCAGGTTCGGCTGAACCCGACTCCCCTGGAACAACCTTGGCTTGGTTTTAGGATGCCTGGTTCGTACCTACAGTAGGCTCCTTAAGCGCAACAAGTACCTAGCAGTTCCCGGGCATATCACCCCGTTCACCCATAAGAAACATCTGGGTCCCTGTACTGTACCGCTGCCCTGGTACACGAATCTTCCCCCGCGTTGACTATTGTGTCCGCCACTACAGTCTTTTCTGGACTACAGTACCAGTCTCTGCGGTTGCTATCTGTACAGTATGAGACACCTGTTAGGCACCTATCATGCAATCAGGGTTCAATGGCTGGCCTTAGGGCCTAAGAGCCGTGGACTCGTCGACGCCGCGTAATGTCAACGAAGCACCCTGGTACAATTTAGTGCGAACTCTCGAACACTGTGTGGAGGATGACGCCTGCGCCCTACCACACCCCTACCACACCCCCACTAACCACCACTACCGAGAACTTACTGTACTACCAGCTTCCAAGCTTCTGATGAAATAATTAATTCAGACCACCTTGGTGCCACCAAGACTGTAGCAGTAGTTACGTCGTAGTATTGCACTGCCACCCACCAACGGCCAAATCTGAGACAGTGTCGTGGCCACCTCTTCATCGCCATTGTAACTGCGCCTGTCCTTCTTTCTCCCTGTCCTATTTCACTCGTTTCAGCCGCAGGTTGCGCAATTCAAGCCCGCAGAACGATTGATGTCTTCTGCAACCCTTCCTTGCATCTCGCGATAAGTCCTATATTGACCTTCGGAAGACATTGCCCCGATGAATCGACTGTCGCTGCAGCCCGCTGCTCGACACATTCGCCATGCCACCAACCTGGCCCAAGGACAGTGACCAGAACAAGGACAAGCAAGAGCTGGACTCATGCGCCGACTGCGGTCGCGGAGAACACGATGCAGAGCAATGCGCCCACAGTTCGGGTTCGGCCACACTGCCTTCCTCCAGTGGTCCATCCAGGCTACGGTTTTCCGTCGACGTTCCAGCCACCGACGAGGACGCTGTACAGCCAAAAGAGCCCAGGTTCTCTGCTGCGCGAAAGCCCCATGGTATCCTCAAGGCTTCATCCTACGGTCGAGACCGAGGCTACTCGTTAAGGCGAGCCCTATTTGCCCAGAACATTCAAAGGCAGAACTCGGACAGTGAAACCTCATTCGAGTTGGACCCGGCAAACCACTTTTCAGACAAGAGCCATGATGTGACTACTGACCAGAAGCAACCTGGGCCACAGTTTACAACCATTGCCGTTGAAGAGACTCGAGAGGAAGACGAAGCGCACCCCGGACGAGTGCGGCTGTCGGACCCGGCTCTCGAATTACCCTTGTACCAACGCTGGCTGTCGAAACAACATTCACGGCGGACACTGTTGCAGAGGCTGAGGAAGGAATATGTCCAGCTCCGGGATAAGATAGTCCGCTCCAACACAATTCCTCCCAGTGTCGATGGAAGACATATCCACGTGAATGTTCTGCCAGGTGCGGACCCAATCGACGAAAGAACTGCCAAACCCTTCGTTACCAACATCATTCGCTCGTGTCGTTATACCCCATGGAATTTCGTTCCCCGTCAACTCGTTGCTCAGTTCGGCAAGCTGGCCAATTTCTATTTCCTCTGCGTCTCCATCCTTCAAATGATCCCCGGCCTCAGCACCACCGGCACCTATACCACCATCATACCGCTACTCATTTTCGTGGCCATCTCCATGGCCAAGGAAGGCTACGACGATATTAGAAGGCATGGTCTGGACAAAGAGGAGAACGCACGGCTCGCTACGGTCCTCACCTCTGCATCGTCCCAGAGCAGCCCCATCAGCCTCGATTGGCAAGAAAAGAAATGGGCGGACATTCGGGTAGGAGATGTCGTCCAGCTGCAACGGGATGCCGGCATTCCAGCCGACCTCGTACTCTTGTATGTCGACGAGCCTACCGGCACTGCGTACGTTGAGACGAAGAGTCTCGATGGGGAGACCAGCTTGAAACCCAAGAAGCCAGTGTCCGATCTGAGTGTAGCATGTCAGTCACCGGACTCCATAGCAAATCTCGAAGCCGAATTTGTCGTCGAAGATCCCAACCTGGACCTCTACAAGTTTGAAGGCAGAGTGACCATCAATGGTAAGACACTGCCCTTGACCAACACGGAGGTTCTGTATCGCGGTAGTGTCCTGCGGAATACTCCTTCTGCAACTGGCCTCGTGATCTACTCGGGCGAGGAATGCAAGATACGCATGAATGCCAACAAAAGCCCACGAGTGAAGGCCCCCGCTTTGCAGGCCAAGGTCAATAAGGTGGTGGTACTGGTCGCTTCCCTGGTGTTCTTCATGGCCATCATCCTCACCATCGCTTACCAAATCTGGCGTCGAACTACCGAGGAGAAGTCGTGGTATCTGCAGTCGGCAAGAGTTCCCTTCGGCCACATCCTAACCTCGTTCATTATCATGCTGAACACTATGCTCCCACTGAGCTTGTACGTCTCGCTCGAAATCATTAAGGTTGCGCAGATGTTCTTGATGAACGACGTTGATATGTACGACCCTGAGTCCGATACCCCGATGGAACCGCATACCTCTACCATCAACGAGGAGCTGGGCCAGGTCAGCTACATCTTTTCGGACAAGACGGGCACCCTCACCAACAACTCGATGAAGTTCCGTAAAATCAGTGTCGCGGGTACTGCTTGGCTTCATGATGTCGATCTTCAAGAGGAGGCTGAGAATGAGGCTGGCCAGATCAAGTTGAGGCACCAAAAACGAGGCGGCAAAGAGAAGGATGTCGTTTCGAGCAAGCACCACCGACAATCAACCTCCAGACTTGCACGAAAGTCAGCAGCATCTACCGGAGCCGTCGTTGAACAGTCTTTTGTTTCTGACGAGGGCACTGACGAAACACAGTGGCGAGCTCCAAACGGCCTAGACTTGAGCTTGGAGACAGGCAATACACAGGAGCTGCTCCACGAGATTTATCGTCGTCCTCATACAATATTTGCGCGCAAAGCTCGATTTTTCCTCCTTTCCCTGGCCCTTTGCCATACTTGCATTCCAGAGAAGGATGACGATGGCAACATCACATATCAAGCTGCCTCTCCTGATGAGCTGGCTTTGGTGACGGGCGCGCAGGACCTTGGGTATATTGTAACTGACCGGCACGCAAACACAGTGACCGTCAAGTCGTTCTGCCACGGAGACGAAGTTGACCCCATCTACGAGACCTATGAGGTCTTGGATGTGATTGAGTTTTCCAGCAGCAGAAAGCGAATGTCCATCATTGTCCGCTTTCCCGACCACAGAATATGTTTAATCAGCAAAGGCGCAGACAGTACGGTTCGTAAGCAACTCCGCCTCGCAGATCTGGCGTCTTCCAAAGTGCAAGCTGTTGAAACGCGGGCAAGCCAGAGGAAGAGTCTCGAGGCACAGGAAATCCTTAGAAGAAGAAGCACACAATTGAGCCGCAAATCAACTTCGGTCTACGGTCTCGAAACAGCCTCTCCCCGACCGAGCAATGTGTCAACACCAGAAAGTATCGGACACTGGCTGAAGGAACGGGAGCATCCTGTCGGGATGTCTACAGAACGCAAGAGCCTGCAGTTCTACACTCCTCGCCCATCGGCTCAATTTGGGCCCCGCGGATCGGAGGATGTTGCGAGAAGGTCGCAGCAGTCACATCAGTCTACTCCACGTGCGTCCATGCAGGCTGGTGAAGAGGAGGCCCTCGTCGAGGAAAGCCTGGTGGTGAACGACGATGCCATCTTCGAACGCTGTTTCCAGCACATTGATGACTTTGCCACCGAAGGCTTGCGCACATTGCTTTATGGGTACCGATTCCTCGCCGAGGAGGAGTACAAGATCTGGAGAAGTGACTATGTGTCTGCAAGCACCAGCATCGTCGATCGGCAGCGAAAAATCGAGCGCGCGGCCGAATTGATAGAGAATACGCTGGAACTTCTGGGTGCGACAGCCATCGAAGATAAACTCCAAAAAGGCGTTCCCGACACCATTGATCGATTTCGTCGTGCTGGAATCAAAATGTGGATGCTCACTGGCGACAAGCGTGAGACGGCAATCAACATTGGACATTCCTGTCGGCTGATCAAAGATTATTCGAAAGTCATTGTGCTCGACCACGAGCTGGGAGACTTACACAGTCGCATGGCTTCTGCCTTTACGCAAATCGATAGTCAGCAGACGGTTCACGCGGTGCTGGTAGTCGATGGCCAAACGTTGACTATAATCGACGCGGACCAGGCCTCGCATGCATTGTTCACGGATGTGGCGATCCGGGCCGACTCTGTCATCTGTTGTCGAGCCTCCCCGAGCCAGAAAGCGTCCCTCGTAAAGACCATACGAACGAAGGTGAAGGGTTCTGTCACTCTGGCGGTCGGTGATGGCGCCAACGATATCGCCATGATCCAAGAGGCGCACGTGGGCATTGGAATCGCTGGAAAAGAAGGCCTCCAGGCAGCCAGGACTTCAGACTACTCGATCGCTCAATTTCGGTTCTTGTTGAAGTTGGTCCTGGTCCATGGAAGATGGAACTACGTCCGCATCTGCAAGTACACCTTGGGGACCTTTTGGAAAGAGATGCTGTTTTATCTGGTACAAGCCATCTACCAACGATGGAATGGCTATACAGGAACCAGTTTGTATGAATCGTGGAGCTTGTCCATGTTCAACACGCTGTTCACCAGTCTGCCAGTGATCTTTATGGGGGTGTTTGAAAAGGATCTTGCAGCCTCGACTCTTTTGGCCGTCCCCGAATTATACAACATCGGGCCGCTCAACCTAGGCTTCAACTTCAAATTGTACCTATGGTGGGCGACGCTCGGTGCCTGTGAAGCCGTGATTGTCTATTTCATCATGTATGGGATTTACGGGCAGGCGCTGTTCACGCGCGACCAAGACCTGTACGCGATGGGATCGTTGGCGTTCAGCGGGTGCGTCATCATCATTTCACTGAAGCTGCAATTTATTGAACTGCACAACAAGTCAGTAGCGGCCGCGGTGGCCATTTTCCTGTCGGTAGGCGGGTGGTGGTTGTGGAATCTTTTCCTGTCCTGCATATATCCAGATGATGTGGTATATAGCGTCAAGCATGCGCTCCTGGATGGATTTGGTCGCAACCTACTGTGGTGGATCACGTTACTCCTGATCATCGTCGCGGTGTGTCTACTGGAGGTCACACTCAAGGCTATTGGTGCTGTGCTGTGGCCAACTGACGTGGATCACTTCCAACGGTTGGAGCAGGATCGCGACGTGCGAAAGAGATTTGAGGAGGCTGCGGCAGATCTCCTGCAGCAAGGATGGGACCGAGGCACGAAGAAATCGAGCCTCGAACTGGCAAGAGAGGCCGCGGAAGAGGCTGACAGAGAAGCCCATGTTCAAGAGTTGTTAGAAAAACCACGGGACACGGGCCAGCGGAGGCCGTGGGTCAAGAGGACACAGTCGGGTGTGAGCACTAATACCACCAATAAAGGGGCCGGAGTCCAACAGAGTGAAGAGAGTCAAGAAATGGGAGAGATTCCGAGAAGGTCTATGGACATTGGTGAGTTGTTCAGCAAGGGGTTTGGAGCCGTCCGCAAAGGACCCGATTTACGATAAGTATGACAGATACCCTGGGTGGATGTTTTGGATTTTATCAGTGGGCACGAAGAAACGAGGACGCGGACATGAAGGACCTTGAGAAAGTATTTGGGACATATATACTATATAGCCAAAAAGCGTATGCACGGCGACATGGGAAGACTATTTCCTGTTCCTTTCACCAATGCTGTTCCTTGGTCTTTTCTACGCCCAACATAGTATGTCTAGTTCACTTTCGCCTACTCTTTACGCGTGTACGTAGTCAATATATACACGAAAAATTCAAATCAGCAGCCAGTCTCGTCCAAGTCAGGAGCAGGCGTACCGCGAGCACCACGAGGGCTGACATACTCCGTACTCCGTACATGAACGGATATTATCCATGCGTGGATACTAAACCACTTTCAGATGGGCCTCCAAGTGAGACAAGCGGGAGAAAGTCAGGAGAGGGATAAAAGGGGTGATCAGCACGTGCTCTCCACCCATGGCTTGCCCTCATCTCAGGCGATTTGCGCGAGTCAGTCGATATAGGTCATATTGGATTAGACAGGTCCTAGGTATGGAAACTGGATGGCCGGAACATTTGTTCTGTCACGACGGAGAAATCATGCGGGCAGTAAGGAACTGGGTGAAGAGTAGCTGCGACCCGACCACCTAGAACGACGCAGGTGTAGGTGCAGCGGGCGGTGTACGGCAGTGATACACGAATAGGGCCCCCCGCGACAGGTAAAGTATCACAATGATCTTTGCAGTTTCACACCATCGCTACTATCGTAGTATGTCGTGCCTTCTTTTGAATGGTCACAGTGTATTTCCACGGGTCTCTGTCCCTGTGTCTCCGACTGATGGTGTCACCCGCAGAGACAGTATAGCACGGATGCTGCGTCGCGTCGGTGTCGCTGAAGCACATTTCTCGGGCTCTAAAGACACCCTGTCCGGCGAAGTGTTCGGTCGATCGAAATCCGATGAGGTCAGCGGAGGCTCAACATCCCCAGCTCGGGTTTAGAGAGCAAAGCGCCTTAGCACATCCATGTTAGTGGCTCGTCTTATATGACAGGCCGTCAAACTGGCATGTGGCTGTCACGGAAAACGAGAAGAAAACAAGAAGCTCGGATGCGGTGTCGCTGACAGCTAGATGACAGGTTCAGATCATTTCCGGGAGATGAACGCACACGCGTGAAGTGAAGCCTCGTCGAGGAAGTCTCGAGGCTGAACCACAGACAGGATGCATACCGAGTCGAGAGCTGCCGTGGTGCTGGCGAGAGACTACCTGAGCGAGTCTGTCGGTACAGCATGCATCGTTGGGAAGATCTCACCACGCCATTATTTTCATCCCTGACCAGGCACCTGCAGGCTTCGGTGGCTCGCAACACAGACTCGCGTGTTTTTCGAGGTTCCACCCTTGCCAAGACAAAACCCCCGATCGGCTCTGGCGCGAGACCGAATAGAGTTTCAGGGCGCTCAGCTCCCTCCAATGACAGTGGCTCGGGACCTGGTGTACCTGGCGTTTTGCCTGATGCGGGCTAGCGGCTGCGTCAGGGGGAAATCAAGCCACATCAATTGGGATTGTGCACAACAACTCCACGCTCTAAACCTCGTCCTCTGCTGCGCTTCAACGCCTGTCGCCTGCAACTTCCACCGCCTTTCTCAAGCTTGGGTTCGACCAGTTGCCGCTAATTGAGCACCGAACAGAAGCTCCCTTCAGCCCGTCCGAGACCGCACACCTGTCACCAGCAAAGCCCCCAGCAAGCCGGTCGCTGACACGCGAAGCGCAAGGCCCGCCTCCTGGTGCCTCCCCACCAGAAACCTCGAACTTCTCCATCCCGATCTGCCCTCTCCCACTGCTTTCCTACGTACAGTGAACTGAACACCACCTACGCAAAAGGCCCGTGATGTGCGGCGCCACTTCTCCTATCTGTCCCTATCGATGGCTCGCTCTCCCGCCTCAGAGCCGGGGCTATGGGTTGCCTCGTGCCCATTGCTGCCCAGACTGTCGTTTCAACGCCATTATGACAAAGTGAATTGCTCTGAGAGCTGGCATTAGCCAACAGCACAGCTACCGACGACAGCCGAGCTGTGATCCGTACACGTACAGAGTAGGAAACGCCAGCCTCACTTGCCGACGACGCACGTATCGGTCTTTTTACAACCCAGTGGCCGGCTCCGTCGTGGGCATCGCATAATTGCACTGTAGCGCCATCCATGCACGACATGCATAGCCGGCCAAGGCCCCGGCCTGTTTGGATCCTCAGGGGAACGGCCCATCGTCCAACAGCCTTTCAGCATGTGCAACGCGTGAGGTGTTTTCCCCCGGCCTAGGTCAGCTGCAGCTCAGCCGAGCGGGAAAATGAAGCAGACAACACACCGTGAGACAATTATTATAGCACAATGAGCCTGTGTCTTCTACATCTGACTGGCTACGGGGTGACACTGAGGCCATCTGAGACTAACAGAGATACGAGCCGTGTGGAAAGTCGTTCAACTATGTTTGCAGGATGACGGTGCCTAGAATCATGATTTGACGCCTTCTTTTCGAGGGGCAAATCAGAACCGGCGTCATGCTGTCTTGCATTGATTAGATGCTCTCTCCAGACTGTCCAATCGTGCTGCCCCCACGGCTGCTATACTGACGCGGTAAACCGATGAGCATTGTGTAGTGAGCGTAATTGGTGCCATCGTACTTGCGCACTGACTCTATGGTAGTAGTGAAGAGACAGAAGCTAGGGGAAGGACTACATCAGACGAGCTCTCCGAAGTCGAGTTCGAGAACCGTCTCATGATGAAGAATCGAGTGGTTCTTGGTTGGCTCCAATGCCACGCTTCCAAGCGGCTGCAATGTGGCCAGGGCACACGAGTCTGATACAAAGCTGCTGGCGGACGGAGTGCAGAGACTCACGACCGTAAGTGTGGCTTTAGCTGCAGGTAAGCGTCCCTTCGTGTCTCGGACGCGTGCCATCACCTAGAGTAGGGTTACAGTTTGGTAGCTATCTTTCTCTAATTAGTACGCTGCGCAAAAGACAAATCCCATGGCGCTTGTGTATCCGTACAGTGAAAGTCTCCTGAACGACGGTGAACATGCAGCAGGGTTTCCTCCAGCTAACCGCTTTTGGGTGCTAAATGTGGCCATCCCCTTGCTACGTGTATGCGTATTATGAAGCGTCTGGCCCTACCGCCTACGCCTCCAGGGCCGGAAGATTGTCCACAACGGTCGACCCATCCTTTCAGGTTGTTTTTTTTTTTCTTTGGGACACGCGCGGCGGGTTCGACAGACAGCATCAGGTCATGTTGTGACATGGGGGTGTTTTGACTTGCTACTCCTGGAGGGCGTTCGGCGCGTCAGAGACCAGGGCTCAGGAGACGACGAGACCTGAATGGCCAGGTCCCAGCGCGGCCGGGAGGTTGGTGGTCGGTGCGAACAAGGTTCACCGTGTTGCTTGTGGCCAGCGGACTAGACTGCTGGTGGACTAGCTGGGTAACACGGGAGTGGAGGTCTCCAACGCTTCGAGCGCCGTCGAATTCAGCCTGTGAGGTCGAATGACGCCCACGGTGCTAGGTGTCAGGCCCTGAGGCCCCTAAGCCTGTTCCTTGGACCTCGCAGCGCCGAACCGCCTAAACCATCCCTGGATCGACCTCCACTGGAGCTTGGACCATAGAGCCTTTCACCCTTCAAGGGCCCCGGGTCCGTTAGGCTGCTTCTGGTGCAGTGCGATGCTGCTGTACCTGCATCAGCTCGCCGCTAACCTGCCCAGTCTCGGGGGGCCTCTTTCCACTGGGCAGGTCTCCAGAAGCCTGAAGGGCCAGACGCCCGCCAGTCAGCACAGGCGATTCACCCGCTCGCTCCACCGCCAGTCGGTTAGTTGGCTGCCGCTCACCTCCTGCTCGCAGGCCTCCCTTATTGTCTCGCAGCTTTCCACTCTGTTCCTCTTTTCTTCCCCCATCCTCACTGCCGCCTACCTTTTGGTGTCTCTGTTCACGCATCTCAACTACGTTCTTTCTTTTACTCGTCTTGTTTCTCGCCGTCTTGCCTCGAGCGTGCCTTTCACTCCTTCAAGGCCCTCGACCACATTCATTAGGCTTATTTGTTTTTCAATTCACCCCAATACGGTCGTTACCAGTTCACCCCTTTCGAACACGAGCCCGCACCCGAGCCATCGAACAAGGATTCCTACAGTCATTTCATATCGTGCTGCTCGGATCAGTTATCGAAATACCCTTTTACCTCCTTGACGATCAGGCCCTTGGCTACCGCCATCGCTTCCGAGCATTACATTCATTAAACCAGCCAGAGAACCCACCACCTCGCCTTTGGGCACCCACACCGACGCGATGGACAACATGTCTTCAGATCCGAACGATATGTCTCCAGAATCGACATCTTCCTCCCCATCACCCACTGCTGCGCAAACCACTCCAGGCACTTCGACCAGCTCGACCGCCGGCAGCAGTCAAGGTCCCAACTCGGCCGCTCGCCGGCCGCCCCGGAAGAGTACTCTGACGCAGCAGCAGAAGAATCAGAAGAGACAAAGGGCGACACAAGATCAATTGGTGACTTTGGAATTGGAATTTGCCAAAAATCCCACTCCCACTGCTGCTACTCGAGAACGGATTGCTCAGGAGATCAACATGACCGAACGGTCGGTCCAAATTTGGTTCCAGAACAGGTGGGTGCTTCCGGCAGCAAGCATGTCTGTAAAGTCGTGACTAACCCTGAGCACAGCCGTCGTCGAGCCAAGATAAAGATGATTGCAAAGAAGAGCTTGGAGACCGGTGAAGATTGTGACAACATCCCCGAGTCTCTCCGGCAGCTGCTGGCCATGCAGGCCATGGAAACTGGCAGGCCATTCCCTCGACAGCTACTCGGTCGTCCTGGTGGGCACATGGCCCACTATGGAAATGGTGGCATGTTGATGAATGGTGACCCTACGGGCCCAGGTAAAACAGGTATGGAAGCTTGGTTTTGACGCCCTCGGCTGTATCTGACTAACACGCAATCAGTCATTCAACATCTCACCTGTCGCTCTTTGAGCATCGGTACCTGGCGACGCGTCGGCCAGAACGCCATGGATCTGGTCATCTTCTACTCCCCCGACAAAGCCTGCATCACATACTACATCAACAACGACTCGGCAGGCTACAAGATCGAATATCCCTTCGCCTGTATCAAGAGCATTCATTTGGAGCCCGGTGACACGGCTCCACCTGCAAACGGATCTCCGGCGCGGCTGGGTGGGCTGGTCATTGAGTTGAACCGGCCACCCAACTTCTTCATGGACTCGTCCGGCTCTGGAGGCTTCTACCAATGCGGCGACTTTACCGAGGACCAACAGGCATCTCAGATTTTGACGCACCATTTGGGAGGCCATCCAAAGGTGCTGAGCGGGCAACTCGCCAAACTGGTCTCTCTCGACTCTTTCCAGAACAGATTCAACCCCTTTGACATGAGTGCGATGCCCGCATCGGCACCCGTCTCGCCCACGATGGGCATTGTCCGACCGGCCTCTCAGCCTTCGGTTCAATTTGCCCGCCCGCATCCTCCTCACGTGGGCATGTTCCAAGAACAATTTGGCATCCACCAACACCTCCATCCTTCTCGTATGCACCCAGGACATAAGCGTCAACGTAGTCGGTCGGTTCCCATCGCGCTTGACTTTTCTATGCTTCATGGGCCAATGCCCACCTTTCACGTCCAGCAACCGTCGCCTCAACTTGGACCCGACCAGCACCATCTGTTCCAGCCCATGCCACAGCAACCGGCCCAGACTCCTCTGGGGCCGACTTTGCAGATTGATACTTCTGCAGGGTACGGCATGGACTTCCGTCAAATGCCCATGTCGGCGACGGCCACCTCACCTTCGGAATTCGCCAGTCCGGGATTCTTCCCTTCCAACCCCGCCCAAGCCCCGATGCCAGGTTCGGAATTTGGCACTCCCCAACAATTCAACGTACCGTTCCTCTCTCCCTCTCCCATGGTCGATCACCATATGATGCATAACCAAATGTCTCCGCTATCTCACATGGGACACCCGGATCCGGTGATTGCCGACCACTCGCCACCGTTGTCGACGATGCATCGAAGTGCGTCGGCTGACATGTTCGGCATGGGCCATGATCACACTGGCATGATGGACGAGACTTTGATGTTGGGAGAGATCTACTCGAAACACAATCTCAACATGCCGATGCCCAGTCCCGGGTACGACGAGAGCGGACTAGCCATGATGGGCGACATGTCCGAATTCCACACTCCACGGGAACACATGGACATGCCCATGACCCCGTTCGGGACGATTGATCCCCACAACCTGCAAGCTGGCCTACACTAAAACTCGACGACCACCTCCTCCTGTAACAGTTTGAACGACCTTTATGCCTCTCTAGAAGCCTGACTCTGCAACAAACCAATGTTTTGCACAAATTGGAATCTCATTCAATTCCAGCTCTGTCCGGACGGTGCTCATCATCTTTGGCCCACTTGTTACATTTTTTTGTTTTTTGTTAGTATATGCCGGCCATGGCTGCCTGCACTTGATAGCGTGGATAGCTATCAATTCTGTTCTCGCTTTCCTGTCAATGTCATGGGTTGTGTGCTGTCTGTTTAGTCACGTGGTTATGTATCAGAAACGACTTTTTTTTCTGCCTTGTTGGGCCTTGATTATTTGTTGCCCGGTTTTGTCTCATGGGAAGGGGGTTTCAGGGGAGGGTGACAAAAGTATTGCAGACGGAATCCCAGGGGAATTGCGGTGAACCTGGTGTCCCAAAGATTCTGAGGTGAACCTGGTGTCCCAAATTTTCCTCGGTTGTTGAACAGAGTTTGATAAAGCATACACCTGACAAGCTGTGTTGGACCAGGAAGCATTGGGTGGAATTAATCTCTGCAGGCGCGAGCAATCATCCGTCGAAATCGTTGGGTAGAGTGGTGGATGGTGGCAGAAGGCGAGTTAAGCTTTCGGGGTGTACTGCATCATGAGAGCCTCTGATGGTGTGTGTGTGTGTGTGTGTCTCATGAGCAGAGTGTCATGGTCATCTCCCTTCTCTCCCAATCTGGGGATGTTGTGAAGCAGCGGTTGGAAAGATGGAAGACGGTGCAGAGTTGAGAGTTGAGAGTTGGGGGGTCAAGGCTGGTTATAATTCAAAGCCCACCAGCATCCAATTTGCATCGCATATTACAGATTACAGATTTAGCTAGGCCAAATAGTCGGGTTTGATGAGGAAATTCGTTGGCAAGATTGCATTGTACATGTTTTGACGGGGGGAATGAATGTTTCAATCTTGTTGTAATTGATGCATTTGGGCTGATGGCTGGTTTCGGGGGGCAACTAAGGCCCAAGCCAGCCTGGAGGAGCCTTTAGGGGCGTTTAGGGTGGGCGAGGGCCTGGGTGAAATTGGGTGAAATTGGGTGCAATCTTGCCGCGCCCACCAGCCTCGTAATAGAGAGGGGGGAGAGGGGGATTGAGAGGGTGAAATTAGGGCTAAGAGATGAGGGCTTAGGGCGAGGGGCACCTGAGGGGGCATCCCTACTGTAAGTCGAGGGGTCAGGAGGCTTAAGCCACGTTTCCCTGGTGAGCTCTATATTGTATTGTGCACAGTGCGCTGGTGTCTGGTGTCTGTCTGTACGGAGTACCTATCTATCTAGAAGCAGTCACAGCTAGTGTTTGATTGAACGTATGTCCATTCAATCAACATTATCAGCCATAGTCAATATAGCATAGGTATAGGTAGTTGAATAACAACTGTCTGTCTCCAAGGCCACGGTGAGCAGACCAGACCACACTACTCGTACAGTGCGTACTGTATACAATAATTTCCAACCAATCTCAATAATCTCCATCTCATCAATCTCATCTCCATCTCCATCTTAAATCTCATCCCATCTCCATCTAGATCTCAACGCTCAGATTGCATTGGATTGGATTTCCGATTTCCAAATTGAGATCGAAACCGAGCGAAACCAACCTAGAGTAGAGCAGCAAGAACTAACCAACCTATAGTACGAGTACCTTACAAACGAGCAGGGACCACGTTATCACCATATCATATCCCATCCGATCACTGTGCTGCGATCTTCTAGCACACTGCCTCTCTCTCTCTCTCTCTCTCTCTCTCTCTCTCTCTCACACACAATTCTGGTGATCCGACGCACCTGTCAATCTTTATTTGGGGTGTTCGTGAATGAATGAACATCAGGTCCCGACAACCTCATTCATGTTCACGGTCATGACAGTGGGTTGAGCCTCTTCTCATTGCACGTTGAGACAGGTGGTAGGTGGGTGGGAATCTGGTGCTGGAGGTTTGATCTCATCTCAGGTTTGATTTGGCGATTTACCTTGTACAACAGACATGTGAAGTGTTGGGCAGAAGACAAAGTCTGCTTACTGTAGGTACATAGGTACCTAGGTGAGGTAGGTGGTAGCTACCCAGGCAGCAGTGCAGCTGTGACAATGACGCAGTTCTGTTTTTCACTCTTCTTCACTCTGTTCTTCGCTCTGTTCTTCGCTCTGTTCCTCGCTCTGTTCTTCACTCTGTTCTTCAGTCTATTCTCACTGTTCTTCACGGTAGGCACAATGATCGACCGCAGTGAAGAGCCGCATATGTCTAGTTGCCTAATCGGTGAGTGTCACCGCGAGTGTTGATATTATTCTCGATTCTATAACTTACTGACTTCTGTTTTGAATGTCCTTTCTTACTCCCATCTTGCTCTTCCATCTTGTCTCTTATCTCTTGTTACTCCCCATCTTGCTCTGTCTCTTGTCTCAACCCACCTTGGTCTCGCCCATCAGTCGATTGAGCTTGAAATCTACGAGATCGAACCAATATAATGGACTCCCTTGAGCACTGTCGCGATACACGCGATACACGCACACCCATCAACCCCCAGCCTGAGCCACTCTCCAGCTCTGCCAGAAGCCCAACTTCACTCTCCAACCACCTCACAAGTGAAGACAAACCTGAAGAAAACAACTCGTCCTTGGATAACGATGCAACTCCTCGTCCAGTCTCCCCCGCGCATTCAACCACTCCTGACGACCCTCCTGATGACCCTCATGACGATCCTCCTGTTGTGTCCTCCATCCTCAAAGAGATCATAACCTGTATCGATTCTTTCGACCGCCCCTTCTGGAAGGAATATCACCTCGACGCATCCTACGTGGATTTGCCCTACCAGCGCCTCGAAGAGTTTGCCGATCGGGAGTGGAAGAAATTTCGGTAGGCTTGAGAAATCAAAGGCATCTCAACCTTGGACTCCTACTAACACCGAGATGCAGGTGTGGCTATTTCTCGGAGACTCAGACCTTTATTTGCGCAATGTCCTCTTGGGCACAGGGGGTCTGTAGTAGCTTGTTCTCTCGATCCATGAGATTTAAAATACGTGATCTGTGCTCTTCGCCGGAAGAGAAAGAGTTTCTAGACAAAATCATCGGTAGACGCGAAAGCGGCCGACCGCAACGACAAAGGGTTCCACCAACAGGATGTCTACTTCACGCATCTCCGCTTTCCAGGATACGGTCTTATTTTAGAGGTCGCATATTCGCAGAAGCGCGAGCGTCTGCCAGATTTGGCCCACTTCTACTTCTTCAAGAGTCGAAGAGACATACAAGTGGTTGTTGGGATTGATTTTGACGCCAATAAATCGAAGAAAGCTACTCTGCAGACATGGAGATGCGACGGCAGCAATCTGAGAACCCACATTCAGGTTAGTGTATTGCATGCTTGCCCCTGAACAACTACTTACCGTGAGATAGGATCTACGAGACGAAGAAGGCACTCTTGTTCCAGGCCCCCCGCTGCGATTGTCCATTTTGGATCTAGCACCTGCGAACCTTGTCCCCCTCTCGATGCACGACAAGATGGTGGAAGTTTCGGTACAAGATTTCAACGAAATTCTCCAGGAGGCTGATGAGTACCAAGCTAATGCTAAGGTGCCCAACATAAACCCGATAAACTGTGCTAACAACTGATTCGGCTCCTGTGGTTGAGTGAGGGCTTGTGTTGGTATTTCAGACGACACCCACCCATGTACGAGTATGACATGACACCCCTGTACGAGTATGACATGACCCCTGTACGAGTATGATATGATATGAGTTTGTCGACGGTACAAGATAGCCAGAATGCAGCGCGTCTGCGTTTGCGACAAAAAGAATACCACAATTACATAGCAGTTGATTCTCCCACACGTGTTAAGAGTAATGGAAAAAACCCCCCAAATCTTCAGTCTACCCAGTAAAGTAAACATGTTTCTAAAGTGCCGAACCCTGATTATACAGTAAGTATTCTACGGCCTCGGTAACAAAGAGTAAACATGCCATGCCATGATTTGATACGGCCCCGATAACTCTAAGAGTAAACATGCCATCCCATGCCATACAATCAAATATAATCAAATACAATCCAATCCAATCTTGAACGATGGCTTGAAATTCAAGTCAATTTAAGTCAAGTCATGTCAAGTCCAAGTTATAGTTATAGTCTAAGTTATAGTCCAAGTCTGTCAAACGAAGGTTGAAATATTCTATGTTCTCTATTAACTATCAAAGGGTAGTAGAGATATAATAGGCTATATAGTATAGTATAGTATAGTATAGTATAGTATACCTAAACTAGCCTTCTGGTTGAAGCACAAGGCTGGGAATGCGAATGCGCCTAAGTTTAATAAAGTTAAGTCCAAGTCATAGTCCAAGTCATAAATGGCCCACCCCCCAAATACCCAACGGATCCTCTCCTCCTGCAGTTATAGTTGCAGTCGCTGTTGCAGTGTTGCTCTCGCTCTCGCTCTCGCTCTTGGCCCGCCCACGCTGTAGTCTCTTGACGCGGCGTGCGAGCAACCCTAGAGCCAAAGGCCCCGCCATCGTGCACAGTAGTATGGCCCACGTGACGATCAGGTAGATGTCCGAGTCCGAGTCTAAGTCTAAGTTGGTGCTGGTGGAGGACCTGGATGAGGATGATGATGAGGCTGTGGATGAGGAGGACGTGGATGAAGTGGACAAGGCTGTGGACATGGACGTGGACCTGGTGTCGAATATACCATTGCTGGCTGCCAGAGCTGAAGTCAGAAAGCCAATCTCGCCCCGAGCCACCATGGCGCTACCGAGTAGGGATGCCGGGTACAGTGACTTGGGCTGGCGAGGGCGAGGGATTGAGAGGTGTAGATGTTTCTTTTGCTCATTGGTCGCTGGTGGTGATGATGGTGGTGGTTGTGGTGACGTTGATAGTGGTGGTGATGATGTTGCTACCGTTCCTGCTGTTGGTGGTAACGTTGATGGTGGTGGTGATGATGTCGCTGCCGTTCCTACTGCTGCTAGTGATGGTGATAATACTGGTGATGACGATGATGTCGCTGCCGTCCCTGCTACTGAACTATTCGACCCCCCCATCCTGACAAGCCATACTCCACAAAAGAGCTTGCCGACAGCCATCAAGGCTGCGTAAACAAAGCCGCGCCAGACGATGGAGCCTCGGAACATTTTGCCGATAGGGATGGAGAAGCCGATGGATGCCTAGACGATAGATAGGACGTGCCATTAGTATTAGGCAAACCAGACCAAAAGTGACACTGATCTAGGGAAAGAAACAGAATCACAAATCTATCGATATTGTTTCTTTGCCAGGGAGGAGACGAGAGTTCTGGTATTGGAAAGGATTGAATTGGGAAAGACGGCGTGTACAAAGGGAACATATGATATGGAATAAATAGAACAGATAGGTTAGACGACAGGGCAGACGATAGGGCAGAGGGCAGAAGTTAGAGGATCGAGGGCAGATGACAGGGTAGACGACAGGGCAGAGGGTAGACGACAGGGCGAACCACAGAGCGAACCACAGCGGACGACAGAACAGAGGGCAGAAGTTAAAGGGCAGAAGTTAAAGGGCAGAAGTTAAAGGGCAGAAGTTAAAGGGCAGAAGTTAAAGGGCAGAAGTTAAAGGGCAGATGTTAAAGGGCAGAAGTTAAAGGGCAGATGTTAGAGGGTAGATGCTAGAGGGCTGAGGTAGAGGGCAGAGGTAGAGGGCAGAGGTAGAGGGTAGAGAGCACAGGGCAGAAGTTAGAGGCCAGAGGTAGAGGCCAGAGGTAGAGCTTACAAAAAAAAACGGTTTCAGAATCCGTTCTGTGGCAGGGCCATAATACGTCTTGTACATGCTCAAGCTGCGGCTTTCCATTTCTGGCGTTGACGTTTCCGTATCATCGCCGATTGTGCCTTTTTCCGGAGGAGGTGTTGGTGGATATGATGAACGCGCAGGAGTGATTTGGTCTGTAGAAGTGATCTCGTAGGCAGAAGTGATTTGTTCCGTAGAAGTGATCTCATCCTCGTGTGTTCGTTGGGCCGATGCTTGGTCAATTCCACTGTCATCCTTGTTCTTCAGTGACATGCCAGGACGAGAGGACTGGGCCGGCATAGGTCTCGTATTTCCATCAATGACAACAGACGCATTTGAAGATCCACGGGTCGAATTGGCCGTTCTGGTCGACGCAATCCTATCGTCGAGCCAAGCGACACAGGCTCCGGCGAGATATGCGGCAAAGAGAGGAGACGTGCCCGCATAGCTGGCAGCGCAGACCAGAGCGACGAGCAGAGCGGTGGCGAGAAGAAAATACACAGCCGATGCTGACACCAAGCTATCTGCACCAGTCGACACTTTCCGCATGTTGATCCGCACATTGGAACGTCGATATCTCAAGATGGGTCGGACCAAGAGCCTGCAAGCTAGTGGCAGGATGACTGCGAACCCAACAGAAACCAAAACAGGGCGGACGACCGTAGTGGCCTGGACGGATGTGTGGCCCGATGCAGGTCCAGATCTAGATCCTGGTCCCAGATTAGAGATGACCTGGACCATGACCAGGCCGACGACGTCATCGAGCATTGCTGCACTGGTCAACACGGTACCCAGCCGACTGCCGGTCAGGCCAGTGGCTTTCAATATGCTGAAGGTGGTGCCCAGGCTCGTCGAGCATAGCGCCGCCCCGGCGGCAAACGACTGCAAGTGGTTGGCATGGGCAAGGGCCCCGAGCGAGAAGGAAAACGCTATGGGCAGGACGATGCCGGTCAAAGCGACGCAGATGGACAGGACGAGTGTTGCTTGGATGGATCTGGCCGACGTCGCGAGACCGCCTTCGAAGACAATGGCAATCAAGCCCAGGTAGCCCAGCTGCGTGGCCACTTGTTCAAACTGGCGCGAGAGCATTTTCGCTCCAGGGGCTCCCCACGCCATGCCGATGAGCACTTGACCCACGAGGCCACAGTAGACGACATGGTCGAGCACTGAATGGACGACGTTCAATGCTAGCAGGAAGGAAGCCTGCGCCAGGATGGCCACGATGCCGGGCTCTTCATATGGGAGGGCGGCGTCGGCCATGGTTTGCGGTCGCGGTTGCGGTCGGTTCAGGATTCGCACGAGACTCCATGAGGAGACTTGAGGTTGAGGTGGGAGGTGCCTTGCCGGTGGGAAGTGGGAGGTGGGATTGGGATTGGATTGTGGTAAGTCGAGTTCTCTCGACGGAGTAGTGTAAGAGGAGCAGTTGAGTGGTAGTAGTGATATCAGACTTAGTGGCACCAAATGGATGCCGGACACTAAGTCCTTAGCGCTCACTGTATTCGGAAGGTCTGCCGATCACGTGCTGATGGCCCAGTGTGCATCCCAGTGGCCACAGGTCTCTGGCTCTCTCTACCTGAGTATATAATCTCTCTGCCAACTAATCACCATCTCTTCACGACGTCTCTTCTCCATCTCTTCATCTTCATCTTCATCTTCATCTGAATCCTTGAGCCCGATCTCGACCCCTTTAGACGAGGTTGACTCTTCCCGTGTACCTTTCTTAGGCTCAATGCGTGTGACCCCTTCACCTTTAGCCTCTATCGCACCGGCTGGTTCTGGGTCTTCCCCCACGATTGATCTGACTCTCGCCCGTCTTTCTCGTCGGATGTCATCGGAAAGACGCACTAGTTGAGCGACGTCCTCCTGTTGCTGCTGTCAGTGTCTGAGCCCGGGTTCTATGGGGGCCACTTACGTATCGCAGGTAGTCAGTGACATAGTAGAAATCTTCCGTTTCCTCGCATTCAAAGCCCATTTGTACAATTGCTTCTTTCTCCACCATATCCTTTGTGATTTCCGTCCAAAGTCCCTTTGGGCTCTCATAGCTGGGCCCGTTGTCTCTCTGCCATGTTATCTCACCGCTAGCTGACCCTACACCATCCATTCTTTGACCGCCAGACGCACGAGGAACATTATCGACGGATGTCCGGTCTCGGTCGATGACGTCAGGCTCGTCTTCATTGACATAGCGCCTAAGCCGTTGAGGCCGAGCCGGAGGAGGAGGAGGAGGAAGAGAAGGAGGAGACAAAGGCGTAGAGTCTTTGTATCTGGATATGACCTTCACCTCCGGGAGGTTTATAGGATCTTCCTTGTCGTAATTTCCTGGCAATTGAGTAGGAGCATCCGTCCGCTCTCGGTTCTCCCACCCAACGACGGATTCTTGCGTAGACAGAGGAGCGTTGATTCTCGGAGCCAGATACGGACTTCGGGGACGAGACGGAGAAGGGGGATGGAGAATATAGGTGACCTCTTCATCTCCGCTTTGATCTCCGCCTTGATCTCCGCCTTCACCTTTGTTCCCTCGGACAACCATCAGAACAGATTCGCCACTAGAGCTTCGGCCCGGAGATCTTGTTGCTCTGCGATATCTGTGATATCTGCGCCGAGTGGGAGCTTCGTCTCCAGATTCCTTCTCCTCGAACCACCTGAAATCTTCCCCTTCGTCGTCGTCGTCGTCGTGTTCTTCTTCTCGCGATGAAGTGGGGGGATATAACACGCAATATTCATCCTTGTCCTCGATCCCGCCTTCTCGCATAAATGGAGTTATACTGTGGATTGGACGCGGAGTCGGGGCGGGAGCCTGAGGTGAAATATCAAGGCTCTTTGTCCTCCTGACGATGACTTCTTCCGTACCACGCCGATGATATTCAGGTCTGAGAACGTCTCTTGGGTGGCGTATAGGCTTCGGGAAGAAAGGCTTCGGGAAGAATTTGGCTTCTGCCGCTTCAATCTCTTCTCTGGCAGCTCGTTCCTCTTCCGCTTCAATCTCTTCTCTGCGGATGCGTCGTCGTTCCTCTCTGGCAGCTCGTTCCTCTTCCGCAAAACGATGAAAGTCTCCAGGGCTGCATTATTCTTGTCATTGAGTATAGGTTGTGGAAGTGGATTACTAAGGTCCTCGCCTTCTGTCCCCTCTGCCCTCTTGGCGGTGATGATTTCTTCCTCCTCGCCCTCACTTCGGCTGGGTGGCAGGGGCGGCGTAACAATCTTTTCCGCGAGGTCTTCACGCTCTTCGAGGTCGGAGTCTAATAGAAAATCTCGTCGCGGAGACACTTGTCGCGGAGACGAAAGAGAACTCTCGCTCTCAGTTGGGGCCGGAAGGATATTAGTCCATTTGTCAGGTATCGGTCCTTCTGGTGATATTCTCTGCCTGAGTAGGCGTGCTTGTGCTGTTGGACTTTGTGCAGGAAATGCCATATCAAAATCATCGTCTTCTCGTATTGGACTTGGAGGATCTTCCAGCCAGCTTAGATCATCAGCGAGGGCTTCCTGCGGAGATGGAGGAGTACTGTCAAAAGTCCGTTCGACAAAAGGCATGACGGGAGAAGGTGGCATAAAATCATCATCGTCTTCTCGAATTGGACTTGGAGGATCTATTAGCGAGTCTCGATCCTCGTCCTCAACGAGAGCTTCCCGCGGAGACTGAGGAGTGCTGTCGAAGGTCAGGGCGACTGAATGGGCGAGCGACACGTCCATTTGGTCTTCATCCGTCACCCCCGTGGCATTTTGGTCGGATTTGCCATCCTGGGCTTCATCTTCAGTCTCAGCACCCACAGAGCGGGGCATGGCAAACAGGGCAATTCGAATAAGATGGTTGGCGACATGTTGTTGTGCTTTCCCAAATGCGTCAAATGTGTCCTGACAAAAGGGGCATGTCCGACCAGGTGCCAGAGATACATTGTCCATCGCAGCAGAAGCGGCAGCGGTGTTGGCGTGGAAGGGCTCGGAAATACCATGCTCGTGGCCTTGGTCTGTTCTTTTCTGGTGTACATATCCATGGGCCTGGTTCTCGTGATTGGCCCAGTCGGTAAAGCTGTCGTAGAGTTGACTGGCATCTGGACACCTCTCATAAGTGCATACATAAGGACGAAGATCCTTCAGGATATGAGCACTGCATATTGTATCAGTGATCAATGATCAGTATACATTCCTATCCTAAACTGACGGGGTGGGGTCTGCACTCACGTCCATGCCTTTTTGTGCAGTAGTCGCTTCGAGCACATGGTGAAGCAGTAGGGACACTCGAACTCCTTCAAATCCTCTTGGGCCAGGTACTTCGCCAGGACCGGTGGGATTTCTATGACCTCTTTGCTTTGAGTCGGCCCCGGGAGCATGATACTCACGGTGGAGAATCGGATCTTGTATCATCGATGTTGATCTTGCTGTAATCCCGGTGAGTTGCTGTGGTCGGTTTGGAGCGTGCAGACGTCGAGGGCGGCATCACGGCGACACCTTCACCCAGCTGGACTTGCCGCATCATCCTCTCCTTCACGGTTTCGGCATGTCGGACCTGATTGAGTTTATGATGCCTCCAGTACGCGAATAGCCGGCGTCGTTTGTTGTTTGCTTCTGCCAAGCGTTTCACCAAGTATGAATTGTATTTGTCGATTTGTTTGCCTTTGTCGTCTGGCTTAGAGGGATAGGGATACGATCGTAAGAGATCGTGGATGTGCTGCTCATCTATGTGCTGGGTTTGGAACGACTCGAAGAGGCCGACGCCTGACTCTGAGTCCACCTGCTCGTATTGATAGCCCCTGGAAAAGCCGGTTCGTGTTGCCGGATCTCGGACTTTCATGGCGAGTTTGAATAGCCTGTCAATCGAGTCGACCACGGACTTGAACGCCGCTTGGGCAAGAGTCTCGTCGTCAAAGCCGTCCCAAGAGTCATCATCGGAATCATCATCGTCGTCGTCGTCGTCGTCGGATTTCACATTGTCCACGTCTTCTGTTGGGTGGCTTCCATTTTCTAGAGAGCCGGCTCGCTTGAAGATGTCATCGTTGACTTCCAACAATAAATGGTTAGTGGAAAACAGATCAATCTGATAGATGGCGAGGCCGAGAGGATACTTACTACCGGCCAAAGCATGCAGAAGGTCAACCAGCAATTTTCTCGCATACTCGTACAGATTTCGAGCATCTCGAAACCGATAATCCAGAGAGGCATGGCCCCGCTGGTGAAGGCCGAGGTGGACAGCCCACAGGTTGAATCGGTCCTGTTCATTGTCCACTCTCTCGTAGTCCAGACCCTTGTGATCTTCCATGCCCGGCCAGTCTCTTGTCACCTTCTCGAAGAGTTGGACGACCTTGAAGCCGACCTCAGCAAGAGTTTCCGGAGACCCATCATCGGTTGTCGCAGACATATCTGTCAGCCTCAGCCTCAGCCCCGCGCCAGGGTGTCGTTTCCTCCGCTCACCAGAAAGGGCGGTCAGGTTAATACAGGAGTGAAGGCGTCCAGAGTCTGGCCGCCATGCCTATATTGAGTTCATCGTTGAAGAGTAAGCCTGACCGCAGATCTAGAGAACAGGCATCAGCCCGAAGGATGACTCTTTCTAAAACCTGATGAGTGCGACGTTGCGAAGTCTTGCACCCAATCAAAATTCCCAGTTAAGCGACTGAGACGTGGCAAGCGTCAGTTTCAGCCGGATACCCCGCGATGCTCACTTTCAACCTCGTGGATATGAGATGCTGAACATAATCCGGCCTCGACCATTCAAGCCTCATCCATCAGCTGAATGATGTGGAAATGAGCGGGTTAGAAATTGTTGGCCTTGTTCTGGGTGCCGTGCCGATCATTCTTTCCATCCTGGAGACATCCAAGTCACTCAATCGAAAGAAGATTGCGTTCCAGAAGAAGCAATTCTACATCGATCGTATGATCAATGCTCTATCATGGCAGAAGACGCTGATCGAAGGAGACCTGGAGATCCTGTTCCGGAGTATCGGGCTGGAGGATCAGGACTTGCGCACAATCGGGTCAAACCCCTACGAGGCTCTGTTGAAGCAACCGGACATTCAGGAAGGAGTCCAGGTCTTGATGGGTCCTCGGTATGACTCCTATGTGCAAGTTCTGTCAGACTGTGAGCGGGCACTGCTCGCTATCCTGAGGTCAGTCAAAGGCTTGCAAGGCGGCGCTTGGGTAGGTGAATGTGGCAGAAGACAACCGACAGCGTTCATTACTTACTTCGATCCAGGTTGATAATGGCAAACTGGCCGACATGATGCAGGCCAACAGTCCACTGAAGCAGGGCGACCGGGCATTTTTGAAACGCCTGAAATTCAGTATGCACAAGGAAGAGCTTGAATCAACCATCCGCGACCTCGACCGGACTTCGCAGCTCCTGACTCGTCTTCGAGAGACCAGCCAGGAAGCGAACCAGGTCATCCTGCAAATCCCATCCATGAAGACATCGAAGATGATCGCACTCTTTCAACAGGTCCGTAAAAGGGCATATTCGCTGTACGGGGCCATGATGAGGAGCTGGGCGAAACCGTGTCATGAGACCCACATCGCCAGGCTATATCTCGACAATCGAATGGACTACCTGGGAGACGGCATGAACCGGAAGGGGACAGGCAGGAATCCAGCCATCGAATTCACCGTGACGCTGGAGGGCAGAGGATCTCAGGGCCAATCGACGCGCCATACCTGTTCGATCGAGACCATGGGCGCTGAGGACGGTGACGGTGACGTGGAGAATTCCGGAAAGACCTTGGTAGTCTCGTTTGCAATTCCATCGTCCTCAGCGGTCAAATCGCCCGTGACCAAAAACATCGATGACATCTGTCATCTCATTGTGGAATCCGCGATCCAGAGCCAAGCACTCAAGATATACCTTCGCCATGACGGGGTCTTGTGCTATCGATGTGCGCCTGGCGGAGGGATGCAAACGATAACCACTCCCACCACCATCAACGACGAGCTCATTAGCTTACAGGAGATCTTGCACCTGCCAAAGGCCAGGCTGTCGTTGAGGCAGCGCGTGAGGCTGTCCGCCGTAGTAGCATCTTCGGCGATGCAGCTTCATGCCACTCCCTGGTGCGCGGCTCTGAGAAAGGAGTGCTTTTCATTCCTCGAACACAATGACTCTGGCCGTACTTGGGTCGATCTCGACCATCCATTCGTGACCTGCCTATTCAAGAACCCCGGTCAGACAACAAGGAAGTCGGGTGAGGCTGAATTGCTGGACCTGGGCATTTTGATCATTGAACTGTGGGAGAACGAGTCGATTGAGGCGTTTGCTGCCCAGATGCACCTTCAACTTCTGGACACATACGATTGTCGACAGAGTATCGCCAGATGTTGGCTGAAGGAAAAGCGAGACGACATGTTGCCTCCCGTGTTTGGTGCAGCTCGGCGGTGTGTCGAATGTCGCTTCGACACTTTGTCCGTCGATTGGGACGACCGAAAAGTGAACTTGAGCATCTTTGAGGGAGTGGTGAAGCCGCTGTGGGAGAGTTGTCGAGAGTGATGAAAGACGCACTTGTCTTTAATTGTTACCTGTGCCAGAGGAATCGTCCGTTTACATTCTTACCGTGACGCGGGGGTGGGAGTCATAGGTAATCGACTTCCGGCGACCGATGAGCGGGATCACATCAGGCTCTTTCTGCTTCCGGATGACGTAGGGGAGTGCGATGGTCGTCCGACTCTCGATAGCATGCTCATCGGCGATAATGGCCTCTGCAAGACAGCCCTTGCTGTCTCCGGTCTGGCCGCAAACGTGTAGGCATACCTAGACAGACTCTGTAAGAGATTGTGTGTGAAGTTGAACTAGGTACCTGTAGGTATGTAACTCTCGCCGAGTTTCTCCGGATCTGGTTTAGCGCGATCACGGTCAATTCTGGCCAATGCTCCACTGTATTCGGATATCTTACGCAGTACTGTGGAGTATTACCCAGCCCACGCACCTACCACGCGTTCCACTGTGGCCTTTCCTCCTCGATGGCCGTGTCATGACTTTCCACTTTCCCGTTGCACCCTTGGATGCCCTCAACGGCTATTGACCCAATCGGGGATATGATGGCGCTGCACTTCCGATGGAGATTCACGGAGCTCCGTGAAATCAAAGCCTGCTAATCAAATCATGGGAGGCTCCGGCTGAGTGGCCCGAGTCCTGTGAGGGAGGCATCTGCACCTTCGTGCTCAACAAGAATACGGAAACAATGGACGAGGCCTGCTCGCTTCTACAGCCGAGTGTTACTTACTGTACAGGCTGAAGCTACGAACGATACACGTCCTGAATATCAGATGACAAATTTCTCGCCCACCAAGCTCTCGCTCAACTCCCACAGCTTCTCGACGCTACTTTGGTCCTGTGCATGCTCAACCACCTCTGTGAGATGACAGTCCTTCAGATACCCACCACTCGCGTCTCTGATGGTCGGGTCAAACGCCGCGACGAGGGTGGTGGCCGACCCCTGCTCCAAACTCTTGGGCTGGTCCATTTGGCCGAATTTCCTTCCCGTGTTTCGTTCCGTGACTTCATTGATGGTGCCGAAGATGCTCAAGTCAAGCCCGTCCCCGAGATGGGTCTCAAAGATGACGCCCGGGTGGACGGCGAACGAGGTGACGCCGCGCTTGGCCAGGCCCTTGGTGAAGAGGATGTTGGCTGTCTTGGACTGGCCGTAGCCAGACAAAGGATCGTAGGTCTTGCCGTCGTCGAAGTTGATGTCGTCTGCTCGGAACGGGCAGACCAGGTAGCCGTTCGATGTCAGGTTGACGACGCGCGCAGTCTTGCCGGCGGCCTTGATCAACGGAAATAGTCGCTGCGTGAACACAAAGTGTCCGAGATGATTGGTGGCGAACTGCGATTCCACGCCAATCTCGGTCTTGGAGTATGGCACAGCCATGATTCCGGCGTTGTTGATCAGCACATCGATCTTCTGGACATGCCGGCCCACCTCGGCCGCCGCGCTGCGGACCGACTCGAGGTCGTCGAGGAAGATTGGCACGAAGGCAACTTTGGTCGAGGGACTGAGCTCGGCGATCCGGTCGATCACGGGTTGCACTTTGGAGGCCTGGCGCGCGAGGAGGACGAGGGTCGCTGGCTTTGCGGCGGCAATGTCAAGAGCTGTTTGGGACCCAAGACCGCCGGCGCTGGCTCCGGTGATGACGACTGAAACTCGGGGATTAGCAAACACCGATCGATTCCTGTGAACGAGGAGGGCTGCAAGGAAGGAAGAGGCAGGATCACCTGTCTTGCCAGCGATGTACTCTTTCCACGTCTCGACCACTTCGGCGCCAGTGGTCTCTCGTGAGAAGGTCACCATGGTGCGTGGCAGGAGTACTTGTAGTTTGCGAGGTATGACTTTTTCTAATGGCTTCAACGTACACAGCTGCTGTTCTGTGCAGTCAACTAGTTATGCTTGGATGAGACGGGGTGGGTAGAGCGAGACAACAATTGCCAGCTTATATCCCATTCCAAGGACCATAAGTCCGAGTCGGATGGTCTGGCTGAGTAATGCCAGGAAGATCAAGAGCAAGTGGGCCACCCCACGACTAACGCAATTCGGTCAAAACAGCGAGCCGCATCGGGCCTATTTGATAATTAATTAGTCTGCCATATATGTGTAGGACTGGGTCAAGGACAGTCCTAGTACCTCGCAAGAAGCACCCCACAGAGGCTAAGTTGGGAGGCTTGCCGATGTCGTGTCTGGCGTGTCCCTTGGGAAGAGAGGGATTATTTGCCGCCAATTGGTCATCCCAGGCAGCCAGGTCTTCTTGCTGGATGGCTTCAAATCCTCGGCGACGCGGTGTAGTTACCCAGCACTCTGCAGAGCATCTGAACCGACTGTCAAGCGGTGGAAGCTGATACTAATCAGCCTTGCTTAACAATCGACCTTAGTGATGCGTCTTGCAAAGATTCTGCCACCGTCTCGAGTGCGCTCTTCAGGTACTGTCTCTGAGTGCCTTGAGCGGCCTCTGTGCTGAGGGCCACCTTTAATGGCCAAGCTAGAAGGGCGGCCATCATGGGCACAATCTTAGCGTCAGAGAGGGTCAGACGTTTCTCAGTCGTGAGCTCCTCGAATCCTTTCCTGGCCGCGATGGAGAAATCCCCAAAGAACGGAACACTGCCACGCAGCTCTCTGACTGACAAGTCGACCCTCTGCCGACATAGATGGAGCTGCTCGGTGAGAATTAAAGCGTGAGATGGCGAGCTGCACTGCCGCAGTAGGTGTGAAAGACTTCTGGTTCGTATGCTGTTGACGGCGATCCGTACAGCTCGGTGCGTGTTCCAGATGGCAGCGTGGGCATGGCTTTGGTATCTATGGACCGCATCTCCATAGGGGCGAACGGTCGGCGATGAAGCCGGAGCCAGGGTGGGGTGGATGGGTAGCCGCACCACTTTCCACTCATCACCGTCTGCATTTGCGTTGGCGTCTGCGTCGGGCCACGCAGCAAGCGCGTCATCGAGGGCCTTTGCCTCTTCTGAGAGCTTCTCCAGTTGTTGGGCGTCAAGTGAGTGTTTCGGGTCCTCGTTGATAAAAAGGCCGGCTGATTTTGAACGGAGGCCGAGGCATGCGACCTGCACCAGAAGTCGGTCGAGTCCGAGTACCTTATCCTCCCCGTACACGGCGCCGTCACAAAGGAAGTCGGGGACTTCGGTGGCGAGGAAGATGCATGTCTTGATCTGCCATGGGGTCGGGGTCAACAAACTAGTAGATAATTTGTAGAATTGAATTGGTTTGCATCTTTGACTCACGATTGACCATCGGACTGCCCTTTGGATTGACGAATCTCGAGCATCCCCCTCTGTCTGGTATGATAGCCGGAGGAGTGTAATTGCTCCTTGGTGATGGTGTTGCTGGGGGTTCTCAAACATCGTATCCTGGGCAGGAGTGAGTAAAAACCAAAGGCTCTCATCTTGGCTATGCGACATTAGATGTCTCTCATAAACACACCTCGTAGGTAGCTAGTAGCATCGTCGTGATAAGGAGGGCATCCAGACCTCCTTCTTGCAGCTCTTGGATCTCTTGTTGCAACTTGGCGATACTCTGTGCATAATAGGCTGTAGCTAGGTCGAGTGCTTTCTGAAGCCTCTTCTCGCGTCCAAATACAGCATGTGATAAAGCGTGAATTGCTAGATGTAAGCCCGAGCCTGGCTGAGTGAGTGTCCATTGCGGGAGAACGAAAGCCGTGTACTCGTGCCCTAGGGCGCGAAAGGTATCGGTCTCCGGTTGTAACAGATAGTTTCGTACGTAGAAGGAAAAGGCTATGACGTCTACTGGGATAGATATGGAGGGTTCGAGGTTTGGAGGGGTTTCAGGTGCAGTTGTCACGGTCGCCGTCGCTGTCACCGTCGTTGGGTTCGGTCTTCTGGGCTGGCCTTGAGCAAAGGCATTCTCGTTCTTGAACCGGAGACCATGGTGATTGTTTGGGTCCCAAATACAGTCTCGAGATGCCAATGCACATCGACCACAGACTGGCTGTACAATGTCACACTGGAGGAACAGTCTTGAATCAGCAGAGTTGGTACATGGGTGGGATCTGGGACTTGGAAACACCGACTTTGACCCGCCGCTTCCTGCATGTTTGACAGCCGTGACGTGGCAAGGCCATTTCCTTCTTTCTACACATACCAGCCTTGAATGGGCCCTGGGATATACCCGATGTGTGGTGTGTGCGTGCAAAGATGGTCAAGGCATGCAGCAACGTGGAACGTGAAATGGGTCAATCAGACGAGGTCCTGATGTACCTTAGGGTTAGGGTTAGGGTTAGGGTTAGTAGGCATAGTACTAAGGTAGTCCCTAGGTCCCTTAGACTTGGCAATATCGTGTCTTAATTGGCTACCACTACCACTACCACCAACACTTTCTTCACCATTGCCTTGTCAGGATAGGTCGAACAATACACGAGACAACACACTGATAGAGCCACACTGATAGAGCCTCTTCTGAAGCAGACCTCTTCGACACCTTTTCCTACCTCGCCTACACTGCGATCGATGATGACATGTATCTAGAAGCAGATTTTCGGATCGATACTGCTTCGTGGCGTTTAGAACCAAGGTGTGCCGAGTGCGGTAGGCACGTCTGAGGTCGAAGGAAGATACAAGACACCGGTACTGTGCCATCAGCCATCACCAGCTGGGAAAGAGACGCAACGGACGAGGAGATGGAGATGATGGAAATGCTGTATGATGCCCGTCGCCTTGCGCTAACGATCCGAACAGGACATTCAGAAAGCCCTCACACGTACACAATTCCTCTTGCAGTCAAGTCACCTGGACTACAGCTTAAATTAACAATGGGACATTACGACATGATGGGACCAAGGTATCGAAGCATCGAGGTATTCTGTCTCTCAGACACCTGCTAAAGCTAGGTACTATAGTACTGTAGATGAACCTGGAACAGATATCCGCTCTACATTTCTGTATATCTATCAGCGCAATCGCTCAAGATTTATGTATCTCCGATAGGTCAAGGGATGGCTTCATAGCAATTACTGCAAGCTGTATGTACATCTAAGACTAAGTAGTAGTGGGCATCAGAGTACCTGTGTTTTGCATGGGAGATGGTATGAAGCAAGACACTATAATGCTTCACTTGACTTGACTTCACTTCACTTTACAGCCCTCAAATCCAGATCCCACAGGGTCACCTGACCATGCAAGGTGAATGCTTCATTTATTCGCACCCTTATATGCGAAGTTGCAGAAAGGTGATCTCAACCAACGTGCGACGGTTACCCAGCATCCTAACAGCAAAGATAACAACACCGCCACCACCAAACAGGGTTCGAATCCCATAAGCGACCAATTCACGACCAAAAATAAGCACGACCATAAATAAACTCGACCATAAATAATACAACCAGAAATATCGGTCAAAAAACCAAGGGGATCAAACTCCAAGGTTTTCACTCACTCATTAACCCCTATACAACTGGGCTTATGAGACGTGTTTTTTGCCGGTTTAGTCGCCTGAATGGAGTGCTGGGTATACATTTAAACTTGGAGGCGTTCCCCAGCCTTGCATCTATCACTAGCCCTTTAAGTCCGGTCCGGTCGTTATCGGGCGCGGCTGCCTCGGAGATATTGTGGACAAGTCCACCGGCTTAAGCACAGATAGCGATAGCACCCAGGCCGTTAGTGGTTGGTCTTATGTACTTGTAGATAAGAGATAAACCGTTCAATGTTCTCTGACTGCTACAGCAATCACTCACTAACTACTTGATCGTTTTCATTCCTCCTTTGTGGCGGATGATGATATGATTCCATCAAGACTTAGAGCTCCGACGGTCGACGCCTACTAGTAGCATATTTAGTTTTATTTCTCCTGATTCCGATCCCGATTCGATGCCGCCTTCTCCTGATACGGATATGGACATGACCATGACAACCCGGAATCTCGAGGCTCCCGTACACGTCAAACGGAGGCGGACCGGCTGCTTCACCTGTCGGCGGAGGAAGAAGAAATGTGACGAGACGAAACCACAGTGTACGTTGCATACATGGCCTTCTCATTCTCAATCTAGGCACGATGGTTGTCTGGTGTCGTTGTCGTCATTAACGCCCTCTTCTCTGTGCATAGGCCGGGCGTGTCTCCGAACCGGCTACGTGTGTGAAGGGTTCCCGTCGGCTGTTGTATACACGGAACGAAGATCTTCGGCACAGAGTCCAAGTCCAAGTTATCACCGAGCCACGAATCCAAATCCAGATCATGATCAAGGCCCAGCACCATCGAACACTACCGATAAAAGTAGACTTACAAATACACCAAACACTGCCAATCCAGGCACTACTGCTACTACCACTACCACTACCACCACTACCAGTGCCGGTGCCAGTACTACTACACCGCGCGCAGTCCGACACTCTCCCAGACAGATAGAAGATGTCTTTGTCAGAGATATGATGACGGCCGACATGACCTTTGACTATGAGGCTAATCCAATCGCCACGCCTCAAATATCGCCCACGAGCTGGGAAATATCGCAGATGCTGGGAGAAGAAGACTTCGACCATTCTTTCTTCTCTCTGCCACTGGACGTATCGACCGTGTCTCTTGCGCTCACCGACGAAGCGCCCATGCCTGCGTCTATGTCGATACCCACGCAAATACAAGCACAAACACAAACACAGACACAAACAAAAGCAGTGCAAAAGCAGTCATCACCACCACCGACCATCCCAAGAGGGCTTCCTTTTCTGATCGAGGGATTGGATTCGCCAGTGCGGCAAAGACTATTCAAGCACTTTACCGACACGACCTCGTGGGTGCTGACCACTTCGACCACGGAAAACAACCCGTTCCTCAACAAGATCGTGCCTCGAAGTCTGCACGACCCGATGATTCGCGAGGCCCTTCTCTGCATCTCGGCATCACACCTGACGAAACTACAAGACAACCAGGACGTTGACATGGAGGCCGAGAAGCGACGGACATTGGAGGCGGCCGAGCAGGAGCAGGTGGCACGGCTGGAGCTGCTCAAGACGGCCAAACATCCGCATCCGACAGGAACGTCGCCGAAGCGGCCGGATCTGGATTTGGAGGCCATGCTGATTGCCGCGCTTCTCTTGTGTCTCTACGAGGTGTCCGAGGGCACCGGGGACATTTGCTGGCGGATTCGACTGGACACGGCTCGACATCTAATCAAGTGGGTGTTTTGTTTTGTCTTGTGTCCCTGTCCCTGTCCCTGTCCATTCTTACCTTTTGTCCCCTTTTTCCTTTTCGGATCTTCCTCTTTCCTCTCTTTCTCTTTCCTCTCGTCCCTTCTCTCCCACCGCACCGGCCGACTTTCTGTTAGCCGCTCCTTCCACTAGCAAACCCTTGGATTGAAATCTTCCATTCGACGCCAATAATCAAAATCAATGCACTAACTAGCCATATCTCCCCACTCCAGTTCCGACGTACAAAGCCTAAACGAACTCGCCATCGACCAATTCCTCCTCGAGTTCTTCTGGTACCACGACGTGCTGGCGCGGGTGACGGACCCAGGTCCGACGAGGCAGCCACTAGATGCTGGATGGGACGACCTCTTCTCCAGCCTGACTCTGACCTCGTCGAGCGGCCGGACTCCCGCGCCGGAAAGCCACACGATCGGGGCGTACGACGGGCTCCTGCACATGGTGGCCAAGCTGTCGGCGTTGCAGCAGAAGATCCACGACGCCGACGGCGCGCTCGACGGCATGCTCATCGCCGAGGCCATCGAGCTGTGGTCGGAGCTCGACCGGTGGCAGCCCAACATCCCCACGGGCCACGACGACCCCAAGCAGGAGCGGCTGGTGTGTTCGGCCTACATCTCGGCGCTGTTCGTGTGGCTGTTCGCCCTGGTCTACCCGACCGACATCACCAACCCGCGCGTGCAGCAGGTGGTGCGCGACGGCCTGGCCCACCTCGGCCAGATCAACTATCTGCGCAACATGGCCGTGCTGCTCTTCCCGGTCTTCGTCCTCGGCTTTGCCTGTGTCGATCGCGACACGCGCGCCCAGATCGAGTCCCATTTCCAACAGCTGATTGCTTTCAGCGGCTTTGGGAACGTGCGTTTGGCTCGCGACGTCGTGCGCCAGTGGTGGTTCGACTACGATAGCGGCAACGGCCATTCTTGGAGTTGGAGACAGCGCATGGAGTTGTACGGCACGACTTTGCCGTTGACATGACTTGGACCCTAAGCAGGACCATAGATTGAAATGTTCGTTGTTGTCTCTCAAATAGCTATGGCTACGGTTGGACCTGGCGAGAGCGTTAAGCCTTGGTTTTAGATTTCTGGGGGCCTAAGACATGGCAAATCGTACAAGTACAAACAAGTATGAATCTGTCTAATATAAGTATACAGCACTGCTGCCATAAATCTAACCATCACCTAGGTACAACTATACAGCAGCCATCACCCTGGCTTCTGGCCCAACCCCCTTTCTTAATTCAATTCAATGCAACACAATCTACATATGTACTCCGTATGCGTGCTTGATACTAATCTGGATATGGTCTGCCACAACTCTAACGCTGACCCTGACCCTGACACTCTACAGTCGTGGCCCATCGCAGCATCCATTTGTGCTCTTTGGGGTTTACAGCCGTGGCCCATCGCAGCTTTCATTCGCGGTCTTTGAGGTTTCAATCAACGTGGACCGATTGCTGGCTTGCCTGCTCAAGGTCAGTACAGATTGACGAAAGTAAAGTGAAATGAAATGAAATGTCCAACCTAGAGGCAGGGCTGGTATTGGAGGAAGGGAGGGAATGAGCGACGGCGCTTGAACAGGGCTGGTATTGGAGGAAGGGAATGAGTGACGGCTCGAACAGAACATACGTGGATGGTGGTACGTCGATGGCAGGATTCTTGGTGAAGAAGTTGTCTGGTTTCAAGGACACTCGGATGATCTCGGCAGGCCTGCGATTGAGTAGTTGGAGTTGGTCAGTATCAGTTCTAATACCAGTCGTAGGTAGAGGTCGACGCGGAACCGTATAACTGAACTTACATTACAGGAAAATCTTCGCAACGCGGAACGTGTTGCAGGCCGAACTGCACCCAAACCACCAGGTCTTCATCAACCACGGAATCTTGTCGAGCAGCCCATTTCCGTACGCCGGTGGTCTGTCGATTCTGGTTGGTGTATTGGCCGCCGGCGAAGAGTTCGTGGTCGCGGTATTTGGTCACATAGATGGAATGGTCGGCGAAGCTGGTCCAACATCATTCAATTAGCAGGGGTCGGTGTAGTCTAGAAAAGAGGGAGAAGGAAAAGAAGGAAAAGTAAAGAAGGCAGAGAAAAAGAAAAGAAGCAAAAGAACGACTTACTCGGCCCTCTTGTAGTGGAAACTGTCCTCGTCAGCGAGCAGCGGCTGCATTGGCGGGACGCGGATCTTGTAGGCCGTCTTTTTCAGGTTGACCGGGTTCACCTTGGAGCTCTCGATCATGTAGACGCGGTTCATGGACGATTCGAGATCGTAGCCTCCCGAAGTCAACACGGGCCGGCGGTAGGCGATGTAGCCATTGCCATGCGGGTTCGATTTCGGGTCTCTTGGAAGCGGCTTGGTCTCTTCGTAGACGAGCGAGTTCTTGCTGTCTCCGTCCAATTCCGGGTCGATGCGGAGAGACAGGATATGCTGGTGGTAGGCGGCCAGAACGCCGTCATGCACCACGGTGCCCCAGGGGACGTGGACGCCCGGGTCGATGGGCTGGGTGGACAGAATGCCGGTGGCGCGGACCTCGTAGGTCATCTCGCCGGCCTGGTCGAAGACAAAGGCGAGAATGTACTCGTAGTTGGACACGGTGATGATGGACTGAAGCACCAGCTCGCGCTTGCGCACCAGGGCGGCGCGGTTGGTGCGGTAGTTGGTGTGTTTCCACAATAAGCCGGCATCCTGCTCGTGGATGCACACGGCGTTTCGCTTCCACAGCGGCCGGCCCTCGTCGTCGGCGATCAGGCCGTCCTGGTACGCAATCGCGCCCAGGCAGTCACAGCCCAGCTTGAGATCGTTGGCCATCAGCCCGGCGCCCGTGTCGCCCAGATCAAAGGCTTGCTTCTTGTGGAACGGCGGCCGGGGATCCCCATACGGCACGGACATGTCGCTCAGCGACACGCGGTAGAACAACGCCCGACCGTCGTAGCTGACCTTGTGCAGCACCATGCCTTCCCGGTAGTTGAAGCTGAGCCGGAACTCCCACTTCTGCCAGCGAATCACGTCGTCCGACACCGTGAACGACGCCCCCTCCGGCTGCTGCACCACCAGGGGCTTCAGATCCGTCCGCAGCGGCGCGTTCAGCTCGGGGATATACTCGTTCGCCGCGGTCAGTCGCTGCGGTTCGGTCGGTGTCGGCTTGGTCTCAAACCCCGCCCCGGTCGGAAGGTACTCGATCCGCGTCACCGTCATCGTCACCGTGTCAAACACCGGCGAGAAGGACAGCGGGTGGGCATAGTGGTTGCTGTCGGGCTCGTGGCTGTGCTCGGGAGCCCGGAGGTACATGTAGCATTGGTACTGTCGAACATCGTCTGCCACCCCGTCCGCTCCCCTTGATGGAGTGTCAGCACAAAAACTTATAATTCAGGAATTCTTGCCTGTTGATTAACTCAACTCGACCTACCAGATCCACGGGTCGCAAACCACCGTTGCCCCCGGCGGAAGTTGTAATTTCTTGATCTCCGCCTGCACTCGGGGATCGGCCAGCGTGATTCTTTCGGCCTCGAGGATCTCGGCGTCGTCGCATGGACCGTGGAATCCCGCCGGCACGCGTTGGTTGGATTCCACCTGACGCTTGGTGAGGTTGACCACCGTCTCGTAGAAGAAGCCGGTGCCCTTGATGTAGTAATTCACCCAGGCCCGACGCGGAGGAACAGTCTGGGTCGTCTCGAACATCTTCATCTCCTCCTTGCTGGGTTCGTGTAAGGTGATGCCCTTGAACCGGAGCCTCTTATCGTCGCCATAGCCCCCACATATGAGTCCCGAGCACAGAAGAATCTCTTTCTCGGTCAGAGAGCTCAGCGGGTGGCGCGACATGGCGAGAGAGTCGACGTGACCGATTCGATTCGATTGCAAATCCAGACGAATATAGGAACAGTCACAGTATTCTTCTCAGTTCAGCTCAGTTCAGGGGAGACTCGATCTAGAACAGAACACGAAGAATCCAACCGTGGGGATTATAATGCTTATGGTAGTGATACAATTCAAGTCAAGTAGTCTGATCATTTCCAAGCCCTAAACTTCACTACAGCAATTCAATCAGCTATGGCTAATAGGTAATAGCTAATGGATCATCCTATCTCATTCAAGAGTCACATGTCATCTGGCGGCTAGCCATGTTCCAAGCTCAAGCCCACTTCTCTTATCGTCAATTTGGCGGTTGGTGTTGGTGTTGGTGTTGGGCGGGTCGCGCGGTTCGCGCGCGCAAGGCTGGTGGGACATATTCGGTTCTGTGGAAGTCCCGTCCAGAGGGAAAAGTACTTGCTGCACATGCAATATCAAAACACTCAACCCCAGAAGGAGTAATTAGGCATTGGTGCCCTATCGATCATTGCAATAACGTCGGTACAAACCAACTCAAATTTGGGTCAACAAGGCTGGGTTGGAAGATGGCGGTTCCCAAGCATTTCACCGGCTACGGCTCGAAGTCGGCGAGCGATTGGCAGAATCTCGGGAAGGTGAGATGTGATATGCCACGGTCCTAGAAGACGTCCCCTTGCTGAAGAAATGCAATCCTGACCTCTCGGCAGATCGAATTCGAGCCCAAGCCATTCGAAGAGTACGATGTCGACATCAAAGTCCAGTTCTGTGGTGTTTGCGGCTCAGATCTGCATACATTGAGTGGCGGCTGGGTAGGAGAACAAGACCTGGACCTCAGGGCTGATGTCTGAGGCAACGCGACTAATCCATTCCGGTGTCAGGGCGGAACCATGTATCCTTCGGTCGTCGGTCACGAGATTGTAGGCGAAGCGGTGCGGGTGGGAGATAAAGTAAAGTCGGTCAAGGTTGGAGATACAGTTGGCGTCGGCCCCAATGCCTGGAGCTGCGGTGACTGCTCGTCCTGCCAGAGAGGCTTGGAGCAGTACTGTGTGAGTCTGAGTCTCTTTTGCAAGAACTTTACTTGACCTATGGCACTCGACACTGACGTGCCGGTGCCACAGCCTGATCTGGTGGAAACATACAACTTCAAGTACAAAGACGGGTCGAGGTCCTGGGGCGGCTATTCCAACTTCGCCCGTATCAACGAGAGGTAAGTCGAAGCCAATGCCAATGCCAACGTCAACGTTCCGTCCTTGATGCCGCCACTCCCACTAGCCCTCCGGTCGTTACTGATGTTGTCTTGTCCAGATTTGTGTTCCCCGTCCCAGCGGAGATCCCGCCGGCGGAAGTGGCCCCTCTCTTCTGCGCCGGCTTGACTGTCTTTTCTCCCTTGAAAGCGAACAAGATCGGCCCTGGGTCGCGGGTCGGCGTAGTCGGGATCGGAGGATTGGGTCACTATGCGGTCTTGTTCGCCAGTGCCATGGGTGCTGCTGTGACGGCGATCTCGCACAGTCCGCGCAAAAAGGACGATGCGACCAAATTGGGTGCCACGTCGTTTGTGGTGACATCCGAGCCGGGCTGGGAAGAGGCACACACCAGGAGCCTCGACTTGATTCTTTGCACGTCTTTTGCAAAGGACATGCCGTTGAAGGAATACCTGGCCCTTCTGGACGTCGGAGGCTCGCTGGTCTATGTCGGGATTCCCGAGTCGGATCTTCCACCCCTACCTCCAACACTCATGGTCGGAACTAATTCAGCCCTGAGAGGGTCGAATACCGGCAGCAAAGACGACGTGCTGGAGATGCTGGAATTGGTCAAGGCAAAATCCATCCGGAGCTGGATCACCGTTCATCCGATGAGCCAGTGCGCCGAGGTTGTGGAAAGACAGAGAAATGGTGAGGCCAGGTTCCGATTCGTGCTGAAAATGGATGGTAGCTTGCCATAGGCGTAACTTGGACCGGTCCGGACTGGACGGTGGTCTTTACATTAAGGAAATCAGAATCAGGATAGAGAAAATTCAAGATAACACTTTGCACAAATGAGCTTCGTGGGGCCTATTAACTCCAGTCGTCCCTTCCATGGCATGAATTGCACCCTACCTTCAGGTTGCTCCTGGCTGGCAGCAGCATACCTTAGCCGCCACTTTTTTCTCTTTTCTATTTTCTATGGATTCTTTGAGTTCTTTGGATTCTGATCGGTTTGGGAACATGGCAGCAAGCTACAGTATCGTAGACCGTGCCCATGAAAGCGCCGGAAGAAAAGTGGTGGGCAGGCGAAGAAGCCCAAGCCCAAGGTCACTCAGTATTCTACGCACTATCTGTATCTGTATGTTCCAGCTGCTTTTTGCACCAGCTTTCCACCACTTCTCCCCATACATCCCGGCCCTTGTATTTAGCCATACTTTCCGGCAATGCATTGACAGCCCCCAGAAACTCTCGAATGCTGTCGGGCTCGTCCTGTAGATCGACCACCGGCGTGAGATAGGTGCGCACCGTAAACAGGACGGCGCCAGTCTTGGGCAGACGTCGTAGGGTTTGTCGCTCGTGACGGATGCGAATGTCCTCGATTTTCGGAGCGCTGAGCATCGAATTTGCAAAGGGCTCCTGCTGGAACATGGCATTGTTGGTTTGCAGGAAGAAGTTCTGCCTCATCACGATGTCGCCCGGCTTCATACGGAGGAAGAATCTAGGGTGGTTTATGTCATGTCAGAACTCCGGTCTTGTCTTTCCCTACTAATAGTAATAGGAGCCACTCAGGTACTCAAGCATGACATGGCATTGCTCACCTCTCCACTGACAACCGCAGCTTTTCTTCCCAGAGCGGGACGGGACCATGGATCTTCCATAGTGGCCACCCAATCCGTTCTTTCAGATACCACCCGGCCGGCGCCATGCTGAAACTTGCCGAGCTGCAATACGTAGCACATCAGCGTCAGGGCCAAGATAGAGGGGTAGGGGTAGGGTTGTCCTGGAGAGGGAGAGGGAGCCTCACAGATAATACTGGTCGGGTTCTGGACCAAATCCTTGCACCAACAGATTCAAATCCTCCATGACCAGCTGAGCAGCAATCTCGAGGGGGTGAAGTTCGTATGGGGCTGTGATTTTGAAGCTCAAGTTCGTCAGGCCGTTGTAGATGTAACCATCCTTGCCCTCGGGACGGTAGAACAGGCTGGGATATCGCCGGGTGAGATAGTCGACCACCGTGTCGAGAACTTCAATGCAAGCCGCCTCAGACCCGTGCAGAAGCTGCATGACCTCGGGCCGGCTTTCAACCAATAGTTGTCGCCGTAACTCCTGCTCCTGCCAGTACTTGTTGTCGAGGTCGAGCCACTCCTCCGGCTTGACTTTCGACACCCCCATGGTCATGGCGAATTTCCCAGATCTCCATGGCCGGTACGGATGTGGCGGTCTCGTGGCGACATCAAAGTCTAGCAAAGGGTGAATCTCACTCTCGCTCTCGTTCTTATTCTCGTGGGGAGGGTTCACTGTCTCTGTCGCCGTCGCCGTCGCCGTCGCCGCCTTTGGTGTGAGTACTCGAGGGATGGCGGCTGCGGTGATGAGGCCCAGGGCAATCACCACCAGCCCCAGGTTCGGTAGCAGCCAGGACAAACCCTCGTGCAACAGGGAATCCATGGCCATGGCTATGGCGATGGCTACAGCCAACAAGGCAGCATGACCAGGCTTTTGTATCATGGCCGACGCCTCACTTGTTCTGCCTCGATGGTCCAGGGACCAGGCTCTATGTGATTGGTCGGGGGGTCCACCATTCCCCCCAAAACAGAAGCGCCCGCGCGCGAACCGCCGCAAGCGCCACTATTCGAACTCGAATTGCGCTGAGATAAGGCTTGACCTCGATGGAGCTTACTGTCAGATCTCTTTGCGCCATTACTGTTCATCTTCGAAATCGACGCTGCCTCAGTCGCTCTTCATGCTGAGCGAGGGCGAGGGCGACAGTGATAAGAAGGATGGCTACGGTCACTCACGCAGATAAGGGGGCTTCTTGGGCTTAGGCTTCTCGAGTCAGCTATAAATCCAAGTGCATCCGATACGGGATCCGTGGTTCCTAAGCGTGCTAAAGATTGCTTCTTCCTTGCCGCATACATCGTCTTGTCTATAGACGCATAGACTCCCCCCTCATGATTGCGAAGACGAAGACGAGCTTATACATCTTCCCTGGGTCAAGTGGAGAAATCGAAAACAATGTCAACCGCTTCCGGACGCGACGAGATCGCCATGAAGAGTCAGCTGCCGGCGCACCTGGTGGCGTTGGATCAAACAGAAGAAGGTCAAATGCACGACGTCGATGCCGATGATGCTGTACTGGCCCAGGCCGGATATGCGCAGGTAAGCAGACTATTACTGTGACCGGTCGAACGAGCAGGCCTTTTTCTTTTCTTTTCACCGCTGTCACCTAACATGGTTGAATCGAATCCTTAGGAATTCCGTCGCGAATTCACACGCTTCTCCACGCTCTCCTACGCCATCCAGATCATGGGTGTTCTCGGCTCAGGTTCGTTCCTTCTGTACTTACTCTGGTGAACATCCCTTTGGTATGGTCTATCAAAAGCTGAGACCGAGTTGTTCAACAGTCGGTGCGACATGGTCGACACCCTTGGCGGCCGGTGGCCCTGCAGCGGCTGTCTGGTGTTGGTTCTCGGGCTCTTTCTTTGCTCTGTGTATTGCACTGTCAAGTAAGTCGTGACACAATCCCAATGCCCATTCCCATCCTCCCATTTGTCTTGGCCACGGGGCGTTGCAACCCGGCTGGTGGAAGTTTCATGTTGATCAAGACACTAACACTGTATGACTTGAAGTCGCCGAGCTGGTCAGTGCCTATCCCACGTCTGGAGGCATGTACTTTGTGTCCAAGCATGTCTTCCCCGAGAAACATGTACCTGTTGCCGCCTGGGTCATCGGCTGGTCCAATCTACTCGGCCAGTAAGTCCTCCACGTCCTCAAAATATCAATATCCCGAGTCGAGATGCTGACACGACATGACCAGGACGGCCGGTGCTGGTAGGCTTAAAATCCTACAGTCATCATGGTTGGCCAGAACTGACTGAGAATTGAATTGATTAGCGAGTGTCTGCTATGGGGTGGGACAAATGGTATGTACAGGCCCTGCACCTGCACCTATGCTTTCCTTCAATGTCCTTTCATTCATTCATGCCTTGTCCACTAGTCCAGTATCCAATATCAACCCGCTAACATTGACTCCTGCACCCATCCATAGATGCTTGCCATGGCCGCAATGGGATCCGTCCAGGAAGACGGCACTCAAACATACGTTCCGTAAGACAAGACGCAGATGCAGCCTGACCTCTGACCTGGCAGGATCTGTTTGAAAGAGATCGATCCTGGACCTGGACAATGCTAACATAGTTTCCTGTCCGACTCCAGAACCGCTGAGCATACTGTGGCCGTCAGCATCGGTATCTGTGTTCTGTCCGGGGTAGCATGCTCGTTCCCTTCCAGGACACTCAACACCATGATCCGATATTTCACTCCCATCAACTGTCAGTATATACATACACCGGGCAGGCTACACTACACTATGCCACACCACACCACACCACACCACACCACACCCATTGATGAATACGTTGACGAATTAGTACGTTGTGATGGTTCGGGTTAGCTGACACATGTGCATTCCAATCATAGTGATCGCCTCCGTGGCCATTACGATAGCCCTGCTCGTGCTCACGCCCAACAAGCTCTCGGCCAGCGACGTGTTCGTCAACATCACCGACGGCTCTGGCTGGGACAGCAAAGGGTTTTCGTTTTTCCTCGGCTACCTCAGCGTCGCCTGGACCATGACAGACTACGACGCGACGGCCCATCTGTCTGAGGAGCTGCACAACGCAGCCATCAGTGGGCCCGTGGCGATTTTCCAAGCCGTGGTGGTGACATGGGTGAGTGAGGCGACAATCTACAGATAGGACTATTTCAGTGCAGTACGGTGCAGTACAGTACTATCAGTATTTTGTGCAGTGCAGCACAGTACTATCAGCATTTTGTCTCTAGATCAGAGCTCAAGCTAACGTGACGCCATGCTAGGTGTTCGGAGTGATGTTGAACATCGCATTCGGATTCTGTGCCGGCGACGTGTCCGCCACACTGAGTTCGTCGTTCGGCAATCCCGCCGCCCAGATCTTCTTCAACGCTGCCGGCAGGAAGGGCGGGATTGGAATGTGGTTCTGGGTTGTGCTGGTCCAGTTCTTCACCGGCATCACCGCCATGCTTTCAGACACACGGACATTCTTTGCGCTTGCTCGGGACGATATGTTTCCATTATCGAGGTAAGTGAGAGGAGTAGAGTCGAGTCTGACTCTGATCCTGACCCTGATCTGACCTGGCCTACGCACCGCATGAATCGGCTTAGTTCAGCTCAGCTCATATCAGCTCAGATCAGACTCGACCCGACTTGACCTGACCTGACCTGGCCCGACTTGACGGGATGAGAGATACGAAATGAGACATGAGAAACTGACGAGTGAATGATACAGCACTTTCCGCAAAATGAACAAATACACCCAGACGCCCCTGTACAGTGTCTGGACGGTCGTCTTTCTCTGCTGCATCCTCAACCTGATCGCCCTGGGCAGCACCCAGACCATCAACGGCATCTACGGCGTGACCGCGCCGGCCATGGACCTGTCGTACATCGCGGTGATCGCGGCCAGAATGTACTATCACAAAGAACGGCCCATCACGCCCGGTCCGTTCCGGCTGGGCCGGCTGCAGAAGCCGATCAATGTGATCGCCATCGTCTGGGTCCTCTTCATCTCCGCCGTGCTTTTCTTCCCGCCCGTCCACCCGGTCACCGCGGCAAATATGAACTATGCCGTGGCTGTGGCGGGAGTCATTGTCATATTTGCCTTGATGTGGTGGTATATGCAGGCGAAACGGTCAGTACACACATACCCCAGAAACTCCGAGTCCCCGTTTTGTTAGTACTAGTACCACTACCGCTACCACTGCCACTACCGCCAGCACTACCATCGTACTACCCTCAGTACTTCCCTTCCTACTATCATAGTACCTACATGCTCGGCAGAGTACCAAACTGACTATCTCAAACGCCACAGGTACTATATTGGCCCCAAGCCCAACATCGGTGAAACTGGAACGTGATATTGATCTTGATCTTAATCTTGTCAGAAATCGAGGGACGAGGGAGCATTCTGTCAAAGGTTGAAATGTTCCAAGTTGGTTATCAAAGGGGTATGCGGAGACTATATAGTGTATAGTATGCCCAAACCAGCCTTCTGGTTAAAGAACAAGGCTGGGAATGTGCCTAAGTTTTACATATTCCTCATTCCCCAGCCTCGACTATCGACCTCCTCTAGACTATTTTTGATTCACCTATTAGGTGCCTATTACCTGTTACCTATCCATATATGAGACCGAGGTACCGGTCCTCGGTCTTCTATGCTGTGGCATTGGCTGACTGGATTGTACTGTTGACAAATAGCAAAGGTGTCCATGACCGGCTGTACTGTTCAAATATCAAAGGTGGCTATGGCTGACCAGTCAGGGGCCCTTTTGATCGTTCATAGAGAACAGAGAACAAGAGACCTTTCTTACCAATCACTGCCACTGCCGTCGACGGTGACATGTCTCATAAGACTTAGGACTAGGACTACAGTAATAAGTAATAACCATAAAACTATAAGACTATAAGACTTGAAGATTTGACGATGCGATGCCCACCCACCCACCTGTAGAGCAGCCCTCGGCCTCGAAAAGTATAGATAATAGATAAGTGTAGTAGTAGTAGTAGTAGTAGTAGTAGTAGTAGTAGTAGTAGTAGTAGTAGTAGTAGTAGTAGTAGTAGTAGTAGTAGTAGTAGTAGTCGCAGCATCGTATTGCATTGCATTGTATTGCAATGTGTGACGGTTATATACACCAAGTAGCTAATTCACGAGTGAGTTAGTTACTTCGTCCTTTTTGGTGACCGTCGTGGTGTAACGGTTTGGGTCAACCGTGACACATTGCATTGTATTGCATTCTCCATGCCTAGGCACCAGCACCGTCATCAGCACCAGCACCAGCACCAGCACCAGCCACTCATTTCAGCCACTCTAGATACCCTTCAACACTACTACAATCAAACCACCTCGGACGACTTGGACTTGGAGCCTAGCCCCGGCTCTGCCTCTGACTTTATATACTCGATTGTCTCCGCCTGGTCCACACCCTCGGCCCCGGCCTCATCCACCTTCGTGGCGGCGTCGGCGCCAATGTCGGCAAGCTGGATCTGTACCTTGACTCCGAAGGCGCGGTCGACTTCTTCCAAGGTCAAGCCTTTGGTCTGGATGGGTTGGGACGAGGTTAGTAAGTAGAATATAGTATAGCTGACATAAGAGATCAAACATGAAGACAAGCATGAAAATGTAAAGACAAGATATGAAAACATATAAATATAAAAATATAAAGCCGTCAAGACCAGATACAAAACATGAAAATATAAAAACACGAAAATATGAAAACATGTAAATATAAAAATATAAAGACGTGAAGACAAGACATAAAGACAAGCATGAAAATATAAATATAGACATCAAAACATGAAACACCAGCAAAGAGACATAGGGACATAAGCCTATCAATCAGAGCAGAGGACATTTCAACCCAGTACCACCAAAGCACATGACTCACCTCAGGAAAGAAGAAAAACACAATTGGAAAGAAGACGGCATTGCAGCCGATAAAGACGAAATTGAATTTCCAGCTGATCTTGTCCAGAGCCATGGGCGCGGTCTGGGTGAAGATGATGGTGATGGCGTTGGAGCAGAACAAGCCCATGGCGAAGCCCGGCGCGCGGATCTTGGTGGGCAGGATTTCCGCCGCGTATGCATATGGTGTGCCCGAGATGCATCCGAAGAAGAAGATGAAGATCATGATCATGGCGACGCCGCCTTTGCCGAAACCTGTTTTCCAGTTTTGTCAGTATGGACTTGTCTGTACTTGTGATCGTCACTGTAAATGCAGGTGGGATAGGACTGGTCGCCTAGCAGACTGACTGAGTACTACCACCCCTACCACTACCACTACTACCACTACCACTACCACTAGTCGTAGCGATAGTAGCAGTAGCAGAAGTAGCATAAGTAGCAGGAGTAGCAGGAGTAGCAGTAGTACCACTGTCACCTCCACCCTCGCTGATAAGAGAACTGTATGTGGTCGACTTACTAGTTAGACCCGTGTCCTCGTATTTGGCGGTACAGGCGGCAAAGATGGCGACACAGACGGACAGCACGACGAAACTGCTGAGGAAGAGCCATCGGCGGCCCACTCGATCGACCAACAACAAGCCCAGCAGACATCCCACCGTCAGGATGATTTGGAACACGCCGGCCATCAGCAGCGTCTGTTGATGGGAGAAGCCTAAGTTCGCATACAGCACAGACTGGCCAAGTTAACGGTTAGTTAGCCCTGTGTAAACGTAGCGTAACGTAGACAGTGAACATCTAGCAGTATGATCTCTCATAGGTGTAGACAGTAAAAATCTCATAGTCATGATCCCTCATAGATGTAGCGTTGTGTAGTGATGGAATAGGGGTTGTGAAGGCTCGTGTTAGGGCCCGGGGTGAGGTGACTAACCTGATACACCTGGATGGTTTGGGCGCCATTCGTCTGGAGGCAGGTCAAAGCCGCGACAGCGACCAGAATGCGGCGCAGTTGTTTCTTGTCCGTCAAGATCTGGAGTTGAGACTGACTGGCTCGCTCCCTCGCCTCTTCGGCCAGTTGGGCGGAAATCTGGAGGTATTCCTTCTCCCAGAACATGGGGTCGTGGTGGTCATCGTGGAGGCGTTTCAGGACAACGCGGGCTTCGGCGTGTCTGTCTCGTGAGATGACTGAGTGGAAATGGATAAACACGATTAGTCTCAATCTCAGTTTTGGACTACAGACCAACAAATCATTCATAATGTAAAAGAAAGTGTCATGCCCAGTGTCATGGCCAGCCTCATTGTTTCAAGAAGAAGCTGGTTGATTGACTTTGTTGGTAGAGAAAGAAGGGGAAGGAACACTTACGCCAACGAGGAGAGAAAGGAATGAAGAAACAGCCGATAATCAGCGCAATGGCCGGCAGCATCTGAAGAGAGATGGGAAAGCGCCTAGACGTCAAGGTCAGAGATCAAAATGAACAGAGACAGCGACACCAAACCCTTCACCGCCATGCACATGCATGACAAATGACATGTTTTGGCTTCCGTCTCAACTCCTAACTCTAGCTTACCATGAGAAAGCGGCATTGGTCGAGTAGCTGCAGGCGAAGCCAACCCACGACGCCAGTCCTCCGGCAGCCGAAAGCACCAAGAGCTGAAATGCCACCATGGCGCCACGTTCGCTCGGAGGCGCAATCTCGGACTGGTAGACATTGACCGTGGTCAGCATGACGCCGGATGCCATGCCGGCGATGACGCGGCCGACGAAAAAGACGGCTATATGTTGCGCTGCCGTCTGCATGATGGCGCCGACCAGTCCGATGAGGCCGCCGAGCTGGATCGATCGTTTCCTGCCCAGCCGTTGGGCGACGAAGCTGACGAGCACCAGGCCGAGAACGACACCTCCGAAGTAGCTGGAGCCAATAGCCCTGGGGAGATGGTCAGTAAAATGACAGACATAGATATAGATATAGACATAAAACAGAGGTAGAAATAGACATAAAGACAGACCAGACACAGACACAGAAACAGAGAGACAAGCAGCTATAGGTGGGTAGGGATAGAAATAGGGATAGGAGCCTAAGCCCTTGAGAATGGCTAATTAGGGAAGGTATTGGGATGGGGGCCTTGTAGGAACGGAAACGAGACCTCCCATCTCATCTCATCCCGAAGAAAGGATAGGAAACTTCCATCCCATCAGGATTCAGCACATTGGTGAGGAACTAGGTCTTGGGCATAGGCTATATCCTATATACGTACCCCATGACAGTCGCACTTGGCTTGAAATAGTCGATGAATCCGGATTGAGCGAACCTAGAGCCATGAAGTATCAGCAAGCAAGCACAAGCACAAGCAGCATTCACAATCTACAATCCACAAGGAGTATTCACAATCCACAATTCACAGGGTCAAGGGTTAGGGTATGGGTTAGGGTTATGGGTTGGCCTGAGACCTCCCAACTATTGTAAACTCACGTGGATGCAATGATGGCGGCGTCGTATCCGTAGAGGATGCTGCCCGACCCGGCCACCATGGCACAGCCCCAGTTGTAGAGGCGACCCATGGTTTGTCTTATCTTGTGGCCTTAGCCCTCGTTCTTGTCCTCGTCTTGTGCAAGGCAAATAGTGAACAATCGCAGTCGCAGTGGGTCGCAATCGCAACAAAAGTGCCTGGTTCAGGGGTCGGAAGTCAAAGCAAAGCAAAGCAAAGCAAAGCAGTGTTGAGGGATACCAGACACCAGAATATTTTTGTGGGTAGGTAGGTCTGCAGTGGCCGGACTATGGCCTTTTACAGTATGATCTACAGTCGACAGTCTTCAGTCAAGTCAAGTCTAGTCTACAGTACTCCGTACCCTACAGCCTCGGCCCCCAGTATTTGCATTGACGAAATTCGGCCGTGAGAGGATGCGGGATGTATGTGCGGAGTACAAATGTACATATGTAGGTCCTTTGGATCCAATGGATGCATCCATGCCCATCCACGGGGTATAGTACTAATAAGTAAGCAATGCTGAAGTTAGGCCGCACCACCCCCACGCCTCCGCAGTGCTACATAGGACGGCAACTTCAAGCTTACACATATGTACATACATACATACATGCTTTATACACAAACAATATATCTGTCCGCTCCGCTCCGTCGACACAACCGGCGCATCTCATCCTTCAAAGCTGCCAGTCCTAGTCGCGGCGAACTACTACTGAGTCTTTGGTCCGTAGTGATGATGATGATTGGGAACGGAACTGCCATGCCATGCCATGCCCGACCTATTACCTGTAGTGTGGAAATAGAACCAAGACCAAGACCAGAGAGAGATGCACGAAACCAAATTCGATCCATTCATTCCCCCCGTCGAAAGATATACGGCGTAAATGAAATTGTGATCGGATCTGATCTAACCCATCTTTAACATCTCCCCGTGTCCTTGTCTTTGTCCTTGCTCTGCTAGCGTCACCGTTATTCTCCGATCGCCAATTCGAACCACTTACTTTACAGATTGGTTGGTATCTCTTTCTAAGCTGCGGTCTTTTCTTTGTGCAGGCTCTACCCGCAAGAAAAAAGAAGAAAATAAAACGAAAAGCGAAAAGTGAAGAGGAAATCTCAACAGAAAAAATAAACCGACTCCCAAACCACCCACTCCCAATGGCGCCTCGACTGCCTGGTAAAGTGGCCCTCGTGACCGGCGCCTCATCAGGCATGGGTCGAGCAATTGCCCTGGCCGTGGCCGCCGACGGCGCAGCCGGCGTGGTCTGCTGTGACTTGAGACCTGAGGCCAATCCGGCCGGCTTCGAAGCCGACCTAAACATTCCCACGGCGGAGCTCATCATCCAGAGGGGCGGGAAAGCCTTGTTCAGAAAGGTGGACATTTCGAATCCCAAAGAACTCGAGGAGGCTTTTTTGGCCGGCGTCTCGGTGAGTAGTCAGACTCCCATTGTGCATTTCTGTTTTTTTTTTCCTGCTGTGATCGTGTTTGGTCGTTCCGCATGTTGAGATAGTTGGGCTCTGAAAAAAGTCCCGTTTGGTTGATTGAATTTCATTTTGGTCGATATAATTTCACTTTGGCTGACCTTGACCCAGGAATTCGGCCGCATCGACCTGGTAGTCAACTCGGCGGGCTACTGGGCGCCGTTCCGGCTTTTCGTCGACGAAGACGAGGAGCTGTGGAACAAGATGGTGTCGATCAACACGCTGGGCACGGCGACGTCGAACCGCCTGGCCATCCGGCAGTTCTTGAAGCAAGAATACGACCCGGCCTGGGGCTCGCGCGGCCGCATCATCAACATCTCGTCGTGCGCCGGCGTCGTCGCCTTTCCCGGCGAAGTGGCTTACTCGGCCACCAAGGCGTCTATCAACCACCTGACTAGGGCTGGAGCCATCGACCACGCGAAGGATGCCATCAACATCAACTGCATTGCGCCCGGCGCCGTCGCCACCGGAATGGCCCGCGCGAACTTCGAGAATCAAGATATCATCAAGCATATGAAGAAGGCGACGCCGTGGCCGCGCCTGGGTGTGGCTGACGATATTGCCGGCGTCGCTCTGTTTCTCGCCTCGAAAGAGTCGTCGTGGATGACGGGCCAGGTGCTAAATGTGGATGGCGGAATGACCTTGGGTGTGGCGCCTTGATGGGTGGTTGCACATGTATCTCGTTGATGGTTGGTTGCACATGTGTATGGTCCATACATACATAGTACGTACCTGCAAAGGAGGTGGAAGATGTACCTGACACCCGACAACCGGGATAGGATTCTCAAGCTGGAAAAGGAATGAAACTCCCTAGCCCTAAGAACTGAAATACCTATATTCCCGTTCAAACGCTGGCATTCTGCTGTATGTATTTGTAATGTTGGTGTTGAGGCGATGGGGACGGGGCTCGAATTTGGCTGCTGTTAACTGCTACTGTTGCTGTAGATGTTGGTTTCCTCAGCTATTTGACTAGCAGCAGTGGAACTACTGTACACTGTTCAGTGCTCTGCAGTTACGCCGAATCGGACGAATTTCACCCTCTAGAATGAAGATGCAGATGCAGCCGCCTAGAGGTATTAAGCCAGCAGAGCCATTCTAGTCTGCCCATCGAAAATCCTGCCCTTGAATGCAGCTGCAACAGTAAATTGAGTGGGATGATCATTTTCCTGCCCCAGGCTTCAATAAATAGGCCCCAGGTTCAATTGGCAGTGCCTATTGCCCAAGTTCGCAACCAACCCAATCCAATTCCATTCCATTCCACCGACAAAAAAATAGAAAAGCAAAGAAAAAGACAAACACACCATGACGAGCCCTCGTTTCTATGTCATTGCTCAAATCGACGGCGCGGATGGGTCCATGGCGAAGGTGAGTGAGAGTCATTTTTCCCTCTCTGCACGCCGCCGTGCCCACCAGCCCTACCCGCTAGGTGACCCCGTTGAAAACGAAGAGCTGGTACTGACCAAAGATGTGTTCCATGCCAGTGGAAAGAAAGACTTGTACCTCTGTGTGCTGTGTCGCGGACGGAGGCTCATGGATCCTCGTATTACTGGGGACAAGACCTTGACGGCGCGCCCGACAGCCTCTGGGGTCTCGAAGGCTACACGCACGCGGTCGGATTCTTTCTCGGCCATCCCTCCTCGGACATTTTCCAACGCGAGATGGCGCTGATCGACCAAGATCGACTGCTGCGGACCGTTCAAGGCTCCAACAGTCCCGACTATCATCTCCATCATTACGACCAGGAAGGAGGCTGGTTGAAGCGGCCAGACGACGCGGAGAGGGACTCCAAAACAAGCCATGTGGTCGTGCTCCACTACTGGGCGAAACCGGGCTCACGTCGCCGCCTGTTGCAGAGACTGGTGGACTTTGCGGAGGCGGAGGAGAAGAGGTCGTCGACCGTCCAAAGCTGTCTCGTGCTGCGGGAGTTGCTCGACTTTGACATGGCGACCTTGTGGTTAAGGTAAGTAAAAGTACAAACACTTAACCCTAACCCTAACCCTAACTTTGTTGCTACGCTTGATCAAGCCCACGACACTCGCCCTTTCCTCAACTTTCCCTTATCCTACCGCAAGCTCGGTTACTCACAGCCCATAAACCATACAGAACAAAAGATGCAGAGGGCTGGAAAAGCCTCCAAGCTTCCGAGGGTTACAAGACTCTCCAGGCCGATTTAAACCACGACATCATTGTCCGAACCGAAGTCCATCAATCGCAGTCTTTCAATGGCCACCTGGAAAAGGAGAAGGATATCTAGGGGTCCTGGATGAATACAACGGTGCGGTGCTGATTTCAAAAAGCAAAGCTTTATTCACAAGCCTGATGCCATCTGGGGAAGAAAAGGATGGCAGGAATGGTTGATCGTGGAAAGGTAAGACTCTCGAAGTACAATATCATTGAACATCCAGCCATTTCACGAAACTCCCGACTTCCTGGTCCGCCGTATTCAAGATGATTACAAGGCCTGAGATGCTTCTCGCGTCAGGAAAACTACTGTAGATAAGTCACTAGGCTAAGCATGGGTTTCACCGCCGCAGAGGGAGTCTTCATTACCCCAGTGGCCCCACGCTGTTGCCATAAGACCCCGAAAGTAGGCCATTAAGGTAGAGAGAGATATCTGCGTCCGCATCATAGTCAAAACTCATGGCGAACCCCATGGGTTCCATGGGCTGATTCGTTGGCGCGGCGGCGTCGAAATGCGCCGAACTGGGCACATGTCCACTGTGGGACATGGCGCTGATTTCAGCCGTCGAGCCGGAATGCACATCCAGCACGGGGTGTTCCATGCCGTTGGGGAGACCGGCATGCTCTCCGTCCACAACCGAAGAGCCCATCATCGGGTTCACTCCCGATCCGGTCAGATTCGGTTCTGTCTGATTGCTCATGTATGAAGAAGGTGGAGGTCGATGTCCCGTTGATTCGCCCGAGACGGCCGAAGTCTCGTGGATTCGACGCGACTGCCCTTGGGGCCGTGGTTGAAGGGTCGACGCCCTTCGACCATCAGCCTCAGCACGTCTCTCCGGGTGCAGCAAGTCGTCCAAACGATCTTCCAAAGAATCCAGGACCTGCAACAGCCCGACGGGGGTGTTCCAAAACCTGACAAACTGTTTGTACGTCAGGCGCAAGACATTGAATTTGCCCTCGGCCAGTTCCCGATTCGAGTCGGACGGCCCGAACTTCTTGTTGACCAGCTGCACCGCTGCAGCGAGCCAGATGGAAGTTGCAAGGAAAGGATTGACGTAACGAACATGCGTAGAGCTGCATCGGTTCAAAAGCAGGACAATGTTGTCAGAAGCCTCGACGTAGCGCTTGAGACCATCGGCATTGGGCCGGCGCGTGGTACATACCAAACCGGCTCCAGGATGGCGACTGGCTTCAAACGAGTCCAGGTCCACCGGTGGCTTCGATGGAGTGGATGGTTGGTCGCTCTTGTTAAACGTGTAGTAGTGGCATATCATAAACCTGGTGAGCTGTGCCAGGACATAGATGCTGTATTTGGTGTGGTGCAGCTTCCGGTGAACGGGCCCTTGACTGCGCTCGACGGCAGCAAAGGTTAGAAGTTCGTCGCGATATTGTAACGAGTCGGGCAAGGTGAGGAGGGTGCACTGTAGCGCATGTGAGATGATATTCAGTTCGTCTTCCACGCCATTGGAGGTGCCTTCTCCGTTGGCAGTAGTGCATGTGCCCGATGATGCCGCTAGGTTGGTGTATGGTGTTCCATCGAGGAATGCTTCGAGATTAGAGATGGTCTGCGCGGTGCGCATGAGCGAAGTCACCACAATCAGCCATGCTGTCGAACTTTCGTTTCGACTTTGCTGTAAGACTTTCCACCGGTCCCCTGGTTTGGAGGCCAAGAGACAGCTGGGATGGAACTTTTGTTGGAACCACAACCGATCCTCCACCGGGAGGTACGTTCTGCTCTGTGACCAGTTGAGCCCGGTCGGGACACCCCGGAGGGTGCTCGCAAATGTGTCCATCTCCCATATGGCCCACCAGGCCCGCCTGCGTTCTTCTTCGTCACTCCAGGCCGCAATTTCATCGGGAGTCGACGGGACATATTTATCGGGCTTGTTGGCGTCAACGCAGTGGATCTTCAGCTCGTACGCGACCCTAATGCAAGTCCCCAGCCATCGCCAGGCACGCCCATGGGCACCCTTGGTCAACTGAAAGAACGTGGTCAAAATGATGGACTGCAAGAACTCGAGTGGTGGGGTTTCATCGGCACACTGGGTCAAGGACTCCTCCTCAAAGCGCAGGGCGAGTTGATGAAAGTGGTCTGGACAAGGTACTTCGCTGGGAGATTCATTGATCGGATTGTGGGGGGTTTGATCCATCGCTTGATCCTCAAAGCGTGCCGAGAAGGAGCACATTGACGCCAACAACGCATTGAGGTATAGGGACGGCCCTGCGAGCCTTAACTTCTCATTGAAGGTGGGCTCATGGAATAAAGAGAAGGAGGTCATGTTGGCAAAATACGAATCAATTCTAAATCCGAGGTCAGTGAGTCGACGCGACAATCCAGAAGCCCTTCACTTACAATCGTTGCAGGAGGTTTGGGGTGATGTTGAGAGCATGGCAAGTGTGCAACATGGCATCAGAATTGCACAGAGGCAAACTGATGATGTCCCTGCCCGACTGTGGCTCGGTGGCTAATGGATCCCAGTCTCTTGGCCCGCTGAACTGATTGGCACTGCTTTGATGGTAATCTAACGCGAAGTAAGATGGATCAGGCACGGTGTCAGGCTGATTTGAAGTGGTCACTCCAGTTGTCACTGTCGTTTCCGGCGAAAGCGGTCTCTTGAGAGGCACAAATGGCTGCGGCATGGTGAAAGTCCCGGTGGAAGGACCGTCTGAAGACATCGAATGGTCATCTTCGGTACAAATTGAAATCCCCTCGACACGCTGCTCTGTCGATGCCGTTTCGTGGCCGGCCAGTCGGTCGCTTCCGGCGTAGTCTTCCTTTTTCCTCTTGGACAAGCGTGGCTTTTTCAGTCTCGAGCCTAATCGACATGCGACAATTCGGTTAGCGATGGCCCAGAAGACGAGAGGCAGCGGAGTGGAGAGCTCAGTACCAGTCTTGGGGCCCGGGCGGTGCCTTTTGGATGGATATGTACAGGTTTGACCGCTTTTCAGACAAAGGCTGCATGATGGAATTTTGCGATCGCTACAGCCACCACCGCCGTCGCGTCAAGTCAGCGATTGTAATGGACACTTTCATGCGCCGCCCTCAGAAGCAATATTTCTTACCACTTTGCTTTGCGCCTGGAACACAGAAATCAGCGAACCATCATTCATGAAATCGGTCAAGTGCTCTTCTCGCAGCAGATTTACGTACCGTCGGCAGGGCTGGCAAGAGAGGTCTGGCGTGCTTGAGTGTGATGTGGTGGTGTCTTCCTCCCGCTCCATGGTGGTGATGGTGATAGTTGAGGAAAATTGAAGTGTGGTGCGATCTCGCATGGTTCCCACCCAGTACTTGAGACAACTTCCCAACCGACTTTTCGGCCGCGGGGCCCCGCATGGAGTCGTGCGCCGAGCGGAAGGGCCCCAGAGGGAGATAGGGAGGAGAGAGGAGGGAGGAGGGAGGAGGTCGATTGCAATCGTCCGCAACATGGGCGCCATGACTGATACAGTAAGCGTGGACGACACAATTAGGCCGCAGGAGGCAACGGAAGGATGACGGCCTATCTTCATTGTCGCCAGCTGAGGACTGAGGACGGGCAGAGACCAAATGACAGGGCAAAGAAGCCGTGCGCCCAGAAGTAGCGGGGGAGAGGGCTAAGGGGCTTAGGGTTACACTAAGGCCTAGGCTAATAGTACATGTACTAATAGTAATAGCCGACCCATCATCCTGGGAAGCCCGCTAAGCTTAAGCCCCTAAGGGCCCCTAAGCCTCCCCCCAGAGACTTTCACTGCGTCACTGCGCAGGCGGGCCCAATAAGCCACACGTGAAATGGACTCACCGCCGCCTCCCCTGAACCTCTGAGTCCGCGACTTACATACGTAGTATTACTAATTTCTCTATCAAACCAGCACTAAAAGGTTAGTGGCTCTTGGCCCATAGCTACATTGGCGCAGTTGGGACGCTTATTTGGAATCACCATCATGATCATAGTACTAATTTAGTGCCTACATGTACCTAACCCAAGGTAGATGGGACTACGTACTCTCCGTATAGAGGAAAGATCTCCGGGGTAGTAAGGTACGAGTAGGTACGGAGCTCGTGCAGTGCTGTGTAATAGGCGTCTCTCATTTGATGTACTCACTACCCACAGTTCACCCACAATTCATACCTCCCCAAGTACTCGGTACCCAGTACCCTATCAGCGTGTCTCTGGCTCGATATCACTCAACGTCCTCTGTATTCTCCACCGCTCTGTGACCTGCGACCCTCGCAGGCGCATGCAATTCATTCAATCATGTCCCTAAGCCGACTGTTTCGGGATGCTGTGCAGTTCTCCCTCTCCCTCGACACGCTCAATCTCTCGAGTCTCGGTGGGGGTCTTGTCATCGTACTTGTCCAGTTGATCCATCTCCACCAAACCGTGACCGTCCTTGGTCAGGTGCACCACCACCGTGTCTCCAAACAGTTGACCAACTTCCTCCAGGGACAGGCCGGCCGTCTCAGGAAGAAAGAAATAGACCAGGACCACAGACACGACGTCGCAAGCCACCCAGACGAGATAGTACTTCCATCCGATATTCTTGAAGGCCGTGGGCGCCGGAGTGGTGTAGGTAATGGCGCCGATGAAATAGGTGAAGAAACACAAGCCTAGCCCTTTGGCCCTGAGGGTGGTGGGGAAGACTTCGGAACACCACACAAACTGGGTCGGATCCAGGAAGAAGCCATAACAGATGCCGAAGAGAAAGACGAAGAACAAGGCGGCGCCGAGCCCGGCCTTGTGGTCCGTTCCCACATATTGCCTCTGCAACAGAGCCTCGGCCAGGAGGCAACCTCCTGTGACAGGGAGACCAATCACTGGATGAGAAAGAAAAATCAGCACACTGCTCACCATCGATATGCAGATAGGAAGACTCACAAAACATTTTCCGCCGTCCCAGCCGGTCAATCGCGAACTGGTTGAAACAGTTGCCAGAGACTGCAACCACGACATAAAGGGCATACATGAGCAGGGGCATGGACCCTGTGAGATCAAGGCTCTGGCAGATGAGGACGACATAGTTGGTAATGCCGAGAATTCCGGCGGACTGCATGGCGAAAATGAGGAAGATGGTAAGAAGCGACCGCTTCCTCCAGGATGGACGGCGGAACATGTCAATGTAGCCGGATGAGATGGTCTTGTCGAATTCCACCTGTTTGACGATCTGAATATATTCCGCACGGGCGGCAGAGTCGTGGGCGTCCTCGGGATCGTGGTGGATTTTCCGGATGATCTCCCATGCTTCGTCGTTGCGATTCTTCCAGCTCAGATACCGGGGCGACTCGGGAAGCCACCAGACACCGGCCATGACAAAGATGGGACCAACGACAGCCAATGCCAGTGGAAGTCTCCACTGGACCGTCAAAGATTTGGCAAAATAGCAGGCATAGCCTACCCAAGCGGATCTGCGCCATGCCACCGTCAGCAAGTTTGGTTTCACCAGAGGGCTAAGGCTGCGTCGTCAGACGTCAGACAAGGGCTTGACTTACATGAAATAGCCACCAGCGAAGCCAACGGCGGTGAATGAGGCCATGGCACCTCGGTGACGTGGCGGCGCGACTTCGGCGATGTACAAGGGGACCAGAGAGAGTAGAATTCCCAGGCCAAAGCCATTAATGAAGCGGCACACCACCAGCATCGGCACGTCGACACTTCCTGCGAACAAGGCTGATCCCACGAGCGAGCTGAGGGCGGCGACGGCAAAACTGTTTTTGCGACCAATCCAGTCGGCGAGCCAGCCCTGGAAGATGGCACCGAAGGCAGCTCCCGCGGCAAACAGCGAATTGACAGTACCGATGATGCCCGCGGTGTAGCTGCTGTCGGCTGGCGAAAAAGTCAGGTCTGGGGTCTGAGGATGGTCTTGTCTCGCACTTCCATCCGGGGAAGGGGCAGGTCACTCACGATCTAGGTCAAAGTACAGGAAGAAACCCGGCATCCCGATGGAAGTACCGAAGACGGCATAGGAGTAGCCATATGAGTATGAGCCAAGGGCCACGAAGGCCACGATGAGCTTGTTATACAAGGTCACCCGGGCCATGATGGAAGGGGGGGTCCAATCTTGGGACGCCAAATGGTGTGAGTGTGTGTTGGATCGTACTGTACTGTGTACTGTGATCTCTGGGGGGGTAAATGGAAGAACTCGAACCTCTAGAGCAGAGCAGGGGGCACGCTGGTCCTATTTATGTCTCCTTGCTGTTTTGATGACTGGTAGCAATTTCTCTGGGGGGGCAGCCTCCCGCCTCCCGCCACCCCCAGTATGCATATGCGCGGAGTACGGAGTACGGGGTGAGCATACGGATACAGTGTTCTCCATGGATCGTGCGTGTCTACTCTGTGGTCGTGGTAGGTAAGGCACCCTGGTATGCAAGACGGCCAGCCTTAGCGCCATCCTGCCTCTCTGCCGGCATGGTCGCCGACTACGTCCAGACTAGCAGATGCGGCGCAATTAGCAGTCGTGAGAGCCAAAGCGAAAAGATCTGCGTCGGACAGATTGAGAAAACCCAAAAGAAGAAGCGCTGTACTTGCTGGGCGACGATCCTTGCCCCAGCTTCACACTTAACCCTAACCCTAAACCAAACCCAGCAAGCGGGATGGCCAAATTTCCCCGATTTCCCCGTGGGGGGGCGCGCTCAGGCTCTGTAAGCGGCCCATGTCAGCGCGCTCCAACTATCTACTGTACTAACTACTCCGTACGTACATTGTACTATCGACCTCCGCTTCCGCTGGCGAGAGCGGCCCCGATAAGGAAACCCCCCGTCAACCAGCGCCTCTGTACTGGAAACCCCCCGTTGGCCCTTAGCCTCCCTCCTCTCTCCTTCCCCTGGCCCCCTTAGCCTTCTTCCTCCGTGCTGGCTCCTGTCTCCTCTCTCTTGTCTCCTCTCTCCTCCCTCCCATGCCGCTGGATCCTGGAGGCTGGGAGCCGGTGTCTCCAGAAGTGCCAATAGACTCTATTCTGACGCCATCAATGTGCCGTCCGTGCCAAAAGCAAAGACTTCGCCCTCACCGCCGAATTGAGACGTGATAGATGGATATTGGACATTGGACCGTCGAAATCCAGCTGCAGAGGTCAGCCCCTGGCCCATTCGAGCTGACAATACTCCGTAGACAGAGAATAGTAAACAGGTGTACGTGTTCTTTCGACAGCGTATCCGGAGGTGGCAAGACTGAAGATCACCTTGTTTACGTTATGGGGGCCGGCTCGACTACAGCGACTGTCTTGAAGTTTCCAAGGAAGAACCGTCAAGGGCTATGGCAATCGCAATCAACAATTCATGAGGTCGTTGTCCTGATGGAGGGAGTATAGTAGTTGTATTATTGTAGTTGTATGTAATAGTGGTGCTGTAGCACGGGGCGGACTAAGGCGAAGATTTGATTCTGTGAAGATTTTGCACGGAGAAGACTTTTCATAGGCTCTACTCTATTACTATAACTCCTAGATGTGATTCTGTAAAGAATTTACACGGTGAGAACTTTTCATAGGCTCTACTCTATTACTGTAACCTCCTAGATATAATTCTATAAAGATTTTACATAGAGAAGACTTTTCATAGGCTCTACTCTCTTACTATAATTCCTCGATCTAGATAGAATATAAAGATAACTACTTACTGACTATACCGTATTGACTGTCAAAATCCAACTATAGAGGTGAACCTTGACCCGTTCGATCTAAATACTCCGTAGACAGTGAATACTAAACAGTGTACCTGTATAGATGGAGCCGCTATAGAATGTACTGTGCTCCGTACATACGAGAGAGAGCATCATTGTAGTTGCATGTATGGTGGTAGCACGTTGGGGACCACGGCGAAACTTTGATTCTACGAAGATTTTACACGGAGAAGACTTCTCCCGAGCTCTGCTCTATTACTGTAACTCCTGGGTCTGCACAGATCACTACTTACTGACTGTGCCGTATCGACCATCATCTATTTATTAGATGGCTGCGGATTAGAATCGTCTCTATAGTAGTATATAATGATAGGTAACGAGCAATTCCAAACATCAAGTTGATCTATATGTCTATGCCTGAGCTCTACTCTAATACTGTAACTCCTAGGTCTAGATCGAATCAATGTCTATATAGAAATTCACTACTTACTGACTGTGCCGTATCGACCATCATCTATCTATTATGTAGCTCGATCATCTTCTATCCATTATGTGGCCAAGGGTAAAGGCTTCACAACAACGAAGCTGCGCATAGTAACGAACAGTTGCGATCAAACAGTTGCGATCGAACAAAAACAAGCAGGACTATAGGAATATGGCCTGTGTGAACGAGAGGAAGTCAGGACAAGAGACGAGGGAGAAGGAGACTAGGGAACTCCTAGAAGGCACCCTTATCCCTAGCAACAATCTGTAGCTCCCAAAAGTTAGGGATAACAATAGGAAGCTGTAGAAGATCATGGATACTTGAGAAACTATAGAAAGAGAAAGAGAAGAAAGGGGATGATTTCTGGAGTATCCGTAAGGGTACACATCGACACGGTAGTAGGTAGGAACTTAGGAAGAAGGAGTAAAGGGTAATAGGTTTTATTCCCTGGAGGGCTTTTCCTATTATGGAGAGTCTGTATAGATACTCCCGACATGAGCTATTAGCTTCTAGGTGTAGAGAATATAAAAAACAAAAAAAATGGCTAAGGATCGGAGCTGCCTTTATAGTAGTATATGATGACAGGTCACGAGCAGTTCCAAACATTGAGTTGATCTGTATGTCTATGCCTGGCCTGAACCCGTATGTCAAAGGATGAAATGTTCCATGTTCTTTATCAAAGGGGTCGCAGAGGGAGCGCATGCTATATAGTATAGTATAGCCTAAAGCAGCCTTCTGGCCACAGGGCCAGGCTGGGAATACCTAAGTTTGCCACCGTAGAGTATATATGTATACTGATTGCTATATTCTGCATACTGTATCTATCTGTACTCTGAATGGTGCTACGGCTTTCCATTTCCACTTCCATTTCTTTGATCTCAAGCTCCAAAGGCCCACGACGCAGTGGCCAGCAGTAATGATTGGTGAGGGTGCTAGTAATAGTCATAGTCATAGTTATCCAGGACGGCGAGGGCCTCCCTGTTGAGTGAGTCTTGACAGGTCGTGCACGAATGATCCCTTCTTCATTCGTACGGAGCCAGGAACCTTCTTGCAGCGGCCAGCTCTCGAGTGATGATGTCGACGTGTGTCTGACTCCGTGGCTTGAAGATACACTTGAACGGCGCGGGACCGTGCAGCAGGCCCTCGACGTAATGATTCGGGTCCAGCTTGACGGGCTTCCCGGTTGCAGGGTCCAAGCCGGGGAGGATGTCGAACGCCCACAGCAGCTTGGCTGCAATGCGCCACTGCGTCCTCTCAGCCAGGTGGATTCCTGGACACATGCGCCGTCCACTGCCATAGCCATAGTGATGTGAGGAACAGTTAGCTTTGGGTTCGAAAACGTACGGCCGCCTTAGCAAGCGGGCGGTCTGAAAGGAAAACACTTATCTCGGTTGCTAAAATCTGCACCCCCGGCGTAGTCGTTGGCCAGCTTGGGGTGGTTGATGTACCGCTCCGGCTTGAATTCATACGGATCGTCATAGCCAAATCGTTCGGCGTGGTGGAGGGCCCATGTGGGAATGAAGATGGTCGAGTCCTTTGGAATCAGCATTCCTTCGTAGAAGTCGTCGGCCGCCACGCGATGGGGGATCCCGACTGGAGCACTATAGAAAGAGAGAGATGGACACGGTCAGCAACATTCTGGTCTCTGGGGACGGGGCGGGAAGAGGCAAGACTCACGCAGGGCGCCATCTCATGCCTTCCTTGATGATGCAGTTGATGTAGGGCAGACGGGCGAAATCCGACCATTCAGGCATCCTCTCTGTGCCGCAGACGGCATCGATCTCTTTCTGCGCCTTTTGTTGCACACGAGGGTTCATGGCCAGGCAGAGGATGAGGGTCAACATGGTGGACGACGTGGTTTCGGCCCCGCCCTCGACGAGCAGGCCAAAGAAATGGTCCAACTCCTGTTTACTCAACGGCGACCCTTTCTCCGTGTACTCATCTAGCAGCTTGTCGGCCAGCGAGCCATGCGAGGTGCGAATGTCACCTCGTCGTCGTCGCTCGTCCACCCGGCTGCGTGCTTCCGACCAAATCTTGTGCATCACGCTGCCCGCGTACTTGGCTCGAGTCTTCCACGGAGAAATGAACTCGGGCAGATACTTGAGAACGGGGAATTCGTCGACCGGTGGATTGGCCCCTGGCTCCAATGCCTCGCCAAACTAAAAAGCCCAAAGGCTATTAGTTACACGCTCACGCCAAATAGGGGAGATGCCTCCTGTATCCTGTACAGGACAGTGGACAGTAAACAGTAGACGGGACATACCTTGTCCAAGGCGTCATAAACACACTGGCAACTTTCGTCAGCTTTCCATTCTTCAACATATCACAAGACCCAAAGAGAAGAACGTACATGACCCCAGAAGTCTTCGTAAGACGTAGCTCGCTGTCCGTACACGAGGATACAGGCAATAGAAGAGGTGAGCCGTTTCATGTGATTGTAGAAATCCTCCGGCTTCGTGACCAGGTCGTTCAAAAGGACTGTCACCCTTTAGAGCAAAAAGGTCAGACGCAGTTCTAAAACCCAAGACAAGACAGACCGCGTCAAGGAGCCTGAATCGGCTAAGGGTTAGGGTTGTTGGACTCACTCGGCGTCTTGGACAGGAGCCACTCGCTCGTCGAGAATCTTGGGCTATAAGCCAGTCAGCAAGTCGAAGTCCGAGACATAGGGAGAGGGGAGTGTGCACGAACCGAGAAATTGTGCGTGGCAATCTTGCGTTTGGCTTTCTGTCGTTCGTGGTGGTCCTGGAACACGAGGCTGTCGCCGTGCGTGACCAGGTCGTTCACATAGCTGTGCGGCCGCTCGGCGTAGAGGAGACCCTTTTTATCCACGAGGTCATGCACGGCTTTCCGGTCATACAGCACAATCACGGTGGACGACGCAAGCTTGAGCGAGTAGATTCCGCCAAACTCTTCGCCCCACTCCTTGAATCTGTACCGTGGTCAGCATCCGCGTCAGAGACAGGCATAGGCAGAGACACGAGCTAGTATGATCCAGGACACACTCTCGATATCGAGGAGACAGAGACTGGAGACGGGCTCTTACTTCTTGTACATGCCCGTAATGGGAATCTGGTGCAAATTCCCCAACAATGGCAAGGTCGGTGGGCCTGGAGGCATCCGCTTGTCTCGTCGTCCGATCTGGAGTGCTCGGTAGATGCCATAGAGGATGACCAGTGCCACGGCAAAGTTCCATGGGCTGGTCTGTTGAATCCTCTCACGGATCCCGTCCAGACTGATGTCGCCCAGTTGAACTGACATGGTGGATTCTGCGAGCTGGACACTCGAAAGGTGGGCGTTAACTAAGCAAGGATTCTCACCCTGGAGAGGGAAAGGTTCTCAAAGAAAAACAAAAAAAACAAAAAAAGGGTTAGTTAACAGTAGTACTGTACTGTGATTCAGTAGACAGACATCCAGAAGAACAGGTTTTATTCCTGCAGGATGAGTTGAGTTGTTTGGATTCGGCTGCATAAGCTGTCGTCAGTCTCAGTGCATTTGTCCGCTTGCTGGCTGGCATATTGGATCCTGGTAGCCGTGCCTTGTCTCTGGACTATCTCAGTATGCATAAACGGTCCGAATTCATCTTGATCATTCCAATCTCATCATAGATGATAGGTGGATGATGGTGTGGACGTGCAGTGTCTTCAGAAGCATCGACGGCCTAATTTCCCTTCCCCATTCCCCACACTAACATCCAACTTCAGGTTGAGGATCACCGACCCCGACCCCGGATATGTCTTGCAGTACGATGACTTCACCTATACCGCCCTGGGGTAAATTGGACCGTGACTTGGTGATGTGTCGCAGGTTAAGCTCGCTGGTTAACCTAGTGGTGGTCGGTTCCGACCAGGTTGCCCAGCGAGTGTCCTAGGGCCAACCCTGGGGGGCTTTTTTCAGTTTCGCTGGGACAAAACTGCTGGATAGATTAAAAGAAGACTTCTGTCTAATTAATCCACCCCCCGTAGGAACAAGTAATTGATACTGATTTCCCCTTTCGAGCATCAAGCGACATCAAGCAATCGCCGCTACAGCAACAGAAGTCGATATGGCGATGCAATATGCCCGGTAAGCTACCCAGCATTCAGAATCAGACCTGGTTTTTATGATTGTGGTCCGTCTGACTGTCTGGATGAACTGTAGTCTGGGCAATTCTGGACTCAAAGTATCCAAACTCATCTTGGGGGCAATGTCGTTCGGAAGCCCGAAGTGGCAGGATTGGGTTATGAACGAGGAAGCCTCTTTACCCATCATAGAGCACGCCTACAAGTCGGGAATCAATACCTGGGACACGGTGAGTCGCACCCCTTCCGTTTCCATCCATTATATTGGATTTCTCGGGCTTACTCAAGTGGGCGCGTCGCATTCCAGGCCGATATCTATTCTCACGGAGACAGCGAAAGAATCTTGGGCAAGGCGTTAAAGAAGTACAAGATTCCTCGCGAAAACGTGGTCATCTTGACCAAATCATACTTTGCTTTGAGCCAGGATGGTTCTCAGCTCCCGTTGACTGAGTGTATGCTGAACGATGGGAACTTGGTGAACCGGGTCGGGCTGAGCCGCAAGAAAATCCTGGATGCGGTTGACCAGAGTGTCGAACGACTGGGCACGTATATCGACGTCTTCCAGATTCACCGACTAGACAGAGACGTGCCGAAAGAAGAGATTATGCGTGCACTCAACGATGTGGTGAACAGTGGCAAGGTCCGCTACATTGGAGCCAGTTCGGTCAGTTACTTCCTCTCCTCCTCTCCTCCTTTACTTGGTCTTGTTGGCCAGTGAATGAACGAGGGCTTGTCGTCGTCATGGTTGTGTTCTGTCTCGCAACCGTAAACATAATATACTGACCTGCGTCAATGACAATGACAGATGGCCGCGTGGGAGTTTCAGCAATTGCAAACGATCGCGGAGAAGAACAACTGGCACAAATTCATCAGCATGCAGAACTACATGAACCTCCTGTATCGAGAGGAGGAGCGCGAGATGCTGCCGTACTGTAAGGATACCGGCGTGGGCATTATCCCCTGGTCGTCCATGGCGAGAGGCATCCTGGCCCGGCCATGGGGATCTAGCACGCGACGCGACGAGACCGATCAACACAAATTGCCCACGGGCGCAGAAATCGTGGACAAGACCATCGTGGGCCGGGTGGAGGAATTGGCAAAGAAGAAAGGAGTGCCCATGAGCGCCATCTCCACCGCCTGGGTTTTGCACAAGGGCGCATCTCCTATCCTGGGGCTCAACTCCAAGGAGAGAATTGACGACGCTCTGGTGGCGTTGCGTGTTCAGCTGACCGAGGAGGAAGTCCGGTATCTGGAAGATCCATATCAGCCGCGTCCTATTGTGGGCTACTAGACTGTACATACTCCGTACACTCCGCACTCCACATTAGCAATGCCGTGTCCGAGACTAAAGCTCAGATCTGCTCTCTGTACATGTATTGTGTGTGGCCAACGGACTGTTTGGGCCTGCAGCACGATCAATCATAATCATTCGGACAGCTTCTCCATAATCATTTGGACAGCTTCTCCATAATCATTCGGACAACTTCTCCATAATCCATCCTAAGTGGCCATCCCCAGAGCATTCCTAGATTGTGCTGGGCGGCTTAATCAGATGGCAACCAGGACGGAAAATCCCCCGCAAGGGGAAATCGAAATTTGGCCGCGGTCAGGACTTCGATGCCTTTGGAGCCGCGGACTTTCAATCAAAGAACTAGGATTGGATTGCGGCCCCTAGAATCGTCAATGGCCCTCGATGGAAGATTAAATACCGAATCAGCTGGCCAATATTTCTGGTGAGAAGCACTGTACTCTCCGTGATATATGTTCGACGTATTCAAGCTTCCCGACGTGACGGAATCTACTCCTCATTCTCAAGCCTCGCCAAGGGGTTTCACAATCAGAGTACAGCGCCGCCATGGCAGACCTAGACCTGGGCCCGAGACTGGGTGGTCTTGATGAATTCACCAAATCTCACCAGGGTGCGGATGGCGTTGGTGGCCTCTCCCAAATCATCCGAATCCTCGATAGAGGCAGATTTCGAACATCTTTCATCGACGATCTCTACACGCCAACTATATTGGTACCTCTGATACTGCTTGTGGTCGGGCTCTTGTCTCTCGCCGCCACCGGACAGCTTCGTCTGGCAAAGAAGACTGAAGAAGTGGAAGATCTGAAACGAGTGGACGGGTTCAAGTCGTCTGGGAGCAACAGAAACATCGTCGAGCATATGAAGACGACGGGGACCAAGTTGGTGGTGTTCTTCGGCTCGCAAACCGGCAACGCACAAGGCCTCGCGTCCAAACTGGCCAAGGAGGGTCAGTCGCGATTCGGGTTGAAGACGCTCGTGGCCGATGTTGAAGACTACGACTACGAAAACCTCGTCGACTTTCCTTCCGACAGCGTGGCCGTCTTTGTGTTGGCCACGTATGGCGAGGGCGAACCCACTGACAACGCGGTCGACTTTTACGAATTCCTCACCGACCCAAACACGGCCTTCTCTTCCGATCGAGAGAGACCGTTGAAAACTCTAAAATATTCCATGTTCGGTCTTGGAAACTCAACCTACGAACACTACAACGCCGTGGTGCGAAAGGTCGACCAGAGCCTCGAGACGCACGGTGCTCGGAGGCTGTGTGCGACCGGCGAGGGCGACGACGGCGGCGACAAAACCACCGAGGAAGATTTTCTGAGCTGGAAAGAGAGTCTCTGGCAGTCGGTGGCGTCCGTCATGGGCCTAGAGGAGCGGGAGGCGGTCTATGAACCGAGCTTCGACGTCCAAGAAGAAGGATCCACGCAGGCCGAAGCATCGCACGTGTTCCTGGGCGAGCAAAATTCCCTACATCTCAGGGGGGAGCAGCGCGGCCCATTCGGGGCGCATAACCCCTTTCTCGCGCCCGTCACCAAGTCGTTGGAGGTGTTTACCGTCAAGGACCGGAACTGCCTCCACATGGAATTCGACATCAGTGATTCCACATTGGCATACCAGACCGGGGACCATTTGGCGGTGTGGCCGATGAACGCCGACGTCGAAGTGGAACGGTTCCTCCGCGTATTTGATCTGTGGGACAGGCGGCACACCGTATTCAGCATCAAGGCGGCCCAGCAAGGGAGGGATCCGTTTCCCACCCCAACCACCTATGAGGCGGCGGCTCGATACTATCTCGAAATCTGTGGGCCAGTGTCGAGGCAAGTCATCGACATCCTGGCGCAATTCAGTCCCAGCCCGGAAGTCAAGGCGGCCATGACCAAGCTTGGTCGCGACAAAGATCATTTTCATCAAGAAGTCACCGGCCAATGTCTCAACTTGGCCCAGCTGTTGGAGACGCTCAGTCCCTCGCAGCCATTCTCGAAGGTGCCATTCTCGGCGCTCGTCGAGGGCCTACGACGTCTCCAGCCACGGTATTACTCGATTTCATCCTCATCACTGCTTCAGAAGGGCACGATTTCCATCACCGCCGTGGTCGAGTCTCGACAAGTGGCTGGGGCTCCAGACACCAGACCACTGTTGAAGGGCGTGACGACAAACTATCTCCTGGCCTTGAAGAAGCAACAGGAAGGAGAGGCCCAGCCACACCCGCACGGCAAGACTTATGCCCTGGAGGGTCCGCGCAACAAGTACACTTCTCGAGTGCCCGTCTACGTTCGACCCTCGAATTTCAAACTTCCCGCGGACTCTTCCCTGCCGGTGATTATGATCGGCCCCGGCACGGGGGTTGCACCCTTCCGCGCCTTCGTTCAGGAGAGAGCAGAACAAGCAAGGTTGGGTCAAGACGTGGGCAAAACCATTCTTTTCTTTGGTTGCAGACGCAAGTCGGAGGATTTCTTGTATGAAAAGGAGTGGGAGGTAAGAACAACCAACATTCCCAACCCGAATCGTTGCGGTCGTACTGATACATAAGACAGGAGTATAAGGCTTTGCTTGGTGACAAATTCCAGCTGTTCACCGCATTCTCCAGAGAGGGCTCGGAGAAGGTCTATGTTCAGCATCGACTGGCTGAGAACGCAGACTTGGTCGCGGAGTTGTTGCAACACAAGGCATATTTCTATGTCTGTGGCGATGCGGCACATATGGCTCGAGATGTCAGCGACACACTGGTCCGAATCATTGCTGAGAAAAGAGCCATCCCGCCGGCCAAGGCCGAAGAGGTGGTTAAATCCATGAGAAATTCCGGCCAATACTTGGTGAGTGCCTTTGTCAAAAGATGGCTATCCTGGTCTTATCTGGTTCTAACTTCCCACTACAGGAGGACGTGTGGTCCTAAAGATAGTGAGGTGCAAGGCACCACATATGAAATATACGATAGAATACAGAATATATAGTAGACTCACGGTGACTTGCGAAAGGATTGGGCTATGTTTAGGGTCCAGGTATGGTATGGTATTATATCGAATGCTATCAGAAGCTCGAATTTATCTTTGAGGCATTCAACCTGTGGTACAGGCTAAGGTTCCCTTCTCCAATTGGGGTATCAATATTGACTAGCTGGTGGATTCCTCTTCCCCACGTTGAATGACCTCACCACCCCGTGAGAGAACAAGAGGACTTCATTGCCGGGCCAGGGGTAGACGACGTACATTGGACAATACTTTGATCGATATTCTACTTGGTGGGTCAGTGACAGTGATTCCTCACCCGAGGTACAGTACAGAGTACAGAAACAGGATGTACTATGGCGGAGGAATTAACTTCCCCTCAATGAAACGGAACGGTACAATTATTTAATGGTTGACTTGCGGTCTAATATATTAATACTAATACTGTCATAGCATCCATGGGCCGTGTATAAGGCCACAAGGAATCATTGCTGTACTGTATAACTAGCCCAAGAAAAGACTCGAGCAACAAAGGAAACACAGCAGTTATCACAGAACACCGCGGCAAGAGAGACATCATGGCACACGGGGCTCAGAAAGGTTGGGTCCAAGACGAGGTAGGCACTGGTCCTGGATCTCCCAGGAAACTCTCCCTGGAGATATTCTCAGTTCTCCATCAACGAACGATCTGAACTGACAGGATGATTGTTTCTTCATGACAGACCGAGTACAGCGGTATCGACAAGACATATGAGTTGCTACACCTACCGAAAAGCCCGGTATGAGAAGGCCCGATTCCAAATCCAAGCCCAGCCCTTGAATGGACGGTGAAAGGATTCGTTCATCGTGCTTCGCAGGACAGCATTGATTGACATGAGCGATACAATACAGGATCACCAGCCGGAATTCGCGAAAGAAGAGCAGGAAATCCTCGAACAGCTGTACAAGGGATGGCTGCGCTACTGGAATAAGGAGTCGATGCACGACCCCGGGGCCAACCAGTCGCGACGGTTCTACAACTTCGAGGAAATGCTGAGCTACGACATGTTCGGCACCACGACGCGAGGCAAGTTCATCGAGCATTTCGAGAACGTGTTCCCCTACTATGTGGACGGGCAGATGGAATACAAAGACCTGGAGATCGTGGTCCTCTCGCCCACCCACGCCTATTCCACCTGTTTCCAACACACCTGGGGCAAGGCCGGCGGCGAGCCATTCAACATCACGTTTCGCAGAACAGGCATCGCCAAAAAGAAGGACGGCCAGTGGAAGTGGATCCACGAGCATCTGTCGTTTCCCGTCGACATGGCCACCAAAAAGGCCGACTTCAACTGTGAGACCGAGGCCTTGGACTCGTTCAAATTCCAGAAGTGAAAGTGAAGGTGAAGGTGAATCATGATCAGAGCAAGAGCAAGAGAATCGAAGCTCGGAGTGCGTGACAAATTGATACGTATATCCAATGAATCAAGTCAAGTCCTGTAACCACCAACCACCTAGCTACTGCTACATGCATACGTAGCTGCTTTGCTATGTGATGACGGCCCGGAAGGAAAGAGAAATCCCCGCCTCCGTCATAAGGCGGGACTCTACTCCCCAGCTCCGGCAGGTCCGACGGGTTAGATGTTAGATGCTCCAGGTCGGGAAGCACACAGTACAATGCATCAGGACAAGTGACAAGTGTGCTTCGATAGACCGCCTACCGCCTCCGCTTACTACGCAGAATGGCGGTCCGGACCGATTACGCTCCAATTGCACGCCTTGGGACTGGACATCCCGCTGGATAGCCACAGCTACGGTATAGGAGGCTCTTCCCTGAACGATCCAATGACAGTGGACGTGAATGCAAGACTGCAATATTGCAAATACTAGTATCTTTCATATACCTTACGACGTACGACGGTCAAATCGAGAACAGCAACAGCATCCCTCGACGTCTTCTGTTCTGCTTGCTTCTTTCCTCCAGAACTCTCATTCAACGACCGACTCCCTCGCAGGCCAGTCCACTCCGATCAAATGGCACCTACCAAAGTCAAGTCCCTGACGGCCGATCAGGTGGTCCAGCACCGAACGAAGGACAGCTTATACCTGGTCATTCACGACAAGGTTTACGACGTGACCAAGTTTATAGATGAACATCCGCAAGTCTTCCTCGTTACTGTTATTGTTCTTGTTGTTATATCGAGTCCCTGTCCCAGATTCCCCCCTCACTCACGTGGCTTGAGATGCTGTTCGCCTGCACCACCTAACTGGTCGACTGTCTAGTGGAGGTCAAGAAGTGCTCATCGATCAAGGCGGCGTCGACGCAACGGAAGCATTCGAAGAGGTCGGACACAGCGAAGAGGCCCGGAAAACGCTGGCGAGTCTCCATATTGGCAATCTGCGACGTCAGGTGAGTGTCAATGCCCATGTCTATGTCTATGTCTATGTCCATGTCCCTATCTACGCCCATGTCTATATCCGGCGGCAGTCCACTGTCTCAACCACAAAACAAACCAACCGTTGTCACCGATTCAATCTCTCACTGTCCTATTCTCTCTATGTAGGCCGGAGACGAAAAGCTACTAGCCGCGTCCGGGAGCGCATTCAAGAGCTACGCCGCCGATACCAAGGGAGGGGTGCCGGCCATTTTCCAGGCCGCGATTGTCTTCGCGGTGGGCGTGGCTGTCTTTCTTGGATGGAGATATCTATTAGATCAAGACGGAACCGCCAAGTCCCAACTGTAAGAGGAGAGGGAGCATGGTTGTTGAGGGCGGAGGGCGGACAAATTGGGTGGGCATTGGGCATTTTGCATATTGCAGACCAAGTTCCTCCGACCCACTAAGACAACGATCGGACATGTAATGCATAATGCACATACATACGGAGTATGTACATACCTTTCTGTTGGAGCCACGAATACTGTGTTTCAAGGGCCCAACTGACCATACCTCGGACGGCAGATTCTCCTGACCGGATTGCCGTGGTATGGACTGTTGGGGTTGGAGACCCTCAATCCCAATTCAAATTAAATAAGCCGTCCCTGGTCTTGTAAGTCTGAGTACCTCCTATCCTACAGTACGACAATCGTCTCCATCAGCAACAAGCAGATTGTCAGGTCCGGTCGGCTCGCTATTCTCATCCCTGCTTTGCTTCTTTGTTGTCAGCCCAGCCACAAGGTTCCAGACCGCACACGACAACCGCCATCTCTATCTACTGGGTAACTCTCGTCTCATCCTCCCCTCCGAAATGCCTTTCAAGGACAAGGTCTACACGGTGACAGGCGCGGCCTCGGGGATTGGTAGATCGACGGCGGTGAGGCTGGCCGAGCTGGGCGCATCTGGCCTGGCGATCAGTGATGTGAATGAAGCAGGGCTGGAGGAAACCAAGCAGTTATGTGAGTATGAGCGCAACTTCTGACATGTGGCATTCTGAATATGTCGAATGTGGCATCCTCGTCGTCGTCGTGGGCTGACCCTGGCGTTGTTTTCAGGTCTCAAACACGGCGCTGTGGTGAGGACAACCAAAGTGAATGTGGCCATTCCCAGTGAGATCAGCGCTTGGATTCAAGACGCCTACGATCATTTTGGCCGACTGGACGGAGCGGCCAATGTTGCCGGCGTCGCAGGTGGCGATGGGACGACTACAGTGGCTACTGTGGTGAGTGTGCCCGATCTCTCCCTCACTCTCTCTTACTCGCTCACCTGCTCCCTCCCTCCCTTCCACACCTCTCATCTCACACTTCACACCTCACACCCACTCTGTCCAATGTGCTTGCCTTCTGAAACCCGCCGCAGGATGAACGAGACTGGAAACGAACCATGGCAATCAACCTGGACGGTGTCATGTATTGCATGCGAGCGCAGCTTCCCAAGATCACCAAGCCAGGCGGCGCCATTGTCAACGTCTCCAGCACATCTGGCCTGCGAGGCCTCCCGCACAGTGCAGCGTATGCCACCAGCAAATTCGGCGTCATCGGCCTGACAGAGTCTGCGGCGGGCGAGTTTGGTAAAGAGGGGGTGCGCATCAATGCAATTCTGCCGTAAGTTATCAAGTCGATACCGTCTGGTTTGGCAGGACCCTACCTAAGGCCAAAAACAAAACAAATGAACACCAGGTTTCTTGGCCTTGGCTGACATGCAGCCGCTTTCTAGAGGTCCGGTCGATACAGCCATCTTTCGGGACGGAGAGGCCAAGGGTCTGTTTGACTCCAAGGTCATGGGAGGCAGTACCTTGCTCGGCCGCATGGGCCATCCCGACGAGGTCGCCCATGTTCTCTGCTTCATGCTGAGCGACGAGGCGTCCTTCGTGACCGGAGGTAAGTTTGACCCTCCCCTCCCCTCTCCTCCCCCACCCCAAAGATCGTCCAGGTACCTGGTACGGTACCGTAGATCCGGGTTGCATGACCATGATGCTAATACGCCGCTCAAAGCTCACTGGACCGTCGACGGCGGTTACGCCGCATGCTAATGGGCTTCAAGACATTGGTGAGAATGTGGGAGGAATTCGTTGAGTAGTGGAGATAGTGAGGGAGGGATCATAAGTCAGTGGGGTTACAGTATGTATTACCGTAGCACCGAAAATCATTCGATCGAGAATACAGACTCCTACTGTACTTTGTATGGCATATCAGTAGTATCCAAATCGTCCGGCAGGCAAAGGTTGGCTGCCATGGCTTAATTGCTGTTGCGGAGAAATTACAGTACAGGGATGTTTGGGGGTCCCGTTCCCTGTTCCCGTCGCCATAAACTCGAGCGACAAGTATCCCTACTGGATGGTGGAACGGGTGTGGAACAGTGAAATTAGTCCGCGCCAACGTCCATCACGTAGGGACTGTACGCCGTACATAAAAGAAGGTTGGCCATACATATGATAGTCAAACGACCGAATAATAAATGCCATTCTTGAATTGATAAGTGAGATCCAGTCTGGCATCTGGGAGTCTGTCTGTAACCAAGAGACAAGACCGCAATTCGCAGTGCCTTACATAGCACTGCTGTGCTGTCACCACCATGGCTCATCAGGTTTCATTCCTCTACACGGTCGTGGCCTTGGTCGTCGCCTATGGCATCTATCGTCTCCTCCAGGTTGGCCGACGAGACCCGCGGATGCCCAAGGGGCCTCCTACATTGCCGATTCTGGGTAATTTCCACCAGATCCCATCCAGTGGAATGTACCGACAGTACGTGTCACGTCCATTGCACACTCTTGACTCTTGAGGCTCAGTCAAAGCGCAGGTTTCGGGAATGGGCCAAAGAGTATGGCTCTGTCTTCTCGTTGAAGTTCGGTCCTTCGAGCATCATTGTCCTCTGTGACCGTGAGGCGATCCACGAACTCCTCGACAAGAAAGGAAGCATCTATTCGGATCGACCGACGACCTATGTCGGCAACCTGCTGACCAAGGGCGACCACATTGCTATTTCTCCCGCTGATGCCATGTGGCGAGAGAAGCGGAAAGTGATTGCGCATAACTTCTCGCCGAAGATGCTGGACGAGAAGCATTTCAAGGTCCAGGAGGCCGAGTAAGACAGCGATCCTATGTTCCTGGAGCAACATAGTCCTAGCTCAGCTGACTGTAATTCTCTGATAGGGGTATTGTTTTGATGAACGACCTTCTGAGAGACCCCGATAACTTTTTCAACCATATTCGTCGGTACACCGCGTCGGTGGCTGCCACTTTGGTTTATGGCCAGAGGGGGGCGACATTTGATTCTTTTTGGGGCCATGTTCGTGAACCCTCCCTCGATGTCAATAATGAAGAGCGCTGACCATGTCTCAGGGAGTATACACCGTGATGGAACAGGTATGTACTATATGTATAAAGAAAGACCTGTTCCTTTTGGCTTTTGGGATCTGCGGTGATTGGACTGGAAGGCTGATGAGACGAACGATCTAGTGGACCGAATGTATGGAACCTGGAGCCAATCCTCCCGTGGATGAATATCCACTGTTGAAACTGATCCCCAAGACCTTCGCCCACTGGAAGAAACGTGCCCTTCGGGCCGGAGAGACCATGGACGCGGTGTGGACACGAGCCCGCGGCATTGTCGAGGCCCGGAGAGCAAAGGGCGATAAGCGCGACTGTATTGCCGACCGGCTGCTGGATGAGTACAACGAGAAAGGCTTCCCGATGAGTCAACACGCATTCAACAACCTCATCGGCGAGCTGGTGGAAGGCGGTGCCGACACGACGTCGGCCCAGTTGCTGACCATGGTTCTGGCTCTGGCACGGAACCCATGGGTGCAGAAGAAGGCCCGCGAGCAGATTGATCCCCTGTGTGGCACGTCTCGATCTCCTCGATGGGGAGAAGATTTTGCCCAACTTCCCTATATAAACGCCATCGTCAAGGAAGGCATGAGATGGCGTCCGGTGTAAGCTTCCCCATATTGCCCCGTCCTTCTCCTTTCCTTTTTCCTTGTCTTTGAATTTGGTTGACTGATTACAATTGCGCCATCTAGAGCGGTGACGGCACTTCCTCACAAAGTTCGACAAGGTAGGTCGCAACCCCTGAAGATTGACCTCCTGTCAGGTCAGCATCGCAATTGGACAGTATTGACTGGATTCCTCAGATGACTACTACAAAGGAATGCTCATCCCTAAAGGATCCACCGTCTTCATTCCGACCTGGGCAATCCATCACAACTCCGAGTTTTACGAAGATGATGAAGCCTTCAACCCGGATAGGTTCTTGAACTACCCAAAACTGGCCAGTGAGTATGCAGGAAGTGCCAATTGGAAAGACCGAGATAAGTACTGTTCCAACCCACCTGTCGTCGCTCTTTTCGACTAACATTTTCTGCACATCATTATGGTTACGGCGCTGGCCGTCGAGTATGTCCTGGGATGCACTTGGCCGAGCGCAACATGTGGCGGATCACTTCCAAGCTGCTCTGGGCTTTTGACATTAGCGAGCCCATTGATCCGGCCACGGGCAAGACAATTCCACTGGATCCGAATGCTTATAACCCTGGCATCACGCAAGCGCCCCTGCCGTTCAAGGTTAGGATTGTCCCTCGAAGCAAAGAACACATGGCTGCGCTGCAAAAGGAACTCAGGTCTGCTTTGGACTTTCTTGCGCCATTCGAGTCCAACGAGTAAAATGTGGTAGCTGCAACGTTGTGATGGAAAGACATACTGCTGGCGAAAAGGAATTTCTGGAACCTGAATATCGCTGGGGACTTCTGTATCACAATGAATAGCTTGCCCAGACAGACATCAAAGATATCGAGTACTTCAACCAGTGCTCGTGTAGATTGTCCTCTGTATTTCGATGGAATTCCGGGCTGAGACCCCTACTTTCCTTGTCTCCTGCGAGAAACTTTCCACATTGAAATATCCTCAGATAGTAACGACTCCATTTTTGAGGGACGGACTAGCTGTTTACGATCTCATGACTGGCATCGTTGCATGGGCAGGATTGTGATTGAACCCTGTGGCCTGACAATCTTAACAGTTGACCTGCCAGGGTGCTGCGGCGCAGGCAATTCCAGAGCTCAAATCTGTCGGTGCGGAAGAAGTTTGATTGCGCAGGTGAGTACGGAGTACGGAGTACGGATATAAGGCGGCGTCTCCCTCGCCCAAACCAGGGGGAGCTCCCGCCGTATTCGCAAGGACCGCGTCTTGGCGTCGGGGAAACCCAAATTCGAAAGCGGCAGCAAGAACCCGCCTAACTCGGGGCAAAGATTTCCCATCTGCCTGCAACTTGCGTTGGAGTGCATGATCTTTTGTATAGTTCGCGCGACATTGTGTTGGAAGAAATAGCAGCGCAAACGCAGTTGTGTACTGCTCCGGATCATCTACGACCATGTTGTGCGCAAGTATGTTTTCCTGTCTTGCTCTACAATCTACAACTGCTTGCAAAAACTGACATTGACTTTGCGCAGTCTCTGGGGAAAGACCTCAGGTACCTGTCACTTCGCGTAAGAGTGGTAGGTACTGCGAATGCCAGAACCAGAGCCCCCTACTAACTCGTCGCAGGCCGGGTCTACGAAAAGCGCCTGATTGAAGCATATATCAGCGAAAATGGCACCGAACCCGAGACCGGAGACGCTCTCTCTATTGAAGACCTCATCGAGCTCAAAACCGATCCCACAGTATACCCTCGGCCTCCGCAAATGACGTCCATCCCAGCGATGCTGTCTTTGTTCCAAAACGAGTGGGACGCTTTGGCGTTGCAGACATTCACCCTCCAAAAAGAACTGGAACAGTCGCGGAAAGAACTGAGCGTGGCTTTGTATCATCAGGATGCGGCTGTACGCATGATTGCTCAACTGACTAAAGAGCGGGATGAAGCACGACAGGCTTTGGCCAAAGTCAGTGTCAATGCTGTCCCTTCTAACGCGGCAGATGGCGATGCTATGCAGGTGGACAGTGCCCCTCTACCAGCACCCATCGTGGAGAAGATCGATTCCACAAAAGAAAGGTATGCAGATATTGTGCTCTACTTGTTTGGCTACTCACACACATTTCTAGTTTGTCGAGGACAAGACGAAAGCGACCTGTTCCAGAAGATTGGGCCTCCTCCGACGAGATTTTGAGCTACGTTCCCACGTCGACCTCGGAGACACCATATTCTGGTGGAACAGTGCTTAGTGTACACAAGGCAGGGAACCTCGTTCTTGTGGCTGGAAATGGCAGCACTGCGGGAGTTTTGTCGCTGTCAGAGGACAGAATAGTCCAGTCCTTGGACGGCGGCAAGGGTTCGGTGAACAGCGGACTCTGGGCAGAAGATAAAGCCATCATTGCATTGTCCACCGGTCAAGTGAAGGGTTTCCTGGCCAGCAAGGAGATCTTCTCGTTCTCTGCCCACGCTGGCAGTGCCACTGCCGTCGCACTGCATCCTAGTGGCAGCATTCTCGCATCCGTGGGTGAGGACAAGAGTTACATCCTTTACGATCTCGATTCGAAGACTCCGACGCAGCTCACTCAAGTCCAAACAAACTCAGGTATATTAATACCTTAACTTGGCTGGAGAAGGTTTAACTGACCAGACTTAGGTCTCAACTGTGTGCAATTTCACCCTGATGGTCATTTGCTGGCTGCTGGTGGCTCAGATGGACAGATCAAGATTTTTGATGTCAAGTCTGGCTCGCAAGCAGCTGCATTCGAACTCTCTGGCACAGTGAAATGCATCTACTTTTCCGAAAATGGCACCTGGCTTGCGGCCGTGGCTCAGGGGTCATCGGCAATATCCATCTGGGATTTGAGGAAAGGTGCAGAGATCAAGACCATCGAAACTAGCAGCCAAATCAACTCAATTAGCTGGGATTACACGGGACAATACTTGGCTGCGGCAGGAGCAGACGGAGTGACAGTCGAACAATACTCCAAAGCCACAAAGGAGTGGTCGCAGATCCTGAAGAAGGGAGTTTCGGCAAAGAGTATCGCCTGGGGTCAGGGCGCCCACAGCCTTCTCACCCTCGATGATGGAGGAGCCCTTACGAGCCTGTGTGCGGCTGTGTAACATAGCAGTGAAAGCATCCCGCCTGGAATGTACGAGTAGGGGGGCCAGCGGTAGAGAAGACAAAAGTTGCTTTGATACCCATTGATGGTGGCAATATCTGGATGAAAGGGAAGTTCTTTCAAGGGGGCCAATAGGATACGACAGGACGTTGTCTAGGTACAAAGGCAATAAGGCACATACCAAACTGTGTCTGAAAGTGTGTTTCTTCCTTCTGGCTTGGTCTCTCCTTCCAGTGTCGGATATTGTGGTTGATCGTCCTGTGTACACGTACATCTTCGCTGTCCTGTGATACTTTCGGGGTTGTCGCCGCGATTAATCAGCGCGGGCAGGGCAGCCTTGGAGGTGGCGGTTATTGCACTTCGGCAATAATACGACAGTCGAGCGCAGTTTTGGCCACGGCAGTTCTGGGCTTTCTTGGAACGACGCTTCGAACTCACTCTCCTCTCCGCCCTTCACCACCACCTCCTCTTCGACACCACCCAGTATCCATGAGACACATCTGCTCATGTTTGCTAGGCTGCCTCCGTCGGCCCTGATATCATGCCTCAAAATCCGACCTTATCACTGAGCAACTTCCTCAACTCGGCCGCCTCTTCCAGCCGAAAGGTACGCTGACCGAAAGCAACCGCCCGCTTGCCATCATATTCACATATCTATTCACGTGTACATTCACATGCAAATTCACATCTGCGTTTTATTCAGTGGCGCCGGGAGAAACTGTGACTGACTTTAACTCTCAGAGGTCTCACGCGGAAATCACTCGCTCCGAAAGCCGCAGCATCAGTCCCGAATTACCTTCTAAACGCAGGCGTATAAGCCGGTCGCTGAATTCGAGCCTCTTCTCATCTTCCTCGCCCACACCTACACCCACACCCACACCCCCGTCTGCATCTGCATCTACCGTGGCAAGGGGCGCCCGCCACGGTTACGATTACCGTCAGCCTGTCATGTCTTCACGTACCCGTCGGCCGTCCCGAGGTCCAAATGACCTCACGATCGATCTCACGGCTGATAGCGACAGCGACAGTGACTTTCCGCCCGAATTGGAAAGTCTGCTACCTCGTACCTCCAGACGTAATACCCAGCGGCAGCCGCAGCCACAGCCTCGTGACAGCAGACCCGCACGTGCACCGCCGTTCGGTAGTCGATCACGACAAGAGACACATGAGGTGATAGATCTCTCAGACGACTCGGATTTCCACGTTGAAGACCTTGACGGAGGGACCGACTTGCTGTCCGACGATGAAGCCGACACGAGCCCCGATAGTCCAGAAGTCCAGATTGTACATGAGAGACCGGCTCTGCCCGGCGATCACAGGCCTCAGTCAGCAAGACCTCCGAACCACCGGCCTGCTCCACAGCATTCGGAAAGAGGACCTTGGGTGAATCTCCCGGATTTTCTCCGACGGGGTACACAGTTCATGTTCGGTAATGTGCAGAATGTCAACGACGTCTTTCTAGACCGGCTAGATGGAATCCGGTCTCGAGGCAGTGATGGCCGACAAGATGGAGAAAATCCAGATCCTGACTCTGGATTCATCATCAACCTTGACTATCGACAACCCGCCTTTGCCCTGGGTGGGCTCGAGATATACGATCGCAGTTCGGAAACGCCACAGGTTGTCCAAGAGCCCTACAAGCCTCCCCCAGCTCCCAAGGAAGGCTTCATACGGACGTTCGCCGAGGATGACGTGGTGCTCTGTCCCATGTGTGGCGACGAATTGGCCACTGGAACAGGCGACACGAAGCAACAGGTCTGGGTGGTCAAACAGTGTGGTCATGTAAGTCAAATCTGTGTCCAAGATGGTGGGACGAGGCCAGGATACTAATCTCCATCCTAGGTCTACTGCGGAGACTGTGCCACGAATCGATTTGCTTCTAAGGCACGGAAAAAGGATAAGAAGGCACCGCCATCCAAAATCACGCCCTTTTCCGAGTGCAGAGTCGATGATTGCAAAATCAAACTCACCCACAAGACTGCCATGTTTCCGGTCTATTTATAACGGCAGGCGTTGCACCAGTCTGGCATTATGATTTTATGAGAAGCAACGGAGAGAATCCATTCACCTCCTTATCTTGGTCGGCATGCGAATAGGGAATCCTCATGCCCAGAGGCGTTGACGTCTCACATGAGGAATGATAAGTTATGGATAGCGATGAGTTGAATCTCATGGTGCAAATGCATTTGATTGCTATTGTACATGATGAAGCCAGCCAGCCAGCGACCAGAAGCACATAGCGCTACATAGCCTAATCCGTCCATCTTGGTCGTACGGGGTTTCGAATCCCATATCCTTGTGCTGTACATGTTTCGGCAAGTATGTATCTGTCCGGCCTCAGGCTGGCTGGCATATGGGTTTGGACAGGACATTCAACTTCCAATCCTGGAGAGTATCCGCTGTTAATATCAGGCACCAATTCGCAGAGGAGCCCAAATGAGCCCTGTGCTAGCTACCATTGCTGTTTCTGTCCGTGTTCCTCATGTACACATATTTCCGATCCCGTCCCCCAATCCGGTTTCCTCTATCTGCTTGATTTTGGATCGTCTCGTGTTACACCTCGACGTCGTCGACATCCACTGCCCAAGGATGCATCATATTGTACATCTCCAGGCCCGTTCATCCGTTGGCCGTTTCGGAGCAGTGTGGAATATATTTCTTTCTTGATCCCAGCAAGCACTGCATTTGACACAAAATAACGCCTTCTCCCAGGTTTTCCGCGGGCTTATTAGGCATTTGTTTTGCATTTGCTTGAAACCTGAAATCCCACCAAGCCAGTTGTCTCGTTGAACTCTTAGATGCTTTTAATACCTCCGTGCATAGGACTCCAAATGCCTCGGACGTTCTCGTTCTGCGACACCACGGTCTTGCCACGGATCAACTCGTTCTTCTTCCCGCTATTGGCGACCAGGAAGTCGGCCTTCTTCAAGATCTGCTCTCTCTCCAGGTTGCGCACGCACACGGCCTTTTCGCGGCCGTTGATGTAGTACGCCTTCAGGATCGGGTGTTTGTTGGGCCGCGGCGACACGCGGAACTCGACGCCCGGGTATCGCGAGGTGAATTGCGCCAACAGCGGAGACGTGAGGAACGACTTCATCCCCCGTGACGAGCCGGCCCAGTCGCAGTAGTGGAAGTCAATGCGTTTGCATTGTAGGATGAATGCGCCGAGGCCGTTCTAGAAGAAGCGCAAACAACAAGGAAAGGATCAGCATGTGCGGTCTTGTTAGGTAGCGAAGAACTGGAGAAGAGTGGATTTGAGCTTTGGGGAAGGAAAGATGCAGGAGAGGTAGCACTGCTCGATATCGGGGCTGGTGTCGGTGCTGGTGCTGCTGCTCACCTGTGCTTTCGAAACCGTCTTCACTCCTTGCACGACCATCTTGACGACACAGTCCAGACCAAGGGAGAAAACAAGAGCTTCCCCAAGTTCGACGATCGAGCTGGGAGGACTCGGAGGTGCGTCCTGCGTGAGACCTGGTTGATGCTGGATCGAGAAAGGTGTTGGTTACAGAGCCCGGGCAGGCCTTGGTGAAATCGCACTGCAAGTGGAACTTACGAGGCTCGCACGCTAACTCCAAAGAGGTATGATGTCTCGAATTATTCTAATGACAGTCTCGACTGTCATTTGAACTCGGGATCCAGCTAGGCCACGACTCGGGCTTGATAGTTCCGAAGGTGCAACTTCATTGATTCGAACTTTGAGGTTCCTGGTGGTATTAAGTTGAATAAAAATAAAAGCAGCCTTCTGCTTCAATCCTTAGGATCGTCGCCTACCTCCTACAGATGCGGCCGCCTTCAGTTCCATCTTGTAGCAGTGTCACGTGCCCAGCTCCTGATGATGAAATATTGAACGCTAGACTGGATCAGGAACGCCGCCAAGGCTACGCGAAATGTCCCCAACTACAACTGCAACACTGCATCGGCAGGCAGTTCAAGTTGGACTCGTTGTTCAATTCGACCTCCAGGGCACGCGCAGTGCCATCAGGTCACTAAAATTTACTTCTATGTTTCATTGTTTCATTTTTTTCATGGTCATGTGATTGATCCTGCTGGCTTTCTACTTTCTCTCGTCACGCTACTCATGCGTGGCCGTCATCGCCTTGCATCCCCCATCAGTGTCTCCTAATCCCGAATCAAGATGACCGACAAGCTACCCCCAAATCTCCTTGCTCTGTTCCAGCCACGACCGCCCTTGCGCTATATCCCACCTCAGGACAGTGCGCCCGATGAGAGTGCGGCAAAACGATCAGAGCTGTCCGGACTAGCTGCCTTCCTTCCCCAGTTCGAACAATACAAAGAAGAAGACGTGTACCACCCCACAGAATCATGGCTACAGCGGCGCGACCGGGAGAGATGGGAGAAGACGAACCTCCTTGAAGAGATCAAAAAGCCTGACTTCGACGGATACCGACCGCAAGAAGATCCCAAAATCAAGGGCGATGCCGCCAAGACCTTGTTTGTCGCGCGCCTCAGCTACGATGTCAAGGAGGCAGACTTAGAACGCGAGTTTGGCAGATTTGGTCCTATTGAGAGGATCAGGATCATCAAAGATGAGACCAAACCCAATGCCAAGAAGCCCCATCGTGGCTACGCCTTCATCGTCTATGAACGAGAAAAAGATATGCGAGGTAATACGCTCTACGCCGATCCCTTACCCCAGCCCTAGCCCCCAATCCACAGATCATATGGTAAGAGAATCTTAAACTGACCTTGACCCGCTTTCAATTTCTCCAGCTGCCTATAAAGAAACAGATGGTCTGCGCATCAAAGATCGAAGAGTTGTGGTCGATGTTGAACGAGGCCGTATGGTGCCAGGATGGCGACCTAGAAGATTTGGCGGTGGTCTCGGCGGACGAGGGTACACCAAACAAGTACCCGCCAAACCAACGTTTGGTGGGCCCCCAGTTGGATTTGGGGGTGGCTTTCGTGGCGGCTTCGGTGGTCGCGGAGGATTCCGTGGTGGCTTCCGCGGTGACCGAGGAGGCTTTGGTGGTGACCGTGGAGGCTTTGGTGATCGTGGAAGCTTTGGCGGTGACCGAGGCTTTGGTGGAAGGGGCGGCGTTGGCTATCAAGGCGGAGGTGGCTTTGGTGGAAGACAAGGAGGCTATCAAAATGCACCGCCGCCTCCCAACGCGCCTAGTGGGCCCGGAGGACGAGGCGGATACGGAGGAGGTTACGATGACCGACGAAACGGTTATGGTGGCGGCCGAGAACCTCGCGGTGGAACTGGAAGCAACAAAGATCCGCTCGGTGGACGAGACCGGGGATATGACGATCGGGACCGTGACCGAGACCGAGACCGAGACCGCGATCGAGACCGAGATCGTGACAGAGATCGCGACCGTTATGGCGGAAGCAGGCGAGAGGATGACTATGGCTCACGGAAGCGACACCACGACAACGACGGGCATGACGACCCAAGACAGCGCCGAAGGTATTGACATCCTCCTCCATGCGGTGGCGTTACATGCAACAATCTCGTCATGCTTGGCCGGTGGGTATTCTATGTTCAAGTGTATTCACACCATTTTTGAAACTACGACATGCTTCTACTCACACTCGTGTTATGGTAAGAAGCCACCGATTCTTCGATTCGCGCAATTAGATCTCGGTCGGATGGGACCAGGAGATTTCAAAAGCAGACCTTGGGACAATCGTCTCCAAGATCGTTCACATTAATTTGCGACAATACCTTGGCCATAACTCTGCCGGTGAGCTTCTGATCGGCTTGCCGTCTACTGGTAATGGTTTCTGCTTGGTGTAGACCTTGCTGTCCCCAAAATGGAGCGTCATTCACGCCTCAAGCATGTATTAACGGTACTAATCCTGGCAGTGGCCAGGTCGGGTAAGCTAGCTCCTTTGTGTAACATAGAAGAATTCAAGCGCACCTTTGGTCTGAGATTTGGGGCAGGATGTCCGAGTGATTTCAAGGAGCTCCTGGAGGCTGGTCACGTGAAGTATCATCTTGGAGCCTACGAGTATCCGGTGCTGATATCAGTATACACCTTACTGTACGGAGTACTCTGTATAATTAGTACATGTACATTTTATTATTGTATCCTCTTCTCCTGCATAGCCACCGGCGAGTCTCTGGTGCACCTGACCAAAGACGACGTTGGTACACCAGGTATGTGTGCTTTAGGTGACATCAGGAGAGCCTCGCCGTCTCCACGAACTATGCCGTTGGCAGCCAAATGCGCCAGATTTTAGTAGGAAATTTTCACCGCTGTGAGTGGCCACAGCGGCTATGACTAACGACAACCGCTAACAGCAGGATCACACGCGTCTTTGAGTCAAGGCTTCTGTTAACGACAACTGCACACGCTCTGGGGCAGAAAGGCGCGCAAGCCGCACCGGTTGATTGGCGTGTCCTGCTTACCAGGTCTCAGACAACGTAGAGTAGTGTTCGAAGAAGGTGTCATCGCACGACATTTTACAATGCAACAGGGCGTGCTTCCTGATCAGCATACCCTGCAGAATTTCCATCCAAGTTAGGTTTATATAAACTGGTGGCCCAGAACCCCCAGGACCCCCAGAACAGATTGTTGTTGCCCATCTCACAGACAAAAAGAACAAGAAGCACACACACAGCAACACATACTCTGTACCCATCCCAAGGTCTCGAACATCCACGCCACTCCACGCGCTGATCTACATCTCACCGAGATCTACTAGTCGAGTCATTCCAACACTACCAACACTACCAACACTACCAACACCATCAGCCATGCCTTCCACATACGCTGCCTACTACAACCTTCTGGAGGCTGAGAAGAGCGCTGCAGCATCGCGCCGCCGAACCTCGGACGAATCCACTAGCAGTGAGGCATCAGCTGCATCGCACAAGAGCATCAAACTTTACCTTAAGCATGCTCTCGATCAACTGCGACCAACCCGAGAGCCCTTGACCCCTGCTGGGATTTACACCCCAATCATCAAGCAGGGTCCCTTGTTCGGCAGCAAAAGGCACAACGCCCAGCAAACGAAGGTGTAGATATCGGCCAACCCTAACAGCGAACACACTTACGAATTTCTTTGTCGACTCACATGATCATATAAACATTGACATCACCATCGGTGGGAACTTGGGGCGCTTGGAATGCATTTGGTCGAGAGAATCTCCCTTGTATCGAAAGTGATATAGAAGGAGATGACGACTGGGACTGTGCATTCTCGCCCCATGCTTGAGAGAGATACCCCAAATAGTAATGCAGCAGAACAGTACATCTTAATACGACGACTCAGCACAAGCTTCGCATCTTCTTTTGGTACAGCCTTGCTCTTTGCGGGGGGAGGCGTTTTGTTTATTCTGAATCGCCCTTTGAGCAATCGGCCAAACAGTGGAGTTGCTGACGAAGTGACCATGCGACAGGAGGTTGCGCCCGATGTCTCGTATCATCGTGGATGCTGCGAGGGTGTAATCAACTCTCGCCCGAGGGCTAACCTAGGTGTCGACGTAGACTTGTGCAGTAGGGACTGTCAGGTGTATGAGATTCGAGCCAGGCATTAGATGGTGGAGTCCAAGAGACGCCATTTGAATAAGAGTAGGTATTCGTCCTTCGACGGTTGTTAGGACTAATATCCGTACAACACATTTGAGTGATGAATTGAGGCGTCGGGATACTTTCCTTTTCCCACCTGCGGACCACCGCACCCGCTTGCGCGTGCATGCGCCTGACCCATGCGGCCTGTAACAGCGATAATAACATACTGTAATTCCTCCAGTCTCCAGCTACCCTGGACCTCGCTGCCCTGGATGAAATACAGCAATCATACAGCAATACACATGGGCTGGGCAACCGCAGCTTCATGACATCCACCTAATACCCTGCAGTATAGCCCGAGGTCAAATTCAGGCCTCTCCAACGCCGCTCCATCTCGCCTGCCGTTGTCTATAACCATCAGTCACCCGCCTCGCTCTCGCCTGGCCGAGAGCACCCAACTGCGGTCGTGCCTGGCACCGTCGGGTTCATATACCTTGTCTGCCACCCGTTCCACGGCCGACGTCGTTGTCGTCGTCAAGCTTTCTTCGCCTTTTTCCGCAAAGATCATCAAGTCCCTGGCTAGCATCATTCAGTTCGCATCACCATCGGCATTGGCATCGGATGAACTGCTTCCAATCTACAACTTCGTCACCCTCCATACCATCCACACAGTCCCGGTTCTAGCGCGATTTCTTGGAACAGCAGAATCTCATAACACAGTCCTGACCGTGTCCCCTCGGGGGCCCTAGCCTCGATATGGGGAACACCCTTTCCTCTTGCTGCAAAGGTGCCGTCCACGAAGTCTGTCACATTTATCTCGCTGACTGGTATTTTCACAGGTCGGCCCAAGGATAACCTCTATGAGCCCGCCCTCGCAGACAGTGAACGGGAAGCCGTTGCCGATCTCCTCCAATACCTCGAGAATGTACGCTACCCTTCCTGCTTGTAATTGATGCCATACACTGACAAGATCAGCGAGGTGACACTGATTTTTTCTCCGGAGAACCACTGCGAGCTCTGAGCACCCTCGTCTACTCGGACAATGTCGACCTACAGCGGAGCGCCAGCCTAACATTTGCGGAAATCACTGAGCGAGGTATGTGGTTGAAGAGACAGTCATCTATGATAAAAGTGCTGATGTGCTTGTAGATGTCCGGGAAGTCGACCGAGACACCCTCGAACCCATCTTGTTCTTATTACAGAACCCCGATATCGAGGTTCAACGAGCGGCGAGTGCTGCGTTGGGAAATCTAGCTGTCAATAGTAAGTGGTTCTGCTGTGGGCCACTTGCTGCTTGCTTGTTGCTGACTTCCGCGAAGACGAAAACAAAGTCGCCATTGTCCAGCTCGGCGGACTCCCTCCTCTCATCCGGCAGATGATGTCTCCCAACGTTGAGGTACAATGTAATGCTGTCGGGTGCATTACTAACCTCGCCACCCATGAAGACAACAAGGCCAAGATTGCAAGATCAGGAGCACTAGGGCCATTGACAAGGCTGGCAAAATCCAAAGACATGCGGGTACAGAGGAATGCCACTGGCGCCCTACTCAACATGACACATTCGGGTAAGTGTCCCTACCCCCCGCAGCATCAATCCCACTGACATCAAATAGACGACAATCGACAACAGCTTGTCAACGCGGGAGCTATCCCTGTCCTTGTCCAGCTACTCTCCTCACCCGACATGGATGTCCAGTACTACTGTACCACCGCCTTGAGCAACATCGCAGTCGATGCGTCAAACCGGAAAAAATTGGCTCAAACCGAATCACGCCTTGTTCAGTCTCTGGTCCAACTTATGGACTCCGGCACTCCCAAGGTTCAGTGTCAAGCCGCCCTAGCTCTCCGCAATCTGGCCTCGGATGAGAAGTATCAACTGGAAATTGTGCGAGCTAGAGGCTTACCACCGCTTTTACGACTTCTACAGTCTTCTTACTTGCCTCTGATTCTCTCAGCTGTTGCCTGCATTCGAAACATTTCCATCCATCCTTTGAATGAATCTCCAATCATCGACGCCGGTTTCCTCAAGCCATTGGTCGACCTCCTCGGCTCCACTGACAACGAAGAGATCCAATGCCATGCCATTTCCACCCTTCGAAATCTCGCGGCGAGTTCGGACCGCAATAAACAGCTCGTTCTAGAAGCCGGCGCTGTACAAAAATGCAAAGAACTGGTCTTGAACGTCCCATTGAGCGTACAGTCCGAGATGACCGCGGCGATTGCTGTGCTAGCTTTGAGCGATGAGCTCAAATCTCACCTTCTGAAGCTCGGCGTCTTCGATGTTCTCATTCCTTTGACCGACTCTGAAAGCATTGAGGTCCAGGGAAACAGTGCGGCTGCCTTGGGAAATTTGTCCTCTAAGGTCGGTGACTACTCGATCTTCGTTCGAGACTGGAACGATCCAAATGGCGGTATCCATGGTTATCTGAAACGTTTCCTCGCCAGCGGAGATCCAACTTTTCAACACATTGCAATCTGGACTTTGCTACAGCTTTTAGAGTCGGACGACCAAAAGCTTGTGAGCCTCGTTGCTAAATCGGAAGACATCATCCAAATGGTCAAGACGATCGCCGACAAGCATGTGGAATCCGACGATGAAGAAGGCGAAGAAGGCGAGGGTGAAGTCATCGCTCTTGCACAGAGATCGCTGGAACTGCTTGGCAAAGGTCCCAAGCAAACGCTGGTGGAGGGCTAAAACTGTATGAGACGAGCTGTTGGGTTTTTGTTGGCCGCTTTTTTCTGAAGTTATTATATACCCCCCACACACATGGAGATTGGGCAACGAATCGCTGCATGTGCATCCCGAACATGCGTATATCAATGAGCAGCGGCATAGCGAGGCGTTACGGGCCCGTAGTTGAAAGAGGTACTGCGGTTCTCAGAGAACGGGAAATTGGGGGTCGGGACGGTGGAGGGCGCGCTTTTATTACTCTGGTAAGCGCTTCTGTTAATTGTATGACTTTGGAATCACCCGGCATTGATGACGGCCGCTTCATTATCTTTGTCGACGTAGTTTACTCTAGGAAGTTGGCATCAAGCCGATATTTTGAGGCTACTTGTTTGTCTCCTCCCCAATAAACTTTCCGACATCCCACGCCGATTGCAACGGATGTCAGACCTGGATAGTGGGAGGAAATGAGCCCATCCAACCCTGACCCATCAACCCAAGTGAATGGTTTGAGTGAGCCTGGGCCCAAACAGACTCATCTGGTCTCTTCTTCCTCCCGTGACGAACACAGCCTGACATTGCATAGGTCGTGACCATGGATACTGGAGAGGGGTTTGCATGTGGGTTGAAGAAACAGGGGCGCGTGAAGTGGCGCCGAGGTCAGGGGCATTGATATGCATGTAGGAGATGGCAGATCAGCCACAGGACCGACAAGGAATTGAACGAGCTGGAGCAAGCAAGCAAGACTGCTATGCTGTCTTGGCAGAGGGTCTGCGATTCGGGGAAGTTCTCGGTCGGAATCCCATGACTCTTGATTGCTTCTGCGCAATCCTCGACAGTGCAGTTGACTGAGAACCTAGTAGCCTCGTCTAGGGCGATGGTGGCGCGAAAGTCTCCTCGCTTCTGGCCCGTCCTTCTATGTGCAGTATTGACGAACGAAACAGGGTGTATCGGAGCCCGCATAGAATCCCCAAAGAAACCGCGGCGCTCGGGCAGAGGACAAGCTTCCAACAGCAGATTCGAAAAAAGACCACAGCTGAGACAATGAAGCCATAGATCTTCTCGTAACGATGAAGGTTTGGATCGCGCAACTTGTCCGCTCTCTGAGATCTCGTACGTCGCTTGGGTTGTATCTAATCGCAGGGATTGTATAGTCCTAGGTTGAGTGGTGGCTACCATGCTCACTTTTGACTGTGTGCTGCAGGATGGTTCAAGGAATTGGTGCATCCTTGCGAGCCGGCTCGTTCATTGATAGCCGACGGCGTACACTGGGTGCCACTGGGTCTCATGCTGGTTTCGCCACCTTCCTGCTCTCGGCCTGTCCTGTAACGACGTCTCTCATTTCTTTCCAGCTCGCAGGGACCATTGCGTTTCCCGCATCACTGGTGGCAACCACGACGCCGAAGTCATTCCCAGCTGTGCTGATGTAGTAATTCCGCTCGTCTCCCAGACTGATGACCGAGGCTCGAATGATATCTCCGACTCTATACATGTCGTTGATGACGACCTTGTCTTTCTCGTGGGTGCGGACGTCCTCGCGGCGCAGCACGGCTTGGAACTGCATGTCGTCGTCCGTGAGACGCGTGTAGGAGGTGACATCTTGCGGAGACGGGTCGACGACCAAGATCGACGCTGCAACTTGTCGCTGTTGCACCCGAGTGATTCGACAGAGGACAGTAGAGCCGACATTGGGGAGAGAGCTCGCGCTCTTGATTCCCGTTGGGTTCGTGCCTGGCCGCGGAACCGAAATGACTGGTTTACTCGACTGCTTGTCTGTGCGGAGGACTACGGACCTGCCGATGATGGAGGCGAGGATGTTGTTCTCGTAGACGTGCGTGCCGGGCCCTGGCTGGTGCGACGACGTGCTTCCCAGGATCTGGCCGGGGACGACAAGCGTGGACGCCATGCTAAGTCAATCTTCTGCCTTTCGTACCGTAAGTTTTCAGATCAGTAGAACAACAAATCTTTGCAGGCTGAAACGAGCTGTGGAGATGGACTTTGTGTTCGGCAAGTTTCTCGACTTGAGTCGGCTGCCAGATGGACAAGTGGCGAGATTATGCGGCGGTGGAAAGCTCACTTTACCCTACTATAGAGCACATCGTTGAGTCAATCATTACTCGTCCTCAACTAGTTCCCAGTCCAGATTGACGCCTGAAAGTAAAGCTGAGATTGCAGAAACTGGAGAAAGAAGAAAATGAGAGATACAAAGTCGTGGGCGAAAGTATGAAAAAGTCGTATCACGTGAATAGCGCCAAGCCCTCACACCATTACAACTCCCAGGTACGGTACCTTGTACGGATCACTGTGACTACAGAGTACATGTGAGTTACGTTGGTCAACACCAGATTGAGTCTACCAAGTCGTCGGTGTCATATGTCACTGCCAACCATATATTCTTCATACCCCAGGAAGACTCGATGGCTGCCACCTAGGCTGGCAGAACCTATACAGAGTACACTCCGGGGATGCATGGCGCTGCAATTGGCTCTAGTTACTTTTCAATGTTTTTTGCTTCTCAGCGTCCCTTCCCCCTCTGGCACCCTTGACAAGCAGTCCCTTTCGTCTCCTAACTGCGTCGACGTATTTCTTGGCCACATTCTCTCTCTCGCCGTGAACACCCAGGTCCTCAAGTTCCTCCTCTGATCGGGGTACCCAGAACGGATCGACATCATCGATCATCTCAAATCCGATGAACCTGAGCATGGGCTGCGCGAGGCCTGACGTGCGTTTGCGGATCTCCTCGCTGAAGCCAAAGCTCTCAGCCACGGGGAGCGTGGCCTCGATGGTAAAATAGGGCGTTCCCTCAAGCAGGGCTTCAGAGAGAATCGAGCCTCGTCGCCGTGTGAGGACACTGTATACTCGACCGAGAACATCGGGCGTCGCTTGGATTGTGCAGCTATACATGGCTAGCAGAATGCGAGGGGACCAGTCGAGGAAGGCGGAGCGGATTGCTTCGCGCACCGAGGTGATGAGTTCGCCGGTCAACCGGCCGGATTCAGTGGCCAGGTCGGACGACTCTGGTGACTGATGCTGTATAATCTCTTCCAGAAATACCGCAACTCCTTGCATTGGTTCGCGGCACAAAGGCCCTTGAGATGTTGCAAGTTGGAATGCGTAGGTAATCGTATCGGAAAAATCTTGTGTCCCCTTCGAGGAAGCAGCGACAACATCCGGGCCGCCGTCCTGGTCTCCAGCCGTCTCGTGATTGTTTCGGGGCTCGGGTTGGTCCAACAAAAATCGCTTGCATGTATACGTCCCGGTCGAGTCGATGAAGAGATTTGGCCCGACTCTGCGAGGCCCAAATGCACATATTCTGGACACCACTTTCTGCCAAACTTCTTTGTCTTCTTCAACTTCATCAAAGGCAGCTTCAAGTTGCTGTCGAAACTCTTGCAGCGACATGTTGCCCCTCTCGTGGCCGGCCTCAATTTCCAGACCAGCGGCTTCGTCCTTGACCGCCTCGGATGAGTCCTTGGGAACATCTTCTTGTGCCTGCTTTTCGGCATAGAGTCGCCTGATTGCGCCGCCATTCTTGATAAGGAATTGGGTCACAGTTTGTGGAAGTGGTCGGACACGTAGCCTGACAGACACTGTTTTAGACGCTGTCACGGCGATAGCTGTTCCACGAGGGAGATCCTTGTTCTTCGGAGGCTCCATCTCTTCAGCCTTCACAATCGACTCTCGATATGGGACGATTGGCTCACCCGGCTGGATGTCACATCGGGCGAAACGTTCTCGCAAGTCTTTGAGGCATCTTTCCAGATGCAATTCTCCCGCTGTCAGAATAACGTGCTCTCCACTGGCCATCTGCTCGTAGACTGCGCAAGGATCGCTCCGTTCCAGGAGTTTAAGACCTTTGATCATCTTGTTTAGGTCTGTTGGATCCGTGGGTTCCAGGGCCACTCGAACAATCGGTTCGCTCAGTGTAGATAATCCTGCCAAGTTAATACCACCTTCTAACTGAGAACATAGTGTCCCCGTCTTGAGAATGTAGCCTTCTAGTCCCTCGATTCCAAACACCACCCCAGCTGGGACCTTCTCTAATGGCTCCAACGAGCGACCCATGAGCAGGTAGAGAGCTGTGATGGAGACTTTCTTTGGCTCCGGCGAGGCATGCGGAAAGGCTGGATTGAATTTGGGCGGCAGAACATACACTTCGTCTCCTACGGATAAAGTACCAGAAAAGAGCCGTGCAAAGCCGATCAGATGTTCGGGATCTTCTGGATGTTCTGGTAGATCGTCCTCATCAGGCTCTTCGCCTATCCTGGTTGCGTGGATGCCATTGGTGATTCTTTCCACATTAGCCGAGCCTTCAGCTTGTGCTTGTGCTCTAGCGATCTCTGCTCTTTTCTTGCGGGCGAGCTCTCTTGCCTCATCCGCCGTCAAGGTGGCTCCCAACTTCCGCCGATTGGAAGGAAGCTCGCTTTCCGGGATAGCAACCATCTTACTGACATACGCGACAAGCGGCGCGGATTTGGCGGTCTCGAAGTTTATCATGGCGTTCTTCAAGGATGGATCGATGTTGTTTGAGCTGACCAACTCTTCGATCATCTCAGGTAACCGAGTCGCTTGGGCACTGGGAGGGCTAGGTAGGTATTCGATGACAGAAACAAGAAGCGCAGTCGAGAGAGGGAGCCATGACGAGAAAAGACTCTGCAACACGTTTCTGGAGTCCCGAGACCTGAGTATATGAGCTGGCAAATTGATGGCCAACGATTTGGTAATCTTCTCCAACTTGGCTGGGTCGCCACGGCCTCCATTCACGCCGACTGTGGCGTCGTAGGCCTGCCATATAGGGTCAAGAACGAGTTGGACGAAGATGGGTTTGAGATTCCTGCCTTTCAAGTGCTTCTGGCCCAGGACCTTCTTGGTTTTAGGATCAAGGTAGAAATCCCCCCACAAAATCTTTTCGAGGACGGATCTTTTGATACCTAGTTTCTTTTCATAGATTCCGGCGAATTGCCGTACTGTAAAGGCCCAGCCATCTATTGCGCTTGCAAAGATGACATTGTACTTTTCCGGTGCGAAGTAGAGGTCTTCGTCATCTCGTTCTTCAAATTGTTGCTCCAATTCGGCTTCCGTTGCGGTCTCGCTCATGGCATCCTGCTTCAGCTGTTCTTTAGCTGCTCTTTTCTGGTCAAGTTTCTCCCGCCAAAGCAAGTCCTCTTCCATGCGCTCTCCATGAAAGAATCCTCCGATGACGGCATTCACGCCCTCGAGGACTCTTTCGAGGTGTAAGTAGGCCTCGGAAGGACTCATTTTCAGCTCGGTGATCAACCTGTCAATCTTATTGATGACTAGTAGGGGCTTCAACTTCTCGAGCCAGACCTGGCGTAGGACGGTGACCGTCTGGGAACATACACCTTCAACGGCATCCACCAGAACCACGGCGGCGTCGCATAACCTTGAGGCCGTGCTGACTTCTGACGAGAAGTCGATATGTCCAGGACTGTCTATGAGATTGATCAAATATTCTTCTTTCTTGGGCTCGGCATTCTCCTGTTGTCTGCGCATCATGCTGAAGTATAAACTGATCGCACTACTCTCCATCGTGATCCCGCGAGTCTGTTCGTCCGGCCGGGAGTCCAGGTAACGGATCTTGCCGGCCATTTTGGGAGAGATGATGCCATTAGTGGCAATGAGGGAGTCTGTGAGGGAGGTTTTGCCATGGTCGACATGTGCTAGGATACATATATTGCGGATGTTTTGCGCGTTGGACTGGAGGTCGACGAGTTGAGACGGCGGGATGGCGGGCATTTCGACACCCACTGCGCGGCGCAGACCCAAGGGACACGAGGTCGAGGGAGCAACAAGATATACAATTCCTTTGGCCTCTATGAATGCAATCAGGGCCTCTGGGACCGGCGAAACTAAATTCGTCTTACTCACCAGTGCGATGGCAGGAGGAAATTCGTCAAATAAAATACGGGGTATGACGCATCCGGGCGCAGGCAATATTTACATAAGGTACGTACCTAATTAATTTATTTTCTTTCTCCGCAGATGTCGAATCCCCTCGAACGCCGAAGCAAAACAACATCGAGCACACCGTACGACGTCGTCTTGACGCTTGATTGAGGCAACCCTCTCATAACATGACAGCACTGTCGAAGGTTGTCGGCGCTAGCTGAATCGTTGTACAGAAGCCTTCTCTACCCATCAGCAGAAGAAACAACGGAACAACCAGCTCCCAGCCCCTGAAGCGTCCAGCCTCCTTTCACAGGGTTGGGCATCCTTGTCGGACAGAGTCTTGGTTGCTGGCCAGTCCCTGGAGCGTCTAAGTTTATCTCCATAGTAGCTAATAATCAACTTTTGTTCGGGCAACAGTTGTGCCTCAAACTCAGCTCAAACCATTCCTATACATGCTCCTGAGATTGGCCCCTCAAGTCGATTTCCCTTTGCCTTTCACGACTCTCCGTCGCTGTGCCATCATGTGTGTAAACAGGATGTAACTCCCAGGGACGTATATCAAGAGGACGGCCTTCAAAAGTAGGTCGAGTCCCTGTCCTTGCTCGACTGCCGGCGCCAAAGCCAGATACATCAGCAAACATTCGCTGGAAATGCCAATCGGATATAACACGAAGAAAGTGCTGTATCGCAGCCACGTCAGTGCCTCGGGCACTCTTTCACTGATAGATGCCTTCCACACGAAGAATCCATAACGGATAATTTCTGTGGTCCCCCAAGCTAAGAGAATTCCGGCGAATGCAATCGGACCCGTCGTCGATCCTGCTTCTGGCCTTCCAAAGATATTTGTCTTCACCACAATTTGAGGGAATATGTCCAGCACCACCCAAACCACTAGGATGCGTGATGCCACCTGCATTGCGGTCGTGAGGGGACTGGCCCTCACGAGGCCGACAACTGCATGAATCACTTCGAGCATTGCTATCGTTTGGGTCCATTTGAGAAGTGGAAACAGAGCAGGAAGAAGACTTTCGAGTTGTCCCAGCGCGGTCAGTGTGGGGATGAGGAGGATGGCTCGGAGGGTGATGATGGACCACAGCGCAAGGCAGAGCGCATTGTACGCGAGGAGATATTTTTGTGTTGGGGAGGACGGTGTCGCTCGTCGGGGAGTCTGATTCTCCATCGCAGTGATCGATCTTCACCTGGCTATAGCGGTTGGACGAAGTGAGGAGGTAGATGTAGGGAGATGAGTTGAGAGAGGACACCTCGTAGCATGCCCGACAAGCTTCCAGGGACGGCGGAGAGCAAGACAAAACGAAATATGTCTGAAGGGTGGGAAGCAAGCCTTGCAGCTTTCCGTTGAGGAAGAGCCTCGTCATTCGTCAACATGGGAGATGATTAATGCGGAGCCGCAGTTATTATTCTCCGGCACTAAGGTTATAGCGGCGGTCACTTGGCAGCCATTCTGGCCTTACTCATTGCTGTCAAAGAGCTTCGCATTTTGACGACTGTCTACTCCGTTATTCTTGGGTTTCGAGGCTTACTATAGTTTGCTCCCAGGCCCCCGTCTGCACAGCTTTGCTTCTTCCTTAAGAGCAAAGTCAGTGAGAATCTCCTCACTTCCTCCTCCCACGACCAAGACGCGGAAGTCCCGACTGATTTGTTCAACTATGGCACCCCTGCCGTTCTTGTTGTATCCTTGGCCACCCATGATCTGCTGGCACTCTCTGCTGACTTCTTCGAGGGCGTTACCCGCAAGGACTTTGGCGTTGGCGACAAGACCTCCTACTCCAGGAGGCACCTGACCACCTTGTCTTTTGGCGGCGTCGATGATGTAGACTAACTGTTCAAGAAGAGCCTGGGCCGACTCGATCTTCCGCCCTGACGCCGCCAGCTTCTGTCGAATCACTTGGTTGTCGATGAGCTTCTTGCCGAAAGTCTCCCGCGTGGTTGCGTGCAAGTAGGCATCTCGGATACTGACGCGGGCAAGTCGTAGCGCAGTGCAGGCCAGCCAAATTCTTTCATGGTTGAAATCTGTTGCCGTCCACAATCATCAGCACTCTGCTATCCATGGATTGACGCTGTGCGTGGGGAAGCTCACTGGAGGTGATGATTTCAAACCCTTGGCCTTCTCTGCCGATGAGGTTTTCGACAGGCACTTCGACATCGTCCAGCTCGATAAACGTCGAACCTGTCAGCCAGAAGCCGGTCAGCTCTACTTCTACGTCTGACCTCCAGTTGGAAGTACACAAACATACCGCTGGCATGGACTCCTGAATTGTCCATCCGCTTGAGCGTTACCCCCTTTGCCTTAAGTGGGACAACGAGCACAGAGAGGCCTTTGCCGCGAGGACCACCTGTTCGCACCGCGGCTGTGCAATAGTCTGCATAAATGCCGTTCGTGATCCACTTCTTGCTGCCGTTGACTCGGTAGATGTTTCCCTCACGCACAGCGGTGGTGGTGATGCCGGCCACATCAGATCCAGCATCAGGTTCGGTGACTCCCAGACAGAAGCGCGTCTTCCCCTGCAAGACATCAGGGACGAATTTCCTCTTCTGTGCCGGAGTTCCATAGTTGATGACGGGCGGGAAGCCAATGATGTTTCCGCAGGCCAGGCCCCAGATGACGCCGAGATAGCCACAACGCGCAATCTCGTCCATGAACACCATGTCGTGGAATGCATCCCACTGACTGGGCCGAATGTCTCCTGGAAGGCGCAAAGACCCAAGGTGTTCGGTCGCCAAAGGGTAGATGGACGCGGCCATGTATCCTCGAGATGCGAATTTCCTGAAGTGCTTTGGAGGGGGCCTGTCAGTATCAGGGCAGCAAAAAACAAACGGCAAGGGATGAAAGCGCGCCATGCCATACCTCAGGAGGAATATCGCCGGCCTTTTCCCATTCGGCCGCATATGGAATGATTTCCTGCTCGACATAGTCTCTGACTTCCTTTCTCAAGCGGAAATGACTTTCGTTGTGATAAGGCGAGTACCCTCGTGAGCTCCATAATGGGTCATCATAGGGTGCTACGTGGGTTGAATGTGCCATTGTGAGTGAGATCTGCTGGTCAGTCAGGCCGGTTTGAACTCGGTTGGGATGCACATGCTGATGGGGGAAGAAGCCATAATAGTCCTGGCTTGAGTGCATTCCAATCCAAGCTCCCGTGCTCGTTCGACGGAAGAAGGGCCGCTCCCATCCCCAGGTTTGGTTGTCCCTCGGCCTGGACGACCGCGGCTTTGAAAATGCATCATTCTCGCCCCCGGTCCCCGACCTCAGCCTGGTGGGGACGGGTCGTTTCCGCCCAAATGCCGGGTGTATTGGCTTGCGGGCCCGGCCAGCCTGGTGGCTCGCTGCCATGCGTGCCTAGGCATACATATAGGTAGCTAAGTTAGTATGTCTACATACTGCGCATACCAGCTGGCAGCTTGTGATGTTCTCGAACAAAGTCAAGTCAAGTCAAGTCAAGTCAAGTTAAGTCAAGTTTTGCCTGGATTCCCGGTTTGGGTGCTAGAGCCGAGTTGAGCAGCAAAACAACTCTACTACCGCACCGCTCAGGCCCAATAAGGCTTAGAATACGATAAAGACTTCCACATTAGGCAGGGCCCCGTAAGTGTTCTGCATAGTAGGTCTAATCCAGCCTGACCATCCGAACATCGGAGGTGGTGCAAACCAAGCTTCTGTCTTGCAGCACGCCCAGGATAAAAGAAAATGGGTTTCACGATGTTGTTCTGTGCGGCTCAGACAAGAGGGAACCGTCGTCTGCGATTGTTTCAATCAGCTCAATTCGTCACTCATTGACCGTGCAAGCTGCAGCATAGCATAAAATGAGCGTGAGTGGTGCAGGCGTTGGCGTGGGCGTGGGCGTGGGCGCCGGCTTTGAACTGCCATCGAAGAAGGTCTCCTGGCTCAAGCGAGACGTTCTCTTATTCAATATCAGCATAGGATGCACGGCTGACGAGCTACATTATCTCTATGTGGGTAGTGAATCCAAATCTCTCCAATGCTATCAAAATTCATCCAATGCTATCACAAAATCTCTCCAATGCTATCTTGTATGTTTTGAAAGTGTGGAGAGGCTGATTTTTTTTTTTGGTTCAGGAGGGCCATCCCAAATTTGCAGCGTTCCCAACTTTGCCGCTTGCGCTGGGTAAGTGAGATACCAAGCCAGTCTAGGGGCTGAGATGTTTTCGTGTGGAATCAAGCCAGCTAGGCCTCGGTTGAGATGTTTCGTGTGCTAACCGACCAGACAGCGTTCAAGGGCGACAGCCAAGAGGTGATCGACTTCTACACTGCCCAGACAACCACATCGATCCCGGGATGTCCCAAGCTCGACCCTGTACGCCTGGTCGACGGGCAGCGGCTGATCAGGTTTTTGAAGCCGGTGCCAACCACTTCTGCGGGAAGAAGGTTCGAGCTTCGAGAGCAAGTGCTGGGCGTCTATGACAAAGGAAAGGCCGGGACTGTGGTGGAAACAGAGCAGCGCCTCGTCGACCGTGACACAAACCAGACATACACTCAGATCGTCGGAAGTCTCTTCTACGTCGGCCAGGGAGGATGGGGCGGTCCCAGAGGACCCAAAGCTGTGGAGTTGTCGCCTCCACGCCATCGAAACCCTGATGGCAGTCTCGTCATACCCGTGTCTGCGCTCGCAGCGCATCTCTACCGGTAAGTCCTTCATCCTCCATGAGTTGCGAGAGGGACTATCCTCCTCGAATGCCCCCCATGAGTTGCGAATGTCCTCCATGGGTATGGGTTGCGAAAGAGATTAATGCTGACACCGTCTTCCTTCCTTCCCAGGCTGAACGGCGACTATAACCCTTTACATGCGACACCAGAGCCCGGCAGGCTGATGGGCTACGGAGGCATCATCGTCCACGGCGTGACCGGCTACCAGATGGTGGCACATGCCCTACTGAAAGAACTTGGTGGCGCTGACCCTGCAAACATCCGAGAATTCCAAGCCAAGTTCGCGGGTCCCGTCCGGCCAGGCGACCATTTGACCGTCGAGTATTGGCGCATGGGTCGGGATGATGAAGGCTGGGAGGAAATCCGATTTTTGGCCTCCACGTTGGCTGATCAGAAGATCCGACTTAGCAACGGCCGTGCCTTGCTCAAGACACAGGATGGAAAGGGCGCCATGGTCAAGGCTCAGGCTGGAATTGGAAAAGGCCCTACAAGTAGATTGTGATGAATTGGATAAGGCGCTACAAGTAGAGTGTGATGAATTGGAAAAGGCGCCCTACTCAAGGCTCAGGCTGGAAAAGGAATTGGGAAAAGCCCTACAAGTAGATTGTGATGAACCGGAAAAGGCCTAAGCAGGATCTTCCGCTCCATCACCAGGAGATGTTTTGTCCTATCACGGCTAAAATTCATTACAAAACATCAATCAGCGGCCCTATCCGTATCTGAACACAGAAACCTGTCATTGACGACCACATCATATCTCTTGGGTTTGACAAGGATCAACGTGGGTTCGACACATGGTTCGAAGTCATGCATCTCTCTTGATTTCTAAGGATCAACGTGGCTTCCTCCTGACTTGGACAAGGATCAACGTGCTTCGACCAGGGAAGTAGGTTCTGTTTGGCGTTTGGTGTTTTGCGGCTGGCACTGGCACTGGCAAATCTGTCGACGCCCACGCTCACGTCACAGAGGGCACAGGACATTCGTCTTTCTTAAGCGCTCTCAACTACCCACCCGCAGGGGAACCGCAGGGGAAGCGTCAGTGCCTGTCTAGGTGCCTGTCTTATGCCAGTGCCAGTGCCAGATTCATGTCGTCGAAGTGTCGGGAATGGCTATAGTTATCCGATCCTACCTAATATAGTTATACGAGATTTGCAGCTATATAGGTACGAAGCGAAGGATGATTAGGAGCACCAGATCTAGCGCATCTGCGACGAGGTTGCTCAGTGAGTAATAAATAGAGCAGATTGGTCACGGCAGCCTTACGGCAGCCTAGGCCTTAGGAGCCTTGTGTCTCTCTTGACTTCACACGTCGTACCAGTCCTACGCTACTCCCGTGGTTCCTCCATTTCTCAGTCCTGCACTACTACCGTACTTCCTCCTTCTCTCAGGATTACGGCACTGGATCACATACTGCTGGACATAATGCCATGCTTAGCAATCTCGAGCATAATTGAGCCCCTGCTGAGTATGATGGCGTAAGAAGAACCCCCTCGGACGAAAGATCGTCCGTTTCCTCCGCGCCTGGATCGAGCTTTCTGGGCATCTGGGACTTTGCATACCACGCGCCCTTTGCACTTCCAGATCTTATGTCCTCTCCGCCAATAACGGAGACACTGGACGGGGAACTGGACGGGGAAATATGTAGATGGGTGCCTGAGGTACGTCTCTAGCGGGGGTCTCTTACGAGACCGCATTGTCAGAACCTCCCCTTCCGGCGACTCTGCAGCCTTGACTCTCGCTAAACTCTTCCTCCTGGCTTCCTCCAAGACAGCCACTCTCCTTGGCTACTTGGCTTCAAGTCGTACGCAGTCCGGTGCCTAGATTGCACGGATGGCTGAGTCGAGCATAAATACGCCCGGGTGTCGACCTGTATCCCGAGAAAAGGCTCAAGATCATCTTCTGCACCTGAACCCGATCACGCCCACCGAATCAACCATTCGACTCACTGAATCACTCATTCACCACCAAGTACTCCGTACACGGTCCCAGTGCTATCGAGCAAGTCATGACGCGTGTGGCAATCGCAGGATCCGGCGACGTGGCCCGCTACTTCACAGAAGAGCTGGTACGGGCTGGCCACGAGGTGGTGATCCTGATGCGCAGCCACAAACCACAGTCCACCGGTCCAGGAACGAGCCAGTTCGTGACCGACTATTCTTTGGAGTCAGTTAGCAAGGCGATCGTGGACTGCGATGTCTTGATCTCCACGATCCTGGACTATTCCATGGACTTGGTCGACGTGCATTTGACCCTCATCGAAGCGTGCAAGAAGAGTCCCAAATGCAAGCGCTTCATTCCATCCGAGTACGGGGCCGACCTCGAAAGGCACCCGGACCAGCCGGCCTTCTACTACGCCAACCATGAGCCGGTCCGCAAAGCCCTGCGAGACCAGACGGAGATCGAGTGGACGCTGGTGTGTGTCGGCTGGCTCATGGACTATATCGTCCCCAGCCGGAACAGATACCTCAAGGACATAGGGGGCGCATTCCCCATCGACCTCGGCAGCGGGACCGCCGAGATCCCTGGCCCCGGCGACCTGCCGTTCAACCTCACGGCCGCGCGGGATGTGGCCAAGGCAATCGCCGCTCTGGTCAGCGCCCCTGCACAGTCGTGGGAGACGCTTACCTTCGTATCCGGAGATCAGACCACCTGGAAGGACCTTGTCAGCGTGATGCAGACAAGGATCCCCGGGCTGCAAGTCACCCACAAGAGTCTGGACCAGCTGAAGGAGGCTGCTCGGAGTGCGGGCGACGATTGGGCGAGGCTCGTGGCTGAGTACCAGATCTTCTCCGCCGGTGATGCTGGCTCACTGAACCCCGAGAAGGTCCGGCGCCACAGAGAGAAGTATTTTGGGCACATTCACTTCCGGACCGTGCCCGAGGTCTTGCAGGCAGCTGAGGAGAATCCACAAGCAATTGTTTAGGGGATTCGAGGTATGGAAGTATGATCAAGAAGGGCTAGGGACCACGATATGTTGGTAGACTCCGCAGAGCATTTCCATTAAGAGAGAGCAATGATGGCCGTCAAGGCACAGTAGAGATAAGGGCCTTGACAGGATTCCACCCAATCAATATCATTTGTATGGCCAGTTTGTCGGATCATGCGCCAGCAAGCATCCCTTGGGACATCGGTGCCGGTGGAGGCCGCTACTCACGGCACTGCTTGCGGAAGATGCTGGCGCATATTGTCATCTATCTTCTTTGCCAGATCCACCGTATCCTCCAGCAGTTTGACGAGGTCATGATCAATAGGCTGGACTGGAGCACCGCTCATACAGCTCATATCTTGCTTTGTCGCGCCTTTCTCCCAATTCCCATCGATCATCCATTCCCTGGGCACGTCGAAGTCCACCGAGTCGATTTCCTTGTTCTTCAGGAGGCTGCCATTGTACCAGAGAAGTTTCGTCTTGTGGTCGACATGAGCAATAGTAAAGCTGCAAACCCGGTCTTCTGGATTGCCGGATTCTCCAATCTTGATATGTCCAGTAATGGATGCGTAATGCTGTTCCATAGAATAGGGAGTACCAGTAAGCTCGAAGCCGAACCACCAGCTCTCTTTGTCACCATGTCCCTGGCGGTACGTATAGGCTTCGCGCACCTCTTTCGTGTTTTGCCACGCGATATGGAGGAGACCGATAAAGACATCCAGACGAGACTTGTCAGCCGCCACCACACCGGAATCACCTTCCTCTGCATAGCCCTCCATGTACACTTTCGACTGCTTGATGGTATCACTGAGCTCGACATCGGCCAGTTCCTTTTCCCACCATGCATGCCGCTCCGGGAAGGCGCCTTGCCAGAGAAGGCGATCGTGAAACAACAGAGTCCCCGTTTCTTTGTACTGGGGATGCTCGTCAAAGATCACATCTGGTGGCTGGAAGAAGACGTCGTCGGCATCCAGTAGCATGACTTGCTCGAAAGTGCTCCCCAGGATTGCGAAAGCTTTGACTGCCCAGCCGCCATGTGGCAAGTCTAAGCTTTGATCGTCAAAGACAGCTGTCACGTCAAAAGTTGACACATCCGGCGCCAAGGACGTGATGAGATCTCGATACTCTTCGGGGAGGTCTTCCTCTCCAGAATATGCAATTTGAATGGGTAGCTGAGAACGCAGAACGTGTCGCACATTTGTCACAAGGTGGCAGGCGTAGCGGAAGCGCTTCTTGCCCGTTGTAATCACCAACCCCTTCGATCCTGGGACAAAACTATCTCGCAGCGTCTTCAAATCTCTTGTGCCGTCAGATTGAGGGCTTCGAATAAACGGGACAAGTGCGGAAGCCACGCCTTCAATCACACTCGACCAGTCCTCCTCCTCCTGTGGTGTCATCTTCGTGTTATCAGTGTGTAGCATCCATTCTTTCAGCGTCCTCAACCGCTTCCCCATCCCCCCGAATTCCGATATATTGAGGGGGTTGTTCCATATTGATTCTGCGTCTTCTCGAGCTGACGCATAGTACGGGTCGACGGCAGGGGGATTTGGAGGACTAAGAGTTGGTTCGGGGGCGGCGGTCGGCCATTGCCAGGCCCAGAGGGAGAAGGTGAGCAGGAGAGCAAAACTGGCGAAGGCGAGGAAGCGGTATTTGGTGGTCAGAGAGCCTGAAATGAGCGTGTGCATGATAAGAATGGCGCAGGTGACCTCGACATGCTTGAGGAGGCTTTCAAGTCGTCAAGTGAATGAATGGGCTGAGGAAGCCTTGGGCCAACTATTTGGCCATTGATGCTAGTACGGAGTGCAGATGTGAGGGTGACGACTGGTGACGACGACTGCGGCGATTACGTGATCGTCGCGGCAACTTCCTGCGCAGCTCTCCAAAGGGCTTGCTCTCCTTCGACTTTCTCTTTAGAAATCATTTGTTCCTTGCTCCTTGCTACCGTGAGGGTTTCTGGCCTTGCCTCGCTTCCATCGCTTAGGTGATCGTCGGAATCGGTCAGTGACAGGGCCACCCGCCAAGACGACTGTGATACACTATCCCGGTCCCCCGACCGAGACCGTTTCTTCCCTCGGAGTCAAGGGGCGATGGTTCGGGACTTTTGAGACGCCACCTATGCATTATCATGTCAATAACATCCCAAACGAACATTTCAATGGCTTCGAAGTGCAGCAGGAGAGTATGGGGTTATGCCTACACCCTGAGGGGTGGGCACACCTTGAAGGGCAGGCACACCTTGAAGGGCAGGCACACCTTGAAGGGCTCCTGAGGCTTCTGAAATTGCCAGGTTTCCACACTACTGTGCAGACGGATGCTAAGGTCGTTGTCTCGGGGCCTTGCCTAAGGACTCCATCGCCCACGTCTTAGCCTGGGACTAATTCCCTCGAAACCAAATGGTGTTCTAACTCCTGGAGTTGAGACACGCTAAATACCTATGTCCGGCCAACGGAGCACTCTTCTGGCACAGCCAGCGCTTCGCTCTTCGACAGAAGAAATGCCGGGAGGCTGCTACTACTGTGCAGCTACCCTAGGCATGGTCTTGCCAGCAAACAGTCGGCTGTGCCGAGGGGTCCAAAAGCGATCATTCTTTTTTCCGTACACTTTGTGCAGTGTACAGTGTACGGTACGGAGCACTCCGTACACTGCCTCAATCCTCTCATTTTGATGATCATCATGTTGACTCGAGCGGAACGGCGGAATCCTCGCACAGCTCCTTGGCAACAACGCTCTGGGACCATACTAATGACTAGCCCTAAGGTATCTCAGTCGAACTGAGTTGCCCTACCCATCCTGTCGAACGCCGGACTTGATTCAGGCCGTCCGCTAGCAGGCAGGCGGCCATCAGGGACATTCATGCTGGATCTTCAGACAGGCTGATGATTATCATCCGGGGGATGCTTCTCCTGTGCATCTGGGCCAAGAATCGGGCCAATTCATGGTACCGTAGCCGCCAGAATACATAATCGAAATTCGGTTGCAAATTCTGTGTCGTGGAACTTCAGGCTCAGAATCCTATGCCGTAACCTTTCCAGGTTGCAACTGATGTTCTCTTGAACGGCCTGCATGGAAAATGGTGCTCATGTGGGCATATCGCTTGACCCTGTCCGGGCTCCTTGTTACCCTTACGCGGGCTCAAGATGACGAATTCCCAGGGAAGATTGACTGCTACAGCTTCGAAGGAAACACGTTCCCAAACAACACCCAATGTCCTGGTTCGCGGATATGCTGTCAGACTACGGACCTGTGCGACCCAAACAGATTCTGTTTGCAAAACAACCAAGTTATCATTCCTCCATGTTCCGTCTGGCCGTGGACTGATTGCTCCAACATATGTCAATATGGTGGGTGACAGCACTTGCAACCTGCCCTTGCTCAGTAAAATCTTATGCTGACGAAAACAACTAGATCCTTCGACCGGGTTTTTGCCTCGAGCAGTGCGATGTGACGACGGTAGCTATTGCTGCGACAATGATCCGGCTTGCTGTTCGGCGAACCGTGGCATTGTTCTTAACGGATTGGGTGCTATCGTATCGACCAACCCTGGTACCTCATCAACCAGTTCGTCTGCAGCAGCAACCCAAAGCGCCTCAACCTCAACCTCAAGTCTGAGCACCAGCGCCTCCGTCTTGCCCACGGTGACGGTCACTGCACCCGGAAGTAGCCCAAGCACTGCATTCGCCACTCCAAGCAGCGATAGCATCACATCCCCAGAGGACATATCCTCAGCTTTATCGTCCACCGGGCTTTCGACAGGGGCCAAGGCCGGAATAGGAATAGGAGCAGCGGTTGCCGCTATCATTATTACTACCCTCGCCGCGTTGTTGTACAGGTCGCGCCGTCGTACAGTGCCCGCGAAAGACTGGCAGCCAGCACCCTCATATACTGATCAATTGACCCCGGATAAACCTTCTCCAGTTGCACAAGCAGTTCCACAAGCCGAAACAGGATATTCGGAACCAGTACATTCGCCGCCAGCATCACAGACAGCATCACAGACAGCATCACAGACAACATCACAGACAACATCACAGACAACATCCCAGCCATCTGAGCTTTATGACACTGTGCCCCCATACGGCAGGCAAATACATGAGTTGCCTGGGCCGACTGATAGGAGGGGCTGGCCAAGTGGCCGTGGTTGAAAAGCAAGGAAGCTGGTGGCTAGCCTGGCGCGGATGTTCGCAAACTCGATATATCAAGCATGCATACGTTGGACCTAGCCTTACCCCCACTCGGGACTATGTAGTGCATATGCATAGTACCGAGTAGTCGGATGGCACTGTCATGCCAATCGACTGTTTGTCAGCCAGCATATGCTCTGCGGCTTCCAAACGATACTGAAGAGGTTCTCTACAATGTGGCTTCTAGAGATTGTACCACTGGTGGTGGTTATGATGAGACATTATTTCGCTTTACTACACTTTACTATACAACTTGAATCTCTTCTAGACCTCGCATCTACCAGCGATCTCTCCCGAATTTTCATGCCGCCCTTGTTTTTGTCAAACTTAGGCACTGACTTGGGCATTCTCAGCATTGCGCTTTAACCAGAAGCCTGATTTAGGCATACTATACACTGTATAGCCTGCGCTCCCCCTTCGACGGTCCTTTGATAGGCAACATGGAATATTTCAACCTTTGACAGTTTCCACATTCTGTACGTACCACTGAAGTCCACAGACGTATTTCAACTCCAACTCTGTCAAACGTAGGCACTAATATTAGGCAGTCCAGCCTTGCTGTAACCAGAAGGCTGGTATAGGCAGTGGGCACACCTATATAGTCTGGGCTCACCCTATACCCCTTCGATGGCGCACATGGAACGTTTCAACCTTTGACAAACTCCAATCCAACTCGAGCGCTGAGAAAGGGAAATGGTGCCAAAGCTTAAAATGTTCCCTATTCTCTATCCAGGGTCGCGGGGAGATCGCAGGCTATATAGTGTATAGTACGCTCCCTATACCCCTTTGATAGAGAACATGGGACATTTCAACCTTGACAGTTTTAGGTGGTTGATGTTTGGTCCTCGGTCTTTGGTCCTTGGTCTTTGGTGTTGTGTACAGTACTCTTTGTGCGAGTCAAGGCTGAGGCTAAGGCTGAGGCTGAGGTTCAGGTTGAGATTGAGATAGAGATAGGGCCCTATTGAGATTGAGATTGAGATTGAGACCTGGATTTGCATTTACTTGAAGCTCTCTATCGCTGACAAGTTTCTTTCCTATCCTACACATGCAGAAGTCGAGGTCGAGGTCGAGCTACTTGTAGATCCTGCCTCGTTGAAGCCTTGAAGCCTTATGGCTACGACATGGCATGGCATGGGTGAGGTTACAGTATAGTACAGTACAGTACTACCTCTATGTAGGTATAGTCAGTAGGTAGGTTCTCTAGGAGGTCTAACTCCACCTTGGTCTACTGTGTATGGTGATATAAAGGTTCTGTTTAGAATAGGAATAGACCCTGGATGGAGATCTCTAATACTGTACTATGACAATCGTTGCTGAGCTTAGGTAGGTATCTATGGCGTAGATGGTCATAAATCTTGAACCTGACACCTACTACCCAACACCGGATACCCAACACCCAACACCCAACACATAATACCCAACACACAGTATCCAAATCCTCATCCCAAGTCACAACAAAGTCCATATAGCATATCACAGCATACTATGGCATCTCATTGTACGCCATAACCAAGTCGTAAGCGGTAACCGTAGACCATAGCATACTATGGCATGTCATTCAATGGCAAGCCATGCAAGTCGTAGGCGGTAACCGTAGATCATGACAAGCAGAAGTGGAAATAGTACCACTGAGGTCCAAACCCAGAAGAAACCAATATAGGGAAGCATGGAGGAAGGCTGTTGTTACCTAGACGTACTCACGCCAGCGCAGTCTCGGCAACCGGCGGTGCTTCGCTCTGCAACGTAGTCGGTGCGTCCAGACCATTCAACTCGGCTAACCGATCCAGCTTGTTCAAACCACCGATCGCGGGCTTCTCGATAGAAACAGACAAACCACCGGTCACTTGTTTCCCGAGAGAAACAGAAACTGTCGGGTTGGAATGTTGGTCCACGACCTTCGAAAGAGCTATAGCGATGGCTTTATCTGTTTGGTCTTCGAATAACGTTGCTCCATTGTCTTCGCATAACGTTTCTTCATTGTCTTCAACCAATGCTACCTTCGAAAGAGCCATGGCGATGTCTTGATCAGTTGGGTCTTCGAATAATGTTTCTGCAGAAACTGTTGGGTTGGAATGTTGGTCCACGACCTTCGAAAGAGCCACGGCGATGGCTTTTTCGGTTTGGTCTTTGAATACCGTTTCTTCATTGTCTTCAACCAGTGTTACCTTCGAAAGAGCCATGGCAATGGCTTTATCAGTTTGGTCTTCGAATAACGTTGCTTCATTGTCTTCAACCAATGTTTCGTCGGCGTCGAAACTGTATGATCCTGACTCCGTCGCTGTCTCTGCTTCTTCTTGCGCTGCTGTGTTGTCTTCTTGATCGTGAGTCTTTGTTTCTGTTTGTTGCGTCACCGTGGTTTCATTGGTATTGACGTTCTCGTCGGATAACGATTTATCACATCCGAGAGGCTTACCCTCAAGTCTCTCTTGATCTTCATCATTGTGGTGAGGCTGTGTGGTCGACGTGGACGTGGACGTGGACGTGGGCGTGAGTGTCTTCCCCCATCTCTCTTGCGAGGCAGTGTTTATGCCAGTACGCACGTCTGTCGGAGCAGTATCTTCTTCAGACTTGAGTGGGGCGGAGAGTGGGGTCAATGAATCCGTCTCAGGGCTGGGCGAGGGATCGACGACTGTAGATTCAGTGTCGGATTCGGCTGTGGCGGAAAGTGTGGTCGACTCAGGGCTGGGCGAGGGATCGACTGTAGGTTCAGTGTCGAATTCGGCTGTGGCTGTTACGGTATTGGCACTTGGACTTGGTTTTGTCTCTTGTGCTTCAACCTGAGGGGAAGTTGTGGATGGAAGGAGTGGTAGAGGTGAACGAGGCAGACGGGCTGACTCGGGCAGTGGCTTTCTCTTGACTGGTGGAGTCTGGGGCCCTGAAACTCCTTTCTGGGTCGGCTCACTAGTGGCAAGTGTCTTTGTTGTTGACGGTGGCTCAGTCAGCGACAACGACTCGGTCTTCAATACTGACTCGGTGTGCAGTAAGGGTTTCGTCTGCGACAAGGGTTTCGTCTGCAACACTAACTCGGCCGTTGGCTGGGGCCTAGTCAGCGAGAACGACTCGGTCTTTAGTAAGGGCCCAGTCAGTGGCAATGTGTCGATCTTGATCTCCGATGATGAGTCGGTCTCTGGCAACGATTCAATTTTTGGCAAGGTCTCGGTCGGTAACACCGAGTCGGTCTCTGGTAACGATTCAACCTTTGGCAACGTCTCGATCGGTAACGCTGACTCGGTCTTTGGCACGGGCCTAGTCGCAAACGACTCGGTCTGCAACATGGGCTCGGTCTGCGGCAATGACTTGGTCTCCAAACCTGACTCGGTCTTCGACACTGACTCGGTCTTTGACAAGATTCCAGTAGCGAGCAGAAGAGCTGCGTCAATCAGCTTCGCTGATGCCATCTTCTCCTCTGTCGGTCGACTCGTAGCCTGTGGACGGGCTTGAGACAGCACATCATTGTGATGGAACGGTTCGATCTTCAGTGATGGCTGCTCGACCCGTGGCCAGTCCGCACCCGCTACTACTGCCTCCTGGTCGCGTCCTACTGGTACCTTTGGTATACTTCCCAAGCCCACCATCTCCTTGATCTCCGCCGGATGTTTCAGATCTGGCGTGTCGTCAATGAGAGCGGTTTTCTCGAGCAACAACCTCTCATGATGCTCCCACATTTTCTTCGCAGTGACAACCTCGTGAGTGTCGTCCATGATCTTGAGGAACTTCTCCCACTTCTCTTCCAAGTCACCTCGTGAATCGTACGGCTTGACGACTTTCATGAATGCCGCCCAATCGCGCAGGACCTCGATGGCGCGTTCCTTGCTAACTTCGAACCACTCCTGATGACTCTTCCTACACCAAGGAGCCTTGCACTGCCGTTCGCGGCGCCATTCCTTCAGCAGCTCGTGGTGCGTCAGGGTCTCGACCCGCTGTGCGTGTGGGACCCGGTCCACCCTCACGAGCAGGTTGGGTGTGTACCCGCATTTCGCCCAGTCGTCGAGCCGGCCCGTGACGGAGATGGCGGTCCAGCCGATTTTCACGTGGCCCGGCGAAGACGCCCGGTCAAAGATGTAGAGTGAGCCGGTCTCGAAATCCCGCCGATCGAGCCGCTCTCGCAGTTTGAATGTTACCGAGTGCATGGGAAGCGGGCTCTTCACGTGCGGCCGGAACTCGGAGAGAATAACGGGTGCTGAGATGGACGAGGATCGGGCGGAGGCAGAACGACTACTACGGGCCGGGCTAGTCCTCGCCGTAGGAGCCATCTGCTGGGCGCGGATTTGGATCTCATCGTACCATCGTTCGGCCAGAGGCGTCAACAGCCCTAGGTCCTCGATGCGGTCTTGATGTCGAGCCCTTTGGCAGCAATTGAGCAGGGCACATCTTTCCAGCACGTCTAGGCTGACAGTTTCACGGGGGAGTATTGCATTGATTTCTTGTACAAGCGCGACCGCCTGCGTGCTGTCCTCGTCCTCGCAATCCCATCGGCACCTCGCGCCTTTCTGAGTGAAGAAGATGCATTGGCGCTGCCTGGAGGTATTGAGCTCGTGGTAGGGGATGAAGAACGAGACCTCCGGGTTGTAGGCCATTGCTGGTTGCTGGTTGTACCGTAGGACAGTAGTATAGTAGATCACATCGACACCTACTGGCTCGATTCACAGTGAGGGGCGGCAGGACATATGTACTGTATGGAGTACTCTGTACTTGCGCGGTAGGGTACAGGGTAGCAGTCCGCGACATGGTGGCGTCCTCTGTACGCGCCGAGGCGTTTTCCCAGGCCCTTAGCCTCTGTTACTTGTGGTGGCTTTGCTGGTTTTTTTGGGGGCTGAAGCTGCCACGGCAAAAAAGTGACCTCTCCTTTCCTCGCTTGCGTGTAGTGGCCGTCACATCGCCCGTGCCTTGGACCCCGTCGCGCGATTATTAGCGACTCTGTTCGCGATGGTCTTGCCAAATGGCGCTCAAAGCTGTGTGACGTATGTAGTTAGTACCTTTGCTGAGGGGCTTAGGCTCAGGCTGTAGATTTAATCAGGGGGTTCTTAGGTAGCTGGGTACAGTAGAAGCATTCGTTGTGCCTGAGGTATCACACAGGATCCGTACACAATGTGTCCGATGATGAAAATTGTTCAAGAGAGGGTCCAAATTCAGGCTGGATGAAGTCGTCGTCGTCGTCATCGTCGTCGTCGTCGTCGTCGTCCTGGCGCGGGTGTGAGCAACCCTGGTCCCAAGGAGGTGCCTAGCGGCGATGACGAATTCATGCCGCACCTAATACTCCGTAGTAGGGAGTTAATCCTGGACGCTCCTTTTGTCTGTGAGATAAAAACCACGCGCATGACGCGCCTAGGCACCAAAGCGTCCCTACGACGAATCTGGCCGTAGAGGGTTTGCCCTGTAACGGCGAACATGTCCTAGACAGGGGGCTTCTAAGACATGCAGCCTGGGTTGAGGCCAGATTTAGGCCGCGAAGGGTGCACAACCAGCAGTAGGAGGTTGTTCTATCGCTTGTCTGTCTCGTGATAGTGCTAGGTATGTACGGCTGCGTCTAGACAGTCCATTAGTCAAGAGATCAATTCGATGGCCCCGCCAAATCTTCGCCCACGCGGTCATGTTGTATCCTGGAGCTACAACATGGTCTGTCCCATCCCTCAAGCCCGAACCATACTATCTACTCTATCGTCCTCCACTCCCTTAGGCCCTACCATGACTTGTCTCCGCCCCTTTCTCCCCGAGGTCGTCGTCACGGGCGTTTACCTCGCCTCCTCCCTGTACCTGCGCGGTGCCGGCCTCTTCGCCCCCCTTGTTCTGTTGCGGCACGCCCTTCTTCACACTCTGCCACTCCATCGCCACTGCGCCAAGCATACAAAGACACGCCAATATAAGGCCAACCAGAAACACGTGTCGCAGCGCCTGGTTATACGCCTTCAGCACGATAGGCTTTATCGAGGTGGGGAGGTTGGTCAGCGAGGTGGCACCGCCGTTCTCGATTGTCTGAGAGGTGAAGCCGGGCAGCCCAGAGAGGCGTTGTAGGAGCTGGCTCTGAAGAATGTTCTGACCCACCGAGATAAAGATGGCGCCGCCAAGCAGCTGGGAGAAGAACATGAGGGAAGTGCCGACAGGGATGTCGTGTTTTGGCAGCACAGCTTGCGCGGCAAGGTTGGGTGCCTGAGAGCAGAAGCCTATACCCCAGCCGTAGAGAATCTGGTATCCAATCCACTTGCCTTCAGGCGTGTGAACTTGCAGGGTGGTCAGGAGACCGGCACCAACGCTCGTACAGCAGACGCCGGCGATCATAAAAGGGGTGTAATAACCGACGCGACGAACAAGGACACCTGCCAATAATGACGAGACCACCATCGACAGAATGAGAGGGAGTATGTGGATGCCTGAGTGTACCGCCGATACGCCTTGGATCGCCTGGAACCAGACGGGCAGATAGTAAGCTGCCTCGAATTAGGCAAGATCGGTACTCCATTCAGAAGATTGTGCAACTCACCAAATATCATCAATTGGGATCCGTTGCAGAGCGACGAAAAGGCGCCGGCAAGGATACTGCGCTGCAGAAAGATCCTAGGAGGAATGGTGGCAGTCTTGGGTAAGAAAATCTGGACCAGCCCAAACCCCGACCACAGCACCCCGGTGAGGACAAGCAGAGCAATCATGCGACCGTCATTCCACTGCAGTCAGGTTCAACATCGTGTTCAGATCAGAGTCGAGAGCAAACCGCTTACAGGGTATGTCAAGCCGCCCCACTGAAGCGCCAATATCAAGCATACGGATCCCGGCACAAGCAGAGCGGTCCCAAAAACATCCAGCTGCGCGAGCTTGGCTTTGGCTGGCGCATTAGTCGTCTCTCGCTTGGGGATGTTCAGGAGAAACAGGATTGCCAGCATAGCAACTCCTCCGAATGGAAGATTGATGTAAAAGCACCATCTCCAGGTGACGTTCGTAGTAAAGGCCCCTCCCAGTAACGGTCCAACCACGGAAGCAATGCCAGAAACGGCGCCAAACATGCCTTGATATACAGGACGCTTATGCAGTGGTACGGAATACACGATGGACACAATCTAAGTGCATTTGACGACACGTCAGCATATAAAGTTGTACGTGAGACTTAAGTCGGAGAGGCGGAGTGTATGGCCTACCGCACCAGTGTAGATCCCAGCCGCTCCCAGACCCGCGATGGCTCGCCCGACGATGAAAGCGACTGAATTCGGGGCCGCACCGCACACAACCGACCCGACCTCAAAGAGGAAGATGGCGGTCAAAAAGGTGACCTTGACGCTGTAGAAGGTATAGATCTTTCCAAACAGCAGCTGGGAGGCGCATTGGGTCAGAAAATAGCCAGAGCCGCACCAGCCAATGTCGGTGACAGAGTGGAAGTCGTCCGTGATTCGGGGGATAGCTGTTGCGATGATCAAGCGGTCCTGCCAGACAGTCAGTCCGTATACCTCCAGCGGGTGCAGTGTTTATCCTGACCAAGGCCACCAAGAACGCGCTCACAAAGACGGAGGCGAGAAGTAAGCCGAGCTTCCGTCCAGAAGGGTATTCGATGTCTCCAGAGGTGGTAGTAGGGCTCTGATCCTTCTTTCCCTCTGCATCGGAGGCTGGAATTGGAGCTGTCGCAGCTTCAGCGCCGCTAGGTGGTTGAGTCTTCCTAAAGAGCATTACGACAGCAGTAGCGCCCCCAACGAGGTGCTTCGAAGCCTGCAATGGCAGTCAAGTGTGTGATGACGCAAAAGAGATTTCTACAAGCTGGGATCGCTCAAATGGCATAATAGATGTTGAAACTGTGGAACAAAGGAGACGAGACATGCGAAAGATGGGAGGGGAGGCATGCCGGGCATATAAACCTGTTGCGACACAGCTCCAGGCTGTTGCTCTTCGGCCGATGCGTTCGGCCATCGGAAAGACAAGAATCATCAAGGTTCACTCACAATGTCAACACTATCCAGCTGGGCGGATTTCGACCATCAACTCGAATAGCAAAGACGTCGAGATGCTTGTGTGGCCTCATATGTGGGTGGGAAGGCGCAGGCCCGCACCGGCCGACGCACGTGACATGCCCTCGGAGGCCCGGACTGCGCTAGACCTATCTTGGACTTTGAGCTGCCCGAATTCTCCGAGCGCCCGAATTCTCTCCCTCAGGCTTGCCAGCCTCACATATCGTCAACTCACCTCCGAGGGGCACCTTCCACATTCCTCACGCATTGCCTGGGCTGTCGAGTATGCCAACTGTCTCCCTCATATATCGACACCTCGTCGCGTCTCCCTTCATCGAGTCCCAGCCCCTCCAGCTCCAGCTGTTGTCATGACGCCCCCGGGCCTGCTGCACAGGTATGCTTGTACGCTATGTGCTCAACGTAAGGTCAAATGCGACAGAGGCGAGCCCTGTTCCCACTGTCTCAAGGCAAACGTGCAGTGTCTGTATCAGGCGCCCTCCTCGATTCGACCTCGGAAGAGGGCTATCGACGAAGAGCTGCTCTCCCGCCTGGCTCGGTATGAAGATCTAATGAGGAAGCATGATATTGATTTCACACACTGCGCCAGTCCCTGGGTCTCATCTGGATTGGAAACCCAACCAAAGAATAACGGCCATCAGAGTCCAGTCTCTATTAATTCTCCAGCCAGCCATCTCATTCTGAACTCCGAGAACTCCACGGTGGGCTTACAACGGTAAGGAACTTTGAGAGTTTGGACTAGCCTGGTCCAGGATAACATCATTCTCAGGTGCTCGTGGTCGAGTCTGAAGCCAGAGGTCTGTTACTCCAAGACGGAAAGTTGCTGTGACTCCCGATCACTGACCTGTCTACCATGTGTAGCTCAAATATCCCCCTGTCCTGAGTCTACGCCATAAAGACGACCCGGCTCTCCTTTCTCCACCGTCTCTTCACCACGTCCTTTCTCCCAGTCAGCCCAAACTCGAAGAACTACATCCAGAACCAAGACACATCTACCGCTTCTGGCAAATTTTCGTAAAAACTGTCAATCCGCTCACAAAGATCGTCCATGTACCGACTCTACAACAATGCATTTTGGATGCAAGTTGGGATCCTGCAAATGCACCAAAACCCCTAACCGCCATAATGTTCTCTATATACACACTGGCTGTCACCTCCATATCTTCGGACCAATGTCAGGCGTCCTTCGGTGACACTAGGGACGCCCTTTTGACGCGTTACCGAGCTGCGTCCCTCCAGGCGCTTGTCGCGGCCGACTTTCTCACAACCAAAGAGTTTGAGGTTCTGCAAGCACTTGTCTTGTTCCTTCTTGCAGACCCGGAATCAGAATTGACTTCCACACTGACCGGTGCCGCCATAAGACTGGGCCAAAAAATGGGTCTACACCGAGATGAGAGCGACCCCAAGATTTCGTTCTTCGAGAGGGAAATGCGCATCCGGCTTTGGTGGTGGCTGTGTGGCCTCGACTCCCGAAACCGTGCTGTCTGGCCATCGGGCCTTAAGATACCGCTCCCGGAACTGGGCGAGATTCGCCTTCCGTTGAATATTAATGACGCGGACTTACATCCCGACATGGTCGAACCTCCTGTCGAGTACAATAGACCGACAGAGATGATGTGTGTCCTCATGAAGTACGAAGTTTCCAACTGGCTTCGGTCATCGCCGACATCAGCCAAGGTCTTTGACGCTATGGTTCGAGGCCCTGTGAGAGACAGGCTGTCGTTGGAACTGGAAGAGAAGCTCATCAATGAGCTCGAGGACATCTACCAGGAGAAGTACCTTCGCCATGCTGACAAACGCATACCTCTCCATAATCTGACGTGCGCCATGGCAACCCTTGCCCTCGCTCGAATGCGGTTCAAGGCCCATCATCCCCGTGGCCGCGCAGCTGCCGGTGATGGTGAGGTGTACATGACCGGCGAGGAAGGCGAACTGCTCTTTGCTTCGGCCGTGACCTGGTTAGAAATGATGGATGTGGCCGCACATAGCCAGTTTGCCTCGTATCTGGTCACGCACATGACGACCAGGTTCCAGATGGACGCGTACATCCACATCATCAGTGACCTGCGGCAGCGGCTTCAGGGAGATCGTGTGGTTGTGGCTTGGAAGCTGGTTGAAGATCTGTACAACGAGCATCCTGAGCTGATGCATGATGCTGAAAACACTTTCATTGTTGCTCTGGGTGACCTGACTCTGGAGGCTTGGGAGATGCACAGGAAGGAGTTATTACGCCAAGGTAGTCCAAATCTTGCTGGGGCACCGCAGTTCATTCAAAGGCTATGGGACCAAAGGCAGAGCGGAGCGATGCACATGCCTACACTCCTAGATCCCTACGCTTTGGATGCGCTTGGTAAGGTGGACGACAACGACTTTGATTGGGATTGTTGGAATGATTTCTTGGGGCTGTGAAGACAAGGAGGTTTAAGACTGCTTCCATACAGATATGAAGGGACACATAGGGGATCTTGCGGTCAGTGGGTCTCCCAGGACGATGTCGAACAGCGTCTGTTGGAGTGGCTAGGGTTAGGGTTAGGGGTAGGGTTACATACCTACTTCGTGTGCTTGCCATAGCCTAAGGCTGAGTTCTCGCCTGAGGGCTCGGGCGCGCTTGGGCCTTACGGCCTCTAAATCCTCAGCAAGACCCCAGGGTTTAGGGGCCCTTTAGGCCCCACAACAGCATTCTGGTAGGCGATAAGGATGTTCATTGCACATCAATGATAAGGATCCTATGGACGCCCATACGAGGCAGGAAATCCGAAGCCTGAGCACCTGCGTCTCGGCCTTATCTCCCTGCAAGTGGTGCTTGTATCTGGACTTCATGGCGCACTTGGCTTCGTCCTTCCTCCGTACAATCTCACGGCCCTCAACAACGTCGACAAGAAGTCCATCTTTTGACCTCCTCCATGATCGAGCTCGTCTCACATGGCTACAGTACTAACTCATGTCTACCTCACATTCGACGAAACGTCCCCGACTTGGGGAGCGTACCATGCTTGCATGCACCATGTGCAAGCAGAAAAAACTCAAGGTACGGCCGGCGTGAGACAAGACATCCAGGCTGCATCCATCGCTGACACCGGGATCCTAGTGTGATGGCCAATCTCCGCAGTGTCAGAATTGCATCAAAGCCGGACGAGGTACGTTTGATCGGTGCCCTGCAGGTCCAATCCATGCTTATCATGGTTCAGACTGTCTGGTCGAAGATCCAGCCACGGGCCTCCAGCGACCCCGAGACTACCTCCAGTCGCTCGAGGCTCGCGTTGCCTTCCTCGAGAGCCTTCTTCGGGAGGTCCGTCCAGATGTTGCCATCGACCATTTCGGCTCCATTGGGTCGCTGGAACGGCACACTCTCTCTGATCAGGGGCTCCTGGCAGAAGTATCATTCAGGCATGCCTCCGATGGCCCCCAGGATCAGTCGAACCAACGGTCCAACCTTTCACACAACGGACAGATGCCAATCTCGCCGGGCGTGAGCAAGCATGAATCGGTCGAGCCCGAAGAAGACGTCAACGACCTTGCTTCCGACGTGGCTTTGCTGGCAATCAGTGCCGCCGGCCGTGAACCACACTACTTTGGCCCGTCCTCCGCTCTCTCCTTCTCCCGTGTAGCCTTCCCTACGTTGAGGTGGCACAAACGCCACGACGGCTCCCAGCCAAGCGTCTATAGCGACTCGGATGTCCATCGTGGCACACAGGGCCGCCGACCAGCGTTGCTACCCTCGTCCACTGCTGGCCATGCATTATCCACCGCCTACTTCAATCATGTCCACCCGCAGTACCCTTTCCTACATCGACCTACCTTTCTGGCATGGGAGGAAGACTGTTTACACGCACAGCAGGTGGGCGCGATTGAATCTGTCAAAGAGATCCCATTGTTTTTCGTGCTTATGGTATGGATCCCCTCCCCCGTGGCAAATGATATGGGCTCATCGCGTGGCAAGGTCTATGCGATCGGATCGCTTATCATCAAAAATGGAGATCGTAGCGAAGATGCAGAGGTGAGTCGACTACTTGCCCATCCTGTCATTTTACTCACGGTGATCCAGGCTTACTATGCCACCGCCATGGACTACCTCCCCAGCATCATCGACATGGATAGTATGCAGTCGATCCAAGCGATTATCGCCTGTGCGGTCTACTCCATCCGGTCACCTGTTGGTGCCTCGATATGGTAACAAGACACCGTGCTCGTCGTTCCGTCGAAAAGCTGCCCAATGCTGACGACCGCAACCAGGAAATTGTCGGGCATGGCCATCCGCCATTGTATTGAACTAGGTTATCATCGGAGTGTGAAGAGATTCCGGCCCAGCACTGATGCGCTGACAAATGAAATGTCGAAACGAATCTTCTGGGTTGCATACGACATAGACCGCGCCGTGGCATTGATGCTTGGACGACCATTCGGTATTGCTGATCAAATGATCGATGTCGAGGTATAAGGACTCTTCGCGATGGGAAGGCGTGCACATGGCCACAGTAACCCTGCTAACCCAACCACCAGCTTCCTCTTGATGTCGACGATTCTGCGATCTCGAGTGCGGGAATTACTGGTCCAATTCGACACGGCTCGGATAAGCCACCCACAGCCATGACCGGGGCCATCCACATCATCAAGCTTCGACAACTGTGGTCCAAGATCAGCGACACCATTTATCTGGCGGCTTCCAATGGACCGTCTGTGGGCACCAGGACATGTGCCGCTCTATCAGCACACCTCCCCCATCTTCGGCAGCTGCTCGACGAGTGGTTCGCGGAAACACCAGAACAACTTCAACACCCAGACGGCGGGCCAGTCTCGGTCTTTACTTCGAAAGACTGGTTCCGTCTGGCTTACGACCACACGATCCTTCTGATGTACCGGCACTGTCTCACATGCGAGTTCCATCGACAGCCGTACAACCCCGCCCACAGTACCCACTGCAGCAAAGTACAAATCGACGCTGCCTTTCAAGAATGCGCAGCGAGTGCCCGAGAAATCTGCGTATTGTACCGCAGGACGTACCAGCGGTCACCGGTACGCTACACTTGGGGTTCGCTGCACATTCTGTTCCTGGCCGGGCTCACCTATCTGCATTGCCTATGGAGCTCTGCGACTGTACGCCGGAATGTCCGGCAACTTGATGTGATCAACACCTGCACGTCGTGCAACATGGTCCTGGTCATCATTGCAGAGCGATGGAACATTGCCGCGCCTTATCGAGACCTGTTCGAGAAACTCTCGGAACGGACGATCAGCATGGTCTTCGGAGGCCAGGGGAATGATAATCAAAACATGAGTGCATCATCAGCTCTTTTGTCTGACTCGAGCACCCAAATGGTCAATAGCCAAAGCTACGACGCATTCGCGCAACCCATGTTCGATGGGTCACAACTTGACGACTGGTTGGTGAGTTTGGAAGAAATGAAGGTTCCCGACGAGTCGGAGTGGCTCGTCCAGGGGTTGATTCGGGGATTTGGAAGTCAACAAGACGTCAACATGTTCGGTGACACGTCTGATCCAATGATGTGAGTGCAGTACGGGTTCAATAATCCAACCACTACTCATATCCTGCGCCTTGCTCGAAGTTGCGTCAGTCGCGATGAGTATTTGGATCAAGATCATCTATCTAGGACGATTTCCACTCCGGAAGATAAACACAGATTTGATCGCTTGCAGGGCTGTGTACAATGATGCCGAGTCAGCTACACGGCAAAAGCGCGGCCTCCAGTCCTCTCAATCTTCGCATAGCTCAGACACGGGACCATCAGCCGTGGATTTCGAGTGAAGATTTGATCTCAAGATCCGCGGTTGAAGACCTCGCAACTGAATTGACAATGCGTTACTAAGCCCGTTCTGGAGCAGCTGAGACGGCGGGACAGTCCAACCAGATTATTAAAGCGTCAGAGTTCAGCCAACAGCGCCTATTTGAGAACATTGGACCAAGACTATCGATGCTTACACTTCCAAGGGATCTGAGCTGCTCACGCAGGCGAGAAAGCTTGGTTATCACGGCGCATGACCGCCGTGGTGGGTTTATCAGTGGTCGACAGGATGCGGGTCGATCTGGAAGAAGACACGACGTATGTTTCGAAGTTGGTGGGATGTACATGAAATGTACATGGATGAACGGGCACCGTTCTTCGAAATGCTGCCATTGTCGCGTTCACCCGACTGAACATTCGCCACGAGGAAGAGCCTGAGGATGATGGTGGCGATAACAAAGGTGCTAGAGTTATCGTCTGTGCGCATTATCAAAATACTGCGTGATGCCGCCCTGTGCTCACCTCCGGCTCGCGCGAGTCGAGGGAGTGGGCACTCTTCCCTCACCCGTCGTGGGGGCACCTCCATCTTATTGAGAACTAGGACGACGACTTGTGTCATGACATGTTGGTTGGGTTATACGAAGGCTTTGACGACTTTGAACGAAGAGGGATGATTGGTTGGGAAGTCACTGAAGGATCCGCCAGGAAATGGGCTTATCTCATGTCAATATACGAGGTGAGTACCCTGTAAAAGGTAGTGAAATGGTGAGTCGCACGTAAGGGGGCAGATTTTACAGTCTTCCCTTTTTACCGCCAGTGCAGCCTAAGACACCAGTAGTGGTAGGCGCCTAGTAGGGATCAGGGTACTGTACCGTACCTTGGCACCGCTGAGGATAAGGATACCTTGAGCTTAGAGCCTGAGCCCCAGGGTTAGGGTTAGGGTTAGGGTTACCCTGAGGCCGAAGGGTGTGGCTTACAGTGTATGTAAGCCTAGGGCTAAGGCTACGGATAAGGATTGGTGAGCCCAGGCTCCGACTCAGGCAATCTGGTTTCCACCGAGCCAATCACGGAAGAAGCCTGCCGCCTCCACAGCCTGTAGCCTCCCAACTCCGAGCCTCCGCCTCCGAGCCTCGTCGAACAATTGCAAGAATCGGATCACCACTTTCTCTACCACAGTCAAGCGCTCCCGTCCAAGTTCAGATTTTGTTTCAGACTCCGAAATCCCAAAACAAACTGAACTAAACCGTACCACACCACACCAGAACACTTCACATCACACCACATCATTCACACCACAGTCATTTCTCCCAGCTTCGGAATACTGTACGTGTTAGGCCAGGCCAGACACAGTTCAGTTCTCTAGGGATCTAGGGGCCATCGAGCGGTGTGGCACACACACATATACAGCTTCTCCTAGTATCGACCGGTGTTACACACACACACATACAGCTTCTACTAGTATCGACCGGTGTTACACATACGGGCTGTCTCAGGGCACATTTCAACACCCATTTCATACCACAGCTCCTCCTACTATCTCTCGTGTGGCACCACAGTTCCTCCTAACATCTCTCGTGTGGCATATACACAGCTCCTCCTACCATCTCTCTCATCATTACGTCTTCTCCTCCTACTATCTTATCATGTCTCCCGCCAAAATCTCCCTCAAGCCTAGAGTCGTGGCGCTCGGCCATCCCAAGTACGTGGGTGAAGAGTACCTGGCCTCATTTTCCAACGACTTCGACTTTGAGGTTCTGGAGGCGACGAACCGCGCCGAAACAAAGGCCATGTTGCCTCGCATGGTGGCCGAGCGACCGATTGATGCGTTTGTCATCCGCATGGGCACGCCGCCTTACGAGCCGTTCGACGAGGATCTGCTGGGAGCGATGGTGCCGCATTGCAAGATCATCACTTCTGCGTCGGCTGGATTTGTAAGTTGAAGAAATAGCATAGCATTGTATTGTATTGCGTTATATGTCATTTTATCATATTCTGTCCTATCCTGTCCTATCCTATCTAATCCAGTCCTATCCATGTCGATTCCCCGAATGTCTCTTTTGGTGGCGGTGGTGGTCGTCGTCGTCGCCGTCACCTTCTTCTTGGTCATATCTTATCTTATCCTATCCTGTCCTACCTATCCTACCTATCCTACCTATCCTACCTATCCTACCTATCCTACCTATCCTATCCCAAGTATCTCTTTCCCAAGTATCTCTTTTGGTCGTCGTCGTCACCTTCTTCTGGTTGTTCTAATTCGCAAGTGTCCTCTTTACATGTCATTGTGAATTTATATGTTATATGTTATCGTAAATAGTATCTATTCTAACCATCCATAGAATGAATTCGACGTCGACTGGATGACCAAAAACAACATCTGGTTCTGCAACACGGTGGACGCGGTGGCCGAAGCCACAGCCGACATGGCCATGTTCCTCACACTCGCCGTGCTACGAGACACGACACGAGCCGAACGCCAGGCGCGCGACGGGTCGTGGAAAGCCAACCTCGTGCCGGTACGAGACCCAGGCGGCCTGACGCTGGGGATTGTCGGCGCCGGCTCTATCGGCAAATACCTGGCGCGGAAGGCGGCGGCGTTCAACATGAAAGTCGCGTACCACAACCGCCGCCGACTGCCGGTCGAGGAAGAGCAGCGCTACGGACTCACGTACCACGCCCGCCTGGACGACCTGCTGGCCGCGTCCGACGTCGTCTCCATCAACTGTCCGTTGAACACGCAGACCACCCATCTCATCTCGCACGCCCAGTTCGCCGCCATGAAGGACGGCGCCTTCCTCGTCAACACGGCCCGCGGGCCCGTCGTCGACGAGGACGCACTGATCCACGCTCTGGAGTCTGGAAAACTCACCCGTGCAGGTTTGGACGTGTTTCACAACGAACCTAATATCAATCCCTACTTCCGCTCTAGTGACCGCGTCATTGTCCAGCCCCATATGGGCGGCTTGACGGATCTCGCCTTCCGGAAATCCGAGACCGAGTGCTTTGAGAATATTCGCTCTTTGTTCACTACCGGTCGGCCTGTGGCTCCGGTGAACAATCTCAACTCTAAGCTGGGGTGAACCATCTTAATCCCAAGACAGTGTTGGTGGTGAACCATCTCAGTCCTAAGAGGGGGTAGTTGGTGGCAAACCATCTCATCTCAAGACAGTGTTAGTGGTGGTGGCAAGACCATGCAGTTGGCAGTGGTGAACCATCTCAATCCCAAGACCGTGTTGATGGTGGTGCAGTTGGTGGTGGTGGTGTGGTGGTGGTATGGTGTGGGATTGCTATAGGATACCTACCTACCTAGGTATCAAGCATGATTTCATTGGCATCCAATATCATCATCAAGCATTGGTATTTAGCACCTTGGTATTTGGTATTTGGTATGAACTGGAACGGGATCACACGGGAATACACACCATAATCCTTGGTAGCTACAATATCTCGGGGACTCTGCCTCGACGCTTGACTGAAAGTGTCGACGAAAAAGCCACCCATAGCAATGGAGTCTAGAATCAAAATGAAAATAAAATCAAGATCAAGATCAAGATCAAAATCAAAACAGAGTCAAGCTAATTATAGAGCCTGAAGTTCAAAGACATCGAACGGCATAAGTGTACTGTACTTACTGTACCGTGTTATCCGACCGCTCGCTGGCAAGCAAAATGGTACTTAGGGCCACGGTGAGGATAGTCATGAAGAAGAGACTAAATCACTATTAGGCAGTGACTACTATCGACAGACAGCATTCATGGCCCTCCCTCAGGCCGCCACCGATGACAGACAATCCTGGTAACAGAGTTGACCAGTGCTGTAACTCCTCCGTGGCATATCTAATGGTTGTATTTTTATGTATCGTGTCCGACATTGTCCTGTACTGTCCGTCCTGTCCGTCCTGTTCGTGTCACAAATTCGGGCTCGGCCCCAACTTCAACTGCTGGGCTGTAGACATGCTCGCCCTCTTCAATGCTCTCGGGCCCGAACTGCCCTGCATTAACTGATTGACGACCTGATCTTGGCTGTTGGGCCGGGTCCGCCACCGCCAGCTCTTGACCAGCTGTCTGTCGAGACCCTTTCCCTCGAGGATATCCGCCACCCACGCACCGATGTTGGGAAGGTACTTGAAGGCATGGCCGCTTCCGGCGGTGGCGACAAACACTCCCCGGTGGCCGGGCCCAGGGACATGGTCGATGACGAAATGGTTGTCCCAAGAGTCCGTGTACCAGCACAGCCGGGTCATGTCGATGTCGACGCCGTGGGCGGGCAGGTCGGGCAGAAACTCGGCGATGAACTTCTTGATCACGCTCAGGGCTTGCGCCGGCACCGAGTCCTTGATCTGCTGGTGTTCTGTGTAGCGCGTGACGGGGATGCTGCGTTCACGCCCGTCCGCTTGCACCTGCGGGTTGGTGTACTTGGTGCCGCGGTAGCCGATCTTCATGTATCCGTCGTCGGTGGCCGCGAACCCGTACAGGCCGCCCTCGGCCCCGTCACGCATCTTGTACATCCACGATGGGAAGTTGTCCGGTGAGTAGCGCCGGGCGAGGTCGGGGGGTAGTTTCATCAGCACAACGGATCCAGCCGTGGCTTCGCAGACCGAGTCAAGTTCGGGGAGGAGGCTGGGTGTCCAGCCGCCGCAGGCCATGATGACCACTTCGCTGAGGTGGCTTTTGCCGTCTCGTGTGCGAATCCCTACTACTGTGTCGGTGTCGGTATGAGGAGAAGAAGGCGATGTAGAAGGAGATGTGGGTGCAGATGTGGATGCGGATTTGGATGTGGATGAGTAGATGAAGGAATCCAACGCCCCGGACTCGGGCCCAAACACCGTCCGCACACCCAGGAATTTGGCTTTGTGCAGTGCAAAGCAGCACGCCTTGTCGGCCAGCACGGTGCCGCCCGTGGTGTCGAGCACGCCCAGGTACGGCTGACCGCGGCGCTGGCGGCCGCCGAACGGGTCGATGGCGTGGCCGAAGCCCTTTTCGTGCGCGAGCTGGACGTGCGTGGGGTCGTGCGTGATCAGCTGCGAATCGGCCTGGCCAGCGGCGGCGTTCATGTTGCGCACCGTCGCGGCCTCGAAGGGCGGCAGTGTTGGCTGGTCGGTGAGGCTCAAGTGACCATGGTTTAGGAAGACGGCGTCCGTCCTGCTCATGCCGGCGGGCACGTTGCCGGCGGCGATCTCAGCATTCCACTGTTTCCATGCGGTGGTGGCCTCGATCGACAGATCCTGGTACTCGGTCTGCGCGCCGTAAGCTGAGCGGAAGATCTTATTCGTGTCCGCCGACGCAGCATCGCAGCCTTTGAAATAGGAATATCGCGATTGTTCGTAGGGCTGCTTGTCGAACAGCGTGATGTTGCGGTATCCTCGTTGCGCCAGATGGATCGCCGTGCTCAGGCCGAACACGCCGGCCCCGACGATGTTGATGGCGGCATCTTTGTCGGAGAGCGTGGCTGGACACTTCCTGCCAGAAGACGGCATCTGGGGCTAAGGATCGTGGTCCGGAGAGAAGAGGAGAGGACCGGACAGGACAGATACGATTAAGTATCACTTTCTTTCCCCTGGAGGTTCGAGGTGATGTTGATGGCTCAATCTGCGCCCTGTGAGGCCCAAGGTCGGAATAGAGTTGGTGTTGCGCCACGTCGATACGCGGATTCGAGTCTCCTGCCTGTGGTCGATATTAGATGGTGGATGGTGGATGGTGGTTGATCTCACGCCACTGTCACGGTGACATGCCACTCCATCATACCTAAATTGACACTGCCATTCCCATTCCCATGCCTATTCCTATTCCCAATACTCCGGATTGCGCCCTTTTGCACGGGGTGGAGACGAGAATCGAAGTGGTCAAGATGAGGGTCAAGATGAGGGTCAAGATGAGGTTCGTGCCACATGGTTCTCGCCACCAAAGCAAGACCAAGACTCGGAGGAATCCGTGAAGTAGCGGATGCACTACCCGGTCCGCTCTTCTCAGGCTAAGGCCTAGGGCCCTAAGGCTCCTTAGGCTCCTAAAGCTTTGGGCTTTAGGCTCTAAGGCTTAGGATAAGGAGGCCACCGCCGATAAGATACCGCTGACACCAAGCCACCGCCGAACCTTTCAGTACCAATCATTCCGTCGGCCGTCCTTCCTACTACCAACTGTCATTGTTCCGACTCTGCAATGGAAGCCTGGTGAGAGTGAGAGTGTCGACGGTCGCCATGTCCGGACGCCTAAGCCCAGCCTTCACTCGCCCTCCTCCTCTACAGCCAACCTCAGTCATTCGCGTCTTCAGCCCGGCTGGGTCGATTGGCGATGAGAGCCTCCGAGATGGCCGAGCGTACCTCGAAGCCCAGGGCTACAGGGTAGACCAGCCGGCTACGGTGCTCGAACGATACAACTATTTTGCGGGATCCAAAACATCCCGGGCAAGAGAGCTGTATGATGCTGTCCTGAAGCAGGAGGAGGGCTGCGACAGTGTCATTTGGGCGGCCCGTGGAGGATACGGATCGTCGCAAATGATCGAGGAAGGCATGACGGCACAGATGCTGGATGATCTGGAGCAGGAACTGGCACAGAACCCCAAGTGGCTGGTGGGATACTCGGACATTACAGTGATCAGTCTACGCTTGTGGGCGAAGGCGAGAGTCCTGGTGCTGCATGGGCCGATGGTGTTCAATGTGGCCGAGTACTGCCCGGCGGCTTTGCGGGACATGTGGACGATCCTCACGGGCACCGAGCCACATACCCAGGTGTTCGAGGGCGACATTCGGTACGGCTCAGGCCTGGCTGGCAGCTCCGGCACATTGGCGAGAGGGACGCTGTTGGGAGGCAACCTCCAAGTGCTGGCGTCGTTGGTTGGGGCCAAGGACCAAGGAGGACAAGATCTGCTGCCGTCGTTTGATGGCTGTATCTTGTTGTTGGAGGAGGTTGGCGATGCCGCATGTGAGTTGCTTTGCTTCCTGCTCTTCGTTTGGGATCTTGTGAATCCTGTCTCAAGCAGTCTCAGATTGACTCACGATATGGCATACACAGACCGGATCCATCGCTCCCTCCGCGCCCTCCTTCGTGCGCCTGGCTTCCAATCGCTGGCCGGAATAGCCCTGGGTCAACTGACCTCCGCGAACAACTATGCACGCGGCAAGTATGACCAGTACGAGGTATGTCATGCCCTGCCCTCACAGCCACCCTCCCAATCCTGGTCTGGGTGATATACGACTTACTGGAATTCCCCCTTCTGCCTGTAGGTTCTCCACGAATTGCTGGAACCTCTCGGGATCCCCGTCATCACGGCGTTGGAGATCGGGCACGAAGCTGCCACCGCCTGGCCCATAGTGCTCGGTGCCGACGCCGAGATTCATGTGAGCGGCGAGCTGAGGGTGTTTGTGCCGGGCTGCGCTTAGATACTGTACTGTGTCGAGAGTACTGTTCCCAGCCTTGGCCTCCAACATGATCTTCGTCCGGACTCATACTAATCAATTAGTGCAGTATAAGATACCCTCTATCCTTGCCGGGGGTCAGTCAGTGGCTCGGAGGAATCCGACTCACGATGTCTCCCCGTCTTCCCACCAATTACAGGCCCCGTCTAGTATATGCAACTGATAAGGATCCCACAATATAGACCGGACACGGTTAGCCCACCACAGAAAACGGATCCTACCCACGCGATGGTGGACGCGGGCCCCTACAGCACGGCCACTTGAGCCACTAGGTCCACGTCTAGAAAACTCTCGGGCCCTGCTATTTCCTTGCGCTCTGGACGCTCTCTCGGGTTGTCGCCTCCCAGGTTTCTTCCGCAGCTGGGTCAATCACTGTGTCGAGACTGTCCGGAAGGTTCCTTTGGGCAGGCTCGCGTGCATGATATGGATGGCCAGATCGAGGGAGCACATCGCACAGGACATTGATAGATAGGCTCTTGTATTTGGATCACTGTCTCTCTCTATAATGCCCTCCCTTCCGTCCTCATCACACTCTTGATTATCTGCACTTGGACAAGGAAAGCAAATCAGCCAGCAAGATATCAGCCGCAATGAGTGGTGAGTCCACAATCAATGTCCAAGTCCAGGGCATATCCTATCATTAGGAACTAACCCTCAAATGCAGTCGAGAAAACCCCCGACCACCTCTCCAAGGAGCAGGATTTGGCCACGTTTGACACTGATTTGGCTTCGTTCAAAGAGGCCCAGGTCACCGTCGTCACCGAAGATGAAGAGACTCCAACCGAAGAGGAAATGGCCACCTTGAGGCACATCAGCGACAGCGTCACCTGGGTGGCCATTGTGCTGGCGTTTGCCGAGTTCGGTATGTTTCTCTAAAGGCCTCTACCTCTGCCTCACCCCCACCATTCCTTGCGCAGGCTGAGCTGACCTTGTCCTTTTGATTCAAGCCGAGCGAGCTTCCTACTATGGATGTCAGGGTCTCTTCACCAACTTCGTCCAACGGCCGCTGCCCAAGGGTGGTAACGGGGCCGGCGCAGTCCCAGCAGGCAGCGAACAGTCTGCCGGTGCTCTTGGGCTAGGTCTCACCACCGCAACCGCCGTGCTACAGTCGTTCAACTTCCTTTCCTTCACCATACCAGTATGTTCCCTTCCAACCCGAACCCGATTTCCCCATATATCCGCGTCTGCTGACTGTGCACCTTTTTTAGATTCTGGGAGGCTTGGTTGCCGACGTTAAGCTTGGAAGAGTGAGTTGATCTTGCTGCTGCTGCTGTTGCTATAGTCTACAACGTCTGCCCCGTCCAGCTTCTGACTGGCTGTTCTAGTTCAAAACAATCTGCCTCGGTGTCGGAATCGGTGTTATCGGCCATATTCTCCTTGTTATAGGTGAGTTCGGCTCCCCGTACATGGACGGACCATGGGTCATGGCATGCGTTCAGAAATTGACCCTTGTCTCTCAGCTGCCCTTCCTACCGTCATCCGATCCGGCCATGCGCTTGCGCCCTTCGAGATCAGCATATTGATCATCACCCTGGCGACTGGTCTAATCAAGGCAAAGTACGTTTTGGATTTGAAACATCTTTTTCTTTTCAAGATGCATCGACCTGACGTGGAGTTTTTTCTTCTTCTAGTGTCGCTCCGCTCGTCTTGGAGCAGGCTCGACCGACCAGGATCAGGACCTTGAAGAGCGGCGAGAGAGTCATCCTAGACAAGACACTTACACTGCAGTCCAGCATGATGATCTACTACTGGAGCATCTATGTCGGCGCGTTGCTCAAGCTGGGCACTACCTGTAGGCCACATCTACTCTATCTTTAATGAACAACCCCCTTAACATTGGACAGACGCCGAGAAGAGAATCGGTTTCTGGCTGGGGTTCTTGGTCCCCACCATCGCCTTCGTGCTCATGATCCCGTGCATGGCCATCATCGCGAAGCCGGTGGTGGTCCAACCACCGACTGGATCGGCCGTGTTCGACGGGTTCAAGGTGTTCGGGGTGATCATCAAGAAGGGCGGTTTGAAGGGCATGCTCAAGGGCGGTGATGCGTTCTGGAACCACGGCAAGCCCAGTGTCATGGCGGTCGAAGGCACGCTCGAAGGAAAGAAGGCCGGCTGGTTGAACTGGGACGACGAGTTCGTCGACGACCTGCGCAAGACCTTCAGCGCCTGCAAGATCTTCCTGTTCTTGCCCATCTTCAACCTGTCGGACGGCGGAATCTGGTCCTTGTTCGTCAGCATGGCCGGCTCCATGACTTCGGACGGGGTGCCCAACGACTTGCTCACCGCCTTGAACCCCATCACCATCATCGTCTTCTCGCCCATCTTACAGTTCCTGCTCTACCCGACCCTCAACCGCATGGGCATCCACTACCCTCGAGTGTGGAGGATCGTGACCGGTTTCCTCATTTGCACTTTCGGCCAGATCATCGGCGCCATCATCCAGTGGCGAGTCTACGAGACCAGCCCGTGTGGATGGCACGCCACCACGTGCAAAACAGGCGTCTCACCCATGAGTTTGTGGTGGGTGGTGCCACTGTATGTGCTCCCGTCACTGGCCGAACTTTTCATCAACGTCGAGTGTTATCAACTGGCTATTCAGGTGGCTCCTCCTAGAATGAAGGTAAGTACACACACACACACAGAGAGAGAGAGAGACATACACACTCACACTCACACTCACACACACTCACACTCACTCACTCACTCACTCACTCACTCACTCACTCACTCACTCACTCACACTCACTCACTCACTCACTCTCTCCCCCCTCTCTCTTTCTCTCCACCCATGCCCAACCAAACTCCTAGGGACGCGGTTCTCTATCTGCCAAGTACCTAGTACTGCTATACCAAGTACTGCTGCTGACTTCTCTTCCTATCTAGTCTGTCGTATTCGGAATCCTCCTCTTCATGACCGCCCTCTCCAGCGCCATCATCCTCATCATCTCGCCGAGCTTCAAGGACCCCCATCTCATCCGACCATTTATCGGCGTCGCCTGCGCCAGTTTCGTCTCGGCCATCCTCATTGCCGTTTTCTTCCGCAAAGCCGACATTGAAAACAAGGCTAGATAGATCTGCATAGATCGAGTAGGGTGATGCGAGGTATAGATGGATTGGGGGTAGGGGGTAGGGCTAGATCAATAAATGAATTTGAGAATCTCGCTGCTTTCTGTTACTCGTCCTGAGCTGAGCTTCGGATCGTTGGGTTTGCTGCCGCTCGTCAACTTCTGTAAGCTGAGCTTAAAGATATGCTTCCACCGCAACCACGAAACACTCTACTGTATGATACCGCGGGTTGTCCGGTGGTCTACGTCCCAATACTCTAGCACTGATGATGACATCTTATAAGCCAGCTCATGACCTGAATAGATAGTAATAGTCGACTTTAAGCCAGCTAGACTCAAGAATAGGATAAATACGGCTATCGTGGCCTTAGGGGCCTCGAGGACCAGGACTAATGGCGAGGACTATCGAATTATATTGGATTTCATCTTATTCGTATCTATGGACCGCCTCGGCTATGCTGGTAGATACCTACGTATACAGTCTTCCGCTGATTGCCTAGATACGCATGTAACTTTCCGCTGGTTTCCTAGATGCGCATGTAATCTTCCGCTGGTTTCCTGATGGCTGGCTGGCTAGCTGAACGGATGGATGGTCAGATCCTGATCCTGATACTGATACTGATACTGATATTGATACTGATACTGATACTGGTATCCCACAGTTTGGCAGGTAGGCCTTAAGCAATGGACAGGATCGAAGTATTCGACCAGAGCAGAGAAAATGTCATCCCATCCGACCGAATAATAAGGTTCATGCTGCACACGACAAGATGAAGTTCAGGTGCTTTTCCCATTTTGCGAGACATGCCTAGAATCCATCTCTATTGCTCTTGCGAGATATGCATAGACTCCATCTCTATTGCTCTAGCGAGACTTGCCCTAGACTCCATCTCTATTGCTCTGCTAGTGGAAGGTAAGAGATTTTGTGGAACTCCCAGCCTGGATAGACAGCATACACAAGGGCTGATGGATATCCAGGGTCCGATCCCGGCTGCCAGGCCTCCAAGGTCCTCCATCTTCCACTTCCAGGCGCCACTCCGTGATGAGAAACCCCCGGTATACTGCGCACCTAACAGCAAGGGCATAGCAGGTTGCCACAGTGAGTGGGCAATTCAATCAGTGACTGGGCAATTCAATCGAGTCGTTGACGCCAGGAGACTCAATCTGGTGAGGAGAAAGTGTGAGGTCCCTGCTTCATGGTCATGGGCGGACCAGGATTTAGAAGCCAAAATCTAGAGCTTGGTGGACACTGATATCGACGATTCCCATGAAATTCGTCACAGTTTTCCCGTTAGACAAACGGGAGTGTCAAAAGATATGCTTGATTTCGCCTTTTTCGTCGTGTCATCATAGATCATGCCCGTACACACTTGTCCGACGACCATCTGGCTGGTCAATGCAAATGTGTAAATGAGATGAGGCTGGATCAATGGTTGCCGTCAAGTGTCGCTTTCAGACTGCCATCAGGTTGCCATCAGGTTGCCATCAGTGCCATCAGAGCCATTATGTTGCCATCAGTGCCATCAGGTTGCCATCAGTCGCTTTCAAACTGCAGTGTCAACATCCATCCCACCAACTTCCCGAACAGTCTCCGCCTCCTTGCTATACACAGCCTTCAATTCAATTCGGAATTCCGACATACGTACTCCAAGGATTTTGAGAATGGAAGTCTGTCTGGAATCTAGTGTGTCTCCCTCTCTGCAGACAAGGTAACCTTCCTCTTCTTCCATTGATCCGTCCGGCTGCTCCTCCAGGACGATGGTGCCCTTGTGCAGGCGGGTTGGAATGCCCAATTTGCGCAAGGTAGGCTCGATCTGAACGGGCAGAGGATCGTCTTCACCGCCTTCGACCCCGTACCTCGTATAGATGGGTCCGGGTGGGATTCTGATCTCCCTCGTTGCCACCGAGCCACTGCGAGCATAATCCTCTGCGAGGAAATCCTCAAAGTACTCTTCGACCTCTTTGGGCTCCCGGTCCGTGAAGAGCAGCCCGACCTCGCCTTTGACGTAGGGTCGCAGAGCACTGACGCCAGGCACGCACTCGGTCTCTTGTGTCTGTCCCAGGCCAACCAGGAGAACCTTGGTCTTGCCCATCATGATCCGTGAGTCGTCGAATTCCTGTCTGACCCGCTTGAGGAAGTTGTTGCGCATGTTCTGCACATCAAACACCCAGATGTACGAGTATTTCTCCGCCGCTTCGTGCACGTTGGACACAAGCCGACGTACGAGATCTTTGTGGTTCTTGCGTGTCTTCGACGTCGGGATCACGCGGTTGCGCTTGGAGGGAGGCATGTTGATGTCTGCGTCGGCGAGACACAATCGTTGGTTCTGGGTTCTGGTCTGTCCTGGAGTTGAATATTGAATTTGTTGGTGGACAGAAAAAGGTCCAGCCGGCCAGGGACAAACCGACTTTGAACTGCGCTCCAAAAATTATTTTTCACCCAGCCGCGGAAAAACTGCCCCGATGGTCCGACGGACAGTCACATGACTGGCACGGGCAATCTGCTTACTTAAGCCACTCAGGCACGCATGGTGCGCAGATCATTGACGTCGATAGTGTCCCCAGCCCATGCTGAGGTCCACCACTACTACGGAGTACGGAGTACTCATCAGTAGTATAGACTACAGCATGTTGCCATTCTCGCTTGCTGACAGTTGACCTATTTCATCGCGCATCTATCACTGATAAAGCATGCAATACTAATACTCGATTCACCGGGCTTACGGTCTTAACCTCAGTGTCATTCAGGCCCAGCCCAATTTTCCTCAGAAGCGCGTATACAGCGCCCTTTCATATCCAGATGATGAAGAAAGATTTCGGCATGAATCGGAGGGATAGCATGACGCTCCAACCTTAATCTTTGTACCCTGTCAAGCCCTATTGCTTGTCGAGCTTTCCAGAACATCGGCTTGCGGCTGGCTTCTGAGACTGGACGTCGATGGCTGCCGTCGTACGATTATGTGTCGAATGAAATTGCAGGAAGCCAAAGTATTCTATGCCTTGTCGGAGAACGTGATTCGGCACTCCTCATCATCACTGGATCTCGTTTTCCTGCCGGTCCTTTTCTCCAGCTTCGGCTCAGCCAGGTGAAGCTGCATACCCTGCCAATCGATAGCTTGATATGCACTTTGGACGGCCGCATCAGTGTGCAGCTCTCCTCGGACAAAAGACGCCGTCGGTCTGAGATCTTGAGTAGTCCGAATCAGATGGATGAGTTGATCTGTACTTTTGCGCTCCCCATCCCTTATTATGGCGACAATGCCGCCGATCATCTCTCGCTGACGTTGCACCTGTGCAACTGCCTCGGCTGTCTGTTGCATCAATGCGTGACGACTCGCTGCTGTGCGCCTCCGATCAGTCGCGAAGTTGAACCTGCATGACCAGTGGCGACGTTGACAGTTTGCACAAGGGTATGTGCCATCACTGCTACATTTGATCTTTCTCTTCTGACACATGAAGCAAGCCACCGAAATGCGGGACTGGGAACGCAATTGTGATGAGGAACCGCCTTGGGATGGCGATGGGGGTGAGGAGGTGTCGTCCGTGGAGCTGGAGCTGGAGTTGGATCTAGATCTAGACCTAGAGCTTGGTTCAATGGACGGGGAGGCTGCATCGTTCTGCTCTTGCTCTGTCCGGCCTAGCCGGGAGGATGAAGATGCCATTGAGACATAGACATCAGAACGGCCTGTGTAGAAGAAAACAAAAGAGGTAGATGAAAGAACTGTTCACGCTCAAAGCCTGGTTCCATCGTCGGAGGGTCTGGAGCGGCCGTCGATTGTGCAGGAGTTTTTCAACAGTCAGCATGATCGAGATGGATCGAGATGCGGCGGCCTCTGATACTAGGCACCTACTAGGTATGTCGCGTCTCTTCGGCCGATGTGGTGTAACCACCAATTGGAAGTCGATCCGCTCGACCTCAAGTGGCTTGACGCAATCCCATCTTGGCTAGAAGCGGTTGAGTTGGGATTCTTGAGCTGCTGATCAACGTCATGGTGGGAAGTGACGAGATCGAGGTGGTATAGGATGGATGATATGATGATATGATGATAGGATGCGATGGGAATGATTGGGTCGGGTGCCGGTGTTGGAATTCCGTCCGAATTATTTAAGGAATAGACACTGTCCCCATACTTCGTCTTGGCTGTTAGGCACCTCACATATCACCAGATGACCAAGGAAGCCGAGTTTCGCTGTCCGCTGGCGACAAAGCACCTTGCCTTCAAAGGCCTCAAGCGAGGTTGAGTCGACGGGACTAGAGCAATCAGCAATCAGCCATCAGCTATCAGCTATCAGCCTGCAGGCTGCAGCACCATAGGCCATCGCCTGCCTCACGACTGACACCACTCCAGATGGCCCCCAAAGGCGATCGAAGCCACTTCCAAAGTGCACTGGGCACACAGCCTGCCGGCGCATTGAGCAGTCTGAGTCTGTCGATCACCCAAGGCTCAGCGACATAATTACCAGCACGACAGCAGACATGTTCTCGTTTTCTGATTAGGCGCCCAGGGAGACATCCCCGACCATCCAGTCTTTTCATGCATCAGAGGAGAGCTCGCTGAGAAGGCGCTGTTGAATCCGAGCCTTTTTCTGTTTGCGCACTCTATGAACCTTTGCGGAAATGTCTATACTCATAGCCCGCGTGGACCATGGGGACTGGAGGAGAGGCGTGGGAAAAGATTACACACATTCCCCTTACCTTATCGTGGCCCCGATGCCTCTGGACTGATGTGAAGCCTCGCCCCTCTGCGAGAGCGATTCTGTCGCACATCTTGGCCGAATCGGCAAGAATGGACCTACGTATCATGCCCGAGGTAAACATCAAGCAAGCTGGATGTTGTCTCGCGCAGATACATATGTATCCTGCCGCATCGCCATCGATACCGACGGGGTTCCCTTTCCAGCTCCAAAACCACCATCGAAGTCGCAGTCGCAGACGCCATGGGACTAATCGACGAGCCAGTGTCCAAAGTCACTGCTGACAGCAATGGCTCGGTCACGAGCGACAAACGAGAAGATTGCGCCCCTGCCGAGGACCGCTGCATACACGCCTCTTGTGGCAAGTTGCAATGCCCATCTGTGTCATGGTCTTGGGCCAGTGGTTAACAACGCCCCCAGCTATCCAAGTATTTCAACTGGCTGTCAATGGGAATGCCTTGAGCCATGGCCATATTCCTGGCAGGCAGGAGCTGACTAGGTGCAGGTTCCCCAGCGCAGGCGGACCACTATCGTTTCGTGGCCTACCTCTCGCCACCTTCAATTGCTCGCCCTCTGAGTTGGGCAAAGGTAGAAGAAGAGGTGGTGTAATTATGGTCCTCGGGAACGTGCTGCATAGATTGCGTCTGTGTGTGTGTTTGTGTGCAAGTATGGCAAGGACATCAAAATCCTCAAGCACCCACCAACGCCCATAAGGGACTATCTATGTGCCTACAGTATGTATGTAGTCTAGGCCCCAAAGCCCAAGGACTAAGCGGCGTTCCTTACCCATCAGGGTAAAAGGATCACCTTGCCTGCTGTCTATCTTGACTAGACTCTAAGCCTTAGCCCTCTAAGCTGCGCTCGGACATTACCCTATTACACTTACAGTACAGTACCTGAACGGTGGAAGTCCTCTAAGCTGCGCTCGGACATCACAGTACCTGAACGGTGCAAGTCCTCAGGGTCAGGAGAGGGTGGAGCGGGTTCCGCACCGAAAACGGACTGTCAACAGGTCTAGATGTTTAGATCTCCTCCTCAGAGCCATACTCCGTCCAACCAGCATCCATCACAAGTTCACAACCACCACCGGAGACGTGGTGTATCCTTCATACCCGATTCCATCATAACCACCATCGGAGACGTATCTCTCATACGAGTACCCGATTCCATCACAGGTGTCGGGACGTCGACAATCACAGTCTGACAATTACGGTTACGCCGTATATCCTTCCGCCGACTACTGTAGTCCTACTCATACTCCTACTGATACTCCTACTCCTACTGATACTCATACTCCTACTAATACTCATACTCCTACTAATACTCCTACTCCTACTAATACTCCTACTCCTACTAATACTCCTACTCCTACTAATACTCCTACTCCTACTAATACTCCTACTCCTACTAATACTCCTACTCCTACTAATACTCCTACTCCTACTAATACTCCTACTCCTACTAATACTCCTACTCCTACTAATACTCCTACTCCTACTAATACTCCTACTCCTACTAATACTCCTACTCCTACTCCGTATCCGTACGGGGGTGGTGGTTGTGGTTTAGCGAGGGAATACACCAACATTCCGTTTCATTTAAGTGGTGGTAAATAGGTAGGTAAGTTGTGTCATGTACATTGTCATCGTTATCATTATCATATCATGGTCTGGGATCTAGCCCTAACTCTGGCCCTGCCATCCTAGTGCCGCCGTAGATGCCTTGAGCAGGCTGCTGCTCGGTCACCTCAGAGCCTAAGGCTCGCACTCCGCAAACCCGGCTGAGAATGCCTCTCATCCCCAAACCCGCTTGAGAATGCCATTCATCTCAAACGTCTCTGCTTCAGGCTGGTGTCTGAACCCCTCGAGCGCCATATGGTAGATTAGAGTAGTAGAAGAAGAGAGGGGAAGAGAAAAGATGGCTCCTTTTGCTTTTGCTCCCGCTTTTGCTCCCGCGCCCGCTCCCGTTTGAAGAAAACAAAAGACCGCTCCCGCTTCGCTTTCAAAACGCGTTGCATTCAATGACCGCAATGGTGCGCTCTCAACGCACTCAATGACCGCAATGGTGAAGTATCCGAAATCATGTCACATCTCTGGTGGCTAGGTCAGTGTGTAACATCGATCAGACTCGGTCGTCGCTCCTGCTGATAGTAGTCGGGCGGGACTGCATAGCCAAACTGGGTGTAATCGTAATCCGAATCCGAATCATAGGTGTCCTCCTGAGACTCTAGGAGGTCCCTGAGCAGACATTCCTCCAAATCCTCCTCCTGGTCGAGCAGGTCTTCCACCGCGTCAGAGCATCGATCGTGGGCCATTCTCAACCCCTCGGTCTGGTCGGCGCCAGAGACGATACAGATGCTAAGGATGGAATTGAGTCTGGATCGCTGAGCTTGGAACTGTGCCTCGATCTTCTTGGATGCGGAAATGAGCTGATGATAGGATATCGATCGTGATCTTGACCGGGAGATGGGTGAGGAAGTTGCCGGGCTGGATGGCGCCGATGAGTTGGGTGAGTTGACCGGCGTACCGGTGTACAGGTCGTATCGTGCAGACAACGGCACATGAGAGGCGATCAGAGTGGCCAACTTCCAGATATCACAGTAGATGCAGGATGTTGAACACGCCGACGACAAGAAATCCTGAGTCGCGGCGATTTGTTGCGGGGTCGAGAGGCTGGGCCGGCAGCCCTCGAACAGGGCAACTTTGGTCCGACAGGACGGCAGAGACATTGTGATGATGGTGATGGTTTGCGGCTGAGGACGATGTATAACCCGCACGAAAAGTTGGGTTGTCCCGTAGGAGTTGCACACAGTGTGGTGGCTGTCAAGAGGTTGGGTGTTGGGTTGGATGGAATGATGGACTCTTTCGTGTATGTATTAATTTTATGGGCGAGATTGAGGCAGGGAGCACGGACTCCTGGCGCAGGGTGATCGTGTGGGCGGGAGCGGGAAGATGGTGGGAGGGGGACGAATGCGGACATATATTGACTATTGAGAATGCGACCCGATAGTTTGGTGGCCAGAAGAGTCTGATTTTGCATGTCGCATGTCGTGCTCGCAGGTAGTAGTGGTATGTGATGTTGCAGGCGAGAGAGAGAGATGCCTCATGGTCGTCCACCGTCCACCGTCTACTGTCCACCGTTGAAACATTTGTCGGATGCACGGTCAGGTCATGTCAGGTCAGGTCAGCCACCCACACGCCCACCAGCCCGCCAGCGCAGGTCCAGTCATCCTTTGAGCATGCCAAATTGGCCCACGCCGGACGCATAGCATCCCCTTGATGGGTTAATGACAGCCCAGCTGAGGCAGCCGTGTCCAATGGAGAGCATGAGTTCTGAGGCGGCTGAGCCTTACACGTGGGGAAACCAGGGTGATGCTGGGAGATGACTGTGACTGTTTGCTCACCGAGAAATGTCGGAAGAGGAGAAGAGGAGCTGCCCCGCCGTGGCCCGAGCAGAAGGACAGCGGGCCAGGCGGTGACACGGCGCTAGCCCGCCTATGGCAGGTACAAGTGCTGATCCCCACTCTTGATTGGTAGAACCAGAGCCAGCACTGACGCCAGGCCGGTGTCGTGCAGGAATGAGCAGTTTTGATTCCCCTCTTACACCTTGCACCGGCATCTTCCATTGGCAGGACCTGAGCCCAGACTCGCAGGGCGGCGGTGAGGCCCCTAAGCCCCTAAGCCCTTAGGCTAACTTAGGCCTAAGGCCTGAGAATTGGCTGGCAAGCTCCAGTCTCCGCCGCCATCATCAGCCCTATACGAGTAAGGAGTACAGAGCACTCCGTACTCCGTACCGTGCTTTGTATCCCCTGAACAGATAGTAAGACGACCCCTGGGCACTGCTGCTTGATACATTAGCTACTGCAACAAGATAGATGGATGTGCATCATCCAACTCGGAGTTCTGTCTAACATGCCATCAACCCATCGGACGGCCTAGTTGTTCCGGCTGATTCATGGGGTACAGATAGTCTGTGTTACGTAGCTACCTACAGTACCTACCTAGGTAGGTAGGTACTAAGTATTGGTTGTGGTCTATCACACCACCGTCGAAACTGCTCGTGGACCATATACGTCAGGTAACTGGCAGGTAGGTTAGGTGCCTGGTAGGTACTTTATCCCTCCATTCGCATGGCTAGCCTAGAAGAGAAAGTCACGAGTGGGACTTGGATAAGCCTCCAGGCCCAAAACCACCCCCGCGGAGATGCTGTAGAGTGCATCCGAAGCCTAAGCCTTAGAGCCCCTCTGCCCTAAGTCTTTGTAATAGGTGCCTGATGCCCCCAAATCGTGCCTAGCATCTGCCTAGATCCACCATCCTCAACGGTCTGCCCCAGCCCTAAGCCCTACCACTCCCCTGCGCAGATGCAGATGCAAATGCAACGGTACGGATACCTTGTTCCAGCCTTGAGGCTGTACTTTCCTTCTGCAACTTGATGTGACCATGTCGGAGTCTTGGCCATTTCACTGTCTGTTCTCTTGCTGGCTCACTGGTTCACTGAGGAGTCATCGTTTCTTTTTTGTCCCCAGAGAACCCACAACTTAATATCCCTTTCTCCTATCATTTATCATTTTCAGTATCCTTACACATCGGGAACCGTCATCTTGGGACCAAATGCCCCTTAGCTCTCCCCACCATGAATTGTCTTTACCGCTACTCCAACCTGCCACATCCTCTACTTCCTGTCGACCAACTCTTTCTGTCACGCGGGTGCCGGTGCGGTGCGGCAAGAATATGAGCCCTGCCTGCTTGGCACCCACCTACGGCTGACTCGAGGCTTATACGATCTCGTCCTTTTGAACTGGTCTGAGTTCGCCTCATGATGGGAGACCATCATGATCCAGGGACTTGCCACACATTGCCCGAGACCTTGGGCTGAAGGAAAGAAGCTGGAAGATCAAAGAATTCACAGTTCAACCCCATGAAACATACGGGAGAGTTTGCTTCATGTTACATTGGTGCCCCATCAAACACTCGGACCAGCCCACAGCTTTTTCCCAGCTGCACTTCTGCACTTCTGCACTTCTCCAACCTGAACACCGCCACACTTCTCTCATGTAACCTCGAAACGGGTTAAAGTTTGGGAGGGACTAACTGTATATTGACAATGGCAAGATGATACCCCATACAGGTACAAAAATAGTTGCTCGTTGCTTGTCCCTGGTCCCATACAACATTCCTTTTGACGGGGTTGCGGTTTGGTTTATGGTTGCATTGGTATTGAACTGCTTCAAGATACAGTTTACCCTTGACGGCGACGCTGCTGAAGAATGTTGCAATCCACTCAAGATGCCAATAGAGCATTGCCCTCCGTCTACACCAGTCCGCAGCACGTCTCTACTGACTGGCCATTGACTCTTCCAAGGTACTCAGTTACGGCCAACATGTCCTGACTACCACCGATTCTCATGTCTGAGACAAACGTGCTCAATGGTCCATATCTGGTCAAAGCAGTGAGACTTTTCGGTGGAAACGATCCAACAAAAGACCACGAGCACATTCCTGCCTTTGCATCCAGCAAATCTTGTCTCATAGCTGCATTTGCGAAACTTCAGTCTTTGTCCCGGGGGCGAACTCTTCTGCGTCTTCATCGTGCCTTTCCGACGGCATTACACCTCAATGTTGCAGGCTAGCGCTACATGATTGACAGGCAAGACTCTTCCATGCTGAGTCCCGATTGCTAACGCCAGGAGTTCTTGAACGTCAGACATCTCAATTAGGACTCAGTATTAGGTATTTCCCCTCTCTTTTCCCTTATCGTACAGTGGGTAATAGACCTACAACTACAGGACTCTAACCACGACAGCTCACTAGGCCAATACCAGACCAGGATGCTGCCTACAGCGAGGACAGTAACATTCATTATTTTGTCGGTCCATGCAAGGGAGCCTTGTTTCAATTTCGGTTTCTCCAATGGTACAGTAGTCCCCGTCATACCTGAGGTAGGCATTCATTTCCGACTTTGACTGCTGCGTTGCACAACAGTCATTCCTGTCCATTCCTACGGTGACGCCGACTTCGACTTTCCTGTTTCCTCGCCGGGATCTCGACGCTTGCCCACCTCCTTTCCTTTCCTGCGTGACAGCAGCGCCACGTGAGGTTGGAAAATCGAGTACTCCGTACCCCGTTCGGCACTGTAACCCACTGCAGACAAAGAAAATACATGAAATTGTATCGTTCACCCAGAAATCTTGCGGCCGTGTCGAGGGAAGAAGTGTAAATTGTTGGGACCACTGTTAACTAGAATACTGTAACAGGGGTTGGTGAACTTTGCAAAGTGGCGGGTCGATGGTTTATTCTTTTCGCCATCAAGTAGTGACAGTGGTGATTCAGGAGGTTTCTTTGTTTTCGGTCTTGATTTGGCGTCCCTAAGTTGGCTTCGCACCCATTCTCTCCTCATACTCCATAAAAGTATTCAGAAGCTTTTTATGCTCCCCTCTCGGACCGCCAAAAATCTCCAATCGTTCATCCTTGGTCATTGGCGTTCCGCGCTTGACCTGCGTCGCCCACAACCCCAGCATCCTATCCAGTTCTGCCCAAGCCACCTCGCTTGTGCGACAAAGACTGGTCATCGTCAATGGTGGTCCGTATGAATCCCCAAAGTCCTTTTGCACATGGCATGTGTAGTTGACATGGTCGTCGGTCTCGATTTCGAGGTTATAGTCGCAGTCGGCGCCCCAGATGATCTTGCAGTTTGCTTGGATGCGTTTAGCTTGGGCGGCGGCCATTATCACTTAGGCGGGAATGGATTTATGGACCCGGGCAGGAATGGATTTATGGATTTATTAGATAATAAGGTAGTATAGCTAAGGTACACAAGTATGTCAGTAGTAGTATAGCTAAGGCACAGAAGTAAGCATGTCAGTAGAAGGTTTTAGATAAAACTCACGAGATAAGTTCTTTTGAATTTTCCATTGCCTATTTCTTCCATTGTCTCTGTCTCGTTTGAGCGTACGGGCAGGCCAATCAGCACCGCACACGTATTGTACTACAACGACGGGGAAATAGAAAGTGAAAGTGAGAGTGCTCGTGTCGAGATTCCCTGTTTCTCATTCCGACACGATGGAACATGACACGACGACACGACGACACGACGACACGACGACACGATAACATATGATACGATGACACGATGAACACATGATATAATCCTAGGTCAGGTAGCCATAGTAGTCTACTGTACTCGTATCTGCGGTCCTATCCCAGGTAGCCAGGCTACCCGTATCTGCCGTCATGCATGTCCTTGCATCTAAGCACGAGTAACAACATCCCCCTTGGACAAAAGGACACAATTAAGTATCTGCTGTCGAGTCACAACATCCCCATTCCCCTAGCACCCCATCGACAAAAGGACACCATTGTTTCCGAAAAGACAATCTCGTAAATCGGATGCCTTGCTACTTACCTAGAGCTACCTAAGTATGCATGCAATGGTATGTTTGTCTCCCAGAACCAAGTATGCATGTAATGGCATGGCATGTATCAACTCCAATTACCAGTACCAGTACCAGTACTTATATTCCCTCCAGTGACCGCCGCCGCTCATGCTCTAGAACCGGAATCGATACCGGGGCTGAACCCATGCCATGCCCTACCATGCCGTGCCATGCCCTACCATGCCGTGCCATGCCCTACCATGCCGTGCCATGCCCTACCATGCCGTGCCATGCCCTGCCCTGTACTGCCCTGCCTTGAAAACGAAAATAAATCTGATTTCCATCGCTCTGTCGGGCAGAGGACCCGTCCATTGCATTGCACTGAAGGCAGTTCGTGGTCATCGTTGTGTGCTGGTGCTGGTGCTGTGTTGGCGAGGCTTAGGTCTGTCAAATGAAGGTTGAAATGTTCCATGTTCACTATCAACGGGTCGCAGGGAGAGCGCATGCTATATGGTATAGAGTATAGCATAAACCAGCCTCTCTAGTTAAAGGACAAGGCTGGGGATGCGCCTAAGTTTGACAAGGTCCAGGTCTAGTATGTTTGGGTGTATTCTAAAGTGCCATTATTGTATATGTATCGGACACTGGCTGACCACGGCTTAGGGCCAAGGTCTACAGTACCTATTATACTCACCTGGCCCCGTCCGTCTCTATTCACGACCGTGAGGAGGCCTGGAAGCAGGTCTACTGTACTCTTAAAACTACACACATTCAGGGTATAGGTTCCTCGGGCCGTCAATTGCTTACTCAACTTACAAAGATCGAGCCAAGAAATATCCTACATCAGGTACCTACGCTCTCGACATTCCAACAAGCATCGGTGTCATCTGGTCTTCATTTTATTTGATCTTATCATTGACGAGTCACCATACCATCGTCGCGGTTCTGCTTAAGTACCTCTACTTCTCAGGCCCGGTACCATACACTTCAAGTGCTCCCTCGCCGGTCTTTGTCAACGTATGTCGTTCCTTCATGGCCTTTGCCTCCGCTGGTCCTTCGACACCAGCATAGCAGACGTCACCAGATTACCGGGACTAGCCCTAACCCTGGCTTGCAGCTCACTCTGACAACCACATTCGTAAAATCGAGAGCAATCAGGCGTCCGGACACGCTGATTAACCTCAGTATCGTGGAGGAGGCGGAGGTGCACCATAACCACCTTGCTGTGGAGGATATCCCTGCGGCGCATTTGGTGGAGGTCTGCCATAACCACCTTGTGGCTGCTGACCATATCCACCTTGCGGCTGCTGACCATATCCGCCCTGGGGCTGCTGGGGCTGTCCATAACCTCCTTGTGGTTGGCCATATCCACCTGGCTGTCCTCCATAACCACCTTGAGGAGGATATCCACCTCCATATCCGCCTGGTGCCGGAGCGCCACCGTAGCCGCCCTGAGGAGGTCGTGCAGCGCTCTTCTCGTCTTTCGTATCATAGGATGAATCGATCGCACCCAGGAGCAATTTGACCAGCCAAAGCTCAGGCGACAGCTGAACAGGCGGGTTGGCCCGGGACATTTCGTCAGCTTCGACTTCGAAGTCTGTTCAGTGGTTAGCACAAAATCTCATGGCTGCAGGGATAAATATGCCTTACTGGATGTGCAGTCAATGATATCACCAATGCCGGGCTCCTCGTCGAGTTTGCCCAAGAACTCGCGCGCTTTCAAGTCGTTTCCAACCTGTGCGAACTGCAACGCCAATGCGCCCTTGCCAGCCCGAGGGTTTCTAGCCAACTCATCTGAGGCCGCCTTGATGATCCTAGCAACGTCCGACGAGTTTTCGCCTGTCGGTTGGCCATCCGTGATGGTGATAACTAGCACCGGCTTGCGCAGTGCTCCACGTCGGGCAGGGTCCAACACCAACGGTCCGAGGATTTTCGCTTGCAGCTCTCGACCCATGGGTGTCAGACCAGAAAAGCGCGTGCGGGCAACCAATTCGGTGACCTGCTGTTCACTGCGGATATTGTTGCCCTGCTCTGGGGAATTCATGAAGCGGACTTGGATGCCGTCGTCATCGAACAATGAAGCGGCGTAGGCGACGCGCGACAGTATCAGCTTCAGATCGTCGATACGCTCGCCGTTCTCTTCGAACTGCATACTTCCGCTGTCGTCAATGTACAGGATCACGTCGTACAAGGCTAGCTTGACAATGTCGGAAGCAATTTCTGGGTTGATGCGCCATGTCTGGGCAAGTTGCGCAACTTGCTGAGCAGCTCGACCTGCAATCTGGTCAAGGACAGGGTGCCCCGGCGGATAGAAGTTCTGCAATCCTTTCTCTTGAATTGTTGCCTGGAGTGAGCTCTTGTAAGCTTGGACGTTGCCGACTGGTGCCGCAGGAGGGCCGCCCTGTGGTCCGCCCTGTGGTCCGCCATACTGCTGAGGGGGTGCGCCGCCGGGATAGGGAGGATGTCCTTGTCCAGGGGGAGGGCCCTAAAGGAAAATCTCATGTTAGCAAATGTGTTGCACTGGCTGTGTGTGTTCAAGAAGATGCGAAACAACGAACGTATCCATAGCCCCCGGGAGACGGCTGTTGGCCCCACTGGTTTGGCTGTTGATATTGCTGTTGTCCATATTGAGTGGGAGCTTGATATTGCGACTGGTACGAGGTATATGCCGGCTGTGGTTGTGGTGATGGGTATCCTCCTGCCTGCTGGGGCAGACCTAGTTGTTGGCCATACTGTGGTTGCTGAGGCTGAGGCGCCTGCCACGACGGCTGCTGATATGGCTGAGGTGATGCACTTGGTCTAGGAGGCACAGGGGGTTGAGCGTAGGGTGAAGCAGGTGCTTGCGGATATTGGCTTGTTGGCGGTTGAGGGGATGGTACAGGCGCGCCGGGGTATGCGGCACCTCCTGCTCCTCCTGGTGGCGCGTTTGCCAGGCGAGAAAACTTGCTCATGGTTTGGTGGAATGGAAGTGCGACGGTGATAGAGCGCAAGCGCGAACGCAGAAAAGGTGAAGTGTACAGTAAAAATAGCTTTGTCGTTTGCTCTTGGAAGCGGGTTCGGAGTGGGTATGTTTGAGCTACGGGTGACGCAAAAAACTGGGAAAAGAGTGGCCGAGGGGCATGCAGTCCAACAGCGGAGTGCGAGGAGCAACTACTTGGGGGAAGCTCACCGAAGCACTGGCAGGAGGACCGCCTGGATATGCCTGATATTGCTGTCCGCCGGGTTGGCCCGCAGGTTGGCCCTTGTAGTCACGACTGTCAGTTCTCTATCTCTCATGATTATATCAGGCAGGATTGACTTACGTATCCGGGGGGAGCGCCACCACCAGGTGTCAGGTTCGTTGGAGGACCGCCGGGATATGCTGCGTTTGCCGCTGCAAGCTTGGAGGCGAGCTATACGCGTCATCATCAGTGAGTTGCACTGTGCGAGCTCTAATTTGATCGAGCGGGGCGAACGGAGGGGCAAGAGGCACGCGGGGACGGGAGGAAGGGAAGCTTACACCCATGGTTGTCGCGAAGCTGAATGTTGTTTCTGGTCTTGATATCGAGCAGTACAGTTCTTGGAGGGATAAAGAAGGTATGTCCAGCGGAGGGGACGAAGATGTCTTCTTTTAAAGGTGATGTGAACGATGTGAACTCGCTGCTTGGTCGGGTTGATTCCATGCAAACACGATGCCGGGGCCGAAAACGTGCCAGTGACAGGGGGCTGTTCAGGGTGCTATGGGGCTGTGCAGGTCCACGGTGGATCGACTGGTAGGTGATGTTGAATCCAGTCGAAAGGTGCAGCGTATCTGATTGAGATGAGGGTAATGAGAGTAGTGAAAGGAAGATTTCTCAAGAGTGAAACTGGGAGAGGACGAGATTCACTTCATCTGACATCTCCCTGAGTTGCGTGGGGTCGTTGCATTCAAGTTGCGCACCTGCGCTGACTGCAGTGTGTTTCAGAGTGATGCATCAGGGGGCAGAGGTCGAAGTGGTAACCCTAAGCCCTAGCCACACAATGTGGCGTCAAGAGCGGTATCGGAAATTCATGAACTGCGCCTAGCTGCCGCTTGGGCAGTGTGCACAGCCTTGTCAGCCACAATTACCCCTCGGTCCCTGACGGCGCAGCTTGCACCATCCCTTCCCTTCCGTCACCAGCCCTGTCTTGGCAAGTCTTCACCATTTGTCCTGAACTTGAATGGACCATTACGCAGCACACAACTTTATGAAACTTGTCCTTGTGCTATCCGTCCTGTCCTACGAATGGCAGAAAGGCACCATAGCTTCATTAGATTAGATAGGTTTGTGTAGGACTGATAAGATCGAGTGTGCGGATAAGTACTCCGCTTTCCGTACTACTCCGATTATCAGCTCGGCTGACTTGCCTGGTCCGTCGGCAGCTCCTCGGGCGACCAACACCTCTTGACAGCGAATTCTTGTCAGCCAGCAGACTCAAGACTCATTGCATTCTCCGTATGTTAGAACTTCTGAGTCGACTGATTCACAGGGCGCAGACACCGCAGCGCTTTTCCCTTGTTCCCTTGTCGACCAGTTCTTTCTAGCAAGTCTATCGATCCCCTTGCATACGAGAGAGCTTGGGTCCTTGCTAGACACTCCCTGTCGAGATGCCCAGTTACACGCCGTCTCAGAGGACATCGATATCTCAGTTTGTCAGTTTTACCCAGTCCAAGGAAAGCATAGCAGCGAGGGTACGTCTGTTCCGCCTAGGGTTGAAGCCGCTTAGTTGAATCCTTGCCGCAGTTTCTTAAAAGCCATGACTGGAACGTGGAGCGGGCTCTTGATTCGTAAGTAAGCAGTTCCCTTTCGGTCGTGGTCGATGAATTGTCTGCCCCGCTTGACTTGTGCTGCTCAAGCTACTTGGGGAGGGCGTATCCGGGCGTTCTTGGCTGTATCAAAGCCCTGCCATCTCTCAGAGGTGTCGCGTAATGAGGCCGGCGAACAACGAAGCAGTATCGAACAGTAACTCAAAAATTGAACATTTGGTGGCGACAGTGATTGTGACAAACTGCCCTTGTCAAGGATGCTTCAACTGCTTGCATCTGCCAAGATTCTGTGACCGTTCTTGCAGAGATCGACTGCCATTATTACTGGCAGTTGCAAGCTCGCGCTCCTTCCTCAAATCCTTCCCAGTGTTTCGGCTTCTGCAACATCTTATTCGCCATCAATCTCTCCCTCTCGCACGAGTATCCTCACAATCGCCAAATTATCACTATGCCAGGGAAGCGCAAGTCCAACGAGACGTCATCGATGCCGGGCTCGAATCCGCCAAAGGACAAGAAAGTCAGAATGGTTCCAAAGTCAAGTCACAGCAATGTAGCAGCGACTGTATCGACGGCCATCACCACTGTCGTTGGTGGGATCACAGCCAAGCTGCCGGCCCGAGTCAAGTCAAGCAAGAGTGGCGCAAAAGCCCAGCGTTCAAAGCCCGCAGGGTTTGTGATTTGCATGTTGTCAAGTTGGAGGGACTAACAGGTCCTTGTCATACAGATTTTATCAGAGTGGATCGAGCAACAGCGCGGTATCTCCCATCCAGCAGAACCTGAACAAACTCTTCGACCAGTATCGAGGTGAGATCTCACATTTTTCGGGCGTCAAGCAGCCGCTGACAGCGGACAGACACACCCCAAGAGGCACCTGACAAGATCGGTATAGAGGGCGCCCAGCAGTACCTGACCGACCTTGGCGTCGATCTCGATGAAGTCGCTCATCTGGCTATCTGTGACCTGTTGCAATGCCCGTCCATTGGAGAATTCGAAAGAGATTCTTTCATTTCCGGCTGGCGGAGCGTTTCCACCCCCGATAAACTGTACGATACGATAGCTCGTCAAGCACAATACATCGATATCATCCGAAAGAAACTGGCCAAGGACCCTGCGTACTTTAAACAGGTCTATCGAAATGCCTTTAAACTCGCCAAACCCGAGGGCCAACGAAGTGTGCCGATGGATTCCGCAATCGAGTTCTGGAACATGTTTTTCCGAGAGGGCAAAGGAGGGATTCAATGGAACACGCCGACGACAGAGTGGCTGGACTTGTGGTGTGCACATTACGAAACCCACAGCAAGAGACCGGTCAACAAGGATCTGTGGAACATGGTTTGCGAGTTGGTCCTCAAAACGAGGGAGCCCGGTGGAGAGTCGCTTGAGTGGTGGACTGAAGATGGAGCTTGGCCCATGGCAGTGGATGATTTTGTGGCCTCTGTCAAAGCGAAGAGAAAGTCTGAAGGCGATACTATGGATGTCAGTTGAAAGACTTGTTTGGAGACGGAATGTCGGGGAATGACCAGGGTGTGCTCCATCCTACAGGCCAAACCACCCGAGTGCGAGTGCGACTATGACGGCCGCAAGATGAATGAGAGAACAGGTACTGATGGACGTACAGCCTTTGGGCAGACGAACTTCTCCCTCAATTACCTAGCCAAAGATACCAATTACGGGATGTATGGAGACAAACAGTATGCTACGACATTCGCCTTCTTTCTGGTTTGTACGCAGCTGTCATATCAGGTGACTTTCTTAGTGCGCCCCGACCCCGGACGGCCACGTAGGTTGTGTGCTGTGGGCTGAGCTGCGTATATGTATACAGTTTAACAACATGTGTGAAGGCAAGGAGCTGAGCTGATGTCCAGCTGGAACGAGAGTGTTGTACGGGCGCAGCCTGTCCTGACAAAGGTTGCCGCCTCTTTCACATGATCCTCATTAGCTCATTACCTTCCCATGCCCGGACTGGCGTCTTCCCCACCTACCCCGGACTCAACATATTCACCTTGTGTTCACCAGCCTGCGCTTCCTGTCGCTCCGGAACGTTTGGGGTGCAGCAATAATTCACTCCCTCGTGACAATATGGTATGACACGACTGCGCGCCTCCTACGCATCCATTCCAGTTAGATGCTAGACCGATCTGATCTGCTACGCCGTTCCAGCCTTATCCTCCGCCCCGGGCCCACGCCATGCATGAAAAATGCCGTTACAGTCGCGAGAGGTTGTCACTCTCAGTTTAGTCTTTGATTGTTGGGAAGAGGATGAAGAAGATGCGCCAGTCGTGGTTGAAGAGCCTGAAGTTGCCACCCATATCCTCCTCCTCCCTGCCGAAGTCCGTCTCAAGATCTTGCGCTACCTTTTACGCATCGATGGAAACCGCCAGGCTCATACCCGTCGCCCGCCCACCAGCAGTGTCTCTGAACTTCTGTATCTGAATGCACGTCGCATCCTTGAGGCAGCTGTGTTCAAACACAAAGGCGGCCAAGAGATAAATGGCTCCCTCCCGATCATAAATACATGCACTTTACAGACGACTGTCTTGAAGACATGCAAACAACTTTACCGGGAAGGGACATCGATTCTATACAACGAGAACAAAGTCGTTGGACTGCAATCGGGAATAAAAGGGCTGGGCGCCAAATTCAGAAACTATGGCATCCCAGTCTGGGGTCCATTGCCGGCGTCACGGTTGATCAGCCATTTCTCTGGCGAGGCTGAGATCAAGCAAGCAAAGTTGGACCCGGTCATGCTGTTTAGCAGTCAAAACACCAAATCGGACACACCGTTCTACATCTGCAGTTACAAGGATGCTGCTGATTTCGTGCATGCACTTTGGATCATGATCGAGTGTCCCTTCTCCAAAGGTATGCGGTATAACTTGACTTTGTCAAGTGAGCCGGGCTACCGTCTTGTGAACCGGACTGACGGTTTCGTCAAATACGCTGTCATGCCTTGGCTACACAACCACATCACCTCAATCGATCTTCATCGTCCCGCGTCAAGCAGCGCTCCGGAACACGAGAAGGCGACCAAGTCCGAGGAAGCTGAGAAACGTTTACAGTCTATCCGTCACGAGCACACAAGGCATAAGACTGCGAGCACTGCAGAGCCGAATGTCCACACCTACAATGCCATTTGTACTTACCTGGAGCAAGTGATGCAGCAGGCTGACCTCTGTGTCGATCAGGCGAGCTTCATGAGTGCGGAACTGTTGTACGAACGAGTTTGTTATGAGGCATCCGGCATTGTCCGTACCCGAACCAGTAGACTGGTAGACGTGTCGTCTAAGAGCAGGGAAGGCATCAACCGTGTTTGCAAGCTGATTGCTGTCAGTGCCTACCGACTTTGTGAGCTCCGAAGTGGCTCGCTGACACACAGCATGGCTAGACGTTTAAGAGACCTCATTGCACATCTCTCGGGTAGTGTGCCGGGCGTGGGCGAGGGCGAGCCACAACCCAACTCCGCATCAGAGCACAGCGAGAAGAATGAGGCTACTGACACCAGCCGTGCCAAGCAGACGTCAAATTTGACAACATCGTCCCCGGAGGATTGGAGGACACCGCCGAGTCCGTGGCGCGATGAGCGAATGAAACATACTGTAGCAGCATACGGTCAGTTCAGCGAAGGCCATGAACCAAGACTCGAAATCCCAGAATCTCCATACTCCCGATACACAACAACCCGGCTTGATCCACACCTCGCTCGAGATTTGGCTCTCACAAACGGGCTTCTGGCACTGCGCCTCCCCTGTGCCAGCCCAGTGCCAGAATGGAACATACGTCTAGAAATCATGCTACTTCGACTTTTTGCCGAACGCAATGACGTTCCCAACGCGCTTCTGAGCATTCGTCGCATGCAGACCAATGTCGATCTGGTATGGAATGAAGCTAAACTGAAGAACAGAGCCGGGTCGAGGTGGGAAGCTCTTCGATCGTTGGCAACAGATCTGGCCGAGCAAACAGCACCGGGGGCCAAGACGAAGTGTTTCTTTGAGACTGCAGAACAGGCACAAGATGTTGTTGCTGCGTTGTGGGGCGAGCGCTTGAGACCCAGGAAAGGCTACAACGGACTCATCTGGACCTTCAGATGGGCAGGTTAGAGGCGAGCAGGGAAGGGAGTTGATGTGGGCTTGCGTTTGTCATTTCCAGGCGCTGAACAGTTATTCAAAGGATCAATCAATGGTGACGACCGGTATGGCTTCATGATGGAATGAAAGTTATGTCCTACGAGGGACAATTGCCGCAACCAGCTCCAGTCTCATGACAGAATGGAGCGAACCCGGCTTCATGACGCAGATCAGAATGATTCACTTCGTGGTGGTGGAAAATACATGAACTATCCTAAAGCGGGCCCTTTCTTGTTCCCTAACTGATTGACATCACAGTCTCGGTGGTCTTTGCTCCAGCTTTTCTCAATGTTCTGGAATGTGATGACCTTCTCTTGCGTGTGTTCCGGAAAACAAGGACTGCTAGAGCCCCTCTGCCCCCATCCCCATCCCCGTCCCCGTCCCCGTCCCCGTCTCCGTCCCCGTCGCCCACAGGCATTTTGTTCATTGGATGCACATGTGTGCCAAGTGATTGGGCAGCCTTACGCAAAGGGATCTCGGCGAGGAAGGTTGTATCGACTGCGCCTGTGAACTTCCCGGTGTCCTGTTCTTGGTCACTGAACACACAGGCTCGTGACTGTGCCTTTGCTTTCATGTAGTATGCACCTGTGTCTTCTTTTTGCTTTCCTCTTTCCTCGCAGAGGAGATACCCTGTCGCTCGGAGTGAAAAGTGATATCCGCAGTACTCAGCCAACGGTTTGATTCTACCGATGCTTTGGGCCATCCGTCCCTTCAAACCCTAGCATAGCTTACTGCCGTAGAGCGTAGAAAACAGGTGGGACTCGGGCCAGCTAAGCATGAGTGAAAGTGCTTCGTAGATCGGATCAACAGCAAGTTCGTTTCAGGCTACGAGGCACAGGTCTCATCGGACAGATAGCCTCAACTCTCATGTAGCCTTGGGTAGAGGAGCAGTGTTGCCGAAGCCTCTCGTCATGATTCTCTCGAACCGGCTTTCGGTCTTGCTGAAAAAGCCTCTGTAATCTCGACCTGGCATGGCCGGATTGCGCCAGCCGTTCCGGCACCATATACTCCAGCTACCCATTTCCCGGGCCAAGAGCACATCGGTAGCTAGCCTGTCCCCGACAACGACAATTTCCCTTGGGTTATCCGTGACTCCGTGGTCCTTGAAATACTTCAATATATCAGGGCCGCAGAAAGGTTTCTTGCGGTCGGGGTGCTGTCTCAAGACAGGGAGTCCAAGCTCTAGCTCCAATTGCTTCGCTTCGGCCTCATGCTCGGGTGCCGGACTGCTCCCTGCAGTGTTGGAGACAATGAGGATGCTGTGAGCGCTGTGAGAGAATTCGGTGCACTCCTTGACCTTCTCGATCTTGTTGATGTATGCCTGATGCAACTTGGCCGTCTCAGGAGGGCAGAGGGTATTGTCTTTATCCAGGACCAGGGCTCTTATTGTAGGTTTTCGCCCCGTACCATCGAGCGAGGGGAGAGAAGGACCAAGAGGCAGTGGTAGCGAAAGCAGCGTTGGGATCGTTTGATGCGGAAGCAGACTCGAGGGGTCGTGGAAGGCGTAAGCAAGCGTCAGTCGGAGCGCGGGAACATTGGAAAAGAGAGGCATGTCAGTCTAGACCAACGTGCCCTCTGGGTCGACGGGGCAGCAAGTATAAACGCAGGATGGCGAGAGGCTGAGCTGATGTGTACCTAATTACTGTATGGACTAGAATCCCCAGATTGGAGGTTAGGCCTTAGTCGGCCGGAGATAACTACGGAGATAACTTCGCAGCCTCAGAATGGATTTTCGCAGCCCGCGCAATTCGGAATTGATGTGTTCCAACTCTGCTGCGAGGAACAAACGCGACACCGCCAAAACTGCACACCCCTCCATCCTCGATAACAACAGCGCACTCGTCCATTTCCCTCTCATTCTGTCTGCATCGATTGTCTGCAGTCCCTGTCAACCGATCCTAGCGCACCATGGGCAAACTCACGTCAACCATCGGCATCCCGATCAAGCTGCTCAACGAGGCGCAGGTAAGCTACTCTGCAATGTGTTACTGTCACAGCAACTCGGTAACTGACCCTGCGTGTAGGGACATGTCGTCACCTTGGAACTCACCTCTGGCCAGGTATACCGCGGCAAACTTCTTGAAGGTATGATATGATACACCACAACACTATTCTATGCGCCACCAAACTTGAGCCACTCTGCTCTCGAACTTTACTTGTCTTCACAGCTACTGACCGTGCTCTCTTACAGCCGAGGACAACATGAACGTCCAACTCAAAGATATCACAGCTACGGCTCGAGACGGCCGTGTATCGCATCTGGATCAAGTCTACATTCGAGGCAGTCATGTGCGATTCTTCATCGTCCCCGACATGTTACGAAACGCGCCTATGTTCAGATCTCGGGGTACGAGGGGTCGCGGTGTGGGTTTGGCGAGAGGAAGGGCTACGGTCAATCGGGCAAGAGCTGGAAGGAGAAACTAAAAAAAAAGATTCGAGAGGATATTGACAAAATCCAAAAAGAAATCGCCGATTACATTATCAGACGTTAACCGACAGCGCCGATACTCTGGCATCCAGCGAACGAGGCAGTCGGCTTTTAGACCAGACTAGCGGCAAAGCGTCGAGGTTGGCGAGGCGGGGGATCAGACGGAGGATCAAGCGGAGGATCAGGCGGAAGACGCAATGATACCCTGAACAATTTAGATCAAGATGCCTTCAAATGCGAGGTGGGAGCAAGCATAAATGTAGAGCGACCGTATCCTGGCGTCAAAACAGAAGGAAAGAACAGAGTATCTGTCTTCACAGAAAATGGATACTACTACTACGACGAGGCTACTACTACGAGGGGACTGGAAGCCTCGCCTGCCAAGGCCAGATATCGAAATGAAAACATGCTTACCACATGCAATGGCTCGTAGTACCTTTTAGTATCTAAAGTTCCTAATCTTCTTGAACGAACTCTCTCCGTCTTCGATTGAGCAGTCTCTTGAACGAAGACAAAGCGGAAGCGAGTGCGGAGGACACTACAGCGTGGCCAGTAGACCGCCAGACAGCCGAACACCCAGGCGGCGGAATCATCATGGCTGTTCCACCACCGGCACAATCATCATCCCTCCGCCTGCTTGTGCTTGCCCCCTCCTCAGAGGCTGCTACTATACCGCCGTTCCCGGCTTTGTTAGAGGCCATTACCGGGGCGAAGCCCTCGACCGAAGTCACCTCATTCGCGGGCTACACGTCGCATCCACCACTTCCGTTGAGAACAAAGTACTATAGTTCCGACGTGACTATCTGGTGCGACGAACTACCGGCTGTGGCAGTGTCAACCCCCCAAAATAATGCACACGAGACCGTCCTTGTGGACAAAAGCTGCAACCCTGTTCCACTCGGCGTAGGCATTCCAGAAGATCCATCGACGGATCTGTCCAAACAAGTCGAAGTCCCCGAAACCGATGAAGACCACACTCCTTCAACGCTCGATGAATGGAAAGAGCAGATGCTCTCCCCCGCGGCCTCGGAAGTCCGCGCCGTCATTGGCGGCATTGTACTTGTCCTGCCTATCTCTTCACGCTCGTCATCGTTAATCCTCGACTCTTACTATTCGCTCATTGAGGCCATTCATGCCCTAAGGGAGGCCGTCGAGGAGGAAAGCTATGGGCGTGATGTTGCCTCGATCGTGGTCCTACAGCCTACGTCACCCACAGTCTCACCGGGAATACTGGCTAGTACTGCAGAACAGATCGAAGATGCTTGCTTGTCCGACAGGGGAATCCTAGGGTGGGACTTCGTTGCATGGGATGGCGAAGTGCAAAAGCCCGGGAAGACAGCCGACCAAGCGGATGTCAGAAACGAGTATGGCGAGAAAACGGGAATAAGAAGAGTCATTGAAGTGCTAGAGGGCATCGACTGGTCTGCAGCGCCGAGTTTCGGTGATCTCGAAGATATCGGAGCAGTCGACTTTGACAAGTTGGGTGCTGGCGAAGAGGCATCTTCAGCGATAGACACCTTGGCCAACGGAAGTTTCTTCGATCTCGATTATGAATTGCAGCAGGAAATGATGGAGCTGAAGATGTCCATGCTCGACCAGGAGACGCTGGAAGATGGTGAACCTGCAATGAAGATGTCCAGACCCGACCATGAACCACAAGATGGAGACGAGAATGCAAGCCTAGTGAATGCCGACTCCGACGCCGACGCCGAGGTGGAGGATGAAGATGAGCTGCAGGTCGAAGAGCTGCAGGGGCTGATGGAGCGAGTCGTTGCTATCCGGGAGACTGCCTCCGAGATGCCCAAGGGCGAAAGAGAGAGATTTGCCAAAAGGGAGATTGCGAAAATCATGCTAGACATGGGCTAAGAGCATGCTCTGGGATAGTTTCTTGGTGTTGGTCCCTGTTGAACACAGACTCTCTCCCATCTCTCAGGTCAGCACTGCAGAGAAAAGCTAGCCAATGTGTTGCTGCTCATGTCGCAGGAACTTCTGTGCGCGGTGCTGCGAATGCATGCTGAAGGATCCACAACTCCCTCCATTCGCTCTCTTCGCCCTGGAAGTCCTGTAGAACAGTGATTGAGAATCTCCATCGGAGGTCGTAGGGTGAACTAGCTCGGCTACTTGGGCCAGCCTGAATGAGGGAGTAGTGTTATCCAGTTCGAGTGCGCTGGATACTCATGATTGCCCATAACAGTAGTCAACCGTCTGGGTCGTCAAACGATAGCTTGATCTTCTTCCCTTTCTTCTTCGCAGCACCTGACTCTTTCTTCTTGGTCGGCTTGGTTTCACTCTGTGCGGGCTTTGAGCGTGCAATTTGCTTTGCATCACTTGCAGTACTGTCGGCTCCGTCATTAGCCTCGCCCTCGGCCTCGTCTTCGGCCCCCACGACTTTCCCAGCCTTCCTCTTCTTCAAGTTCCCTGAAACCCCTATCTCCGTGACCTTCTGCCTCTCGTTTGCTCTCTCCCTTTCTCCATCTCCCTTGACGTCGGTCTCGGTTGCGGCTGCGGCTTCCTCAGTCCCAGCTAGCTCAGTAGCAGTGTTGCCTTCCTTCACCCTCCGCTCAAATTCTTCCTTGTCAACCCGCTCACCTTGCTCGTCTACAATCACGGGGTCATCATCATCATCGCCGGTCTTCAATCTGTCCTTCTTTGGACGGGCAATCTGAATGTTGTGTCTTCCATCGACGCCGCCAACCTCTCCTCTTAGCTTGCGGAGGAAGGCAGGCTCCTGCTTGTTGTATTCAAGATTCTTAGCGTTAAAAGCCATACCAGTGGTTTGTTATATCCTTCTAAATCTCAGCGAAAGCCTCATCTTTAAGATTGAGGGATCGGTGGTTATTCGGACTAGCTCGAAAAATGAGCGAGTACCGCCGCTTTTAGAGCAACTCAGGAGAAGGCTGGTTTGAATGCAGCATATGTTCAAGGTATTTGGCCCTTCTATATCTAATTTCCAGTGTCATCTTCATAGCCTGGGCTGTACTGTGACCCATAAACCCTCTCCGGTGGCATAAATTTCGCCGGTGCCACTTTCCAAAGTCCCATGAACCCAGGTCTTCCTCCCTTCCTCTTTGTAGATCCATGAGCGCGCCAGGATGGTGGACGGGGTGGTGATAGGCTTCTTATACGTGATGCTCAGAGAGACGGTGTATGTCGATCTTATGGCGGGCTTGTCTTGAACAGTGATCCTGCCCATGGTGCTATCGAGGATGGTGGCGCTGACACCACCATGCAGCAGGTTCGGATGGGCGTTGAGGCCGGTTCCGAAGGTGTAGAGCCTGCGAAGCTCGGCGGGCTGGCCAGTCGAGTCGTCGCGTGGCCGGTACATGGAAATGAGTTCTTTGATGGTTTTGTCTGTGTTCCAGGTCTCCGCCATCAGGGAGTGACCGTTGCCATCCTGTATCAGTGTTCGAGACAGGCTCACGATGCGGAACGACGGGTCCGACAGATGGCTGGCGCACCATGGTATCGCTTTGAAGTGGTCGAGAGTTGACTGCGGCACTGCCTCTTCATCTTGAGCCATTTCCTTTCACACCGCAGATGACTGTACCGTTTACACTGGAGAAATCATTCTGAATCCTTGCGCTAACGTGGTGGTGATCGGTGACTGTGGTGCTATGAGCTTCCGACTCACCTGTTCGTCTGATTTAGTTCTTCTAGCGCAAGCTGGAGAAGGGAGTCCACGGTTATCATATGGTCAATCCATGTGTCTTGGTGATTACTGTCCGATTACCTCGGCTTATAGGATGCTCTTCTCGAGAGTGATGTTCCAGGAGAATGAGACAGTGTGCCGCCGCTTTTACACGACTCTAACATACCCGCAGCTATCTCCACGTGATGATAAGCCATACAACCCCTGCCATCTTGCGATTGTGGCCTCGTTCATCCCGCCTCCTGAACACTCATATCGAGAGATTTCTTCGCTCGCTTGCAACAGTCGCGACATAATGTCGAGCTGACACGAACTGCAATCATATAAATGCTGTGGCCCCCTGCGCCCGCGCAATGTGCGCGAGGCTACATCAGAACCTCCCAGAAATTCCGAATACGCCAGGCATATGCACTCCGAGCGGCCGCTATCCTGCGACGACACCATTCAAGCGAAACTGATCAGCACCGTCCCTCAGATACCGCCGGGCAAGCAAAGTTGGCGAGGGACGCACGTCCCAGGTACAATGATATTGGTGTGCAGCAGTTGAGCGACCATCTCCATCCGCAAGTCTTCCCCCAAGGTGCGACGAGGCCACGGCCGGATTTGGTTGAACTGTCCAAAGATCACCTTCGACGTCACGAGCTGTTGGGGAAGAATCAAGATGACACACCAGCAATCGGGCTCGATGTGCCGCCACTGCATGGAACCAGCCTGGACGAGCACTTCACGAAGCTGGGTCTAGATGCATCAGAGCCGTACCTGTCCTATGGCAAGGCGTTTGTGAGAGCAAACACCCCCCAACGCCCCAGAAAATGGGTGTCAAAGAGCGGCTGGACGAAATACAATTCTGATATGACAACGGAAGAGGTGGATGCGCCTGATGAGACCATGCTCTCATTTGATGTGGAAACGATGTGGAAGGAAACACCATTCGCAGTCATGGCCACTGCTGCAAGTCCAACCGCCTGGTATGCGTGGATATCACCTTGGTTGCTAGGCGAGACAAATAATCCAAGACAACTCATTCCCTTGGGCGATCCGACCAAGCCACGAATTGTCGTCGGACACAACATTGGGTACGACAGAGCACGTGTTAAAGAGGAATATGACTTGAAGCAATCGCGGAACTTTTTTATCGACACAATGTCTCTGCATGTGGCGGTCAATGGCATGTGCTCACGACAGCGTCCAACCTGGATGAAGCACAAGAAGAACCGAGATCTACGAGACAAAATGTCTGGTGACCACAGCTCAATCGAGTTACAAACAATGCTCGAGAACAAGATGCTGAGCGAGGAAGAGGAGGAACTTTGGGTTGCAAGAAGCTCCATCAACTCCCTGCGTGATGTTGCAAAATTCCATTGTGGCGTCACCATCGACAAGAACCAGAGAAACTATTTCGGGGAACTAGATCGGGATGGCATCTGCGAGAGACTCGAGGAACTCTTAGACTACTGTGCCGCAGATGTCGCCATCACACATCGAGTTTTTCAAAGGGTCTTTCCTAATTTCCTGGAGACATGTCCCCACCCTGTCAGCTTTGCTGCCCTCCGGCACTTGTCGTCCGTCATTTTGCCTGTCGACAAATCTTGGGACGAATACCTTGAAAGAGCCGAGAAGACGTATCAGCGAAGATTGGAAGCTGTCGAAAAGAGACTAGTCGAACTATCGGAAGCAGCTTTGGAAGTCAAAGCACAGCCGGAGGTGTACAGCAATGATCCGTGGTTATGTCAGCTGGACTGGTCGGGCCAGGAAATCAAGTATAAGAAGACCAAAAAGAAGGGTGAAGAGCCTGTGCCGTTTGCTCGCCAGAAGAAGCCTGGCGCTCCAAACTGGTACAAAGATCTATTCACTTCCAATACCTCTCCGATTAACTTGACGGTCCGAACAAGGATTGCTCCTCTGTTGTTGAAGCTTTCCTGGGACGGTTGTCCCCTGGTCTGGTCTGACAAGCATGGGTGGACTTTTCGAGTACCTCATAAAGAGGCTGGAAAATATGAGAACAGCAATGTTGTCAGCTGCGACATGTCTGAAGAAGCCAATCCGACCCTCAAATCCGATTACCACCATATCTACTTCAAACTCCCACACAAAGATGGCCCGACTGCCCGTTGTGCTTCTCCATTGGCAAAGGGATATCTCCAGTACTTCGAGTCCGGCGTTTTGTCCTCTCAGTACGCCCTTGCGAGAGAGGCATTGGAGATGAACGCTTCATGCTCCTACTGGATTTCGGCCCGAGACAGGATCACTTCTCAAATGGTTGTCAGAGAAGCCGACCGAGACCCAAGCTTGGCTGGAACATCAGATCAAGGATTTATTCTTCCCCAGGTCATACCCATGGGCACCATCACGCGACGAGCAGTAGAGAATACTTGGCTCACCGCATCAAACGCCAAACCGAACAGGGTGGGTTCGGAGCTGAAGGCCATGGTCAAAGCACCTCCTGGGTACTGCTTCGTTGGCGCCGATGTTGACAGCGAAGAACTCTGGATTGCATCTCTTGTGGGCGATGCCCAATTCCAGATTCACGGCGGGAACGCGATAGGTTTCATGACCCTGGAAGGCACCAAGGCCGCAGGGACCGATCTTCACTCCAAGACGGCAAAGATCCTTGGAACCTCGCGTAATGATGCCAAAGTGTTTAATTATGGGCGTATCTATGGTGCCGGTCTCAAATTTGCGGCAACGCTCCTCCGGCAATTCAATCCTACTCTTTCTGAAACGCAGTCGAACCTGATTGCCATGAAACTCTACAAGGAGACCAAGGGCACACGCACGCGACGCAAAGCCTTCGGGAATGGTTCCTTCTGGAGAGGAGGCACCGAGTCGTTTGTTTTCAACAAACTCGAGGAGTTTGCCGAGCAAGAGCGTCCTCGTACGCCCGTGCTGGGTGCGGGCATCACGGAAGCTCTCATGCGGCGATTCATCAACCAAGGCTCATTCATGACCTCGCGTATCAACTGGGCCATTCAATCGTCAGGGGTGGACTATCTGCATCTGCTTATTATCAGCATGGACTACTTGGTCCGTCGATTCAACCTCGATGCACGCCTGGCCATCACCGTGCACGATGAGATCAGGTATCTGGTCAGGCATGAGGACCGGTACCGAGCAGCTTTGGCACTGCAGATCAGCAACCTCTGGACCCGGGCGATGTTCAGCCAGCAGATGGGCATCGATGACCTTCCTCAAGCCTGCGCATTTTTCTCCGCCGTGGACATCGACCATGTCCTACGCAAAGAAGTCGACATGGACTGCGTGACGCCCAGCCACCCCGAGAAGATTCCTCATGGAGAGAGCCTGGATATCAACCAACTACTTGCCAAAGGAGACGAGGCGTTCTTAGACCCTAATACCTTCCCCCGAGACGGCCTAATCGATTTGGACAAGTATATCTACACGCCACGACAAAGCGTCATGTCAACCCTAGGCGGCTCAGGCGACGTGAACTACATTCGGGCCCAAATTACCGATGACGAGAAGGAACTGAAGGCCATCATAAAAGACAGTGAAAAAGAATCCGCTTCACCATTACCCGAGACACCATCATCCTCGTCCTCCTCCAAAACTTCAACATCCACGGCCCCAACTACCAGGAAGCAGGGCGGGATCATCAAGAGCTCGGCGGCAACGGGCCTCCCACGAGGTCGACGCCCAAAACCCAAAGTCCCGATCCCGCCTCACGCGCAACCGCAACGTGCCGTACTCATGGAGGTTGAGGACCGATGGGACATGGGCTACAAGAAAGCATTCGCCTCCGCCAGCACCGGCGCCACAGCGACGACTCATAAGCCATGGCTGACGGAGAAGAAGTCGGCATGGTCGAGTCGCTGGGCGAATGATGGGTGGGAGGTATGAGGTTGCCTATGCATGGCGTAGCTGTTTCTCGGCCCTCAAATGACTCCGTTGGCAGAGGTAGTCTACTATGTGGGACGGCCCCAGGTTCAGCTGTGCGCGTCGAGACTGATCCTACTTGCCATGATGTGACTCGCTGTTCCATTTGTGTCTTTTGCCGGGGAGATGTAAGAACATGCATGTATGTATTGGATTTGTCTTTTTTTCCGGAATGTAAGAATATGCATTTTACGTATTGGAATGTATTGGAATATTGGATGATCATGTACTACCTTGTCGTTTCCTGCTATGTTCGCCCTGTCAGACCAGGCTGGCCAGTCTAGTTCAACCGTTCTATATACTGTACCGTTTGAGCTGAATGGCAGACTATGCAGCGCTGAATTCCATGTGAGTGGCTGAATATAACCAACCATCAGATTGGATTGGATTGGATTAGATTGGATCGGAGCAGAACAGAGCAGAACAGAGTAGACTAGACCGAATTCAACGGTATGCCTGGTGCCTGCCTCTTGTCGTGCCGTGTCGTGTCATGTCCTGTCCTGTCGTGTTCTGTCCTGCCCGTTCCGTCGCTAGATATGCTTATTACTATAAAGTATACATCTGCATAAGTACACCGTATATGTACGGACATGCAGTACGTACATGTACATTATGTCCGTAATCTATCGAACCAAACGTTTCTCTTCTGAAGGTATGACGCTAATATAGATAATATATAGGTATGGTCTGTTCTGTTCTGTTCTATTTCTGCTCTGTTTCTGTTCTATTTCTGTCCAGTGGCACTATATATGGACTATATTGGCTCTGTCGTCGCCCCTGGAATATATATTGTCTCTGTCATCGCCGATAGAATATATATATATATATATACATATACTATGGACACTGAGTCTGTCCTTATAGTAAGTAAGTGTAGAGAGAGCTTACCGATCTTCCGTATACTCTGACCATATTATTCGGAATCTCAGTATACAGCTGTTGAATGTCCGTTGTATGTATGCATGACTCTAAACCTGTCAAATCAAATCAAATGGGCTGCAGAAAGTCTCGCTTGCTTGCTTGCTTGCTCGCTCGCTTGCTAATTGGAGAATTGGAGAACAACTATATAGAAGAACGCAGAAGGGGAGAATAGAATAGAGGAGAAGAGAAGAGAAAACTCAGCAAGTGGTCAGAATTCGTCAAGTCGTCTAGATAGAATAGAAAGAAAAGACAAGGCAACAGAACAGTAAGAACGTCAATCATTGGGCTGCATCATCTGCCGTCCACTCGCTTTTGGAACATCATTTCTGTCCCCTCCATCACCATACCATACACCGTCCTCGATTGGACAAGGTCAGATCCCATCGTCGCTCGTACAAGCATATCGACACCATCACCATCACCATCACAGGGTTTCTTAAGCATAGGCAGCCCACCCACAATACAAAACCGCAAGGTTCCTCTCATCCGTGGCCTGGCGAATGAGTTCGTTGACAGTGGCCTCGACGCTGAGAGACTTGCTGAGTTTCTTCGCCACCACGGTGAGCGCGCGGTCTGCCTCGCTCGGTTCGCCGATTGCGTCCCGTTTGGCCCCGTCGCCTGGGTTCAAGATACCTGTGGCGGCCGGCCCGTCGGCTTGCGCATGGTTCTCCTGCATCTTTTGCAGCCGCAAAGGCGAGATCGACCACGTGTACAGCGGATCATAGCGTAGAACGTCGAGGATGGTCATGATGGCTTCCTGGTCACGGCGTAGTGCATCGAGCGTGAAGTTGCAGCATCGCCGGAAGACTCCCTCGACGCCCGTCAAGCCCATGCCGTCCACCAGATCTCTAGTCAGGCGGAACGGCACCACCTCCGGCACCGGCAGCACGCGGCCCGCTTCGAACGCGACGCCCAGGTCGATATGCACTACTTCCCCGGACTTCTCGTCCAAAAGTATATTGTGGCCGTGCCGATCGCCCAAGCCAAGGACATGACCTAGGATGCTCACTGCCGCAGTGGACCGGCTGTAGTTGAGACGCTTGTAGAACCAGTCATCCGGATCTGGGAAGTGCTCCATGAAGAAGAAGCGCATGACCGGATGAAAGTTGGCAACCACCGTCCGATAGGCGCGGACGCGTTGGTCGAGCGGCTTGTTCTGTGCCTCTGCGATCTCCTTTCTGCACCGGTTCGGCTTGTAGTCTTTCGGAAAGTAGCGAGGGTGTGCAGGCAGGAGGAAGTCGTGCAGCGGGACCGTGTCTTTGACGAACTCGATGATACCCGCGTTTGTATTAAGAGGGATGACCTTGTACGTACGAATGCCCAGGTTTCGTTGTCGAGTGGCACGATGGTCTTTGAGAAGATTCGACACCTGCTCGAACACTTGCTCCATGATCGCGTCTTGACGCAGGTCGTCATTTCCACCCTTCAACAGCATCTTGTGCCGCGACCCGTCGGATGCGATCATGGTGACGATTTTAGGCGCCGAGACTCCCCCAGCAATAGAGATCATAGGGTCGAACTTACTGAACACCGGAACTGCCGAATAGTCACGGTCCGGTCGCAGCGGGATGTTCATTGTTGGCGGAGGAACCTTGACAGATGAAGTGCTCAGGATTTGTTCAAGCTTCTGAGCCGACGGCAGCTTTCGCAACTGGAACTTGGATCCTGTTCTGAGTTCTTTGTCCGATGGCTTGTCCTGGATTACCCTGTACAAGGAAATGCTGCAGTTGTGGATGGCCACCCAGATTGTTGTAGACACGCTCTTCTTGTTGACGAGGTCGGCAAGTTTGTTCGCTGCCGCATTCCGAGAGAGAGCCACCTCGTCTGCCCTCGAAGCCTTGCTCTTGCTCGCGGCAAACACTTGGTACAGGCTGTGGTATGGGTGATCCGAACAGATTCGAAACATGAGCTCCATCAGCAACTGCTGGAAATCGTCCTGTATGTCTAACAAGCGAGAAGACAGCTGATTGACTAGCGGAGCAAACTTGTAAGACGGAACCGTGCTCAGATGCTTGCGGACCGACTTGTTGGCTGCTTCGCTGTCTGCCTGATTGAGCCACAGGGCCAAAAAGCGAAGAGTGTCGTTGGGATACTCGTCAGAGGCTCTCATGGAGAGAAGATAGTTTTCCAAGCACTGAAGAATCAGTGTCTGCCGATTTTGCGACACCCTTTCGTACTCCTGGTCGTCGAGCTTGAACCACTCCTTTGCCCGGGTCAGGTGGGACTTGAGTTGCTTCTGCTGCCTTTCATCCCCGTTCCTGTGCATGCGTTCCAGTTCGTGAATGTCGCGCATTTTCCGATCCCGGATCTTGCTGATGCGGGTGAAATCGTCCAAGTTGTCAGGGTCTTGCAGCTGCATGTCGCAGAAAGCAGCAAAGTTGTGGGAAACTCTCCCGGCCTCGGGTCCAACGACGCGGCCGTGAAGTTCCTTGAAAGCAGGTAACAGGTAGCCGTCTATGATCTCGTCTGGCTTCTCAAGCCGCGCTTCCGCCACTTTATGTCCTAGATCGGTCAGAAGATCGGCTTTGGTGACGCTGATGGCTTGCTTAGCCATGTCATTGCGTTGCTTGAGGTTCTGGAGAAGTCCGATGCTCGCGGACACTTCGTTCTGGGCCCAGAACGTCCTTGCAAGATCGTATTGAACGGCGATGTCGACTTTCAGGCCTGCTTCGGCAGCCAGTTGGCTGAGCTGGGTCAGATAGATGGTACGATTCAAACCAAACTGAGGTACTTCGTAGTTTGAAGCCATTTGCAGAGACTGACGTGCGACTCTGATTTCAAACAGCAGAGCTTCGGGGAAGCCGACTGACAGTGTAGTCTGGAGGCTGGCATTTTTGCGGATGGCCGTGAAGGCACTTTCTCTCCCAACCAGGATCGGGGACAATTTTTCGAATCTGTCATGGTCAGCGAATGTCTTCGTAGAGCGAATCCAGTCTTACACGGCGAATTTGGTCTTCTCGTTTCTTGCCTCTATTGCACTTATGATTGTCTCCAGGCTTTTCGCCGTCGATGCCCCAACAGTCTGCTTCACCTCGGCAAGGACTGCCATATGGGAGAGCAGTTTACTTGTCAAGTCCTTGTCGACGAGCTCCGTGGTCATCAGATCCACGACCTCAAGTAAAGACCGATCCAACTCTTGACCTAGGGCTGCTGTATTCGGGGTGCTAAGCATGCCGGAGAGCAAATCTGGCACGCTCGTCGGATATCCGACAGGCTCCTTCCTGGGTAAGACGTCCCATCGTTCCCCAGTCAGCTGTGACATATTGCCCAGCCCTTCATAATACTGGCGTACAGCTTCAGAAATCCCTTGCATATTCGCAGTGCTCAAAGTCGAGGCGGTTCTTTGTGCAACAGTGCTGAAATCTGAATCCTGGTCACTCATTCGTAGTTGTGAGTCAAGCATCGCACTTTGAAAAGATAACGACTTCTGGCTGGCACCTTCATGGGTCAACTTGTGAACAACGGACTGCAGATCAAACTCTTCATGTTTGCCGTAGAAAAAATCGGGGTCATCGACATTCTCGTAAATCCTGGATACCACCTCGAGGGGTACAGACTCTGTCATGTTCATCGATCTGCGAGAGGAGCGTCCTGTTTGAAGTTGAGCTTGAGAATTCTGCAACTCAAGGAAGAGCAGGGCTTCGTGCCACATCTGACAATTAGCAGCGGCGATTGCTGCTTCACCAAAGTCAATGTCAAGCCACAGATTCCGCTGAGCGTTATTGTCTTCATTAGGAATCTTGCACTCTCGCAAATACAAGATTGTCCTGAGTATCAACTGCTGAGCCTGTTTTGTTGACTGTCCTTCCATACAAAGAGCCTGGGAAAAGCTTTGTGACAGGCTCTCCTTGAAGGCCTGAGCCCTATGGAGCTCACTGTGCAAGGCAATGTGGACGGCATAGGGGAACAGTATATCAACGCAATCCGGGATCGCCGCAATGAGAGGATCGACAAAGGCTAAGACAGGGTCGTCGGCCGATTCCTGACATATCCTTTGAAGCAGTACGGCAGCCCATTTCCGAGGCTGGTCGCTCAGGAGTATGCTGCTCGGAGTGTCAAGACCCTTTTCAAGCGCGAGATATGAAGAAGCCCGAATGGGAGGACAAGGGAAGGTATGGAATCGCAGTCCATTCACCAAATTCCGGTCGAACGCCGGGTCAAGCAAAGCTTGCTCAGTCGCAGGGTTGAGCGAACTGAAGATAAGCTGTAAAGTGCTTTCAGCAACGGTTGAGGTGGTGAAGTCTGCCTTCCACAGCAGGTCTGAGAGATATCGCACAATCCCTGTATAAGAAGCCATTGCATCCAGATCGTGACCCGTCAAAGATACCATTGACTGGCCAGCTCTAAGAATTTCATTTATATTCAAGTGCAGTCCACGGGTAATGTAACCTCGCCCGATTCCTTGAGCAGCCCAGATGCGGAAGGCCTCGTCCAAAGGGAGCCTCTTCAGTATTGAAATCAAAGTAGGAGAGAATCGAGCTGCTTCTAGATCGTCACCAAGAATGTCGTCTTGGGCATCTGCCGAAAGTGAAAAGTTGCGGCAGAGTATCTGTATGGAGAGATCAAAATGCAGATCGCTCAGCAACGGATGTTCACTGCTTCGGTCTGAGAGAAGCGCTCGAAGCAGACTCCCTTCGCTTGTACTTAGGGCGCTGTTTCCAGCCTGCGAAATAGCTTTGGCGTCCTGCACAACCTGTCTAAACGTCACCAGGGCATCTTTAGTTGCATCGTGGGGATCGAAGGCCTCGAGATATTGACCTAAAAAGTCTCGAAACTCCTGTGCCTTGGTCATTGTCGCCAGAAAGTGGCTCTCTTGTGTAGTGCTATCCTGAGGCGAAGCGATGAACCCTGTCAAAGAGGCAAAGGTAGCTACGCCCAGGCCTGCCGTGAAAGAGATACGGCCGCGGAGATGTGGCGCCCCATGGAGTAGTAGGTAGCGATATATGCCCATTGCGTCTTCAGCGCAGTCGAACACGGTCAAATAAGGCCGTAGATTGTCAAGTAGCATTTCCAATGGGTACCCAGCCAAGGCTATCGACCCTGCCAGGCTGACTACTATCCTGAGCTTCCGGATGATGTTGCAGATATGCAAAGGCCCAAAAGCGGGCCTTGCCTTGTCAAGCAACTGTCGGTAGACATGGACCAATAATGCAGAAGACCAGAGCTCACTCGGCTGGAGATCCAGTCGTAGGCAGATGTAGTTGACCTCGTCCAGAAGGCACCTTGCCCGGAAACAGGGCTGCTGAGAAAGAGGTAGCTGCACGTCCTGAGAAGAACAACTGGCCATTTCCTTCCACGCGGCAAGTACATCCGTTTGTTGGCTCTTTTCAAAGGCCTTGTCAATGCCCCGGTCGTCTTTGAGCGATATGATGAGGCGGGCGATGATATCCGGAAGGGCTGAGCGAAGCAGCTGCAAATAGCGGTCAGCTCCCAGTTGCTTCCTCACCAGCTTCTCGGACCCGTCATACAGACGGTCTTGGTTTGGTAGGCTGGTCTCCGACGAGAGAGTGTACGCTTCGACGTAAGCAAACTCCTCAATTAGCAACGAATTCCAGTCCTGTCCAACCAGTCGTGTCAGCTCTTCAGCATGACTGAACCCGCGCAGTGCAATCTGTCCCGTGAGCTCGGAAATGTTGTCACGGGCCATTTCGCTCAATGTATCATATCCAAACGCGCGGAAAGGCATGCGGGACAGCGTCTCTTTCGATAGCCAGGTATAAAAGATCTGAGGCGAGAAAAACTTGAAAAGTCGACTGGGATGCTCAATGTGGAGTTTTTTGCAGGTAGAGTCGATGCAACCACGCGCGAGTGATGTAGTAGAAGGGACATTGGCGACCGTCTCGAACAAATGGTAAGTTGCTCGTCGCAACACTGTATGCCATCGAGAGCCAAGGTGCGCAATTGTATACAGGCGCACTGCGATGCCTTCTTTGTTGTCTGGATCAGCGGGCAGATTTTCAACAATATCGTCAAAGATGGCCTCATGCTGGTCGAGAACATACTTCTCGAAAATGTGAGACAACTTCTCTGTCATGCGATACTTGCTTGAGGAATCGCTGACTTGGAGGGTTTTCAGAAGGCTTGTTCTGGGAGACGGCAAATCTTCGCCTCCATAAGACGGATTTACTCGCATCAGAACATCCAGCAGTTCCACCATTGTAGAAAGCACTTTTGGCGATGCAATGTTTCTGCCCAAGACAGTGTTGAGGAACCATTCATAGATATCAAAGGCAACTGCAGCCAAGTCGTCGTCTTCGTCGTCTGGCGCCCAGAGATCCACAAGCCCACGCAGTACGTTCAAACAGAAGCATTGCACGGACTCGCACCTTTCGTAGGCCTCTTCTGCGAGGTACAACTTTGCAAGTCTCGTCAGAAGTCGATGAGCGTCCACCCGTGTAATCCCTGTCTTCAAATTGAGAAAGTCCTGGACGGCCCCACGCGCAGCGATGAGCGATATCGGGTCGAGTGCCACGATCTCATCGACGACCTGCGCAGCGGCCGCAGGGTCGAACGCTCTGTGCGATTTCACTGCTTGCAGAATAGTAGTTAACTCAACCGTATGTTTCGCCAGAAGGGCTGCAAAATCCTGACAGAGGGGGAGGTCGACCCTTAAGACATTAGCAACAATGCTGGTTTGACTCCTTCTAGACACTGGAGATGCTATTGTCTCCCACTCTGAGAGGTCCTGATCGGACGGTTCTGCTGAGGCGCCGGGTGGCAAGAAACGTCTAGTTAGCTGCAACGCCGACTCTATGATGGACCGATATTCGTCGGAATCCACTTCGACCTCTGCTCGGTCCAGTTGGCGATGAAGGTTCACGATATAACCACATATTCGGGCAGCCATGTATTGAGAGGTGCTGTCGGTTTCCTGGAGTATGAAATCTATGACAAGTTTGCGGCTCTCAGACCAAAGTGTGGGGGGATTCGCTTCACTTTCAGCCCGACCACAACGGATCCAGAAGGCAGATGAAACAATGGAGGCCATTGCAACGATATCAACGATGTCGCCTCCAATATTTACACTTCGCTCGGCGTGTATCGCCTCCCATGAAACGACGAACTCCTTCAGTCGTCCCGCCAAGAGTCCCATTATCGCTCGAACCAGGCGAGCAGCTGTTGATGCATCAAGCTGATGAGTACTGGGTGTTCTCCTAGACTCAGTGTGTCCGGTTTGCTGAGGGATCCCAAGAAGGTAATGCAAAAAGTCCAGACGAAACGACGCCTCTAATGAGAGTGTCCACAGTTGATGAGAAGGAGACCAGTCATTACCGCACTGTACCGAGTCGGGGTTTCCACACATGGTCACCAGTAGTGTATACATATAGACCGGTCTTGCGTGGAAAGCAATCTGTGCATTGTGCAAACGATCAAGTGCCGAGGGAAGAGTCCAGCGAGCAGAGAGCCACGTGATGATCTTGACACAAAAGGCTTCGAAATGCCTTTGGTTGTCTAGAATCCCGGCACGTAAAATAGTTGTGAACATCGTCAGTGCAGTGTCGGTCAGACTGGAAGGGCCACTGCTGCCTCCTCCAAAGATGGCGTTGTCGACAAGGGTGCCGTTCATGGCCGGGGGTAAGAGTCCTAAAGTGATAGTCACCTCCAGCATGTGGCATGCAGCCCTTACTGTAGTCGTTACAGAGATGGCTCTCCGGGCCGCATCCCATATTTGGTGCCAGAGAAGTGGTGGACTTTGCCTCGTGAAGTCATCACAAAGAGCAAGGCGAGCAAAAATCAGATACACCCACGTCTGAATGCTACCATCTTCTTGGGACAGGTCAGAGACAGCTTTTGACACTTCTTGGAGAGAGTCTTGCTCAATGTGCCTAGGTTCATTAAGGAGGAAGAAGACGACCTGCAAAGCGATCAGCTTCTCCTGGCCGACACCTTCGACTGCAAGCTGCAGGATCTCGTCTAGGGGAACCTGGACTTTTTGTCGTTTCTGAGGGGCATCTTCTGCGGCATCATCGTTGATCGGCGGTCGTACCCTTCGACTTGAGGCCAAGAGAAGGCTGGCGATGACAGACAACGTCATCCAACAGGACACCGCTCTTGCTGAGTCCTGCACCGGCTTAAACTGCTTTCCCTGCATCGGGCCGTCCTCTCCTGCGACGACAGGTTGCATGTCATCGAATTGTAGCAGGTCTCGTGCATTTCTTCCTTTGTACTCATTCAAGAGAGTGTTTAAAAAGTGCTTGAGACTTGGTATGTCGCGCCAAGGCCATGGCTCAACCCAGGAAAGAAACAGGTGTCTGCAAGGGAACAATATGCCGAGTATTCGTTCTCGAAGCAAAGCTGATCGCGACCACAGTCTCCGCATCGCTGGCATCAGGTCGCACAACAGGTTCTGTGTGAGCGCGACATCTTCGGTCAAGGACGAACGCGTAACGTCGTGTAGCACTTCGAAAGCCACCTCTTGCGCTCTCGCAGCAGTCTCCAGAAATTCACCCATAGTGTGTCCAATAGCGGAAGCCCGAGTCATGATCGGAGCGTTCGTCACCGAAGTCAGGTTCTTCAAAGCCAGAATAATCTCTTCGGCATGGGAGGCCACATCTTTCCCACTCGCCCGACCGCTTCGTTGGCTGACACGCACTGATAAGTGGTACCTGCTCGAAGCCGTGCTTGTAACTTGGCTATGTGTAGCGTCCTCCTCGGGCACACTATCATCCAAAACAGACGATAATGCACCCAAGGCAAAGTCCACATAAGTCTGCCATTGCTTTCGACGCATGTGTTCCACGTGTGGAGCATGGTCGAGCAATATTCGAAAGCTTTTGAGGTAGTCGTTGACCAGTGGCTCACACCAGGATCCATCAGCAGTGGGAAGTGTATCAACAATATGATCCAGTACCGAAAGAGCTGTCTTGAACCTGAGAAATGGAGTGCTAATCTCTACCGCTTGACGCAAGGCGGCAGCAGCGGCCTCTAGGCGGGATGTAGCACTATTCCTTGCCGTGGGCTTGGCCGCCCGAAGAAATGCTGGCTTCTGCTTGGACACAATTTTGTAGAGCAGCTCAAAGGTGACGTGAAAATCGTCCTCTTCATTTCCCTTGGACCTGGCTTCGCCATGTGCATGTGCAGGTCTGCCACGTTTGCTGCGGTACAAATGTCAGAATCTAGCACCAAGCGGTGCGAGAGCCTTACCGCTGGAAAGAAGCCGTTACTCGGCTCAGGATGCGTTTGAGATCTGTGCGAATGCTGTTAGATGAGTTACAAGAGGAGACATTGTCCTACCATCAAGGCCTTTGTTTCTCTCGTCCTGGCTAGACGCCTCGAGCCTCGCTAAGATGACATGTCAGTTCACAAGGCTGGACAGAACGGCAATGTTGCAGGGCTCAATGACGTACCAACCGCCGAAACAATCGAGACGTCCGCCATGCCTCCGATTACACGATGCCACAGACAGCGGGGAGAGCAGACTCATCTTTGACAGGGTTTCGTCACCACCGACACGCAATTATCCAAATCGGCCGTACACGTATGTCAATGTAAAATCCGTTCGTGGCGACTGGTAGTACTAGGAGTATCCGAACACTGGCAGCTGAGACAGACGGAGTCGCTGTCACTGCGGTGGTTCATCGTTCAATCGGGTGAAGGTTGCTTGGCACAGGCTAAACTTCTTTGGGCAGCCTGACAACCTGCGTGCCTCTCTGCCCTCTTTTGAAGAGAAAGAATCTCGATGCCCGACACGCGCAAGAGAGTTGCCCGACGCGTCTAATGTGTCGATAAGGTGTGTTTGTGATGTTTCCACCATGGAGAGCCTCACCCGTCTACAATATCTTCATTCCGACCTCGTTGCCTTCGCCGAAGCCCGCCTCGCAAACATCGAGCGTCTGTCGTTGGAACTAGAGGACAGCATCCAGGATTTTAGAAAGCTACTCGACAAACCAACACCCACTGCGTACGATCGAGACGCTTACAACAATGGTATGCCACCACCCGGCTCTTCTTTGGAGCAACTGCTGACTTGTGAAATCGCAGGCAAAATCACTGTCGGCGACCTGGAATATGCAGTCAATGATGAATTCAAACATATCAGCCGTGCAATTGCCACAACCCTTGAGCTGGACGAAATCGAAGCCGGCCGACTCCTCATACAGATGCAAGCCGATTCGAAAGGAACAAGCGATACATTTGTGACGGACGCAGTGAGCAATTACCACAATGGAAGAGACCTGTTACTTCAATGTCTGCGGATCACGCTTCAACAGTCTCTCAATCCTGAGATGGAGCCTGAGATCCGAGAATTCTTCCAGACCATCGTTGCAAAAGTACTCGAGGTTGACGGGGGAGGCACCACGGCTGGCAATGGCTCGCGGTTTGCAAGAAAATGTTTGAGTACATTAGAGGACATCGAGAAGCTTCAAACAAAGGTTGCAGATGCGCTCCAGAGCAAAGCAGTGTTGGGCGAGCGACGAGGTTCCGAGTTCTATGCCACCCTCGAGTTTCAAAGGGACAGTTTGTTCAAACAACATGAAGCTCTCGCCTGCAGTCTCGCGTTTCTCTTTCAGGGCGACTACACCAATCCGGAGGATCTGCGAAAGCTCAATGATGCTGTCAAGCGCTTTAATCGCCTTGAATTTGGCTTGATCCACTACCTTCCCGCGTTTTCGGCTGCGTTCCGGCAGTACGGGTCGCCAGGAAGCCAGCTGTCTCAGGAAAACTGTGCATCCCTGGATGGTCTCTTCGGCCCGTTACCCCAGGATCCAAGTACCGCAGCTATTCGCCCCTTCCGTGCCATTTTGAGCCTCTGGTGGACAGTCGAATATAGCGGTCAGTTCCGAGACTTGACCGAGCACGGTGCAGACGCAGAGAAGCGGGCGATCACTGTGAAGGCGGCCTTGGGAGAGGATGCTTCAGAATTCATGCTTGCTATATGCACAAGCATGAACTTGGATGTGTGGCGACATCCTGCTAGACAAGAACTTGTGGCACTGCTTCTTAGTGAGACAACTTTCGCTCTCGACGGCGATCAAACCTCATCCTATTTCCGACTACACTTCATGGAATCTCTGGAGAATTTCATCGAGGCATTCATTTCGAATTTACCCGATTCTATCCGGAAGCTCAAGGCTGAAGAAGACGACCAGCGACTGAATCAATTGGTCGCCATGCAAGAAGGCCTACCGCCGGATCATAGAGGTGGTGTCGTGAGCAAGCTCCAGCTAGAATGCTTTCTGGTTCTTATCTCGTTCGCCTTCGAAGGGAGACCTGAAGCTGCAGAACAGTGGTGGGACGATCCAGACAGCAACTTGTATGGGTTTCTTCAATGGGCATCCCGACGGCAGACAGTTCCTCGAGTGTGCGCCTTCTGTGAGCTCCTATGCTCTATCTCCGAAGACCAGGAATGCGCTGAAGCGGCCCACAAGTTTCTACTAGATGAATCACAGCCTACCTTGACAAGAGGTCGTCGCAACCCGTCAATGAATTATCAGCAGATATTTGCCGAGCTCGAGCTATACGCGCACAAGGTTCATGAGCGGGCTACAAGTTCGCAATTGCCAAATATGCGAAAGGTCGTGCCAACGGACATGAACGAACTAGAAAGTCCCATAATGCTATCTTGCTACCTGCGCCTGCTAGCCCATCTGAGCCGACAGCCTAGTGGAACTCGGGAGTATATCCTCAGTACAATGACACCAGCTTTTCCACAATCCTTATTGCGTCTCAGCTCTGGTCCGATACCGAGTTATCTGAGGGCGAGTGTCTTTGCGACTCTGGATGCTCTGCTGACAGACAAGACTGCGCAAACTGCGGCTTTACTTTGGCAACTCCTGGACGACTGGGCAGCTAATAGCCACGACATACTTCGATTAACCACGACCAAGCCTGCCCAGCCTTCTAAACCAACTCTTCTCGACTTGCAGAATACCCTCAGTTCAGTTGCAGTGTCGTTTGACCAATACGACTCGTTCGTTGTGCTGTTGCGCGACTTAACCGTCGCTCTCCCATCCACTGGCCTGGGCGTCGATATGCTTCCTTTTCCAAGGGACCTGGGGTCATCCTACAGAAGTCCAGGAATCGAGCCATACATCGACTTTGTTTGTGGTCAAATCTTCGTCAAACGAGTCCCGGAAATCAATGATGAACTACAACGATCGATTGCCTCGTTCCACTGCCTGGAGTTTGTGGCTGTGGGCCTGGACGGTTTTAATGAAGACTATGTGGCAATGGCAGATCGTACCAACGCTCAGCGCGACGCTTCACAAGACGCACCAATTGCCTCCACTTACGCTCAACGCAGTCCGTTTGCGAGGCTGATGCAGTGGATACTGAGCCTTGAGATGACCAAGGGACTCATGGAGACTCTACACGTGCCTACAGAGGCCATCGAATCCGCTTTGCCTGACTCGCCCTTGGTCCTCAGCCTACAACGCTCCATCGATATCATCAACCGGGTCCTTGATCTACAACCGACCTATTTCGATGTCGTGAAACCAATCCTTCTGGCCCAGTCGATGCAGGAAGGGCTTTTCGCACGATCCAGTGTCAACTCCCTTGAAGATTGTGTGGCTGCACATCCGGAAGTGATACTAAATCTGTGCCAGTACGCCGCAACCAGTCATTCCGAACTGGCGCTCCGCGCTCTTACGTTGTTACAGAAGCTCTCCAGCTCACCCAAGCTTAACAACCACTTTCTTATGACAGACCCTGTTCGTGGTCGTGCAAGAAGGATAGTGGACATGCTCGGTCCAAGTGTTGGCTTTGAGCTTGACCTAGTCGCCAGAAACATGTCTTCCAGACTGCAATTTGAACTCCGAGAGCTTGAGGACGGCTTTGAGTCCATGAGCTACCTCATCAAAGACGGGATACTGGCATTCTTCAACGCCTGCCTTGAAGCACAGCCAGAGCTTCCCACTCTTGCCCATCTCCTGCTTGGCTTTAACAGACTAGGCGAGCGTCTGGCCATTTCCGACTCCATTGACGCGGGGAGCTCCGTCTTTCATTCTGTTGTCGACCTCATTCAGAACTATCCTAACAATGAAGACGGTGTGATACTATCGTGGCTGATCCATATCAAGACGGCAGCGTTGCGTGTCATGAGGCAGCTTTGGACTTCGCCCTTGTCAATGTCTATTGTTGTCGGTCAGCTTCGCAGACTCCAATTTCTCCAGTCACAATACCTCAGCCAGACTATCATATCCCAGCAAACCTTCTGGGATGGCAACACTGTGCTCCACGCCGCTTTTTGGTACAGCACATCTGCCGAAGCCCTGGCCGAGTTTTTCGCTTTGCGAGCGTCTCTGTATAATTACACTACCACAGAGTTGAGGGCTGCTTCCCATGAACAGTTGTCGACCACACTACGACAGGCGTTGTCTACACTGCAAGGAAAGACCACTGATTTTGACGGCACCCTCATTACGAACCCTGATGTTTTTGCCCTTTTCGACTTTTTGGAGCTCGATCTATCCGCGTCTTTCGACTTAAGCTCCGACTTCTATGGCAGCATCGACTTCGAGGCTTACCTCACCGAAGAATCCGACCGCGCTCCAAGTCTATATGATGTCAAGCTAACGCGTGAATCGCTGTATGCCTACCGCCTGGAATTGATGCAAAAGCAGATCGAGAGCCCAGGAAGCAACAAGATTGACGAGCAGATCTTGATCGCCGACGCTGATCGGATACTGGCTACGATGGAAGCTCGCAACCGGTGGGTTATTGCACACAAATCTAGAAGCGACGCGTTGCATGAATATGTGGAAATGGTCATCACTATCATCGACACCTGTCCCATGGACCAGCCGGCAAAGTCGCAGTTTATCCTACGTATGTTCCAGATACTCTTGCCCAAGCTCGACGGGTTGATCGTGGATGAGTCGGCCGATGTGGTCGAACTCGCAAGGGCGGCTGACGCCTTACTTTTTTCGCTTTCCAAGATGACGCCGACCCACACTCATACGGACAACCTCATCACGGAGAGGCTTTTCCAACTATTCCGTGCATCAATCGAGGGAATACCCGGGACCAACTTCAATCCAAGCCTCCGAACAATCTTCTATAGTATCTGTTCGCAATATCTTGCTCGAATCACAGCATCGAGTAGCAGCGGGACAGATGCGAACGCGAAGGCTCGGAGAAACAGTATGGACTGCATTCGGTCAGCGAGCCAGCGCCTCGTCCAAATCGTGTGCGACGATGCGGAAGATGCCGTGGATTCGTGTCGAATGAATGCACTCAATCTTCTTGCACTGCTTAGTTCGCTAGCCCGGATGGAGAAGTCAAACTACATCCTCAACGGGCTTGTCAAGGCCAACGCACTTGAACTTCTCCTAGAACCTTCCAAACACATCTCGGCTGAGTTTCAAAACTCGGACCCAGCCTGTAAGTACTCCTCTCCTGCACAAGTGCCGGTCTGTTTGCTCTCGATATACTAATGATTCTCTGACCAGATCGTCCTTATCTGCTGTCCATTTTTGAAGCACGCATGCTTCTCTTACTTCAGATATCGCGCACGCGCGAAGGCGCAAGCGCAGTCCTCGACGCCGGGCTGATGACTGCAGCGCGCGACTCAATGCTCTTCCGCGCCGATCCTGATCTCGGCAATTCAATGGTTTCCAATGGCGAAGCTGACGACACCGACATGATGTACATGACTACAGCAGCAGCCGAGTCCATCACCTCTGCCCTCCACACATACTATGTGCTCCTATCCTCGACTCTACGCGTGCTTCTTTCCACCTTCCTCTCCCGCGGCGCGCAAAACGAGCAGATCCAGTATCTTGCGCGCACATTCCTCACCGAGTACCGGGCAAACATGGTGGGCGTGTTCAAGAAGTACAGCGGCGTCAATGGCAAAACGGATGCACGAATACGTCCTCTCATCACAGAATGCGTGAGGTTCTACACAGGTCTAGCTACTCTGTCTGGATTTGTCGAGGTAAGTTCAATCACCTCCTTGCCTATCCGGCCGAGATGATCGCCCTGACGCTAACTCTTGTGCACAGTTTGAAGATGCGTCAGGCATGGATCCCGCACAGGATCAGGGCTTCTCGTGACTTGGGCGGGTGTCGGATAAAGGATGCGGATCAGGATAATGAACCGTCCCAGTCCATCAAGATAGAGTTTATGTAAAGAGATGTTTGCCTGAATTAAAAAAAGAAAGGACCAATGACAAAAAGTTGTTTTGCTACGAAGCATGTGCATTCCAGACCAGCCCGTTGTTGCTTACCCGCTCGAAATAGATTCCACATGCAGGTGACATTGGATAATCCGCCCGGACAGATGCCGCTTCAATATCAGCCTTGCTGCCTGAGCCACTGTATTTCACATCTCGGGCATCGGTCATCGTTGGAGAGATCAAGCCCACCGGAATCAAGAGTACCTGACCAGGGGCGCTGAATGAATAGTCCGCCCTGTATTGACCTTGTGGTGAATATTGACCTTGTAGTGGACAACGGTGCTCAGTTCCACAACAGATTCTACTAGTGAAGATACACCGGTCATTGAGCAGAAAAGAAGGACAGAACGCGTCGAAATTCACACTGTCTCCATCCATACACGTTCATTCTACAACGTGAGGCACTGGGGGGCCGGGGGGTCTTGTTTGTCTGTTTGAAGGTTTTTTTTATCTACTCTAAACAGACTGGGAACGCACCCGGACACCACGGCCGGAGCGTCCTCCATCTCAAACCGAGATGGCTTCGAAACTGACACTGACACTGACACTGACAACGACCCAAGGACCAAGACCGACCACCACACTTGACTAGCACGCACGGCCAGAACGCCATCGGCGTGTGAGTGTGGCGGCCTGCCCTGGCCCTTGGTCAACCCTCCCCGACAACAACCAACCAACCAACCAACCCAACCCAACCCAACCCAACCCAACCCAACCCAACCCAACCAGCAAGAGCAGTGATCCCCGGAGTCCACCCACCACCGCGCCCCGGAGCGGGACCGATGGCGGAGAGGTGAACTTCGGACTCAGGAGGCACTTCATGTAGGGATGGCCCCTACAGAGTGCGCCCGAGACCGGCCGCCTTGCGCGCGGCGATCACTCTCACGGCCCAGACCGCCACAGCCCTCAACTCCCCGAGGCTGGCCTCGGGGGCGTTGAGCATGGTGAGGACTGTGGTGAGTCCGTGGATCCATGCCAGGATCTCCTTGTCTGGCGAGCAGTAGTTCCAGGCGTCCATGTGAGTGGCAATCTCGAGCCACTGCTCGAGAGTTGCCTCCAGCAACCAGTCGAAGTTGTTGAAGTTGGGCGCCCCGAAGATCAATCTGCGGCGGTCTGCAGTGACAAGTTTGACCTGGAGGTCGGTTGGGTAGAGGAAGTCGAGCACCGGCCGCCGGCCGCCGGAGGCTGCCCACTCGCCTTGGACTCCCCGAATTGTCTCGGGGCGGAGTCTGCCGGCCCCGGCCTCGTTGACGAGGAAGTTGCTTGCCGTGGTTCGGAGCATGAGTTGCAACGTCGACAGAATTCGGGCTTGGTTGGTTGGATCAAGTGAAACCAAGGGCGGGGGCTCCGGGGAAGGGTCGTGTTCTTCCGTCTCAGGCGCCATTTCTTCATGAGAGTTTTGTATCTCAGGCGTCAACCCCTTTTCGGCCTCTTCCTCTTTCATCTCAGAAGTTGGTTCGTCTTTGACTGGTTCGGTCTCAAGTCGCGCTCCTTCGTCGGTTTCTTCTGAGTCATGTCCGAATGCTTCATTGACATCTTCTTGGTAAGGCATGACTTCAGCGTCAGGTTCGACTGTCTCCATCCACGCATTGACCTTTTCTTCTATGCTGGGCTGGGAGAAGGGGAAAAAATTCGAATTCTTGAGGTGACTTCTGAGTTTGTTCATGCTACCTTCTCTAGTCTTGTTGTCATGTTGTTGTTTGTCTGGTGTTTCGGCATTGACTTCCTTCGACTCAAGTGGTTCCTCAAAGCTGACAATTTTCTTCATGGACCATGTCGACCCAGCTGCATGTTGTGCTTCAGGAACCCCTGCGGCATGGTCTGCACCTGGGATTCCAGCAGCTGATACAGGTAGAGCAGGAGCCCAACGGTCGTCGACTGCGCTCCCATCAGCGCTGACCTCGCCATTGAAGTTTGTTGCTGCCTGTGAGCGACCATGACCAGTCTTTGGGGACGTTCCAGCCTGGGGGCTACGAAGACTAGCATTCGATGCGACGTGGCTGACTGGTATCTGGACAAATGAGTGTGGAGGTGGAATAAAGGCTAGTGTAGCACGTCGAAGCTTCGGACGGGGTGGGGGTTGAAGCCCAGCGGTTGGGTGTGTGCCTTGTGAGCCGTAGAAACCTGTATTCAGGAATGCTCGTGTCTGTGTACCACGGCGACTAGCTGCATCGCTGGCAGACAAATCGAAAGGCACGGGTGCAGAGGGTCGAGGGGGTGGAGTCAGGGCTGGTGGATCTGTAAATGGATCTTCCAGAGTACTCGTATTCAGGAATTCTCGTGCCTGTGTACCACGGTGACCAGCTGCATCGCTGGCAGACAAATTGAAAGGGACGGGTGCAGAGGGTCGAGGGGGTGGAGTAAGTGCTGGTGGATCTATAAATGGATCTTCCAGAGTACTCGTACCAAGGCAGAAAGGACGCCTAAATCATAGTCAGTAGACAGTTGTCGCCATGAAAGAAGGAACTCACGGAGACGGGTGTTCGGTAGGCTTCTGCGGATCTGCCGTGCTTGCGGCGTGCTGATCACCGGAAGCCCAGGGCGGCAAGAATCGGTGTCTGGCAGGGACAGAGGCTCTCGTGGTAGGATAGGCACCGCGGCTGGCTTGGCTGTGTGACAAAGAGTTCATGACTCCTGTTGGTCTAGCAGCAACCGAGGTGGTGTGTGAATCTGAAACGCGAGGCTGAGAGGGACGCTGAGAGGGCTGCTGATGATGTGTTGACATGGATCGCACAATCTCGCCTGGAGTGAGTGGCAAAGGCTTGTTGTAATCAGCCATGATGGGCTTCGAGAAGTGCGCAGACGAGATCAAAGGCCTGTCGATTTCAAAGGCGTACACAGGACGGCGTTGCTCAAGGCTTGACTGTGTGTTCTCAACAGCGTCTTCGGTGGAGGAATTAGGAGTTGATGGATCAAAGGTATGAGGATGAGTCGTGGACGAATTGGAGGTAGAACGAGACGAGCTTGAAACTGCGGATTGAGCTGAGTTAAGAGCACCGTCTGGTCCAAACACGTTGGCAGAACGATGTTGCGCAGGGCTCAGACGTTGGGTTTCAACGACGTCTTCAGTGGTAGAGGGATGAGTAGTAAAAGAATCAAGGGTAGAAGGAGGATCAGTAGATGGATCGGTGGCAGAGGGATGAGCGGTAGGCGAATTGATGGATTGATGGATTGAAGTTAGACAGTGCTAGACTCTGACTCTGGCCTCGGCCTTCAAATGAGGCGAGTGCTTACAGTTTTCCTCAAGAAGATTTGGTCTTCTTTTCTTGGCTGTTCTTCCGGAATAATGTCAACACATGGCTGGCTGTGTCTTTCAACCAGCTAGAGCGTGACTCAATTCTTTGCCGCACCGGGGTCCAACTGCGCCGCACAACCGACGCTCGCCTCGTATTAGCAACGCTCGTCGCGACTTCGGGTGAGCTGTTGTTCTGAGAAGACACTCTCTTGCGTGCTCGTGGATGAAATATCGCTCCATCAATCAGTCGGAATTCTCGATTCATCGCCCGAGTCCTCATACTCAGCGTAGGCTCCCGGCCTGCTGGAGCTCCAGCAAAAGGTCTGGCAAGCTCTAGTGAATCATCGTCATCATCTGCCGGTTCCTCCCCCGCTGGGTTGCCGTACTGATCATCCATCGATTCCTCCTGTTTCGGCGAGTCCAACTCCTTGCCCTGCGCTGGGTTGCCGTACTGATCATGCACAACTTTGGTGTCAGCAACTTCGGCCTCGGCCGCTGGCTGTTCGACGCCAGCAAAGTGTGCCTCACCAGATGCACGTTCTGTTTCGACACGTTAGCTCACCCGAAGTCGCGACGAGCGTTGTCGATCTCACCATTGTCAGTCGGTCCGCTTTCAGACCTAACTTGTTGCAGAGTGACCACTTCTGCTTGCCCGCCTCTGAGGTTGGGTCTAAATCCTGCGGGAGAAGACGGGTCGTTGGTGAGCATTTCGAAAGAGACCAAGAGCGAAGGGTCAATATCAGAGTTCAGGTTTGATGGCTCTACCTCAATGAACTCCTGCTGGGACGATGCTGCCGAAGTAACCGAGTGTCTGTCGCTGCTCGGTCGCTCTTGTCCACCATAGGCATGCAAAGCCAGCGGATTCCCAGACGCCAGCATGGTTCGGGTTCTCTGATGCGAGAACGTGGTGGCCGGCAAGATGTATGTATCTTCATCTTCGATCTGGCGGTGCCGGCGAGGACTTGGTCGCGCGGACTGTTCTTGGATCTCGTTACCAGATCTGTCAGCCGATGTTGTTCCCTCATCATGAGAACAAGCTCTTTCAGATTGACGGATGAAGTTTTGGGCCTTGATGCGGCGAATATGAGGCTCGGTTGGTGCCTGAAGAATGAAGTTCCCTATCTTAGGGATGAAGGGATTGAGAGAGTCATCCTGCCATCAATGTCAGTAAACCTGTTGCTGGGTTTGTCTGGGCGACTCACATTTCGGTGTCTCCAACTGTGTCGCCATGAACGCCAGATGTCTCCATCGTCGCCAAACCCGCCTGCGACATCATCATTTTCCAGCAGCTCTTGGAGGACACTCGTAACATCCGGAATTCCAGGATAGCCAAATCTCTCGAGGATCAAGCTATACACTTCTTCCATCCCAAAAGTGAAGGGGTAGAACGGGACGACCCGCCGGCCAACTTCACGGAGAAAGTATCGGCATGATTCTTCATCAAAGCAACCTAGCTCTTCAAATGGAGGGGAGTTCTTGAAAGCAGGAGAGGAGGGACTCGCCGAGATGACTCGACGACGGGCGATGTCAGGCATGATGTCTGGAGAAAGGGCGATGCCCGGACAATTTGGAGGAACCAGCGCTTCTCACGCTCAGGACAGTGTCTCTTTTGAACAAGGCATGTCGGTTATTGTCATGGACAGCAGGAAATGACAGGGGAAGAGAAGGTACAATGCGGAACGATGGATTCACAAACGCCACGCCACAGTACCGAAGACGATGATGAAGAGAGTCGGGTGGATTGCAAGGGTAGTGAATTCACAAACAGATCGATTGCCTGGTCGTGGGAGCAGTATGCCTGCCCTCGCTGCCGCCAAGCGGCCGGGCAAAAGATTTGCCGTTCCGGTGGTCACGGGGTCATGCTTGTTGTGATGGAAAGGGGCATATCTCTGCAGGAGGGTTTTCATTTCATCAAGTTCAAACATCAAAAGCAACCACCAAGTTGATCAAACCAAACCAAGTCCGTTCCATCAGCACAAAGAAGATCAGACCGCCTCACACATGTGATCAGCGAGCATCTCCTCGCAGCCAGGATTGGTGCTACCAAGACAGCTTCATCCATTGTCTAGACTCCCATCATCCAGCATAAAACGGAAGCAAAGGTGTGCCCAGCCTTGCACATAGACTGTACCTGGGTCGAGAAAGGTCACGGTCCAAAGTGATATGAAAGCCAGACGTGGAGCACCTTGGGGATTACTGAGACACCATGAGAATCCATCATAAGCCATTCCATGCTATCCATGTGCAGGGTTGAGGTCTAACACAAGAGACAAAAGGAATAAGGGGGAGCAGGAGGTTGAAAAAGGACGCGACGTGCCAAGAGATCATGCCTTTGATCACGTGGAGCGGAGTTTCGGACCCAGGGTTCTGTTCACGTGACATCTCGATTGCCGTCTTTCATATCCGGCCTGCGGGGTGTCAGCCGTGCTCTTCATCATCCACTTGCTCAAACTGCTCGGCCAACTGCCCACTGGAAGGGCAATCCAAGATCAGTCATGGGCCGCTGCAGCCATTGGCGTGGCCTCATCTGGGGGCACTATCTGTATCTCGGAGTCAGACGCCCCTCCCAGTCTCCTAAAATGGTGGAAGTGAAGCGGCACAGAGGGCTCGGTTGTTGGGAAGTTGACCTCGATGTTGCACCGAAGAGGCTGGCAACTGCCATATTCAAGATCCGACAAGGTCCAACTTCACTTCGGGTTTCTTCATAAACCTTCTTCTGTCTTCTCCCGAGCCACAGTTTCCCAGTCCTGGTTGCCACTTCCCTGTAAGCTGGCCACTAACTTTATGCACCTTTCCGTCTCTCGGTAACCCAGATCTACTCTACTCTTTGTATTTTGCTGTTCAATCTGCCAGATCCAGAATGAAGACGGAGATCCCGTTGTATGATATTGTTATTGTCGGGGCCGGTCCTGTGGGTTTGTTACTGTCCGTCTCTCTTTCGAGATGGGGGTACAAAGTCAGACATATCGACAACCGCCCTGTACCAACAGCAACTGGTCGAGCCGACGGGATTCAACCTCGGACTCTAGAGATGCTCCAGAATATGAAGTTGAAACGAAAGATCATGGCTCATGATCCCGCCCGGGTGTTTGAAGTGGCGTTCTGGGATCCTGCCCCAGGCGGGAAGATTGTGCGAACAGGGACATGGGCCAGTTGTCCGGAGTTTCTTGACGCCAGGTACCCCTACACAGCTCTCCTGCACCAAGGACTCATTGAGAGAGTTCTTATTGAAGATCTGGAAAAGAACGGAACCAAAGTCCAGCGGCCATGGACCATCAAAAGCTTCGAAACCAACCACGCCAACCCGGACTATCCCGTTGAGGTTGGCCTAACAAACCTCGATAGCAATGTCACAGAGACTGTGCGGGCCAAGTACCTGTACAGCGGTGAAGGGGCACGCAGTTTCGTCCGTGACCAACTGGGCGTTAAGATTCGGCACAAAGACCCCATCTCACATGTCTGGGGCGTCATGGATGGCGTCGTTCGTACAAACTTTCCCGACATCAAAATGAAATGCACCATCCACTCGGATCACGGCAGCATCATGGTCATCCCACGGGAAAACAACATGGTCAGACTGTACATCCAGATCGCAAGCTCAACGGACCCAGACTTCTCCCCTCGCAAGACAGCCACTGTGGCAGAAGTGCAGGCGGCTGCCAAACGCATTTTCCAGCCATACTACTGCGATTGGGATCGCGTGGAGTGGTACTCTGTCTACCCAATCGGCCAAGGCATTGCTGATAAGTACACGCTGGACCACCGCGTATTCATGGGCGGCGATGCATGCCACACGCACTCGCCCAAAGCCGGACAGGGCATGAACACTGCGTTTCACGACGCCGTCAACTTTGCGTGGAAGATGCATCTGGTTGAAGCCGGCTTCGCAAAGCGCGACATCTTGTCGACGTACGAAGTAGAACGCAGATTTATCGCCGAAGCCCTCCTCAACTTCGACAACAAATACGCCGCTCTCTTCTCCCAGCGCCAACCAACGGCGTCCGAGGTCAGCGACGCGCACAAGCACGATTCCGGCGAGACCAAAAACGAATTTGTCGAGATGTTCAAAGCCAGTTGCGAGTTCACGGCCGGTTTTGGCGTCGCATACAACGGCAACATCTTCAACTACTGGGGCGAGCACCCCTTCCAGCACCCCTTGATCATCAAAGATTCGGCGCAGCTACGGCCGGGACGAATCATGCCACCATCGAACGTGACGCGGGTGGTGGACGCCAACGTGGTGCACCTTGAAAACGAGATCCCCTACAACGGCGCCTTCCGACTATTCATCTACGCCGGCCTCAACCAGTCGCCCAAAAAAGGTCGGCACCAAGCACTGCTCGATCTGGCCACTGGCTTGACGGGCCCGAACTCCTTCTACACACGCTTCGGCTGCGCCAGCCGCCAACTCGATAATCATCACGACAATGACAACCCGCACTCGCCCTTCTTCTCGCTATGCCTGACGCTCGCGGCTAAACGGCCGGAGATTGAGATCTCAGACCTCCCTCCTCTATTCCAGGACTACGCTGGCCGAGTGTATGCTGATGACAGGCGGGACATAAGAGTCCCTGACGCCCCTGCTGCGGCGCATGCTAAGATGGGTCTTGCGGGTGGCGAGGGCGCGGTAGTGGTCGTGCGGCCTGATGGACACGTAGGTATTGCAGTCAGACTGGTCGAAGGGACCGGTACAGTCGAGGCGCTCGAGGGCTACTTTGATGGCTTTACCGTGCCGGAAGGCAAGGCACCGACGGCGGCAGGACTAGGTGGGGGGCCGGAACATGTTAGATCTCAATTGTGAGGGCGACCAGCGAGGCCTATGAGCATACATGGGTGTCACGTCCGTGTTTCCAGTATAGCAGGCACTAGGCTGGTTGGGCTGTATTGACCAGAACAGTTGACTTTGGAGATCAGGTACATATATAGAATTAGAAGAATGGTAGCGCCTTTCATCCAAATAGCTATCGCTGTCGGTGTTAGTAATCCTCATGAGTTCCCATCCACCGACCCTCTGATCCCGTCTTTATGTGAGCAGTGGATGCCAGGCTCTCTTCACCGTCCTACGACAGGTGCAGCCCCTCTGCCCCCGTCCTGTCCCGGCTAGGTCACCATCTTCGAATGTCCCCCGCTGTCGTCTCTGCTCCAGGCCATCATATTGCGTCCAGACCTCCTCGGCCCACACCGGCCTGTGGCTGTTGTCCGTGGTCCTCGCTCAGTCCTCGCCTTTCAATTTGGTCCCAATCCTCGCTCAGTCCTCGCCCTTCAATTTGGCCTCGATTTCTTGCAAGTCGTCCGAGTCCTGGATCTCGATGACGCGGTTGACTTCGGCGGTGTTACGCATGAGCTCGACAGCGCCGGCGTAGCTCATGCGCATGTTCGGGTTGCAGTTCACCGGGAGATAGTATATCAGGACGTAGGGAACAGAGATGCGACCGGACGGCTAACGGCCCACAAACATGGCAAAGGTTAGAATGACGAGTTGGGGATATTTGAATGCCTTTCCTTCAAGTAGGGAACCGAGCTCAAACCACAAGGGCGGTCAAGTATGGAACCGAGCTCATACCACAAGGGCGGTCAAGTATAGAACCCAGCTCATACCACAAGGGCGGCTCGGTTCGGAAATAGACAGTGTAGAAAACAAGGATTGGGGCAGTATTCCGTACATTACGAAACGCTGGATGGGGTTTGGGGTTCCGTACCAATGTCAACGGGTAGCTCAGCAGAATGAATCGCGGCGACGAATCCGGGAGCTCGTCGGCCAGCTCGAGCACGTCTGAATACGTCTCATCGGAGGATGGTTTGATTTCTTGTGTCTTGGTGTCGATCTGGTCTGCGCGGCAATGATAATCAGCAAAGGACCGGCAGTGTCGGTGTTGGTTCGCCACATGACTCTCATAGTATGGGCATGCTTCAGGGAAAGCAGCTCGGCTTCGTGTCATGAACCAGCCTTATAGCCTCCAAGAAGTGCAAAATGGGGGTTTGGGTGCTGAGGAACTCACAGATCCTTGCCAACGGTGTCTTCGCTCGCGACGTCCCTAGCCGGAACTTGCGGAGCTGGTCCTTCGTCTCTTGGGAGAAGGTGTAGAGGCGGGACTCTGACTAACGATGCCCTCAAAATGTCAACGTTGGTCATACGTAGTTCGCATGACTGTAGATTGTTGCCTTTGCAGGGCAGGTGTATGACGGCTTGTAGAGAAGCCGAAGGGGAGGCGGGGGGGATGGATGGGAGTGGAAGTACCATCTTCGCTGTAGTGACCAGTTGCTACAGTCTAGTTTGCTGACGGTTGCAGATGTTCGATTCGACGACAAGGACTTGCTTGGACTCGGATCTTATCACGAGATGCAAGGATGGCGTTCGGAGATCGTTCCCTCCAGGTGATCGCCCTATCTCGATCCCAGCCTTGCTGAAAGACTGCGGGGAGTCGTCGAGCTCAAAAACTGCGGGTGCGCCGCTGGTTTAGATTACGAGCATTTATCGGAAGTGCCTAAACGAGGACTTGGATCGATCATAGGCGTGCAACACTCTCGATGATATTGCGAACCAGGGTTGTTGTCGACAAGCGCTATTGTATGATGATGTGATAGGCACCAATATGTTGGTGCTGTACGTATGTACTAGGTAAATCAGGGACCGTCTCCTGGTGGGGGGCAGACAGCAAGTGAGCTTCTCATGCCCGAGGCTTTCACCAGCGCCTACCCTCCAACCCTCCCCTCCAAAATCGTCTATTCTATCAAGTCCTCATCCTCTTGTGCATCCCCCATTGAGGCCACCTACTGTGTATGCGCCATTCGATCAATGTTCTCCCGTCTCTCCCAACTAGCCCGCCACTTGTCTAGACCGCTTCCCAACTTCGCCCATCGCTCTGCAGCCGCATACTCATCGGCGCCCTCCTCGTCCTCGAACATGACATCACCATCCGATATCGAAGCGACTTCCGCGCCCCAGAAGGGCTTGATACAAACGGCGGGATGCATAATCATCGGCGATGAAGTGTTGGGTGGAAAGGTACCGTCGACGACATCCTTCCTGCAGCAAGCCTAAGGCTACGCGCTCATGGGGTGCATCTCCAATGGACGACACAGTTGCTTGATTGACTGGCTGTTTGACTGACGTGGCTGCGGAAACAAACAGACTGTAGACACCAACTCGGCATACTTGGCTCGGTGGTGCTTCTCGCTCGGCGTGCAATTGAAGAGAGTTGAGGTCATTCCCGATGACGAAGACGACATAATAGAAGCGGCACGGCGCATGTCCAAGAACTATGACTTTGTGGTCACCAGTGGCGGTATTGGGCCTACGTAGGTGCTCTCTCCGCCAAAGAGATCTCCGTCCAGCTGACATGATCTCATGCTCCTAGACACGACGATATAACCTACCAATCTATAGCCAAGGCGTTTGGCCTCGAATTGAAGCTCCACGAGCCGACCGTCGAGAAGATGAAGAAGTTTTCGCGCCCTCACAAGTCCCAACCCAACTTCTCCTGGGACACGCCTTCCTCTGCCCTCACTGCCAAATTGCGTATGGCCCAGCTACCTCACGACCCGAAGATCCCAGACGAAGATCAAGCACTATTTGTGAAAGAAGATCTTTGGGTTCCCGTCTCAGTGGTGAACAGGAATATCCATATTTTGCCCGGTGTACCGAGGATATTCGAGACGATCCTGGATGGGTTGAAACCACGCATTCTCCCGCGACTGAAAGACCCAGAAGGAAAGGGCTTGTATCGAATTCTCTTCAGTACACCATTGGCGGAGAGCCAGGTGGCAGACTATCTGACCGAACTCGCTGCGAGGGCGGAACCAAAAGGGGTCAAGGTTGGAAGTTATCCTCGCTGGGGCAAGAACAAGAACGTCGTCACACTGGTTGGAAGCGACAGAGAATACATGGACAGCTTGGTGGCCGAAGTCGCAGAGGGCGTCAAGGGACTGAGAGTGCAGGTGGAAGGAGAAGATGATACTGATGATGAGACCGATGTCAAAAAAGACAAGGATAGCTGATGGAAATAAGCTGCTAACTAAATATTCCTCACCGACCCTTGTCGAGGCACTTACCCTTCATCTTTGCTGTTCGCTTTAGGATCCAAGTAAAAAGCGCATGTCTGAATCTGGTGCCTGCATCCGATGGCCATGGGGTACTACGGAGTACGTTTTAGGACCGGATCCCTGGTCGTGCACGAATCCCTTTCACCCGATTTCGGATGCTAGGACTTCCCCTGAATCCCGAGCCAACTGCACATCCCATGGGACATGTGGGACATGGCCGCATCCTGACCAGTGCACAGACTGTTGACGGCTAGAGGCTTGAGCCGCATCTCTAGGTTAGGTTATGACTGACGAGCATCACGGCTTCTGGAGGGGAGACGAGGTTGACTAGAATTGTGTCCTAGACTCTTGCTAATTGGTGGGCCAATATCCGTACATGTATACTCCGTAGTAAGTACGGAGTAGTTCACAACGCAATTTGGGCAATCTTCCAGAATGTCGCTCTGAAGGTGGATCTCTGTTCGTCCTCTCGGTCATGAAACGATTGCACAAGGGCAGTCTTCTTGTACGTACTTCCGAGAGCTCAATTGATGGAACGTTGAGCAAGGCTAGCGGGTTGCTCCAAAGTCGGCAAGTGCAATCAGAAACTGTGAAGCTTACTACAGGGAACTGGCAGGAATCAGGAGCCTACTGCCGTCATGGCCACTTTTGCGATACATGTGAACACAGGTCGGATTGTTATCATGCTCAGATCGTTTACTCCGTATTCTGCATGGTGAGACGTCATCCCGGCTCTGTCGTGGGGAGATTTGCTCTGCTCATGTTATTGCTTCTTTCAATATGAAATGCGGAAATGAGGTCGCACAGCCATGGCGCAGGGGAAGCGGACAACTCTTGGGAATGTTCATGAACTAGTCATATAACCGCGGTGCTAAGTTGGAGGAAGTCAGCAACGGCGTGGGTGCGGGTGTGACGGGCTGAGGACGCATCGAATCAAGGGCTGGAGGAGGTCTGGTTGCGGGCATGGCCTCGAGTTCTCAACAGATGGTTCGACTTGGTAGGGCGGCACCGGCGGGTATTGAGCGGTTACCATCCTCGTGGATTCGTCTGGAACTAATTGACAGCATTGTGTGTGCTGATAACATATCCATAGGATACTTCGCATTGATGGCATGATGGCTTAGGTGTTCCGGCTGGCGCCATGACCCTTGAGCAGCGCTGGACCCAGACCTGGCACTCAAAGGCAGGCAGCACATGAATATTTCGATCAATTGCTTTTAAGGGGTTCAATGGAGACGGCCCAAAAATCAGAGTAAACCAGGGCGGAATTAGACAGAAAGAGGATAGCGAGGAAGCTAGGGAGTGGCAGAGAAGCATCCCCGTCGCTGGGATGGCTTCACGTAGTAGCGCAGTGGGTGCAATTGTGGGTTGTAAAGTGCCAGACGGACAGGCTAGAGGAAGTGCACACACACTGGCACGACTTCTTGTTCGTCGACCGCAGTTTGGGGAGCAGGAGGGATATACTCCGTCCTAGGTGGTGCACTCCCTCCTACTACTCAACCGACCCTTCCTTCCAGACTTCGGATCTCGTACTTGTGCCTCCTCTCCTCGATTCTGTCACTTTACTGCTCTGTGGACGTCAATTGTCTTTGACTTGACTGCTGTGCATTGACATCTTCACATCCGACCGAACCAGTGGTCCGTCTCGTGGGCCTCGCCCTCCCTCGACGCGTTGAAGAGACACCAACCACCGTGATATCGCCCTAGTAGCACTTACGACACAGTGCAGACCATCCTCCTCCCCCCTTGTCGATTCCCGCCTTATCCCTGTCCCCTGGCTCCAAAAAACTGGAGTTTGCATCCGCACTTCCTCCTTCAGTGCTGTTGCTACCCCCGAACCGCAACCACTACTACCTCTACAACCACTGCTCGGTACTTCTACCTTTCGAGTCTTCCATGCGACTTGCTATCGACGTTCACCGTGCCATCGCCCCCTTAACCCCGCCGGAAATACTGCTCCATTGCAAGTAACCCTCGACTTGTTAGACAACTAGAGCTCTCAGTGCCTTCCTTCTCCGGACCAGCAGGGCCTGAGTCAAAGTTTCACTCCGACCCGAATTCCCTCCGCAAGCGGGCAACTTGTCTGTGATTACACTCCGATATTTACCTCGTCCATCACATCACGGCATCCGGAGCCTCTCGCTTCGAACCTCTCCCAGTTGTCGCCCCATTAAACCCCTTGCAAGTCCTCCTTGTCGCATTTTACCCCCAGGCGTACGTTTCACGCCACCTCTACGTTTTCGGAACGCCTGGCTCTAGCGAGATTCGGTGCGAGACCTTGTGCGGACGTGTATTCTGTGCTGGACCTGGCTGCCTGTGATGGCCTCAAAGGTGCGTCTGAACACAAAAAATCGCCTTTCGCTTTTCCTGCTCTAAGGTATGGCCGCGCTAATATCACCTTTGCAGTTCCTTCGTGAATACAAATTGGTGGTAGTAGGAGGTGGAGGGGTAGGAAAGTCATGCTTGACCATTCAACTCATACAAAGCCACTTCGTGGATGAATACGATCCTACAATTGAAGGTGCGAAAACTCGCAGACAGATATGAGAGCAGCTCGCTGATATCCTCCGGTAGATTCATACCGCAAGCAATGTATGATTGACGATGAGACCGCCCTTCTCGATGTCCTGGACACCGCCGGCCAAGAAGAATATTCCGCAATGCGAGAACAATACATGAGAACGGGCGAGGGCTTCTTGCTCGTCTACTCCATAACCTCCCGACAGTCCTATGAAGAAATCATCACCTTTCAACAACAAATCTTACGGGTCAAGGATAAAGATTACTTCCCAATGATCTTAGTGGGCAACAAGTGCGATCTAGAGTCAGAAAGAGTTGTGTCCAGGGAAGAGGGAGAAGCACTCGCTGTACAATTTGGGTGCAAGTTCATTGAAACGTCGGCCAAGTCCAGTATACATGTTGATGATGCATTTTACGGTCTGGTGCGAGAAATTCGACGGTTTAATCGCGAGATGGCGGGATATTCGGCAGGCGGACCTCAACTGGGCTCACATGGGCCAGGACAGAAACTGGAGATGGATCATCAAGCACAGAGTGCGGGGTGCTGCAGCAGGTGTGTGGTCATGTAAAGAGAAGGGGACAAGAAGAAACCAAGCGATACAGCCACACACCAAGGACTGTACGTTGCAGAGGGTTGCAGGGGGTTTGACGGCATGGAGTTGCGAGGCTGTCTCTGACGCAGTGGGACTGTTTGGCCAGGCTTGCAAACATTTTGGAGGTCCTGCGAAAAAGTCATTCAGATTTCAAGATTTCTTCCAGGCTTGCGCCGCCACAAGCAAATATCACCTTTTAGTATTGGAAGGGCAGTCTAAGGAGCAAGCTGCTGGAGGCGTTTGAGTGGATTTTCTGGGAGCTTGAGTCCTCCAGTTACAGGAAGTCCCGGCGAGAGCCCTTGCCATAAGGTTCTCGGGCGTTGTATCTCACCAAAATGATATTCGCACGTTTTTCGTGTTGCTCGTTCTGGAAGGTTGCAGTTGGCGAACCGTCGTTGCATTGATTTGTGATGAGGAAGGGTCGTGCCACGAAATCTGGGGTAGTAGACGCTTTGACACATGGGATTAAGCCTGACCGGCTGCCCTCACTGCTAAGGAGGCCTTCCCTTCAAACAAATCCAACCATATTCCGTATCTACAGAGTACATGCCTGACGCTTCGTTCCCACGCGCCCATCGCCAGTATATAAGGCTGCCTACTGAGTAGAGCTGTAGTGATTAGGGTGGATGTTTGTGAGGCAGCAACGGTGAAGACAAGGAGCGTTTCTCACTTGACGAGAAGACTGTCTCCGTCATGCCAGAAACTAGGGACAGCCTTCCCACCATTCCTACATCAGGAAATATGTCATCAGACCACGACAAAGAGGCTGCTGAAGTCTCGCTAAAACCTATGTCCTTATCGAACAAGCGCAACGCATTTTCCGAACTCATGTCTCCCAAATCCAAACAAACAAAACCGCCGTCTTCCAGGCCAGGCATAGGGAAATTGAGCAATCCTACCGACTTCAGAAGCGGGCTCCTCCCGTACATTCTCGAGCCCACTTCCTTTCCTTCCAACATCGTCATTCAGCACACTGAGCGGACGGTCCTGGTTCAAGATGCCTTCCCCAAAGCCACAGTGCATCTGCTCCTGCTCCCGCGAGATTCCTCCAAATGGAACCTGAACCCGCGAGATGCATTCGACGACCATAAGTTCGTGGACATGGTACGAAGCGAGGCCGCGGCGGCTGTCAGGTTAGCTGCGTCCGAATTATCGCGAGTAATAAGTCCATACTCGGAGTCTTGCAGAGCCCGCATTGCGGCCATGGAGGGTGACGACCCTCCTGACGTCCTGCCAGCTGGACGAGATTTCACAAAGGAGTTCAAAGTGGGAATCCACGCCCATCCTTCGATGAGCCATCTTCATGTTCATATCATCAGTCGAGATATGCATTCAGCCCGACTGAAGCACCAAAAGCACTATAACAGCTTCAACACCGACTTCTTCATCCCTTTGGAGGACTTTCCATTGGCGAAGGATGACATCCGACGAAATACCAGCTATCAGAATGCCAATCTTAAGAAGGATTATAAGTGCTGGCGCTGTGGGAAAGTGTTTGGGAACAAGTTTAAACAGCTCAAGGAACACCTTGATGCCGAGTTCGAGGCATGGAAGAGAGAATGAAAGACTGGCAAGACCAGTCGGGAATGGATTCTTGCCAACGACGGGCCTCTTCTATCTGTGTCTTCCTCGATCTCGACTATAATTTCATGCCGGGCTGGGTCTTACACGATCAATGTGGTCTAACTCAGCCTGCTCAGCTCTTCCTCTCCGGTCATCCACGTCGACATATATTCTTCCCGGCTGGACGACCTCGTACTCGAATCTTTGCGTTTGAGGAGTTCTCTCTCTACGACGTCTTGTGCCACTTGCTTCGTCTTCTGGCGGTCTTATGATGCTGCCAGATCGGACCCGGATGGTCTCCCTCTCTTCGACGTCTCGGAAGCGCCCGCCTGTCGCACTGCGACCGCGACCTGACTGCCTAGCGCTGCCAGGTCTAGATCTGGCACTGCGTCTTCGGATATCTGCCATATCATCTCCACCTCCATCACTGGAGGGAGTGCGGATGCTACTTTCACTGTCGCCTCTTCCTCCACCGCCGCGCCTATTTAATTTCCGCAAGATCCGCTTGACGAGCTCGTCAGTCTCGAAAAGATCTCTCTCCATTCTTCGGATTTGGACCCGTTGTACTTGATCAAGCATGTGTACAACAGACGATTGGCTTTGCCACCTATTACTCCAGTCAGCTTATGTCTGGTCGCGAAGCACCTCGCTGAGACTGGGCTTAGGAACAAGGCGCGAGTAGACACGTTCGACCTACCAAATGAATCGATGGACCAGATCAGTTCGATAGTACCACTGCTGGTTTGACGACAACCCAGCCTCCGCCATACCCACACGGTCCTTTACCTTCTTGCGGTTGTCGTTGCTGCTGCGCCGGCCACTGGGTCTGGCAGAATGCTTTTCATCAACATCACTCTCTCCCCAGTAGTCACCCCTCTGGACCTGCTCGGCACGCATAGGATCCCTGATCAAAAACGGCCTTTCGACGTTCTTGAATTGCTGCCACAAGTCATTGATGGTGGATTCGAGTAGTTGTGCCACTTCCATCCTGTCTTTCTGCTGACGGCGTCGTTTGCGCCGAGCGCGCGGGTTGGGGAAAACAGAGTAAGGGTCACCTTCGCGGATGCGATGGCGGAGGAGCACCTTCTCCGCCTCGATCTCCTGGCGCAAGTTGCCAAGCATGATGGGGATCAAGGTGTCTGCATGGCGCATGGTTGAAATGAGATCCCGGTAGACGCCTGAAATGTGTCAGGAGCTGTGGATTACCAACGCCTACACAGGGAGGTGACAAAAGAATAGCACCCGCTACGTATGACTGGGAACAATATCATTCCCCACGCTGGGATTCGGGAGCCGGGGTAAGTCGTGCCAGAAAAGACGGTGGGTACATGAAACTGGGATGGGCGACATACCGAGCAGAGTCATGAGGGTGATGGCAAAGGAGATGAACCCGATGACCTGTGAGACTAGAGCAAGACTCATGCTGGCGGCAGTGACCGGCCCGACACAATTATAGCCTTGTACCAAATTCCAGTTGTTGCAGGCGCTACGACGAGTATGGTAACATTGTGAATGCGGTCGTGCAGATACGTAGAGCTTGGGAAAAGGTGTGATGTTGGTCGGCCCGTTGAGTTTCCCCTTTTCTTCCAACAGGCATTCAATGGGGTTTATTATGCTCAGCGGGGCGAGTTGGGGTTCGGGTGTGCATTTAAATAAATGTTACAGTACGATGCCTGTGCTACTTTCATCCATAAGCATATGTACTCTACATAAAAGAGTAAACACTGTACAGTACCCGAGCTCGGTGTCTGGAGCCAATCCCCAACTCATGTGCTCATTCCTCATCCTCAGTCCTGATCAACACTACCTCTGCCTCACATGCGGACTTGTCTCTACTAGCAATGGATCATCTACCATTGCCAGACGGCGTTGATGAGCATATGATTGTTCCGTACTTCGATGGCGTCCCTTATGACAACAAGGGGTTCCAGGGTTTCGACACCCATCAAGGATGGGACATCAAGCGCCTGCCATAAGGCGCATGCCATAAGGCGCAAGATTCTCCATATTACACGACAGGGCAGCGATGAGGACTAAAATATAGCGCTCAGCCCAATCAGAACTATGTATCCGTATATCGTTCATCTAGAATTGGTTATAGACCACTTATTACACTTAACAACCTGCAGACCACCGCTGATGAATGGACAGTTACCATCCTGCTCATTACCGTGCTGCGAATCAAACCGTCTCGATCCGGCATCCTTTTGGACAAGGAAACACCTTACCAACTAAGATTACTAATTCTTTTATTTTTTGATATTAATTATTAATACAAATAAGCCAACATATTTTAATATATACGGCTGGCCAGACTTGAACCGACGCGATATGTCTGGAAGGCGATAAGCCTACTCCGTACATTTTGTTGTTGTGCTTACAACGACTTCGCGCGAGCCGAGGCTGAGCTCAGGGCGGCATCACCCAGCGTGCCAGGTCCCGATCCAGGGTGAGCCGCAAGCAGATATCACCTCCCTTAGCTTCTACACCATGGCAACCGCTCTCGCCGCCGGCATTGGCACGATAACGGCCACGACCCCGTCCGTCAAAACCATCCTCGACGGCATAGTCAACCTGCACGCCTCGTGCGTTCTGCACGATGGCACCCTGGCCACCTTCCTCCCACCCCTCGACCATGCGACCATGTACCGGTGGTGGGAGGAGCGGCTAAAGGAGGTCCAGCAGGGAGGCAGGCATATCATTGTGTATCTGTCCGAAGTGTCGAGCCGGATTGCATCGACGCCGGATGGAGAAGTCAGACCCCCGTTTGAGTCGGAGGGGCGAGGATGGCCGGTCGTCCAAGCTGTCACTGGCACCGGCACCGGCACCGGCACCGGCATCGTGTCCACCAGCAAAACATCGTCACCCACCGAATCGAAGGGTCCTAGTACCGCTACTATTGAGCTCGAAGTCTCAGGCGTCGTGTCCCTGGCTACACCGTTCTCCCAGACCGGCCCGTTCCGTGGCCGTGTCGAGAAACTCTTCGTGTCGCCTCTGCACCGCCGCAAAGGCATCGGGCGGTCTGTCCTGGCCAAACTCGAAGCCATTGCCTGGGAGCATGGCCGCTGGAATCTCATGCTCGACACCACTGTCGGGTCGGATGCGGAGAAGATTTATCCCAGACTCGGCTATACTGCGCTTGGGGTGGTCAATGACTACGGCTACTCGCCCAAGGATGGGCAGTTGCGAGACGAAATCTGGTTTTGGAAGGACTTGAGGAAGACGAGGTTGAGTTAAGGGCGAGGGCACAAGGGGGGTGATTACACAGTGTCGAGTCGGTCAGGAAGTGCTGGTGACGGTCGAGTCTGGCTGTCACTGTCAGCATGAGCATGAGTCTGGAGATCAACACTGGAAATTCGCGAATCTGAATTTTGCAGCCAACTACGCGCGAAGAACTCATCCATTAATGATATACAGTAGATGACATGTCAAAAATGCGGATAGAAGATAGAAAAACAGATCCCAGGTAGCCTCTGTATACTGATACAACCTCTCTCCCACAGTAAGGAGAGGGCTGTCCTCTGCGGACCATAATGAATTCCGAATGGATTGTCCAAAAGCGCGGCATGGTAAAGGACTCCTGCAATGTGGCAGCCTCGCGAGGCTGATTTCCCTGCCTTACTAAGCCAAGTCAAGAGCTGGAGATCACGTGATGAGCCGTAACCCACACTAATCCCGTCTGGGAAGAAACCTCAATTCGCGCCAATTTTGACATTCAGTCCAAGTTCAAGTTGTCCGCACCGCCAGCTTGGAACCATACCTATACGCTACGTTGACAGTGATCCTCATCACACAGGCGAATCTTCCACCTCTACACCTTCAAGCGCCGTTGGGCTTGTTCAAGCATTACTCCCGCCGACGCCCATGCCCACGATGCCTCCCGTACCGTCCATGACGGCTCTGCACGCCCTCCGAGCCTTAACACGGCTCACGATTTCGAAACCCAAACCCGGCCTTCCTTTCGCCCGGCCATCCCGGTCATTCACGACGTCGCCCTCTCCGTGGATGACACTGAACCAAGTACGGGCACGGCCTCGGCAGCCCAAGAAAGCCCGACACGCCGTGTCGCCGGCGCTGGCGTCCTTGAAACGACCGGAGATGAAAGGGGTGTGTCTGAAAGTCGGCATCACCAAGCCCAAGAAGCCCAACTCGGGCCAGCGCAAGACCGCAAAGGTCCGACTGTCTAGTGGCAGGGTGGTGAGCGCCTATATCCCCGGCGAGGGACACAATGTCCAGCAACACAGTGTCGTGCTTGTCCGAGGCGGAAGGAGTCAGGATTGCCCCGGGGTGCGCTATCACCTGGTCCGAGGAGCATTTGATTTGGTGAGTTCTACCTACACCTATTATCCCTTCCCTCGAAAGTTGCTGGTTCACGACTCGATCCGCCCTGAACAGCCAACTTGTGACCTCTTCTCGCCGTATACCTGTGGTCTGATTGCTGACTTTCGCATTTATGTTCGTCGTGTAGGGTGGTGTCCCCAGCCGAGCGACCAGCAGGTCGAAATACGGCACGAAGAAGCCTAAGACGGATTAGGCTGGACTGTAATATCGAACATGAACGCGAGAGCTTTTGGCTGTATGACTTGAGGGTCAGTCTCGGGTCAATGACTACTCGGAGTGTTAGTGGTGTAGGAGGTTGTCTTGTTCAGAACCATGGCGGCACACGCCGAACAAGGATCGGGTCATCCAAGAGCTTCCTTTATTTACAGAGGTCAACTTGGCTGAAAAACACCAGACACATCTCCCTTTCGGTGGGCGTGGCTCACCTTTACTGCCTGCGGTGGTTGATGTAATCCCGGCGGTAGTTAACGTCTTTGAGTCCTGGTTTCTTGGACGCTTTTCTGGTTTCTTTTCTGCCGGTGCCGGGATAACAGTTCTGGTTTTGCTCTACGGCTTCCCTCTGTCGTCAGGACTTTACGTATACCAAGTACGCGACCGGTATGTGCATAGCTACAGGTATGTCGCATTAAACTTAGCGGCCTTAGATATTGTATAAGAATTCTTGGTTGATCAAGTGACCTTGATGGATTGATAGAAATCTTCTTCATTTTATACATTCATGTCTCCAGCCGTTGGCAACGTACGGCCCACAACCCAAACCTAAACCGTGTTCGCCGTTCACTCGTCTCGATTCGCATCCAGATCGATATCCTCGAGTAAAATACCCAAGGTATCTGGCCACGAAAGGATTCCCCAGCCACAGGTACCAGTGTACCATCCCGGGCTGATGGAGTGAAAGCCGTTGCTGGAGACACCCTTTAACCGCCCGTATTTTGCCGTTTCCCTAACCTGTCCTGCCATTAAATCCCGAAGACAACTCCCGGAAAACCATATCCTGCCATAAAGCAGGGTTGGTGTCAGTTCACGTGGTAGCCAAGTGGGTTGTGTCGAATAATCGATAACGTAGACTGGTAGGGTCCACATTGCTTGTGAATACTGGCCAGGATTCTGTTCCAAGTAAGATATCCCTGTCGAATGATTGTATCGGAAGAGAAGGTCCTCATGAGACACTGGTGGATAACTCCGACCTGGCTTGGTTGTGCTGTTGGACCAAACTGAGTAGCACGCGGTGCAATCATTCCGAATCCTCACTTTGTGCCAATCCCCTTTCATGCCATTCGGCCAACCGTTCTGCTGCTGCAAGAATCTTACGTCTCGTTCTCGGAATCTTCATCAACACCACCAGCATGACCAGTCCAACGCTGAAAGATAGGCAAGAATACCGCCAAATCTCCCAACCTAGACTGACGCCGCTGTTGCCGCTGTTGCCGCCGTCGGTTAGTCATACTTGATCCATCCAACCCTCGGGTTTGGCTATTTTATTCAGGTCAAAGTATCGAGACGTGCAACTATAACCCTTCCAATCAAAATTGTCTTGAGGATTGCAGTGACAGCGGAGCTTCAAGCGAAGATCCTCCCCAGTTGGGCAGTGAGTAAAGGGGACGTGGTAATAGGCGATATCGTTGAAGAAGTGAATTTCCTCCTTGCGGAGGAGTAGGGCAGCGGCGATGGAGTGCACAGGGGCATCCCCCCAACGCTCATAGAAGAAACCGCCATCCTTGTCAAGAGATTCGAAAAAGTCCTGGTAGGCTTGCGATCGAAGCCAATCAAGGTTACCAATTTCGAAGTTGGACCACTATAAGCATGGTTAGAAGCGGCGTGAGATTGGAAAAAGGGAAGCACTCACGAAATGGCACTTGTTGTAGGTCTCACCACCGTCGTCACTCAGGAAAGACATGGAATTATCGGGGGAGATGTGTTCAGGATGGGCTTTGATGAACTTTTTGACACTATCCCAGAGGGTCGGAATCGTTTCAACATATTCGTACAAGCTCAGCACAAAGCTGTACTTTTTCTTGTTGTCCTTCATGAAGCGGAATGGGTCATAGTGGACATCACAGAACAGCTCGACGCTTGGTTCGACTCTCCAGTAATACTCAAACTGTTGCATCAGTGGGTGACGGAAGAAAAAGCCAGACTCGAATCGACACATATGGCGGTAACTGATGGAGTCGCCATAGATGATCCTTCTGCGACGCATATCCTCTCGGACAGCCTCGGCCTTCTTCTGATCGATCCATGGTGGGAATGACCAGTGCTCTGTGGGAATTTCGCCATAGTGCGTCTTTCCAGACACCAGAGATGAGGTGATTTTCTTGAACTGGTCATCGAATGGTTTATCGTTCAGAAACACCCAGTCGTAGTTATAATTCCTGTTGAATCTATCCTCCACCTGTCGAATGGAGCGGGCAATCTCCCACAGATCCGAGTTTCTTGCCAATGTTACAAATGTAGCATTCACACGCTCGCCCGGCGCTGGTGGAGACAATTCGGAGGGTACGGCAGGAGTAATATTAGGTGTCATAGATTGCAACGGTCTGGTTTCTCCCGAGGCCGGCGACGATTGCTTCGGAGGCGAGACTGCATCTGATGCTTCTTTAGGCTTGGAAGAGGACGAGTCATCACTGGGTGAATCCCAGGAGAATTTACCTCCTGACGTAAGAGGCTGCGCGTAGGAGGGTAACGATGAGGTAGAGATGAAGTAGAGGATGGCGATGCCCTGGCGTCATCAGCGATGGGACTCGTCATCAGATAGCCTCTTGCAACTTACGAAAACAGCAAACAGTATATAGCGCAGGTACCTTGTTGATCCCGTCGCCATCTTGCCAGATCAGAGAGACTGTGCACGCGAGTTCGATTCTGGAATGCGCTGGCAAGGGAGAACCCGACTAGAAGGCCAGACTGACGAAAACGGACGGGAGGAAAGCACCGAGTGCTCTGACCTGGTCCAAATGGCAGTAGAGACCGTCGAGGAATATCCGTGATTCGCTAAAGTGGTGAGGGCATGAGGCCTGACAGTCGGCTGCGGCTGCGACGCGGGCTGACGACGGATAATGCACTGTTTGGAAACAAAGAAGAAACTTGATACACGGGGGTTTCTAGAGAAGGATATTTGAAGGATAGGAGTAAGACATCTGACAGAACACAGTTGTTGGACACTCGAGAATCAGATGGGTCCAACGCAACCAAAAAGGGACTGAACGCGCAAGCTGGCAGGCGTGTTACAAGAAAGTTTTAGGCATCTTGCGGATGTAGGAGAGACACTGTGGATGTACCAGGGCAAGCCACAGTCTATTTCCAGGGTCTGGCCGGCCCCCTGAGAAGGAGGCCTAATGCCTAACACGTATGGCAATTAGTTGTGGCTGTGCGCCGCAGGAGCATGACTAGAGGCATAATACGGAGTAGAGATGTTCCGGTACTACCAAACACAGCTGAACACGATGCCGCCTTACTGAGTCCCCGTGACTTAATTATTGGCAGCCAGTAAGGATTAGATCACCATCTGCCAGCCAGCGATCCGCCCACACACAAGGTCCTCGTCCACTCCTCCCGTCTCTTTATTAGCATCTCAACCCGAGCTCATCCCATCTGGGTCACAGTCACATTTCCTGTGTTTGGTACGCATATACCTCATCTCGTCCACTGCCGGTTGGATCATGCCCGCCTGCGGTTCTTCTGCAATCGTTCGAATACAGTGCGGGAGCGGGGCAGTGAGACACTAACCACGACAACAACAATCCTGCCCTTGACCCCAGACCTCAATTCTGCGGTGGTCCAGCTCCTGCAATTACAGCCATGTCATTCTTCGGCTTTGATACGACCCTACCCAGGGACAAAGCTGGGGGCGCGAACAGCAAGGGCTTCTTCGAGCACGCAAATCCCTTCAACGAAGTAGCCAAAGCTCGCAAGTTGCAAGCCTTTCAGGACAATCAGGAAGAAGTGTAGGTCGTGACGGCTACATCCTAGGCACACAAAGCTGACGTACTCGTTTCAGACTTGACTTTGAAGACACCTACGATGGTCTCGGCGATCAGCTTCAAGAAGCTGGCGATGACTTCAACGATGACACCTTCGGCGGTGGTGCGGAGGGGTCAAATGACCGTGGTGGTGTAGGAAAGGATTTCGATTTCTTTGGCAGTACTGCCCAGGTATCGACCGCCATTGAGGAAGAGGCGATGCGATACAATCTACAATACCCCTCTCGGGAGACTGCGCCCCCTCAATCTCGGAAGCCCAAGAAGACAGGCTATGAGAAGTATCAAGATCCGGGTTATATTCCGGAAATTGAAGCGAAATCTGGAGCATGGAGCCACAAGCCCTCCACACACTCACCGGGTCAGCCGAGCCAGCCTGAAGATATTCACGTCAGTACGTCCAGACACACCGCTCCAGCTCCGGAGGCACCGCAGCCGGGGACAAAGATGATGAGTCTGGAGGAAGTTGAAGCTGCTCTACTGGCTCAAGCCCAAGCCCACGCCCGAGCCCAGGCAGCACAAGCACCGCAGCCACCATACCCTCAGCCTCAAGTGTTTCCCTTCCCTGTTGACCATATGCACCCTCCTCAGCCGTATCAACCAGGACCGCCACCGATGCCGTTTAACCAACAACATGCTCCGCCGCCTCCGCGTTCTGCCAGCCCTCGGCGCCATAATCGCATGCCTTCACAGCCTTCGCATCCTTCACAGACTTCGCAGCTCCGTCCAGCCCAACAGCCTCTACAGATTCTCCAGAACCCTAACCGAGCGCGTCATTCGCCACAGCCTAGTGTCGATAGAGTCCAAGGGTTGCCACCATACGGGCCAGCACAAGCGGGAGCTGCGCCTGGCATCACTCATCCTCAGCAGCTACTTGACTTGTCCGAAGCACAGCGCCGTGCTTACTTGGAGGAAGATGCCAAGAGAGCAAAGCGCAATCACAAGATCTTTTTGCTATCCAAGGGCAATGGTTTAATGACTCCGCAAGACAAGAATTTCATTACACGCATCCAGTTGCAACAGCTTGTCACGGCAACTGGCACCTCGGCCGACCCAAATCCTGAAGCCTCTTTGAACGAAGACTTTTATTACCAGGTTTACAGTCAAATTCGGGGGGCTCCAAGGCAGCATCCGACCCAGCCGCTCGGCCATTTCGCGCAAACCTATCTCTTCCAAACCGGTATCCGTGGGGGCGGGAGAAGACAGCATGCCAACGGTGACAATCATATGCAGAGAATGCAACAACAGGTTCAGCGAGCCGTGGAGGCGGCCAAATTGAAGCCTAAGAACAAACAGCTTATCATCGAGGGTAGCTTGGGCAAAATTTCATTCAGCAATGCAAAGACACCAAAGCCGCTTCTCAACATCAAGAGGCAAGACAGTTCCGACGCTCGCCCAGCCAGTGGAAGGAAGGAAGTCAGCCCGAGCGATCGTAAGACAATACTAAAGAACATTGAAGCTGTCTACACCACTTTGATGCGTCTTGAGGATCATGAGCGGCAATCGCCCCCACCACCCACCGAAGGTGATGCTGATTCCATTCAAGCTCACCTGGATTGGCGGCAAAAGCTGCAAGAGCTCAACACGGCTCTTTGGCAGGAGCTCAAGGTGCTTGACCCAATCGTTCCAGGGTCCTCCATCCCTCACCCGTTCATCGCCTTCCTCTCCTTTGCGAAAGGCAAAAAGGCCATGCCTCGCATCTTTCGTCTAATTGATCAAGAGCAGCGCTTGACCATTTTGACCATGATTGTCGTCCATCTTGATCAATTGGATGTGACCAAGGACGCCCGCCCCGCAGCGGGAGATTCTCAGCCGACTTTAGCAGTTCGGGAGGAGATCGAGCTGTTCTCTCAGACGGTGATGCCGTGCTTGTTACAGTATGTCAATGAAGCGCCTATTAACATTGTCATTGGGTTGCTCGGGCTGTTGGTCGAACGTACCAGCATTGCAGTTGTTGCCATGACCAAGATCGGGTTGGGCATGATGACCATGCTATTAACGCGTGCGGAGCTTTCGAAAGAGTCTGGGGTCGTGTCTGACCAGGAATGGCAACAATGGACAGCATTGTATAACCGGCTTTTTGACACCTTGGAGCCTCTTCTTGGCTTGCTGTTCCCGGGTCCCGTGAATTCTGGCGACGACATCTACATCTGGCAGTTTCTGGCCACGATTGGGATTGGTGCAAGTCCGGATCAACAGCAAAGGCTAGTGATTGGAGTAAAAGATAGGGTCATGGAAACGGTGCAGCAGAGCAAGACATTGCCTCCGGAAATGGCTAGTGTTCGACTGGGCAATGTCAACTTGTTCATGAGGGCCATTGGTCTCGATGTGGAGATGCTGGGGTAGTCGTCAGGCTGGATTTTGAATTTGTTGGAAGCGCCAAACTGGTGGCTGTCCCAGTCGATGATGGGATCTCTGTCTCGTCTTTTGGGGGCGATTCACTCCTGAGGTTCGTGAAATTTGATGGTTTGAGAGAAGAAACCTGATAGCAATGCAATAGTGGTTTGACGCGCAATTGGAGTTTTGACGCTCTGAAACACTGTGTTTCTTGTGGGACCGTCGGTGTCCTGAACCATTCTCTCTTCCTATGTCCTGGGTTCTCTTCGGTGGTGTCCTACCATACCCCCTCAGCCCGGTCTGTTAAAGCAGCAGCACCTATGATTCAAGGAAGCATAGGGCGGCGTGCCCAAATCTAATTGCAGAGTATAGCCCAATTGTATAGTCTACCCCCTACCTATCTTAATGCCTTAGGTACCATCTAGACTACAAGTCAATCTCATCGTATAATGTCAGGCAGCTATCGCATAGGACAGCTTTTCAAGGGGAGATTGGACAGTTACACGGTCGCCAAAAAGGTGCGGGACACCATCTGGCTTGCCAAGTAGGCTCAGTCGTTCATCATCCGTACCAGCTCCTTCAACTTGAAGTTGACTGGGGCTGGTACGGAGTATAATTTTAGCCATTGCTAATCGAGCGAACAGAGATCAGACTGGATCGCCGGCTGTAATCAAGTTTGCTCGCGGAAACGATACGGTCAGGAACGAGCGGGATATCCTGAAACGCTTCCAAGGCCACAGCCACTTCATCGGACAATTAAAAGATGAGGTAGAAGTCCCAGCGAGCTCCGATCCGGCAATAGTATTGGAATATCTCGAGGACGACCTCCTGAGTGCCTCGAAGAAGCGGCCCCTGACTGGCAAGGAGATCAAATATGTGTCCAAGCAGGTGCTCCGAGCCCTTGACCTGCTTCACAGCGCCGGTTATGTGCACACGGGTCAGTCTCGCCACATTCTTTCGCTGGACTGGACTGATTTGCCTCGCTTTTTCTTCATCATCCGTTGTCGTTTTGGTTGTATCATGTATCATGTATCATACACTCATGCGTCTGTCTGCAGATCTGAAACTCGATAATGTGCTGGTGAACTACAAGAACCACGACCACGACTCTGGCATGCCCAAGACTCTGTCAGATATCCACCTTGCAGACTTTGGTGGCACCTCTCATGTGAATTCCCAAATCACAAAGGCCGGGGGTAACCATTGGGGCGCCCGTCTGGCGAAGTCCTGAGGCGCAGTTGAACCTACCTTGGAACACAGCAACAGATATATGGTCATTGGGCACCATGGTAATTAAACTGTCTCGGCTGCACCCTTTCCTGGTCACTCTTGACTGACCATTGGTTTCAAATTGTTAATTGAAGATCATAAGCCTGATCTATGGCGGTGATTTCAATATATTCCGGCCCCCGAACAGCACCCAGCTCAGCGACGGAGAGTATGAACTTCAGATCTTGATCCAGCAATCCAAATATTTTGGGCCATTTCCCCCAAAGTACGTGGACCTTGTCCGAAGTGACGAGATTGCCATGGCCACCATCGCATACGTGCTGGACACTGTCGAGAGTCTGACACCATTCAACATGACAACCGAGAGGGAAGTGAGTAAGGCGGATAAAGAGTTCATCTGCAAGATTATGAAGATCGATCCAAGAGACAGGCCGACAGCAAAGGAGCTGCTGCTGGACCCATGGTTTGAACCCGGACTAGAACTTTCCTGACACCTTTCCTTTTGCAGTCGGATTATAATCTCTGGACAATGAGGCGTATTGGCCAAAGGTGTCTTATGCATATGGGAAGGACTGTTGTCAGATGGTCAAGTCGCTCAAGTACCAAACTTGTTATGGTCGGAGCCATGAGAGGACAACTTCTTTGCAACCCCGCCGGTCAACAACAGCAATTGCCTGTAACCACTATGTCAATGAACAACCGAGTTTGATAAGCAGAGCTCTACTACCAGGTGCCTTGCAGCGGCCAAGGCTGTACGTGTAAACGTCGCACAAAAGAGAACTCCGGGGCCAAGGCGGGCTGCCAAGGCCTGGGTGGATCAACTAGCCCGGCCCGGTTGAGCCACGGAACGGATTGGGCGGACAGTGGACACAGGCATCACCCACCACCTCCAAGGTCGTTACTGACAACATCCTCTACGTAACTTGTGACTTGTGAATTGAATGGCAAGACCTTCCCCGCGTTATCGGTCGATTATTAAGTCTGGGGGTTTGTGGATCTTCCTGCCATGACCGTGAGCGATGGCATCGTCCGAGACAGCAAGCTTGGTCTTGAGAAGCAGATTGATTGACTATTCCACCAGCACTATGACCACAAGTCGACGACGGCTCTACCGACGACGTTCCCTTCCTTCAGAAGCTGGATTGCACGCGACACCTGCTCCAGTGGGAACTTGGTAATGACGGGAGTAACCAGGCCTTGGGCACACAGGTCCAGCACCGCAGCAGCCTCGCCCAGTGTCCCCACCATAGTGGCCTGGATGGAGATGTTCTTGGCTATCAGGTCATTCGGATCGCCGCCCACGCTCGCTTTGCTGGTTGGAGGCATGGCGACGCAGACGACCGTTCCTCCGACCCGTAGAAACTGCGGTGCTGACGCATAGCTAGACGGATGGGCAGAGGCTACAATAACTGCATGAGCTCCTCCGCCCGTGAGCTCCATGGTCCGCTGAACCGGATCTGTGCCCGACGTAATATCAATAAACTCGGAAACCCTTAGCGACGTGCACAGCTCCTTTTTGGCCGCCCCGGAATCCACGGCGATGACACGAGCGCCCATGGCCCGGGCAATCTGGACGGCAAAGTGGCCCAACCCTCCGCCGGCGCCCAAGATGACCGCCCATTCTCCGGCGCGGAGATCGCTCTTCTGCAAGGCGGCATAGGCGGTGGTGCCCGAGCACATGAGCGGAGCGGCATGGAACAGGTCCACGTTGGCAGGAATCCGGGTTGCGTAGATGGCCGGAACTGCAATGTACTGTTGATACGTGCCCTCCATCGCGATGCCGGTGAATCAGGCCTCCGGGCAATGTTGCTCGCGACCTTTGATGCAGCTCTCGCACGAGTGACACACCCAGGAGATGGGCTTGACGCCGGCCCTGTCCCCAACTTGCCAGCCCGTGACGTCTTTGCCGATGGCCTCGACAATGCCGGCGCCTTCATGGCCGACCGTCTGCATCTTGGTTCGAAACCCGGTCCATTCCTGCATCATCAATGAGAGATCTGAATGGCATAAGCCCGTGGCTTGGAGCCGGACGAGAATCTCATCGTGGGCAGGCTGAGGTTTGGCCTTGTCGATGATGTCGATGGTGAAATCCTTGCCCGGATTTTGGACAATCGCTGCACGCATGGTGGCCGCCATGTAGCGAAGGGAGTGTGCTGTACGTTGGCGCAATGCTAATACTAGATACTAGATACTAGATACTAGATACGAAAAACTAGAAACGAAGAGGCTTTCAAAGGCTTTAGAAAATAACTTCAGAGCTGTCCCCTGTCCATCGTGAAAAGTAGAGTTGAGTTATTCCAACCAACCCTCACCTTCGTCTTTTATCCGGGGATGTACAGTACCGTATCCAAACAGTAGCGTCTCCCCCTACCCCACGACACACACACATTAGGTATGTATCTGTTCAATATTCATGCACGTGAATGTTGTGGAGCAGCGAACCGGGCGTGTGTGTGCCCGCTCCATACGGGGCGCTCGGTGCCAGCCTCAGGCCTCGGTAGCCGAATCGACCGCTTTGGGCGAAGCTGTATCTCCAACCGCGGCGGCAGCCCCTTAGGGGAGAGGTTGTACATACGTACTAGGTTAGATACCAGGTAGATACGTTCTTTTGGTACTGTAGAATACAGTACGCCTGGGTCCACAACAGATAGCCTCGGCAATACGATACGGCGATACCAGGTACTCCTAGACTCTGTAATTACCATACCAGCTTCCTGCTTGTACCTTACCCTTCTCTGCGTTCAAACCTGTAGAACTCGATTGGACTATCGAATGGAAATCCAGACTGTGGTAGGAGTGACGGAAGCCTCAACATGGCGTTGAACTTCGAAGGGGTGTAGACGTATGGGAGCCAAGGTGGAACCAGTGCAGTTCAGTCCAGTATTTAACAGATAGATACCTAGCGGGTCTTCAGTTTTGGATGGAACCAAGGCTAGGGGGCTCAGGGGCTAGCTGTCGAAGCCGACAGGGCGAGTGCGACTCGCGGTGTCGAGTCGAAAGTGTCAACGGTCTCGATGGTCGATTGTTGAATATGGCCGAATGCGCTGGTCAGCCGATGTTTTCTGTGGAAGGTTGGCATACTACATGGTATCATGCTCGTGGAAGCCATGGCATTCGCGACGCCGGGGGTGTTCGCTGATATCTGATCTGGGGGAAAGGGGCCTAGTTCCAACTCCACGGTCCACCTCCTCGCTCAGCCGCCCCTGAAAATAGAGACTAGCAGCTGTATTGATATTGTGGTCAGGTACATCGGCGCCTTCTTTGCTTTACTTTTGCTGTTTGAGTTGACAGTAACTCATTGGCAAGGGAATTGGAAGTAGAAGAACGTAAAGGCATACCCGGACCTCCTTTCCAGTCCTATTTCTTAGACCCTACGACACACAATTACTCCCAGACGGGTACTGGAAGACGAGAATGACTGCCCAGTCTAGATTGATCGCTCCTGGTCGTCTCCTTCTATCGTCGCTATTCGTCTTGCATAGCTTTCTTTTCCAGCCATCAGGCATTGAATCTTCACTAGGACTTAAATAGTGTGATTATGTCACACTGTGGAGTACACACTGCATTATAGCAGCAGGCACTACGAAAAGAATAGATAGACTTCGCAATTTCTATAAATAGGTTAGCGCTGTTTGTTTTAGCCAAACGGCGCGCAGCGTGACCGCGCTAACACACTAATTGCCAGGACAGCAATTGTCGTATTGGGCTGCGACGTCTGCAGTGTATTGATCTCCCCTCCAGCTTCCAACTCTCAGCGCAGGGATACAGGTCTACCATCACCTTGAGCTGCTGCACCCCTGCACTCCAACTATCATTCCAGATCGTTCGCATCGTTCTTTGAGTGACTACGTACCAAGCCGCATCTGCAACAACCTGGCCTGCATCGCACCCGCCTTCACACCACGCCACTTTCCGACCACCAGCCAGCCTACTCAACACATGACTGACCAACCTGCACGAAATTTCCAGCAAACAGCCCACGACAATTCGAAACGCTGATCTGCAATATTTGCCTTGCTTCGCCCTTCGCCCTTCACCTTCACACTTCCCTCTCTGGTGCTCTGCTCGAACTGCAGGGACCCATGGTCCCATTCACACCTTTTTGCCTCCGCGCCTCGAGCCTATGCTAGTACCACCACTGCCACGTTCTCGAATATGTCTGGAGTATATTCTGTCGAAGACCTGTTGAAGCTACGGGCGTCACCGCTGATATGCAGACCATCAAATCTGCCCCCAATAGATGAATGGATGGGGTATAAAATATACATTACACGCATGCCCAAAACATGTACTGACAGTCGATCAGAACGCAAGACACAACCACCAAAAAGTTGGCCGTTCGTACCAAACCGGATGAGTTCACATCCATACAAAATGAAACATTCCAAAAGCGGCCGGCATTACTCGATTTACAGCGGCGAACAACAACCGGTATGGACACGCGGCTGACCGTTGTCCAGTCCTCCTTGCTAATCGATACATGACAGACCCCGATCGTATAGTGCTCGGGCCGCCTCGTCGTTCTTTCGCTTCTGCCAATGCTCGCACCTCTGGGAGGACCCAAGATGGCTCGGACGAGACACTCAACAAAGACCGAACTACCCTTCAAGAGAAACCGTGGAATGGTGACGGTGTCGAGTCGCTCAACCAGGACCGCCGAAGTTTACAGATGAACGGTCGTGGTAGCAACCGACATGAAAGTGAAGACCCCGATCTTGAGCATCGTCGAGACCAAGACCGGAAGCCAAGATGGGCGGGAAGAGATAGGAATGAGTCGGGCATCGAAGACGAGCAGATCCAAGAAGATTCAGCCCGCCCGACGGTCCGACGAGACGCACATTCCAGAGCCAAGCTGTCCCAGTCGTGGTTCAAGAAGGATGGCCCTGACACTCAAGACGAAGCGCGACGAGACGCCGACAAGGGACAGGAGTGGCGACGTGGCGAATGGGGAAGGGAGCGAGATTGGGACCGATCCGCCAAAGTTGAAGCGGAGCCGGAATGGATGGACTCGGCGGAACCAGACGAGCCTTTCCAAGTCCGTACCCAGGAGGACTTCCAACGCTGGAAGGAGAAGATGAAGGCCGGAGGAGCGCCCTCCGTCGGCAAGCCCGACTCGGCCGTCATCGTTCCCCCTTCAGAGAATGCCCAGGCCAAATCGACAACGACGGGCGCCTCTCCCGAACCGGATGACTCAATGGACAAGTTCTTTGCTCGATACGAGTCTAAGACAACTGAGCAAAAGCCCGTCGCCGCGAAGCCACACGGCAGGACCCGATTCGCCTCCCTCTTCAGTCCTCCGCCTGAGCAAAACAAACAAGTCGAGGCTGCTCCGCCGGTGCCGACAGCGGAGAGGCCATCATCGGCACAGCCAGGATCAGCGGTGGATGCCGATCAAGCGGGATTTGCACGCATTCTTGAGATGCTACAAACTCGCAGTAATAACCCGACACCTCAGACTCAAGAGACGGCTAAGCCTAGAGCCCCATTGTATGCCAGGGGTGGCGAGGTCAAGTCCGTGGCCGAATCAAGACCGTCTCCTCAAAGCCTGCTTTCCCTCCTCGCCGGCCAAAACGCCCCCCAACCCCAGGAGCCTACACGAACACGGCCATCCGCCAGCCAGGCGAGAGTTACAGAGCCGCAATCTTCCACAGACCAATCGACTCATACCCGACAGCAATCCAGCATCAACAAAGATGAAGTGTTGCTGAATTTACTTCGGCAGGCGAATCTCGCACCAAAACCGGAGCCACCACCTCCCCATCAGCAAGCGGACGGCCGAAATGGAGGAGCCATGTACGGCATGATGTCCGAGTACAATGTGAGAATAGGCACGGCCAGGGGCCAAATGACTTCTCCCGTCCAACCACCAGACCACATAGCCCAGCGAAGAGAAACGGGACGGGCAATATTTGAAGAGTCACTCGTCCCGATGTACCAGAACGAACCTACACAACTTGAACAACTCCCCGGGCGACCTGCTAACGGCCACCGTCTTGGGCTCTCCGAGGATCCATTGATGGCACTTCTGCGTGGCCAGAACCAACAACCGCGACCGATGCAGCCTCCACAACTGCCCCAAGGTCTTCCTCCTGGTCTTCAGAGACCGCCTGGATTAGAACAGATGGCACTGGCAAATCCCAACTGGCCACCTCAACAGCCACAGCCACATCCACATACACAACCTCAGCAACAACCTCTGCGTCAGCCCTCACTTCCCCCTGGCCTCGGGGTCAACGTTTCTCGCGTTATGCCAGGCCCGCCGTTTGGCCAGCCTCAACAACTACCAAGCCAGCCAACCCTTCAACAGCCAACCCAGCAACCGCGAGTACAACAGCAGCGCAAATACACTGGGGAAACGATCCCGGCCCAATCAGGTCTGGCGAGCATTCCCCCCGGGATGTATCCGCCACCTGGATTCTTGAACTCCGGTCCTCCTCCAGGATTTACTGGGGCCATGGCCAATCATCCCGGTGCCCGATATCAGGGCGAACCAGGTCCTCCCCCGCAAGGCATGCCCCGTGGAGGCTTCTTGGACATGTATGGCGATATGGGCGGCGGTAGAGGCGTCGGGTTGAGAGGGGGCGGGGTAAATGGAGGCATCCCGCCCTATAGATAACAGTGTTGCAGTACGTAACTGCGGCTTGAATGAACCCCAGACGTTTGCATTGACGGCTTGTGCGGATTCGACATACTGTAGGGAGATCAAGATGGATGAAACTGAGGGCAATCGGCAGATTGACAAAATTGAGCAGAGCGGCGAAGTCTCTACATGTGATGGAACAACGGAGAAGACGGCGACCGGGACGCAAATCATGCGGGATCCCGGAGCAAGCTTCACGTTGCCTAGTCACTACTAAGTAGCACGGCACGGGGACGAAAACTCGAAGGAAAGGAGCAAGTGATGAAACGTCTAGTCAGGCGAACGAATAACCGAGGAACTCCCAGCGAAAAGGGAGGCCCGGTCCAAAATGATTGTGGTACCACCAAGACGTGCTTCATGTATCTCGTGCGTTCGAACATGTATGTACGATTAGTAGTACTACGAGTACCTAGTGCACGAATCTCCCTGCCGAGATGTAGATGGCGAGTCTCGGAATGAGAGATTTCCTTATCCGCATATGTCAATGTACCTGCCTAAGTAGTATGGAATAGGAATATCCTGTGATTCCTGATTGAACAGAACTATACGTTACTCGGACTGCGGTAGCTTTACTTTTTGGTCTGCCGTTGTTTGATCTTCTCAACCAGACTCTTGACGTCTCCCGACGCATCATCCGCCGCGTTCTGTCTCTGCCCACGCTTGTCGTGTCCGTCCTGTCCCGGGGTGGCGGGGAGGCTCTTGTGTTTCAGCTTGCGGCTTTCCTCCAACAGCGTCTTCATGGCCTTGGTGCCCTTGAAGCGGGGGTTCGTCGGGTCGATGGCGTACTCGTGGCTCGTGAAGAGTCGGCCGAAGCGTGGATCGGAAGTGTCGACTTTGAACGCGTCTTCGGCGTCATTGGCGGCGGTGGTGCCGGTGTCGGTCTTGTCCTTTCGCTTCTTGTCTTTGGCCTTGCTCTTCTTGCGGGCCAGTTTCTCGGCCTTTTCAATCTCTTTCATATCAAAGTGGCGGATCTTGGGCGCACCGTCGTCGGCCCCGACGGCATCGTCGACCATCAGCAGTTCCAGTTCAGCACGCTGCTTGCGCTCGGCCTCTTCTTCGGCCTCGCGCTCGCGCTTCTTCTTCATCCGCTCTTCTTTGCGCATCTTAGTGCCGGCTGCCCGGTCGGACTTGGCGGACGGATCGTCGGCGAAGAAGGGGTCGTCAAATCCGAGGTCTGCTCCCTGGTCCGCGTCGTCGTGGTCGGCGCCAGCAGCAGCTCCAGGTTTCGCCGCGACAGTGACATCTTCGTCGGTGTCGGCGGAGGCGTCTGCATCGTGGCCTTGTCTGACCGCCTTCCGCTTCTCTTTCCGCCTCTGTTTCCTCTCGCGCTCTTTGCGGATATATTTCTCCATAGTCGTCTCTTCGGGTTCCGGCGAGTTTTCAAACACTGATCGCTTTTTGCCCTTCGCATTTGTCTGTGCTAAGCCGGATGTGAACGTGATCTGCATGTCTCCGACGGGCGCCTTTTCCTTCTTGGATTTCTTCTCCGGCTCAGGCGCCAGACCAAGAAGTGCTCGCATTCGCTGTCTTTCCGCTTCCTTCTTAGACATGGACGTACCTGTGCCCTCAGCATCTTCAGGCTCATCCTCGTCTTCAGAAGTGTCGGAGCCAAGATACGCTTTCAAGTCGTTTTCTTCGATCTCTTTCCGGCTACCCTTGAATGCCCGCGCCACTACTTCTTTCCGGGTCTTGTCCTCTGCGTCCCACGTCAATTTGACTTTACTATGCTGCAGGGCATCCGTGACAAAGTCGTTCGGCCGGTAGTCATCAGGAATCCTGTCGCATTCCTCTCGGGGCACGTCGTCAGAGAAATCTGTCTCGTCCGGCACGAAGCGGAGGTCGAAGAAGTTGGCTGTCCGCTGGTACTCGGTCCCGTCGACGGCGTCGTAGATATGTTTGGCCACCCCAGGAGAGGAGAACGTCAGGATGCAGTAGAAGTAGCGGAGACGTTCTAGTTGGTAGCGCCGAAGGGCCTTGGAATCAAAGTCGGCGCCGTCGTCAGATTTGAGAATGGATTTCTTGATGGCATCTTCATCCTCTTCTTCCTCATCGACGTTCTCATCCTCCTTCGGATTGTTGGCGAAGATCTCTTTGGGCGGGCCTTCCAACTCTTCACGTTCTAGCCGTTCTTTTCCAAACTCGCTCGGGTAGATGGCCACCTTGAGAAGCGAGCCGGAAGGTGGTAAGAAGCTGTTGAAGACGGCCATCAGATCTGTCGCGCGGATATTGTCCCAGTCCAGATTGACAATGGCGATACGTGATGTGACCTCGCCAGTAGGTACATCTGTCTGTTGGCCCGGTCCAATGCCGGCTTCCGCGCCGAGGTCTACTTCTTCGTCTTCTTCTTCCTCCTCCGAGTCTTCATCGCTTGAAGTGCTCTCATCTGATGACGACGATTCAGTGTCTCTGCCTTCTCGCAACGGGTCGTGAATTTTGTTCACGCGGCTAAGCTCCTCTTCGACCTTGTCATCGTCATCTGCCTCATCGCGTGCCTCCACTTCGAGGCCTTTCTCCTCGTTTTCGTCTTCGTCTTCGACTTCGAAATCATATTTTCTTTTTAATCTGCTCCTTTCTGTGTCGGACGCAATGGGTCGACCATAGCGGTCGACTTTGGCTCTCCGTGTAAAATCTTCGTCTTGCAGAGCCCGACTGAATCGCTTGTCGACTTTGACTTTGTCTTTCTTGCCTGGTAGACGGTATCGAGGGTCGGATTGGATATTTGCGAAGCGAGGATCGGTGATCTGAGGGCCTGTTGAAGCGTTCGAAGAAGTGGGCTTGGGGCCTGTCTTCTGCCGCTTGGTTGAGGGTTCCGCCATGTTGTACCGCCGGCCAGGGGCAAGTGTGTTGGTGCGAGTACAGAGCAGTGTGCAAATGCAACTGGTAAACAGCGCTGGAGGACGATGCGGAGAATTAAAAAAAGTCGGACGCTTTGAAGGTGGGGAAATCCTAATGGCCAAAAATGTACGGGTACCAGACCCAGGTCTACGAATTGGGAGTAAGGGTGATGCCGCCCTATACTATGATCCAGAGTACCCTAGAGAACCCACAAATCGAGGCTGTGGCACTGACCCCCAGCACTCAGCTGGCGGGCGCCTAGGCGTGGAGATTGGCCTCCTAAGCCCCTGATCTCGCTGGTGGTAAGTGCGGGATCGTCATATTCAATATTTGCACATGATGGTGGTGTGAGAGGCAGTCCATGCATCCGCACCCTTCCTTGCGCGAGGAAGATCAACTCACTACTTATAGCTGCACACAGCGTCCTACGACACTGTCGCCTCAACTCGAAGTCACTATCACTGCAATCCGAGTCCTGAATTCCCCTCTGAGCCACTGCAAATTACCGAGCAAACAATCAATCTGTGACCCCCACCAGTCTCGGGTATCGACCTCAAAATGCCTGTTGGATCCTGCTTGATTACAGGGTACGTACATTGCTAAAATAGACTGGCTGAGACAATGGAAAGACTGACCGCTTGTCTACTACTAGCGGCACGGGCTACATTGGTTCCTTCACGGCCCTTGCATTGCTCGAAGCCGACTACAAAGTCGTGATTGTCGACAACCTCTACAACTCGTCCCCCGAAGTCCTCAACCGGATAGAGCTCATCTCCGGAAAGAAGCCGGAATACTACAAAGTCGACATTACAGACGAGAAGGCGCTGGACGAGGTCTTCTCCAAGCACCCGGATATTGACAGCGTCATCCATTTCGCCGCATTGAAAGCGGTCGGCGAGTCCGGCGAGAAACCTCTCGACTACTACCGAGTCAATGTCTACGGAACCCTATCGCTTCTCTCTTCCGCAGCTCGTCACAATGTCACCAACATTGTCTACTCCTCCTCTGCCACGGTCTACGGCGACGCGACCCGAGTTCCCGGCATGATCCCCATTCCTGAAGAGTGCCCTCTGGGCCCCACAAACCCATATGGAAACACCAAGTTCACATCGGAACTCCTGATTACAGACCACATCAACGCCGAGCGTGCCAAAGCCGAGAAAAAGGGAGACACCGATGCAATCAAGAAGTGGAACGCAGGTCTCCTGCGTTACTTCAACCCTGCCGGCGCCCATCCCAGCGGAATCATGGGCGAAGACCCTTCGGGCGTACCGTACAACCTCCTGCCCCTCCTCGCCCAAGTGGCGACAGGCAAGCGTGACAAGCTGCTCGTCTTTGGCGATGACTACGCGTCTCACGACGGTACCGCCATCAGGGACTATATCCACATCCTCGATCTTGCACAGGGTCATCTGAAAGCTCTCGACTATCTCCGCCAACACCAGCCTGGTGTGCGGGCTTGGAACCTGGGCACAGGCCGTGGCTCTACCGTGTTTGAAATGATCAAATCGTTCAGCAAGGCCGTTGGTCGTGATCTGCCCTACGAGGTCGTCGGTCGGAGAGCGGGTGATGTGCTGGACCTCACAAGCAACCCGTCAAGAGCGAACCGAGAATTGGGATGGAAGGCCAAACTAACGCTGGAGGACGCCTGTGTGGATCTCTGGCGCTGGACCGAAAACAACCCTGAAGGCTACAGACAACCGCCGCCACAGAAGTTCTTGGATGCCTTGAAGAAGAACAATTAGAGCTCCAGTGATGGCTTGAAGAAAACCAGTTAGAGCTTCAATGATTACTTAATACGAAAATCAGTCTCTGTCTTTGAGGCAGTACAGCAGCCTCGAAACCGGTCAGCTCGACTCAGGCCATACTGAACATGCAAAGCGTCGATACATGTAAATATGATACATAGAAAACGAGGCTGGTCATGTCTACCTATCTAAAAATGCGTATCTCCTGGCCGTGCTCCCAACGCCGTCGCTCAAAGTATGTTCAGTGCTCTCTAGGTGAATATGATGGGGATATTTACGGGTCAAATCATTTATGTACGTATGTATCAAGTGGAGTAGGCGATGCTCACGCCAACCGAGCCAGTCCACCGCTTTACATTCGTGCCTGGATCCCCGACTGCGCTCCCCACGGCCGGACTTACTGGATATAGGTGCTTTGTGGCAGGGCTCACGCTGACTCCGGCCGAGACGAGCAGACTCTTGACACGCCCTGTCCAGAGGGCCTTGACGTTCCAAGAATTATCGACTCGGAATTTCAGGACGTTCTCCTCCTCACGCTGCACGCGTTCATCTTTAAGCGCTTGTTCGGCCGGTGTGAACCAGTCCTTGGTCTTTGTCCGGACCCATGAAAGCCCGTCTGCGCCGGTGGAAGAGGTGTTTTGTTGAGACTCGATGGGAGCCGAAGTCGAAACCGAAGCCGAACTGCTGCGGTAAGGCCGCCATAGCTCGCCGCCAACCACGTACCGCGATTCCCAGGAGTAGAAGTTGAAGTCGAATTGAGAAGATAGAGCGAGCTTCGGTGTAGGGCGCACCGAATATGTCGAGGAGATGGAGCCGGTTAGGGGTGTTAAGGTCAGAGTCATGGTGTATGGGAATGAGGAGTGTGAGATGTTGGATGGCGTCAGAAGCGTATTGCCTGCTGTGGACAATAGAGAAGCAGAGGTCCCGGCGAGTGGTTTGCCAGAAAACACAGAATCTGTCCTCGAGCGTGAGGGGGACTCCGAAGGCGTGATAAGAGGTGCCAACGTTGTGAAACGGAGACCTGTCGAGAGGCCTATGACATGCGTGAAAGGACTGTAGTAGAACTCTGCGCCGGCGGACAGCAAGGATGGCTTTGAAGCCAGGCGATTACGATACAAGGCTCGCGTGTCGGTGTAGGGTGGGAGTGGAAGGCCAGATGGAAACTCAGTGAAACCGCCGACTAGATCAGTCTCGGGCGAGTGTATAGGAATTGAAGCTCCACCCTCGTCGACGTGCGGTGACAGGCCAAAATTCCATAGGCCCCGGACCCCTAGAAGAGCGTTGTCAGTCGACCCGAGCCCTTCAATTGAGTATCGGCCGGTGTCGCGCTGGACATGGGCGAGCACTGCCGCTGGTGGAGGCCCAGAGTTCAGAGCAGGCGTCGTCACAGATTTACTGTATAGTGATAGTGAAAGGAGAGTTTCGAGATTGACACGCCGCGCATAAAGTGCTGTAAGGACTGACGGCGGTGGGAGAGCAAGTGTTGCATGTAGCAATGTGGGTTTTCGTTGTCTTTCTTTTTCATTTTGCTCTAATGACCCTGACCCAAACCCAGCCCCCCGTCTCTGTTCATCCAGTACAATTGGGAGTCTGATATCCCTGTAACCTCGCACCAGATACTTTAGTGGAATGCTCGGCGCTTGCGAAGGTATGTGTCCAAGAGGAACCGTAGAGTAAAGGTATGATATTGAACCATCTATCTGTCCCACTGTCGACAACGTATACGAGGTCGCGAAATTCGGTGTGCTCAGAGAAGAAACATGCAATGCTAGAGTCGAGGGAGTCTGAAAGGACAGTAATGCGTCGGAGGTCGCGGTCAAGAATGAGTAGCTGTTGTCCGGATTCCAGTCGGTCGCCGCTCCAAACGCTTGAACAACGTAGTCCATGAAGTCGATCATGATGGGAAAGCGTAGAGAGCCAAGCGCGCACGAAGCGCTACCGTATGTCGTCGTGCATACGCAGCTAACAGGGCATTTAGCTGTTGTCGCTGAAAAGTGACTGGAACGATAAAGTACTCTACCTTCGACAACGGGCACCGGCAGTTGACGCCAAAGAGAACTGCGTTAGAGGTTAAGATATACTCCGACGTAGAAGCATAGTACGGGGGAGCATTCCGATGTCGACTTGCAGGCGGCACCACCATGTCACTCACCTACCTACTTACAGTCTTGCAGGACATAACACTCAGAGCGATCTAGAACGCTTGGTGATACCCAACCTACCTGGCTGGACTGGTACCTGGTCCCAACGGACCATACAAACGTCATATTCCCCTACAACTCACGAGACGATGTAGGCGGGCGGCGGGTGCTCGGCCTTACTTGTGATCCGCCTTGACCCGGCGATATATGATTTAAGACCGGCAACATCGTCTGCATTTTGGTCCACTCAAAGTTGTTCACGTTGAAGCCTGACATGAAGTTCTAACACAATCAAACTAATGGCACAGCAACTGTGTGCACTAGGAGGCACTCTTGAACGACGTTCAGTCGTCTCGGTCCTTCTCTTCCCCTTCCATCCCTATTCCTCCAAGCCTTATCGGCTTCTCCTCTTCCGTCGTTCTGACAAGGTCAACACCTATCGACGGAAATTGGCACCCATAGCAGGCTCAATCGAGCTCGACGACAAAACACCTTTAGATGCAGCATGGCGAGAATTGAAAGAGGAAACCACTCTCGGCCCGCAACAAATTGAACTTTGGCGACGCGGCCCGGGATTTGAATTCACCGATGAGAAAGCTGTAAGTGGAAGAGATGGAACAAGCGAGAAGATAGGAAGAATATGGACAGTGCACCCCTTTGCTTTCCGGATGAAGAATGAGTTTGTGGACGAAAACAATAATGTTGATACATCGGTCATGCAACTCGATTGGGAGCATTTTAACTGCGAGTGGAATGATGTCGACGATATACTTAGCGGCAAGATATTGGATGAGTGCGTGCCCAGATTAGAGATTACACTCGGCCAGGTATGGATCGATCCCGAGAGCGCTCTACACACAGCAGTTGAAGAGCTACAACTAGATCATGTCCACGGAGCTCGGGAGCTAGCTACGATGGCTGTGAAGAGTCTGATCAGTATCGTGGCAAATGAGCGGCAGGCTAGCGAAAGAAGCACTCCCGAGGACATCGTCCGATGGTGGGAAAGCTTCAGGCTCAAGGCATTCCATCTAGCCGTCAATGCCCGGCCAAGCATGGGAGCAGCAATGTCAAGCGCCATTGTCGCCGCTCTAAGGGACGCAAAAGAACACATCAATGAAGCAGAAGAAGACGTCTTCACTAAGGTCGAGGAAAGCCTTGAAACAACGCTTACCAAAAGAGGTGAAGTCTCAAAGCGAGTGAGTGAGCAGTTCTCTGCCTTTCTTCAACAGAAATTCCAAGCACAACCTGGAGGCAAGGAAAACAATAAAACCATCAGGATTCTCACCCTCAGCTCCTCGTCAACAATTAAAGCAGCGATATTACATGCTCTTGACGCCAATTCTTCCCTCATGATCGAACTTCGCATTCTGGAATCACGTCCACTTTGTGAAGGTGCAAGTTTTGCGAAGGCGTTGACCGAGGAGGTCGGGAAACTTGAAACTGCACAGGCAGAGCGAACTACGATTCAGGATCGGCTGCAAATTGTACTTGCTACCGACGCATCTGTAGGTCTCCTCGGCAGGGATGTCGATCTCGTCATCATTGGCGCCGATCGTATATCTGAGGCTGGAGATGTGAGCAATAAGACAGGATCGCTGCCAGCCGTCTTGACATGCAAACAAGTCACTGGCGGCTCGGTAAGAGTGGTCTGCATCAGCGAAGCGGAGAAGATCGCGCCTCCGGGCACAGCTGCAGAACATCCCGAAGAAGACAATGACCAGAACGAGGTTGCCAGCGGGTGGAACATGCAAACCACACCATCCTTGTGGGACAAAATGGTTGCGGTACGCAACATTTACTTCGAGTGGGTTCCTGCAGAATATGTCGATTATTACGTGTGTGAGGATGGAACACTATCTACTGAAGACATCCAGACGCGTTCCAAGCAGATATCGGAGTTGACTGCGGAGGTCTTTTCGGTCTTCAGGGTCAAGGACTTCCAATGATGACCCAAACAGAATATGTGGGATAGACAACATGCTGGTTCAATTTGCTCAGATTGGACCATCAATAGCGGATGCGTCAGGAGAACCGATCTTCATTACGCTCAAGATCATGCCGAGAGAACGCGAGGTGAGGATATGTTCAATGCAATTTATTTACACGCCGATACCCTTTCAAATACGATCTCCCTTCATGCCTCCTGCAGATCCGGTTAACGACGCCACCTGAATCCTTCCGATGGTCAATATCCGTACCGAACTTTCAGTATCATTCCTTTGACAGCAGTGTGGAAGTATGGGGCCCCAGATTTGGAGACGCCTATGGAAGTCCAGCCCTTTGTCGGACGCACGTCCACCGGCTCCATTAGAGGCAGATCTCAACCGACTGTGTTACGCTGTCTGCTTTTTGATCAGGGCTTCATGGATTGCTAGGTAAGAAGAGACTTCCCGTTGGTGCCATTCTCGCCATTGCTGGTCGTCTGTCCGTTCGCATTAGACGTGCCATTGGGTTGGGGATGTCTATTCAACAAGGCGTCACCGTTCGCACCCGGCTGGAAAAGTTTCGACTGAGGCTTGTTGATCAGTTGTTCCAAACAGGCACCAAGGTCGTCAAGTAAGGATGTCCCAAACTCCAGCCAATCCTCAAACGTGACAATCTCGAGAGTAAGGGAATTTTCCTTCAAAAACGCCTGGATCTTCCACTCGCGGAGCGGTTCCAGGTGGGGATACACGGTCTCCATCCGACTGTTAGCTGAGAGGAAGGACAGATTCTCGACATGTTCAACGTCCTGGTGCACCACGGAATCGAACCAGTCGGTTGTTTTGGGCCAGTCGGTGCAATCCCGCACAATCTCCTTCAGGCCCATGCCTTCGAAACGGGAGCTGTCGATGTGCTGCTGCTGGACGGAATTGAGCAAGTCCAGTGCAGTCCAGCCATTGTCAAACTGCATTCGAACTGGTATATACTGCCAGGTTGGGCCCATGACTATGTCGCAGTTGGGCAGGCCGATGTTGCGCCCGCTGACGACTTCGCCAAATGTCACGTCTCGGAGACCCAGGCGGCGGGCCAAACAAAGAGCCCAGGCGGCGGTCGGCAAGGTTGCAATTGTGATCTCTCTATATCGACCTGAGATATCAAACGTCCTAGACACAGCAGCCGGGGTCTTGCACTTGAGGGTGATCTCGGGACGCAACACGGTCATGGAAGCGCCTTTCAGGAGCTTTCTCCAGTATTGGGCACTCTTTGGCAGATTTTCCTGGAGGACGTGGTACACAAACGACGAGAATGGCAGTGACTCGGGCACTGGTTTGTGTTCGTAAAGCGCCGCCAATTGGTGCAAGAGGCGAGGCAGACATATCTCATCGTACTGGGCGTGCGAGATCCTCAGAATCAAGCAACTCTGTCCATTCTCGCCTTGCACAAAGAAGAACTTGACGAAGGCTGACCCTTCAGGCATCTTTGTCTGGATGTCCAGGTCGCAAAGTTTCTTTGCGAAGCCTTCCCGATCGCCATCGATCGTATACTCGACGACTTCAGCTTCCAATTCTTCGAGCACGACGGCATAGCAATTTCCTTGGTGTGTGACAAAGACAGTGCGGAGAATTTCGTTGCGCAAAACCAGTTCTTGACAGCTTTGGAACAATCGTTTACGGTCGATTGGTGTATCGAGATAGAACAGCTCATATCGTGCCGAGTATCGTGGCAGATGTGTCGTCCCTTTCACTGCGATCTCCTGCAGAGGACGTGCTGGGAGCACGTCTTTTATCTTCCCCGCTGGCTGTGATATAGATGGCATGATTGCTTGAGCAAGGAAACCCTCCACATCGGTCGTCTCTAGGGCTGAGAAAGGAGCAATCGACGTTGAGACGGGCTGTTGAGGAGCCGACTCCTTCAGGGTATTGGCCATCTCGCTGAGCACTCTGTAGCGGAAGACTCCTGCCACGGTCATCTCGAGGCCCTCCAAGCGAGCTTCTGACACGAGCTTCATCACACCGATCGAGTCACCACCCAATGCAAAGAAGCTACTTTCGGGGCCAATTTCACCTTCTGGAATGCCCAAAATCCTACTCCAGAGTTGACGCAGCTGCTCTCGCCTGGCTGTCATCGGTTGGGACGCCTCTTTCGACCCGTTGCTTTGAGCCTTTTTCGCCTTCTGAACATCTGATCGCTTGGATTGGAAGCCCAGGAACACAAGCGACCCGTTGCTGTTATATCTTGCTCGATGGCCAGTCTTGTAGAGGGCTGTCTGTGCGTTTGGCCCAACAGCAAGCGTTTCACGGAGCCAGGCAGGTTTGTTGATCAATGTGAAAGGAAGCTCGCCCTCGCTCTCGAGCAAGAGTTCTCCGACAGCGCCCACCGGTAGGAGACATTCCGGGGTCCTGGGATCGACAATCCACGTTCGCTTCACGTTCTTGTGGACGGCACTTATGGTCTGGTCTCCAGCCTGCGGTATGCTGTGGACGCCCCGATCAGCCATTGGCAGCAGATCGGCTGGATTGGGCGTTTTCATGATCTCCAGGTCGGAAATCGGCCTGCTTGTGTTTTGACACAGCTGCTGCACGGTGCGTCCAAAGTTCTCCAGCACCTTTTGCATCTGAGTTGAATCGACTGTTTTCGAGTCAAAGCTTGCCATTGTCAAGAAGCCAGCCGAATCCAAGGAGCAGACCAGCATCAGCGCATATGAATTGAACTTCAACGCCTCTTTTGCAGCTTCGATATCGTCGACGGGCACAAAGCCATTTGCAGGACACTCTCCGGGCGCATCAGCTTCTTTCTGCTCGTCTTCGGTATTTGGATGCAAGACAATGCCCGTTCGCAGCTCGCAGGCTTCACGAGCGTCTGCACTGAGACGCCTGATATGCTGGAGTCCCATATGCTCATGTGAGATGCGTTGGATGGTGTGCTCATGAACGCCCTGCAGGTAGTCGGAGACTTGCATCTCTCTGCTTACGCGGACTCGCGTCGGTACGGTGGTAATAAGTGGCCCTTCAATTTCTGCGATCCCGGCAATAGGTGCATTGCGTCCGGTGAGAGTCTCGCCAAATACTGCATCCTCGTCAGAGGTATATCGCGCCGCGACTAAAGCCCATGCCGCTCGGATGGCGGTAGCGACGGTTGTGTTGGAGCTGACAGAATCCGGGAAGTGGACGTAATGCTCGAGCAAGGAGTCTGCCCGTGGTTGGTAGCCCGGGAAAGGTATGGGTGGGAACTGTTGTCCTGTGGCCCCCTCCAACTGATCCCTCCAGAAGTCTTCCGAGCGAGGGCGGTCGAGATCAGCGAGATACTTGATGAAAGATCTGAAAGGGGTCGGTTGTCCGGTCTGCAGGCCCTGATAGGCCCTGTTGACCCGTTCAATGATCAACGGCATCGACCACCCGTCGTACAGTGCATGATGGATCGTCAACACGATGTGCACCTTGCCTTTCTTCTCGTCGGAGACCAGGCCAAACCGTGCGAGGGCGTCTCCAAGACCCATGGGCCTCCCGCGGTCTTCTTGCAGATATTCGTCGAGGCTGTGACTTGAGGACCACGGGAGCTTGCCGCTCACCACGACCTGCATCAGTCCCTGAGCGGGAACCTGTACAATGCGAGTACGCAGAATCGGGCTGGTGGCTGCTACAGTCTCGAAAGCAGCCTTCAGCAGATGGGCGGCCTGAAGGTCATTCAGATCGACGACTCTCTGCGCAACATATGCGTCGCTCACTTTGGCCGAGAGAGCCATGAGGCCCTCCTGCAGCGGAGTACAAGGATAGACATCTTCAATGGCCGAGGGCAAGAGCTTGCACAGGCTGGCCACTCCTGTCCTGGCATCTCCTGCTTTCCAGCCTGGAGTCAACAAGGAGAAGGGTGGTATTTCCGCTTCAGGGGCGTTGCTTACACGCTCAGCCGTGGACGCCATGCGTGAAAGAGTGGGATTGGCAAAGACCCGAGCCACGGTGAGGGAGAGCCCCTCCAGTCGAGCCGCGGCGACGAGTTTCATTGCCTTCAGGGAATCACCCCCGAGGGCGAAGAAGTTGTCCTTGACCCCAATATCGCCCTCCGAGGCCAGGAGCTGTTTCCAGATTCTTTGCAGTATCTGCTCTGCTTCCGTCTGGGGCGCGTGGTTGTCGGCCACTTCCATCCTGAATTTGGCCAGCTGTTGCGGGGTCATGGCGAGCCCGATTTCTTGCAACCGCTTCCGGTCCACTTTACACGATACCAAAAGCGGCAGAGCTGGGAGAGGGATATACGCGGTAGGCACCATGTAGCTGGGAAGTTCGGTGGCGAGGTATACCTCAATCGCTGGTAGCGACTGGCGAAGCTCGGCTGAGAGGTATGTTGTCGTTGTTGTCTCAGCACCTCCAGCAGTGTTCGGAGGCTGCTTATCTTTTTGCTCTGCGATGAAGGCCACCAAGCTGGGCTCACGGTCTTTTCCACCTGGGGTGATGACCTCGGCTGCAACGCTTACTCCTTCCGGCAGCTTCTTCAATATGTGATGCTCAATCTCGGCCAGTTCAACTCGTTGGCCTCGCAGCTTCACTTGTCGATCTTTTCGCCCGACGAAAACAATGTTTCCTGACCCTGCCGGGTCGTACTTGACCAGGTCCCCGGTCTTGTACAGGCGGCCACGCCTTCCAGCCGCCGTCTTCGTGCCAGCGAGTAGCCAGGCGGGATCCTCGATAAAGACTTGTTGGGTCCTCTCCGGTTCGTTGAGGTAACCAACCCCCACAATTGAGCCTTCGATCAGCAGTTCGCCCACCGCCCCGACTGGGGTCAAGATGTTGTGGTCGTCTGGATCGACCACCCAGGTGACTCCGCCGACCCCTTTCCCGATACTGGTGTATGGCCTTGTCACGTCGATGTCATTGTTGATTGTACATCCCACCGTGCATTCAGACGGGCCATAGGCAATGATTAGCTTGGTCGTCTTGCTCCAGACTGCCGCGTCCCCAGACGAGAGGGACTCGCCGCCTAGACCCAGCACTTCCAGAGAACTCAAGGCGTCCTGCGATAAGAGGCGGGCTACGGATGGTGTCATATGGGCCATGTTGGCGTTCATGGACTTGATGGCTCCGCTGAGGTCGTTGACTCTTTGGTCGTCTGAAGGGACACAAATGCATCCACCATTTGCCAACGTGCACAGCATACAGTCGATACTCACGTCGAATGCGTACGACGGGAAATCGAGCACCCTGGAGTGTGGCTTGTATCCGACCGCTTGTGCTCTTGGTAGCGCCCCGGTGGTGAAGTTTTCATGAGAGATCATCACTCCTTTTGGCTTGCCGGTGCTGCCGGAGGTGAAGATGATGTACAGGAGGGCAGAGGAAGGAACCGGTGCCAGTGGTGCAGGAATCGGAATCTGTTGTTCGTCCAACTGCAGCAGCTCTGGGCCGACTACAACTATCTTCGCATGAGGTGCAATGCGAGCACCCAGCGCGGCCTGTTTTTGCGATGCCACGACCACCTGCGCATTCACCTCGGCAGCTATGACGCTCAGACGGCCTTCTGGTTGCTGAGGATCTGTGAGGACGAAGGTGCCTCCGGTCCTCATTACCGCAAGCAATCCGACCACAGTCCAGATGGACTTTTCGAAACACAAAGGCACGGACGTGCCTATGCCGACTCCGAGTCTTGTCAATTGGACAGCTATATGGCCAGAGAGCCGATCAAGCTGTCCATAGGTCAAGTCACCGTCCCAGGACACCACCGCTTGTTTGGTAGGATGTTCGGCGGTCTTTTCCGCGATGATTTCGTGCATGCAGCGCTTGACGGCGGGAGGAACCTCCTGATTCCATTCCCATAGCTGTGCGAGCTCTTGCTCGCCCAGGCGGGCCGCCGCCGTTACGGTCTGCTCCTGGTCGAGCAAGGTGGCCTGGAGAGCGTCCGCGAACCTACGGATGTGAAACTCTGCCATCTCTGGAGACAGAAGGGCGCTGTGTTCAGAGTTCCGCCAATACAAGCGATCGGCTATCACTCGGACATCTATACTGAAGATTGAAGAGTCCTGAAAAATACAGGTTAGACAGATGTCACGGGAAGCCATGGCAATAACGTACATCCACTGATTGCGGTGACAATGTATCCGCTGTGGCGAAGAACACTGCATGATGGTTCCAGCTTGTGACACTGTGCAGCAATGGCGACAGGCTCCTCATCGCTCTGAGAACGTTGGCAATTGTGTCGGTGTCTCCGGAAATGAGGCTGTCCAGTTTGACCGTGTCCATTTTGCGTGCTGCCAGAGTTCCCTCTCCCTGTCCCTCTCCCAAATCATAGATGCCCCAGCAGAACGAGTCGTCATTCCTAACGAAGCTTCCACGGGACAGGAGAAGCGCCCACGCAAGCACGAGGAATTCAACTTGCTCTCGCACCGACTTGGACTTCAGCAGCGGCAACTCGAGGAACGGCACCTCTGCCCAGCCTCTGAGGTCGTCATCTTCCTCGAGCGGTGATCGAGCCGTGCTGGAGATGTTGGTCTTGCTGGTCTGGCAGTCCTCGCTCCCGTCCACGTAGTCGGCCATCGGACAGAAGGGCTGGCAGGACGCTCAGAACAGCAACAGGAGAGCAACCGGACAGCAACAGTACAAGGCAAGAACAATGGCTTACACAAGTGTATCTGCCGATGTATGCTGAAGCCTCGCTTTTGAACAATGGCTGTCACTGAAGCCTCGCTTTGAAGAATGGCGGTCACTGGACGTTGAACCCCTCCCCTCAGATGGATACCCACGCCTGGCTAAGGTCTCTCTTCTGACAAACACCAAACCCAGAATCGGAGACAAACCCAGACCTAGAATCGGAGACACACCCAAACCTAGAATCGGAGACAAACAACCAAACCTAGAATCGGAGACAAACACCCAGGACCAAAATCTCCGATTCAGCCACCGACAATGGAGACTGCCAACCTGTAGTACTAGTACGGCGAAAATCTCTCCCCATGTGTTCCGATCTGACGGCCGATCTCGTCAGAACGTGTCGTGTCAGCTGTGGACGACATGACTTGGCCCTGCAAATATAAATTACGGAGTACGGAGTAGTAATTCAGTTCAGTTCTTGCCTAGCATGTCATGAAATTGGACGTTCGACCGGCGGCATCCATGCGAACCACTGGAACCAGGGCTGTGACACTGCTAGGGTACCGAGAGTGCTAACCCGGCCTCTTATGGTCATACTACCGAACCGAAGACCGGCCAGGTATCGATCGTATTGACCACCGAAGACAGGCCAGACGTATCTATCGTATCGACCTCCGAAGACAGGCCAGACGTATCTATCGTATCGTATCGACCACCGAAAACAGGCCAGACGTATCGTATAGATCGTATCGACCACTGAAAACAGGCCAGAGGTATCGATCGTATCGTATCGACTACCGAATTTCGAATTTCCATCACGCTAGGAATCGCGTACTGTATTACACTTACGCGGCGGTGTGGAGCCTTGGCACGCATCAATTGTATTTCACTCAGTAGTGTTCTCGCACTCTCTTCCTCTTAGCACAATACGGAGTACGGAGTACACATAATGCACTACCTCTGTCAGACATCCGAGGATTCCTGTACCGTAAACGTAAGCCCTTGGGCACCTTGGTGTTACGTGACAGCGGTCTTGGACTCGGCTTGGCATGAGGCTCCATCAGCCAGGGTCCAGGGGGGAGGGGGCCAGGGGGTCCGTCTTTTCTGACGACAGGCCAGCCCTCACCCGCACATGCAGCGCAGCGATCACGGAGCGCCATGCAATGAAGGGGAGGGGCGTAGAATCAACATGGAGCGTCATGCAATAGAGAGGCGCGGAATCGACATGGACATGGACAATCGTTATTGTTATTGTTGACTGCACGTGGGTAGACTCGTTGTACCACCACCCACCAACCACCAACCACTCCACTTATGGTCTTCTCTTTTCTTCCAAGAGCCGGTGACTGAAGAGAACGACGGAACTAGGTACGAAGTACTCGTAGGAGAGGAGTTTGTCTGAGCCTGTCGGGATACGACGGGGTTTGTTCCTCTGAGAACGACGGAACTACGGGGGAGTTTGTCTCAAGTCTGCCGGGATAGGATACTGTATGACGATACGAATGTCCCATGCTATGCTGTGATGCCGATCTCGCCCTGAGATGGACGAGGAAATTCACAATGTTTGCAATGACGAATGGCACTGGCACCGGGCAGCAAATTTACCTTTTACCTGGTAGTGGCTAAACAGTCTCGCTTTTTGCTTTTGGAGGTAAAGACGACCCCATCGTTATCCGATTCACACTCCCACTACCACTACCATATTAGTATTCATGAGCAAGACTGCGTATAGACTGCGTACAGACTGCGTATCATATTAGTTTCCTTGAGGCAAGACTGCGTACTGCACTGCACCGCATGCTAATACTGCAGGAATAGGAATAGGAATAGGAATGGCTGTTTAGGCTCCTCGCTCTAAAACTGCATGGAGTCTCAAAGCCACTCAACTCAACTCCATCTCCATCTCCGTGGTCCAGTTCTAGCCGTGATTTCTGCCTCTAGGCCTGAGTCTCGCAGTATTGCCGTCTTGTCTCTTGCCCTCTCGTCTTATGTATTGCCCTCTTTCCCCTTTGTCGTATCTAGAGGTGCTTTCTGCCCGATGCCTTAGCCTCGCAGTACTTCCCTCTTGCCCCCTCGTCGTATCTATTGCCCTCTTACCCTCTCATCGTATCTAGACCTAAAGGCCAACTCAACTCACAGCTTCGCAACCACCTGCTTGTCCGACCCCGTTGTCGATTTCGCCACCTGTTTCTCCGCCCCCCTTGTCGATTTCCCTCCCCTCCCCTCGGCGATCTTGACATTCCCTCCCGGCAGACCAAACCCTACCGACTGGAAGAACCGGAGGCGCTCGCACCTGACGATGGCGGAGCGTTTGTGCGGCAGGTCGGCCAACTTGTGGATATGGAATCCATTGGCGGCGTCGTAGCCCAGCACATTGGCGTTGGTGTACTTTGGCTCTCCGACGATGGTCATGGTGCGCGGCTCATCGAGGAACAGGTAGTGCACCAGGCTGGACCACCATGCCGAAGCGCGGTGCGGGCCTCGATACCGCACATCGCCGACCAGAGAATGGCGGCCGCGATCCCAGTCTCCTGGGGCGGGAGAGAGGTAGACGCCCATATGGTCCTCCTGGTTAAGTTAGCTGTGTATTTGAGGGGGAAGATACAACGAAGCAGGAACAGCCACAGCCATAGCCATAGTCAGAGCCATAGTCTATTGTTTTGGCAGGGGAAGGATACAACAAAATAGGAACAGCCACGGCCACAGCCCTAGACATAGCCATAGTCATAGCCATAGTCATAACCACAGCAATAACCACAGCCACAACCACAGTCACAACCACAGTCACAACCACAGTCACAACCACAACCATAGCCAGTGAAATCAACTACACAGCCACCACTCACCTTGGCCCAGTAGATCTCGAAATAGGCAAAGAAGATATCGTTGAACTTGGCCAGAATGGCCGATTGATGCGGATCTTGGTCAATCTTGCGCAGATATTCTCGATGCTGATCCAGCGTGCCGGTCTCGTTCCAGCCTTGCGACACGCGCGGGTCGTTCTGCCATTCATGGAAGAGCTGTAGGTGCGTCTCATCCTGCCAGTCCAGGTGCACCATGGAAAAGAACTCGTCCAAGTGAGGGATGTAGCGACTGTAGATGACGGCGCCGCGGACCGGCTTCGGCGGCCGGATGGGATGCTGCGCGTGCACTGGTCGGCCTTCCAGGCTGAAAGTCAGGGTATGCTCGTATGGAAAAGCAGGATATGACGCGGTCAGCGCCGGGCCGGGCAGGTGATTGTACAGATCCGGGTGAGCCACCCAAGCCGGCCGCGTGCCGAAGGGTGAAGCTGCCCCTTGCCAGAAGGCGGACCGCGTGATGGAAACTTGAGGGTTGGCGGTTGCCGACGCCGACGAAGACGATGACGATGACGATGACGATGACGATGATGCTGATGCTGGCAGTACATGCTCTGGCCGCGACGGCTTCGGTCGTGCCGTTGCAATCCCTGTGGCTTGAAGGGCTTCGGCGAGCTGGGCGCTGTCCGGGCCCGCCAGCTCCAGCCGGAACGACTCCAAGTCGGGGTACAGCGTGACCAAGGCATACAAGATGTTCCAGACCTGTCCGACAGTGACGGGCGCGCTATCCCATGACAGATGCGATATCAGCGTTTGATGGTACCGCGCCCATGCCGAGTTGTCGCCCGCAACGGGGACAAACGCGTCCGGCTCGTTGGTGAGGTCGCTGAAGGTCAAGGAGTCGTGATGCAACGGTGTCGGGGGGAGATTTGCGTTGGGGAGTTGCGTCTCGGCCAGGGCGAGACTTAGGACTGGCAAGTTGTCCGTCTCGGACACCACTCGGATCTCGTAGGTGGTCTTCCATGGCTCCGGCAGTCTCACTGGTGGTAGATATTTGGATGACAGCGACAGCGACAGAGACGTCGAGGTTGAGGTTGAGGTTGAGGTCGACGATGGCTTCTTGGTCGACGAGGCTGGTGCCTCAACTACTCCTGCTGTCACCATTGGGTTGCGTACCAGTACCAGGTCAGGACTCGGGAATCAGAATCGAGTTGGCGACAAGAACGAGACGGACGGGAGAACAGAACTTCAGTCGTGGTCAACAGTTACAGTTACACAACCTGCAAGTGATGATGTTGTATCTCGAATGACAATGTTGTAACTTGAGTGAAAATATTGTATCCGAGTGACAATGTTGTATCTCAAGTCGAGATCGAGATCGAGATCAAGATCAAGGATCGATGGACATGGAATTTAGATTGACGTTGGATTGGAGATTGGTCCAGGTCAGATCGATCACATCAGGGGTCATGTGCAGTGCAGTGCATGATGCCAAAGAAGCTGAAAATGGAGCAATCATACCTAGGTAGTCCGACTGTTTGGGGCCTAAGCCTCCGACTTCGCATTAGCTCCGCTCCCTTATGTTCCGGCACCAGGAGTCTCCCGCTCCCAACGATCTCTGATCTCTGTTTCATGGAGGTCGACTCCAGACCTATGGAGACCTATGGTTGGGTGGATGGAACCATGTGCGGACGATGCTGCTGTACAGAAATCTCCGCACTCTGGGAAGGTGGAAGGTCCAGGGAGCGGGGACTGGCCTAGGAGAGCCATTTGATGAAAGACTGGGACCGACCGAGGCATTTGACATCTATTTGTAAGGTCGGGTCAGGTATCTGATCCTGATTCCGTACGGTATAAATATAAATACAGATACAGCTACACCCGTCGTCACATACAGGTAGTACGCGGTTATTCATCTATGCCTACAGATATCGGTCAACCCAACTAACTAATCAGGTAGTAACGCCATACCGAGTTAGACACCCTACAGGGCCTTGACCGTGACTCTGACCGTGACTCTGACCGTGACTCTGACCTTGACCCTGCTTGACCCTCCCTGTCCCTGACCAAGCCGAGCCTTGCCATGCCATGCCAAGCCCAGTGACCGACGGGGTAGGTTCAAGGTTTGGCCCAGTGAAACAGGCGGTGGGTGGGCCCCATACCATACCTAGATATACGCGGGGTATCTTATCTGATTCTATAGTCCTTCGCCCACCCAGCATGCCCAGGAACGCCCAGGAATGCGGCAGGTTGTCGGCGAAACTAGGGACCAGAAGAGATGAAGATGAAAATTTTCATCTAATCAGATGAGTGGAAAATGATCTAATCTTATCGCCAAGGCTGCACTACCCCTATTCCTTGTTTGCTTTTCGTGTTCGTTCCTCACTCTACGGAGTACAGTCTCAAATACGTACTCAATTAATACTCAATCCACTTCCTCTCCTGCCATTCCCGAGGAAATTAACCGTCAAGCACATCGACGGTGAGAGGAGCAGCGTGTAGAAGTGACATAATGAAAAGTCCCATCCCTAACCCAACCCTAACCTCAACCCCGAGCTCGGCTTTTGTTTCTTGCTCTTGCTTCTTCCTTCTTGTTGGTTATTCCTTGTTCCTTGTCCCTTGGTTCTGGTTCCTCTTCCTTTTTTTCTTCTGGCCTCTCCTTTCCTAATCCCTCATCCTCATCCCAACCTTTCGATGCTTTCCTTTCCTTTGCTTTCCGTTGCTGGGCGGGCTGGCTTGGCTTGGGCTTGACCATACTCCATACACCTCCCTCCCACCCTACCCCACCCCCCGGAGCAGTCCGTATGTATTGTATGGGCCCGGCCCGCAAGAACAATCAGATTGACTTACGGTACTATGGAACGCTATACACGTACACGTACAGATACAGATACATGTAACATGTAACATATGGGTAGTTTCTGTACCTTGACCCCGTCGCCGCGTGTGCTTGGCCATGGCACGCTCCCAGTGTACGTATCGGTGGATATACGAAGTATACAGACAGATACATACGTACCATACATACATGCGTACCATACATACATGCGTACCATACATACATGCGTACCATACATGCGTACCATACATGCGTACCTAGTACTATACCTAGTACTATACCTAGGTACGTACATACATACCTACCATGCCCAGGTCGCTAGGTCGCTAGATGGTACCCAGGAACGGAATATATTAAATCTCCGCCGTACTAGTGATGAACGCCATGCCATGTCATCATCCATCATGCCTGCCTGTATGCATGCATGCATGCCCAGACCGGGACCGTGATCTTGACCGCGACCGCGACCGCAACCGTGCCCGGGATCGGAGCATGGGAAATTTCTGTTTGTAGCCTCAGTCTCAGCCTCCAGCCTCTCACGGTGTGTCTGACTAACTGGCTGGCTGGCTGTCTGGCTGGTCGTCTGGTCGTCTGGTCGAGAGAAACCGACATCGACACCGACACCGAGAGAAACAGAAACAGACAGACACACGCACACCGTACAACAATCATGGATAAATGATACGTGTCGTGTCGTGTCGACTACACATAATTACTGAAATTCCAATTATCGACCCAACCGACGGACACCAGCCACCACCGAGGACTCTCGGAACCAGAAGGTCTTTGGACCTCCACGGACCGTCTTTGGATTTTTACGCATGGTCCTGGTCCGAGTTGAACTATTACTACCACTACTATTACCAGATTAGCTCTAGCTCAGCTCGACTTTCCGGTCGATTCAACACACGACATACACAGAGACACTCACTCACGCACAGAGAGAGAGATTGGGTGAGAGAGAACTCTGAGGCCTTGTTGACCAGGCAAAGAGAGACAGGGGCACAGCATGTCAACGTCAACCCCAACCCCAACCCCAGCCCTAACTCAGACAAAGGCAATGCCCGGAGATGTGGCTGTGGCTGAGGCTGAGACTGAAAAGTCCGGCGAGGCTACGGCTATGACCACAACTACAGACGAGGCAGACCAAAACCTCGACGGAGAAAAGAAGAAATCCAAGTCGGTTAGTAAGGCCTCACCCTCCAGCAGTGGCCGAGCTAGACAGCCACAGCCTTGCCATACCCTGCCATGCCTTGTCATACCCTGCCCTACCCTACCCTGCCCTGCCCTGCCTGCCCTACCCTACCCTACCCTACCCTACCCTTATTACAAGAACAAACATAATATCACTAACAATCAAAACCCTCGTTGCAAAATATAATATCACTAACATTCAAATTACATTACAGCCTCTCCTGGTATATCTCCATCTCCTGAGATATGCTGGCTCGACATGGCTGGACGTTACCCTCATGCTGGTCGGGGCCGTCTGTGCAGCAGCATCCGGGGTGCCGTTTCCGCTCATGGCGATTCTGTTTGGCGAGCTGGTCAACGACCTGAACGGGGCGTCGTGCGCGGCCGAAGACAACGACAATAACAACAACGCAGGAAACAGAGACGCGTACATGTACGAATCGACCATCAACGACAAAGTGCTCAAGCTGGTATACATCTCGATCGCGGCGCTGGTCTTGATCTTCATCTATGTGGTGTGTTGGAGCGTGCTGAGCCAACGGCTGTCCCACCGTCTGCGCGAGCAGTACTTTGCCAGCCTGCTGCGGCAGGACCAGGCATTCATCGACCAGCACCAGGCCGGAGAAGTGTCGTCGCGCCTCAATGCCGACATCCAGGCCGTGCAGTCCGGCACGTGCGAGAAGGTCGGAATCCTGATCGCCAGCGTGTCCTTCTTCGTCGCCGCCTACGTCGTTGCCTTCATCAAGCAGGCCAAACTGGCCGGCATGCTGATCTCCCTGGTGCCGGCCTTCTTGCTGTCCGCCATCCTGGGCGGCCGCTTCTTCCAGAAGCACGCTAGTCGCATGTCGGATGCCGCCACCGCGGCCTCATCCATCGCCTCGGAGACGCTGTCGCACATCGCGGTCGTCAAGGCCTTCGGCGCCGCCCCGCGGCTGGAGAAGAAGTTTGCCGAACACATGACGGTCAGCCGCAACCAGGGAATCCGGAAGGGCGCCGTGGCCGCCATCCAGGCCGGGTTGCTGTATTTCATCGCCTATGCCGCCAACGCCCTGGCCTTCTGGCAGGGCAGCCGCATGGTGGCGGACTTGATTTCCGGCAAGAGCAGTGGCTCCACCGTGGGAGAAGTCTATACGGTCGTCTTCATCCTTGTTGACGGTACGTTCACTCAAATGGCCTCATCAGTCATGATCGTGTGGAAACCAAAACCTTGATCATGATAGGGTCGAGCTGACTGTCGTTGTGCTAGCATGTGTCATTCTGGGGTCGACCGCACCGTTGCTCCCTCTGTTCGGCGGCGCGGCAACCGCCTTTGAGAAATTGAAACACGACATTGACCGTAAGTCGCTCCTCGACGGCACCTTGGACCACGGCGAATCCCTTCCTCCCGACACACCTGGCGCCATTGAGTTTCGCAACGTCTCGTTCGCCTATCCGTCCCGGCCCAACGAGACGGTGCTCAAGAACGTCGACCTCCTCTTCCCCGCTGGAAAGCATACGGCCATCGTAGGGCCCTCTGGCAGTGGTAAGTCCACCATTGCGGCCCTGATTTCACGGCTCTACGACCCAAGCCACGGGAGCGTTCTGTTCGACGACCGTCTCGTCTCCGATCTCAACATTCGAAACCTGAGAGGGTTCAGCAGCCTCGTGCAACAAGAACCCTTGCTGCTGAGTCGCTCCGTCCTACAAAATATCGCCCTGGGCCTCATCAATTCTTCGGTCCCGTCGCATCAAGCGCTCAAGGAGGAGCTGGTCGGGCCAACACTGGCCGCGCTCACAAGTGAGACCGCCGACTACACGAACATTGCTCAGACTCACGGGCCTCTCGTGGCTGAGGTGGTGCGTCTGGTGCAGCAGGCGGCACTCCTGGCCGACGCAGACAGCTTCATCCAGCGCCTCCACCGAGGCTACAGCACCCTGGTCGGTTCAGGGGGCCAGTCCCTGAGCGGCGGCCAAAGGCAACGAGTGGCGCTTGCTCGTGCTCTGGTGCGAGATCCGAAGATCCTGATCCTGGACGAAGCGACGGCTTCTCTCGACTCGGCCAGCGAGCAGCGCATCCAAGCAGCTATCGATAGGATCGCGGGAACCAGGACGGTCATCTCAATTGCACACCGGCTCTCCACCATCCGCAATGCGGACAACATTATCGTCTTGAAGGCAGGCGAGGTGGTGGACCAAGGCACTTACGACGAGCTCATGGCTCGACCGGGCCTGTTCGCCGAAATGGTCAGTCTGCAGGCACTCAACAATTCACATTCACATCAACAGATACCAAGTGACGCACCGTCCAGCTCCAGCTCCAAGGGCAACTCTCTCGATATTGTGGCCGAGAAGATCGAGACAGAGTCGGCCATGGGCCATCCTCGCAAAGCCGAACACTCCCCTCCGGGCAGTGACGACCACGCGGACTCTGACGCTGCTTCCACGTCGACCAGCCTAGACTCGACACTGTCTCCCTGGGCGGTGATGAAGGGCATGGGCCGGTTTGTCCGTCCGAACCTGGGCTGGCTGGTGGTGGCCATGTTCGCCGCCTCCATCGTGGGTACAACCTTCTCTGCAGAAGGGCTGATTTTCGGGCACGTTGTCGACGCGCTCAACCCCTGCAACACCACCGTCCATCGAGTCTTGCACATGGGCCAGCTCTTTGGCGGCATGCTCTTCATGCTGGCCTGCGTCGAGCTGCTGGCGCACTTCCTCAGCTGGTTCTCCTTCGCCCTGGTGGCGGAACGGCTGCTGTACCTGTTGCGAGTGCGCTCGTTCCGCGCCTTGGTCGAGCAGGACATGGAATGGCACCAGTCGCCCGCCCAGAGTCCGTCGACGCTCCTCTCTGTCATCACCAAGGACAGCGCCGCCATCGGCGGATTCAGCGGCTCGACCATGGGCACCATCTTCTCCATCCTGGTCAACTTTGCCGTCGCCGTCATCATGTCTCACATCATCGCCTGGAAGATCGCCGTGGTGTGTCTCGCCATGGTCCCGATCCTGCTGGGGTCTGGCCTCATGCAGCTCTACACCTTCTCCCGCTTCGAGGAACGGAATTCCGAGGCCTTTGCCGAGTCGGTCGGGATCTGCATGGAGACGGTCACGTCCTTCAAAACGGTGGCCACGTACTCTCTCGAGCACGAGATCATGCACACGTACCGTCGTGTGCTGAGTGCGCCGCGCAGTCAGATCTTGGCCGCCAGTGTCTACACCAACTTCTGGCTGGCCATCTCCAACAGCACGGGCTTTCTGATCTATGCCTTTGCCTATTGGTGGGGGTCGCGCCAGATCATGAAGGGCGAGAACACGCAAGAACAGTTCTTCACCGTTCTGATGGCCATGCTGGTCAGCGCCCAGCTGTGGGGCCAGATGTTCAGTCTTGCCCCTGAAGTGTCTCGCGCTCGAGCCGCCGCCTCTCGCATTCTGAGTCTGATCGGCGGGAGAAGCTCTGAGGACGCAGCACTGAACGACCCGTCACAGCACAATACCAATACCAATACCAATACCGGTGACCCCGACGTCGAGAAGGCGGGGGCTGTTGCTGTTGGACCACCGGCTTCTATTAGAAGTAGCCCCGGAGCCAGCGTCACCTTCCGGTCCGTATCCTTTGCATACCCATCCAGCCCTACCGTGCCCGTATTGAATGGTGTGTCGCTGTCGATCCAGCCCGGCCAGTTCTGCGGGTTGGTCGGCCCCTCCGGCGCAGGCAAGTCGACCATCATCACGCTGCTACAGCACATGTACCGGCCATCGTCGGGCAGTGTTGAGATCGACGGCGTGGACGTGTCGGAGCGAGACTTCCGCGACGACCTGGCTGTGGTTCCGCAGGACAACGCGCTGTTCAGTGGCACCGTCAAGTTCAACGTCGGCCTGGGGGCGCGGTCTGGTCACGAAGCCAGTGACGCGGAAATCCAGGAGGCCTGCAAACTCGCCAATCTGCACGACACCATCATGGCCCTGCCGCAACAGTACGACACCGAGGTTGGGCCTAACGGCTCGCAGCTGTCTGGCGGCCAGCGTCAGCGGCTTACCATCGCACGTGCCCTGGTACGCCGGCCCCGCCTGCTGCTGCTCGACGAGAGCACCAGCGCCCTCGATGCCGAGACCGAGCACGCCCTGCAAGAAGGATTGGAGCGCGTCGTGCGTGAGTCTGGTGTTACCGTGCTGGCCATCACCCATCGTCTGCACACCGTCATGCGCGCCGACAAAATCTTTGTTGTCGAGGGCGGGAGGATCGTTGACGCCGGCTCACATGCCGAACTGATGCAGAGGAGCCAGAGTTATCAGTCGAATGCCCAGACTCAGATCCTGCGGTAGTGGTGGTTTTGGATTGAGACGATCAAGATGTAACATGCTTGTCTTCTTCCAGACTCTCTTCAAGCTCCCTCAATAGAGAAGAAGGCTCCTCTCACATTTTGACGGTTTCTAGGTCAAGTTAGCCCATACGTCACTTCAGGATGGCAGGTGGATTGGTTTGTTCAAAATAGACGTTGCAAAATAGATTCACCATGAGACGGGACGAAACGGAATAGCTAGGCTAAATGATTGTTTAGATTCAGATCGAGACCGCCATCGAAACTAGTTCCGTGCTCAGTGCTCGTCAAGACCAGATAGGACGTTCCGGTCTTGTCGTGTATGTGTGTGTGTGTGTGTGTGTGTGTGTGTGTGTGTGTGTGTGTGTGTGTCAGCCTCTAGAACCAAAATGAGTCCGTAGTGCTTTCAATTGTCGATGGTCCGCGGGCTAGACTTCCAGTGTGAGTCTCTCGAGCTCCCCCAGTGCTGCTTCAAGTCGATCCGCTTCGCTCAGCAAGTTCTGCAGTCTTGCTTCTTCTTCCTCTTTCTTCTGGCTCCCAACCTTGGCCCATCCACTCTTATTCATCATGTCCTGAATCTTTTGCGCTCTACTTCGGGCGTCATCCAGAGTTTTCTGTTGCTTGGATCTGAGGTCGTCCAAGTCAACGCCCGTGCCTATCTTCAAGAAGACCGTAGTATCAACATTGATACTTCGAAGAGCATGCGCCTTGGGAAGAGGTGAGTCGGGAGAAGCCTGTTCACAGGCGACGTCTCCCAGATACTTGCCGCCCAAAGATGTTATCATGCGGATTTGATCTTGCACAAGTTTCACACGTTCTGCAGTGTGCAATTTGATGAGGACATTTCCTGGTTCTGTGAAGCCGTAGAGCGACAGCAACCCACGAATAGCCTCGGCAATCGACAGGATGAACTCGTAGTCCTTGACCGCCTCTGGATCTTCCCATGTAGGGTTGAACTCGGGGTATTTGGCAATCATGATGCTTGGTGTACTGTCTCCTTTACGTCGCGGTAACTTTTGCCAGAGATGCTCCGTCAAGTATGGCATTATGGGATGAAGAAGCAATAAGCCACCCTCCAGTGCAACGTATAACGTTTGTTGAATCGACTCTTGCTCGGCTTGATCAGTCTCTGGTCGAAGCACAGTCTTGGAATTCTCCAAGAACACGCTGCAAACTTCGTGCAGCCAGTATCTGTGAAGAGCCGAGGTCGATGCCGAGAAGGCTCGAGATTCGATAGCCTGAGTCACTATGGCTGCGGTGGAATTCAGTTTGTGCAGAATCCACTTCTCTGCCAAACTGGAGGGCCGAATCGGGCTTAAAGATGGTTGAAACCCTTCCCCAAGTCGGCCCAGGACAAAATTCGTTGCCTGGTAGATTTTGTTGCAAAACCGTCTCTTCGCCTCAATCTCCTTGATATCAAATGCAATGTCGCCTCCGCCAGTAGTGTAGTTGACTAACGAAAATCTGAGTGCATCAGCACCACATTCTGATATGCCGTTCGGGAACGAGGATTGTTGGTAGGCTGACGCGCGTTCGACTTCTCGAGGATCAAGGTTGCCGGATTTCAATTGCGCCTGAAGCGCCTCAAGCGTCGTACCATTGATAATATCCAATGGATCAATAACGTTCCCCAAAGATTTAGACATTTTTCTCCCCTCGGAATCTCGGACCAGAGAATGACAGTATACCTCTGTGAACGGGACCCTACCCGTCATCTTAATGCCCAGCATTATCATTCTTGCAACCCAAAAGAAGAGAATGTCCCAGCCGGTCTCGAGCATAGAGGTCGGATAGAAGGATTCGAAATCAACGGTCTTTTTTGGCCAGCCCAAGATGGCCCACGGCCACAGCCCAGCCGAGAACCATGTATCTAGCACGTCCTCATCCTGATGAAGGGTGAATTCCTGGTTCGGGAATCTTTTTTGGGCCTTTGTATGCGCTTCAACTTCGTCGTGTGCACAAACCCAGTATGTGTCGTCCGTACTGGTGTCGTTGGGATCCATCTCTTCGATCTGAATACGATAAGCAGGGACGCGATGGCCCCACCAGAGTTGACGTGAAAGGCACCAATCCTGAATCGTTTGCATCCAGTAATGAAACTTTTTCTCTTCTGTCCGGGGCTGTATCTTTATTTCACCATTGGTGACGGCAGCATCGGCGGCTTGGGCCATATTGCTCATTCTCATCCACCACTGGGGTTTCAAGATGGGCTCAACAATGTCTTTGCTTCGTTGACAGACTGGTATTGTCATGGCATGATCTTCTTCCTTTATATAGAGCCTCTTCTCTTTTAAAGCAGTCACAACAGTATATCGTGCTTCAAACCGCTTTTGACCAGCAAATTGGAGGCCAGCATTTTCGTTCAAGGAACCGTCAGCTTCGAGGATGTTGATGAACTCTAAGCCATGCTTCTTACCCATGATAAAGTCGGCGGGATCGTGAGCCGGGGTGACTTTGACAGCACCCGTGCCAAATTCAGGGTCAACCTCCTCGTCCGCAATAATGGCGATGCGGCGTTCAGGGATAAATGGGTGAATAGCTGTGCGGCCGACAAGATGTGCATATCGGCGGTCGGTTGGATGTACCGCGATTGCAGTGTCACCAAAAATCGTCTCTGGTCTCGTGGTGGCAATCTCGATGAACTCATAGTCGGCGAACCTCTCGCAGTCCACAGTGGCGGCACTGGATGGTTTTTTGACCGGATATTTGAAATACATCAAGACACCAAAGTCGATCTTCTTGTCGTAACCGGGGACAGTTAGCTTGGTACGACCCAACAACTCCTTGTTATCGACCTCGACATTTGACAGCGAGGTTTCCAGGGCTGGACACCAATTGACCAGACGATTTGCGCGGTAGATGATGCCCTCCTCGTGCAGTTGGATGAAAGTCGCCTTGACCGCCTCTGTCAGGTTTTCATCCATCGTGAATGCCTCACGTTCCCAGTCCATAGAGCCACCAAGACGCTTGAGTTGATTTGTGATGTTGCCCTTGTACTTCCGTGTCCAGTCCCAGATTATCTCCAAGAGCTTATCACGCCCAATCTCATGCCGAGTCTTACCCTGTGTCCTCCATAGCATGTTCTCGACAACCGCTTGGGTCGAGATGGATGCATGGTCACACCCCGGTATCCAAAGAGTAGATTTGCCTCGCATGCGAGCATGGCGTACCATCACATCTTGCAAGGCGTTTGTTAAAGCGTGGCCCATATGCAAAGATCCAGTGACGTTCGGCGGGGGGATTGGAATGACGAATTTGCCTTGGGGCTTGATCTTGCCATTTTCCAACTGGGGTTTGAAGAAACCATTGCTCTCCCACCATTCGTAACGGCCTCGTTCGATCGTGGTGGGATTGTAGGCATTGATGGTGGTGGTGTTGGACTTGACCACCTTCTCTTTCTTCGGACCAGCTGCTGGGTTCGACTTGGCCTGTTTGGCTTTGAATTTCTCGAGTTTCTCAGCTTTCATGCGCTCTTTCTTGTCTGAAGAGGATTGTGGTTAGCAGGGAAATGAACAATGTAGGCAAACTCGGGAGAGGGTGTGACGCGCCTTGTTTTGAAGCCATTGTTATATGGCGAGACTGAATTTGCCTGACAGTAATAATGAGCCGCAGGGTCAAACCTCGCATGAAGTCAGGTTGTGAGCGGCCGAACGATACAATGAATGGATGTGCAGGTTTGTCTCGAGAGAACCATCACGTGCTGCGGCCGGTGAGTCACATCACAACCGTGGGCAAGGAGCCTCGAGAGATTGATTACTATACTCAGGGGGACTGTCCTTACTTTGTCCAGATACTCCGTAATGTGCACTTATGTGTCGGCTAAAGGAGCCTGAAGAGAGCCCTGACTGGACACATAGGTGTTGCAGATGGTCCGGAATCCCCCCTGGGTCTCACCACAAAGCATCCCAACTCTCGCTTGATTTGGGTGAGTTTCTACCTTTGAGACGTGGATGTCCTTCCAGCTAACAGTGAAGAGGTGCAGACGCCAGGTCCGGTCCAGTCCCCCATGTATTACTCTGGCTCAGTTGCAAACATCAAATGCTGCGGTGTCAAAAACGCTGGTCTCGTCACACCAGTTTAGTTTACGAAAGATGCATCCGATGCAATGGTTGCCAGTACTGCCACCAGAACTTGACCAAGCGCACGTTATCCCAAACCTCTAGATTTGATGCCCGAAGTTCACCAGGTCCAGCGGGAAAGATGTCCTTGACTCCTCGGGGAGCTCCACTGGCACCCATGGCAATAGAATCTATTGCAGATCGAGTGGGGGCGCTCCAAAATCGATTGGAATGGGTGAATACTGAATGGACGAGTCGAAAGCGCAGTCTATGGGAAGAGCCGCGGCCCATGCCTGGATAACCACCTCTATTTGCACAACATACTAATGGGAACTCTCTGAGCAGCTAGAGCGCAGTCAGAGTTCCGGGCAGCAACGAATGCGCCACAGGTACATTTGTCCCTCTCTTTCGATCCGTACGAGGCTCCTCGACGTCGTTCCTAGACCGTCCAACAGTGCCGGTGTTGCTGGTGATGGAACACAAAAAAAAGCGAACTTCGACAACAACAATCCGAGTGAAATGGCAATAGAGAAGACTGGCCGATGAAAACTAGCTCTTCCGCTTCCTCGGCTTGACACGGACCCCTTTGCTCTCGTCACGCGGGAACGCCGTGAAGAAATCATGATCCCAATGGACATCGGCCAGTGTGGTTTCGTACAGGTCAAAGTCAAAGCGGGTCCACAGAGTGGCCAGTGTTAAAAACATTTCGGCATAGGCTAAATTCATACCCAAACACTGTCGGGAGCCCTTGGAGAAAGCCACCTGGTATTTCTCGAGACTGCGACCGCTGTCCAGCCATCGCTCTGGCCTGAACTTTTCGGGCTCTGGGAAAATGGCTGGGTTCATCAGGACAAGAGCGTTGGTCATGGACACCGGCGTTCCTGGAGGAATGGACCAGTCTTTATACCGGAGTATCTCCGTGGGGGCTATGCGTGGCGTTCGCGTCGTCACGCTGTAGCTGAGTCGGAGGCCTTCGCTAATGATGGCTGAGAGGTACGGCAGACGCTCGATGGCCGAGAGTTTGGGGACTGCGGACTCTGGAGACGAGATGATTGTGCGGAGCTCTGCGCGCAGCTTCTCGGGAATGGACGGTGACTGGAGCAGATAGAACCAGATTCGAGAGAGCGTCGCGGCGGTAGTCTCGCTACCGGCCCCCAGGATGATCTCCGCCTCGTCGCAGAGCCGCTGGAGCGACTTCTCAGATGCCGGCAGGTCGCTGTCGCGGAGGGTATGGAACATGGTCTGCCGTCCCGGATCTGCGTCCGCATCCGCACCCGCACCGACTCCATCTTTGCGGTCGGATGGCTTCTCATCCAGGATGCTTTGCACGTTTGCTTTGGCACGGCTCTGCCACTGCATCAAGAAGCCCACTTGGGGGTTCATGGCGGCGACGACACTCGGTGGGAGACGCTTCATCGTAGGCACCAGCCAGGGGAATTGCCGACACAAGGCCCCCGTCTCGAAGCCGCCCTTGATCGTGTCCTTCCACATGAGCGAGAAATCCGGCTCGTCGAGGTACCGCGGGTCCAGACCAAACGCGTACTCGGAGATGGTGTCTGTGGTCAAGGCCATCAACGCGACGTCGAGCCGAACGACTTCGTCCCCGGACGCGGCGACAGCGAGGCGCTTCGACAGCTTTTCGATCCGGGCCATGATGACCGGCTCCAGGCGGACAATGTTGGCCTTGGAGAAGTAAGGGTTGAGGACGCTCCGGCGCAGTCGGTGCAGGTCGTGCGCCAGGGTACTGAAGCCAGAGCCCTCGGCGGACGCCAGGTTCACCCACCATTGGTACTTGTCGCGCTTTCTCGGCGGGTTTGTGTACAGGTCGTCATAAAAGGCCGGGTCGTACACGTGGATCTCATGGGGGTTGATGCGGATGATGGGGCCTGTGTTGGGTGAGATTGTGCACATAGTCCGTACTCAGGCGGTACCTCCATCTTGACCGCACAGAGAGTGATAAGTGACATACCATACTTGTCATGCAGCTCCTTGATCTTGAACGTGAATTGCCCTCTTTTCACCACGTCGTAGTAGAACTCATACCACAAGGTGGCGGCTGCCAGCTTCGGGCCGGGGAATCTGGCGAGCGGATGGAACAGGAGCCGGTAGAGAGTCAAGCAGGCTGCGTAGGCGAGGCCCAATGCAAGCACCACGATCCACGCATCGCCGGGGCCAAGGTGACCCAGATCCAACACCAGCATGGCGGCAATGACCAGGCGTGTAAATCCCTAGATATCAATGATGGAAGTTGATGTCAACGTTGGTGTTGGCAAGGAGGGGTCGGTTGGCCTACAATTTGCAATCGATCAACCGCCCGCCGTTTGATCCAGCGCCAGTGGTGCCACTATCTTCAAGTCCGTCGCAGGCTTAATGCAGAATCGCCAGCCTCCGCGCCTCCCCAGTCCTCAGAGTGGCCAATCAGCAAACGACTAACCGGGCCGGGCTGATGCGCCGGTCCGGTGCAGAGCTCCGCATGCACCATCACGTGTGGTTCCAGCTGGCACTAAAGGCCCTAAGGCTTGGTCGAAGCTCTATCTCGCTTCCATCTTCCATCAACGCACTTCATCACATCATCATCACCATCACGATACCACCACCACATCACCACGCCGTCCATTATCAATTGATTAGGGCGGTCGGTCGGTCGATTGGCCATTATATTCCGCCAACCATGACATCTCCTTCTCGATCTCCCCCAAGATCTCCAGCTCCAGAATTGATACCCGATCCGCACGCCGAGGAAGAGGAAAGAGAGGCGAGAGACGACGACGATGCAGGTTACGACTCAGGCAGCATCCAGACAGCCACGACGTCAGTCAACTCGTCGATTTTCGACTGGGTGTACGAGAACGGACGACGATATCACAGCTACCGGCCGACGCAATACGTGCTTCCCAACGACGAAGAGGAGCAGGACCGGCTGGATCTCACCCACCACCTCTTCACGCTGGTCCTGCAGGGCGGATACTGCATGACCCGACTCGACAGCCCGGAGGCCATCCTCGACGTCGGCACGGGCACGGGGATCTGGGCCATCGACATGGCCGACCTGTATCCGTCTGCCATCGTCACCGGCACCGACTTGTCCCCGATCCAGCCGCAGTGGGTGCCGCCCAACGCGCGGTTTGAAGTGGACGACGCCAACGAGGAGTGGACATTCCCCGAGCAGCATTTCGACTTCATCCACGCCCGCACCATCTGTGCCGGCATCAGGGACTTTCCGCAGTTCCTGGCCAAATGCTACGCACACCTGAAGCCCGGCGGCAAGATCGAGGTGTCCGAGGGCCGAGCCAACTTCTTCTGCGACGACGACACTTTCCCCGCCGACAGCTACACCAGGACGTGGCTGGATGAGTTGCACCGCTGTGCGGCTCTGGTCCACTTGGACATCGACCACATCCCCAAAGTCCCCGAGGAGCTGGAGCGCGCCGGTTTTGTTAGTGTCGAGTTCGTGCAGAAGCATGTCCCCGTCGGAACCTGGCCCAAGGACAAGTCGCTGAAGGTCATCGGCAAGATCTTCCGCGAACAGTTCGTCGCCAGTGCCCTCGAGGCCTACTCGCTGAAGCTGCTGTGCGAGGTCGGCAATTGGTCCCTGCCGGAGTTTCAGGTCCTGTGCGCCAACGTGAGGAGGGAGCTTACCGAAAACAAAATGCATCTATACACTTTCTGGTCAGTTGCCTCGCGGCGTCACCCTTCCATGCCACGTGAATTGTGTTGACACTTGTGCCCACAGTTCTTTCGTCACCGCTGAAAAGCCCAACACTTGAATGACATGATGAAAAGCCCAACGCTTGATTGACATGATGTTGATGTATTAATTACCTCAAACCACTCTTTTCAAGCATCGAATGCGGATCAGTCGTTCCCATTGATGGCCCTGGCCGACCCCCTGACCTCGGCGTCTCAGTCCCAGCCCATATCTCCCAGCCTTGGACAGCAGGGCATTCCAGACTACAGACTACAGACTATAGAATATAGACTACAGACTACCCAATCGTCCGACCACCCTCTACGCCAATGGCCAATAGACAGGGTCTACGCTACCGCAGGGGTTCACTGGGCACTGGGTGTTCTCTCTCACCCTCTCTCCCTCCCTCTCTGTGCAGACTATGGGAAAGTCGAACACGCAAGATAGACTTGCTGGAATCTGTTCCAGTTCCACTTCCAGTTCCAAGCTCCGGGCTAGAGGGACATAATAGACATAGACAGATTCGGGGTCCGGGTTATGGTCGGGGTGATCATCTTAACGTCCGCACAGCCATAGATACATACCTTAGACATACATAGATACGCCACATTCGCCGCTCGCCGCCTCACCATGGGTCCTGGACCCCCGGCTGGGGAGGGGAGACAAGGCCTAGGAGCGCACATGCCGCAGTGTGTCAGGAGGTCGACGTCCGTGATCCGTGGGCACAGAGAAATCATCTACTAGCGTCAGGCTCAGGGCCTACCTTATATACGTATATACAGTATCTCCAACGTCAGCCTTGGGCCCTGCGTACGGATACACTGTACAGCACTCTCGGCGGCGGAGTGTCAAGCAGGCTGATAGGTTGATAGAAGTTCGGTCAGTAGCCATAGCGGCCGACCATGTAGCCTCAGACTGCTTTAGAGTCACGAGACGGAATAATCTTTGCGGTCTTAAATCACATTGTTCTCTAGATACTCCAGATTGCTATTGCCATCGCTACTACCATCGCCATCGCCATTAATACCGTGCATCTTCTCAAGTTCAAGGGACATAGAGCCGGACAAAGCCCTGCACTGCCCTCCGACACGTGACGCAGTTGCCGAAATTGTTCAGTGCCAAACTCACCCGACAATCCTCGCAAACACATAGGCACCGACACGGCCATGCGATGATGGTCCGAGGTGCTGTTTGACATACTACACATGGAGGTCCAGCATGTTCGGACTCATCGTGGTCTTCGACGAGGTTGCTGGGAGTGTGAGTCTGCTCATGTGAAGACGTGGCACGTCGTCGGCGTCGACCAAGTATCAGTGACTCGAGCACTTCGGCCTCTTCTGCAGCTGTCAAAGGACGGGGTCCGGTGGGATGTGATGAGTTGTATAAAGATATCGCCGGCGCATGTGCTGACCGAGATTCTGGATGATCAGAAGTCCGGCCCGCAAGCAAAATACGAGCCCGTTCCTTTTCCATTTCCCGGCGATAGCGAGACCGTGTCATGATGCCACCGGTAGAAGCGTTCGACGAGGCACTGGCTAGGTGAGAGGCGAGAATCCGCGCTTCTTCCCGAGATTCCTGGTCTTGAGGATTCAGGAGTCTGGCAAGGGTTGCAGGATCGAGCGGTAGGTCGGGAACGTCCGGTGTAGACTCTCTTGTCGGAAGCTCCGAGAACGACCAACCTGGCCCTGTCGATGTTTGAATCGGGGTTCTTCGCCCTTCAGATTCGGACTCCCACTCATTTTCTTCATCTTCATCGGCCTCGCTCCTATCGGCACCGGCTTCGGTGGACATGGACACCACACTCGTCGTATCGTCCAAGTCGCCACCCATTGACGGCTGGTAATCACCACTGTCATCCCTAGTGCCAAACCAACCACCAGCCTTCCACCAGTCATACAGTTTCGAGTCGAGAAGCTCGTCGACCCTTTCTTCAGGGAAGTCCGTCATCAACCGCCGCCGCATTTCTGGCTCAACGTCCACTTCATCGTTGATCGGTATGGCAAGCTTTCCATCTTCGGTCAGAATCCAGACATCACGCGTGGCATCATTGTGCACATGGTTGTTTTGCGCATTCAATCTCTTGAGAGATCGACCCACGATTTTCCTCAACCAACGAGGCCGAGCAGTGATTCCAACCGCATCTAATAGAACTCCCAAGCCGAAGCCGATGTACCCTCCAATGAGGAAGATAATGCCACGGAGATAAATCATCAGCAAATAGAATCGGGTGGTTCGTTGTACAGCTCCGACTCCTCCAGCCCTAGGAGTCGGATACACAAATGAGTCCTTGCCTTCAAGTTCACCTTGCTTCTTGTCGAATTTACGCTCCTTGGAATATCCGGATTCCCAAGCGCCTCCCTTATCCGTCCCACCAGGACTTGACGGCGGCAACCCGTATTCTTCGAGGATTTGAAATGGCTGATTGCTTGTCAAAGCCCCCACTGCTCCTCGAGCAGCCTCGAACTCATCCAGCCGATCTTCTTCCAACCATGTGAACTGTCGCACTTCGACTGACCTTCCCTCATTCAAAAATACCGCTTCGGATGCGGCAGTCAAGGCGGCGAACCCGATCCGAAGCAGTGCCGTGTAAAAATCCTCATACCATCGGATGTTGACGCCTCGTGTTTGTACGGCAGCTTGCAGATTGTCGTGAGCGATACTGAAACGTTCCTTGATGCTTGTCGGCTGCGGAATCCGCGGGTTGGTGCCCAACGACACGGCAGTCAAGGTGAGTGCAACAAGGTAGACGATGAAGCACACGGCAATGCCCAACAAAATCACCATATGCGGAAGAAACCCAACAATGGCAACGGTGGGGAAGTGTAAGAGACTGCTGACTGGACGGTTGTCGCCATCCTCGCCACTTCGAACCATCGTGCTTGTGCTAAAAAGCCCCCACATAAAGGATAACATGAAGGCCAGGCCCCATACCGCTGTGTTGATGAGTCGCCACTGACGCTGCTTGCCCAGCACGGCAATAATATGTGATGACAGCGAGTTACTACATGAAAGCAATGTGACCAACAGTACTTCCACGGGCACGTTGACCCGATCAAGGATGTGCGGCCCCGTGAGAGATGCAGTGGCATCGGCCAGAGCAAGAATCGTTCCGGATGCCGGAATTGTAGGCTGTGACTGTGTGTCGGGAACCGTGGTGTTCATCTTGCCGGCGCCCGAGTACTTGGAGGCACCGAAAAGGCCGAGTCCAAGGGCGTGAGAGAGCATTGTCTCGGCCTCGGCGAAAGCCAAAGAATGCTCAAAGACTGACATACCGACTTCCGTCATGGTTGGCACCTGCTGCAGGGAGCATGAGAGGCTCTCGATCACATGTGACAAGCACAGCCGCAAGAAGGAGGGCCAGAGGAGAGAGAAAGACCCATGAGGGGCCCGCACATCCGGATTTGGCCGGGACAGCCCGACCGCCGCACAAGTATCAGCATCCGTTGAGCGAAAGAGAAGAATAGAAGTCAATGTATACAAGGGGCCACCATCAGTGGACCAGTCCAGCAGGCTATATTTGTTGTTATCGCCATGTCGATAGAGTGAGAAGTTCGGTGAAGTCTGGCATCTAATAGCTTGAAGGAGTTGGTGAACTTGACTGGTAAGAAGAAGAATAGGTATGATGCGCAGGGCCAGCCTTCTTGTCCAGTCGAGGTATAATCGCTGTCTTGAAGCTCCATAGACACCGATCCGGTTGAGAATGAGTGCCTAGTGTCCTTCGTCAACGCGCATCCTGCATATATAGAGATAGTGATCAACTTACCGTTGCGAAGCATGTGAAAGCCCATCTCGACGTCAGATAGTGTAGCATTCCCCAGTAGCTTTTGAATGAACTCGCTTGAAAGGCCTCTGCGAAGAAGGCCCCCCAGCCCTCCGCGGCCGCATCGCCCATTGCCTGCGCGAGAGCCGGTTGCACGGCCGCATCGGCCATTGCTTGCGGCCCGGCGGTGCCAGCCACACCGTCAGCGATGAATGTATTTATTCCAATACTCTCTAAGACAAAGCGGTTCCAGATATGAAGCAAGACTCGATCGATTCGTGAGAACAGGCGGAGTGGAAGGCGAAGAAGGTGCTCTATCGAAGGCGAAGAAAGAAAGGTAGAGGTAGCATTTGAGGCTCCGACTTTGAAGCCGGTCAGGTTCGCTCCCAGCGACGCAGCAGGCAGCTCAGAAGAAAGGGCAGATGCTGCCTGTGCTAGAGTCGAATCGACTGAGACCATGCCTCTGTCTTCCCCGCGGAGGCGGGTACGGACTGTCGTTCAATACATCAAGGGACGTGGGTCGTAGGCTGTGAGGAATACTCGACGACGACGGCAACGCAGGAGGCTGCTCCGACCGAGTAAAAGGCACGATGGTACAGTCTCTCTAGGAGAGAGGGATGGAAGATAGGTACATGTACGGATACCCATCAAGCGAATGAGGGTGCTAAGGTGCTGCGCATGTTCTCGAGCCGGGAACCGGCGTCCGCTGTCAGGCTCGGGCTTGGCGCTGACGAGCTGCCTTGCCAGTGAAACAACTTGCATTCCTAGTGATACAGGACTACTAAACTACACGAGCGCCCGCTGACTCTTAAGCCACGGACCCTTCTCGCACAGGATCTTTTTGTGTTATTATTAGATACCCGAGGCTCCAGCAATATGAGATTATCGTAACTTATCGTAACCTGTGTGACGCCTGAGCTGCTTCCTTTTCTGCATCCCAAGTACCCAGAAAACTGCCTAAATCATCGATGGCAGCATCAAGATCAAATCCATCATCATTCAACAGCCCAGTTTCGTTCTCCACCACGTCAAGTTTTGCCGGTCGTTGAGCATCCTGCTTAGAACCAGATGAAGCGGCGTTGATTGAAGAAATCGGAGGCTCCAATGGAGGCTCTAACGATGCCGACAGAGACGATTTGAGAATTCCTTTCGGCGCCCGCATCAGTCTTGATGATTTTGGGGTGCTCTTAAGACCAGAGGGTGATGTTGGTTCCATGTCGTCTTTCCCACTGTGACGAAAGGATCGAGACCGGGCTGATTTTACATTACCTTTGGTCTGATTCACGGTTGTAGGCTTCGCGACTCTCATGGCCGACTTGATAGATGCCTGCGAAGGTCCTGGAGACTTCTCACTTGTGATGAAAGACGCTTTCTTCCTGCTGCTCGTCACTCGGGCGTTTGAGCTGGTCTTTGCTAGAGAAGATCTTTCGATATCCAGCCCGGCCTTATTGGAAGGACCCATTTCAGAAGTCACGGTCTTGTACGACTTCAGATAACCAGTCTCATCTGCCCTCGGGATCTCCCTACGCTTTCCCTCCGCATTTTTCGAGCCGCTGAGGCTATTATGATTGTCGAAGCCAGAGTGAGAACCGTTTGTCTCAGTCCCAACGTTTGCTGGCGCAGAGGATTTCACGGCCAACTCGATCCCAAGGGAATGCGGTGACACCGGGACCGCTGGGAGTTCCACCATATCACCATTACTTGAGACATTCGACGGTGCAGACGGCAGGGTTTGTTGTGGCAATACTTGCGCAGAAGGGAGGTCGTTCGGCGTGTCTATGCTTGGTTGCTCTTTCGAAGCTATTGGAATAGATTCAACCTGAATTGGCAATGGCTTCTCTAGTGCCGAAGGGAGAGTCGCAGAAACGACACCGGTCGCTGGTTTGACAACTCCTCGTCTGTCTGGTTGTTTTCTCGTGCTTGTTGGTTCTGGTTGAGGGCCATTATTTTCGTGAACTAAGCCTGAGGCTTCTTGCGGGCTTTGACTGGAGATGGAGGCGAGGCGGTTATGAGAAGGAGGCAAGATCGCAGATGTGCCGACAGCTGGCGGCGATCGGCGTCCTAACTCCACCGTTGCACTGTTTGTTGTCGATCCGCTGACTGGAGGTTCACTAGCAGACGTAGTTCCACGTAGCTGTTTGATAGTATCTCCTCGACCTCCAGGATGCAGGGATGAGGTTTCTATGTACTTCGTCGGCGTATTGTTCCCGGTAGCTAAATGTATAGCTCGTGGTTGCGAGTGCTCGAGATTCTGTTTATTGCTTTGCGCCGAATCAGAAGTATGGGGCCGTCTGGTGCTGTGGAAGCTTCTTGCTACGTGAACAATAGCATCAAGCAGCGGTGGCATTGGCACTTCGATCCGAGAGGGCTCCCCATTTTTCTTTCCTACACCAGGGCTTTTCTTTGCCAATGGAGAGGAAACTGACATCTGTGTACCATCCAGTTGCACGTAAGAGTCGTTCTTCTTCAACCAATCCTCAACTATTCGATTCTTCTGATGATTAAATTGGTCTGTATTTGAGCGACACACATCGCCGATATCATTTTTCAGGGAAGAGTCCAACCCCTTGTCCTGATTTGTTTCGGGGGGCAACGCATTTGAGCGTTTGGGTCGTACAGTTGCACTTGTATTGCTCGGTGGCGATGCTGGTCTCTCTGGCGAGAGGGGAGGTAATGGTGCCGTCTGCACTGCAGGCTTGCTAACAGTCTTATCTGCCACGATCCGAGTTGTGCTCTCGTTGCTACCAGTGGTCTTCTTCCTCCTTTTCCATGGATTTTGCCAGCCGTTGTCGAAAGGGCCCTTCAACTGGGCAGTAAGGATGTATGGAGGCTCTCCCCGCAGATAAGCAGTCGCCTCGCTCTCGATACGTCGTCTTTTCGCAGCTTTCTGCTGTTCATCCTCTTGAACGTCTTCGTCTCCATCAAAGTATATGATTGTGTCGTCGCAGATGGGGAGTTCGTCAGCGTAGATGGGGGCTACTGGTCTGGGGTACTCCGGCGGCGCTTTGGGTTTGGCAGAGCGCATGGCCAGCAAGGTCCGGAAGGCCTGCAGGATACTTTAACTCAGGTCGAATCAGCAGCTATAAGAAGTGAGAATCCCACGAGACGCATGAGAGACAAAGAAGAGCGTTGACCGCCAGCCTGACTACAGAAGCCAGCGCAGAAGCCAATCCAGATCAAGCTGAGTGGGCGGCACCAAGGCAACCACTGCCGGTGGCTCTCTACGCGCGCGTCACGCATCTCCCCAGACTTTACAGGCACGTGACAGTAATATTTACGGCTTAAACAGGACGAATGGGTTCAGCAATAATAGTGATGACTCAGCTATTTTCCACATACACAATTACTGGACTCGATACAAACAACGGTTGGATTTTCTCCGTCCTGGATGAACTTGATTGCCTGTTCTCATAGTAGTCCCAAATGGCCAGGACGAAATTCGTCACTAACACCCGTTTCAACCGAGCACAATTCTTTCCCTCATTCCCCCATTATTACAATCTCCTTGCGCAAAAACATCACGAAGTCTGTCGACTCCAGCACTGGGTATCAAGAAAAGTTCACGACTGAAGATCCGGATTCCAAAACCCCAACGCAACTGCATTACTGGGTAACTCCATCATAGTAAGTCTTCGTAGTGCTTCCGTTGGTGACATTGGCTGACCCATTGGTCGGCTGATAGCCAGATTTCTGGCCGTCGAAAGCGCGATCAACCTGGCTGCTGAATCCACTGCCAGCTCCAGGGTTGTTAACCCCTCCGGAAGTTTCGCTGTTAGGATGATTGCCACCACGAATAACCGGGGTGGTGGTACTGTGTGCCTTGCGGGTGATCTGCTTAGCTTTGGGAATGTCGCTGGTTTCTTTCGCACTTCCAATGGTGAAGATTGGAGACTCCCAGCGATCACCCTTGGCGGCAAGTTCCTTATACTCAGTCGCCTTGGTTGAAATACCACCTGGCAGCGAGATGTTCTTGAAGATGGAATCTTGCTTGGTGACGGCCACGTTGACATTAGTGTTAGAGGCCACTTCCTTGGTCTTTTCCTTCTTCTCGGTAAGCTTGCTCTGGAATGCGTTGACGTAGGATTGGAAGATGTTAGGAGCATTCTCTGGATCTTCCTTTGCTGCCTCCTTGGCGTGATTGACTTCTTGCTGAACAGTATACGCGAAAGCGTCTGCCTTCTCGAAGCTGTCCTTGATCTGCTTCTCGATGACCTTTTGGATGACTGGCCGCATAACCTTCAGCAGCAACGGCTTTGCGATCGCGAAGAGCAGCTTGTGGTTAGACTGCTTGACCTTAATGTTCAGATGTTTGATGGTGACAGTGACCTTGTCCACAACCGCGAAGTGGGAACTGTCCGATTTTTGCGCATTTCGGGCAGCAATTTTGAAGCCAAAGCCTTCACCTCCAAGGAAAATATCCATGACACCCTTGTCCGTGATGGACGGGAAGCCTTGCTTCTTTTTGACATAGTAGGCAACATCTCGCAGATCCATCTGAATGCCCGAACCAGCAATCAGGATTTTGTTGTCCTTTTTGTTCGAAACTCCCTTGCGGCCCATGCGGAAATAGTTGTCGCTGCCGAACTCGAAAACGTTGGGGAACAAGTTGTCTGTCTCAATGACTAGATTCTCGACTATGGCATCGATGGTCGGGTCTGAAACCTCGATGCGAGGAATGGGAACATAACGAGTATTCTCGAAGATGCCCGGAATAATAACCTCGGTCAAATCCTTGACCAAGTGCGTCTTGAACACCGGCTTGCCATTCTCGTCCTGACCAAGGTCTGTGAAGAGTGTCTGCAACGCCTGACCAAAGGCTTTATTCTGCTGATCTTGGTCGAATTGGTCTCCAAGGAACTTGATCTCATCCAAGATTCGGTCAGTGTGGTTACGGTAGCGGTCTCGGAGGAGGAAGCGGCCCTGGTCTGAAAGGCGGTTCCACTCGTCAGTGGCAGCATCTTGAAGGATGTAACCTTGTTCCTGGAGCGCTCTGCGGATGTATTTGTCAAGAGACTTGAACCAATTCTTGAGCTCTGGATCACGATCTGCATCTCTGTAGATATCGTTCAGCGAATCGAAGAAATCATCGGTGCTGGTGAAATTGGCAAAGCGTTCGATAAGAGTCTTGAAACCTGTCAGCGTTGATTTGTTGTCATTATAGAATCCTACACATACCTTCAGGTTAGTCTCGGCGCGTCTTAGATTATCGTCCCCATGTGCACCTTTGACAGTTCCGTGGGACTGGTCCTTGACATTCTTCGCATGACCACCATAAGTCTCGGCAAGCGAGAGCAGCGTCCCGATAGCTTCCTGGTCTGTCAAGATGTTAGTCAGCGGTTAATGAGACAGCGATAGGGTGGACATACAGTCTGGATGACCTTGGATCTCAACAATCATCTTTTTCAAGCGCCAGATTGTTTGATCACGACGCTCCTTAGGCAGCTTCTTATTGAGATAGTTTTTGGAATGCTCCTTGGCAGCATCCTTTGCCTTTCTGGCGTCTTCTTGACGCTCATCAGGGATGTTTGTTCTGGCTTGCTCTTTCAGATTGGCGGCTGTGGTTTGCAGTCCTGCAGCGCCTGCCTCCCGCGAATCGTCAGTGTTCTGCGCTTTGGCAGTATTGGCACCTTGTTGTGCAGCTTGCTGGGCCTGCTCGCGATCGAAGGGTTTGTTTTTGTCAAACGTGGAACGAGCCTGATTCTTGAGCTTATCCTTGGATAGATCGGGAACGTCGTGCCATGTGTTATCCTCCGCCGGATGATCGATCTGGTTCAACTGGTCTTCCGAAGGATTGACGCGGTTGGCTGCGCTTTGAGCAGCATCGCCGGCTATGTCGCGTAGGAGGACGGTGGCATCGTTCAAGAGCTTCCGGAACTGGCCGTTAGAGATGATCAGTGTGCCGAGGGTCTTGAGGCCGTCGAGAGCTTCATTAGCGTGTTGCTGAGCGGTCGCTTTGTCTGTTGGGGCGTTGGGAAGACTGGCATTGTTGGCGTCCAGGTGTTGAGAGTCCCAGATGAATTCTTGGAGCAGATTGCCATCATTCTTGCTCAAGAGCAGGTACTTGGCCTGGCGAATGACCTCTTTGAGGTCAGCGACGAGATGGCGACCTTCCTCTGACAACTTGCCCGAGGGCGACGAAAGAGCCTTGGACTCGAGGGCACTGTTGAGGGCGATGTCGATTTGTTTGTTGGAAGGGACCTTTCCATTCGAAAAGGCCTGGAAGATACCGTACAGCTGGAGCTTCTGGTTGATGTCCTTCTCCTTGACTGCGGTGTTTGTAGGACGGTTTACGGCCATGATGACGACTACTGGTAGTAGGTTGAAAAGTAGGACTCGGGGGGTATCACAGCAGCAGGAAGAATGAAGACACACAAATTCAGCGGGGGTATCAAAAAGAGAAGAATGCTGAGACTAAGAGCGTGTCGCGCGCAGGTAGTGTATGTGTAAGGGGTGATTGGGTTTTTGAGGATGAATGAAGAGTGAAAGATCTGGAAGTCAAGGAACAGAGAGGAATGATGTATATGTGCTCAGGCCGGGCGGGGGGGGATGTTGTAATGGCTTCACTAGAGGCAACACAGGGCACGCTCCTACATCAGAGGGCCTGTTCCCTTCCAGCTTGTCACTTGGTGGTGGCACAAAGGCGTCAAACAGCGATTGGCACGCACCCGCTTCTGGTTCCCGGTTTGGCAGCGATCTGGCCATGATGTGGCTGACTTCACGGCTAGGATCGACTGCCACAGGAGGCAGGGCTTCTACATGAGGCTACAATGGTGGGGACTGGAGCATTCAACGCCGATGACCTGCAGTTGAGCGAGGGAATCGGCCAGGGGGCTAACGAGTACTAGGTAGGTAGGTGACAAGAGTGGGCAGAATGATGATGTCGTTGAGACATGCGCAGTGGTGGCAGAGGAAATGCATGTTTATGACATCAAGCCACCCCATTGAAGTTGCCCTGCTAACGCCCTTCTTGCACCGTTCCCACTGTTTAATCTGCCAACTTGGCAGAAGCGCATTGTTGCCAGGTGCCAGGTGCCAGAGAACGTCGCAGGGGAGAGAAGCTTCGGTAGTAGGGTAGTAGGGCCTCTCCCGCCGTGCTGACCTCACTCCCAGATCACTCTCTTGTGCTTGCTCAACTCGCCTGCAGACGCAATCTTGTCGAGTCTGCGTGCGCCTATACGAGTACTGTGTATCTTATATGTACAGTGTACAGTGTACGTGTACGAGTGCAGGGCACAGTGCAAACAGGTCTCCTCCGAATAGCGTTGCTTCGTTTCCCAAAATCTTGGTCCTTTCACGCCATAGTAGCAGGGGTAAACCTGTCAGCCCCCTCGCAGTGCGCAGATTGCCATGTTTCATTCCAATTACAATAGGGGAAGCTCTCCTTTCCCATCTCCCTTAGGTGCCTACCACCACGAGTACCAGCCAGGAGTCGATCTTTTTTTTCACTGCGCAGTATCTACTCGTATCGTTTTCCCCAGGTTTGATCCACAAGCCACTGACGCATCGTCCAGCAGCCAATTTTCTTAGTGTTTCTCCGACGACGGCGACGCATTTCCTCTTCCCTTTCTGGAACCTTCGCCCACCACCATCGCTCGCGGCGTCGTCATCGTCATCATTACGACTGGGGAAAGAATCTGATCGCGATCGAGGACCGTGACGCGACGCACGCAATTGAGCTGGCTTGTGGAAAGGCCTGACATTACGCTGCTCTCCACAGAATGACGTTGGAGGCCAAGGAGCTAAGACAGGGATGACGCCGATGCATCTGGAAAGAAGTCCCACCACTGAGCTTGGGGCGAGATGCAAGTCTTGTCCGCCCCTGAGGGGTGTGGCGCGCTACCCAAAATTATCTCTTCTCTGTGGCTGCGAGAGAACTCATGCCAAGTGAGTCACGTGGAAGCGTGAGACCGAGACCGTGACCAAGCAACGCGTCCCGCAGCTTCACGCCCAGACTCGCATGATAGTATGGCAGCCTGATGGGTGAGATGGTCACTTGTCAAGCAGGCAATCTGAGCCGGACCATATGCAATTGTATCATTTCTACTTACCTCTTATGATGCTCCATACGGGATTCCACTAGTACATTTTCCGTCGTCTCACCTGTCTCTCACTGGGCCCAGCGCCTGTACTCGTTTCACCCAGTAAATCTGCGCTGAATCATCTGCATCGCAATGGCAGGCCGCGCTAAGGCTGGCACTCCCAGACGCTCAGTGCGCAGTCAAAAGAAACAGACCAGCCTCCAGTTTTCTCCCCTCCCGGCTTCCTCTCCTGCAAAAGCGAACCACAGTCCGGCTGTTCAAGGCAGACTTGCAAATGTCAGATATGAGGGCTCCAAGCACATCTCACACCGACCCGGCGGAGGCATGGATGAGAAAACAGCGGAGACTACATCCTTACCGACTCCAGAACCCTCATCTCAAGTTGGAGACTCCGGCTATGTGCTGTCTCAAAGCCCTCCCCAGCCCTCGCTGGCCTTCTCCCCATTGCCAAATCTGTCATCAGAAACATATCAAGGTGTGGCGGAAGAGGATGAGGATGATGACTTGATACCTTCCGCTAAAAAGAGGCGGAGAATTTTGACATCTGCACCCGTCACTCAAACACCTGCTTCCACCCGCCCAAGACGGTCAACGCGCTTGCAGTCTAATTCAGCATCGCGCCCCAAGTTCTCTTCACGTTCAAGTGAGGAGTCTTTCGCGGAGCCAGAAAGCTCGCCGTCCAGGAGACGTTCAGGAAGGCTACGCCAAGCCGCCCCCGGTCGATTCGCTCAATCGCCTGAATCTCAATATCAATCCTCCGACGATGCCTTATCTGAAGAGAAGTCTACCCTTGTTCCTAAGCCAGCATCCAGACTCTCTGACCTTGGATCTCCTGAGAGTAGTAGCGATGAGGACATTGTGATGGCATCTAAACCGACTGCCCGACGACGTCAGTCAAAGGCGATGCAGCACGATCCCTTTGTCGTCAATGATGATGAGATCGAGTATTTTTCTGACGAGGAGGTCCAGGAAGTCAGAGCGCCAAGAGCTCGAAAGGTCAACAGAGATGACTTTATTGTCGAAGACGATGAGGTGGAGAATGATACATTTGACGAAGCTTCGGAGGACAATGCGCAGGAGAGGGTCAAGTCTCGCAGACTGCCTGCAAGCCACAAGTCGCCGCACAAACGTCGTAAGTCACAAAGACAGCAGGCAGAACTTGATGAAGATCTTAGAGACTTGCAAGATTCCGACCAGGAACCCAGTGAAGCCAAGACTCGTACAAGAGGCGGACCTGTGACGACTCAACGAGATATGGCAAGACAGCATTTGGATATTTTGCGACGACGACGTGCAGGAGAAATGATTCCACGCGTGGAGGATTCAGAACCAGGGGAGGAAGGATCAGAAACAGAGGGAGTCGACATTGATTTCATCGGTCATCCAAACTATGACATTTTGCCTGCTGGTTCACTGCATTCTTCCAGCGACACAGACCACGAGATCCAGAAAGAGCAAGATCAACAAGATGAGGACGAATTCGTCGTTGAGGACCCTTCTGGCAGACTCGGACGCCCACACCCTGACATTCCCCTGCAATTCACCTCTTTTGCATCTTCAAAGCCTCGAGAATTGTTTCCCCATATAATTGAGTGGCTGGTCAAGAACAAGATTGCTCCGGCTTTCTCACGCGACGATGAACTGTACAACCTAGCATTTGCTCGGATAGATGACCAGGTGAAGGCTCAAGCAGGGAGCAGGCTTATCTCCGCTGCATGGGGGCCCGAGTTCAAAAGGGCGATCCTCGCTAGACCGAGCATGAAAGTGGTTGCGCTTCCTGGTGAGGACGAGGACAATATACGCAATTGCGACGCATGCAACCGCAGCGGCCACCCAGCTCGGTACGAGTTCATGTTTTCAGGCCAGCCATACTTCAAGAAGACGCTAGAGCCCGTGGACAATTCAGATGATGAAGAAGAAAGCTATGGCGATGACGACGTGAGCCGCGATGAGAACGGACATGTACTAACTTCAGAGAGCCGTCGCTTCTATCTCGGCCGCTTTTGCGCTGCCAATGCCGAAATGGGTCATAAGTTGACTCACTGGAAATACCACCTCAACGAGGCCGTGATGGCGTACCTGGAGGAACAAGGCTTGCTGTCTGCGGAGGCGATCATTGCGCGCGAGAAGTTGAACAAAAAGAAACGCGAAAAGGAGGCCGAGAATATTGTCGACAGCATGGGCGCGACGGGCGTGATTGGTGAATTCTGGGCGGATTTCGACAACGACCTCAACGACGCTAGGTTGGGCATGGAAGATTATGAAAAGAAAGGAGGCCGTTCAAGGGGCCGGGTCGGTGCGATCAGGTCCAAGGGCAATGGATTGGTCAGAGAGTGGGCGGGAGACAAGTATCGTATTACCAAGGCCGCCGAGTCTGATTCCGAGGGATAATACCGAGTACTGAACGGTCAAGCTGGGGTTTCTGGATCTGGGCGACAGGGGCTACGATCAAGTCGACGACCGCAGACGTCTAGGATGCTGAGGCCCTGCGCATAAACACTTTGATTTTGATCGCCAGGCTGTATAGATATGCAGAAGCGAAAGCCATTTGAATTTAGCGAGCAGAGACAGACACGATAATGCCGTCAAGATAGTCGCTACACGCGTTGCCTATTGAATGGAGCATGCGTGTGTAGCTGGAGAGGTATACCCTTTGAAACAAATCTTACAGGTAAACTCCCTCCAGCTCTATCGCACTGGACTATAGTATCGAATGAGACGAGAGATATGATGCCGTCACTTGGAATTGGCTGGGGTTCGTCCTTGAGCCCAATGAATCGCACCGAATCCATCCATAACCCAACGATGCCCATGCTTCCATGCCGGTCTTGCATTATGTATTGTACAATCACTCCACGACCAGCATCCTATCCTGTGTCGTTGTCACGGGAGATAAGCGGGAGCGCTCAGGCTCGACTTGGCAGCAGTCAAGAGAGTCTTCTCCTTCTGTCTCGGGCCCTCCCATCATTTTCATCCACCTTGCCGCCGGAACCAAGGGTTTCTTTTGTCACAGGCGGATATTTTACAACGCGGGCTGCGCCTGGCCTTGACCCTGACCGCCCTGCAACAACCCCTGAGCGCCTTCGCTCATCAAAGATTCCCGCCTAACCTCCTCCATATACTGCTGCTCTTCGCCGATGGCGAGGGCATAGGGGATCCCCAGCAGCAGAATACTCGTGGCGATCACCCAAAGGCCTTTGCCGGAGTAGTTGACGGTCGAGGAAGTCGCGGAAGCGATAGAAGAAGAAACGGACGAGATGCGCGCGCGGGCTTTAGGCGGGATGATATCGCGGAGCGCGCTGAGGCGGTCAAAGAGAGACTCCTCAAGGGCACCTGCGTCGGAGCCGTCGTCGGAGATTTCAGAGTCTGAGAAAATTGGACATGTTAGATGCACGCAATCCAAGAATCAAATTCTGTGTGAATCCTCAAGGGCTGTCAAGGGAAAAGACAACGACGACGAGATGGTGGAAGCATTGCGAGGTAGCAAAATAGAAGGACTGGTATTTCGTCCCAGGTAGCAAAGGAAGTAGCTTAGACAGTTTGTGATAACTGTAGTCTTGATCCTTGATGGACGGAGGCCACCAAAAGCAAGCACAGGAGGAAGGGCAAAGCCAGGAGCATCGGGCTAGATTCACATACCGGTGTCAGTATAGTCATCATCATCATCGACCAGCAGCGCCCCGTCCGAAGTCGAGTCGGGCTTGCTGAGAAAATGCTCATCCTCGAGTTCTTCCAACTTGACCATTTTGCCGGTGGTCTCTTCAACGCCCTTTGGTTCTTTTCGTTGATCGAAGTGGTTGATACTGATGAGGGCGATCGTCGGGCCGATAGAGCAGGGGCGTAGTTTGTTTGAGAGAAATGGATTGCGTTGTGGAAAGTGATGGCGAAGCTCCAGTGACCTCGTCTTCAACTTTTTGGAGACTGTTAGACTGCGCTGTACGGAACCTACAGTACATGGCTTGGCAGCCAGAGTCGCGCCGCTTTAACAGCGAACCGCTTCACGAACCGTCACGACCTCATCTTCCTGCAGAGTACTCTTGACCTGGGGACAGAGAGCTTCCAGGTGCTTCAATCCCACACGGGGATTTGTGCCTGTGAAATGAAAGTTTCTACAATTCATTACTCAGTTTGCAGTAGACTGAGAGGCGACTTAGTTTATAGACCTTAGCTGAGTCATAGGTAGTTGCAACCAGGTGGAATATAATATACAGGAAGTCAACTATCGTGAGTTAACAATATATCTTCTACAAGCCATGTAATCGTATCTTCATGCTCTCAACAGCCTCGCTTGCTAGTCCAGACCACATCCACCTGATACCTGTAAGTTTCGAGCATTTCTACTCCCTCTGACGCCTAGGTCGATCCACGCCGTCACCGTCACCTTTACCCGAATATCAGTGGTAGTCGCCCATACAAAGTTGGCGGAGCCACTCATGATGCTCCTCTTTACCCGACACAAGGTCTCTTCCGTGGCTGTTGCAAAGAAGGGTCCGAGAAGGCATTGTCATATCCGGTAGTGGTTGGGTCGAGATCAACTGCATCAATCACCCCATTCAATCAACATCCCATCCGCTCCCCTCAACTCGTCACCAGCAAGACCAGAACGCCCTTCACCATCTCCATCGCAGTCATTGTCAATATTGACGTCCTTTTTTCCTTTCGGTTCCTTCCTGACCACGACCTTTGGCAGAGGCTTGTCCCGTTGTACTTTGCGCAAGAGGCTGGGGATGTGCTGTCGCCGTGATAGGCCTACGCGGTAGGTGACTTTCCTTCCGCTGGAGAGGTTGAGTGCGTTGATGGGTGAGTGTTTGGTAGGTCCCGTCTCGGCAGCTTGCTTGTGAGGTGTCGTGAGTGCGGAGGCTGTAGGGCCATTTGGTTTTTCCGGAGAAACAGGAGGTGGCAAGTCGTAGACTGAAATTGGCGACACTGTGGGCGCTTTCAGTTCGCGACCACTCATGTTTGTGTCTGGCGTGTTTGGCGATATTTCAGCCAGGGCTGGCCGAGGCTTCAAGGTGTCGTGTGACTCCTCGATAGTCTCAACTCCTTCCCTTTGCTGCGCCTTTTTGGGCTTGCGGCCCCGTTTCTTAGGCCCTGTCGCCGGGTCCTTAACCTCTGTAGCGATAGGGATCTCTATTGTAATCCTGCCATTCCCCTCTCTTGCACTGGTCGTATCTGCATGATCATCCTGTTTTGTTTCCTCCTCATCATCCTTGGGCACATCTGCTTCTTTTTTGAGCACCTTCAGATCAGGCGGCAGGTCCAGCTTCACAGGAGCCGGTTTCGTGTCCATCCACACAACGTCGTCCTCACCTTCGCTAAGCATAGGGTCGCCCCTCTTCAGCAAGGCCGCAGCCGATGTCTTTGCACGCTTCACTTTGCTCTTGCGTCCGGACTTCTTCGCGCTGGATTTTGTTGTTGTAATCATCGATGACTGCTCTTTGCCCTGCATGGCATCCGCACTCGTGGTCTTTGCCGGGGTATCATGGGCAGTTCCTGGAACTGGAGGAGTCATAAACGCATCTTCATCGTCGACAACCCTCTTAGACCTAGAACGGCTTGGTCGTGGCTTGTATTGTTCCTTGGGTAGTCCAATCAGTGATTCATCGCTAAGATTGGGTTCGCTTGCTATTTGTTTCGTGGGAGAGCTTTCCGTGGTCTGCTGTCCTTGCTGTTCATCTTCAACAACCTCTGTTGATTTTCCCCGCTTCCGCTTTTTGCTCGGAGCAGTGGTAGCGGAAGTCTGAGATGCTTGAGACAGTGAATCGAGCGTCCCTCGTCGAGACCGATTCTGTGGCAGTAAGTGAGGTAATGCGAGTTCGTCTATATCTTCTAAAACTCGAGGCGCTGGAGACTTGGAAGCCATACGGGGATTCTTCGGTTTACGCCCACGCTTTTTTGGCTGGGGCCTCTCGGAATCAGCCGTAGCGACGTCCGAGTGGTCTGGTATATCAGGCGCCCCCATTGTGACTTCAAGTTCGGGATTACGACCGTCCGAGACAGCATAAAATGTATCTCCATCATCTTGCAGAAGGCGAGAAGGGTTCGCCGTCAAGGCTGCGTCCGGGTCGACTTGTGGCAGGTTGGGAGTTTGATTGTCGTGCAATACAGAGTTTGGGGATATAGTACTCTGATTCATGTGGTCCACGTGTAGTTGATTTTCGGTCAAGAGGAACACGCTCGCCAACCGTTCAGTCTCAGCTGGATTGGGATCTTCATCCAAAGACACCTGACTCAAGGAACCGAATGGGTTGGTGTTGATGTCCAAGCCTTGTCCTGAGCCACGAAAATCTAGATTGAGGCACTCGTACTGTCCCATGGAAGCCACTGAAGTCGTGAGGCGATGTGATCCATCTGTCGGAGATTGACCGATCAGGCTAAGGATCCCACTAGGAAGGGTAAGGTTCGGTGATAGAGAAGCATTCGTGACACTTGTTTCCTGTGCCAGATCTGACAGGGGCTGATCCAACACGTTTTGGGCCGGGACCGTTGGTTCAGTATTGCAAAGCTCTGACGAAGACTCTGCTGCGCTCGTGAACAATTGAACATCATGGACCGTGCGAGACCTTGAAGGATGGCCATAAACTTTAGCCTTCCTGGAACCCGGTTCTTTCAAACCACTGCTCTCCTGCAGATCATTCGAGCTCTCGTGCAGGGCACTGTGAGGCCTCTTCTTTGGCCGGGCAGCGGTGGCGTTGACAGCGTCGGATGTTCCATCAAGATGACTTCCAGAGCTCCTAAGTCGCATATCAGGGTTTTGCTGGGTTGGCGAGAAAGACGACAGTCTCTGCGTGGAATTCAGGAACTGGTCAAAGTCGTAGCCGGAAAGTGACGCCTGGCTCGGAGCTGCATCTCCCACAACGTTCTTGGGAGCAACTGGCTGCTTGGTAGGCGAATTGAAATCGGATTCAGCGTCCGAGTCGGCAATTTCGTGCGGCATCGAGATATGGTGGTGGCGAAGAGCATGAGACAATGTTTACAGAGCAGGACTTGCGGTTGGCATCGCCTCTGTAATCAACGCGCTTCGAATGACGCGTAAAGAGCTAGTCACGTGATATGTCCCCGCGAGATCACGTGATACGTATTCGTAGTGGTAGCAGGATGAATCGAGAAATAGAAGCAGCGGGTACTTTCAAGGCTACATTGACACAACAAATAGAAAATAGACCTCCCAAGCATTGCAACAGGCAAGTATACGGACATTCAGCCCCTCTTGCAACTTGGCCGTTCTCCCGAAAGTCCAATGCGGTAGATCGATTGTTATATTCCTCCAGCCTTGCCCAAGGCCCCTAGAGGCGTATTTCATCCTGTTGGGGTAAGTCGGTAGAGAAATACAGAGGACATGCTCATTATCGGACGGCAAGCAGAGCACTTCTCCAGACATTGGAGCAAGTTTTTTGCTCCACTTTGGTGGTTACTCCGGAACGAAACAGTGCTGAGGCCAACTGCCGTCTGGTAACATTTGTACCCAGATAGCCATTGTACCCGAAGGCCGGATAAACAGAAAGGAGGTTAGAAATTCGGGGGAATTGTGGATGCCTTCCAATATCTTTCTAGGCGAAAAAGTCCTCGTACAACGGTTGGGTACCATTCCGTGATCAGCGTATTTGCAATGCTGCCATTTTGATAATGTGGCTGCGAACGGGATGAATGTAGCACACGAGTCTCGCACGACACCGCGCAACCAAGTATGTCTGTTGTCCAGCCCTGCATTTCATTTTCCCTGACATATCCGGAACCAAGCCAATTGCAGATCAATAGTCTGTAGTATACCTTGGATATAGTTTAGTTCGACATCGGATCTGGAGGTGAAATAGCAAAGACCTGTGCCAGTGTTTCGGACCGGGTGACGTGGCTCCATGACCGTGGTCGACGGTGTATGCGGACCATGCCTCCCGCTGTCCGCAAGTCAGTGGTGGCCATGCAGAGAGTACAACGTGCAGAGATAGCGTCTGGCGATTGGCTGAGTGTGAGTGTGAGGGACAGGGTGGAAGAAGCCGCGAGCCCCTGTGGTGAAGTCAGCGCGGATCAAGGCGCTACCTTGGAACAGGCACAGTGCCAGGTCAAGACGCAGGAGTCTAGGGCCAGGTTAGGGATGGTGTGTTGGTCAAGGCAGAATGCAAAACCGCAACCGCATTGCACGGAGGAGAGAGAGCAAGGCCGAACAGAAACAAATGATACGGCTATTGGGAGATCGTGCTAGATCAGAAGGGTGCCTTATCTCAGACTGGTAGTGGAGAGGGAGAGGAGACATGTGTTGTAACAGACGCATAGAGATGGTCCTGTTGATGAGGCTGGGGCGGGCGATTCTTCTATATGCGGTGGTGCGGGCAGGTCAACTAACGTCATGTCGCACAAAACGGAAGCAGTTCAGGGCTCGGGGGTTTGTATGCGGATGGAATTATCCATGTAGGCTCAGGCACTCTCGGGCCCCCCTACCCTCCAGCTCTCGAGAGCGAGACCAACTCCAACTGCGGCCGCGTGCTCGAGTCGATATCAATCCATCGCTTCGACGTGGTGTGAGTTTACATTTACGGGTGCAGGAAGAAGAGCAGTCAAAGCAAACTACACCCTAACACGGTCCTCCAGACTACCTGATGCGCATACTAATAGTACGCTACTATCGTGACTCCTCCACAGCCCACCACATCCTTCACCAACTTGTCCTGGCACCTTGCCACTCTCGCGCATCATCCACTCTCCCCAACTCCCGCTCACCGAATCATTGCTGTTAGAAACAGTGAGCCTCTCGCTCCTCCACGTGCCCCGTGAACCTCGTCTTCATTCCTCGTGTTCGGCCATTCCGCCAGACCGCATCTCTCACACCCACCATTTACCTGTCGCACTCGGATTCTCGATCGAAGCACGTTGCTACTCTCAGCGCTCCCCAACTTTACTTCTGGCCTTTCCACCCTCCCACCAGCCGCTCCTGGCGAATCGATCCTCACACACCTAAGCACATCCCTGCCACCCGACAGTGTGCCAAATGTCCTCCCCATGTCAAGTAGCGCTCCCGCCAGAAGACCGTCCGCGCCTGCCTCTACGGTAAATGGAGGACCCTCCTCCCCCCGGCGCCGGCCTGGCTCCTCTTCCGGCACTCCGAGTCCCTCATCGAGCTCCAAGCCCATACCGATCGCACGGGGTACGAAGGGAACACAGACATACAATGGCAGAGGGCCGCTCTACAAATTTCCACGGGCAGCCACCTTTGGCCAACAGACCCCTCCATTGTCAGAAAGAGACAGCATCTTTGCGGATCACTATGTGTCCCCCCAAACCGACCCTTCCTCTCCCATCCAAGGAGTGAATCGGACCCCTTCTCCAAATACCACGCGTGGTGTTCCTTACAATATCTCCACCGTCGCCGCCCGTTCGGTTTCTTCTCCAGAAACGCCTAAAATCTCCCGTCCTCATTCCCCTAGGAAGGTCGAATGGCTGGACAGATCCGAGTCTACCAACGAGAAAGACAGTATCTCTCTACCGCCGTCTCGGCCTTCCATCGGCACGATACAAGGCATCAAAAGAACAGCATCTGATGGGCATTCATGGGCTAAGAAATTTCATGTCACCGTGGGATCTATGGAAGGGCAAGACGGCCAGGCCCACGAGGATAAACAACATCATGAAGGACCGCTGCCAGATGCACAGAGTTCCTCGGAGCATGAAAGTCCCCACCATGCTGTGGCCGAGACGAGTGATTCTTTAAGAGCGGCGTTGAAAGAAGGACCTCGTACTGAGCGCAGTGTGAGTCGTGGTCGGGCTCACGTTGACAAGAGTATCGAAGCTACCGTGAAGAATCCGGAGACTGGCGGCACGGCTCGGAGCAGAAAGGCAAGCCACATGATGGGTATTTTTGATCCTCGATCCGGCACGCCGAAACCTGTCCATACACCTAACGAACGTACCGTCGAGGCCGGTGATAGTAGAGAGCCTCTGAAACCCTCGTCTTATCCTGAAGGGCCTGGCTCCCGAGACCTGCTGGCTCATCGAGGGTCCGAAGACTTCGTCGGCTCTGCACTCCAGTCGACCAAAAGTGCTGGTCTCCCGGACAGTCGCAGAGCTTTGGGCCCTCCCTCACCCCAGAAGCACGACCATGACCCATATTTCCGTCAACAAGATCTTGCCCAGAGGCCGCATCTCCCTACCTCTCTACTACAGGAAATCCGCAGTTCATACCGAACGGACAGGCCGGAGAAGGCCTCGCTTAAAACTCGAGACGAATCGGTTATACAAGAGCAACAGCCCTCCTTCGACACCTTCACCATCCGTCCTTCCGAAGGACGCGACGACGACGAGGAACGTATATCCGCTGCTGTCTATTATCCTCATCCAGGTCCGTCGCCCGAAGAGATAGAACAATTCACGTCTCCTGGTGAGTTGGGCCTCGCCATTGGGAAGCGTGATGAAGTTCGAAAACCGGCCGTGGAGACAACGACATCTTCCAGTAACAAAGGAGCCGAACTGTCGCGAGGTCCTGCACATATTGACATCTCAGTTGTGTCCAAGAATGAGAAGAAGATCTTTCATGGCAATTACCAGCCTATAGACGAGGCAGCATCAGACCGGCCGACTCCAGCTTTGTCCCCCGTGGAAGAAGTTCCTCCCAGTGTAGTGCTTAGCACATCGGAATCCGAGTTTGAGTCCGGGGATGATTTCGGTCAGCAGAGTCAGTATGATGACATGGCCACTACGCCGACCCACCAGAATACCCTTTTCAAAAATACTGCCGAAGCTCCTGTCCCTAATACGAAGGCAAAGGTTGTGCTGGAGCCCTATAAGCATCAGGTCGGAGGTCACTCGACAATTTTCCGCTTCTCACGCAGAGCCGTCTGCAAACAGCTTAATAATAGGGAGAATGAGTTCTACGAAAGAATTGAGCAGAGGCATCCCGACATGCTCAAGTTTCTTCCCAGGTATGTATCTAGATGATCTATTCGTTGCCTAGCCGCGTTGTCTTTTTGGACTGTTTTGCTGATTCGGCTCACAGATATATCGGTGTACTCAATGTCACCTTCTCGAAAGTACCCAAGCAGGCCCAGAATTCCGAACCCAAGACCGGAGACGCGTTAGGGGCGGCGCGTCTCAGCTCCAGTGAACAACAACCAACTGACAACAATAAAATGGCGTGCATCGATGCTATGACAGAGGTCTCAGCCCCTTTTGAGAAGCCACGAATAGTTAGCCACTCGCAGCAGCTAGGCAGTATCCCACAAGTGATCTTGGAACAAAACAAGCACATCATTCCTTCGGATTATTTCGCTTTACCAGAGCGACCTAGAACTGCTGACCCAAATCACGGACGTCGGCATAGCAAGGATCTCGGCTTGTCTCAGTTAGGGCTACGAGACGCGGAGGAAGCCAGAAACTTTCCACACCGGCCGGCAATGCCAGAACATTCTAGCAGTTGGGGAAACACCTCGGTCAATGAAGGATTGAGGGACAAAATCCTCCGGGAAGTCTTCGGACCACCGCCGATTCAGTACTATCGCAGGCACCTCCCTTCGCACAGCACGGTGCCGAGGTTGAAAAGTCATCCAAGTTCTCGAAGAAGAAGAAGCAACCTGTCAGTGAATTCGATACCAGGCGAGGAGATCAAATATTCGGACAAGTCAAGAGATCAATCACAAAGACCGATTCAGAGCCACCAAAACGCAGACACGCAGACACTCGGCCAAAATCATGCGGATGGAGATGATTCTGCGAATGGCCTGTACTCGTCTTCGGTCTCTACTCTGGACTCGATCAAATATAACCTTGAAAAAGTTAAGACGACAGGCAGTGACGTGTCAAACATGACCATCGTGTCCAGTGCAGAAAGCAAAACGTATGTGAAGCGACGTCACTCGGGCATGGGCCTCCGGCGGAGACGACAATCTGTTAATGACAAAGATACTCCTGACCTTGAATATTTTGAGGATGAGGCCTACGCCACGGATGTTGGTCCTGACACCGGCAAGGAGGCGTTCTCCCTAGATCGGACTAAGCCAACAGATCCGGGCCATATGAATCGCACCAAGTCTGAAATTTCTCAGGGGATACAAGATGTCGGTAACCCCAGTGCATCAACGGTCCAGCCAGACACCGGCAGTGGACTCGGAATACAAGTTCAAACAGAATTGGTCCCATCCAATCCCAAAGATGCTCAATCTTCAAGTAGTGGCGACCGGGTAGTCTATTTTCTTCTTTTGGAAGATCTCACCAGTGGTATGGGACGACCTTGTGTACTCGATCTGAAGATGGGGACGAGACAATTTGGCGTAGAAGCCAGTAAGAAAAAAATGGAGTCTCAACGGCGCAAATGCAAAACAACCACGTCGCAACAGCTGGGGGTTAGGATCTGTGGTATGCAGACCTTTGATGCCAAAGCACAGAAGGTCACATATGAGGATAAATACTACGGCCGTGATCTCAAGGCCGGGCGCGAATTTCGCGAGGCCCTCACCAGGTTCTTGTACGATGGAGTCAGCTATGATAGTGTGGCTCGCCACATCCCGACCATCTTGCACAAGCTGTCCAAACTGGAGAGCATGGTGCGACGACTACCTGGATATCGATTCTATGCGAGTTCTCTCCTGATGTTGTACGACGCAGAGCCTCACAAATCTCGTGAAGCAGAGGAGGCAGCCAGGAACGGGATCGACATTGCTCAGTTGAAGAAAAAAGAGGGCAAGAAATGGCCTCCGCCTATTGAGATCAAGATTGTGGATTTTGCAAATTGCATCACCGGCGAGGATGAACTTCCTCCTACGGCCCAGGCGCCTCCGTCGCATCCGCGTGATGTTGACCGAGGATATCTGCGAGGCTTGAGAACTCTCAGGGCATACTTTGAGCGCATTTTGAGCGACATCAAAAACAAAGATATCCAGGCGACCGGTGGCAGAGGAGAAGAATTGACGGCGGCGGTTGATGAATGTAGCAGAGTTTTATCGAATTCCAGCAACGGCATTGAAGACGACGACGGTGAGGTCAGCGTCTAGGTCAGACGCGGTACTACTCACAGGCAAATGAATAGGTTATCAGATTGGGGCGGAGCAATCCCGGTTGTTTGTCAGCTTGGGCTTTAGCAAGGAGTGAGGAGTTTGTTGTTCTTGCATTCAATCGTGTGGGCTGTATAGGATGTGCCTCCGGCCTTTCTTTCAACGGCACTTATCTCTACGGCATTGTATGGGATGCAGCGAGGTTTACAGGGCGGAGTGTGGTCAGACAAGAACACACAGGCAGGACACGGGCTGTTAATGGGGTGGGATTTCACGGCACTGGATGGGTAATGGGAATCGTATGAGTACTATGAGTACTCGATACTCGCGTCAGGCTAGCTACCCAGGTATAGAAGTGTTAGAGAAACAGGCAACTGATTGCACTATCACTTTCACTTTGTCTTTTCGTGCTCTCGTCACTTGGAGGGTTTCTTGCCGTGCTCTCGCTTTTGGAGGGTTTCTTGCCGTCACTTCTCACTGCAGTTCTCCCTTCACCCCTACTACCAACTCGAACACTTCTATCTTCTATCTTCCGTCTTCACCCTTCATACTCGTGTCGTATCGTAGCACCGGGAGAACAGCAGCCGAGCAGCCGAGCCGACCACTGGCGCCATGTACATGAACAAATGGGAAGGAAGGCAAGTGAAATGAAGTGTGCGGCGTTCTACGGCGGACGGTTGTACTGCAGGGTGCGCAGTTGGCAGTGACGATATCGTCACGTAGGAAGTGGGCCGGAAGCCGGCAAGAATGGGAACAGGTGGCGAGATCAGACGTTTGGTCATCGAGTTGAACATCGGCGTGGCAGGGTGGCGGTGGCACCTTGGTCTTGTTGAGAAGTTGAGGGCTTTGTTGGATTGGTTTGGTTAGCAGATCGAGCGAGAGCGAGAGCGAGAGCGGAGAGCGGAGAATGCTTCTGCTTTGCATTTGGGTCGCTACGACTTGCACTTGCAAAGCAGCAAGTCAGAGGCGACAAACGCGTGGGAGATTGCCCGCAGAGAGCTGACTTGAGGTGAGTTGAGTGGATAGGGATGGGGAAGGAGTCCACTTTGGGCCAATCACGCCTCGGCAAATTCAGCCTTGTTTGGGAACGTCATATGTACACACATATGTCACATACACATACGTAGTTACCTGGTAACCAAGCCCAGCCAAACAGATAGCAAATAGCAGATGAAATTCTCACATCACATCGGCAGATGCAACTGAGGGCTCGGGCTGCATCTGCCTCCCATTTCAACACCGCCAGCTCCCTCGTTTCGGCTCGAACGGGAGCGGTAGATCCAGATGGATGATGTTGGCGTTTGGCTGGGGTTTCGGAGAAATTCGCGTAGGGTTGCCGATCTGCATGCAGGCTAGGTTTCAGCCTTGCTCCACCGAACGAACTTGAACCTTACTGGACTCCATAGGTTGCCTCGCGCGATCGCTAAGGCAGCCTTGCGAACCACGTCGACTTGACAGACCTGCAGCGTCGTAAATCTCGCATGGCCAGCCAGTTTCAAGGCCCCGAGTAAGCAATTGATCGATTGAATCGTTGGAAGCTGGAGGGGAATTGCCAATTCCACCACTGGCCTCTGCAGGCCCAAAGGGCTGCAGTTCTTCGAAAATGCCTCAATGAGAAACTTTAGCTGCGATCCATGAGAAAACTTAGCTGCGATTCATTCGCGTTGCCTCCGCCTCGCCACTTCCCCGCCTTCGGTTGCCTTGGACTGCTTTCAATTGCCACCTCCGCAATGCCTCCGCAATCGAGCTGTTTCACCTTGAGCAATCCTCAGCCTTCCTAGTAGATGCAGACACATATGTCGACTGCTAGACTCACCTGAGGCCTGGGGACCTTCTCGACGGGCTGCTCATGCTTGCAGTGCTGCTGTTCATGGCGGTTGGGGATCGACTTTGAAGACAGGCAACCCCGACCTGTGGTGGACGTCAGCATCCACTTTGAAGAACACGTAGACCTCCGCTTCCTGCCCCCTCGCAATCATTGCTCCATCTTCTCCATCTTTGCTGCTTTCCGGTTGCTGGACCACGGAAATTGAGTCCGGGTGGATGTTGCTCAGCCTCGCTGTACCGCTCTCTGCTTTGCTTCCAGCGGGACCAGACATGCTCGTAGACCAGACTGCAAGGTATCGAGTCGCTGTACCGTAGAGTTCCCATTGAACCTACTCGTCCCACCGTCTGCACTGAGTTCGTTGAGTCGAAATGGTCGCCACACCTCCCAGCCTCCGAGAACACCGTCATCGTAGCAGTCTCTGGTGGAACATTGGGGAGGTCTTGGAAGTTCCTCTGGACTATAAGGATCTCTTCATCTTCCTCTCTTCTCTTTCTTTTCTTTCCTCCGTCCACCAGACACTTGACTCTTCTGACTCTGCTCTTGACACTGCTCTTGCACTGATCTTGACACTGCTCTTGACTTGCTCTTGACTTGCTCTTGACTCTGATTGGCACTCACACTCTTCTTGACTCTGCTCTTGACTCTGCTCCTGACTCTGCTCCTGACTCTGCTCCTGACTCTGCTCTTGACTCTGCTCTTGCTCTGCTCTTGCTCTGCTCTTGCTCTGCTCTTGACACTGCTCTTGACACTGATCTTGACTCTGATTGACACTTGCACCGCCACCTTGATCACTTGTACTTGCACCTGAAACTCTTGCACTTGTACTCGACACTCTCCAGCCAAGCCAACGACACCATCTCTCTTCACACTAGAGCGGCAGGCACCAGATCATCTTCGGCATTGCACAGTCAACCCCCCTCAGACACACTCTTCCGGACCGGCATTTAGTGCAGCGGCGGACACCCCTCACACATACACACACATCCGGACCGGCATTTAGTGCAGCGGCGGACTCCCATCACACACACCAGAGCATCTTGGACCGGCATATTAGTGCAGCGGCAAGTTTGTCTCGATCTCGGACCGGCATTCAGTGCAGCGGCGAGTACTCCTCAACCACACCACACCTCTTCTCATCCTCTCTTTCTCTCTCTCTCTCGACAATGGGCTGTTTCTGCAGCAGATTCGCCGCGGCCGCCGACGAGGAGCAGCCAAGCTCCATTCCTCGTCTTGTCCCTCTGTCGTCTCCGGTGGCCGATGTCGAGCCAACGCCGGGGCCAGAGCCCGCACCAGCACCAGCACCAGCACCAGCACCAGCACCAGCACCAGCACCAGCACCAGCACCAGCACCAGCACCAGCACCACCACCGCCGCCAGCAGCAGCAGCAGCAACGGCACCATCACCGCCAGAGACGGATCTGTCTTGGCGCGGTTGGCAACATCTCCTCTGCGACGAGGAATTGGCAGTGGCAGCGGCACCAGCACCACCAGCCAAGCATAGGCGGCGTGGCCTCATCAAAGCCATTCGCACCTCCTCGTCCTGGACCACGGTCAAGTGCCGGACAGAGACGGAGGACTCCCTGCCACCACCACCTCCGCCGGCAAAGATCCGGAGAAAGCGCCGCGGCTCCAAGGTCATCTTCCGCTCGACAAGCACCGACACCTCCGGGTCGGTATACAGCCAAGCCTGCTCGACCAAGAGCAGGTCAACAATCCTGTATCCAGAGTGGGAGCGAGAGCCAGAGCTCGACCTAGAGCTCGTGCCCGGGCCGGCGATGCCGGCCATCAGAATCCTGGCGGCCACCGACAGCGAGGTGGCAGCAGAAGGCCCGCTCCGGGAGCCTGTCCTGTGGCCGCAGTGTCACCGTCGCCTGAGAAGCTCGCTGTGGAAGATTTGAGGCGGGCTCCCACGCCGACAATGACAATGACGATGATGATGATGACCACCATGATGACCACCATGATGACCACCACGATGACAACACCGACGATGACGGTGACGATGATATACCACCAAACCAAGTCCCACAGGTAGACAACAACCTGGGGCAAAAAAAACTCGGAAAACCAAAAACACTCGGAAAAGAACCTGTTCGGCAAAAGACCTGCAGGTAGAAAACCACCACAAAAAACTCGGAAAACCAAAAACACTCGAAAAAGAACCTGTACGGCAAAAGACCTGCAGGCAGAAAACCACCAAAAAAAAGACTTTGCTTTTCAGTTATGGGCGGCGTTTTAGGCGTTGGGAGTTCGGCGTCAGGCGTTCAAGAGGGGGGAGCCCTGCGATGAGAGGCACCTTCACGCGGTGCAGGGTGTGAGGAGCAGCTTCGGCTGTGAAACCAAGACCTCTCCTTATGTATCTAGGTAGTAGTTTAGGTGCCTACATCGGTTTAGGTACCTACCTGTGTCTAGGTACCTACCTGTGTCTAGGTACCTACCTGTGTCTAGGTATGGACACAGCGGCTTAGGGGCTCTTGAGTGCCTAGGTCGCCGGCGGTCTTCGGTGGTGATTGCGAAGGGAAAGAGACCTGGGCATGCTCATGCTCATGCTCATCGTCGCCCTGCCGTTCAGGCTGTGGGTAGGCTGTGATGGAGGTGTCAGCGTTCCCTCAAGGCTGGCTGGCTGCAGATTGTCTAGGGCTTAGGGTCTTCATTCATGCACGAGACTCATGCTGTTGTCATGGCTCTTGTCGTCGCCCTCGTGGGGGTGCTGTTGCTGTTGATGTCGTGGCCGTGGTGTTGTTGACCATGGTCGATGTCAGCTCACCCCGGAGTCGCTGTCGCCGCCGTTAGCCAGCCGTGCACGTGACTGCGGATTTCTTCCCTCGTTGCCTCTGGTCCAGTCTTTTTTCTACACCGCCTTCGTTTTCAGCGCAGCGCAGTCTCGCGTCTCATATCTCGCATCTCCGTCCCACGTCCAACGTCCAACGCACCCTCCAGTAGCTAATATCATATACTGTACGCTGTACAACACCACCCTCCCTACCCCTCGTCAGCGCTTTCTTTCTCCTCTACGCTCATTACTTCAACTGACCCCCGTGCCCTGTCTCTCCTTTACTCCTCCGTCCCAACTTCAACCATACTTGTCCTCGCTTGCGAACGGCCCATCAATATGACCTCGACCACCATTACACGCGAAAATGTCACCACCCTCTTCCCCGAAGTCCACACCCGCCTGATAGGCGCCGACATAGCTCCCAATGCAAGTCCTGACACCAACGGCACGACGGCCGCGCCCTCGGACGACCTCGCCGGATACGACGAAGAACAGATCCGGCTGATGGACGAAGTATGCATTGTGCTCGACCAAAACGACATGCCCATTGGGTCTGCGTCCAAGAAAGCCTGCCATCTAATGACCAACATCAACCAAGGACTTTTGCACCGCGCATTTTCCGCCTTCCTGTTTGACCCACAGACCAAGAAACTGCTGCTGCAACAGCGGGCCAGCGAAAAGATCACCTTCCCGGACATGTGGACGAACACATGCTGCTCACACCCGCTCGCCCACCCCAGCGAGACCGGCAACGGCGACCTGGCCAGCAACGTCGAGGGCGCGAAACGCGCCGCGCAACGCAAACTGGGCCACGAGCTCGGCATCCAGGCGTCCCAGGTCCCCGTCTCGGCCTTCGATTTCCTTGGCCGCATCCACTACCTGGCGCCCTCGGACGGAAAATGGGGCGAGCATGAGATTGACTATATCCTGTTCATCGAGGCCGACGTGACACTGGACATCAACAAGAATGAAGTCCAGGACACCCGGTGGGTCAGCCCGGCCGAGCTCAGACAGATGTTCAAGGACGTCGAGTCGCAGTCAGGCAATGACAAGGCCCTCAAGTACACACCGTGGTTCCGCCTGATTTGCGAGGGCATGTTGTTCGACTGGTGGGACAAGTTGATCCAAGGTCGCCTGAGCGAGGTTGCCGGCGAGACCGAGATTCGGAGGATGTAATACGTACGACCAAGTGGGCAGCAGTCGTAACGTACTCGCCTGTGAATACGACAGCATCGAGGTTAACGCGCTGCATGCTTTCTGGCTGGAGCCAAAGAACAACCGGCGTTCCAGGCGTGCATGGATGAAGGAGCGATGATATACCTCTATCTTAGACGATACCTATTGCGTTCATGCTCACGGCCCAGGGTACTTCGTAGACAGGGTCCTACTACCCGAGCAGTCTAGGCAGTCTTCTATTTATTAGTCTGGCTCTGGCCCATCAGTTCGTCTTCCAACATTTGCATATGTTTGGCACAATGAGATGATAGGTCAAGCACGATACAGTGTGTTTATTTTAATGTGGGAACATCTCTCTAGAATACACCAAGTCACACTTGAATACTTCATACTTGTGGCTGCGGTTTTATTTTGGCATATGTCCGAATATCTCACATACTATCCCAACGTGCTGCCCAAACAGGAGCTTCAATTATAGCACAATGGCCCCGGGCATATGATGATCTATTGCCTGACTCTTCTCGACGATGGGCGCGGGATTTCTTCCTGCTCACGCACCGCCTTCCTGGTTCCTCGCCCGGGCCTCCTCCACGCTCCGCTGCCAGTCCGTGCGATAGAGATAAATAAATTCGATCAAAGCCACCAGCCCCAGGGCGATGGCCACGCCGGTCCACAGACCCCACAGACCCCAGCCTAGGCCGAAAGCGGTGCCAAAGCTGATGGGCATGGCGACCACATAGTAGCAGAACAGCTGCACGTAGCCGCCCACTTCCTGTCGGCCGAGACCACGCAAGACGCCGTTGCAGTTGGCCGCGAGCGCGTCAAAGAGCTGGAACGCAGCGCAGAGAGGCAGGATCTTCGAAACAACTCGGACAACTTCCGGGTCCGAGGTGAACAGGTGCGGGATGTAGTCCTTGAGCGAAGACAGGAGGGTCACGTTCATGATGCCCACGACGATGGCGGCGGTAAAGGTAACGCGCGTGCTGACTCTCGCTGCGTCGGCGAGGGTGGCGCCAATGAGATTCGCGACACGCGTAGACCCCGCGATCGACAGCGGAAAGGGGATCTGGAAAGTGATGGAGGTGAGAGTGGCCAGGACAGACTGCGCAGCAAGGATTGTGGTGCCGAAGTATGAGGAGGCAAATGTGAGCACTTCGAATGCCAGAACCTCGGCCTCGAGCATCACCACACCCGGCAACGCCAGTTTCACCATCGGCCCCCAGTTCTGCCATGCCTTCTTGGTAAAGCCGTTCCAGCATGACATGCCGGTCTTGGAGAAGAAGCGCACGTAGATGAACAGACCCAGTGGTAGGAGGTTGTCCGTGATTGCCACCGCGATAGGAGCACCGACAAACCCCAGCTGGAATTTCCAAACCAAGAGCCAGTTCAAGAAAGCGTTGAAAGGCGCACAAACGATGAGGACGTACAACGACGCCGAGAACAAGCCTTGGGCTTGCACAAACCGTTTGCCTGCTTCGAATGCTGCGTATCCAGGAGCGCCGAACAAAACAACCCTCAGATATAGCCCTGCTAGTTCAGCGACCGCAGGCTCTGGGACAATCACCCGAAGGATATTTTCGGCAAGCACCCAGACGATGGCGATCGGGATGGAGATCGTCCATAGAAAGAAAACCATCCGTTGCATTTGCAGGCCAACGAGTTTCTTGCGCCCAGATCCGTAGGCCTGTGCACAGAGCGTGTCGAGCGATGTGGCCAGGCCTTGGTAGATTGCGTAGCCGGTGATGTTGGCCGACATGGATGCAAGACTCACAGCACCTAATTCGACCGTCCCGATATGTCCCACGGTGAAGATACTGGCGACGGTCAAGGAATACTGCAGGACAAATGTGACCATCAGCGGCGCGGAGTAAGCGGCAATGACTTTGGCTTCGCGCTGCCAGGTCGTATGGATCATGCCGGCGGCAACGGCCTGTTCCCATTTTGCGTCGAGGGTCTCTGGGTCGTCCTGTCCGCCATAAGGCAGGCTTGGGTCTCCGAGGAGAGGAGAGACCTCCGAAGCGACTCCGGCTACACCATCGGATGCAGGAGCAGCTTCCTCGTCTCGACCGGCCTTGCGATCTCCGCCGGGAATAGAGAGGTAGCTGCCAAACAGGCTCTTTCTTCGTCCACTGTCCTCGGCCAGTGGATGTTTAGGGGGAATGATATTGTTGTCTCGCAGCAGGCTTCTCTCTTCCTCCAATGCTTGTTTTCTCTCTTCTTTAGATAGTCTGTCATGCTCCCGTACAAATTGTGGAAGCACAGTGGCTCTATTTCCAGCCCCCGCAAAGCTGGGTCTCCTGTATGATCCAACAAAAGAGTATCCTCCGCCGGGAGCAGACGTTGAAGGACGTAAAGTCGAGCTCTCGGATTCATCGTCGTCCGAGACCATAGCGTCTGAGTCGGTGTCTTCTGCAAGATCTCGGGCCAGAGATTCCTGTGCGATGGGAGATGCGCTAGGGAAAGAGCTAGAGAACACTCTGCTGGTAATGCTTGAGACCCGATCCAGCGTGCCCGAGAGTTTTGTTGGAGTGGCCATGGCCGTAGCCTAGATATCTTTCGAGGGGCCACGGGTTACTCCGTAGACGTGAAAGTCCAATGCTCGCATGCTCAAACCAAAGGTCTTCTCGACAAATTGCCGGGGAAATTATGTCTTCAGAAAGGTCGTTGTCTGCCAGCCATCAGTAGTTTGGACAATGAGCACATGAGCACAAGAAAGGAAGAGTCGCAGGTTGGGGCTGGGGATAGATAAAGGTGCAGCGAACCCTGCTCGCTCATCTGCGAGTGCGGGAGTTCGCTCTCGGCTGGATTGGCCATTTTGGGTCGAGTCTCTGAGCCCCTGCGATCGGCCGCGACAACAGGGAGCCGAGATATGAGATATGGCTGTCTCCGGCTGTACATACCCGGTACGTGAGAACGCTGGAGGATGCGGTGCATTCGAACAGGGTCAGAGCATCTGTACGTACGCAAGACAGTTTCAGGAGTAAATACGTTCTGATGGGCGCCGTTCGTCTTAGGTCTCATCGGACAGCATTTGACCTGCCTTTAGGCTCGTTGCGTCATGCATCTTAAAGATCGTGTATCCGTATTATTAGAGCTTGCCCACCTGCCGAGTCCTTGGTCAGATAAATAAAATACTCGTACCTTAGAACACCATCAACCAGCAGTGTTCAACTGATATTTTCCCTTGACGGTGTTTGCATAATCATCTGGCGGGCTATCACACCCTCAGCTGAGCATACTTTTAGACTATGTCCATTCGTTCAGCACCTGTAAGATAGCATTTCCATCACAAGCACGCCCATGGCACCTATAACGACGACCACCGCCGAGCCCGGTGCTGATGATGACTGGCATTTGCTCTACAATCCTTTTACCAGCACTATCAATGTGGACCAGTGAGTCTCCCAGCGGGAGGTGGGTGCAGAACTAAATCCGATCGAACCAGGATCCATACAGACAATCCTATCGAGCTGTTTCTGCAGCGGCCTCTCTATGCTCCCTTGCTCTTCTCCAACGTCACCTCCGATGCGAGAGACCATTGTGCCAACGAACGAACATTTCTGTCCTGGCTCCGACTGGCAGTCTACATGGCTGTCGTGTCCGTTGCCATCTTCATCAACTTCCACCTGAAAAATCAACCCAGTCCGCTTGAGCAGAGACTGTCCCACCCACTCGGAATTATCTTCTGGGTCCTGTCTCTGGCCTGTCTGGGGAGCGGAATGGCGAATTACATGCAAACAGTGACAAAGTATGCAGGACGGCGAGCGCTAGTTCAGTCAGGGATCAAGACTCAGATCATCTTCGGGGTCGTGGCCACTGCCATTGTCGCAGCATGCGCGCTGTTTCTGGGCGCGGAGGCACAGGCCGCGCGGATGAGGAAGGGCAACACGTGAGGATCCGACAGCAGAGAAACAATCAATAATCGTAGCAGATTTCTCTCTCTCTCCCTCTCTCCCTCGTTCTCTCTGTCTGTGTGTGTCTGGCCTTGCGACTCCCATACGGATTCGCCCCTCGCCGTAGTAAGAGTATCGACTGAGGCCGATAGTGTCAGGCTTGGCACCGACGCGGTCGCGTCAATGGCGATCAAGTTATTGGCCTTCGGCGCTTGTGTCAACTTACCCGCAACCGCAGCCAAAAAGCATCCCGTCCATCCCTCGACCGCCGCATGAGTCGACCTGGGGCTTCACCCGTAGGATTATCTCCTGGCTCGTAAGCCGTTGTTCATTGTTCCGCAGACTGCAGCCTTCGCTCGCTCCCCATTCCATCAATTAAGATCATGGACTTCTCCGGTTCAACTGATTACCCCGCCGACTCGGCATACAGCCCCCATATCGTCAATGAACAAGAACAACAACCAGAAGAAGATGCCACGGTGGTTCAGAATGGTCATCACTCTCACGCCCCGGCTGCCACTCCCCCTATAGACCATGACCCCAATCAAAGATACAATTCACCGAATCTGTACCAGCAACCTAGTTCGAGACCGGGCTCTGGAATGGGTGGGCAGCAACAAACACAGAACCAGGAAAACAGACAATCACAACCCGCCAACAAGAGCAGCGTGGTGATCAAGGTCGGAATGGTTGGTGATGCCCAGATAGGCAAGACCAGCTTGATGGTCAAATATGTCGAGGGCAGCTGGGATGAAGATTATATCCAGACACTGGGTTCGTGCTCTGTCCGCCCGCCAGATTCTATCTATCGCTAGCAGCCAGCAGCTGACTCTTGTGTGCTCGTGCTTTCCAGGCGTCAATTTCATGGAAAAGACGATTTCCATACGCAACACCGAAATCACCTTCTCGATCTGGGATCTTGGTGGCCAGCGAGAGTTCGTCAACATGCTACCCTTAGTCTGCAATGACGCCGTCGCCATCCTGTTCATGTTCGACCTCACCCGAAAGTCTACCCTCAACAGCATTAAGGAATGGTACAGGCAAGGCCGAGGCTTCAATAAAACAGCTATTCCCTTCTTGATAGGCACCAAGTATGATCATTTCGTGAATTTCCCCCGCGAGGACCAAGAGGAGATCAGCAATCAGGTACGTTCTGGGATATAATTCAACTCTGTACAACTTCACGAAACAGAACTGCTCGAACTCAAGCCACAGAAAGACTAATTCAATATTGGGAACAACAGGCTCGACGATTCGCAAAAGCAATGCGCGCCAGTCTCATCTTTAGCAGTACCAGTCACAGCATCAACGTGCAAAAGATCTTCAAAATCGTCCTCTCCAAGGCCTTTGATCTGAAATGCACTATTCCTGAAATCGAGAATGTCGGAGAGCCTCTGCTCCTGTACCAATCAGTGAATTGATGCTGTTAAGCCTAAATGAAGTCGAATGAATCCAAGCAAAAGGAATAGTGTTGCGCGTCGATCAAGCCTATACATCTGGCGTGAGCGACGGCTACACAACACAGTCTTTACTTAACTTGGTTCAGCAAGAAAGCCCTCGAAGCTGACGATTCTATCGCCGCACATCAATGCGGTGACTCTCACGATTTGTTTATCGGTCCCCAGCACCCGCATCAGCGCCACCTTCCATTCCAGCCTGATATTACGCCTGTCAGAATCGAAGTTCATGTGCGTTGTCTAATTCCATACGGTAATGTCCCGTTCGGCGTCTTTCGGGTCCTTTGCATGAGTGGAGCGGAACGGAGCATACATTCAACCTGTTCTGCTTGTGAATGACCCCGAGAGCCTTCCATTTGGCATGACGGCGCGTAATGGCGCGTTTGGTTGGAGTCACCAGGGAATCAGGGGCACATGGGACAAGGAGAAAGAACGCATAGAATACGGAGGGGTTTACATGTTGCGTGGAAATAAGGGTTGGTCGGAAGTTGTAAAATGAAATGTCGCTTCCAAGAGACGAGGGAACTGAACATTCAACCGGAAGTTGATATTGTCGCTAGTGGAATGAATACCATCGCTCTCCAGGTGCAGAGGCTATGATTGAACGGGAACGAGCTGAGCTGTACTCTAGACAAATCAACTCTGCGCGACGGAGAGTTCACAATCCTTGAAAGTGGTTTTCATCATCTTAATGGTGTCCCTGGACTCGTGGGTCTCTCCATATCCTTCCACCACTCCCTATTACAGAGAATCTGCTCTGCGTGAGGGAAAACCGTTCGTGCCTGTCCGCGCAATGCTATGCTATGCCGAGTGAAGCCGCCGATCTCCTTTTCTATCAGATCACGACCGTCGTCAATCTGAATGCGCACTGAAAAATGCAACCCGCCAACCCCCCGGCCAATAGTGCAGCTCACCATCTGGTGCTTGTGCCTCTGCAAGTGAAACTGCCTGGGCTCCCCACGACACAACCGACGTAACTAAAGCCACTTCCACCCCCAACTGGTAGACTGCAGTTGCATCTGGGGGCAATCCTATTCAAGACTCGTCTTCTGCCCCTTCACCAGTGGCGGAACAAGTCCTCTACGCCGTTAAAATCTCTGTTCCCAGTCTCGGCCTCCTAGCCACTCTCCGAAATTGCTGTTCGAACCATCGGGCCAAATTCCTTCTTGACATACTCGACGTAGCCCTTCCACGCCACCAGCTCGCCGCTAAGTTCCATGCTCACCGACGGGAACTTGCGTTCCAACTCCATCGTCGTGCGAATCACCGCCGCGTTAGCTTCGTTGACTTTCTCAATCTCCTGCTTGACTGCATTTTCTTTAATCTTGGCTGCGAGCACGACGCGGAATTTTTCGGCAAGATTGGACAGGCGCCGGCGGGTTTCGTCTGGATCGATCGCGGCCAAGCGTCCTAACATGAGCAGACACAGAGTGCGAATATCCGGGTCATCACTAATGCCATCCAGGATACGATCGAAGATCTTGGGGATAGGAAGATGCGGGATTGCGCCGTGGCAGTCGAGCAATGCATACATCGTCGCATAAGCTGATTTCCGGATGTCAAGGCCGGCGTCTTCGTTGTGGGTGAATGGGCCGATTTTGATCACCTTCACCAGCTCGGGCTTGATGCGTGAGTCCTCAATGACGGAAGGCAAGAGTTGGCCGATGTCTGGGATCACGAGTTCCGATTTGTTGTGGATAGCAGCGTTCAAAGTCGTGATTGCAAGGCGTCGATTGCCGATATCAGTATCGCCCAGCATCGTTTGTAGGATGGGAGTCATCATCTTGACAAGGAGCGCGTTGTAAGAACTGCTTGCATCACCAAGAGTGAACCGGAAGGCAGAGATAACTGTGCCTCTGATAGAAGGATCTGGATCTTCCAGGGATTTAGCGAGTTGTGGAACATAGGTGTTCGGATCAATGGTTGCAAGCCGACCAATACATTCTGCACCAACGGCACTGTTATCCTCAACCCGTGACACCGTGAACAACTTGTCCCAGAGTTCAGATGCATACGGCGCCATGTCTGAAAAGGAACTTTCAGAGTGTTCCAGGATCTCTTTCAGAGAGTGCAAGTAAAGGTAGTTCTGTGCTGGGGACTGACCGAGGCTACGCAAAATAATTGGCAAGCACTCGGAGACATTGTTTGAGCTGGCACTACCAAGTGCTACAGCAGCAGCGAGTCGGACTTTGTCGGAGTCTACCGTAAGACAATTGATGAATGTGTCGATCTTGACGGGGGATTTGGGACCCATTCTGAACCCGACTTCACCGAGCACCGTCAATGCTAGGCACACTGCTCGGACGTCCTGAGATGTTTGCAGCTCCTTCAAGAAGTCCGAGATCGTGACGCCGAGGTTATCCCCGCCGTATACAAGCAGGGTACCTATCGCTCTGCCGAGAACCAAAGTCTCGCCCGCTGTACCGACTCCCAACAGACCTTTCATTAGTGGTGCCCCCACCTCATGTTCGCCAATGACTTTGACCACGAGCAGATAGGCGCGCAGAGGCGGGCCTTCAAGGCGCGCCTGTGTGATTTGACATAAGGCGGAAACAATCTCTGCGTTGACGAGAGCTTCCGCATTTGTCGGGATGATCCTGGAGAGAATGACCAAGGCAGGTGTCAACAGATGCAGGTCATTGACAGAAATGAGCGGCATCAACAAGCTCTGGAGCTGCAAGATGGTTGTCGTCTCGTATTGGGACGAGGAGACAGGATTCAGAGCGAGATACTGCAGTGATTCCAGGCATGCCCCCCGGAGAGACCGATCGGATTTGCGAAGTTGATTTGCCATTTCGAGTGAGACATCTTGAATCCAAGCAGAACCGATGTTATCGTGAACGCCCGCTGCCTCGCCAATGAGGCCGATAGCTCTTGCACTGGCCAATCGAGTGGTTTCATTTTTCAGCCTGTCGTGGAGTATACCGAGACTCTGCATCCTCGCAGAGCTAGACAGAAGTTGGGTATTGGAGGTCCGAGCAATGAGAACACCAAACACTTGAATGGCGCGGTGACGGACTTCGAGGTCGGCGTTGTTGTCAGCTACTCGCTCCACAACCACAGTCCATAATTTCTCAATGTGAATTGCATGGTCTTGATTCGCAGTAGCTAGCCGCGGAGGAGTTAGAGCCTTGACGAACTGTTCAATGGTGCCAAGTGCTTCACTGGAGACTTTATAGTTTCGATCGCGAGCGATATCGATCACTGATGGTATAAGAGCAATGGCAAAAGGAATCAACACCGTGGTACTGTTAGTTTCCGCAATGGCACTGATCAACGTGAGTGTCTCAATCTGCAGGCTTGCTACAGTTGCTGAGGTTCCAGATCCTACGCCACCCGATGCAGAGGCGGTGGACGGCTTGAGTGCGTCGGCGATGGGATCTTCCAACTGCTGTAAATGATCAGACAATATTTCGTTCCGAGCCAGGGTAAGAGTTTTGAGCATAACCACCGAAGCTTGCTTCAGTGACATGCTGGCTTTCTTCCACAGCTTACAAAGAGCTTGCACAATCTTGGGCACGAGCCCAACAAGGTCGGCTAGAGAGCCTCTTGGTGGAGAGACAGGGACAATTGGGGGGCTGGAACGGCTTGTAACCAAGCCTCGAAGGTCTGGATCTTTCCGATCAGCTTCGCTGTCCTGGCGTCGGCGCTTTCGAGTGTTTGTCGGTCCAGCGGGATCGCTCCCTGTCGAATCGCGCCGCGTAAGCGAGTGGGTAAGACCGGAGCCTGCTTTCCGAATAAGCGCGGTGGTGGCAGCAATGACTTCCAGTCTGACACTGTCTTCACGCTCATTGAACAGTCGCGAAATCAAAACAGGCGCAATGTCGTCGAAGAGAATTGCTCGATCGGCTACCGAGACCCCCATGATGATAGTGTACAAGACCTTAGCCGCACAACGTCGAACTTTCCAGCTGAGGTCATCAACATCACTGAATGCATCTTCATCATCCAGTTCCGCATATTCATCATCATCGTCCTCGTCCGGTGGCTCTTCTGTAATGCCATCATCTGAATTGCTATCTTGTGTACCTGCCATTTCAAGGTCTTCAGACTCTGCGACATTAGGGTCATATCTGACGTATCTCAATGCAGCGTCGATAGCTTCCGAGAGATGAGACCTCATCTCTGCGGGACACGATCCAGCCAGGCCCTCGAGCGATACAAGCGCCGTCTCACGGAGCTCTTCGACCTCGGGATCGACTTCAACATCTGCATCTGACACTGAAGCGGTGGATGACAGTTCATCTTGACTCAGAACTTGAAAGATAGAGGGAACAACATCGTTGACGTATGGTCCAAACTTGCCTGGACTGGACCGGGCCAATGTTCCGATCGTGGCAATGAGGAATCTCCTATGTTCGACACTCAGCTGAGAAGCCTGGAAGCTTTGTGTAAGGGCCGCCACAAAGGAGCTGATCTGAGCGTCGTTGAAATGGGGTATCAGGGCGCCAATACCGGCGAGGGCTCTCTTCTTGACTACCCCTCCTGCTGAAGGGCTTTCAATTATAGTCATGACGGCTTTTGCCAGTCCAACCAGCTCCCGTTCTTGTAGCAACGAGCCGTAACATTTCACGATCTCAATCATAACATCCACGGCATCACTGCTGTAGCCTTTGTCCTTCTGCTTCTCCAGCAACCCCGTTGGGAGTTCGGGGGTAGGCTTGTTCGATGGTAGAACGACATGCCCCACCAATCTCGGGATCAGAACTTTGCTGACCGCTGCATATGCGTCTCTGACTTCTTGGCTAGGTCCTCCGACAGGTTGCGGTTGAGGTAGTGAGGCAATAAGGATCCGCAGTGCTGTCGTAGGGATGGAGATATCAATGTCGCTGATGGTGAGGTTGGTAAGTTTGTCGATTAAAGGCGCAATTATCTCGCCTGGAGTGCGTGCAGCAAGTGGTCCAACGCTGATAGCAGATATCAGTATTGATTGCCAGCTGGAATCGATGCTCCTTACCATTTTAACGCCTGGTTCTGGACTTCGCCGTTCTGATCAGCCAATGATCTCAGCAACCCATCAATGATCCTTGCAGCAGTATGCGTATCGTTTCGGATGTATTCGGAGGACGATGAGAGGAGAACGTTTGTAAGATCGCTGAGTTGCATGAAACGAATGTCAGGATCGGGGTCATTGATCTTGGAGAGCAGCGTTGAGATGCTCTGCTGTGCAGAGGAACGGTCTCTAGCCATGGTGATCAAATCAACCGCTGCAGGGTTCGGAGGGGGTTTGGTGCTGTAGCTTCGCAGACTTTTGTGTACAGAGGCTCAAAAACACACAGAGGTCAGGTCATATGAGAAGCGTATCAGGAGCGGAGATGAAGCGTAAAGTGATGTCGCAGGCACTTTGCAAAACGCTCCGGAGAGTCGTAAAACACGCTTGAACGCGAAGACGAGAATATGCCGAGTCCCCAGGCCTGGTGCCTTCACAAGGAGAGGTAGAATGGAGGAAGTACAAGGATACAAAGACGTGTTGCGAAGTACCTTCTGGATCTCGTACGTCTCACTGCTGAGTGCTGCGAGTGGGATCTTTTGGGGGGTAGTCCAAGCACAAGGACTCTAACCAATGACGTCTTGTTTGTTAGTTACTGCTTGGCTTGCTAAGTGTCGGCAGACCTGCGCTTCATGGCGCAACTCGGTCACTAGTTCACTAGTACTAATCAGGGGAGCTCTACCACCGCAGACCCAGGTACGCTCGTATGATGCTTAGGAGCTTGGGCGGAGGTCGAAGCCCACTAATTAGTAGTACAGGGTACGATTGACTTGGATGTTCTGGAGCTCTCTTTCGGTTGCTTCAACAGCTCTCTCCATTCTTTACACCTTACCACGTTTCGCCACGTAACATTTGCAATGGTCCTACCACGGTCATCAGCCCTCCGAGGCAGCATCCGGTCGTTCACTCTCAAGCGAGTCGGCGCCCAAGCTCGGACAAATCTGCGTGCGGTCGGCCGTCGAGGCTACGCAAGCGAGCATGGCGCAAAGAAGAGCAGTGATATCCCCTGGTCAGTCCGACTGATCCTCACCGTCGAACTCGTCGGTCAAGTAGACGATACTGACAGGCAGTGCAAGGCTGATTGGCTCCGTCGCTGTTACCGTCCCGGCCGCGACCTGGCTCCTCAGCCAAGGACCCAAGAAATCCGATCACGGCCATGGTCACGAAGAACACACAGAAGAGCCCGAAGAAGAATCAAAGGAAGGGTCCGAGGACAAGGCTGAAGAAGCTGCCGATGAAGGTGCTCAGGACGGAGCATCTGAAACAAGCGAGGGAGAGTAAGTGTCTTTGCTGGTGAGTTTTCTGGCTAGCAGGCTTACACCCCCTTTAGGACTCCGGAGAGCTCGGAATCAGAAGGTGAAGGCGAAGTCTCAGAGAAGAAGGGCGACAAGGACGTAAGACACTCGACGAGCTTTTTTTTGAAAAGGCATATATTTACTGAACAATGGCAGGCTCAGAAAGACGAGTCCGGCGCCAGCAACCCGTTGCTTGACGATGATGAGAAGAGCAAGAAACCCGAGGGACCGGCAGCCTCGGCCAAGATCACTGGCACTGTTGATCCATCGAGATCTACCAGCGGCGGGAAGGGTCCCGAAACGCCTAAGGAAGAATGAACAGATGATACATCGCAGTCCGACAAGTGAGATGGATGGTTCCCGGTTGGAGGCTAAGGTCACTCACTGTACTAGTACCATGCCATGAGCAGTTTGTCGCTTTGTACAGCCAGCATTGGGAGGTGCTCCATAGCTGTGGATACAGTAAAGCAAAAGCCATTTCGAACCACTGACTACAGCGCACCAGCTACTTCTACATTTTCAAGCCCGGCCGACTGTCAATTTAGAAGCACTTTCCACTACTAGAACATACACACCTAAGGTTCTATTAAGTATAGGTTACACCACGTGCTTGGCAGTTCTGACAGAGCATTGACAGCGAGCAGCGCCCGTGATCCACGATCATGATCCATGACGCAGAATGCGGCTAGGCTAGACTGGACTCGCTCGCATGTGCAAGATTCCAGTCGGGTACGTAGGCTGGATTGTTTATGACCTATCTTACCTACCTATGGGTAGGTACCTATAGGTAGGTACCTAGATATTGGTACTGTACTCCGTACCTGACTCAGTCCTTCTTCTCCATGTAAGGTAGACATGCTTCGTAAACCTCACCATAACCAGGGTACTTGATAGTCCTCTGGAACACCCTTTCATCCACCATCCTCGCAGACTGGAGGGACCCCGCAATGAAGAAGTCGGTGTAGCTCGGCCGGGCACCCAGCACAAATGGCCCATCGGCCTTGTGCGTCTGTATCAGCTCGCCCACGGCGCGAATATCCTCGCCCACGGCGCTCCAGGCCTCTTCCTCCTTGTCAAACAAGTCCTCGAGCCGGTGCCCCAGCGACTCCTCGCGCGTACGCCGAAAGTACTCCTGCGCGCGGGGGGACAAAATGCCTAACTCGCGCGGCATCAATGACGTGCTAAAGGCCCTGCCGACTACAGCGCGTGCTTTAGCCCCAATCTCGAGGCCCAGCTCCGACGTCAGCGGTACCGGCGGGTCCGGATAGGTCGACTCGAGGAACTGTGCGATGGTGACCGAGTCCATGATGTAGGTATTGGTCGGCACGTGCTGAATCACCGGTACAGTGTATTTATTATATATATTCCCCGAAGGGGATTCGCCTAGGACCAGACCGCTGGGAATTTCAAGTCAGGAGACTTCTTCACGCGCAATGGCAGGCCTTGGGGCTGTGCATTTTTGGCATGAAGAAGAACGAAAGAACAAAGGGAAGGGGACTGGAGGTGAAGAACGGAAAGAAGGAGAAGGAAAGATAACTCACAGCCCTTTTAGCGTCGGCTCAATGTCTGGGAATTCGAGAAAGATGGTTCTGTAAGGAATATGCTTATAATTAAGCATAAGGCGGATGCGCCAGACTGCAGGGGAGAAACAAACGTTCTTGGTACAGGCCAAGTCGTACAAAACAATCTCGGGTTCATATTGGGCGGCCATGCTGGGATACGCTCCAATAAAGAAGCAATTGAGGACGTAAAGTGCAACTGTAGAGTTCCAATGGGTCGAATTCCGTATGGAAGGTTTTCGTCGAGTCTCGTGCGAGGGATTGCGAGTGTGCGAGTGCCGGAGAAACTGACTTGAATAGACGGTGATGCTTCTTCAGGGCCGGCTGTGCAGGCTCAAGACTCTCAGTTCGACTGGTCAAGACCGAGGCCTGAGGCCTGTCCGCGATTGTAGAGTCTCCTTGTGGTAAAGGGAATCGACGGCTGTCACAGCTATGAGGTGTCTGTTGTCTGTGAAGTGGGCTGCCTCTGGATAAGATATGTGATATGTCCAAAGAAGAGAAGCGAGTCAAGGAAGCGCTCTCTTCAGACTGCTCCGGAAGGACTAATTTAGCTTGTCATATTTATGCCAGTGTGGTACTCCCTGGTAAAATGTACCCAGGGTGGCTGCTGTTGAAAGTTGGTGAACATGATGCTGTTGGTTGTTGCCTGATACTCTGTACGGAGTACTCTTCTCTGGTCCTTAAAGCGGCACGATCTGGGGTGCGCATTAAGCAGTGAGCAGTGAGCATTGAGCAAGACTCCTTATTAGACGAGAGTTTTTCCCTCTAGGCTTCCAGTCCAATGTCCATTGCTGGGAGCTGCCAAGCAAGCCCCCTTTTCCCTGCTTCTGCTTCTGCTTCTGCGGCCACCACTACGTACTACTTACTGAGCTAGCAGTGATCCATGTACTCCGTACATTAGCTGTACCACCTCTGCCATTTCACATGCTGTTCTTCCTGTCTAAGGTCTGACAGCTGCCTTTTCTACAACTCATTCCCTCGCTGCATTATCTTCCGGCTTGGCTTCAACGTGACTGCAGTGCCCTCATCGCTGCCTGCCCACCATGGGTCGCCCACGTCGAGCGTCCAGCACCCTCGGGGGCGACCCTCGAGGGGACACCAGCGCACCCGCGTTGGCGACCATGACCCAGAAGACACCTGCACAGCCTTCCGTACGGTGCACTCGATGTTGAGTCCTTTCAGCGCTGACAGTCTGCAGGCAAGCGAGAAGGACCTGAAGCCTCATTCGAAGCGTCGCAAAGCCCGCTCTGCCTTTCGAAAATGGAAACAGATCTCCTTGCGACATACATGGTTAAATCCCCTCATAATCATGGTTGTCATCCTGGTCGCGTACTTCATCAACCCGGGGCAGCAAAACCCTCTGCACAAAGCCATCTTCCTGTCGTACCCTCTCGGACCTGATTATCCAGGCGGACCGAACATGTATGGCAAAGGCAAAGCCGACATGGCTTTTGTCGCCTTCTACACAGTGGTGCTGAGTTTTACAAGAGAGTTCTTGATGCAAAGGGTGATCCGGCCACTGGCTATAAAGTGTGGCATCATGAGGAAGGCTAAGCAGGCACGGTTCATGGAACAAGTGTACACAGCCATCTACTTCGGCATCTTTGGGCCCTTCGGCCTGTACGTGATGTCGAGAGGCCCGCTCTGGTATTTCAACACGACGGCCATGTTCGAAGGGTTTCCTCACCGGAAACACGAGGCCATCTTCAAGGCTTACTACTTGCTGCAGGCCAGCTATTGGGCCCAGCAAGCGATTGTTCTCATGCTCCAGCTGGAGAAGCCACGGAAAGACTTTAAAGAGTTGGTCCTACACCATGTGGTAACTTTGTCTCTTATTGGGCTGAGTTATCGCTTTCACTTTACTCATATGGGGATCGCCGTCTACATTACCCATGATATTAGCGACTTCTTCCTCGCGGTATGTTTCAGCACACTTTCTCTTTGGTTTGTACTGGCTGCTAAATCATGTTTAGACCTCGAAGACGCTCAACTACCTTGACTCGTTTATCGTGGGGCCATATTTTGCTTTTTTTGGCTGTGTCTGGATCTATCTTCGTCACTACATCAACCTCCGCATATTGTGGGCAACCTTGACAGAATTCCGCACGGTTGGACCGTATGAGTTGGATTGGGAGACCCAACAATACAAGTGCTGGATCAGTCAGATTATCACATTTTCGCTGCTTGCGTGTCTTCAGGCCGTCAATCTGTTCTGGTTATTCTTGATCCTCCGCATCGCAAAGAACTACGTCTTCACCAGTGTGGCCGCGGATGAGCGTAGTGACGATGAGGACGATGAGGACGACGAGGTCCCGATTGAGGCCAATGGAAAATCGATCGGTCCAGGAGAGCCCAAATTGAATGGGAACAAGCCGGTGGTTCTGGTCAATGGCAAGCCTGTCGAAGGACAAGCCAACCAAAACGGCGTTGGCATTCGGGAGCGGAAAAGGAAAGGCTGAAGAGCCTGCGGGGAGACGATATCTAACGTTGGTGTTTTGTGCCGCCTTGGACGTCTTTCTGTTTCTGTCATGTACGGCTACGACGGATCTGTTCCGAAAAGTGTTTGGGGGCGGCGTGGGAGCGTCCTTTTCCACTTGAGCTTCTATGAACTTGTACCAGGAAGCCATTCCCATTTCCAGTTCCTACTATACCGACAAAATAACAAAATAACAAAATAACCTTCAGCTCAGTGCACTTGGGCTTTTGTCGGTTTGTAACAACCTCGGCCTTATCTCACAGAACCGCATCGCGCTCTAGTTGCAAACTGTCCAGTCCAGTTGTGCAACAGCCTCGCCGCCGTGTTAGGTTCGAGTTCAGAACAGGTGCAGGTAGAGGTAGAAAACGGAGTGACAGCAATAATGGCATACAGAGTATGGCCGCACATACTCATTACTATGTATGTGTGCAACTAACTCAGTCCCGAATCCAGTCCCAGTCCCAGTCCCAGTCCCAGTCTCAATTCCATGCCTGGCTCTAGTTCTGTTTCAAGTCGCCACAGCACCCACCAGGCCAGCGGTGCTCGCAATGACAATTGCTTCCATCTGAATTTGGGGGTTCGGGTCTTTCCCTCGCGCCACTTTGCTGTTGTGTGGTGTGGTGTGTTGTGTCAATGGATTCGGAGGTCTTGCACAAAGAACTTTTCTGTTGCTTTTCCCTGTTCCCCTTCCCTTTCTTTCTCTTTCTTTTCCTCCCATTCTGTGCTCAATTTCGTCCTCGGCCCGTCCCACCTCCCCTTCTCTCTCTCTTAGCTGGTCTCAGCTGCCAAAGGAACGGCGTTTCAACCACGGATGGTATCCGTGTCCACGGGACTCAGCCCGCTCTCTGCGAGCTCCGAATTGGCTTGTTTTCGGCCAGCCATGGCCAACAATTCGATCCCGAAGTCTTCATACCATGTTGCTTGAACACGCCCGAAGTGTTATCCTGTACCAAAGCCCCCATTACCTGTAGTAAATATTATGAATAGTGTATGAGACCCAATGCCCGCCATCTTCAACACCGATCCTGCCTGGTCCCACCCCGGGAATTGAATGGTCATGTCTGCGAAGTCGATATTAAAGTTTGTTGAAAAATAACATAGGGTCATGAATTAAAGGACGTTAAGGGGGAGGGACATAGGCTGAACCGGAAAAAAGGGTCGTCTAGAAACAATGGGCGTGTCCGATAGGGGGAACACGAGGACGCCGGAACAATGCTCGTGACCTAAATCGAGGACACTAACGTCGAAACCATGAGCGCAGCCACGACAATGAAGAATGACCATGGTTGATGGTTCAACGATGACGCACTGCTGGTGCTGGTGGAGGTACTGCTGGGTGCAGAAGTTGAAGTCGAGGCTGAGATGGATGTTGTTGCCGTGGCCTTGCTATTTTTCGAGCCATCGGTAGAGTTTTTTGAGCTGGCATGGGTGACGACTGGAGCCTTTTTGTTGTGGTATGCGCGGATCAAGCTGCTCGCCTGCTCGGCCAGCCCGTAGGTCGAAGCCATCAGATGCGCAGAGAACGCGATGGGTGGCACACTGGCGTCGGCAACGCGAACATTGGCTAGACCGTAAACCCGAAGATTGGCGTCCACCACTCCACCCTGGTCCAGAGGAAGCATGGAACATGTTGATGAGGGGTGGAACTCGGTGAAGACACCGCCGCGCATCCAATCCTCCCATTCCTCGTCAGTTTGGACGTCAGATCCAGGATAGTCCTCACTCTTCAATTCGCTGCTCAATGGCTCGGTCTCGCCGATGCGGCGTGCCAGCTTGATGCCTTCGCGGAGAATTTGGACGTCTGTGAGATTTCATATTAGTCCCCGAAGGGTATGGAATGGCTAGTGGCTAAGAAACGTACCAGCAGGGTGTGTCAGATACTTGGGGTCGATGACAGGATAGTCCAAGGGATTTGACGAGTTGATGGTGATGGAGCCATGGCTGAACGGATGCTGCAGAGCAGCACCGATGCGAATGGCGCCGTCAACGTTGTTTCCGATCAGCAGTTCCACCAGGCCAGTGGGGCCGTTGAAAATATCGTTGGCTGTTGTGTCGTAGATGGCCTTGTACCCAGCTACGACGCCCGTGTCGGAGCTCGCACTAGTGGCAAACTGATCGAACTGACTCAGGATGCTCGTCTTGAGGTCGCTCGCCTTGTTGCCAAAGAGGACAGAGGCGTTGACATACGCCACAGCATCGTTGACGTACGAGAGGAAGACAGGGTCGGTCTGGAGAGGTCAGTACGCATTAAAAAGGCTGTGAGGAACGGGTTTAGACGAACCGTCTCAGTGCCGTTGTCGGCGAACAAAGAACCTGCAGTCGGATTGTCGGTAGTCCATTGCACAGTGACGCTCTACTTCAGTGAGTAACGAGTACACATTCACGAATGTTTGAACGCTACTCACCACATGGTCTTGGAGATGCTGACCCACACCAGGCAGCTCGGCCACGATTGGAACTCCAGCAGCAGAAAGGACATCTTTAGGCCCAATGCCGCTGTAGAGAAGAACGGTGGGACTGCCAATGGTACCGCCGGCCAATATGACCTCCTTCTTGACCCCGACAGTCAATTTGGTCGCACCGCCATCGCGCGTATACTCGACACCCTTCGCTGTCAGGTTACCTGCGGGTGAGGAAGAGTTGAAGAGGATCCGGGTGACATGGGCATTGGCTAGCACGGCGTAGTTGGCACGCGGTGGAAGGGGATCGAGATAGCCGGAACGACTGTACGACCGTGTCCAGTTGGTAGGGTTGATGGCAGACGTTGCCACATAGGCGCCCCAGTTTTGCCCGCCATAGGGGTCGTTGGTAAGAGGGACTCCGGCGGCTTGTGCGGCAGTGGACCACTTGCCAACATAAGGGAAGGTGCTTGAGAGTCAGTTAGCCACCATTCGATATCGAGTGAGAAGGCCTTGAACGTACTAGCCAGGGTACGACTGGTGAATGGGCCCTTTAGATCCGTGACTCGAAGCATCCCAGGTGATGGCAGCCTCTTGGACGACACCGTCCACTGGAGGAGTGAAAGTCTCACTCTTCTTCATGGCGGCATAGAACGAGTCCCACGTCCAATTGTCAGCGCCGTCCAAGTCGCTGACCAAGTCTTGCCAGGCATTAAGCTCGTGTTCACCTGGCCGGTTCATATACAGTCCGTTGATGGCGGAACTGCCTGTGCAGGTGTCAGGTCAGCATCCTTGTAGCAGCATGCCGAACAAGGAGACAGATACGAACCTCCAAGCACCTTGCCACGAGGCCATTCGCATGAGGTGTTGTTCGCCCCTGTTTGAGGAACGGTATAGAAATCCCAATTCAGCTCCGTTGGCCAGAGAGAGTCGTAGTACGCATCGCCGGGAATATCTGCACCAGTGTCAGGTATTGAAGGACCGTCGCAAACCGCCAACATGCCGGGCGCCTACCTATTCGATCTCGAAACTCGTCTCCATTACCGCCGGCCTCGAGGACGAGCACCGTATGATTCGCGTCTTCTGACAGACGGGCACCAAGGACGAGGCCGGCCAGGCCTCCACCAACAATGACAAAGTCATAGTCGTCTGCAATGTCGTCAACAATATTTCGCGCGGAGAGCCGATGTGCCTCGGTCTCTGGCCCGTTGTGTGCTCCAGGAGCAGCGAGTGCTCGCTCTGCCACTGCGATAATAGCCGCAGCGGCAAATAAGTCACGTCGCATGTCGGCGTGAGGGTGAGATGCGACACCAGAGCACGTATACCAAAGATGAGCAAAAACGATGAATACAACTGGCAAAAGAAGACGAAAACTACATGATTTGTGCCGGGTAGTTAGATATAGTGATCGAGAGCTCTCCGCGCGTCCTTACCAAACCTTGACTCAAGAAGGATTGATCGCCGCTAGGCGTATGAAATTGACTTTACCCACAGCTTGATGCGAGGGGAGGCAGTGACAATAATATCGTCTAGATAGCGCTTCGTGCGCTGGAGTCAGGGGATCTTCCTGATTGACACCCTGGTAAGCCCACCTGATTGGCCCGAAGGTTCCATGAGGCTCTACCGCCTGTAGCAAAGTGCAAGCCACAGTGGATCTTATTGTGGAGGTGTCAATCTTATTATGGAGGTCTGTTTCTTTTGTTTGCCGAGACCCTGTCTTCTGAGACATGGCAAACCATTGTGGACGGTGGGCGGAGGCCGGAGTCCGGAGTATCCAACAGACACTTCGCTGGCACTGATTGCTGAAACATGCGACCGACCAGGTCGCGGTCAACGAGTGGAATGACATGGCTGTATCTGTACTCCGGAAGGCGCCTCTTCACCATAAATACAGATAGGTCGACATCATCACGATAAGCTGAACGTCCAGGGGACGACGGAGCTGATACCAGCCTCTGCCAGCCTCTGCCAGACTCTCCAGGAATCCGTGGGGCATTGAGGTGGTGACCAAGACTTTTTGACTGCCGCTGGTCCGTGTTTCTGGCTGTCATAGTTAAAGCAGATCTCGGACAGTTGCAATGATTTTGCCTTTGCAGGGAATCGAGAAGCACAAAAATAAATTGGGCAAATGAGCATCTTCAAACACAGATCAGTTAAACTTTGGCCGGAGAAGGCTGGGCCGTGAAGGCTGGAGTTGCCCTGGAAAAACGAGAAAGTGAGTTTCGGAGATGTCAAGCAGGGTTTGTGGCAGGTTTGGTGGCGGTGGTGGCAGGAGGTTGTGCTTATCTCAGCGAGAAGCACGTGTTCTGACAAGCGTCTTCTTCCAGTCACGTGGGCTTCCATTTCGTACCCATCCGAATGCGGTGCAGTAGCAGTGGCTCATGGAATCTTCGCATCTTGCCTTGCCGAAGCGCCTTCAGGACTTTAGTATGACATAGTTGAGATACGGCAGGTTGAATGGTTTGACAGGCCTCATTAAGTCTTCTCAGCTTCGGCATATTTCAAATCCACCATGGCGACCGCAACGCAGAACCCTCCCAGCTCAACGTATGTTTAACAGCCCCTCCTCTCGGACTGTGGAAGCAGCCAGGCTAATGAATGGTCACGCCAGGGTATATGTGAAGAATCTCGAGGAGCGCATAAAGATCGATCAGCTGAAGGAAGCGTTGTCCGAGATTTTTTCCGAGTATGGCAATATCATCGACCTGGTCGCAAAGAAAAACCTGAAGGCCAAAGGTCAGGCGTTCGTGGTGTTCGATTCCGCCGAAGATGCAGCCAAGGCCATCGAAGAAGTCAACGGCTTCGAACTCTTCGACAAGCCCATGCAATTGGACTTTGCGCGCACCCCCTCCGATGCCACCGTGCGAAAGGAAGAAGGCGAACAGGGCCTGGAAAAGTGGAAGCGAGCGCGACTCGCTGAAAAAGAGCGGAAACAAGCCCTCGAGGCGACGCAGCAAAAACTGAAGAGACCTGCTCCACCAGCCGGGACTCAGGAAGGAGCAGGCTTGACCGCTCGGCCAGCGAAGGCAGTCAAAGGTGCAGGTCTCAAGCCTTCTGGCACGAACACAGCCGCAATCATTCCCGACGAGTATCTACCTCCCAACAAGATCCTGTTTATTAGAGACCTGCCAGATAGCTACGATGCCGATGGGTTGTCGAGGATATTCAGCCGGTTTGAAGGCTTTAAGGAGGTCAGAATGGTGCCTGGGAGGAAAGGAATTGCGTTCGTCGAGTACGAGTCTGAGGCCGGTGCTATCAGTGCCAAAGAGGCCACGGCCGGAATGCAACTTGGTGACGAGGGCAAGGGTATCAGGGTCACATATCAACGGGCATAGAATTTTGTCGGGAACAACAGTGGTCATGCAACGGAACGGATGCCAAAAGAAGGGTTGTGTCATTGGGGAAAGTGGCTTGAGCTACCATATCACTTGATACCCATGCGTGGATAGCGGGGTTTGGCGTTGGCGGAAACATTGTACAGCATCGTGGAAGGCTGCGGCGGCCGTCCTAAAAGATCACATCCTTGTCTTCCTCTTCGCCGAGTACATCCTTCGGCTCCACGTCGATCTCCTTGTCGCTGATACCTTTGGCTTTCTCCGTTTCTCTTTGTCTCAACAGCTCTGCGTCTGCAGCTGCTTGGTCTCTCTGTTTCTTCCCCGAGACTTTTTTCAAGCGATAGAACTCTTCTCGGTCGAGTTCGTCGAGCTCGGCATTAATATCTAGTTGCCTAGTAAGCTTCTCGTTACTTCGTCCAACTTCTCTTCAACTTACATTTGATGGTGTTTTCGGTCCGCGGAATGATAACATGTTCAATAGCGTTGACTGGAGACAATCAGCTCACGTGGCCAGACAGACGATCCGGTCCACATACCTCTCCTGTTGACAACCTTGATGACCTCGTCCAGAATCGTGAATGCCGTCTGCAAGCTCGCCAGCTCAACGAGCGTCTCCACGGCGCGAGAATATGTCTCGCGGCATCTTTGCACTTGTTGCCCTCCCTTGCCTAAACCAGTCAAGCCAAAGTCGTTGATCTCATCAATGGTGTATCCTTCAAACTGGGGTAGAAGGACACCGGACACGTTCTCCTGCTTCGTCTTAATTCGAAATCGTGCCGTCTTGACCGATTCCTGGATCTGGTAACCAATATCCCCACCCACGGCGTATGTCACTTCAGCTAGAGAGAATGCAGCAATCTGCATGACTCGGCCCATTTTCCGCTTGGCCTCGTCGATTCGTTTGAGGATCTCTGGAAGTATCTCTTAGTATCGTGGGTAACGGAGAATAGCAGACGCCATGCACACCTCGGAATCGCCTGCCACAAGGTCAGCACAGGATCAACAATGAGATATTATTGCATACTTTGTCAGAGCTTCACTCTTTCGTTTCAGCAGACTGTGACCTGTCTGGGCACCCTTTAATTTCAGGTTCATCTGACCCAACGCCTGTCGTGTGGCGAAGACGGCCTCCCGCTATCTAGAGTGTCAGTAAGGCTCTTTTGCATGCTGAGAGTGCTCGTACCCCCGCGCCTGAAGACATCTTTTTGTCAAGGGCGTCTCTACGCCGTTATGAAAGGTGGGAAAATAATATCCCGGTAGAGCAAAGTAATGGACTGGAGCTCGATATCACAAACTCGAGGTGCACATGCAAGGCTGCGGCTACCGACGCAGCTGCACCTGGCAGTCCCCGCTTAAGACATCAGTCCGGCGCTCGGCATAGTTGCCTGTCTCTGTCCCCATCTTTTTTTGACGCGGTCCGTGAATCTTGAGAACATCTTCCCTTCGCAAAGACAACTCTACCATGCCTGGGATCCTACGCAAGTCACCTTCTGGCTCAGCCGCCGCTATGGATCTATCAGTGACCGGCAAACCAGATTTCTACCTGATCGCCAACGAAGATGCTGTCTACGAGCAAGATATCCTCTGCAACCCTGAAAGTGTTCGACCATGGCTACTCTACATCGACTACAAAATGCGCAATGGCACTATTCACGAGCAAGCATTTGTGCAAGAGAGGGCGTGCATACAGCTACCCCGGTCATACAAGCTGTGGAAACTGTATTTGGATTTCCGAGTCAAACATCTCAAGAAGAAAAACCCCGTCAGGTACAAGGCAGAGTTCGACAAGGTCAATGCTCTCTTCGAGAGAGCGCTGGTATTGCTGAATAAAATGCCTGTGATCTGGGAAATGTATCTTTCATTTCTTTTGCGACAACCACATGTCACCAGGACACGAAGGACGTTCGACCGCGCGTTAAGAGCCCTGCCCGTGACCCAGCACAATAGGATATGGAAGCTCTACAAATCGTTTGCCAACTCTGCAAGAGGAGTAACTGCAGTCAAAATCTGGGCGCGTTATATCCAGGCACACCCGGAGGATATGGAAGACTACATTGATCTACTCATTGAGACGGGGCATTATCTGGAGGCCGTGAAACGGTACATCCAAATACTGGACAACCCCAAGTTTCGGTCCAAACACATCAAAAGCGATTTTCAACTGTGGAGCGAAATGGTAGAGCTAATGGTCAACAAGGCCAGAGACATTGGAGAAAGCTCTCTCGCAGGATTCGATCCCGACACCATCATCCGGAGTGGGATAGAACGATTTGCCGACCAGCGTGGCAAGCTTTGGGCCGGGCTTGCAACATACTGGATCACCCGCGGAGATTTCGAAAAGGCTAGAGACGTGTTTGAGGAAGGAATCACGACGGTCATGACGGTGCGCGATTTTACAATGATCTTTGACGCCTACGTGGAGTTTGAAGAGTCGGTGATTTCCACCCTCATGGATACCGCCTCTGCGCGGGCTGCGAAAGGAATTGTTGATGCGGAGAAAGACTTTGATCTCGACATGAGGATGATGCGCTTTGAGCATCTGATGGATCGACGACCGTTCCTCGTTAACGACGTCTTATTACGGCAAAATCCCAACAATGTAGTTGAATGGGAGAAACGAGTTGCGCTTTGGAACGATAACAAAGAAGAAGTCGTGCAGACATACGCGGATGCGATCGCGGCAATTGCCCCCAAAAAGGCGGTTGGCAAGTTCCATCAACTATGGTTGAACTATGCCAAGTTCTACGAAGAAGAGGGCGACCTTGATACTGCACGAATCATTCTCGACAAAGCCGTCAAAGTTCCCTACAAGGCGGTAGCCGAGTTAGCCGACACTTGGATTGGCTGGGCGGAGATGGAGCTTCGGAACGAGAATTTCGACGGAGCGATGAAGGTGATGGCCACTGCCACAAAGTCGCCGAAACGGAGCACGGTCGACTATTTTGACGAGACTTTGTCCCCGCAACAAAGGGTGCACAAATCCTGGAAAGTTTGGTCGTTTTATGTTGACCTTGTTGAGTCGGTCGCCTCATTAGAGGAGACACGTGCCGTCTATGATCGGATCTTCGAGCTTCGGATTGCAACTCCACAGACCGTTGTGAACTACGCCAATCTCCTCGAAGAGCACGGCTACTATGAAGAGTCATTCAAAGTCTACGAAAGAGGCCTAGATGTGTTCACATACCCGGTTGCATTCGAGCTGTGGAATCTGTACCTCAGCAAAGCAGTCAAACGCAAGCTTGGGATGGAGCGTCTTCGCGACCTGTTTGAACAGGCATTGGAGAACTGCCCACCACAGTTTGCGAAGCACATCTTTTTGATGTACGGCAACCTGGAAGAAGAGCGAGGCCTGGCTCGATCGGCCATGCGGATTTACGAACGTGCCACTCGTGCCGTTTCGGACGAAGACCGCCTCGGCATGTTTGAGTTCTACATCACCAAATCGGCGTCCAATTTCGGCCTGACCTCGACGCGCCCGATCTACGAGCGCGCCGTTGCTGCCTTACCCGACATGGAGGCCAAAGCCATGTGTCTCAAGTTTGCCGAAATGGAACGACGGCTGGGCGAAATCGACCGAGCCAGGGCCATCTATGGACATGCGAGCCAGTTCGCCGACCCGCGTGTGGACAAGGCCTTTTGGGACACGTGGGAAAAGTTTGAGGTTGCGCACGGCAACGAGGACACGTTCAAGGAGATGCTCCGCATCAAACGCAGCGTCACTGCGCAGTTCAACACCGATGTCCAATTCATTGCCAGTCAGGCCGTCAAGCGGAGCCAAGAAGGCGCGGCTGCAGCGGGAGGTGCAAACGGCGACAGTGCCTTGGACGAAGACGTCGCGGGCAACGGCAGAGGCAACGATGCAATGGCCGCGCTGGAACGGCAGGCTCGTGCGCCCGTGGGGTTTGTTGCAGCTAGCACAGGCCCGGTGGGTGGGAATAGACTACCGCCCAAGGAAAGTGAGAGTGCCGAAGTTGATGGTGCTGCAGGAGGAGGAGTGGCTGCCAACCCGGACGCCATTAATGTGGACATTGACGACGATGATGATTAAGCTGACGCTGGACAAGATAGACTGCACCGACACAGTCCTAGCAACTCAGGTCAGGGAAGCTGCTGATCCCGCCGTTACCACTGGCTCCGGTCCTGGTCCTGGTCCTGGTACCGAGTCTATCAGATGTTGACCGTCTTCCGCAAAGGGTCAGCCATATGGATCTGAGTCTGAGCTGGTTATGTTCATCTAAGTGTTATTGTCCCTGCGCTTCCAGCAGCACTGCGCGCGATAAGACCGCACTTCATATGCCTACGTGCATGACGGTGTTCTGAGGTTCTTCTCGAAGCTGAAGAGGACTTGGGACGGCGCGGGCGTGGGCTTGGGCTTGGGCTTGGGCTTCGGCGTCCATGGCTTTGTCTACCTCTGCCCTGGGTACGGTACGGATACAGTGTTCAGTGTACGGATACATTTCTGCACCCGGACCCGGACCCGGGCCCGGAACCGCCCTTTTCTGAAACATGTGAATATCTACGAATCAATTCTTCATTCAAATGTCAATTTTCAAGAAAGAGCCTGTGTATTGATCCTTCCGCTTCCGCATCCGCTTCCGAGATCTTGTGCTCTGTAGATCGACGCTTTTGATTCCAAGCTCGAATTCGAATTTACACTCTCATTCGAGACTGTATTCTCGACCCAACGTCATGCAGACTTGAGGTACGCAACCACTCGAGATTCTATTCTCGACCTAACGTCATGCAGAGCAGACTTGAGGTACGGAGTATAGGATCGACTCGACTCTATGATACTGCTACATTGGCTGGCCGACGATTTAATGTACACGTGCACGACTCCAGATCTATTCCAAGCCTTAGCCCTGCTGATCATACTGTACAGACCTAGGTACCTACCTAATCACCTAGTTAGTGCTCTGGGGTGCCGCCCAGTTCTGGCCGTATGTACCTTGCCGTCACAGATTGCATTCCGCCAAAAACAAGTGACTTCGTCAGGGTGCGTACTTAGTTCGGGTAGTCCTTCAAATGGTAACTCTTAACCTTGACAAACTGGTCAAAGCCGAACTGGCTGAGCGTCACGCCTTTCCCAGAATCCTTCCAGCCGGTCCAGGCGAGGTCCGGACTGGGATAGTCGGCGCGGTTGACAAAGACGGTACCGGCCTCAACGCGACGAGAAAGTTCCTCGCCGCGGGCGACATCTTTGGTCCAAATCGACGCTGTCAGCCCGAATTCCGAGTCGTTCATGAGCGCCACGGCCTCGTCGTCTCCAGTGACTTTCTGGACAGGGATTACGGGGCCGAAAGTCTCATCGCGCATAACCGACATGGCGTGGGTGACGTTGGTCAAGAGCACTGGCGCGACGAAGTTGCCGTCCGGCGGAAGAGACGCAAATGTGGCGTTTTCTGGAGTCTCGTCGACGGCCCCTGCAGCTTTGGCGTCGGCGACTTGTTTGAGGATGGCATCTTTGGCGCGGCTCGACACCACGGGGCCGATGTGCGTGGATTTGTCTGCCGGGTCGCCCAGCCGGTAGTTTGCCAGGATCTTTTTCACTTCCTGCACGAAGGCGTCGTAGATGTCGGAATGGACATAAACCCGCTCAATCGAGCAGCACGACTGGCCCGAGTTGAAGATGGCGCCGTCGACAATCTCCTCGGCGGCCCATGCAGCGTCCACGTCGGGTCGGACGTATGCGGGGTCCTTGCCGCCCAGCTCTAGTCCGACGGAACACGAGACCCGCGACGAGGCTATGGATTGGATCGCAAGGCCTGCCGCCACAGAGCCAGTGAAGCAGATGTGGTTGACGTCCGGGGACAGAATCAACGGGCGTAGGTCCGTCGGGTTGCCGCAATGTAGATACTGGATGACGTTGGAAGGGAGGCCGGCAGCGGCGAAGATGTCCACGATATGTTCGACTATGGTGGGCGTCTGCGGCGAGGGCTTAAGAATCACCGTGTCGCCGGCCAGCAGCGCGGGAATCAGACTGTTGACCATGATCAGGTATGGATAATTCCAGGCGAAGATGACGAGCACCACGCCGACGGGCTCCTTGCGCAGGTATCGCTTGAAGCCGGGTTCTGCTTCTCCCGGGACGTCTTGCAGCACCTCGGGCGCAATCTTGCTCATGTACTCGGCACGTTTGATGGCCGTGGAGATTTCTTTGCCCGTGTAGGCGATCGGCCGCCCCATTTGTTCGGTCAACTCCTGCGCCAGCTCATCTTGTCTCTGTGAGAGGATCTCCAGGGCCTTTGCCACAACCTTCTGTCTGCTTTCGAGGGTGGGGTGGGATTTGGCATATGACTTGAAGGCCTGTTGCGCGGTGGTGCCCAGTCGGAGGATCTCGTCTGGTGGCAGGCCGTGGCGCGTGAGGATGGGTTTGTTGGTGGTGGGGGAGATGGTCGTGATGATTTCGGCGACCATTTTGATGGCAGACCACACGGTAGCACAGACTGAGAATGAAGCTGGGCGTACGAAGGGCAAGAAACGTTGGAGCTAGGTCAAGGAAGACGGAGGACTCGGGAGGTGAAGGGAATGTTCAGTCAATATCAATGAATGCACTGAAGGGTCCAGGGTCCCGCCACTTTCGGAGAATGACGCACAAGGCTCGGCGGAGGCCGCTCAGCCTCGTCGCCCGTTCCGTAGGTACACAGCTCGCCCTTCGTATCGTCGACTTCGGATTCATTTTATTCGTCTGCGGCTACAGCATGAGCTCGCTACCTGATATTTTTTATCGCCGCCGCTTTACAATGCCCAGGAACCATCAAAACAGAAAAAAAGGCCCAAGTACTGGTAGGCAAGAGCATGACCTCTCACCAACATCATCATCGTCATCATCATCCTGCCACCTTCGCCAACGACGACAGCTCTTCTAGCCCTTTTCCCTCCTGAAAGGTATTCGTCTGTCGGCCTAAAATCCAATTTTCCACTGTGATCGGGGCATATTTCGGTGCCTTGCCAGCATCCTCGCATCCAGGGAGACAGGTGATCATGAAGTCCGGATTACCCGAGTAGAAGAAAGGAATGCTGAACCGTTCTCTTCCACTGGTGTTGATGACCCTGTGTAGGTTTGAAACATACTTGTCGTTTGACCACCTCATCATGAGATTGCCCAGATTGACGACAAACGCGCCTGGTGTTGGCTTGACATCGATCCACGACCGAGTTGGGGCATCAAAGACCTGCAAACCGCCAACCTCGTCCTGAAGCAGTATGGTAATCCCGCCAAAATCGGTATGAGCGCCGATACCTCAATGACGTCCAAGTTAGTTTCTCCTCAGTCCTAATACGTGGGCCTCGCCTACCTCGTTCGTCTGCACTGGCGTCGGGAGCCTGAGGTGGGTAATGCAAAAGTCTGAGAACGGCAGCTGTCTCGTGGCAGAAGGGCTCAAAGTAGTCCTCGTCCAACTTCAAAGTCAATGCGATGACGCTGAGCACCTTCTCCGCCAGTAACGTCAATTCTCGATGGTATCGATCGACGGTCTCTTTGAACAAAGCCGGGTCACGGACTTCGGTTGGGTAGACGTTCTGGCCACAATGGTTCTTGCCTTGCTTGAGGTATGGATGGTCAGCTGGCAGATCCCTTCCGACGAAGAAGCCCTCCTTCAAATCACCAGCCGTCTTTTTCTCGAAGTTCTGTGACCGCAAGCGTTCGTATCCCAGTTTGTGGGGATGTGTTGCTGTAGCACAGGTCGGTTAGTATATGGCCCTCGCGAATCGGCGACGAGTAGGTTCACGACAAGGCCACAGTCTTAACTGACCTTTATCATAAGCTTCCTTTTCCTCCATTGGAAGAGAGAAGAAATCTCTTGATTGCTCAAAGATGGCGGCCTGGAGCTCCTCTGAAACGCCGTGATTGGTGATTTGGAAAAAGCCCTTTTCGAGGCATGCATCCCGAACTTGATTGACCAGGTCAATCTTAGCGGCTGGGTTGTCACTGTGAAAGGCTATACTCGACTATCAGCATGCAAGTATGGCCACTTGTTGCTCAACCCACCTGAAAAATCGATGACAGGAGGTGCTGCTGGGATATCCTCTGGGACAATGCTGAGACGGTGATAATGAGGGTTGACTTGCGTCGTTGAATATGTTTGTGCCATCATGATGGTCAAGATATTTTGTGTAATTGTCTAGATCTTTCGGACAGAAATGTGATAGAGCAATGCTTTGAGAGAGACGCAATTAGGATTTTGGGAGATAGACATCCTTTGAGCTGACCACATATTGCATATATATATACATGTCTTGTCTATTAGCCTTTGACGGTCTTCCTCCAGCAGCCGCCTCAAACATGCTATCGATCATGAACCCAAGCTGTGGGAACCGTGCAACTGCTAAGCCTCCATGCTGGATCGAGTTCCTGATTTGAGAATCGTCGTCTCATTGCCTTCAGAGATGGACGAACAGTTGGGGAAGACTGCGGCACAGCACAGCACAGACGTTTCCCCTCGGGTTCTAGACCAGGTGCTGGCCCACAAGCTCCAAGCTGGTGCTATAACAAAGTTATATTTTAAGGCACCTGCGTTCAATAGCCCCGATGGCCTGGGGTGGAGTGGCTCGAGCTTTTTCTTCTGCTTTGGGTAGTGCCAGCCGTGTTGCGCGCATTAGAAGGGATACCATTGGCCCCTTAGCCCTCTTTGGCGCCTTCGGCCCTTTTTTTAAACTACAAAGTAGTACTCACCGTAGGCTGTGCGTTGCTTTCAATCAAACTCGGCATAGAGTGGCCTGGACGCAGCGAGGGAAAGAGGGAAAGAGGGAGATCTAGAGAATTGCGATAGTTCCGAGGAGCGCCTATCTCATGGAAAGAAGGAGGCATGCTTGCTCAAACGATACTTCTTCACCAGCAGGGAACACCACCTCACCGCATCCTCTATAGCTGACTTCTTTTGTCGTTTTTTGACATTGCGGTCTCAATTGTCTTCGTAAACGCCAGAGCTCTCCTATGAGACTCAAGGTATATCGATACATGAATGCAGGATCCTGCGTCTGAACCCCAGGAAGCCTTCCACTAGCTTATCTAGAGCACTTACCAGCACACAGCCTGTGCCACAGTTCGTAGTTTCATCCTCCAACCTTGAGATGTTGCTCAGTGGGTACCTGTTTGCGTCCCTGCCCCAGACGAGACCCTCATCCCTGACACGGACAGAAACCATTCTTGGAACCTTTTGAACATGGCAATCGTGGAAACTCGGTCCCATGGTCACAGCACATGGTGATCGGTGCTGCAGGCCCATAGGACACCTGTGCTTGGTGTCTGTCATAGTGCCATGTCTGTGTCGTCATGGTCCTCTTGCCGCGTTGTGCATGCTGCAGGATGGCATCGTGGCAGGGGAATACCTTCTGGCTGGACAGTTTCCTCAATGTCCGTGACCATCGTCTTCTTGTTGTTCGGGTGGATCAAGTTTGATCAGAGTGTCTATCCTCATTATGGCAATGCAAGCCTCCACCGCGCTCTTGAGCTGTTTGACCTTGCTCATGCTGGGTTCGAGGACACCCATCTTGACCACGTCAGCAACTTTGCCTTTGGTCAGATCAAGACCATAATTCTTGTATTGCTTCTTCTTCGCCAGGTCCTTTTCTCTCTCATTGGCATCCCCTTCTTGAACTCGCTGACTCAGAGCGTGCCGGACGCGCAGCTGTGCCACTAATTCCGAAGCGTCTTTGGCCGCATTGACGGCCAAGGTCTTTGGAACGATAAGTAGAGATTGAGAGAATTCTCCGATCGCCAATTGTTCCCGAGACGAGACTGTCATGGCGAACTCTTCGAGGTAGATGTGCAATGCCGTCTCCACGGCACCGCCTCCAGGAACAATACTGCCGGACTCGAGCGTTCGTTTGACTGCAGATAGTGAATCGTGGACCGATCGCTCCATCTCGTCGAGCTGGTAATCGTTTGATCCTCGAAGAATGATCGATGCCGATGAGAATGATTTTGTCCCCTTTATGAGAATGCATTCGTCGTCTGATATCCGTTCCTGTACCACTTCGTCTGCATGACCAAGAAATTCCTTCTCGAATTTCTCATCTCCGTTCATGTCGGAGAGAGAACTGATCAAGGTCGCCCCGCTGGCCTTTGCTATCCGTCGAAGATCCTCCTTCTTGCATCTTCGCACAGCCATGCATCCCCGCTCCACAAAGAGCTTGAGGACCATATCATCAATGCCTTTAGTCGTCAACACAACATTGGCCCCTGCCTTGAGGATCATCTCGACCCGATCCAAAACAATTCCCGCTTCTCTCTCGCGGATCTTCTCTAACTGGTCGGCATCCTCGACCGTAATCTGCACACCGAGCTTCATTCGTTCCTTCTGCAAGTTGATGTCGAGGCAGGCAATCTTTGCATCCGTGATTCTTGTCTTCATGGCTTGTGATGCGACGGTACAATTCAACGCGTAGCCCTTGACCAGTAATGACTCCAACGCACTCTTTCCGTGTGCCTTGAGGATATTTACAGCCTTGACCGGATATTTCACTTCGTTTCTTTGGGGGTTGACAGACTTCACAGATTGCATGGCATCGACTACCATGTTCGCGAAGAAATCGGCGTCGGATCCAATGATCTTGCTAGACATGGAGGTTTTGGCAATGTTGATCAGGCTTTCTCTTCCCAGGGTTTCCACTTTTGTGCTGATATTTTCCTGCATATATTTGACAGCCTCGCGTAGAGCCAGACGGTAGCCAGTGATTATGACGGTGGGATGGATGCGGTTCTTCATCAGTTCGTTGCCTCGACGTAGGAGCTCTGCTGCGATGAGCACGACGGAGGTGGTGCCGTCTCCAACTTCCTTGTCCTGCTGGTGCGCCAGATCGACCAAAATCTTCCCCGCCGGATGCTCGACATCAAGCAGACTTAGAATTGTAGCACCATCGTTGGTCACTGTAACATCGCCAATGTCATCCACCATCATCTTATCCAAGCCAGAGGGACCAAAGGAGGATTTGACCACATTTGCAATGGCTTGGGTTGCGAGAACATTTTGCTCTCGAATGTCTTGACCGCTAATCTTCTGGCCTCCAAGAAACAGAGTACCCGCGTTGCGCGGAGCTTGAAGAATACCGGCCATGGATGGTCAACCTTCTCTGCGTCTGTATAGAGTAGTCCGGATTGTGGACGATTGAACGGAAAACAAGTTGGATTTGGCCAGGCACTGCGGTCCTGCGCAGCGAAAATGGACACAACTATAGTTGTACGGTGAATCGCGCCAAGGGAAGCGAAACTGCTGGCGATTCACCCCGCTTAGGAAGAGCGCGACGCCGCCCTGTGCTCGCCCCTTCCAAACGGGTTTGTGCCTGCGCCGCCAAGCCCAGTACCGCGGGGTGGATTTGATCGTGCGCAGGTCACACACCAGCACGACGGTGAGTCAAGAGCCAGCCATTCCTGACATTGCTTACCTCCTGCCACTACACGGCGAAGGCTTCTCCAAGTCGCCGGAGAGAGACACACTCTCGCCGTACTTTGCCTTGCGGTACTCCAGACGCAATGTCTGACGCCCAAGAACCCCCCACGGCGGAATTGCCCACCCGTGCGAAAGACCCTCAGACCAAGGCTGAAAAGAAGATGGCGGCGAAGGGCAAGCCTGAGAAGCCAATTGGTAAAGCAGAGGCGAAGTTGCCTCAAGGCGGCAAAGGAGGCAAGAAAAAGAAGATGGACGGGGCTGCTTTGATCGGGATCGATGTGTCAAAGGATGTCGACTTCTCCGAATGGTATCAACAAGTTTTGCTGAAGGGAGACATGCTCGACTATTATGACATTTCTGGATGCTACATCCTGAAGCCCGCTTCGCAATTTATCTGGGACGAAATTCGAGCATGGTTTGACGCGGAGATCAAGAAGATGGGCGTCAAGAACTGCTCATTCCCCTTGTTTGTCTCAGAGGATGTGTTGAACCGTGAAAAGGAGCATATTGAAGGGTTCGCTGCCGAGGTGGCTTGGGTGACCCATGGCGGGAGTACGAAGCTTGACAAGAAGATTGCCATCCGTCCCACGTCCGAGACCGTTATGTATCCTTACTATGCCAAGTGGATTCAGAGCTACCGCGACCTGCCTCTCAAACTTAACCAGTGGAACTCGGTGGTGCGATGGGAGTTCAAACATCCTCAGCCGTTCCTACGAACTCGAGAATTCCATTGGCAAGAAGGACACACTGCTCACTTGACGGAGCCAGAGGCGGGCAAAGAAGTTCTCGAGATCTTGGACTTGTACGCCACTGTCTACGAAAAGCTTTTGGCCGTCCCCGTCATTAAGGGCCGAAAGACAGACAAGGAGAGGTTTGCGGGAGGCTTGTACACCACTACCGTGGAAGGCTACATCCCGGCCACTGGACGGGGAATCCAAGGAGGAACATCGCATTGCTTGGGGCAAAACTTCAGCAAAATGTTCGGCATCACAGTGCAAGACCCCAACGCAAAGACAGAAGAGGAGAAGAAGAACAGTCTCTTTGTCTGGCAGAACTCCTGGGGATTGTCGACTCGAGTCATCGGTGTGATGGTCATGATCCATGGAGACGATCGGGGTTTGGTCCTCCCACCTCGCGTGGTCGAGGTGCAGGTTGTGATTGTGCCAGTGGGAGTAACGGCAAAGATGGCCGAGGAGGACAAGCAGACATTGTATAAGGAGATCGAGGGATTGAAGGAAGTGCTCAAAGCGGTCAATGTCCGAGTTGAGGCTGATTTCCGCGAGGGGTATTCTCCGGGCTGGAAGTTCAACGACTGGGAGCTGAAAGGTGTTCCGCTTCGCCTCGAATTCGGACCGGGTGAGAGCAAGGGCCATTTTGTGACAGCTTCTCGACGAGATCTTCCCAAGGAGGAGAGCAAGAGCCAAATCGCCATCAGCGAACTCAATACTGCCGTTCCTCAACTGCTGGACACCATTCAAAAGGATCTCTACGATCGCGCCAATGCCAAATACAAGTCGCACGTCAAGAAGATCACCAACTGGGAGGAGTTTGTGCCGGCATTGAACGACAAGAATGTCATCCTCTTGCCACATTGCCTCACGGAGGAGTGCGAGGACCAGATCAAGGATATGAGCGCGCGCACGGCGGAGGAACAGAGCGGCATCCCACAAGACGAACGGGCTCCAAGCATGGGAGCCAAGAGTCTGTGTATTCCATTCGACCAGCCTGAGGGCATTGAGAAGGGGGTGACCAAGTGCGGGAATCCCAAGTGCTCGAAACTGGCAGAGGCGTGGTGCATGTTTGGACGGTCGTACTAGATAAGACAGCGCCCTGTTGTGATGGTGATATGGACTCTGAGGTTCTTGATAGAAAGCAGCATGAGTGACATGATGATGATCCTGATTCCTGACCTCCCACTCCGAGCCGGCACATGGTTGGGCCAGGCCATTGTGTCTAATCGCATTCTCTTGCTCGTGCTTATCAAGGTTCGTCTCAGCGTGCTGTAGCCCAATAGCAGCGAGGTATAAGGTATATCGCCGTCCGCGCTATCAGGGGCTGCTTGGCGAGTGGTTTCACGAGCAGTAGGTGACACAGCGATAAGTCGAGAGGCGTCGATGGTAAGGGTGAGGGTGAGGGTGCAAACGGTTGGTCTCTGCGTCGACGATAAGGCGGAAGTAGTGTAGTCGAGGTTGGCCGCAGAGACCAGAGGCGGCATCGATTGGACGAGCAGGTAAATACGGGGATGGGCTCATTCCGGCTCCATCTTGCTCATGGGCGGCGGTGCGCATGGGCTCCTTAAGCCCAGGCTCGTTGGCCGCAGCCAGTGTCAGCAGCCCGCTGGCCAACGTGCCCGCGCTGCAACGTACTAAAAAGTGCCCGCCGCCGCCCCTCCAAGTCGTCGACTCCATCGAATTCAGGAATACTCCATCTTCCTTCTCCTCGACCACCGCCTTGCTGGTGCCTCGACCTGTGCTTCGGCCAGGCGCCAGGTCCTTCTGGATACAACTGCTCAGCCTTTGTCGGTTTCTCCTTCCAGCCTAACGTCGGTTGAAATTTTCCCTTCTTCTCCGCTGTCGACCATGCCAGATCGGGCTCGACGGCATCTTTTCAAAGATGGGCCGGCACCATCACCTTCCTGAACAACTGTATATCTCTCGAAATCTTCCCCCCCCGGGCCCGCCGCAACCTCCGCCTTACTCTCTATCATCTGCTTCGTCCTTTCTTTCCATTCAATCTAGAGTCTATTCTTCTTCTTCCGCGGCTTTACTCCAGGAAACCGGCCGCACGACAGCCCTCGCAGTCAGCGACCGTATTCCTGGCTTGAAAACCTCTGCTGGTGAGCACGCGACTTGACCCGTGACGTCTTCTGGTCCGCAGGAGAAGGATTGCAAGCAGACGAGCAGACCGAAAGTGTTCTGACACGAGTTCCTTCCGCACAGCTTTCTTCAATACACTTCGAGCGAATCTGATTCTTAACGCCGATTCAACTCCACCCTCCCTGACCAATACCCCGGATTCGTTACACCCGATCACGATGGCCTCATCAAGCTCGCTTCCGCCTCCCTCGCCTTCGCCCCTGGCGCAAATCTCGGAATTTGCCCAGGACAGTGCCTCGATAGACTCTAGACCGGAGCATCCATCGCTGGCTTCGATCCCCGAACTGACCACCAAGCCTGCCGTCTCCGAAGACGACAAAGTGGAAGCCCTCCATCTCCTGGCGGACTCAGTTGCCCAACAACGCCAGCTTGCCTCCTCGGCCGTCATCTTCCACCCTTTTACTCTCTCCATGACGGCGTTGCTGTTTGGATTGGTCTATCAGAAACTCTACAAAGGATCTCCATCCGACTACGCCATCATTGGCACTACGTTCACGGGAGCTTTCATGGCCGTGCTGGTCACCATCCGTTGGCTGACAAGCGGATACATCGATGAGGCCGGGAACGTCGGGACGTGGAAGTGGCTGAACAAGGGACGCGGCGAAAGGGATAGCGGCGCCGTTGGCGACGAAGACGAGATCCTGCTCACCTGGTTTGGTGACGAGGTCATTGGCACTTTGATCCTTCGTGGACAGCGGGCAACCCCACCATCCAGCTCGGGTAGTTCGAGTCCCAAGAAATCACGCAAGAACCACCCCGTCGTCGGTATCATCCGCGGCTGGACCGTGAAGCGCCGGTACCGACACAAGGGGGTAGGCCAGGGTCTGCTTGAAGAGGCGGTCCAGCTGTGCCAGAGTCAAGGGTGGAACGGACCGGAATTTGCTGATGACCATGCCAACAGTCGCCAAGTCCTTCCCCGGACGTTCCATGGCGGATTTGCCAAGCGAGAACGCATCGCTCGTGAGATGCTGGAGCGAGTCAGGGACGAGGTCGGCAAGCCTATTTCTATTTCGGGCGGCAGCAGGAAGGGGAAGCGATAGACTGCACTGAACGGCGGCTACTCTGCTTTCTTGTTTCTATGGTCCATTTTTGTTTCGGTGTATATGCCGTTGGGTATGATGCTGCGACAGGACATGAGGTGCACAGAAACTCAGCATAGGGAGGTTTGCTAATTTGGTTGGGGGTGATGTTTCTTGACTGGATGATACCAACATATAGAGGAGGAGGCGCGACTACCTAACCTACTAGTACATGTAGACATGGACATTTACTAATTTCTTGATTTAATCATCTATCTCTTTCGATAGCACGAGATGGAATGCTTTGGAGAATAGATTTCCCCCTTCCAATCAGGCACTAACATGTAACGGTAACCTTTGTTCGAATCAATCCAACCCACATCATGAACAGACCTCAATTCTTCCTAGGTCCCATAATCCAGTCCAAAGAATCCTCATAGAAGCAGAACTCCTGGCCAGCCGAGCTGCGCTGTCTTATACCAAGAAAAAACGCCCAATAAATCCCGTGCTGCAAGTCAACAGCCGTCCTGGAGTGAGGATGAGGATGAGAACAACTCCCAAGCAGGGTACGGGTCCGGGTATGTTCTTACAATCTTCACCACAAGCTCCTCGTCAAGTTGGAGAATGGTAGCCCGTCGTTCCCATGCCATGCCAGCCGTTGGCAGGAAAGAAAGTGTAGTGTTAGCCATTGGAAGGAAAGGCGTAGTGTTAGCCATTGGAAGGACAGTGTAGTGTAGGGGTCCAGTTGTCGACAAAGTGCGGATGCGGCAATGGTTTTGACAGGGTGACTGTCACGTTGGTCGTCTTGGACGGAGGAGGATGGTCTGGCACTGCAGTGAGTGCGGTGTGCGGTATCGTGCGAAACGAAACAAAGGTTACCTTATGTTGGCTGGGCAGCGAGGGAGATGGTCGACATTCAGAGAGCAGTATCGACGAAATTGTTTGCGGTTTTCCGGCAAGACTTGACACTGACATGACATTTGGACTGCTCTGAACATTAGAAGAAGATGCGGCACCATTTCATAACTCCGTCTAGAACCAAAGTAGCACTTCGGCCTGCTAGAACAAGAAACATTTCCGTACGTACGTGCATGCTGCGTGCTCTCAAGAAGGAACGCTTGCATGTGGCGGGTAAAGGGTGGTATTGTTACAAAAAGTACTCCCCCACCGGCTTTTTGGCCGGCATACCCCTGGTCCCCTGAGGCGCCGCCTCAAAGACTCTATACCGCCGACCCGGCGAGGCCAGGTTCCAAAGAACACCTGAGCCACCTTCCGACCCATCGGTGCCGACAGGTTCCCTTCGACCCTGGTCACCGTTGGCTCGAGCAATACATCCGCCATTACTACCATCCTCGCCGAGCTCGAGGATGGCAGCCACGTTACCACATCGGTAGCAGTAGTTGGGCGCGGACCAGACCGTGACTATTGTCTTGTCAAACATTTCCTTGTACCCTTCCATGACGAGCTGGTGGGCCCGCGCGACCAGCGACAGGTCGTTATTGTGGTTGAAATGGCGCACAATGTCGGCTCCGAACAAAAATCCGGCTCCCCGAGGAGACAAGCCCCAGCCTTCGATCTCATCTGGGTCGGACCACAACAGATCGCACATAGCGCCTTCGTGAGGAACCTCTTGTTTCCGGTCAATGAGCCTGATCTTGTCTACCGTCTCAATCAGCGGAGAAAGACCGCCGTGAACGCACAGGACAGCACCAGTCGTCGATGTAGGAGGTGTGAAGAGGGATTGTGATGATGGTGAAGACTGTAACGGCAAACTTGATGCGGGATGATCTGGGGGTGAAGGTACATCGACGTCTGGGGCCGGAGATATTCGTGATGAATTGGTGTGGTGCGACATCATTGATAAGCCTGCAAATCGCCGCCGAAGAGTCTTGCTCAGGATGTCGCCGTTAGCGTTGAGCACCTCGGATTCGACCTCTTCGTCTTCCGGCGGCAGCGTCGACTGCGTGTTCTCGTTGTCCGATGCAGCAGGAGGTACATCCGTCGTTGCGCCCAACACTAACGCACCTAGGGCCAGATAGTCGAAGACCTCACAACAATATCGCCAGACGTTGGCACTGCCGTATTTCCTAATACATTCGTCGTAGAACCCGTAGACGGTAGTGATCTGTCTTGATTCATGGTTTCCCCGGATGAGAGTGATCCGATCTGGATATCGTACTTTCAAGCAGAGAAGCAGAAGAAACGACTCGAGTGAGTAGAATCCTCGATCGACAAAATCTCCCATGAATAGATAATTTGTATCTGGGACATCACCACCCACACGGAACAGTTCCATCAAATCGTGGAATTGACCGTGGATATCGCCGCATATCGTGACAGGAGCGTGTACCGAAACGACGTTGCCCTCTTCGATTAGGATCTCGCGCGCCTTGTAGCAGAGTTCACGGACTTGGGGTTCTGGGATGGGCCGGCACGCGCGCAATTGCGCGATCGCTCTGCAGCACACGTTAATCATTACACTGGGCGGCTAACAATCGGGGTGGTTCGTGTTGGTGCTTACCTGTCAAGGTCGCTCATCGCAAAGCAGACGAGCTATGCCCGGTATCTTGGTACATGAGCGTTTGTCGGCGACCTGACCAAACTGCGTCGAGATGTTGGGGCAAATTTGCAGGGCAGCCGGACAGCGTCGAGGTTGGTCGGCGGAGGGAGGCAGGAGTCGCTTCTACGCCACAATAACGATAGTGTTGTCACCTGTGGACGAGACTTGAAGAGTAAAGACGTAGCATTTCAGATGCTCGCCATGCCAGGAGACCAGGTGGAAACGGCACAGGTTGATGCGGACATGGGATGCAGGAGTACGGAGTAGAGTGGCGGCGATACGATCTGTGAGATCTGATCCTAGTGGCACCAAAGTGGTTCGAGAACGAGATTAGATAAGATCCATACCGAGTACGGAGTACTGTGAAGCATAAAAGCCACGGTGGGCGAAAACCCTCCGGCGAATGCGCGGCCGGCCAATTGGAGCTTACCACTCCCACCATCTCTTGTGATGCTCGATATTTCCAGTCGACTGTTGTCCGCGCAGAAAACAGGCACACCCGCTTGCTTACCGTCACTAGACTGTCGCGATTTTCGCTGCGTTTGCTTTAGCTGCAGTTTTCTCGATGTCCGAGTATTGAAGCCGAGATTCTTACCTCGTTCTCAACTACGAGCTACGAGGACAGCTTCTCATACAGCTCTTTCTGGACCGGTGACAGAGCTACGTCTTCACCACCATGCCTCCTCATCTACATCCTCGATCAACAGCAACGTCAACTCTTTTCGCAGGCACATTACTCGCCTCCTTTATCGTCGTCGGCATTCCACACATTTTCCCATGTCCCAGACCACGGACCGGCTACGCGGATGCAGAAATCCAGATAGACGAGGACGGTAGACCAATTCGACGAAAACTCCGGCAGAGTCCGAGAGAGACCTCCTCGTCGATTTCGGCACGAGACCAAGAGTCCACAGGTCTGGCGGAGGTGTTGACGAGAAACGCAGCCACCCGCCGTAGGGGTCTCGCACAATCCAAGGATCTTGAGGAAGAAGCCGCCTTGTTCCGGGATTTGCAGCGTGAAGCAGAGGCTCTGGAAATGGAGGCGAGAGAATGTCCTGTTCCGAAACCGAAAGGTGTCATTGGACGGCTGCTGGGGTTTGAGGACAAGAGACTAGTCCCAGAGGCTGATGGAAAGAGCTAGTTGGAGAAAACTAGCTTAAAGATCTAAAGACCAGAAAATGGAGAGGAATTAGACATGGCTTCAAGCATTCCGAACTCAAAGAGAAGCTTCTTGCAACTATGAAGGGCAAGGGCCACCGGGCCATTTTGCCCGACAAATCAGTCGAGGACAAGAACCCAATCTCAACATACCGGAAAGTGTTGCAAATGCCTGCATGCCCTCCGCTCCAAGCTCTCCGGGCTGAAGCAGGCCTACATTGGAAATTACAAAGTGCATAGTGGGCAGGATTTTGTATGCTCGATCCATATTTGGTTGAGGGACATTCATGAACGGCAGACCGTCGACACAAATCATTCGGCACCAATCATGAATGTGGATTTTCAGGAATGTTTGATCTGTGAAATAACAAGAGGCTATGGCTTTTCATCAAATCAGCATGATCGCTGTTACGGATGACTACCACGGATAACAGATAACGGATTGGTCGAGACTCACGATGAATGGGAACGCGAACCACCTGGAGCCTTGGAATCGCCGATCGCATCGCGTGACGAAGGGGATGCCAGCATGAAGTTGTGGAGGGAGACAGGGCAGCTGCATCAGGAGGAGGAGAGATATGGAGGACGGGGAGGGACTCAATATTGGACGTTGTGAATGCCAGTGTACACCAACAGAATCAGAATTCTAGACTGCTTGGATTTTCCTGTCCTGCGGAACCCCAGATATCCAAGACCATCAAACAAAATAAAACTAGCATGCAGGACATGGTGAGAAAGAAAAGAACAAATCAAACATAGCAGCTGGCAAGCTCATGGTCAAACAGTCAGCATCCAAGACAACCCCTTTCCTCTTCTGCGCTCAACTCAATGTATCTTGACACCGGTCTTCCAGTCCAACTCGCCCGCAATGCGAGTCATGCGGTCGAACACGGGTTTCCCGACAAAGCGCCAAAAGCCACCCGCTCTGATACAAGTCTCTCTGAATTCATTTTCATGTCGTTCCAGGTCGTCCTTGACCAAGGTTTTGAGGTTGGCGATCAGGGAAGCCAGGTTCGCATTGACGTTGCCTCCTGAAGCTGAAGCGGCCGCCCTGCTCGCGCCCTTCTTCGTCGCCGCAGCGCCGTTGGCAGGCCCTCCCGCCGGCGTTCTGATATGAGCGGCATCGACTCCCAGTTTCGTCAGCACCGCCGCGAGCAGGTACTCGGTCTCTTCTTCGCTGTTGTCGGCGTCGTCGTCATGGCCTACGCCGCTGCTGAATCGACGTTTCTTGCTGGTGGCGTTGTGGTGGTGGTGGTTGTTCTGATGGCCGTTCGCCGCTCCCGACTTGCGCCTTTCGCGATCTGCCTTTCTGCGCTGCGTGATACTTAACAATAACTGCTTCTTGTGGTCCTGGATGTTGGCCATAAACCCCATGTTGCGCTGGATGACTTCTTCAATGGTCTTGTCTGACGCGAGCGGGTGGGTGGCCGTGGCGGCGCGGTTGGCGGCATTGTCACCGTGCAGGACGGTGGCTACAAAGGCGACGTCTTCAGTGCGCACGCTGACCGCGTGTTTGGCTTGGTTCTTGAATGCTTTGGATTGCGATTTGGCTGCTCGAGCCGCCTTTTTCATCGCCCGAGCCTCGGCTTTGGTGAGTTTATGTGGCGGCATGCATGGCGATTCGCTGGTTGTGCTGGTTGTCGTGTCTGTCACGGTCTGAGCGTCTTCGGTGTCGGGATCATTCTCATTCTCAATGTCGTTGTCGTCGTCGTTCGCATACGCATTCGCATTGAAATTGGCGTGGGCGTGGGCGTGGGCGTGGGCGTTCTCCTCGTTTTCTTCTTCTGGTACCACGACTGGCTGTGGCGGCGCACGAGGGATGTTGACTGCCACTTCTTCCAGACCGGGTCTGGACCTGGCTTTAGGCTTGCTCGGCTCTGCATTGGCAGCAACAGCTCTGTATTCGTCAAGAAGCTCTGCGATCTGCCACAGACGGTCCAGTCAGTATTTGCTTCGGCCACAAGTGCAGAAAATGTGGTACGAGTAAGCCCCCTGAGGAGGCTTGCCGGAAAGGATAAGCGTCTTTCATGACTGGAGAGACTGCCTCCGGCCTCTGCGACAAGAGCAGCACTGGAGCGTCATTGGGTGTTCACAGCGCAGCACTGGGGCTGCATTGGGTGTCCACAGCAGAGGAAGGAAGCAGGAAGCAAAAAAGCAAACCAAATCATATCATGTGGACGTGAAACTAGGGGTTGGGAGGGGGGACACTGTGAATCGACTCGACTTGACATGGACCCTACCTTTCTGTGTCTGTTCTCATGCAACTCGTCTGCCTGGATGCACGAGAAGCAGTTGTGACTGGCGCCGATGGCATGCATGGTCTGATGGTAGCGATAACATGGCATCGAGTGGATTCCGTAGCACGTCTGGCGGGCTTTGGGGTTGCTCATCTTCATCGAGCAGCAGAAACAGCTGTGTTCTGTCCATGATCACGTAAGTCAGCATCAGCATCAGCATTCACAAGGCTTGGACAGGGAAAGGGGGAAGGGAGCCAGCCGCTTTTCATCCACTTCTAAATATGGACAACAAGGGCATTGGAGCCAGCCTCTTTTCATCCACATCTAGATATGGACAACAAGGGGGAAGGGGGAAAGGGGGTGTTTCTCGCTGCTAGTGAGTGAGTGACTGTGTTTGGGGGGGGGATCATCAACCATTCCACATTGGTCTTGCGGGTGTCCTGTCGCTCTCCATCTGTCTGTCTGTCTGTCTGTGTCTACACCAGGTGTCCAAGTACTTACCCAGGCCTGAAGCTGCTTCCCATTTGAAAGGGCCGTTTGGCGCGGCAGGATCCATGGTCAATGCGCTTTGTCCTCTTTCCTCTATCCTGTATCCTCTGCTGAGTGAGTGGGTTGATTGATTGATTTGCAGTCCGTCCTGTCTTTGCAGGGGCTTGGTGTTGCTCCTTGCCGTCTCCGTCTTGCTGTGACGCGTCGCCGTTGGTCTCTTCTTTCGAGCCTTTTGGAGCGCAACGAATGATTCCGGAGTTTGTCTTTGTCTCTGTCTTGGTCGTGCAGGAAGTACAGTCCTTGACGCATCGACAGGTTGGAACTGGAACTTGGAACGTTGATGATATGGATGCAGTAGTGGAGAGGACCAACACCCCAAGAGGAGATGGCGTGCGAGTTTCGAGGTGCGGGATGGGATGTCTGAAGGGCACCACTGATGTTGATGATGTTGATGATATTGATGATGATGTCGATGTCGCCGAGTCTTGGTGTGGACTGCTTCACGGCAACAACCTCAACACAAAGAGATGGCGGCGGTGGATGCGAATGCGACGAGAGTGAAGACCGAAGAGTGAAGGTCCGTCAGTTCGCCAAGGCAGTCGGGTAGCAGGAGGAATCGTCCAGCGTCCAGCGAGCTGAGGATGGGGATGGCTGTGAAGGCGGGAGGGAAGACGCAGTGAAGGTTGAAGGTTGAAGGCCGGGCCTGCAGTGAATAACAAGCGGTGCGGGTGTATGCGACGGGTTGGGTTGGATTTGGCCGAATTGGACGGTGTAGGGGTGAAGCTGGCCGGTGGATGGCGGAGAGATATTGGGATTGGTACTGGTACTGGTACTGGTACGTTGTCCAACCCTTCGACGTTCAACACAGATATGGAGGGATGGCGATGGCGATGGGAGGTAAAGAAGGTAGTAGGTAGGTAAGCACCCACTGGCTGTAGGTAGGTAGGTGTGTTTGACAAGACGAGAATGCAGCGGGAGGGCGCCAGGGCGCCAGTGCTCCAGGATGTGATATTGGCATGATGGCTGGAGGGAGGCCGTCGGATATGCGATCTGATATATGCAGTGAGTGACTGACTTGTCGGTGTGGCGGTGGAAGTGGAAGTGGAAGACGGCGCAGGCCGGACAACAGACACGCAAAGTCAAGTCTCACATTCAAACAACGAGCTCGGCTGGTTATTGTCTTTGTCCAAGTCCAAATCAGAGTCAAGTGGACGCAACCCGAAGGCCTAGGGGCTCCGACTCCCAACTAGGCGAGATCTATCTGACAGAGTTACATGAAGCATGAAAAAGAGCTGGTCACAGAGGCGAGCAGCTCGGGCGAGGGCATCAAAGGAAGACAACAAACCGTCCGAGACAGGCCCCGAGGCATCACAGGGCCATCAGGGGTATAGAGACAGAGGCCAGGCCGGTCACGGGCAGAAGTGAATCTGATCCTCTACACATGTCTCCGATCTTGACTTGACTTGATTTGACTTGACCCAATATACGGGCAGGGTCAGACGGAGACGGCTAACAACAAGTGATAGGGCAGGGAAGGAAGGCTGGCCATCGCGATCATCGTCGTCAATTAATACCATTCAATTGCTTTGGGTGTCTGGGGTAAAGAGGGACTGTGTGGGTGCGCTCATACATTCGTGGATATGTCCATCTTCACATTCGTCTCCAGCTTTGGATTTCAGGGGCTGAGATTGATCCCGTTCCCATACCCGTTCATGTTTCATTTTCCATTTTCATTGTAAAACTGTCCCTGAATTAACGTTGCCTTTTGCTGCACAAACTAATCAGAGAAATCATAGATTCAGAGTCATTTTTGGGGCTGGCTTCTTGTTTCTTTCTTTCATCCACTGAGGGGTCCATATCCACTGAGTCAAGGATACACGGCTTCGGATATCAGTGCCGTGTCCGATTGGAAATCTGGCTGAAAACTCTGCCTCAAACCAGCTGTCGGATGTGTGCATCAGGCAGCAGGCAGTAGATCCCCGTAGCCGGCCATCAAACAAACAATCGGCCAGCCAGTCATGTCAGGTGATCGCGCCACTCATACCTTTCGGCCAGGGGCGTGTCGACCCAAGCTCCTCACATTCAAGGGGCGACATCTCTGACCAGCCTGGCAGTGCACCATACATACGGATAGTTCCGTTGGTACCAGTTGATGAAGGACTTGCGGCCCGCAATGCGCGGCACGGTGGCCCAGCTACCGCCCAAACAGATGTTGTGTTTGCCATCAAAGAAATCGGCCGTGTAGCCTGGGTACAGATCCATAGCTTTGAAGCCTTGGTGGGCCGCCAACGGCGTGCTGGTCCACTCCCACAGGCCGCCCACGTCGCTTTGTCCGCAGAGCCGCTCGCCGTCACCTGTCACAGGCGTCGGATGCCAATGACGAAATGCGACATTACGGTTAGACAAGTCGATGAAGAGGTCATCCGGGTCAGTAGTACTATCGCGATCGGCGACAGTGCTCTTGGACGAGGAAGGGTTGGATGGCGGCGTCTCTTCGACCCCTTCGTTTGAAAGATGCCTGCGGTGCATCCAGGTTAGCAAGCCTCTCATGATCGATCCAATGCACCGCAGATCACTTACCCGTTCACCGCCGAGATCAAGACGCTAGGAACCTTTTCCACGCTGATTTTCTCTTCCTGGACAAATTGATACAAACTTCGCACCTCTTCAAAGGTTGGAATGCGTCCATTCGACCAATTTGCATAGGCCACCAGTTCATCGTACGATGCCATCACAGGCCAGTCCAGGGCGTATTTGAGAGGAACAAGTCCATACATCGTGCGCACAGCTTTGTCCTCGGTAAAAGAAGAGCTGGCCATGTCAAGGATGGCAGCGGAATGGCCGTTAGCCCCATTGGTACTGTCCATCCCAGCAGTCCCGTTAGTTCCGTTGACAGTTCGATTCACTTTGGAGACTGTCCACGATGCTGGAAGAGAGTCCTTGTGGGTGACTTCGAGGAAACGCGCATATTCGCCATTACTGATAGGTCGACTCTGGGCCTCGAAGTCCTTCACTAACACAGTGCGCGCAGGCCGTTCATTATCCCAGCCGAAATACCGATCCGGACCTAGATCATTCTCGGGATCGTCAAGGCCAATCTTGAGTTTCCTTGCTGGGATTCGATTCCACTGGTTCTGCACACGCTTCGAGTGGGCTTGCGACGCCAGCGCTTCGAAATCCGACCTTTCCTGCCCGGGTGGTGGCAGCACTCGCTCACTTTGAAGCAGCATATATAGAAACGTTTCTAGATGCATTGCCTCGTGCTCATAGCCAAGCCAAAGAGCACGGCCGAGTTTGCGATCGGTATATGCCCTGCTAGAATATAGACTGTCGACAATGCGTGTCCGCACACGGTGCTGATAGTCCAGGACTTCTTTCAGGGGAGGCCATGTGTCTGGGATTTCGCTGTGGTCATGACACACCTCAGGATTGTCCACATCTGGGACGGGGAGCATTAGCAGGATTTAGGCACAGACCTTTGCCAGCGCCGGCGCTTACCTGGGTCGATGCCTCGTTCAAAAATAGACGCATAGACGGCAGGGTCCGTCGGCTTATCGGCGGTGGCCTTGGTGTAGTGAATGTCTGTGATCCAACTCAGCATCCCCTCCTGGTGTTACTGGTCACTGCGCCCTGTCGCCGCTTACCTGCAAATGTGGGAATATGACCAAGATAGAAAATGAGATCATTTCGCAATTTGATCGGCTTGTTCAGCAATTCATCTCTGGGCACCATCGACTTTGTAACCACGTCCCAAGCAGCCCAGAGTTGTCGCCAGTCATTCAAGGACGGGATTGGAGCAGCCGCATACTCTGAAGGCTTGATCGGGAAGTTGATGGCGGCGGGTGACAGCAGATGGATGACTTGAGCAGGTACAGTCAGCAAGAGAGCTAAGTATACCGACCGTGGAGCACGTACAATAGTTGTTTACCTTATTCCCGTAAGCACATTGAAGGATCAGACCTGCTGCGTGCCAAAGCCGGTCACTTTCAGCCTCGGAATATTTGTAAGAGTCTTCGAAGTGAACCTGTTCGCCCTTTACAATCGAGAAGTCTGGAGTTTTGATGTCCTGCAAGGCGACATAGAATGCCTCGTGCTTGTTCAACTTTTCGTTGTACATGGTGTTGAGTCCCCACTCGTCCTGCTTGAAAGCCTCGTAGCCCAGAAGGATGTTGGCATGGGTCAAGCCATTTCGATAAAACCTCTTGGTGACATTTTCACTATCGTTGTAGGCGCGGAAAACACGGTCAGGTTGCTGGCATGAGTCCAGACCAACTAGGACGAAGTCAGACGACCCCAGTACCCTCTTGAACGAGGCCAGAAATTCGGCAGCGCCTTCTCTCGAAAAGTTGCCTATCGAAGAGCCCAATGTCAAGAGACAGGTGGGTTTGCCATCAGCGCCGGACCGGGCCAGCCAGGATAAAGCATCATCATAGGTACCGTGCAACGCTTGGAGGGTGACATATTGGTAGGCTTCAGTGTCAATTTGGGCGAAGGTGCGTTTCAACTCGGAAAGAGAGACGTCCAATGCATAATAATCGACTCTCTTTTCCGCTGCCTCAAAGGCCCGCAGAAGGATGTTCACCTTGCGAAGATTGCTATGTGTGGGATTAGCCATTGTCTCGTCTGTTGGAGGTTAGACGAGGTCATGCATACCCACTCCCAAGTTCCACAAGTCGGGCACCATCCGGGATCCGTGCGGCAATGTCGTTGGCATGCGTCTGGAGAGTCTCAATCTCGGCATTGGTGAGGTAGTACTCATCCAGGTAGGTGATTTCCTCAAAGAGCTTCAACCCTTTTTCTAGAAGTTATTTAGTGGTATGTCTCACACATCAAGAACCTTTGTACCATCATAGAGCAGCAAGGTCGGAAACGTGCGCGGCTGGCCCCTGGGAGGATTGAGAGAGCGACGCAGCGTCTCGAGGAGGAAGTCATCCGACTGGTCTCCGCGGATATCAATGATCGGTACTCCGGTTGAATTGGGGGCAGTCATGCTGGCAAGTTGCTGTCGGCTAACAGGACAGAAGAGTGAGGAGTCTAACAATGGAGTCTGCAACGAGGGGACTGGTTCAGATATACTCTGGAGTCGAGTTGGATGGGATGGAGAGGACTCCAGGTCGGTGCATGCCGCGGAATATGACAGGGCCGTTATGTCAAGCTAGGTTTCCGTTGTATTATACTCATCACGCACGTGGGTCATCCGTCTTTCACGTTCGAATGGCTGAGAATAGCCAGGGCGTATAGATCGGCGCCCGGCGAGGGGCTCGGCGAGAGGTCATTGCTTACATCTCAGAGCTTGGACCTGTGATTTGAGGTCCCTGAGTGGCGGCGGAGCGGCAGTGGCCTAGAAGGACCGCCATGGTCTCGAGTTTGACGTGGGAGAAGATGCATGATCTGTCAACAAGGCCCGCCGCTCCGCACACTCGATAGAGGGAAAAGATGGCAATTGGCCGAGACCGACAGGCAAGATCAGGAACGGGGCCAAAGAGGAAGTGCGTGGGAACCCGGCGGACGCAGGCGAACTCAGTGGTGCGTGAGTGAGTAAGCGCGGAATGGTGATGACGACAAGACAGAGACGGACAAGAGCAGCTGGAAAGACAAGACGAATGAAGTGCGTAGGAAAAAGAGGAGAGACTCAAGACTCGAGCCACAGTGGCAGCAGGTCTGGGAGATGGATGCCCCGTCATACCCAGTAGGTAGGTCAAGGAGGTGGTACGGAGGACGGGATACTGTGGGATTAAAAGTACGTAGCGCAGCCTATTATTTCCCTACGGGATACTATTATTATTGATTACTCCATGCCTTTACAATACGGAGTACGGAGCACGCAGTCGATAGAGATAAATGATAGAGCCCTTGGTGAGCCCGGACCGGAGAAACATAGATCCGCATGTTTACCTTTGCCCGCAAACAGCAGACGCAACACCTCGCACTTCTCGCAGCTCTGCAGATTCAAATTCAATGAGCATCACTCAATCCGTACAATACACGTTCAATGCATTGGTAGATCGTGTCTAGATACCCTCTGCCATCTCGTATTCCCCAACCATGGCTGTCTCTACCGCTGCTCCTCCTCCTCCGTCGTGCTCCTGACCTGCGCCCTTTACCCTCCCACCTTCCACACCAAATCTCCCTCCCACCATGTCCAAGTCCGGCAACCTGGTCGCTTTGTCGGCCATCCTCAACCCGTCGGAGCCGCCTACCATTTACTACGCAGAAGATCCTCCTTACCTGCCTCGCATCCTCGTCTTCTACTATCCCGTCCAGTCTGTTGGTTCCCTGGCATCCACCTCCCGTATTCGAACCACCATTCTCAGCGCCGCCGGATTCAAGACCTATGGAGCCTTTTCAGTCGCTCCGAATAGCAGCTACTACGCCGCAGTCCATAAGCTTCCCGAAGATAAACAGCGAGACGATGTCTCCCGCGGAATTGCTTTCGCACTGTGCAGATACTTCTCCGAGGTCCCCACCGAGGTCAAGAATGCCATAGCCGACGAGAATTTACATCACGGCATCGCATTGAAATGGGGCCAGACACATGCAGCTCAAGTGACATGTCGAATGAGCAAAGTCACCAACCCAGAAGAGATCGTTGAGGCCCTGCGACCCTTCTCCAAAGAGCGACCCCCGAGCCCCCAGTCGCCGATCAAGCCACTGGCTTCAATCAGGAAGACAAGGCCTTCGTTTCTCCCACCAGAGTCTGGCAACAACGGAGTAAGCCGAGCCCCGCATGCCTTCACCCCTTCGAAACGAATTCCCAGCTTTCAGTCAAAACGGTCCCCTTCCGCCTCAACCCCGGCAAATCGCAAGGCCAGCACGCCGCTCGCCCCTCAACACTCGCTGGACCAGCTGGAGTCGTTGCGGTTTAAAATGTGCGAGTTCGTGGATACTGAAGATAGATACATCACCCGCCTACAAGACCTAATAGACCTGGTCACACACCAGGGCCGTACTCCCAAATCTTTGAGTTCCAAATTCTCAAGCTCGCGCAGTCAAAAAGCCGTCAATGCCATGATCCGGTTCCCTTCTCTTCTGGACCAGATCAAAGACTTGAATTTAGCATTCTTGGATGACATTGAGACAGCTCTCCAAGCCTCAGAGGACGCCGCTCTTGCTTTTCTCGATTCCGCCCAGCGGGACCCTCGACTGCTTCAGACTGCCAAGGATCCCATGGGCATCTATAGCTTCGCGAAGATTCTTCTGAACCACTTCCCCAGATTTCCCATGCCTTACCGAGAATACCTTGATCTCCACTCTCAGGTCGCGTCCAACCTGGATCAATTTCTCAAGGAAGGCACAACGTCGATCCAACAGGCGCCGTCCTTGCTTATGGAGCCAGCGCAACGTATCTCACGGTACGGCCTTTACATTGACACCATGCTGCCTCACGTACCAAGCAATTTTACCGTGGCTATCCGCACGCTTGAGAAGGCCCGCAAAATCATCGGCGAAATATGTGAAATGGAGCCTGCGGCCTCGACCATTCTCGACTCTTTGCGCATCGAGCACGAGGCGCGGAAAAAGAGCCTCTCCCCAACCAAACTCCTCTCTGGCCTGACTCGCTCAAACGGCACGTTAAGAGAAGCGCCGGCCCTATCGGGCACCCTCAAAGATCGTGATGGACCTCGCCTCTTTCCCAGCTTAGGCAGAAGTCTCAGCCGGAGACATAAGACTCCTAGACCCGGCCTGGCCGGTATCCTCTCGGAACAAGATCCCGAGCAGGTCAGTAACACGTACAGCTCTGCCGGATCACAATCACGAAACGATGAGAACAGACCTCTAACGTCCAGCTCGGCTTTGTCATTCGGCTCTGGGCCAAAAAGACCACCAACGTCCGGATCAAGCACGACGAACCGGTCAGCTCCCAGTCCTAGCCCCAACGCTCCTGTCCTGAGGCCTGGCAACAAGGGTGCCAGAGAAGTGTCGCCTGGAGCTGGCATTGAGCAATACAAAATCGAACTTATGCGCGCCGAGGAGGAGAATTACAAACTGCTGCAAGAAAACGCCGAGTTGAAGAGATTGATCCGTGAGTGTACATGTGGTGGCGCTCAGAGACGATGACAACGCCAGACACAAGTGATGGCGAGGTTATGGTGCCAAGGGACATCGGCCCTGTTGAAGAAATCTTCGATTTGTCAGTGCCTATCTCGGCCAGCTCGAGCTGCGAGACGACGGACCAGTGTGTTAGTATCACGAAGTTATGAAAGAAAGATAGTCACGACTTTTGTTGAGCCTCAGGCTGCTATTATTGCTTCCTGCTTTTCTCTTGGCTCCGGGGGATCCTTGTATTTTTACAACGCGACGATAGTCTTGCTAGACAAGTTGCCACAAAAGCATCACGGTGGAAATGGGGAGGTTCGATTGAGCCTAGAACCCAGCCACGGACCGCATGTCCTGCGCAGGTGTAACGCATCGATCGCTGAGGTCATGCTCTCGTATGATGATTGATATTCCAAGATCCTGATGGGGCGGCAAGCTACACTGTCACAAAAAGCCTCGTTCATTCATTGATTCGTACATGTTGTTTACAGGCAAGGCACTGTAGACACACAGAGAGAGAGAGAGCCAATGTCTCCAGTTATGATGAACGCCCCGGAAATCCAACCCGTCATTGCTTTTTGTAGAGCTTGCATGCTCTTTGTGCAGACACAAACTCACACCATGCTTGAGCAGCCTCGAACAGCGGTGCAGAAAAAGACCCAATTCAAGTCCTTGTTCCGTTCAGGTATCCAAGTAGAATCGATCAATCGTCCAGTCTCGGGCTTTCTAGTCCGGTGTCTCCTTACAAGGAACCACGGATACGACAGATCCAGAAAGCCTACTTCCACAGTATGGTTGCCTCGACCTCTCCCCACCCCCTTCCTCACTCAGCCTCATCATCATCGTACCCCTTCTGCACCTCCGCCCAGCCACTCTGGTACCTCGCCAAGTCACGGTCCGTATTCAGCCGCAGCGCCCGTGCTTGCTGGGCATCCTCGCGCCAGCATCTGGATGTGTAGTCGTCCGCTGTGGTGACTAGGTTGCCATTGATTGTCCACGCCACGGCGGTGACTTCCTTCACGTGACCCTTGACCAATGCAGTGCCGTGATAATATATGGGACAGTCGCCATCGCTATCTTCCGGAGGTTGTTGCCCGCTCCTCGAGGTTGAAGACGATGCTGATCGCGTGAGTCGAGCAGAAGGCCACAGACTGGCACTGGCACTGCCCGGCTCATCGGCCAGGAGTGGCCGCCGTTGTGTGGATTTGGTGAGGTACCGCTCGTCCGTTGGAAATAGAACCGCACATTCTTCCCGGGTTCCTGTGGCTATTAGCTCTGTGTTATCCTGACTTCGGTGCCGAACTGCCAGCTTGTCGTAGAAAGAGGCTAGGCGCAAAGCGCGGTGGCGGAATCCGTACAACGGCCCCAGCCCTTGGCCTGCGTTGCGCGACTGCCGGAATGGATGAGACGAGGTCAGAGACATCTCGGGCGCCCCTCCTAGCACTAGGTGAGATGTGGAATAGGCGTACACTGTGTGGTCGCGACACAACGAGTACAGCCTCGCCCCATCGGTACTCATGGCGATCGAAGTCACGCCGAACTGTCGGTGGTTCTCGTGGCTCTTGGGTTCCATGGTTGCAGACACCGGTGTAGGGCGTCCACTTCGTGATTTGTACGATGTCCGCATATCCCACAGCTTGATGATGGCATCGTTCTCCGAGGCAGTGGCCAGCATGTGCGGCCGACTTGCGCTGATGAATGCACATGTCGTCACTGCAAAATCAGACCTTGCAGAAACCGGCATTTGCCTGCGCCTGCCTTTCGTTCTTCCTTGGAGGTCAAACGCAGTATGTGCGTCTCGAATCTGGTTCAGGCAATTGACATCTGCACTTTGGCATAAAAAAGAATCGGGTTCCCGACTCAGGTTCTTAAATACCCACGAACCTCTACTTGCCGCACAGCGTAAGTCCCACAGGCACACGCTGCCATCTCGGGAACAAGTCGCCAGAATGTTGTTTCCAGAGCCAGGCTGGAACTGTACACGTTTGATGGACCCAGTGTGCCCTCGGAGAGTATATGTAGATTGGTGCTGCTTCATGTCGATGATCCGACAGGTTTGGTCCCCTGACGCTGTTGCAAGCAGGCTGTCGTCTGGAGATAGTTCCATGTCCATGATGGCATTGTCGTGTGGATACATGGTCATGAAAATCTTTTGGTATGGAAGACTCGGATCTTCTCCATCGTGGATGCGCACAGTACCATCCTCATCTCCAATTGCCACTAATGGGACAGTCTTGAATCCGGCAGCGCAGAATGGCAGAGCTGGGAAATGAGGTCCGGAGAGGTTGTAATGGCAATGATCGTCAGGTGAACTGTAGAAGTTCGCCGTCTCATGTTGCCAAAGCTTGCTATCATTGCCCTCTCTTATCATCCTTCTTCCCTCCACCCGTCTTGATAGCAGGCCAGCGGAAGTGCTGAGAGACCGGTAGGGTACCAATCGTGGCGGGAATGCTTTGTTCCCTAATAGCTCGACATCTTCTGCATCGTCCTCATCACTATCGATGTACGCAGAATTATGTTCAGGGTCGACCGTGGGATATTCAGCTCGCCTGGGCTCAGCGTTTTCTTGATTCGAGACAGTATTATTCTTAATCGGAGAAGACGGAATCGAGGAGATGGATACGAATGAGAGCTTCCTCTTCTTTCTGGCTCGGATACTCTGCTCATCAAGGGGGAGGCCTAGAATTCCGCTTGCCTGGGATCGGCTATTCAACCTCGCGGCGGACAGGTCTTGTAATGCTTTCCGGGAGGTTCGAACGGCACGCTGTGGATTTCGAGATCTGGGAGTAAAGAACCTGGTAAAACGTTTAGGCGTTACGGAAGGGTTCTTCTTCACACGGCCACTTCGTCGAGGACTCTTATTCTCATCGGGTTCGACAGCAAAAGTGACAGCCTCTGCTGGGGCTCGTCGTTCAGGCGTGGAATCCATTGTTGACGTGAGAGTGTTGACTCGACACACTAATAGGCCTGTGGTTGTATTCTGTCACCCAGAAAGCATGACTTCTTGTAAATTTTACACACGGGATAGACTGCAGGGTGGCGGTTGGAACCGTGTGGTGAGAAGTGTGTACGGACTACAGAGTATGGTCCCACGACTGTCGAGAAGAGCTCGCCAGCTGTAGTCGCGCCTCGCGTAAAGTGGTGCGTGAGACGCGCCGAGTTCCAGGGTAGATTGAAAACAGCAGGTAGGCCGGGGCTAGCTTCTTGCCTCCCACACACCCACCCTACCACCAACAGCTAAGAATGATTTGATGCACCAAAGCCTGTCTCCACAAAAAAGTTTCGCAGTTGCAACTTGAATTACTCCAGAAAATTTCATGGCCGTAGGATTTCAATGTCGAAGAACTAAGCCTCTCGACATTCCATCGAGCTAGGCATAGGGCACCGTTCATAGAGAGCATAGGTGGCCCAGCATTTGTTGAGTTCCGTTGGCATATCTCAGCATGGCCTCCGCAAAGCGCAAACTTGCGGGCGATGAGGTGTCGACCAAACCTGCCATCAAGCGACCGAAATCCGACGGCAAGCCCAAGACCGCAGACACGCCCTCCGTCCAGGATAAGAGTCAGAGGCCGAAGGCAGTCTCTATACTCACCAAGGAGCTACCGGCTTTTCCTCGAGGAGGCGCGGGCCTGTTGACCCCGTTAGAAAGAAAGCAAATTCATGCAAAGGCCTCCCGGGACGTCGAAAGGGAGCAGAAGCGTGGTCAAGACCTCTTCGGTGATGGAGGCAAATCATTGAGTGACACAAGTGATGAAGAAGAAGATCCAGATTTGGATACCGAGGTACAGAAGCCTACCAAACAACCCCGGAAAAAGAAAGCGCGGTCCAAAGATGCCGCTGTTGCCAATGGCCCGGAGGTTCGAATCGAAGGCCTCAGCTATAAGCGGATAACCACAGGATCTTTGATTTTAGGTCAAATCACGTCCGCGGGTCCCAGGGCTCTGACTGTCGCATTACCGAACAATCTCGTGGGATATGTTCCCTTGACCTCTATTTCGACACAGCTGAGCCACAAGATACAAGGGCTCTTGAGTCAGAATGAGGAAGAGGACGCCTCTAGCGATAGCGAGCAGGATGATGACCACGACATTGCGCTCACAAACTACTTCCGGATTGGACAGTATTTACGAGTAGCAGTTACATCTACCGAGCAGGAGAAAACCGGACCAAAAACAGCTTCACGAAAACGCATTGAGTTGTCTGTTGAGCCATCATTGACAAATGTGGGTATTGATAGATCAAATCTGGCGGTTGGTGCCACAGTCCAGGTCGCTGTAAGCAGCATTGAGGACCATGGATTGGTAGCTGATCTCGCTCTCGAAGACCAAACTGTTCGCGGTTTCATCCCGAAAAGCCAGTTGCCTGGCAACCTATCCTTCTCGGACATCAGGACCGGTGCTGTCTTGCTCTGCAGCGTTATTGAGCTTGGTTCCAACAGTCGAGTGGTAAAACTTTCAGCGGATCCTTCTAAATGGACGGTCCTGGAAAGCGCCCCGTCCATTGACGCATTTCTTCCAGGAACCAAGGTGGAGATTCTAATCAGCAACAGAGCGGACGTCGGCCTTTCAGGGAAAGTCATGGGTCTCCTTGATGTTACAGCGGATGTCGTCCACTCAGGCTCCTTCAAGGACAAAGAAGCATTCTTGGCCAAGTTTGAGCCGGGCAAGAAGATAGTCGGTCGGTTGATTTGTTCGTTTCCCCTCTCAGAAACGAAGAAGCTCGGTTTCTCGGTCCTGGAGAATTTACTGGACATGGATCTCACCACGAAGGCGGATGCTCAGGCAGATGGAGAATTGTCTTTATCTTCCATCGTTGACGCGGCATCTGTTATTCGCGTTGAGCCCGGACTTGGTCTCTACCTACAGCTAGGCCCCCACACTTTGGGGTTTGCACATATTTCGCGCTTGTCAGACGAGAAAGTCGACTCTCTATCCGAAACTAGTGGTCCATTCAAGCTGGGTTCTGACCACAAGGCTCGAGTGATCGACTACAATCCCGTTGATGACCTTTACTTGGTGTCTCTACAGCAGAAAGTACTCCAGCAGCCTTTTCTGAGATTTGAAGATGTTCCCTTGGGCGCAGTCATCAAGGGGACGATTGAAAAATTGCTGGTGGGCTCGAACGGAGTGCAAGGCCTACTAGTCAATCTCGCAGAGGGCGTCACTGGTCTTGTGCCGCAGATTCACATGTCTGATGTCGACCTGAAACATCCTGAAAGAAAATTCAGAGAAGGCCAGGTGGTGACGGCACGAGTGATCACAACGGATCCTGTGAAACGACGTATCAGACTAACATTGAAGAAGACTCTGGTCAATACCGATCAGAAACCGTGGTTGAGATATGAGGACATCGAGACCGGTGACTCGACAGTTGGCACATTGACCAAAGTCGACCCACTCGGGGCAGTTGTACGATTCTACGGACCAGTCCGGGGTTTCCTGCCTGTTTCTGAGATGAGTGAAGCTTACATAAAGGACGCAACCCAGCATTTTCGTGTGGGTCAGGTCGTGACAGTCAACGCCATCAGCATCAACGCGGCCGAGAGGCGCCTGACTATTTCATGCCGTGATATCAACAAGTCCAACCCATCGATCGAGTCTTCGCTGTCGACGCTGCAACCTGGAACTGTTGTCAAGGGCACCGTTTTCGAGAAATCTCAAGATGACACCTTGCTCCGACTGGGAGAATCCGACGCCATTGCCCGATTGACTTTGGATCATGTATCTGATGGATCCTTGAAGAAGAGAGAATCCACATTCCAAAAGATACGAGTCGGTCAAAAACTCGAGAATTTGCTCATCTTACAAGTGCTGCCAAAGAGGAGACTGGTTTTGGTGTCAAACAAACAAAGTCTGATCAGAGCGGCCCAGGAGGGCACTCTTCTCAAGAGTTACGAACAGCTGCAAAAGAACGCCCTAGTTACTGGATTCGTGTCCAACATCACCAAGGACGGCGTGTTTGTGAGCTTTGCCGGTGGGATCAGTGCACTTATCACGAAAGCACATGTGCCTGTTGAGAACGCAGAAGAAAATGATTTTGGAATGACAAAGTTACAACCTGTCACAGCAAGAGTCCTATCCATCGACTACAAGGGTGCCACCCCCCGATTCTGGCTGACAATGAGGGAAACGTCTGTCGGCAATGACTCGAAACCGACCGCACCTCACAGTGTTCAAGAGGTACCAACACTTGTGAACCCTGTTGATGCAAAGATCCAGACCATCAAAGATCTTTCTGTGGGCCGAGTCACAAAAGCACGAATCGTCTCAGTCAAGGATACTCAGATCAACGTGGAGTTGGCCAAAGATGTACAGGGTCGTATTGACGCATCTGAGATTTTTGATGATTGGAAAGACATTAAAGATCGCAAGAAACCCCTCAAGCAATTCAGTCCCAAACAAGAACTTACGGTCCGAATACTTGGGGCCCACGACACCCGAAATCACCGGTTCCTTCCCCTTACGCATCGGAATGGCAAAAACACAGTCTTTGAACTTTCGTGCAAGCCGAAGTCAGTAGGAACTTCTGCACCACCCGCCCTCACATTAGGAGAACTGTCGGTCGGGTCTTCATGGCTTGCCTTCGTCAACAATATCTCAGAAAACTACTTATGGGTGAATATATCACCTTCCGTACGAGGCAGGATCCGGGCAACAGATGTGTCCGATGACTTATCATTGGCTGCTAATTTGGAAAAGAACTTTCCGATTGGATCTGCCCTTAGAGTCCATGTCCTTGCCGTTGACCCTGAGAAGAATCGCTTGGATCTGACAGCCAGGTCAGATGGCCTAGCCAGCTCTCTCACGATCAAGGATATCTCCAAGGGACTCGTGCTCCCGGGTCGTGTCACCAAAGTGAGCGACCACAATATTCTAGTTCAACTGAGCGACCAGACAGTAGGCGCTGTCGACCTGATTGACATGGCTGACGACTACACCGACGCAAACCCAGCCAAATTTCAGAAGAATGACGTCCTCCGAGTATGTGTTCTCAGTGTGAATGTCCCAAACAAAAAGATCCAGTTGTCAACTCGGCCTTCTAAGGTACTCAGCTCTTCGATGAAAGTTACCGATCCAGAAATCACTTCTCTCAGTCAGCTTACCGTCAATGAAGTGGTGCGAGGATTTATTAGCAATGTGACGGACAAAGGTGTTTTCGTGACACTTGGACACGGCATTACGGCTTTCGTAAGAGTGGCACATCTCTCCGACAGCTATTTGAAGGATTGGAAAGACCAGTTTCAGCGGGACCAGCTCGTGGAAGGGAAAATCATTTTGGTCGATGAGGCATCCGGCCACATCCAGATGAGCCTGAAGGAATCGGCTCTCAACCCCGACTATAAGGCACCGCTTACATTCAACGATCTCCATGTGGGAGACGTCGTGACTGGAAAAGTTGTCAAGGTTGAGACCTTCGGCGTTTTCATTTTGGTTGATAACTCTGAGAATGTACGCGGGCTATGTCACCGCAGTGAAATAGCTGAGCAACGTGTCCAAGATGCCACCAAACTGTTCCAAGAGGGCGACCTTGTGAAGGCCAAGGTCCTCAAACTTGACCCCGCCAACAGAAAGGTCAATTTCGGCATGAAAGCAACTTACTTCGCCAACGTGGACGAAAATGATTCAGGGAGCGAGGCGGGATCGGATGATGACAGCGATGAGGATGGTGGCGCACAGTTCGATGAAAAAAGGCAAGATGCAGCTGACAGCGACGATGAGGCGGGAACAGAGCATACTAACGACGACGACTCTGATCTTGCCGACGAGCTTGGTGACGAGAATGGCGACTCGGACGACAGTGAACACGATGCGGTCAAGGGTTCGGCCCCAGCTTCGGAAAGCAAAGGTCTCAATGTAGGAGGCTTCGACTGGTATGGAATTTCAGACAATCAAAGCGCGAGAGCCCCCAAACGAGCGGCCGAAGAACTGGGTTCAGAAGAGGATGACGTATCGAGCACAATTCCTAAAAAGAAGAAAAAGAAGAGAGCCGATTTCCAAGTCGATCGGACAGGAGATCTGGATGTGGATGGACCACAGTCCATAGATGATTTCGAGAGGCTGCTGATGAGCGAGCCGGACTCATCGCTCTTGTGGCTTCAGTACATGGCCTTTCACCTGGAATTGGGCGACGCCGACCAAGCACGCCAGATTGGGGAACGAGCCTTGAAGTCGATCGGTCTCGGGCTAGAGGCAGAGAAACTGAACGTGTGGGTTGCACTTTTGAACTTGGAAAACGCCTACGGAGACCAAGAGGCGATTGAGACAACATTCAAACGGGCCTGCGAATACAACGACCCTTGGGAAATCTACTCAAGGCTGACGAGCATCTACATTCAATCGGGCAAGCACGACAGGGCGGACGACCTGTTCCAGCAAATGCTCAAAAAGTTTGCGCAGGACCCGAAGGTGTGGATCAACTATGCCACCTTTCTATTCGACAGCAGGGGGGAGGCCGACAACGCCCGAGCACTGCTGCCACGTGCTCTTCAGACGCTACCCAAGTTCACCCACCTCGACGTGACCCTGAAATTTGCCCAGCTGGAATTCAAGTCGCCCAATGGATTGGCAGAGAGGGGGCGGACCATCTTTGAGGGATTGATCAGCTCATTTCCGAAGCGGGTGGACGTGTTCAATGTTCTGCTCGACCTCGAACTCAAGCAGGGCGACCAGGAGCAGATTCGGGCATTGTTTGAGCGGATCTTCGGCGGCAAGCTGAAGCCGAAGCAGGCAAAGTACTTTTTCAAGCGTTGGCTGGCCTTTGAAGAGTCGGAAGGAGATGAGCGACGGGTTGAGGCGGTCAAGGCACGGGCAGCAGAATGGATCCGCGGAGCTGGCAAACCGGTGGATAGTGATTAATTATTGATGGTCGGGAGAGTTGAGAGAGCAGAGGATGTCTTGGTGTTCTCTCGAGTCTCCAGACCAGAGTCCTCCGTCGACTAACTGACTGACTATTGGATCAGATGAGTACTCCGTACACTAGAGTTAAACAGTCCCTTCTCTCTGCTTCCAGGCCCCTAACAGTGGGTACCTTTCGGAATAGGCTATTCGGTTGCTGGAAAGAGAAAGACTTAAGACTGTACGCCCTATGTTAGGGTTAAGGATCAGGCTTCAACTTATGGCTCGGCGTTGCAGCGACGGATATGCGTAGAGGCTAGGATAAAGCCAGCTTGCTCGAGAGTAGGAGTGCTTGACCATATGCCCACTACCACTACCTGCAGGTACTACAGGAGTTCTGCAAAGTAATGTCGTCCTCGCTAGAGGTCGACCTGATCGGTCCACCTCACTCATCAGCGTAGCATCGCATGGCATGGCATCGCAATAACAAATAACAATATCACACGAGGAGCTCGAATTTCTTGAACACTTGAGGTGTGTCGGACTATCATCCGCTGCCGCCCACGCGGCTATGATTTTTATTACTCGATAAGTATTACCCAATATTCGCCATTGGCAGCTTTCCCCCTCGCCCTGCTTGCTTTTCTGCGTGTCGCTTCTCTGCGTTGTTCCTGTTCCTGTTCTGGTACCTGAGTCCGTGGAGTGAGTATCCCGCTAGAAACCCTTCAGCCATCATCGCCAACCGATCGCGTCGTCGCACAGCATGGGTAGCTAAGAAGGGGATTTCATTTCCAGTCATCGCGGATCCGTGCGGGTGGCAGCAGGCAGGTATCCACGAGGAAGTGGAACGGAGAGGCCAGGCGCAACGCCAGATGTCGGGACTGCACACCGAAATCTCGGATATCTGAGGGTGGAGGCACTGGCAGCTGGCCAAACGAGCAAGCCAACCCGAGACGACAGAAGGAAATCAGCGCAAGTTCGTGGGGAGGATCGCAGTCGGACCACACTTTCCGGAGCGTACAACCGTAGTGGCCAACAGGGTGCGGCGTCGGTGCGATGGCTGCGTGAATCACCGTCATCGTCGTACAGGGGCCCTGGCAGCCCTGGCAGCCTCCGTCCGGCCCCTGCAGTGTCTCCCAGGCTCGCTCTCAGGTGCCTAAGCCTACTACTAGGTACGTACCTAAGGCCGTCCCACGCCCGCCTCGCCTGGACGGACGCACTCCGCGGCACAGTGCGCACTCTGACCTCACTAGCCCCTTCCCGCCACCCGCCAATCAGCCGGCCTCGATAGCCAACACTGGCCCCCTTATCTTCCTCTCTATGTGCACACGACCAACTCTCGCCCTGCGCTGCCTGATATCGTTGGTAGCATTATTACTACTCTCTACCCATACCCTCCACGCGAAGCGAAGCGAAGCGAACCCAACCCTTGCCGTGACACCGTCAGCTCGATCACTGGAACATTATGGCTGCTTAGCCATGCTGTCCTGCTCATATCTCCTGTCGCCTCTCTCTCTCACCTCATCACCACCGTCTCAATTGATCGATTCCACGCCGCAGCACACCTTCCGTCCGGTTATCGACTCGACGCTACTCTGGCATGACGCTGTAGCCCCCTCAAGTCGGCTTCTGCGAGGCTGAATGCCATACTCCTGCCCTGAGTTCGCAAACCCCCGATTATGATAGTCCCCCGTGTCTTTGCCCAGACTCAACTGGGGCAAAGACAACAATTCGACTTTAGTGAAAAGGACCCTCTCTCCAGAAGAAAGTTGGAAGACGTTCGCTCACCAGGGCGGTCCGCCCTCTCCCAAAGCCTTTCCAAACAGCCAGGCTCCTCCTCCTACAAGTCCTCTTCCGACCCTGTCCAGATCCCAACGCGTGCCGAGGGACAGCCTCTCACTCCAGCTCACCGGCAGGGGCCCTCGTCGCTGCAGACCTCAAGGGACAGCTCAAATGTCGCGTCCCAGCCCATACCAAAGAGAAATGAATCTGTCCAGGACATCCTTTCATCAACCACAATTCCCGTCCGGAGGAGACCCAGGCCGAGGCCAGGTCAACGGTTGCCCAAGGGTGACTATGTGGCGGATTTCAGCAAACTGCTCAGGGACGATGTGCAGCCGAGCAGGGATGCCAGTCCGTCAGGGAGCTGGACAAACCCACAATTTGAAGGATTGTTTGGCACCATTGACGGTCTGGTGGGAAGTCAAATGATTGTCGGCAGCGAAGGCTTTGACGCGGGAACCATGTCTAGCAGGTCTCTTTCCAGCGAATCAATGCCTTCTCTGCTTTCTCCAGACGACTACAGCACCACAGATACAGCCAGTGTGTCGCCAGCCACCGTCCGATCTCCCTGTGATCATCGGTGCCGTCAGATGGCGAGCTCAGAGGACTGCAGCAGCCATCACCCTCTGCTGTCTCTGGACGATGATGACGACAGCTACAGTGGTGCCACCACTCCCGAGCTAGCCATATCACCCCCAACGAGGCCGAAGCAGAGATCTGTGGCGGCAGGGAAAAGACCGACCTCGTTCAAGTCGAGTTTGACGGCCTCACTTAAGGCACTGAAATCCGCGGCGCAGACGGTTTCCAGCCTTGCAACTAATCCGCCCCTCGCACAGCCTGATGAATTCCTGTCGAGGTCCATTTTCGACTTCCAGCCTGCCTTGACTGACGACCGACGGCCACCGCCATCGGACGAACCCCCCTCAGCCGCCCTGCGCCGATATCTCAATCCGAATATTTTCGTCCCGCCTGAATCTCCGGCTCAGCTACATTTCTGGGTCGAAGAGAAGAGGAACCCGTCATCCTCCGAAGCGGACACGAGACCCAAATTGAAAATAAAACGAAAGTACCAGAACAAGAAACCTACACCGGTTGCCGATGAGCAGGGCAGAATCAAGGAGCCGAGGAGCAGCACCATTCAGCTGCCTCCAGTTGTTCCGCTAGCGACGTGTATTCCGTCGAGTATCCGCACGGCCAATGCTTCTAGTCCGCCTACCTGGCTTGAACCCGACGGGACGCCGAGTAACAAACACCGGGCAGCTCAAGCCCTCTGGGACGATGAGGCATCTAAGGCAGAAGGGCAGCCTCGACCACGTGAACCACGTGAGAATAGGGACTTCCTTCGTGTCTTTGTCTGCGAAATGAATATGCGGAAGTGCGGTAAATTGAGCAACGACGCTACCGGGCGTGCCAAGTTGTGGCTGCCGCCGGTGGACGAAGCCGACAAGAGCAATGACAGGTCCGACAGGGGACTGACCAAGACACGCAGGAAATGTGGGATTGAGCGGTGGGCCACTTGGTCAATCCAGGACTTGTAAACCTAGCAGCGAGATTTTGTCATGTCCCCGGCGGTTCGCGATTTGCGACGTGCCATTTTTGTTATTCTGTTCCTTTCCTATGCTGGGTTATCTTTTCCGGCTTCGACAATGATTTCATGCAGGCAAGCGAGGCAATTTGCAAAATCCAAGCGAGAGATATGATTTCTGACGGCCCTTCGCTCCCTCCAAAGCGGCAAACATGGACCGAGCACATCGTTCTACGCGGTCTTTAAGCACGATTGTGTGGCTCGGGGGCGGATGGGGTCGAGTGTACGATTACGATTGATGACGACGAGGGGAGTTTTTCTTTTTTTTTGTTTCTTTCGGCGATGTTTATATAGACGTCCGAGAGGGCGACAAGCGGGGGTTACCTTGGACACTGTGTCAAGCGGAGGCATGAGAATTAGAGCTTGAATCGGGGGTGGGCTGATGGCCGACGGGTAGGGTCGCACCGAAGTGTGGGATATATATCTACCTACACATATGAACATACAGAGTACCTCAATCTATTCTCTGTCTGTCAATTTTGCCGTCTGCCTATCTGAGTGTAGGTATATCATGCCCGAATCATGGTGTACCACGGCCACCACCCTCCGCTTTCCGCCTTAGCCCGCGCCAACCATGACAGTATCGAAATCTCCAGTCAAGCTCTCCAGCCAGACTCATGTCACCCTTCGTTTCGTGCACAAATTCCCGCTCCCTTCTGCGGCCTCAATGCTCATCGGCAGGGTTCTTTTTCGGGGGCCAAACTCAGACTCAGTTCCGGGACAACAGGTCATGTCCCGCGGTCAGCTTGGCCGGAATGACCAGGGCAGCGCCGACCAGACACACGACGCCGCTGAAGATGGAGACCTGGGTGTAGGCGTGGTAGTTCTTGACCATGGCGCCGCCGGCAGGCGGGCCGACGAGAGTGGCGAGTGCGGCAGCCCCCAGGCCCATGCCCAAGTAGGTGCCGATGTTCCGGGGGTCTTTTGGGACGGTGGCCAAGGCGACGACCTGGCCGGAGATGATGGCTCCGGAACAGAAGCCGAAGAGCACGGTATAGAGCAGGATGGCGGCGTTGGTGTGGCAGGCCTGCCAGCAGAGAGAGAGGATGCCGGTGCTGAGGCCGGCCAGGAACAGCATGTTGAGGCGGCCGAATCGGTCGGCGAGGAAGCCTGGAATGACGCGGCCGGGCAGCGAGGCCGAGTTGAGGATGGCGACCAGGTAGAAGGCCAATTCGGAGCTCATGCCGTGCGCGATGGCGTACGAAGGCAGGAAAAACATGGGAGGGAACAATCCCATGATAAGGAAGAAGGATGATCCCACCAGGCTGGTGTAGCGCAGTTCCTTGAAAGCCCGAGGCAGGAAGAAAGACGTGTTTCGAGGTGGAAGACGGGCCTTGATGAATAGGCAGGACGGCGCGAGCAGGGCCAAGACTATGAAGCCGACGATGCGGACGGACCAGCCGAAGCCCAGGTTGGGCTTGCGCAGCAGTTGGTTCAGAGCAATGGGAAAGACGACCCCCCCAAGGGAGGACCCTGCAATCCCGATGCCCATGGCGACCCCTCGGTGCTTGTGGAAGTATTGGCCCACGGCCGCGGCGGCGGGAGCAAAGGTCATTCCCAGCGAAATGCCGCCGAAAATGCCTTGCGCTAAGAGGAAGTGCCAGTACTTTGTGCAGATGCTGGTCATCATGATCGAAAAGACATAGAGCAGTGCAGGGATCCGCATGACCTGGCGGGTTCATCAGCATGGCATTTCAAGACCGGGGTGGAACCAGGCATGTCTAACCGTTGCACCATATCGATCGAACAATGGGCCGCCAAAAAGGCTTCCGGAAAACTGGAAGAATGCTTGCAGCGATCCGATCCAAGCAATCGTAGAAGGGCTGGTCGTCTTCAGTTGATGTTCCTGGTAGTAGGTCTGATAGACGCTTGAGGCCTGTTAGCATCGACTTTTGAAACTCATTCGAGAAGACACACCCAAACGAGTTGACATATCCCAAAGTGCAAAAGAGGACGGCAGAAGTGCCAATCGCAACGGCCCAAGCGGCAGCTCCTCCATCAGGGTAGTCGGTGGGCACTTGGAGATCACCTTTTTCCGCTCCAGCGGCGTCACCGAGGCTGCTGTTAGTGGCATGGCTTGTCGGTTGCATATCATCATGTAGAGCGGACTGTTGAGAGGAAATCGGCGCCGCCATATCTACGACGGTCGTTGTGGAGGCGAAAAAAGGGCCAAGAAGCAATTGGACATTGGTCTCTCAAGATTTGAAGAAGTCGCCTTTTCAACCAGCAGCGTCCTCGGCTCATAATATAGTTCTTGAAAGGACTAGTCACAGCACCGAGTCGTGCTCGGTGATTGTTTGGATTCTTCTAATGTCCGCTGAATCAGCATTGCCCCAGACAAAGAAGCCCACAAGGCTGCGACAAGGCTGTGAGAAGACAGCGCGGCTTGTTCGGCGATTCTCGGCCTTTTGACCAACTGGGCGTATCTCCGCTTATTCAGCATCTTACCCCCGTCTATACCGCGAACCCTCATTCATGATTACCTGAATGCTTTGTTTTCTGTTGTTTGCGCTTGACTTGCTGTGTAGGCCTTTCACAAAGCACAAACTGCTCGTGCGCCCATCAAATCTCGGTTATAGGCTCTCGGCCATCGGATCCATGATCGATGAAGGGAGCCACCAGTCCATGTTTTCAAAGTCATCAAGCCCCAGCCACCCATCAGAAGTCTGAAAATTGATTAGCTACTGCTCCATCAAACACAACAGCCTGACTCACCATTATATTGCCAGTCAACGGAGCATCCACTGTGTCACCTATCCCGAGCTGTAGCTGCGTCCCGGATTTGGGCGGACGAAGCTGCGGAGATAATCCTCCTATTTGCTCTCGCAGCACTTCATAGCAGATGGTGAGGCTCTTCTGGAGAGCCGCCAAGATGCTTTCTTCGACGGGGTTCCCACTGAGGAGTGCCTCAGCTTTCGCCAGGACGGCCGAGAATACCATGTGGCCTTTGACATCGGGTTGTCCGTGTCTGATTCGAACCAGGGCGAACTGCACATAGTCTTGGATGTATTTGCAGAGTCCATTTCTTCTGTCCAGCAATGTCGCATTTTTACTGAAGGATGCGGCGTCGGTTTCAATCTGGTCAAACAGCTCCTCCGCAATGAGGCTAGTGGTTGTTAGAGGGACCGCTCGGAAGAGACCTCCCCCCCAGATTCGAAGATGGGTGTATGCATCGCCCTGGGTTTGCGAAGAGTTGGAGGAGAGGAGTAAGGCTGAGTCTAAGCAGACTTTCCTAGAGTAATAGAAGGTCCGGTATGATTTGGCCTTGAGCGCGTAAGGCCAATGCAGAGCGAGAAGAAATTGATGCGTCATCAGCTCGACCAAGTTCACCTGGAAGTCGGTAGGACCAGACGATGATTTTTTAAAGGTCTGAAGAAGGGCAGAATTGGCGCTGCATTCTTTCAAGAGCTTCTCAGAGAGTTGTATCGCCTTGTCGTATGTTCCGGACTCGGGACGGAAATTGTTGACGAAAGCTGCGATTTCCAGTCGAAGGGGCAGCGACCTCACCAGCATTATTTGTAAAGAAGACTGTGTGAACTGATCGTGGGGTTTCACGGTGGAAAGAAACCCGTCGAGATCTTTCTGCTCCATGTCATCAGCGTTCAAAGGGGGCTTGCAATCATAGTCGTTGGCACTGATCATTGGGAGGCCGCCAGAGTCCATGCTAGTCTGAACAACTATTTCGAGCACTGTGGCCCAGAGCTTCCTTCTGTGCTGAATGTCCTGAGGGCATGGCTTTTGGAAGGTATATGACTCTGCATCGATGTGAAGGCCGATATGCATGGCAGCCCGAACAAGATATCCGGCGCTCAGCCAAAGCATATCCCCATCGACATCATATGCTAACCTTGCTAGAAGCAGAAGACATTGGATTTGCATTCCTTCAACAGTCAGGCACTGCTTGTCAAAGGGAGTGCTGAGCCAGGTCTGAGCAACATAGATCCACTGTAAAGCAGATGGCCGGAGTGTCGCCACCTCGGCCTGAGGCTGGAAGATTGTGCCAATAGCCATGACAAGCAACAGCTTTGTAACTAACGTATTGCTGGCGATCTTGGGATCAAGCCAATACCCTTCGTATTCTGATAAAAAGCTGGGGACGTGTAGAACTGGATATATGCACTCGAAGGTCTCCAAGTACGAATGTACGAGTTTGTCGGCCACCTCACGACCCGGAATGTAATCACTCAGGTCAGGAGCAACTTGTGGAAGTATCTTCTCGTCTGCCTTGATCGCCCGGCCGGCGGTCTTACATTTCTGGTGAAGATGGTGGATCTCCGAGATTGAATCAGCATCTTGTTGATAGCAAAGCTCAAAAATAACTTGAATTGAGGGGGAAATGCAACAATTCATCCAATGGCTCTGACCAAAGTACCGGCTCTTTGAAAAGACACCCTTCATAGGTCCACGAGAGCCACACGCAATGTTCATCGCCTCAGGTTGAAAACCTGCGGCTCCGGTGGGCCTCTGATCTTGTTCTGGGACTGTTTCAACAAGCTGTTGGGTTGTCTGCGTCGTTTCCGTGTTGGTCGGAGAGTTATCAACTGTATGGGATACCTGAGACCGAGAGTCTCGACGATCCGGAGAAGTTCCATGCTGGCTGAAGACAGCGGTTAGGTATTTGATACCAGAAGCCTTTGGACTTGCAGTGTAAGTGCATCCTATTCTAGACAGGGCGCAATGCTCGCAAGGCTGAGATCGGTCGCATCTACAAGATTGAGTCAGTCTCACGCCGGATGTGTGGAGGAGGAGGAGTTGAGCTGTTACTTACTTGATCTTCCGCTGACGGCATGACTCACACGACAGCGCTGGCCTCCTCCTCTTCCGTACTGCTGCATTGGACGCCATAGAAGTGGTCCGGCATAGAGTCAATTGTTGCGTCAAACGCCGGGGGGACGTTCAACAGTAACAGTAATGGAATGACCTGGATGGATAAGTCACAAACGGTCATAGTGCTGTCACTACAGTTCCTGGTTCCTTTGTTCCTTTGCCTAGGCCTTCCCTTGTCCGCCACTGCCGGAGAGGTGAAGTGCTGCGACATCCCTGTACTGTATCTCAACGGTCTTGGCATGCTCCCGAAGTTGCTTAGTAAGTAGCTTCATTCGGGCACGTGGTGGCACGTGCCGGTATACCTGTCTGCCATTTCAGACTACAATGATCGACCGTGGTGAGTCTGCGTACATTTTGTTAGTACTGGTCGACCGTACTATATCTCTTGGCAGGCATTTGATGATATTATATCACCGGACCATCTGTTACCGATCAAGATGTATGTTTTTATAAAGTTCTCTCTGAACGCGACCGGGTGATCCTTTGTATTGTAATCACCACAATGGACACAGAAGCTTTAGAGCTTTTCAAACACAAGATGGATGCACTACACGGTGAGAGTTGTACTTCTCGTTCCCTGGTTCGACCCTCTCAGCAAGGCACTACTCCTCCCTTTTCCCTAGAACGTGATGAGATCGGCGACATCATGCGTGAACTCGAGAATCGTCGCGCTGGACGAGTGGTCGCGCCTCAGCCTTGGCTGAAATTTCCCTTATCCCCAAGTGCCTTCCCAATCCTTCGGCAGAAGTTGAGCGGCAACTATTATTACTCGAAACAACGGTATAGTGAATATTCAGCTCTAAAACTAGCTCGGTTTTCGCTGACATCTGCGAATTATAGCTATGACTATTTTGGCTCGACCTCGAAATTCGTCCTAAGGAAGCCATCTCCTACTCACGGGACGTCTGCCGTCGGGGTTCTTCTTAACATCGAGCGCGAGCTCGACACGTTCCGCTCAGGAGATCTCGAAGTTGCCTCAAAATTTGCGCGAGAGATCGAACTCAGACTTAGTACTGATGTCGAATCCAATCTCGAAATGCTTCCTAGCAGCCACTCTCCTGATATATCATGGGGTCATCTCGACCATTCTTCCGGGTTCCCCGGTCTTATCGTCGAAATAGCATATTCACAAAAGCGCAAGGCGTTGAAAGATCTCGCATACGAGTACTTTTGTACCTCGCTAGGGAAAACCCGGATTATGATCGGTGTCGATATCGAATCCTCGGGAAAGAGCCGTAAGGCGACCTTGTTGATGTGGAAATCCTGGCTTGAGCACGATGCGACTGGAGCGCAAGTGAAATACGACTTGTGCGCAGAATCAGTAAGCGCGACCATATACCTTGATGTTGTGGTTCACCGACTGACACTGCTTAGGTATTTCGTAACGACGATGGCAGCCCTAATCTTGACTCCGGGATCGAGTTTAGTCTCCAAGAGATCGCCCCCGATGCCCCGTTCTCCGAGCAGGTCGCAAATTGCAAAGTCCGAATTGACGGCGCGAAACTCTACGAGCGCTTGTGTAATGCCGAGGAATTGGAAAAGGCCTGGAAGACAGAGGCGAAAGAGGCGAAAGAGGCACAAGAACGTCCAGAGTCTGCAATTAGGCTTCCGCAACATCTGGATCGGAGTCCTGAAGAGATGATGGAGAAGTATCCGGGTCTGGGGGTCAGATCTGTGCCATGATCCTGACTATCTGGCTGCTTGATCGATCTGCGGGCCTGTCGCCAGTCTAGCAGACAGACTTGATGACTAGGACGAAGCATGACATGGCGCATGAATGGCCTTGATTGATGGAGGCAGTCATGACCCTTGGAGATGGCAGTCAATCACAATGATGAGGATGACGATGACGATGACGATGACGGTGGCAATGATTCATGGCTTGATACCCTGGCCAGGATGGCCTATGCTGGAAGGCATTGAGGCAATGATAGACATGCTCGACTGAATGCAAAAAGTTTTTCTACTGATGGTGCTGAGAGTAATTCAATGGGGATGATTCTATCCAATCCATCCAATCACGGGTGGGTGGCACTCCGCCAATCAGGATGCCGGAATTGCGGCTCAGATGAGTGAATACTGTGATAATGGCATGTTCTTCGACCACCATTCCAGCTCTACCAGATGAATATCCTACTAATATGAGAGGATGGAATCTATATAGAGAGTAGCATTACCAGCCATGATTGTATAAATTATCTAGTACGGATATCGTTGTCGAGGATGGGAAGAAAAGGCTGTATATTCTACCTAAATCCGGGAGGGGTACGCAGTGAATTCTGACACCCACTATTAATATTACTAGGTCGTACCTGCTAGGAAGGCTGAACGCAGAGGAGAAGGTCAGCAGGGTACAGGTAAAGTAGTATTGGCGAGAGGATAGGGATATTCGATCTCGAAGCCTCTACTCTCTTCGACGCAAAAAATACCAGTCAAATCTGTCCGACTGGGGCTCATCTAGCAACATACGCCTCCTCGTCCACTCGCGTGCCCTCACGCCAGCACGCCTGCACCCACTCGACGCTCACGATATGTGGGATCCTCCGACTCTTCCAGCGTGCAACGGTCTTTCTGAGACCTGGCAGGTCTGATGTGGCGTGTGCGATTATGTGCGTGATTGTCTGTCTCTCCTTTTCGGGGAGTGCGGACAGCGAGGCTGAAGCAGGCCCAGATTTGGGAGGCAGGAGCACCTTTGCGCCGGCGAAGAGAGCCATGTTGCGGGTCGTTATGTCCGTGCTGTCAGTAGTATTTGGTGCCTCGTTCGAGTCTATCCCCGATACCGCGTCTGATCCATTCTGCTCCAACCCGGGCTGGTCGAAGAAGAATACCAGTCCATGAAACATATACCCCTTCATGTCGAGATAGTCTGGGAAAAGCTCTGCAAATCTGTCCTCGTCGTAACCTTGGTCATCATGAATATCGACCATTCTATCCATGCACTTGCTCAATTCGTCCACGCTGGTGTCCCTGGCATAACTGTCCCCATACTCATCTACATTATCGGCAAATCTGTCCCTCATATCTTCTGGTACAAAGAACAAGTGCCGATCCGGCTCCCAGGGGAGGACCATCTCCGGATATCCCCTGACAAAGTCCTTGTGGGCTTGGTCGATGCAGTCAAAAATCCAGAGCGGCTTCACAATCTCCTTTTCTCCACGCTTCTCGAGACTCGCCACTTTGACGGTCCGTCGGGCAGCGACGCAAATGGTGTCTGCGACCGCCGTATGCGTCTGGACAATCTTGCCGCCGTTGGCTTTGACCAGCGCCTCAAGTTCGAGCTTCGATTTCTTCGGCGCTGGCGATGTCGACTCGGTCATAATATAGAATGTCAGACCTTCAAAGACATTGCCTCGGGGACCGTCGGGTAGAGAAGCATTATTGATAGCTTTGGCGTTGTATCCGGCGACGGTGATGATTTTCTTGCGGGGTGGGGGCTTTCGCTGTTTCTTCTTCGCATCGTCCACTTCCATGGCTTTCTCTTGTGCCTTCTCGATATTGTCACGCAGGTCCATGAATTCTTCCAATGACAGAGCAGTCCGCCAGTCCTTATCCCTTCGAAGTCGTTTGAAACGTGGGAAGCGTAAAGTCATACCACAGCCATAGTCGTCACTCGCCGTCACTTGGGCTGCCTTGACTTCGACCACTAAAGAGTCTTGAGCTTTGATCCAGACATCGGGCTTCTCTTTCTGGATATTGTTTCCACCACCAAGATCGACATGCTGCGTCGGAGGCCGTTTCGGGTCCCAGTCGATCCATTTTCCATCGGTTTGGTGGCGAATGGTAGCATAGTCGTTGGCGGTCATGCCACCGCCGACCTTGAAAAAAGAGACGAACTTCGGTGACGGTTCCTCGCTGTCAGGCTCAGCCTGGCTGCGTGTGGGGGGTTGGCTCTGGCTCTGGCTCTGACCCTGACCTTTGTAGTTGGCTGGGGCGCGCAGGCCGCAAAGGAAACTTGACAAGTTCCCTCCTCGCCGGCCAGTGCCGTAAAAGGCACCTATGATCAGGCAATCAAACGACTCACCGTAGCCGGTCATGTACTCGGGCTTCACCTTTTGCCAATCACCATTACGGTCATCGAGACGGTATGCAGACCGGGGGCTTTTGAGCATCAACCCTTCCGATGCCTGGGCAATAACCTCGCGGAGGCAATTCTCCACGTCCTCCACCGTTCTTCCGACCTTGTATTCATGGAGTTCGAACCGCCGAGGGACCGATTTGATGCTAGCTTCCAAGGCCCTCCGGCGGTCTCTGAGCGTATACCGAGTCAGATTTTGATCGTTCAGGAGAAGAATGTCGAAAACGCGGAAGAGTGGTCTCTGCCCATTCGCGAACGGATTGCGTTGTTCCGCAAGAGCTGCCGTTTTCAAGCTCCCGAACGCCACGGGGGCATCCTGTTCGGGATCCCACGTAATCATTTCGCCATCCAGAATGATGTTTTCGATGTCCGGTCTGAAAGCGTCTTTGATGAACTGGGTAAGAGCTCCGTTCTTGTCGTAGAACTTACTGCCGTAAAGATACGTATAGTCCTTGGCCTTTCGAGACCAGAATTGAAAGCGTCTCTTTCCTGGTACGGATTCGTCGGTTTTCATGTGCAACTGCATACGCTCACCGTCCAGTTTCTCCTCGATCCAAAATTCGTCATCCTCTTCGGTCGGCCGCAGTCGCTGGACTATTTTTTGGAGTGATTCGTTGTTATGCTGGGCGAGCTGCGGCTGGAAGCACTGCATCAGTGTGACGCTCGTCTCGTCACCTTCGAGACGTATGCTTGGATCATACAGTTCCCAGCAGACTCGACGAAGGTTGCTGGAGACATTGAATAGGGTTTCGGCGTCTGGATGGAAGATGTGGAACAAGGTTCTCTCCGTCGCACCCACCTTCATTTGTCGCAAGACGATCCGTATCAGCCACATAAGCTCTTCCGCGTTCATGCGTTTGTAGAACTCTGTTAGGATGGGTAACTGATGTTCTTCCCTAGGTGCCGCGGACAATTTGTCCAAAAGCTCATTGACCTCTTCAATCTTCATATCCCCCGGTTGGACTCTCATGGGTCGTTTCGAAATTACCTCGTGACATCGTCCAGCAAAATCTCCAGCAGATTTGCCTTGGCCGGGGATTTTCCAGTGGAGGAGGTTGAAGCCATCCTCAGAATTCTTGTCAATCTTCAAGATTTTCACCAGGAGATTGCCTAGGATTTTCTCCTTCAAGCCGTAGACCCCGCGTTCTCGATCCTTGTCTGGAATGATGAGACGGAATGCAGGGTAGAAGTCGTTTCCCACATCTCTCCGCCATCGAGCGATGTAGCGCTCGATGATTGCTCGACGCCTCTCGGATGGCGAGGTCTTGGTCCGAGCATCTGGACCGAGTTTTCTTCGGTTGACCGCGGTGCCCACCGGCTTGTTTGTTCTGTTCTCAATCAGAGGATTGAACAGGTCTTGAAAGAGTGTGTGAAAGGGAAGAGTTGGAGAATGGTTTCTGGGCCGATTAGGGTATTCTTCGTCCAGCTGCCGTTCTGTCTCTGCGGGATCATATGGATCTCCATGTGCGGAGGCGGCGTCGATATCTTCATCATCAGACATGTTGACGGGGGTGAGCCAAGCGAGTGGTAGATTTGCATTAGCAAGGACGACTTCATGGCCTCTCGTGGTGAAGCTCCCTGTTTGGAAAGCCCAGGACCGATATGATCTCCCGGTTGCGGTGGTGAAGAGGTGCGGTGCACTGGTACGTGTCCACCAAGGTACTTTACGTCACGCTCACACTTTACTCCTACCTACCTAAGTACACGTGCCCCGCAATGGTCAACGCGCGATCATGTGACACCACCTTATCCAGACCTAAAGCGCAGTAGATGTCTGTACTCTTGACTTCGTAGTTTCGGATGACTGCGGCGCCTCAAGCTTCCCCTTTCAGGCTGACATCTGCAACTCTCCACTTCTCCTCCTGTGTAACACTTCATGATCATTCGTTTCCTCCATGCGTTAAACTTCCCGACGGTAATGGAAGCTGCTGTTTTGTTTCAACACCCTTACTAAACGCACCACATCTCATCACACTCGTTTCTGTCTGCTTTCGATGCTTGCGCATCCCACTCTGGCGCATGGTCCCATGGATTGATGAGTGAGAAGCAGGCACGGCGTCCACCTGTGGCGCCCAAGCCCTGGTTCATCCACCAAGATGCTGCTACGGTGAAGATCTCCCCGCTACCTTCACCCGCTCTGCAGGGGGCTACCACAGCTTTTGGTCCTGGTCCGGTCAAAGTCTCTAATGCTGCGTCTTCACATAATCCGTCCGCAGGAGCATTGCTTGCCGCAACCGCCGCGGCCAGCAGGAGGTCGCAGTCGCAATCGCAGCCGCAGCCGCAACATCAAGGCCAGGCTGCTCAGAAAAATGGCCCGTCCTCCCAAGATGCGTCTTCGCCTTCTCGAGGTCGCCAACCGGCCGTCAGAAGTGTGCGCCCTGCCGCAGCGATTCGGTCCTCTGCGTCCCCTCCGAAGCCCAGTTTCCCGCCATATCTTCCTCAATCTACCTCTACCGTTGCGGCAGTGGCCGCTTCTACCGCCACAAGTCCTGTTAGACCAGAAACAAAAGAAGAGTCGACTTCCTCATATCTCTCTAAGCCAGAGCCTCCTGAAAGACTCCGCCAGCGGTCGATAAGCACCAGCAGCACGTATAGCGATGCAGGGCTCTCTCTCCAGAAAAGCCCAGAGGCTCTTGCTGGGGCTATTGCCTCGATGACAATTGCTCCAGCCCAGGTTCGAGGCAGAGTTGATGAGAGCCAAAGGAACGACCTGAACGCTATCTCACATCGGCTCCTCTCGGCGTCGCAGCCCTCCACCGGGTCCAGTCCGTCTCCGTCTCCATCTGGAACAGCTGCTGCTGCCCTGGCCACCAGGAACGCTGCTAACGCAGAGGCGAGGCGACGAGCGCAGTCTGGGTCCAGCGAGAGTGTGACGAATCAGGCATACCCAGCAAACTTTGGCTTCACTGCACCCACGACAACAGGCCCAAGTTGGCCACAGATTAGATTGACGCCTCCAGAGACCGATTCGGAAACGGATTCTCTGCGTGCTGTTGAACCTCCTGAGGCTGCTTCAGAAACCCCCCGAAAACCACTTCCGGCACCGACACCGTTGAAACCCGCCCGTGCGGCAATTGTTGCTCAAGACAATGCTAACCCCCGTGACCTGGAATCTCCCGTCCTGGATGCTCGTACCAAAATGACGGCAAGCTCGCTTGCTGATGCCATGGTCGCATCCTCCTTGGCATCAAAACATTCAGCCTCCCGCGTGGCATCTCCGGCATCCAAGCCACCACCTCCTCCTCCTCCTAAGTCCCGCCGACGATCGAGGTCGGCGACTTTATTTGAAGGTGGAAAACAACACCTACCTTTCCTCGGGCGTGGTAGTGAGACAACACCGCCAACTCCAAAACCAAAACCGCGCATTCAACGGCCTATGAGGCAGACAATGCGGAGTCAATCGCCCAATCACCACGAGAAAGAGGATGAACACTCCAAGCGCGGTCGGCGGCACTGGAGACGGCATCCCAACATGCACCATGAAGGCGACCGCAAGCGATGGCGAGACCGAGTCACAGAACGTGAGCGGAAACGGTACGAAGGGGTGTGGGCAGCAAACAGAGGCCTTCTGAATGATATCGACCTTGCCATTCTCGAACCGGAGCCGGAACAACCGGAGCAGGTCGCCACCAAGAACGCCGGCCCTCCCGGGGATTTGGTGGCCAATGTTGTGGTGCGGGATATCTGGGAGCGCAGCCGCCTGCCCAAAGATGTACTAGAAGAAGTCTGGGACCTGGTGGCACGGCCGGGTGCAAAGGCCTTGAACCGTGAGGAGTTTGTGGTCGGACTATGGTTGATTGATCAGAGACTCAAGGGCAGGAAGTTGCCGATCAGGGTCTCCCCGAGCGTCTGGCAAAGTGTGAGGCATCCGCAAGGCGTGAAGATTCGTAATAAGCGGCGGTAGAGATTGAATTTTACTAGGTAGGTAGAGTAGAGTAATACAGCGGACGCAGCCAGCTGCTATAGCAATAGGCAAATATAGAGTAATACTGTTCGAGTACCTATCGATCAAGGCACTACAAACAGAGAATGCCTCGGTATCTGTACAGATTACAATAATGGCAAGGTACTCAGTTGGGGAAGTGAGACAACATATATGTAGTGTAGTACGGAGTACCTGACTCTGTACTCTGTAGTAGCATACCTTATCCTACTGAGCGAAGCGAAGTACCTAAGTATATACTGTGACCTTGGGTACATAGAAGTAAGGTAGTATATACTGTGACCTTAGGTACATAGGTAGGTAGAGGTCAGAGTCTGGCATCATGCTACTCACCCACCCATCGGTACATGTACATGTACATGTACCTACTAAACTCGCCATAGAGACAGAGTACTCCGTACCACCAGTACGGATACTACTCAGATAGGTAACTAGGTAAGGTACCTAGCACCTAGGTGCCTAGTATCTATATAGTACTCCGTGACTCTGGTGACTCTGGTGACTCTGTATCCGTAGATGATATCATCGTGGTAAATGAGTACTGTATTAGGGGTTAAGCACCTGGGGGTGCCGGTGGCGGTCAACTTGTCGGGGTTGATATCCGAGGCCTAGGGCTCCTGAGGTCATGGTTCCACCACAACAGAGTGTTCTGTTCCTTGAATGAACGACGAATGTGGATCGGTCGGAAAGAAGAGCCGGCACGGATTTGGAGTCCCGATATTTCACTGTGCGGTGAAATACACACAAGAGACAACGGACGACAGAGCAAGGTACGTAGTCAAAGGTCTACGATCAACGTTCAGAGCTATGTACGGGGTACGGAGTACTGGAGTAGCAGACCTTGCCACAGAGGGACAGAGGCTCAAATCAACTGTGCAAGTTCAATGCTGCGTATCAACAACGCCGAACCATATCCAGCCCCGGGGTATCAAGTTTCGTAGGCTCATCAACTAATATTACAAGTGGTATGTTCGTTCCACTTCGCTGTCCTTCCCACCATCCGTGCGTCTTTCGCATTCCACATTCAACCGACGCATTAGCCCTTCTTCGTCGCGGCGAATATATCGGCTATATGCTGGATAGATATGCCCGCTCCTCGAACAGTTTAGCTTGGGGAATGTTTCGGAAAGATGAGTCACGCGCTCTCTTCCTTGCTTTGACGTCCGCTGGGGCCTTGGTACACAGTAGGCGGTGTACGAATAGTCAGCAAGCCAGGTTTTAGGCCTCGAGATTCCAAGTCTCGCTTGGACGCGCGGCGAACGGCTTGTCACCGGTGCGTTATCCCAAGTGGGCCTTTGAGCGTGGGGTAGCAAGAGGTCGGCAAGACTGCGGACCTATCACTTTCCAGTGCCGGCGCTCAAAGGGCCGATTGCAGCTGAGAGTCCAGATTTGGGATCCTTCCTTGGTTTGTTGTTACAGAATCGTCAGATTTCGTCGCGACTTCGTAACGTCGTATCAGTAATGTTGGTGGGCTGCTAAAGAGAATGTCCGCTAGAAACGGTGCGTTCTTCAATCGTCCGCATCCACCTCGATAATGGTCTCCTTCACCAGGATCGGCCGATTTTGTTTCCAGTTCTGAGTTTTGATTTCATACTCATACAGCGAAGTGGCTGGTGGAGGTGGGGGAGGTCGTCGCTGGGGACTTGGGATAGTTGACTTTTTGGGGGGTTCAACCTTTCGGTCGACGGGGGTTTGGTTGTTGTGGACGTTGCTATCGGTCTCACACTGCTGGAATTGGTCATTGTCGTCGAGGTCGTCGTCATATATGGCCACTTGGCCTATAGTATCGGCGTGTTCTGAGTCTTCGTCCGAGGCCGGGTCTTCGAAAGGGTCAGAATCGGTATCTGAATCGGAGTCGACCAGGACTGTTTCCGAAAGTTCGGCGGTTTCACGAGACCAGCGACGGACATTGTCGACAATGGAGGCGTGGCCGACGATGCGGTGTAGGTCGGGTGTTTGACGGCGGCACTCGTTGTCAAGTTTGATCTGAGAGAGGTGGTAGACTTTGTAGGCCGTGAGGGCCGGGTTGGTGGAGGGTGGTGACATGGTTGAGGTCAACGTCGAAAGGGAGGAGGGAGACGGGAGTGAGGTCGGTAACTCTGGCTGACAGTGTCACTCAATGATGATCGGGAGGATGAAGACCGGGGGCCAGCTAGCAATATATGTTTGCCGTCGCAGGCAGAGTCCAAACTGCGGAGCCGAACATGCAGCTTATAGAGATGCAGGAGGATTTGTGGGCAGGAAGTCTGACTGCAGTAGTGCTCTGTACAATGTATGTTTACCTAGGTATGGTAGTAGCAGTAACACCTAAGTACCACAATCAAGACTTTGCGATACTCGTACCCGCTGTTGGTCGATCGGAAGTGACGGGTGCGCGTCAGCTGCCAGTGGGCCGGGGAAAAAGTGGTGAGGTAAGTGTGTGGCTGGAGCAGGTTGGTTGTTGTCAATGCACCGCATGACAACCAAAAACCGGCGGCTGACAAGCCTTCTCTCACACAGATCCCGGCATCCGGTATCCGGCTGCCAGGATCAAGCAGAACTGGAACTTTTTTCCACGGTCAGTGCGGCGGGGCGCACGCATGAGCGAATTGATCTGGAATCAACCACGATGTATTCCTGGTTCCGACGAGTTCCCGTTCTAGTCCTCTCTCGAAGAAGGCCGAATCCACGGTCTCAGACGTAACTGTACTAAAACTGTATACTGTATGTATTACGCTGAGATCAACGCCTTATTCAAGATATTCAGGGCAGACGGGCGATCGACACCAACTCCCCAGTAACGTGACTGCACACCTGGAATCCATACCCTGACGTCAAGGGCGTACTATTAGTAGTACGTACCCAATTAAGCAGTACTGGTTTCTGGTCTCAGCTTGGAAGTCCTCGGCAATGTTGCCCACATACTACTAGACTCGAGACTCTAGACTCAGGTCTGTCCCGTAAGCAACGTCAGTAAGGTGGTATTTGCCATTTGGTGACGATGAGAGGAGATCTAAGATCTACCCTCTACCATCCCATCCTTTGTTACATGCCCTGCTTTCGTTTACCCGATTCTACATCGCTCGCGCCTTAGCCCTCCGAGTGAAGTGCAACTGCTTTTATGAGAAGACTTTCAACCATGGGATGGGCACCAGTCAGTGCTCGGCTACGGCTAAACCATCCCGCTACATCGCACCGCAACAAATGTCCCCAACTTGGTCCAGATCTTGCCCTGACTAACTTGTCTAACCAGTATTCGCCTAGAAGCCCATGATGGCCCACAGCTCAGACCACCCCTGTCTTCCTGTCCCTTCCATTCCCCTGATTATCGATCGGTCAGAAGCACGGTCTCAATCAGCAGCCCAGAGGGAGAGTCTCGAGGACGTCGACGCAAAAGGCTGCATTCGGTCCGCAGTTCGATTACACGATTACCAGTACTAGTATCCGAAACATGGTGACTACGGAGTACAATAATCATGACTACACAAAGAGTTGGCTCACTCATGGTTCCCCCAGATGGGTAGGCCCACAATATCCAGTAATCAGCTTGCAGTCCTGATCCAGCACTTCACGAAGTCCTCAACACCAAATAGCAATAGCAATAGCATTATAAACCAGCAGTATAGTCCCAACACCGGGGAACAGGGTATCCAGAATCAACGCCGTCCGCTAGAAAGGCTCTCCTCCTGCGTCTGAAGTCCGATGTCCAATCTCAAGGATCGTGGGCAACTATCGGCACCATCATGTTGGCACGATGGCATACCTCCGTGTGGTTTGAGAATGGATATGGATTTTGACTTCTTTCATGTCGCATTTTCATGCATCATAATCCTGGTTGTTTGCTTATTGAGCATTGCCCCAGCAGTTTTGAGTTACTGATACATCACATCATCAAAGCTCATGTTATTCCGAGCTTGCATCGACTCTTTCAATCGGCCGTTGCGCGGACCTCCACCCTCCACCCCCATCTCCAAACCCGTGCCAGTGGGTATGCCCATCCCTTCGCTTAAGCCGTTACTGCTCGGCCCAACAAAGGTGCTTGTCAAATATTCGCCGTAGCTGGGTCCCCAGGGTCCATTGTTGGTCATGCCGGGTTCGTACGCAGAATACTGCGACTTCTCACCGCCGCCCAAAAAACTGGGCGAGTTCCCATTGGTGTCGGGACGGCTGCCGGTGTTGGAGCTGTCCATGCCGCCTGCGCTGTCACCGTCCAGAAAAGAGAAGCTCAGGGAACCCCAGTCCTGATGGGGGTCGCCGTCGCCCCAGTTTTCAAAGCCCATGGCCAGCTGGTTCTGGTCTTTGAAGAACCAGTCCTGCGTCTCCTCGACCAGGCTATCAACGCCGCCGAACAGTTGTCCTGCGGTCTGCATATCAGTCTGGCCTATGGTACCTGGAGCTGCCCCAGCCGGCCTGCTCGCCATACGCGTCCGGTGTGCGTTCCACGCATCTTGCTGCGCTTGGGTCATGTACGTTGATCTCGACGGCTGCACCCGATGTACGCTGTGATTCAAATCCGCCGCGGCGTTGGGAAGCAGCGACGTGTTGCCGGACGACGACCGCGTGTCGACTGTCTCCGGCGGCGAAGGCACCGTCGCTGCAGACAGGCCGGCTGATACGACCGGAATGTTCATCGATGGTTGCTGTAGCGACTGCTGCTGGAAATTTTGACCTATTAGATGCGGCACCGGCTGCGACCTGATTTGCTTGGCCATGGTTGCGAGAGACTGTGGCGAGATAGGCGAGGGAGCACTTTCGGTGAGCCCCCATTTGCCTTTGGCCCGCGTAAACACCGTTTCTGCTTCTTCGGGCACTTCTATCTTCCATCGGTCGGCGCACAGTCGCAACACTCTGAGAGTACGTCGCGCCGCTGTCCAACAATCCCCCATCTCCTCGAGATGTTTGACGCCGTGGATAATGTCGCGTCGCGCATTCTTGTCGGGCAGGTTCAAAAGATGGATCGTGCACGCCGAGTGAGTAATATAGATGGCGATGTTGCATATTTGACGCAGCCCGTGTGTTCGTTTATATAGCCGTAATAGTTTTGACACGGCGGCAGCGCCTTGGGTGCAGTACTTTCGCGGCGAGATGTGCGCGGGAAGAGGCGACGTCGTTCGGGTATACCTCAAAAAAGGCCGATACAGATGGATATACAAGAGCTGGTAAAACATGCTATAGCGTGTCAGATCAGAACACGGAGACCATCTCCCAGGGTTGCCAGCTTACTGCATCAACAAGACTTGCGGCAACTGGCCATCCCGTGGCTCCAGCTCCGGCGGCAGTACTTGCTTCCAGGCTTCGAGCCTGGTGTGCAAGTCACTCAGTCGTTTGAGTTCGGCCTGTTTCGTTGGGGGCTTGTCAAGGTGTTGTGGGTTATAGAAAGATGCTAACAAGTCACCAGAGATCTCGGCAAGCTTGGACAACTGTAACGCAACCGCTCTCGTTCGGGCAGGTTGGGCATGTGTTTGAAGGAGCCCAGAATCTGTATACGGCGACCATACTGCGCTCTCTTCGGACGGGAAGACATCCGGCTTTTTGACGGTGATGGTAGGCAGCTGCAGCTGAGGTTGTCTGCCTAGATAGTTCGACCAGCACCTGAACTCATTAGCCAAGGCAGACTTTGCGAACGGGCGAAATATACTTGTCGAAGAGAAAACAACCCCAGAATGTGATCCGTCTCGCGTCGACATCCTCGTCAGCCAACCGAGACGACTGGTTAATCGGAGCGACATCGACGTTCAACCCCAAATCACAAGCCATGCGGAAGCTCATGCCGCTGTACACCCAACCTTTGCTTTCACGGCCACAGCCTGCTTCTCTGACCGACATCAAGGCGAGAGCCTGGACAGTGCAAAGTTTCGCATTGGCGAACTCGTCGTCCTCGTAAAGGAGCCGCTTTACTTCCGCGAAGAAGTGGTCGCCAGTAGTGGCGGAATCTTCAGGGTCCGCCCTGGCCTCCGGCCGGTTGGAAAAGTGACAACCGAGAGCAAGCATGACATTGACCAGGAGAGGAGAGCAATACTGCGATGACTTCCCTGTCAAGAAGTCGCGGTAGAAGAGTTCCTTGGAGAGCGTGGTGAAGAAAGCATAATGCCAGCAAAAATACATGTTGATGAAATGCAGCATCAGGTCCGTGTCCTGGGTCACTGCTGTCCAAGACAGGATGGCTTCTTCTCGAGGCCGCACCACGTGCTGCTGCTGGGCCATCAGACTTGTAGAGCCGCTCTGTTCATACTCTTCGGGGAACCATATCAAATTGGAGGTGCCTCCGATGAATTTGACCGATCCGTCAAGCATCAAGTCGCCCATCTTCCCGGAGAGCTCGGCCTCGAACTTGGGAACGGTGGAACCATCAGTGTAGGTCGGGGAATCGGGCGGATCCTCGAGTAGGCCCCTCTCCTCGGCCTCGATATTGACGGCCAGTTCTTCGAGGCTGTCACATGTTCGCATCTGCCGCACCAAGTCCATCACATCCTCCTCCTCTGCATTGAGGATAGCCTGAACTAGGGTTTGGAGGGTGGCATTCTTGGTCTTGGAACTGTCGACATCTTTCCTATACACGCCTTTCCGGCGGTGATCCGTATGGGGCGCATACTCACACTCGGTCAGATAGACCGATGCGCAAGCAGCACACTTGGGCAGATTGCCATCGCACTTGGATTTGCGTTTTCGACACGCTATGCACGCAGTACTTACGCATCGCCGCTTGCTGGATGCGCCATCGTCTTTGTTCTTGCTCTTATTCTTGCCCTTGGTCGAGCCCGGAGCTCCATTCTCGGCGACTTCGAGCGATTCTTGTCTCGTGGGAGTCTGCTGTGCCAGCGGCTCCGACTTGATCTCGTGCTCCATCGCGGTATACGACGACAGGTACGCTGCGTGTGGCTTGGACTCTTATCGCACTCGGCTCATCAGGGCATGGAGGTTGGCCGCAGAAGCCCAGCGTAAGACCATTGATCCAAGGAAAGGGTGCAACTGGAGCATGGCACAACGGTCGCTTCAGAATTGCAGCGCAAGCGGATTCGGGAGCGTCTGTACCCAGAGTCGAGGCACTGCGGCTATCTGTTCGGACGTGAGAGATGCGGCGGTGGAGTTCGGCGGCGGGGCAGGAGGAAGACAGCAGGGTCGCAAGATGTAGAGGGTAGAGTGGTCGCAGTATCACGATCACGGTGACGACGCTGGGTTCCCCAACAGGATGAGTCACTGGCAAGCATTTCAAAGCCTGGACTTCTCGACAGTAACATACCGAGTGTCTGCGGGAGGCTCTGACGAGCGATAGATAAGTCCTAGAATTTCCTTCGGCCTTAGCCCCCAACAGCCGCGGTATCTGATGACTAACCAAATGCATGGGCCATACTCACCATACTACTAGTAGTCATCTATAGGTGCCAGGGATGACATTCGGAAATGGCGCCATTCGATTCGCAGCAATAATGTTATGTGTCTGCTGCAGACCACTGACAGCCTGGGGCGTTGTCCGCATCTCTAAGTCCGGACGTGTATCCGCACTCCGTATAGGTAGTGTCCACAAGAGACTTGCAAATCTCTGTTATGAGCTCAGAAACATGGATGGGTACGGGAGTGAAACACGGTGAAAGGAAATGGTAATAACGGCCGAGAAGAGAAACAACACGGTCTGGTGTGGCGCAATTTGGTGTTGGAAACAACTACTGGATCTCTGTTTCTCAAAGCAAGATATTTCCCGTTGTCTGTGCGAGAACAAAATCGCATGTATCGCCTGCTCACGCAAGGCCCTCTCAATCAGCCAGAATTCCATCATCATCCATGATTGTACAGATCTTGAGATCTCTGTGTACGTTGTGTCGACCAAATTTGGTGTAACACTCTTTTGGACCACCTCTGGCGGGATTGTATCGTCTCGCCATCAAGAGAGTCCTAGCAATGCCTTGCTATTCTCGTAAACCACGTAGCTGATGCTCACAGCCGGTGCGACCTTCAGAAGATTTGGTGTCACCCCCTTGAATAGTCCCCTGAGACCTTCTCCTTGCACGGTCTTCACAGTGACATCCCAGATGCTGGTGTAGGTTGGTGGGTGCAGAACAGTCCCTTGAGCTTGCAATCTCGTTCGGAGTAGATTGATCGGATACACTGCCGTGGCACTGATCGCTCCTGATGTCGCTCCGATGATTCCTGTGACGAAGTTGCTCATCTCAACGTCGTCTTCATGGCATCGAGCCTTCTTTGCCTTGCGGGCCAGAACAAAACGTTTGCAGTTTTCGAAAATAAACAGGTCGATTGCACTGTACGGGAACATTCCTGCAAGGCCCATGCCTAGCCCACGGTAGTAAGGCTTCAGTCGTCCTTGTCTCCACATCTTCCGCGCAGTTTGAATGATGAGGGCATTACCGTGAAGGCCGCCGGCGACAGTCTCGCATTGCATTCGACTGCACGACATTTCCGGTTAGTAACGGCAACAAAAGAGAATGGTAGAATGGTAAGATGGTAGATCGATAGGATGGGTTCACTCACAATTTAAGGGTGTCAAGTGGATAAACCACGCATTGAGAGATGACACCTCCAAAGCCGCCGGCGAGGAACTGTGAAGTCGGACGTAGATGCTTCGGGTCTGAGCCTTCAAATTGTGCAAGCGCCCTCTTCGCAGCCTCGTAAGCCCCAAATTTAATCGCCGACTCGGGCATGACTTTGACCACATTGAGGCCATTCCCAGCGAACAGACTGCGCATACCACCAGCTGCCCACAGATCCTTGCACGCATCGATCAGAGGCCGAGCGAAGTTTTTGACGGTTTGGAGCGGGGCTCCCTTCTTTGCCGCTTCTATCGCAGCCTGTTTGGGGTTTGTCTGGACGATCAGATAGACTTTGAGTCGGTCGAGCGGTGCGGTGGCTGTTCGCGAGATCATGCCTGCTAAGCCGCCGGCTATGAAATAGCCTGGTGGCGGGAGAAAATCTGTCAGCATTGTCAACTTCGCCGGACACTAATGTGCTGCATGAGAATGTCGTTGTGAAGGGTCAGGACAAGCACGATAAGCGCACCCACACCACGCTAAAGGGTAACATGTGGGAGGTCCGATGAGATGAGAGTGACGCAGAAAAAGTCACATGTGTGTTGTCTGGTCTTGTGTTGGTAGTTGTGGGGAAGAGCCCATACCGAATCCTTTCAGGGTGTCATTGATGGTGACATCTCCTTCTTGGTTGACATTTGCCGTTGCAGAATAATAGCTGAGCACCGCACCAAGGCTAGATCGACCGCCCGGAAGGAAGAGGAGGAAGTTTCTGGAGCAGGGTTAGATAGGTTCAAGGAAAGTGCTATGTCCGCAATCATATCACACCTCCATTCCTCAAAGCTGATCTCTCCATCGTGATTGACATCCACCTCGTCAAAGAATTGATCTAGTTTAGCGTTGCTAATTGTGATGCCCGCCCGGGCAAACGCAGAGCGCAGCTCATTCTTGTCCAAGCCGCCGCTGTTGTCTTTATCTATGCTGTCGAACAGCTGCCAGAGTTCCCGCTCGGCATGCTCCACAAAGACTCTGAACTCGTTATACTGGATACGTCCGTCACCAGAGGTGTCGACCGCCTTGAGGACATCGTGAAGGAGATCGTCGGCGTTCTTAAGAGGATGGTCAAGGGTGCGGAGGCCCTTCTTAAGGGCATGGAGGTCGAGCTGGCCCTCATTGCGGGTGTCCAGAGTCCGCCACAGATCTTGAATCCGCTGATCGCGGCGCTCATGGGACTCTCCGTTCATGCTACGCCTTGTGTAGTAGGAAACACAGCTATCTGGGAGGGAGCATGGCTGTTGCAGTCCTCATCAGCCCAGGCTATCGAGCGTGGCCGTCGAGCGTGGCCGTTGTTGTTGTTTGCGGCTGAGAATCGGAAGAGGCGGCCTTGATTGGGAGTGATGGGCCTTTACTGCGCCTTGTCCGAGGGGAACAGCTGAGAATGCAGAAGGTCTCGTATATAGAATTCGCGCGAAAGCTGCGTTTTGTTGGAGGTGGAGCTGCAAATCGAGGTTTGAGGCGTTGGGCAGCGCAGCCACTGATGCTGAGTTTTGACGTTGTCTACGGATACTGTACGGAGTACGAACCAATGGATACCTAGTGGTCAATTAGACATGTTGTCGTTGGCTGTTGGTGTTTGGTGGGTGGGGGACTTTCCAAACAGGACAAGAGGAGAGTGCCGCCTTAGGGATGAAGGAGGTTTAAGGAGACTACTCGCCACCACCATGTTAGTGGTAACGCTAGTGTGCTAGTGTGCTAGCGTGCTAGCTAGCGGGAGCGTTAATCTATCCTCTACAGAGTACTCCGTATCCGTACTCCGTAGACTTCGCTAACTGTCTCCTACCAGGCTACCGAGGGACCAGGGTGCAGATTGGAGTACGGAGTACACACTAATAACAGCTCTCTTACCTGTACCGGCGAATTTCGACCACTCGGTTGGAAAGCGGATCATAGCCCTGTTAAGAGGAGGGGCGTGTCCCCCCAGGCGACGTCGAAAACTGCTCGGGATACCACTTATTCGGAGTATTGAGGAATCAGCGAACGGGGCTGACAGGTTGCGCAATGGGATTGGGAACTGACGTTCTCGCAGCCTTGTGCTTCAAATGGCAACCTGAAGCCATTCAAATACCCGGCCTGTTTCTTTCCCCAATGTCGAACCCAGCTGGACCTTTGACACGAGCCAGGATAGTGAATATCCCCATACCCCTTGGATAAGCACACTCTCGTCCTTCAGTATCTATTCACCTCCAGGCCGTCAGTCAAGATGGCGCCGCGGCAGCTCTCCAACTTTGACAACATCATCCTGAACACGGACACGTACAAGCACTCTCACTGGAACTTGTACCCGCCTGGGACCAGACATGTGTCGAGCTACATCGAGTCACGCGGCGGCATATACCCCGCGCACATGTTCGTGGGGCTTCAGGCGTTCATCAAAAAACACCTGCTGCGTCCGGTGACGATCGACGACATCGACGAGGCCGAGATTGTCACCCGTCAGCACCAGATCCCTTTCAACCGAGCGGGCTGGCTCGGAATCGTCAACGACCACGACGGATACCTGCCCATCGAGATCGAAGCCGTCCCAGAGGGCACCGTCCTGCCCATCAAGAACGTGCTTGTGCAGATCGTCAACACCGACCCCAAGTACCCTTGGGTCACGAGTTTCATCGAGACGGCGCTCCTGCGAGCGGTCTGGTACCCGACGTCGGTGGGGTCGACCAGCTGGCTCGCGAAACAGCTGATCCGCGAAGCCCTCGAAAAGACCTCGGATCATCCCGAGATCCTTCGAGACGTGCTGCAAGACTACGGCGCTCGCGGTGTGAGCTCGCAGGAGTCCGCTTCTCTGGGCGGACTGGCTCACCTTGTCAATTTCCGCCAGACCAACACCATCTCCGGATCGCTGGCGGCGACTCTCTACTACAACGCCCTCAATCCCGCCATTTCACAGCCCAACTCGGAACACTCCACCGTGACTGCGTGGGGCAAAGACCACGAGGTCGACGCCCATGCAAACTTGATCAAGCAGTACAAGGGATGGCCATTCGTCGTGGCCGTGTCCGACTCGTACGACTTGGAGGCCGCAGTCAGGGACATCTTCGGCACCAAACTCAAAGACGATGTCATCAAGAGTGGTAAGTGTGCCACCCAAGACGGGTGATGGTGTCTACTTGCAGCGCGTCAAATCAAGCCCAACCAACCGAAAAGAAGAGACCGCGCTGACATTGTTTTTTTCTCCCTATCTCTAGGAAGCACCATCCTGGTCCGACCCGACTCGGGCGACCCAGCCACAGTGATCGCCGAGACGCTGGAAGGGCTGATCGCCAAATTCGGGTCGACCACCAACTCCAAGGGCTACCGCGTGCTTCCGGACTATATCCGCGCGGCGCAAGGCGACGGCCTGACCATCGAAACCCTCAAGCAGATCTACGCCGAGCTCGACCGCCGCCGCATCGCCGCCGACAACATCTATCTGGGCATGGGCGGCGGCCTGCTGCAGTACATCAACCGTGACACCCTCGCCTTTACGCAGAAGGCCAACGCCATCAACGTCGACGGCGAGTGGAGGGACATCTACAAGCAACCCAAGTCCGACTCCGCGAAGACCTCCAAGCGCGGACGTCTGGCACTGGTCCTCCGCGACGGCGAATACCGCACCATCCGCCGCGAAGAGGCCGCCGAGACGGAGCTGAACCTGCTCCGCCCCGTCTTCCGCAACGGCAAGCTGCTAGTCAACCACAACTTCGAGGACATCGTCGAGAGAAGTGAGCGTCCTGTTCCTCGCTGGTATTACGAACCGGTCTGGGCCTCCAAGGAAAACGGCTCGCTTGCAGTGAAGAACTAGATTGCCGACTTGAACGGCGTCCTCTCCTTAAGATGCTATCTGGGAGGGAAAGGGGGGCTCCTCCAGAATACAATCCATTCCGTAGCACAATAGGATAGAAAATATCCAGGTTTTGTTTCCCGCTTTGCTGGCTCCAATCTCCTTGGACCGGTCGGCTTCTTGAGAATTAATTTCTACTATCAAAGTGTTTCTACTATCTAAGTGATTTTCAACTCGTCCTGGGAGCTATGAGGACTTCTTGATGCAGACGGTCGTTGTATTTTTCTGTAGACTGGCAATGTATTGCAAGCTATATCCTCGCCTAGTTTATTGCTTGTCTTCTAGCTTCCATGTCCAGCCGGCCTCATCCAGCTTCTTGCCTTTCTCAAGCACCACGCGCTCCATGTTTACTCGGTACTCCTCTATGGCGACAGCATACTTGGGAATGGTGGTGCCAAGGATGCGAACGGCCAGCAGACCGGCGTTGGTGGAGTTATTAATCCCAACCGTCGCGACCGGGACACCCCGCTGGAAAGAAAAGGCTTGTCAGCACTGCTCAAATCGAGGGCGACTCAGGGGTCAGGGGTCAGGGGTCAGGGGCTCTCGGATGGTCTTACTGGCATTTGTACAATAGAATGCAGTGAATCAACGCCGTCAAGGGTGGGGCCCTTGACTGGTATACCAACAATGGGCAAGCTCGATTCCGAAGCAACCATTCCAGGCAAGTGTGCGGCACCTCCAGCTGCGGCAATGATGACGCGCACGCCGCGAGACGCGGCCTCCTTACAAAACTGAACCATGAGCGTCGGCGTGCGATGGGCTGAGACAATGTGAATCTCGAAGGGGACCTTGAATTGGTCCAGGATACGCGCCGCATCGCGTACACTGGGTAGGTCGGAGTCAGAGCCCATGAGAACCGAAACAAGTGGTAGGGGATGCGACTTTGGCGGCTTCGGGATGAGCGGGTCGTCACTAAATGCTGAATTTAGGATCTGATGGATGCGATCATTCACGTCGGCGTCCGAGGGGCCAACCACGGTAATGTGGCCGACCTTGCGTCCCTTCGGCGAGTCCGCTTTACCGGGCGTCTCTTTCTTGCCGTAGAGATGTACAGTCGCGCCTTTCGTTGCGAGAGCGCGGCGTACCACTGAGCGGACTTCTTCCGCCGACTCAGGCGTTGCACGGAGGTTCAACGTCGCCGCCGAGGGCACCTTGAGTTCGGTGCTGCCAAGTGGAAGAGAGAGAATCGCCCTGAGATGATTTTCGTACTGGGAAGTCTCTGAAGCCTCAATAGTATGATGAGCGGAGCTGTGTGGACGAGATGCGATCTCGTGAGCAAGCAAGGTACCTGATAAGCCGAGAAGACTCACACATCAGCGACCGCTCGGTCGATTCCGGGACTGGTTGCAAATATGACTTACCGTTAGCGCGGAGGAAGAATTCAACCCCGAAGACACCAACGGCACCATCGCCCAGTGAGTTGATAGCCTTTTCCGCCAATGATTGTGCGAGGTTGGCCACATCCTTACCCCCCTGCCTCAAAGGGGCCCGAACGAGATGACCAATCTTGCCGCTCTTCACGTTTTCAACGGCGCCATAGCTTTCGACCTCGCCCTTGACATTGCGGACGAGGACTACGACGACCTCGTGCGTAACGTCTGGCACATAGCGTTCCGCATAGATAGGCCCGTTGAGAGTTCTCAGACCGCGCGGTGCATCGGTAAGATCCCGAAGGAGAAAATTTCCTCGGCCGTCATATGCTTGTCTCCGGGCTTTGAGGAGAAGCGGTAGGCCTAGCGTTTTGGCTGCCTGAGCGACGCTCTCGGAGGTCGGAGTAGGAAGGTCAATGAAGTCGGCGACAGGAATGTTAGATGTACTGAGCAGTTTCTTCTGCAAAAGCTTGTCTTGCACAACTTCCAGGCTCTCCGGAGACGGAAAGATCTCAATTCCCTTGCCTAGGTGACCGCCAGTAGTACGATACCGATCGCGTAGTTGGAAAAGTGCCTGGACATTCACATGCTCAATCTCAACCGTGAGAATGTCGGCACGTTTGGCAAGGGCATCTATATCGCTTTCATTGGAGTACGATCCATCGACATGGGCCAGGGATGGGTGTAGGGCTGAGACGGCACTAATCTGCTTGGCCGGAGATGCCGGTGAAGGATCGAGGACGACCAGGGGGATAGCGAGCCGGCTTGCCGCTTCACTCAGTAGCCGGCCATATTGACCACCACCTTTGAGGGAGCCATTGGTTATTGTGCATAGAAGGAGGGAATGGAATGGGTGAGCGGTCACTCACCAAGGACACCAACCACACGATCCTCGACCGACCCAACGACACGGTCTGCCATTTTGCTTTTCCGAATAGGTTACCTAGGAATCTGGGTCAAGGGATGGGAGTACAGATGGACAAGGCAATTAAAGGAGGTGCGCGTGCGTGAGCTGGACGGATTGGGCATGCACAATTGTCGCCTTTCCTTACCAGAGCACTGGGCCGATCACATCATAAAGCACAATCGACGTTGCCGAGCTCGTCATCGACCCCGAAGACCCAAATCGAAGATCATATATGCCCACAACACAGCCTAAGCTGTATCGTGGATACCTCAGGCACGCACCATTTTTCTGCTAAGCTGAGATAGCCCTTAGGATTGAGACGGACTCCTCTGTTTGTGGAGCACAGGGAGGTCGATGTCATCTGGGTAACAAATAACGTTTCTTGCTCGCCGCCAGGATAGGCCGTGGACTGTGGTCTTGACATCGGCGGAGCCAAATGTTCTCAGCAGGTCATCTGACGAGTCGAAGGGAGATTGACAGGGCCAGAGTCGGAACCGCAGCCTGGGGTGGAGGAGGACGATGGAGGGAGGTTGCCTCAAGACAGCGATACTGCATCGAGTTGGTAACAGTCCCCCGTCATTTTAAGGTGTGGTCTAGCGCAGTTAGCAGACGCTAGGCATATTAGCCTCATACCAGCTCCAAGCTAACTAAAGCGGCATTATCAGCCCCAGGTTCACGTGATGCGGCTTTGACTTGCCTGGTGCCGCCTGGTGCCGCCACGCATCACCAGCATCATTCGAGTTGTCCAAGCGATGCCCAACGTGGCTTCTTTGCATTGACCCTGACACTGGTTGCATGAAGAGGCTGCAGGCTGCTCTCTGAGAACCTTGGGCAGGAGCAATGGCTGCTCCGCGAAAACTCCATACCCGGACTGTCTTGACGACACCATCGTGAGAGGGGCCGCGTTGGTCACATATCAATCACATACACATCTATTGCATGCTCCGCACAGCATGGCCGCCAACTACTGGACTTCGACGCAGCGTAAATACTGGACCTTCACGCCAGAGAAGCTGACTGAGGTCCGCGATGAGCTGGAAGGACAGAATGCCAAAGTCATCGAACAGCATCCCTATCCTGATCCGAGACTCATGTTTATTTTCCTGAGAGACCGGCTCCTGCAGCTGGCTAAGCGCCTCCAGTTTCGCCAGCAATGTGTGGCTACCGCGCTGGTCTACCTGCACCGGTACTTCCTGTCGACCCCGATGCAGAACGTGAACCTGTATCTGCTCACCGCGACGGCCTTTTATCTCGCATCCAAAACAGAGGAGTCTCCTCATCACATCCGCCTTGTGGCCGCTGAAGCGCGGCAGGCCTGGCCCGAATTCGTCCCGGGGGATGTGTCCAGATTAGGCGAGATGGAATTTTGCCTCATTTCCGAGATGCGCTCGCAGTTGATCGTCTGGCATCCCTATCGCTCTTTGATCGCACTCAAGGAGAATCAGGAGCTCAAACTCTCTAATGACGAGCTCGGTTTGGCTTGGTCTATCATCAACGACAGCTACATGACTGATTTACCGCTAACCTCGCCCCCGCATCTCATTGCCATCATTGCAATGTTCCTCGCCGTGGTCTTCCTACCCACTGCCAAAGCAGCCGGCACTCTGCGACCTATATCCCATGACACTCTTGCCAATCCCGACTCAGGTCCTTTCTCTTCCTTGGTGGGCCGCCAGGCCCTCTTAGGATCTTTCAGCACGGTGATGGGAAATCTGCAAATGCCCAACCATCCAGCCTCTCAGATCAATCAAGCCACCAACGGCAAAACCCGAGCCCCAATCGACGAACCGAATTCGCAGCCAGTCGATAAGGAGAAGACAGTTGCCGCGATTAAGGAATCCGAGAAGCTGCAGAACATCATCAAGTTTCTCGTCGAATCGGGCATCGAGCTGGAACAGATGATCGAGGGCACTCAAGAAATGATCAGTCTGTATGACATTTGGGAACAGTACAGTGAGAAGAGTGTTAAAGACGCCATTTCTCGGTGTCTCAAATCGCGTGGCCTGGATAGCTGAGAGTGGCCGTTTAATGTCGGGGTACTGAGATCCATCATTCCATATGAGAGCAGCCTACATAGGTAGCTATGTCTTTGCGACGGCCATTCCGGCCACACCGAGTTCCTTCCTGAGCTCAAGGACTACTGGCCTGTTGTTCTTGACCGGGCCGTTCCAGTTACACAATGCTAGAGTTGGACTGGGGCTGTTCAGATACAGCAGGTCAGCGGCAGTATTACGGACCTGTACATCGATATTAGTCAACGTCCCAATCTGAATGGGGGCAACAACGACCTTCGGCCAACGATGAAGTAATTGGCGTGTTAGTTTGTCCAAGGCCTTGGAACGGAAACTGTCAGCTGCAAGTAGTCTCGAGTAAATATTCAAGGAAGCTTCAGTCCTCTGGAGACTAGACGACGGACCGTGGATCGTCTGCATGATGGTCCAAATATCCTGTGCATTGTCTTCCGGTTCTGTAATGGGCTGAAAGGAGACAAGCCCCTGATCCATCATGAAGCAGAGAAAATCAAGCAGCGGGACTACTTGACGGTCGTCTAGTGCCGCACCTGTGGCTAGCTGCTCCAGGATAAAGGACGAAGTTGCAGCACTCAGCATGTCGCGTTTGCCATGATCCAGAGCTTGCAGATACCAGGCAAAAGCGTTGCTCGCCGCGCGGCAAATCGACTCGGTGCCAGAAGTCGCCGAAGAGACTAAGCCCATGATAAGAGGCTTGCGTGACCAGTCCAGGGAGAGTAGTTCCATGAGCTGTTGGAAATACGGGATGGTAGATACATCTTCCGGATATGGAAAGGTGCTGCCCAACTTAGTCTGTGGTCATCAAGCACGGCAAGCGGGCCACTTACTTCTTCAGCTCTGGCATGGTTGCCTGCGACCGCCAGTAGCTTTCCAGGCATCGCCATGCTCGAAACCGCACGCTGTCCAGCTTTTCAGCTGCTAGCTTCACTAGCACGGGCATAACAGCTTCTGAGGTGCCGTCTAAGATCCGAAGAGCTGCCTCGTTGGAACGGAGGGCGTTGACGGCTTCGAGGCTCTGGAGACGGAGCAACGAGCCGATATCCCCTCTTTGATCATTGGTATAGTCAGTCAGCCCACGGCAGAGTACGTTGGTGATACTTCCTGCATCCACTTGGACAGATCCTGATGCTTCTTCCATGTCCCGCAAGATAACACCCAGGGCTCGCATGGCGTCCACTCTGGTCTCTATCCTATAACTTCCGTTGATGAGACCGATGATGCATGATATAATGCGCTGTTGGAGATCAGACTCGCGGTCTCGTTGCGCAAGATAAGCGTAGATGAGGCTGAGCGACTTGATGCGGCCTTTGCTCGTGAAGGTCGAGGGCGATTGCTCGTTAGGATCGAGCCAGTTTTCGACCATCGCAATATCCGAACGAAGCGAGAGTAGCTTAAAAAGTTCCACGTTGGCGTCGGCACTGGCTTCAACTACTATGTCTCTCCCGCCCGCCACCGTGCAATGGTCGAGCAACATCAAAGCAGATGGCATCCAAGCTTGCTGCTTCCCAGCACCGTCTGATGTTGACGCCGAGAAGCATTTGCAAATGCTGCCAATTAGCGTGGAAATCGCTTCCATCACAAGCTCCAAGTCAGCGGTCACGCGGATGTCCATTTTGCCAGTGAGCTTGTCCAGCTGAAGAAGCTGGTTGCCGTCCTCAAGCATCCACGATGCAGCTGCGAGGGGGTCTTGTTGAGTGAGAGACTCGACTGTTGAGGCTAGAGCTAGGAGTAAGCCATGTCTGGAGCCAGCTGTGCTTCCGATGTTCCATGGCTTCAAATCAAGAACCTGGCAAAGGACGATGTTGGCAACAGATAAAGTCTCCGACGTCGAAAGTGTGTCCGCAAGAATGCGGATAGTTGAAGCAGCCCAACGCCGCTGGTTCACATCCGTAGCCCGCGCACCCCGCCAATCCAGGAGTGCTGACAAGAGAGTTCTGTGATACATGGCGTCAACAGCTGCTGCTTGAGGGGAAACCTCAACCATAGCTCGAGACAGTCGTGCCACTGCATGGTAGTCGACAGTCTGCACGAGAGCTATCCCATGGAGGATGGTGTCCGGATGTCGTCCAATGAGTTCTTGTAGTGCCGCAGATGAAGCTCGTCGAATATTGCCCGACGGATCAAGGCATCCAGAGATGACCATCTTGACTGCTATCAATTGTAAAACACTCTGACATCCTGCGAATTCGGGGGCTTTGGCCTCAACAAAATCCGAGACGCGCACACGAGCAAGCTCGAGAGTGCTGTATTTCCGAGCCAGTGCCCAAAGACCGAAGCAGGCTGCATCTCGAACGCCGACACCGACCGACGTCCCGACATTTGATCGCTGTTCGAATTCCAATCCAAGTATCAAAGCTTGGATGATCTCTGGAAGCAAGCCAGGTGGTGGTGAGCGACGGAATAAGAGATGAGCTAGTGTCAGCATCAATCCATGCCACCGCATTGGATCAACAGCGGATATGTTTTTCTTCATCCCGCCAGCTTCGGAGCCAATCTTATCGGTAATGGGAATGAGATTGTGGCTGTGGAGGTCTTCCAAAAGAACATTTTCTTGCAGACAAGATAGGACGGCTTCGACGACTTCTGCGGACATAGCAGCATCAAGTCTGAGGGCGACCACACTGAGCGCCTTAGCAGCAGACATTCTGACGGGTGTTTCCTTGTCGCTGAGAGTATCGAGGAAGTACTGGATGCTCTCTTCCAGCATCATGTTCAGATGTGCTTCTGGAATCACAACCTTGCTTGAATTTAGGGATATCGCGTGAGTCAAGATAACTCGCAAGATCTTCAAAATCAATTTCCTTGCCGGTGCAGAATCTCGAATAGCCTGATAGTGCTCTCCTGGGTCTGTAGCGAGTTTCAGGACCGCCTGAAAAATCTGTACAAGGTACGGAGCAACTTCTTTGTCTGAGCCAGAATTAGTGATGCCATACAGCAAAGACAGAAGCCCCAGCGCCCTATAATGGCTGAGTACCACCAAGTCTGTGTCAGAAAGTAGTCTCTGCGTAGCATAGTGCACTAGTTTCAGTTGCAAATCGTGAGCTTGCATATCCTTGCGGAGACACAAGCGAACAAGGAGAATACTAGCTGCTTCACGTTCTTTGCCCGGGCTCTCCAGTTGTGAAAATGCAACAGAAGTGATGTCACCTGCAAATCCTGGTAGATCACCAAGAGCCTGAGACAATCTCAGGTCAGGCGGGTTTTCATTGGAGACTGCCATGTTGGCCAGCTCAAAAGGGGCAAGCATCAAGTGGGATAGCCACAACATCATGATGTAGCGTTCTTCCCAGACCATTCCCATGGATGAAGTATTCCAGGCTTTGAAGCTGGACAACATAGGGGCCAAAAACTTGGGTTCGTTGTTCAGCAGGCGCACAATGACCTTCTGGCCTCTGATCTTGCAAAAGGAATAGAGTAGGCGACATATTGCCCGCGGTAACGGGGAGACAGTGGCTGTACCGTGCCTATAGGACTGAGAATAGTGATGACCCGACCTAGTCATGTAGTCAACAAAGGCCTCACTGAGAAGCTGGACATGAGTCGACAGGCCCGGATCGAGCAGTTGGGGCCATTCTTGAAAACGGTCAAGCTAAACTGGTGTTAATCGAAGACTGCACGCTGTCTACCCACGCACAAGACTCACAAGCAGCCTCAATTCCTCGCATTTCGAGTCGAGAACGCGTAGACGCCGCGTGGTCCTTGGGTTGAAAATCAGCAGCGGTAACTTGTGACCGAGTTCCTGCAGAAGCGTGCTCGACGCTTTGTATAGTTTGGCATCGAGGTCGTGTTCAGCAGCGTCCATCGAAGAATGGTTGAGGATGCCTGTCACCACACAAAGAAAGGGTGGTGGACAGGGCCGTGTAGGGAGGATGGAACATGAAACGGGGTCATGTGATCCAGTTTCGAGCTGTGCCGGATGAAGAAAAGCGCCCACCTAGCGCCGACCCTATTTTAAGCTTAATTTGATCAGCATGTTTAACCCCAGTCGCGGTAGGCACGGACATCAAGCCTGAAACCTGGAGTCCGCATGCATCGTTTTCAGCTTCTTTGTTGCGAGTCTGCTCTGCTCAGGTCCCTCGACAAACAAAGAACCTGGTACGCGTCCCTCCCGCTTGTACTCCGTACACCTCCAACATGTGCTCTGCATGTGGGCGAAGTCTACGCCCTGTTCCAGATCCGTTCAGAAGTAGACTACCCCCTTTCGCTTTCGTCGGCCGCTAAACTTCGGTCTGCCCACCTCACCCTCCAGTGTCTTGTTCCCGATTTCGTGTGACTGCAAATAAGAAAGAGCCTCTCTCTTTCACGAAACCAATAATGTCGAGGTCGATCTTTACCTCTGCATTTCGATACCTCTCCGACTTCGTCCGACCTGCGCAGACCCCAACCTCCAACTCCACCGATCCACACGGCCTTACAAGGGGAAGGGAGAGGGAGAAGGACGATGTTTCTGGCGCACAATATGTCAGATCCAGTGGGTTACAGGGCTACGCGAAAAGAAAACGCAAAGCCGAGGAGGAGCATCCCGATGAACAGCCGACAAAACTTGCCAGGAACAAAGATCGACTAGCCTCACTCCCATATGATGGCGATGCTAATTCGAACATGGCCGGTCGTGATGCTGTCACCCGGCTTGCAGTGAACGACAGTACGAGGACGCAGGAAGATATAGACCGAACTTTGATGCCACCTCCGCCTACGCCACATCGATTTGCCAATTACAAGTCCAGGCAGGGCCGGGATTCAAGTACGAATTCGGGATTGGCTACGTGGCGCGATGACGATGCGATATCTTTTGCGTCATCAACATTGGCAAGAAGAAAAATCGATGACATGGATGATCATGCTATGGAAGAAGCAAGAAGACATGCCGCGGCCATCAGGCTACCCCCAAACTCCGGAATCTGGTCACAGACGGAGCGTGAGGTCTTTTTCCATCTTGCCTATCGAGGGTTTGAGGCATTGTTACCGGAGAACTGGATGCTCGATTTCGACACCTTGCCAATCAGCCTCTTTGCAGATGCGAATACCGCAGATCCGGTCGTTATCCACAACGTCAGAGATAATCAATTCCGAGCATGCCATGCCCTCCGTCGACTTTTCGAAGCTGGCCACGACGTCAGAGATCGGACCCACGTTAGCCCCGGCTCAAAACGAGAGAGGATCCTCGAACAGGCGGTGAGACGGTACCTCTACTGGGCCTTGACGGATGTTGGACTTCGGCCTTCGTCAAGCTCAAAATACATCCCTGTTCATGCTGTGGTCACTAAACGTACCGGCCGTTCTACCCTCCAAACCCTGGAGGAGATAGCCATAAAGTTACACGGCCTCTCGCAGCGACATCATCAAGCTCAGGGCGTACATCCCAGTATTGAAGTCTACGATCAGCATACTGGAGACGCAGACGAGACTAGGCTCATGACTGACAACGAGTTCTCACCTACGCTCGTAGGCCTGGTGATCATCTCTTCAGTGCTTGCGATCGTAACACTGAGCCCTTTTTCCGGTCTGGCGCCAGAGAAATCGACCAGTCAGACAGTCTCTCCACCAAATTCTGTCTCCAACCCGTCAACCCATGCCACAGAGTTTAACCCTGATAGATTGAGAATCATCGCAGAGTTTGATTTCAGCCAAAAAGACCAAGACGTCTGGAATGCTCTTGGGGTAGCTATCGTGGCAATGCAGATCCGAAAGGAGGCTTTGAAGGCGAATTTTGGGTTATCGTACGACGATATTGACGTGACCGGTGGCGAAACAATATCGATGGACGGGTCAAGATTTGATGATCTGGATGAAACATCTGGGAATGTCTCCAAATTGGACGTGGACAATGATCCGGATCTTTGAGAGCATTTGGAATGGTATTCGACGTGGATGTGGAAAGGACGTTCCAGGGCTTATATTACTTGACCGGAAGTCCAGCGAGGTGGATACAGTATTCATCGAACGTGGTGAGAGTTACAAATCGCTTCTGGTTCAAGGTCGGCTGGCCCCTAATGTCTTTGAACCGGACTTGGACTCGGCCCAACAGGCGCTGGCGCTCAAGGAGCCACCAGGACAGAGACTAATAAATTCCTCTTTGTTGAACAGCGGAGATACCCAACACAGTTAACGTTGAATCCCTTATTGGTTATCTTAGAGACTATCCATGTTCCCAATCCCCTTCCGAATATGATATGTGCGCCTTTCAAGATACGGAATAACTTGACCATAGTCTCATAAAAACGACGATGCATCTCTCCCCTACCAGATTGCGCCGGCGTCGTGATCGAATCTTGAGAGCTCGCGCCCGCCCTCTTCGACCTCCTTGCGGGCCTTCATGCGCATATAGAAGATTGGGCAATCTCTGGAACTGCACAAAACCTCCGAATGCATGCTGCCCTGGCAACGCTGGCACTGGGTCCAGAGGCGATTGAAGCGAACCTCGAGCTCGCCGATCTTCTTGACATGCTTCGTGTAGAGCTCGCCGATGCGCGGCCGGCAGTTTTCGCAAACGGCACCTTGAGCTTCCTCGGCGCCGACGAGGGGTTTCTTGCAGCCCATGCAGGTCTGGGTCTTTTTGGCGAATTTCATCAATCCACCTAGCGTGGGTACAGCAACGGAGATCGACCGTGTGTGGTCGCCAGCGAGGAGAGAGTTGGCACGCCGCTCGCCTAGAATAGGCTCGAAGATCCTCCCTAAGGGATTCGCCAACTGGTTGTCGAGATAGTATTTGGTGTCGATGGGGACATTGTTCTCTAGAACGTAGATCGGATCTTCAGACTTTTCATAGTTCTTGCTGCCCCCCGCGCCTTTGACAATGACATATGCGACTCGATCTCCAAGGGCAGGTGCTGAACCGGCGTCTCTTTTTTTCATGCGCTCGGCGAGTTCCACGTGTGCTTGTTTAGCCGTATAGTCGCTTTTGCTGAGTGCTTTTGTAATCACCAGCATACTGAGGTCGACCTTGTTTTGTAGGAGATTTGAGATCGTCTCCTTAACGTAGTCCTGCGCTCCGTCCAGATCGCGATCTATCAGAATTTTATTCAAGACTGTCTCAATCACAATCTGAACAAGGCGGCAGTTGTCTCGTCGCACCGTCTCAATGCCCTTGGTGTCCATCTTATCATACTTGTCCGGATTAGTCCAATATAGACCGGCGTACCTCTTCTTGTTGATCAACAGGTAAGGGAAATACACCTTTTCGAACTCCAGCTTGATAGGTTTGATGAACTGCGACGAGACAAAGTCGGCAGCTTCTTGTCCCAATGCCATTGTTTTCCTGAGGTCCTTTTCTCCAAACTTTACCATGACTGAATCAGTATCACCATAAATGACCTGGGCATCGTGTGAGTAGCCGTTGGCGATGGTGTATTTCTGTTCCACCTCATGCTTCGTCTTTTCTATCATTTGTCGGCCGTAGGCGGTCGTACTTGAGGCAATTGCAAGACACGGTAGCTTGCCCACAGTAGCACCTGTGAGACCGTAGACTGAGTTTGCTGATACTTTCAAAGCCAGTTGACGCCCGTTCAAAACGGCCTTTTTGAAAGGATCTTTCTCGACAGCCAGCTCCTTCTTCGCCCTTTTACGTGCGCCCAACAGTTCCTCCAAAATCTGAGAAAGTAATCCTTTCCGAACCTTTGTAGTGCAGAACAGGTCACCGTTGGGCGTCACGATATAGTCTTCATCCTTCTTCAAATTGAGTTTTTCGATGGTGTTCTTGTTCAAGAGGGTGGTGTAGCACAAATTGTGAGCTTGAATGATCGATGGGTACAGAGATGCAAAATCAAGAGTGGCAATAGGAACGTCGTAGTAGCCTCGAATAGGCTCGATAACGGTAGCACCTTCATACTGTTCGTTTGAAGTCTCTTTTTCAAGGTTGGGAATGACTAATTGCTGTTCCAATGCTTTTCGGAAAAGCTGGCTGATGAACTTGACCTGTTGACCTCGAGCTAGGAGGTAGTTGAAGGGGACTCCAGTGACTCTTGCCATCTCGGTGTAGTTGACCAGACACATCAATTTGTCCATGAGTCGTTGCGGTAAATAGGCATCCTTGAGACAGTACACGGCTAATCGGCGCCTCGAATCTGGCGTGCCGTTAAACAGTTCGGTGATCATGGTATGGTGGACATCCTCCTTCTGCTCTCCAAGGAAATGCGCACACACTGAGTTGAGGGTGTAGCTGCGCAACTGATAGTCTCTCTGGACGAGCTGTAGCAGATCCAGTTGGATTCGTCCGTTAGTGTTGGTACTTTTCGTGTCACGGTTGCCCATCTGCTTGCTGGAAAAGTTGTCGTTTTTCGCGTGGGAAACCACACTCTTCAGACGTGACCAGTATGGAAATTTTGTCAGTTTCAAATGCCTTGCTCTATCGAGTAGGTAGGGGAAATCGAAGTTGGCGATGTTGTAACCGATGATAACATCCGGGTCGACCTTCTCGAGAAAATCTCTCCAAGCCATCAGCATCTGGGATTCCGAACTATGTTCATAGATCTTGGTATTGACGATCAAGCTGCAAGTATCCAACACGAAAACGTTTCGAATAAATGGCTTCGAGTCTCCATACTTGGTCACAACGTTGGCGATTTGGATGACAGGGTCGTGGATGGCTTCAGGGAACACCCCTTTTCGACCGGCACATTCAATATCAAACGACAGGATCCGCAAAGGGGCCATTTTGGCCCATTCGCCCTCGGGCCCGTGCGCGATCAGATCCCGGTAATGGCAGTATGCCTCGATCTGACAATGTGATTGGCGTTCATGTTGAGGCAACACATGATATTTCTGCGGAGGGACCTCGATCCAAGACATTCCGGCGACCCCAGTATCGATCATGAACCGCAAAACATATTGGATGCTGTCGTAGGTCCGAATTTTGTTGTCTTCGACCTTCCACATCCCTTTGTAGTTGGCTTGACCATCCTCGATCGCCGAGCGTAGTCTGCTGATGTATTTGGGTTCCGTCACTGTGACCTTCAAATATGGACTTTTCTGGTTGCCTTGAAATCCAAACAGGTTTTCCCGGAGCACCATTTGCACAGAATGGATGGCGGGCTGGTGTTGAGCAAGCTGGCTTTCAAGGTACGCCTTATAGCCCTCGACATCTTGCCTCTGGAAACTGATTGGTGCTGGAACGTACAGGTAATGGAGGAAGTCGGTGACGTGGAGAAGGATGGAGTGTCCGGTCTGCCACGCAGTCAGTCACTGTGTCGTGTAAAAGTCGCAGGGCTTGCTCTCACCTCAGAGACGCCAAACATCTTCAGCGTCGTCCTTCCACCATGAAGCGTGCCCTCTTCAACCTCGATTTGCTGGAAGGTCAGGGTATCTCTCTGGGCGTCAAAGTCATCCAGGCTGGGTCTCTCCCATTGCTGGTCCTTTTCGGAATTACTCTCCCTCAACCCATTAATATCCTGGGTCATCTTCTCCAGTACTTCTGTTTCAAACTGGCTCTTGGGCTGGCTCGAGCCCAGCTTCGATCTGAGGCCATTGGGACCTATCTGAGACGAGCGGAAACTGACGTTTGGACCGTTCACATTGAGCTTTCGCTTCTTTGTGGAGGGAGGGGATTTGACAACATTGTGCGTGTTAGTGGCGTCCGTAAGCACCCTCTTCTTAGGCTGGTCTGTCACGCGTCCAGGCATGATGGCAACGTGTAGGGAAACAAGATCGGTATACAACTAGAGAGGATGGAAAGTCGGGTTGGTAATGGGTAATAATGTCGCGCCTATGTCGCGTCAGGACATTTGCGCGTCATGCTCTAAAGCAGCAAGCACGGTGGGGTCACTCACTGGTTTGCCAGGTTTGCTCGGTTTGCCATGTTTGCCATAGTAGTAGTGGAGATTCCCCAACCAAACTAACGACAATCTTGCTCTCCCCCTGGGTCCGGACTGACCGCCTCCAGCTCAGACCAGCATTGATATCACTCTCCCTTTGTCACATTTGTTTGGTGCCCAGCCATTCCTTATTCCAGAGAGAGACGTCTCAGGATCCGAACCGCCCGCCCATCCCCAAGTCCACGACCAAGATCTCTTTTCTCTCGGGTTCGCCAACATGGCCGACGACCTCACCGTAGACAGAACCCCAGGTTTCAAGGTGGGGGAGAAGAAAACATTGGACGAATATCAGAAACTCGGTGAGTCCCGCAGTCATTCCCGTACCTGCTGTTGTCTGGTGGGTGTCGTTCATACACGGGCCATCTGCAGATCGACACAGGCCATTAGGAAGCTGAGTTAGTGGCTCCTGTGCGACGGACGGACTCTCTACCATGTCATTCTTCTCGACCACTACAATCGCAAGCCCTCAGCAGCCCCTTGGGGCGGGGAAAACATAGAAATCGTCCATCCAAGGCCCAACTGACCTATTATCTGCAGATCAAGAAGACGAGGCCTTGAATAGGTGGAAGGCGTCTCTAGGCATTGGCATTGCTCAAGGCCAGTCCATCTCTGACCCCAACGACCCTCGCCTGTGCATCATCAAATCCCTTGCCTTGGTAGGTGACACGCGCACGCTTTGGTCAACAGCGACCAACGAACAAGCAGGAAGTCGAAGGCCGACCCGACATCACCATCGACCTCACGCAGCCAGGCGCACTCGAGTCGCTGAAGGGCAAGCCCTTTACCATCAAGGAGGGTAGTACATATCAAATGAAGGCGGTCTTTGTCGTCCAGCACCAAGTTCTATCCGGCCTCAAGTACATCCAGTCTGTCAAGCGGAAAGGTATTCGGGTAGGCAAGGACCAAGAGATGATCGGCAGCTACGCGCCCAACACCGTCGACAAACCAACACACACCAAGAAGTTCGCCCCGGAAGAGGCCCCCTCAGGTATGATGGCTCGAGGCCATTACGAAGCAGTCTCTCGGTTCGTCGACGACGATGACGTGACCCATCTCAAATTCGAGTGGTCCTTTGACATCGCCAAAGATTGGAAATGATTTCGCCAGAGTATCGAGAAGCGAAGGCGCGACTTTGAAATGCCACATACCGAGAAATCGACACCAGCGACATCTATGCTGCAAAATCCCTATATGAAGCATTTCGGCATTTGGCCGGAAACGTGGCCTCGATGCATGAATGACCCTGCAAGAGTGCTCGACGATCGAGATGATTCAATGGCTAGAGAAAGTATTCAATGTGAGACCCTTGGCCGTCCTTCGCCTGACTCTGTTGTTGTTGTTGCTGTTGCTCGTTCCGATGCATGTCATTCTCGGGGGCGGCATCAAAGATATTGAAATATCGATCCCCCGCATCGCTTACTTCGAGCACGCTGGCCAGATTCCCACACCGGTAGCAATAGTTCGGCGCACTCCAAACAGTGCTGAGTCGGTCGTCGTACAGAATCTGATAGCCTTCCTGACACAGTTGATGCGCTCGAAGGATGTGAGACATGCTGTTGACCTGTAGGAATTTCTTGACCACATCGCCTCCAAAAGTATACCCAGCGCCTCGTGGTGATAGAGAGAACTCGTCCCGTTCTGAGTCCGGGTCTGACCAAACCAAATCCGCCATCGGCCCCTCATGAGGTATCTCCCGATATCTATCAATGATCTTGATCTGGTCGATCGAATGAATGGAAGGCGACAGGCCGCCGTGAACGCAAAAGATCTGGTTGTTGATGACCACGCTCAATGTAAGGAAGTCGAACATGTCTGTGAAATAGTGCCAAACATTGGCATTGCCATATTTCCGTGCACACTCCGTGTAGAAACCATAAGATTGTGTGACGCCTCGTGATTCATGATTACCGCGAATGAGGTGAACGCGTTGTGGGTATCGTAACTTTAAGCAGACAAGCAGGGAAATTGTCTCGACGCTGAAAAGGCCGCGGTCGACATAGTCGCCTAGATTCCAGTCAGGGGAGGAGTCGCCTCATTGCCAGCTGGCCACAGGTCCATACCTAGAAAAAGATAATTTGTATCCGGACAGAAGCCCCCGATCTTGAAGATCTCCAGCATGTCAAAGAACTGGCCATGGATGTCCCCAACGACGGTCACCGGGGCAGAGATGTGTACCACATTGCTTTCTTTCATCAGCATCTCCTTCGCCTTTGCGCATATTGCTTCAATCAAGGATTCGGCCAGGAGATTCTTTTTGTAGAGCTGTGAGATGCATTCGTCGAGATCGATACTGACTGAGAAGGATTGAAATTAGTGACAGGCGTCGCCGCGGGATTGTCTGGAACCCACCAGGTAAGCCAGGCATTGTGACCGTTTTCTTCAAGCTCGAAACGCCAAAGTTGCCTGGTCGGAGGCGTGCGCGGTTAGGGAAAGTTCCTCGGTAAGCAAGAGGACTTGCGCTGCTCTCTCATGGTGCTGGTTCGAGAGAAGGGAAAACTGTCACTGTCGTGGGTGAGAAGCAGGACGGTGCCTGTCAACTCCAAAGAGAAGAATACAGGTCGGGCATCAGTTGGATGGTGGACGGGCGGAAAGAATGTATCCTCGTGCCCGTTTGCTCGTTTGCGCAGGGAAAACGAGAGTCGAAAAGGATTAATTGCTAGGTAGAAGCTAGGTACCTACGGCATTCTATTATTCATATTCGCCCGCGGCGCCGGGGCCGCCATCAGATCACATCGCCTCAACCTCAACCTCGACCTCAACCTCATCCTCATCCTCTGTCGTAGCTCGCGGCCCTACCCAACTTCCTCTCTTTTTCCACACTCGCTTCGATAGAATTTGACCGTCTGCTGGGCTCGTTCCGAACATGGAGGCGAGTTGCCTATTTTCCGCACGCATTGCATCTCCTGCATTGAACCGCTCGAACCCGGTCAAGGCCCGCCACTGGCCTCGATGTAGACAAAGAAATCAGAATCTCAATCTCAATCTCAATCTCTGCATGAACCACCTGGAACCCTCCTATTTCCCAAGCAGATGTATCCTTAAATGTTTGCAGCGGCCTCCTCAAAATGAAAGCCAACACGAAAAAAGCCTTCCCTCTGCTATACCACGGCCCTTGATTGCTTTCCCTTCCAAAATTTACCTATCCCTTCATCTCCTAGTATTGACTGAACTTTCCCTACTGTTCCCTCTAACCAGCCTCGAGTCTTAACATAACTTACCCGTCGCTTACTTTTTTTGTTCGCGAGCAAGAACCTTTGAAGCTATTGTTAGTCACTCGCGCGAGCAGATGTCCAATTCTAGGATGACACTATCGCTCTCAATCTGCTGAGACGACATGGAGTCATTTCATAACTATTGGCAGGAAGGCTGGCAGTATGGGGGTTCATTTGGCCGCCAGCATACATCTCCTGAGCGGCAGGAACATGAGACGTCCGTTGCTGAAAAGGAAATTGACCATAATATCATTGAAGGAGCTCACTTCAGCAGGAAATCTCAAGGTAGCCAGAGTCGTCACAATACTCATGGCACACAAGAGTGCACTACAGGCACCACATCCCACCTATCCTGCGCTCGGTCTAGCGAGAATCAGCCTATTCGGGAGCATGTGGAACTTGCCACAACCCGCCAAGGGTTCAACAGCATGACAGCCTCACGCCGCCAGAGCAACGCGCAGTCTAACAGATTACAAGTCTCCAACCCATTCCAATACTATCCACCAGACTATGCTGAGCCACCGGAATCTACTCTACAAGCCCGAGGAATACAGGAACACGACAACGTGTCAGATCACTTCACTCATGAGTACCATGTTTCTCAGCAAGCAGCGTGGGCATACAACCCGGCCGAAGATACAAGCGCATGGCCCGCTAGTCAGGTACCTAACAATCTACCGGGACTGACAATCAACCAGCCTGCTGTCCAGCCGTATGGGTATAATAAGCATCATCCAGAGTTCCATGAGCATGGATCGAACTTGCACGCAGATCAGTATTACAAGCAAGAGGACGTAGTGTCATGGAATCCAGAGACCCGGCCAGGAGTCGTGGTCAACGCCCGTGGGGGACAAACCAGAGACACACTTGGTCAGTTAGAGGATGACCTCGCCATGCTTGACTTCCCAGAACCCTTGTCACGAAATGGAGCCGCACGCTTCTTTCCCATCCAACAGAGAACTCAAGCATTAGGTGCGACCATGGAGCTGGCGGAGCTGATGGATGCGGAACCTCTTTGCGTGACCTCCCAATTTTTCCGTGACCACAGCGAAACCGCATACTTAAAGCACATCAGCCAGACTCCGGATCGGGAAGTCTTCTCTAGCGACCCTGCATTTGCTGATATTGCCGAATCAGGGCCTGTTACGTCCTTCAAAGATCTCTATCTGCGCAAAGAAGCTCTGAAGTTGAGCTTTGAGAGCGATGACTTCGCTAGCAGTGACTTCAGGCACGTCCAGCAACCTTCTACATGTGCTGGACAGAAACATCGCTATCAACCGTGTTCAAAGCAGACCAAGGATCACGCACCGCCGTCTATTGACCAAGATGAACGCCTCGCTTCGCAGAGAGTCACAGACACGCCCGAACCTATTGCGCTCTCTGGGTCCTTCGGCGCAGCACCCATGAAGCAGCGACAAGAGCCAAATGATCAGCCATACTACCAGCCTCGTGATCAGCAGTGGCTGCCCTCGCAAGCAACAAACCAGCAACAACCGCACCATGACAACGGGGCATATTCCGCCACTGACATCCACGACGCCCAGCAGCTCCGCTCACCACATGCCCAGCGCGGTCGGCCGCCGTACACGGACAATGGTATGAATCAGTCTAAGCACAAGACCCAGGACCAGGACATGGCCAAAAGCGATCCGCCGAAGCTATGCAATAATGCTCCGGCCCTTCGTCAGGCTCGGTCGCCCTGTACGGCGAGTAGGAGTAGCCAGGATCAGCATCTCGAGACGGACCAGGGAACGTGGACCCGACAATCCGCCTCTCGCTCTCTGCGACCTAATCCAAAACCGAGCCGAAAGCGAGCTTATGCCACTGCTCAAATCCATGCACACGGACACGGGGATGGTTACAAGTCCCGGAAGCGGCGCAAGTGAAGCAGCGAGGGCTCCTCCGGTCCGGTACCTTTACCGTCCACTTTCAAGTCTCGAGCTCGATTGAGGCCAACTCCCACGGACACGGCCTGGCAACAGTCATTCGAAACATACAGAGTACATGTATTTAATTGGTAGACAGCCACGCACTCCATAAGTCCGGCCTCTCTCTCTCTCTGTGGGCTCGGAGCTATGTCCTACACATCCTTCTTCCTTTGGTCGGAACAGACGCCCGGGGTGCCTTCCTAGAAAATTCAGGATGTATTGGAAAGAAATATTGAACCCGACTAGGTCATCTGGATTGTGGTCTCAAGATTCAAGATCCGATCGACCCCGACTAAGTCATCTGGATTGTGGTTTCAGTATCCAAGATCCAAGATCGACTTCGGCATTGGTCCTATTGCTTGTCTGTCTGTATGAATGGATGCTCAATACAGCAAATGAAAAATTGAAACAGCATTTCCCGCCCCCAACTAATATTACCTAGACCTAGTATCCGTACTGCCGTTACAGCTCTTGGATGCCCAGCTAGGTGCGCAGCATTCATTGTTTATTGATCTACCACTACTAGTATCTGAGGCTTCAAGTTCATGTAGATGCCCGCTTCGGCTTGGTAAATTGAGTTCTTCACGCGACCACTGGGTAAAGGCGCACTGGGTAATAAATGCGAATGAAGAGAGAAGGAAAGACTGCTGGGAACTAAGAAACTCGATCAAGTATAGACATTGTAAGCATTGGCTAGCTACCATATGTGACTTGCTTGGGATTGTGCGTCTTCGTCTATCGTTCATCCCATCTCGGCCTCCATCCTACTTTGTGACAGCCGCGCCAGACCGGTCGAGAAAGCCGGCCGTACTATGAGCCGGGTCGGAGGTATGTTGGGTTTCCGTTGGACCACAAGAGCCGCTCAGTCCGTAACGTATATGAGTGTTGCAAGCGCGGTCGCCGTCCCGGTCACAGTCGTGGTCACGACTTCCTGTGCATAACCGTAGCCGCAGCCTAAACAGCAAGAACGCAACCGAGTTAGCCCAGAGCTGGTCCAAAATGAAACAGAAGCAACACGGATTCGGGCCAGGCTTGAAAAAAGTCCATGCCCACGACTTGGTGAAGGCAGGAAGGGCGGACGTGAGGGGGGAAGAGACTGACCTGATGATTGGGGAAGATCAATGTATCCGCAATCACGACATTTTCCCTCCGCCCGGCAGCAAAGACAACCACCTCGGCGATGTCGTCCGGCGTGAGGGGCTCGACGCCCTTATACACAGCGTCGGCTTTGGATTTGTCGCCGTAGAATCGGACGACGGAGAATTCCTGTCCACGAAACGGAAGGTGATGTTAGTAGGGTGACACGCATAAAAACAAACATTGCGCGGGGGTAGGATTGCCCTCCTCGTGTGCCGACTCAAGCCAGACTGTGTATCAACCCGCTATTCTGAAGGAGAGGGGTGAGTGCGGCCAAAGGGGTCGCTCAAGGCACTTCTCACCGTTTCGACCTGGCCCGGATCGATCTCAATGACCCTGATTCTCGTAGCAATCAACTCTCGGCGCAGGGAATCCGTGAACGTGCGCACGGCGGCCTTGGTTGCACAGTAAATACTGCCACCAGGATAGCCTTCACGCCCGGCAATGCTGCCGATGTTGATGATGTCGCCGCGCCCACCGTCCTCACCGTTGCGCTTCTTCTTGAAGATCGGCAGCACCGCCTGCGTCACGTTGATCAGGCCCGTCACATTGGTCGCGAACATGACGTTGATGTCCTCGGCCTTGATGTCGGGGGCCTGGTCCACGCCCTTGACCAGCCCGGCGTTGTTGATGAGGATGTCAATGTCCTTGAACTCGGCAGGGAGGCTGGGGATCAGGTTGGCCACCTCGTCGGGGTTTGACACGTCCAGCTTCACCGGCAGCACTTTAACCCCGTCGCCGACCTCCTTCTTGATGTCCGCCGCCACTTCTTTCAGGGTGTCGATCCGCCGCGCCGTGATGATGATCTTCAGGTCCTTCGGGCTGGTCCGAGCGAACTCTTGCGCGATACTGCGTCCGATGCCGGACGAAGCACCCGTGACCAGCACGGTCTTGCCCTCGAGGCGCTTTGCTACGGAGGAAGTGGACGACATCTTCCGGATTGTCTGCGCGAGGTACGGATACTTCGACGAGGTCGGGCGTTGGCCGGCGTAGGAGAGTAGCTTGTGCGGGGAACTGGGCCGCAGAGAGGGAAATGCGAGGAATCTGCCGGCGGATATGAAGGTAGAGAAGACGGTAGGGGATGGAGGCATGTACAGAGCAGAGAGCAGATGTCAAGGCAGCAAGTGAGGAATTCTGACCGAGGGCTCGAGGGAGAGGAAGTGGGAGTCTCAAAAAGCTGGCCCAGCGCCATTGGGAGTCAGAGCCTCAGAGCCCGCTTCGGCTTTTGGCTTGTGGTTTGATAGGCAATGAATGCACCGAGCCCGAATTTGGAGGAAATGACGAATTCGTACTCCAATATTACTATATCCATTAAGGAAGGCGCCTGAAGGCATTTGGAGCCGGACTGCCCCCCAGCTCGTGCCGCGGCCAATCAACTTGTCACCTTCATCGGCGACAAACCCGTAGCCTTGTCACACACGTGACCCCGACTATTCGTAGTCCATTAGATACCAAGGTATGTGTACCAAGGTATGTGTACCAAGGTATGTGCACATTAGTGTTATTAGGCTACGACAGGATGACGGCGTATAGAATAGACTGTAGACTGCGTTGGTACCGATATGCCCATCTCTGAAGACAGTCGTCGAACGGAGAAGTCGCCCAATATCCAGAAACACTGTCTATGACATGCCGAGCAATCCCCCCTGTGGGCATTTCAGACTTCCTTCCGACCGTTCATCGCCGCCAATGAATGCAAGACCCCTCGACTCCTCTGAGCAGAGGATATCATGCACGCAACTCCGTATTGGCAGCATCAGATTCGTAACTTGGCATAACCTCGTTGCTTGCAAGGAGCTCCACAGCTTTTGTTGGAGAAAGTGCCACCTGCAACATCACTCAACCCGACATCGCCAAATTAGTTGCTTCCGTCAACCCGAACGACGGACGAGAAGGCTCTCCGACTCACGCCCACCGGTATATGCCGAGACATTCCTACCTCCAAGACAGTAGGGGAAACATACTTTTGTACCAGACAAAAGCGACTAGGGAGTGTTGGCTATAGAAAACCTGATTCTGATAGTAGACGGGTGATCTTGTCCTCCTCTTTCTCGCGGGGTTCGATCTTCAAGCTCTCATTGTACAAGTCTTGTACGTTCCTGGCGCTTTTCATGTTGTCGGAAATCCAATCTTGCAACTCTGCCACAGAGTTGAGGCTGTAAGGCACATTTTGATACTGCTGAATATCTCGGATAACTTCGGCGGTTTTGGTCCGTTTAGCAAAGTTGATGAATTCGGTATTCTTCACAAGGGACGCAATGCCATCCTCGATAAAAATCAAGTCGGTCAAGTAGACGCCCAAGAAAGGGATGCAGGGAGGTGTCGCAGCGTGCAGTGTTGCTCGATATTGGACAAAATTCTTCGACGAAGAAATGAGTTGGCGCATCGACTCCAGCATTGCCCTGGTCTTGGGGTTGACCTGATGCCATGTGCGATTGAGTCGCAGTATCGGTGCTGTGCCCATGGCCGAGATGATCGCCGTCACGGCCGAGAAGTTGTTCAATAATCGACATTTCTGATTCTGTCAGTCAAACTACCAAACTCCGGAAACGTAGAGCAAGACTCACATCTGCGATTGCCACAAAGTGTTTGATGATGACAACCCTCTTTTTGAGATCGGATTGCTGTATTATCATCTCCGCGACCCAGTTCGTCAACTGATTAGAATGGAGAATCAACGCCTGCACATTCGGCGCAGTATCGTTGTTATCCGATTTGCCCTTCTTCTCCCATGTCTTCGCCAGGCACTCGACCGGTTTGATCTTCCCATACAGTTTCGATTCAATTATCGTCAACTGTCTGGCAAACTCGGTAGGATCGATGTCGAGGAATTTCATTTTCTTCATATTCCTCGGTAGGATGGGTGTAGGTGCAGAGTTTGTAACTGTGAGAACCAGCCTCTTCGAAGACGTTTCTCCTCCCTTCAGTCGTTGTTCAACGATATTAACTACCACCTTGGCGATCTTGGTGCTGATGTGTGTACTCTTCGCGAAGGCCTGGATTTTTTCAAGCAAGGCCTTGCAGGCATCATCGTCACTCTCCATCCAATACAGCTCCAGCCAGGTTTTAAGAATGTTCAGTACCCTAAACCGGGCCGGCTTTTGCTTGTGCTCCTCCCAGATGAGGAACTCGTCTCTGTTCAAGCCAGCCGGGGGCTGTAGATTGAAACGTTGCACTAAAAGCTCGAACAATTCAGACGCGGTTGTGAAGGACCGATAGGTGAGCAGAAAGGTGGTTGTGAATTTCGTGTCGGGGCGGTCGTGGCGAGTGAGCTGTTCAACCAACCCGGTCAGCGTGCCGCTTTTGACCTGCGGCGGCTCGCTCTTTGTGTCATATGTCACTTCATCTGCATGGTCAAGCTGTAGATACCAAGGCACCTCATCCACAGGAAAGCTTGACTCCACGTTACCAGTTTCAAGCTGTGCCAGATCCGGCGGGATCTGCCCAAAAAATTGGCTCGCTTTGTCTTTGGTTGGAGGACGACGAAGCTTGTCTGGCAATGCTGGATCTTGACCCAGCGTGTATGACTTGGATTGGCCGAGGTCCGCCAAAGCAGGACGATTGTTCGCAGCGTGGGCGGAATCACCTCTGAGATGATGAGCCTGGTATGTTTCGCCACCGTCGGTCATGCGGTGATCTCGTTTGCTTGTCGGTCTGGGTGGGTTCAACGAGGTTGCTGGAAGTAGGAGCTGGAGAGCGTACCCAATGTTCGAGACAAGAGTGTCGAGTTGCTTGCAAGCGCCTCGAACATTGTTCATGCGTACATCCAGAGGCTCGCCTCGGAATTCGGCCCATTCGTCCGGGAGTGGTGCTGTAACTGCCTGGCAGACATTTATCAATTCACCAATCGAGTCGTAGGCCTTTTGCTTTTGTGCCCCAAAATCAACCAGTGACGGTTTCTGAAACACGTTTCCCAGGACCGAGAAGTCGATTGATTCGATGTGTGTAATCCACGGCCGAAAGTGTTCGATAACAACGCTGGCTGCGTGACAAATAGTGTCACCAATTGTGGACTGTCGTGCCGGTGTCACAATCTTCTCAGTCAACAGAAGTGACTCCTCCAGTCGGCGAATGCTCGCCACCAGGTGCTTCTTCGAGTCATCGATCTGATGTAGCAGTTGGGCGTCGAGTGGGACGAAAGGGCGTGGTCGAAGTTCGTCATTCGAATCCATAAACGAGACCTCTTCGAGATTTGCTCGGCTGTCATTGTTGTTGTCCCGCCAGCTTCCCCCGATATTGCTCCCCAAGATGAAACCAGGAAACAACCGTGGTATCTCCTTACCTCGCTGCTGCTTTGCCACCTCGACATACCCGTCGACACCGTTCATCACACCGTCCGCCTCTTGCAAACATTTTGTTAGAGCGTCTGCACTCGGCCAATCGGCGGCCGCGATGTGTGACGACAGGACAAGTTTCGAAAACTTCGACATCATCTCGCGGAAATGGGGGTAGAGTGCTTTGTTGGAAGATATGATGGACGGGACACCAGAGTGATTGTCAGTTGTGCCTGAGCCTGCGGCAAGGAGCATTCTGAGATGATCCGAGATGTCTTCTGCCCTCCGAACGTAGTCGGCACGGGCGTGGGTACGGATCGCATGCCGGTATGCGTCAATTGCAGTTCGCATATTCTCGACCAAAGTCTCCCAAGTAATAGAGGCTGCGGTGGTGCCATCCAAAAAGTATCTTGCTGTGGGAGATTTAGTAATCTTCGGCTTCGGAGGTACAGTGAAGGAGGTGGCTGTCATTTCAGGAGGAGGCAGCGTCATCGAGATACCGGTAGAACCAAAGGTGCCAGTGAATGTGTTGGGCAATTGGTTGCCTGTATGTTGGCCGGCGCTTACATCGAAGGAATCCATAGAAGTGGAGGTGGAGATGCTACTAGAAGTCACGGAACCCTTTTTGCGTGAAGAGACAAAAGACTGTTCACCATCAGCCTCAGATGCGGAACCGTCATAATCCTCCTCATTCTGCCCATACCCTCCTGCCATCATTTCTGGGGGCGGTCTGGTCTGTTCCGGCACGTGGAAATGACTGCGATCTCGAGGACCAGGCTCATCTGAACTCGTAGGTGTCTCTAAGGGCAGTTCCATTGTGCTGACACCTGTCAGCGTGTTGAAATAGAACAGTCGTCCATCCGGAGTGGCCTGAGGGACCCAGAACGCAGCCTCTTCTTGTGTCTGGGTGCTAGCCCCTTCGATTGGAAAGTCAGAATCATCGTCTTGAGTGCGCCCGTCTGAATCCTCCTCTTCATCGTCATAATCCTCCTCAGTTCCCGACCCTGTACTAGTCTCGCTCTCATCGTGGCCTCCAGGGCCTGACCCCCTCAGCTCACTGGGATCGGTTATTTCAACGGTATAATTACTCGGGAACCAGCCCCGAACATCGTTTATCACCCCGTCCCACCAGCCACTCTCAAGTTGTGTCAAAACCTGGATGATATCACCCTGTCGGAAACTGAGGCTGGTATGGTCGTCCGCCTCATAGTTGTACAGGGCTCGGACATAGATGGGTGGAGGAGGTGGAGGAAGGTCTGGACTGGCAACATAGCCGTTCATAGCAGCCGCTTGAGCAGCACGTCGACGTGGCGAAAGGCCACTCATGGAAGAACCCGGTCTGGGAGCGGATTGAGCTGGTCGGACGGGTACTGTGTAATGGAAAGCTGCGCCGAATGTCGACCCAGACTTGGTTGAGCGGTCTGGTGAGGTCGAGTCTTGTGCTACTCTGCGAGAAATTGACATTTCACCACGGTTTTCCGACAAGAGACGAATCCAACACCCGAAGCTTGCCTGTCGGAGCACAGAGAGACAGGCAGGATCTGCATATTCGACGGCGGCGTTATACGGGCCAGGCAGAGAGGCAGACTACGGAGCGCCGCCGAACAATCGTGATATAGAAGGGAGGGTTACGAGAGGCGAATTGAGGGCAAAGCAACGGAGTCTTCTGGTCGACTGCCGTGGCAGATGTCAGACGTTCTGCGATGATAGGTGGAGAATGATAGGCGCCAGGTCGAAGGAGAGGGAGCTCGAGTGGACAGGTCGTCAGGCGGCTATCTGCAACAGTGTTGCCGGTGCAGCGAGAGCAGAAGGCGTTCCCGTCGAGAAGAGGACGACAGAGGGCCAGAGAAAGAGGGCTTAGGAGGCAGAGGGTGCGTTCGCTAAAAGTATGGGTACGGCGAAAACCCAAGATAGAGAGTCAAGGATTGCTTTGTGGTGAGGCCGTTGAGATCCCTGCTGCGCGTGGAAGGACGATCCATGGGCTTGTACGGTCTCTGTTCTGCACAGGCGTTCTGATGCTTGCGCCCAGCCATCTCCACAACCTTTCATACCACTAACTATGTAGTACGGATACGTACTCTGTAGTTCCCATCTCGACTCTCGACCCCAGTCCGTCAGTCCTCAGTCCCTGAAAGACCTGGGAACTGGTAATCCTACCGGTCAACAATTATCCTGTATTGCCTTCTATCATCCAATTGTCTTGCAAGATCGTTCCTCAGCCGCCTGTCAAGTGTTCGCAAGCCCAAACCATACAACCCAGTCCAACGTTGGCCCATGAGCCACTATCCAATGGTGCTCAACCCACCATTCCCTGGCCATTCTTCCAACCAGGAGGTCTCGATACATATTCGTTAGCCCAGCAGCCCCCCTGTCGCTGACCTCTCCGCCGGGTTTCGCTGTGTTTCTACGACCCCCATCTTCCTCGAAGCGAAAGAGACTCTGTCTTCTCTTGGTGGTGCGACTTGTCCGTTGTTTCAAGCTTCGTCGGTCACAAACCTTGGAGTAGCTGATTCCTGGAGTATGGGCTTACGCCTCTCCCCGGACATCGTGGTTCCGAACCGAAGGGGACACCAAAAAAGAACCCTGCACTAGAGCAGCATACCTACCAGGAACATTCGAGCGAATCCTTTACGTTACATGATTGTACCAGCATGCGCCAATCCAAGAGCAGGCAGAGAAATTCGTTCTCTACTCGTCGTATGGCAACAAGTCTTGCATGTCTCTTCAGCCGGAGCTCCGAGAATATCAGGGCCCCCAGGTTTCTCTTTTTGGATCTCATTGGATCTCAAGACACGTCATCAACCAGAGGAGCTTCATAGGTTCGGACGACGTGCGACACTGTTGAGTTCAAAGCTGCCTTTCCACCCCGATCCCAACATGCAATTTGCCGGCGATACACGAGGCAGGCAGCTATTTCTTTGATTCCGAAACTCTCGAAGAACCCCGAACACAGGATATGAGAATTAATCCCTTTATCTGTCTGACTATGAAAGCAAAAACTGGCCGAGGCATTGTTTGACTGCGCTCGCACTGGGCCTTCATATTTTGCTCCGTTGGTCCACAGTCAAGGCTACACGTCAGCCTCAATGGTAGAAATGCTTCTCTACCTACAAAACATTGCGATGACATCGAGGTAGGTGGGTTTGATTACAGAGTCAGCCTTCAAGAGGCAAGCCTTGCATTCTATCTACCTAGGGGCAGGATCTGGCCTGACCTATAGGAAGTGTCTTCCCTGGTGTGAGCTAGTCGAAAAAATAAGTTGACTGCTTGTTACAAGATTGAGAGAAAGTTGTCCTGAGTGTGACTGAGGATCCGCGTCAATCTTCGGTTATAGTGAATGTGGTTTTGCTGATACCAGTCCACCTGGATGCGTGCATTTCACGAGAAGGAATGAAGCCTGAGGATTCCATCAGGCGGTTTGGACGGCTCGAACACCATCGACTGCTTTTCTCTCGGACAGTAAGATAGCCTCTGGACGAGGCCTGAATGTGCGGAATGTCGTGAGGTATCATCTTGAAACGCACTTCCCAATGATTCTGGGAATTCCATTATCGCGCGAGCTCAGTCTCTGATGCTGGTATATCGACAGAAAATGCGCCAGTCTCCGGCAATAACGGAATCTCCGGGTTTTATATCAGATACTACTGCAGAATGAGCTACATGACCCTCCGAGTATGTTTTGTTATCCTCCTTTATACGACACACAAGGACAGAACCAGGTACAGCAGTATTCCTTTCCTGCCAGATGCGCAATCCGTGCGCGAAGTCTCTCAAAGAACAGTTTCCTTGAACGGATAATCTCACCTCCGACCAGTTACCGAGAGCTTTTCTCTACAAGGTCTGTGAGGGATCTGAGCGATGAAAGTTGCCGTGTCTTGGGGCCGAGCAAAGCATCTCAGATAGAAATCAAGCCACGCTAGGAGCGTGCCACATAGTAACGGCCCTGGTGTCATTCACGTTAGATGAAATCCCTCGCAACCACTGTCTAATGTTCACGGCATTGGCGCAGGCATCTCTCCATAACTGCATCGTTCCCAATCAGTGGAGACTGCGCAGACGTCTGACTCGACACTTTTGCCAGACAATATTCGTGCGAATCTTGTCAAAATAGGCTTCCGAAGCGGGACTTCGGTTCGGCTAGTAGATACCAGGCACTGCTAAGCTTGATAGATCGAGGGTGAAGATATCTGAGTCTTCGGATGAAGAATTAATTAGGTTGGTGCCTAGAAAAGCCGGACGCGACGCGCAGTGAGCTGAAGCCACTCCATGGTCGGTCTGACACATGTCCCCTGACGAAAGGAGCTCACAATCACCCAAAAGACTCAAAAGTCTCCAATATCGGCCGGATCACAAGATGTCTGACCGGTACTATCGTCCTTTGCAGCTCTTCGACTTGTTTTCATCTCCTGTGTTCAGTCTTCGATTTCAAGAAAATTGTGCGGTCAAGCGTGCATTGCTGAAGTAGGGCCATGTCTCAGGAACATCCTTATTCCAATGCCCGGCTCTCATAGTTCACTTTATTGGTGTTAGACAACGCACCTCATGTTCCCCATCGAAGGATGCTGCATGCACAGTAGAAGCCCACGACGTTCGTTCGTTCGTTTATCCCTGTGAGGTTCTGAGAGTTCGGAGCAGCCAGAGAGGGGGAGAGACCCGTCCGGCGTCCACCCCCTCGGTGCTTCTTGTGATGGTTTCAGCCGATAGCGATCAGCTGATAAGGAAGCGACATTCATTCGGGCTTCTCGAATCATCCCGAACGGGGCGAGGCGATTGGGGTTGGCAAACCAGTGAACGATGCGACACTGCCGGAGATTGTTCAGACTTCAGATGAGGTTTGGCCCTTGGGCAATACCGGGAGGTAGACTCCGTAACGAGGGTGGGCGGCGAGCGGGGCATTGTGGCTTGACGGCTTGTGGGATCCCGCCGGCTGTCATTGCTGCGGCGTCCGTGGTGGCTCCCTTCCATCCCGGCGTGGTAGGTGCTTAGCTGGAAGCTGGAAGCCTTAGGAGCCGTGCTTCGACTGACGCTGGCGCCTCCCCTTGCAACTTGGACCGACGTAGCGGAACCGAACGACAACAAGGTACACATGGCAGACCTTTGCTGGAAGAGTCCAACAGGAAAAATGCAGAGGCTCATGCAGGCACCCCAGGTTTGGCTCGTCCACCCGTCTCAGATACAGTTAGACTATACTCCGTATTCGGGGAGGGATACGCGTTATGATCAAGCATATCGTAGCAGCAGGAGCATGGGCGGCCTGCTTGCGGCCATTTGTAGGTAGACGTTCGTCTAGCCTGGAGCAAAGGCGTTGAGCGGGGATCTCATGAAGGACAGACTCTGGCTTATTCCATGGCCAAAGAAGTCGCACCATGAACGCTGTGAGGAAGTTTTGAACATTCATCGTCCGAGACTGCAGTGCGTGGGAGTTCGCTAACTTGTTGACTCGTACCAGTCTTGTGGGCGACTAAGAGACATAGCCCCTGCTCCTGTAGCAGCGATACGTACCAAACATTTCTCCGGAAAAGCCAAGGTCCAGCAGCCCGATTTTTACCCACGAGGACGGGATCTCGGATGATGGGTCACTTCCACTATTACGCGGAAGTAGAAATGACTCTTCCTAGGTCGAATATCCTAGCTATTCCAGGGGAAAGTGGCATAGTCTGACAAGAGGAACCACCCTTAACCAGGTGGAGGAGGTGAATTGACTGGCTGAGCTCCAAGCAGCGGTGGACATGTCTTCCCAGTCAGACCGAGTGGAATTCCCTGGTGTTGAATCCTAACCTTAGCCAGTCTTAGCGAGCTCCACGTCTCGAACCCAAGTAGGGCCCCCCCGGGTCAGGAGCTGGCTGCTGCAGGAACATGCCAAGGCGAGATTCAAAAATGCTGACGATCTGTCTCCCATGCAACCACTAAACTCACTTGTGAATATGTCCTCAGCAAATAAATGTCATGGTTTGATTCGGCCATGTGCCGTAACAGTAACTGTTGTGCCCTCCAGAAGCCATCAATTGTAGCTGGCCTGTCCAATGAGAAACGAAGCTTGGCTTGTCGCACTGCGATGGTTGGAGGCCGCATTCTTGGGCGTCACGCTGGATAGCCAACGGCAAGCGTGGGTACGGACCGACGCTCCTGGGATTGATTGATGGCTGGTGGGCGGGTGGCTGGGAATGTGTCGCGAATCGATGATGCTCAAGATCCAAATGCCCCCGATTCCCACTTTCGACTACCAATCTTCGCCCTCATATTTTCGCCAGCTATCACCATCACCGGATCTCATAGTAAGGAGACTCTCCCCGGTATTCAGCACTTCCCTCATAGATACCTGTACACGTACTCGTAGAAGGCAAAGCAACGCCCATCTTCGACTACCTCGACTTATATGGCATGGTACGAAAATTGGGACATCGTAGACCAGGGATAGCGGTTCCTTGAGAGGGGCTCGCGGTAACAACGGTAACTGTGTAGGTGAAGAACTAGGTTAGGTAGGAAGGCCACAAAATCCGGAAGTGGCAGAAGCTGGCCGGTCGCTGGCCAGGCCGGAATGAGGGTCGAGGGGTTTTCTCGAATGCGAAGCTTAGCAGGGAAAGCTGGCACTGGAAGGGAGGGACGGAGGCGCTAGGCACACAAGGACTCGACATCGCGGGTCTGTCGCCTTGGGTGTTGTGACGGTAATTTTTCAGGGGCTTGAGGAGGGCCAGCAAGAAGGCGAAGGCGAGGGCAAAGGACCACGAAGGAGGGATGCCTGGAATCTCAGCGCCTCTGCTCGCCTCCTGCCCCTCCTTTGTTTCTTTTCATTGCACACGCCTCCTCTTCTCAGTGTTTCAATATCGTCGTCGTCGCTGCATACATCTGTAATATTATATCGCAAAACCCGCTGTTGCAGGCCAGCCTCCATATCCGTTTCGCCTCTACCAACCGCTGCTGCATGCTGCAGCACTCGCGCGGCCCCACGTGATCCAGCCTGCGCTGTCTTGCCAATCGAATCCAAATCCCCCTCTGTGGCCCAGCGAGCCAGCAAACCCCGGGCTGCAAACCTGCCACCACCTCTCACTTTTCCCAATCGACTCGCCTGGCGCTCCTTCTACACGGCATGAACACGGCGCATCCTACGTCCCAGAACCATCTCTCTCTTGAGCGAAAGGCTTGCGCGTGGTCGGAGGACTCTTAGCCTTTATTTGCGAACCATGGGCCAACCCGACACAGCTATCGGCTCTGAGGCTGCCAACACGGCCGCGACGACAGCCACTCCCAAGAAGCCTGCGTCGGCGCCCGAGAAGAAGTACAAGTGCCAGTACTGCAATCGAGCCTTCAGTCGAAGCGAGCATCGGAGTCGACACGAGCGATCGCGTAAGTAGAGCAACTTTTTTTTGTCTTTGCGACGTGGGGCAATGAGCAGACCCCGCCATCACCATCCATCATCATCAAGTGGGAATCATCGTCGAGTCGACCCCAGCTAACTTTCATCCTCTTGATAGACACCAAGGAGCGCCCCTTCAAGTGCCAGAAATGTCGAAGCACCTTTGTCCGTCGAGATTTGCTCCTGCGCCACGACCGAACTGTACACGCGAAGGATGGCGGCATCCCTTTGCAATCTGAAAGCCGAAAGAAATCAGGGACAGGTGCAGTGACCAAGACGTCGTCCTCAGCGGCCGTACCGTCAAAGCCCTCGATCAACATCGACGCTGGCACGTTGGAGCAGATAGAGGCAAGCAGCGATGGTATGCTCGACCTTGAAACTGCCGCCATGTTGATGACAGACTTCCAACACAAGGCGGCAGCAGCAGCAGTGAACGGCCATCTCCAGAACGGCGAAGGATCCATAACCAGTTACTCTCCCGACCGTAGCTCTCTCCTCGAATCCTCTGACTATTTGAGCGGTCCCAACAGTCTGCCACATATGCCCTGGGACACCTTTATGCCACAAGGCCCATCGGAACCAAAGGCCCACTCAATGTCGAGCATGTCTTCTCAAGATAACCTCTCTCAACCGCCCTACGTCCACATGGGATCGATACAGCCTCATCAAACGCATCTCCCGCCCATCATGGAACGTCATAACTCTCTCGGCGGTTCTCTCCCACCGACGTTCCCATCGCTAGCGGACTCCTTCCCGGTCTCTGCAACTCCAACGCCAAATGCGCTGTCCCCGTTTCCGTCAATGACTGGTCCTGTGTCTCCGGTGAACTATCGCAAGTCACCAGGTCCCGCCCAACCCCTTTCTTTGCCCAAAGCTCCTCAGTTCAAAAACGAGAATGAAAGAGCTAGTATCGCTAACCAGTTAGGCGGGGACATCGCGTTACCACCTTTACCTTCTATCAATCTCTACCTTACCACGTACTTCAACCTGTTTCACCACCATATGCCGTTTCTCCATCCTGTCAGCTTCTCTCCTGAGAATACTGAGCCGGCTCTACTTCTTGCCGTTCTGTCCATTGGAGCGTTGTACAACTTCGAACAAGAACAAGCATACCTCCTTCATCATGGTTCCAAGAAGCTTGTCAATCAGTTTCTGCAGAATAAAGACAACTTCGACTCCCGCAAATGCCCACTTTGGACAATGCAGAGCACCCTTCTGAATATGGTTTTTGAGAGCTGGAGTGGCGGTTCTCAAGGCTTGGAATGGGCATGCTCCATCAAGAGTTTGCTTGCTAATGTAAGTCGATTGCCCTGCGGTTTTAGTCTGCAACTGACCAATCTATAGATGGTTGCTGGCAACAAATACGAGCTCAAGCTTCGAATCGATGGACGCTCAGGTGCCCCCCCAACTCACGAAGAGTGGGCCGCCGAAGAAGGATGTCGAAGGACCTACTACGCAGTCTACATCTTCTTTGGGATGTTGACCCTGACCTACAATCACACCCCAGCCATCAGCTTCAACGAATTCGATTCACTGCCTCTTCCGTCCTCGGAATCCCTTTGGAACATCGAACCCTCCGATGAAGATTCTTGGCAAGAAATCTTTGCGGCATCGCCAACTATTACAGTCCGCGAGGCGCACGATAGCCTGTTCCAGGGAGATCCTGCCCGCTACAGTGCTTTCGCGACCCGAGTAATGATCAATGCCCTGTTTTTGGAAGTGTGGAATTTGAGACGGAGCTTTGAATCCTTGCAGGACGTGGTACTAGAGTGGAAGATTCGCATCGCCTTGGAGACCTGGGAGCGATCTCTGGACCTGTGTGAACCCGAAACTATCGTCGTGCCATTGTCCACACCCCACAAGAGTCACCCGCTCATCTTCAACTCCATGGCTGTCTACCGAAACACGAGGGCTTTTCTTGAAGTGGACCTTAAGAATGTCCAGGAAGCTTTGCGGTATCACAATTCCTTCGAAATCGCCGGCGCGATGACGCTTTCCCGCGACAACGTGAAGAGGACCAAGGAAATGATCAAAGTGGTCGAACAATGCTACGAGTGCATGGAAATTGTTGCCATGCAAGGCATCAACTGGGTGACGAAGACCTCTGCCACTAACTGGAGTATCGAATTTCCTCTCTGTGGTCTCGAACTCATTACCATTCTCAGCTTATGGCTATATCGCATAGAGCATGACGATCAAGAAGCGACCGAGGAGGAGCTTGCTATGTATATGAAAGTGCGTGGGTTATTCGACGACGACGCTGTTGATTCGAATGGCTCTCGTTTGAGTTCAACAGTCGCCCGCGTTTGGGGTACAATGCTGGACGGTGTTGTGGTTTGGGGGTAAGTCCCAGCATCGGTCATTTTGGCCACGAACAATACTGATGTTTGCTAGTATCTCCAAAACCATGGGCGAATCATTCAAGCTACACGCTCAAGCTCTGGTTGGATATATTGATGAACTACCCATAGATCCAGTCACGGGCATGCCCCAAGTACCGGATCAGACTTTGATGGGTATGGAAACAGCATACTAACTTTGCGATTTACGACACAACTCCTCTCTACATCCTGCATGGCGATCTCGAGGGTTATTTTTCGGCAACAGGACTCGGCGTTGAAACGGGCATAATCACCTTGTTTGTTTTCCAGCTTGTGGACTTTTTTTCGACAGTCTTGTCTCCAGCACCAGGTCCCGTCGTTGACAGCCGGTCGTTGCTATCCTCGAACCCGGCATTGTCCTCGTGACATGACACAGTCACTTCGTGATCATCTATCTCACCACTTGAAACACCTCGATCCAAATCCATCACGACCACATACAAACTAATCTTCTCTCTTAATACCTTGTGCGCTTAGAGATACAAGACGCTTTGTCTTCCATCACCTCTTCCCCTTAACGACATTTTCGCTCGAACAAAGATTGGACGAGCGTCAACCCCGGCCGGCAGGGATCTGGCTTATGAACCTTCAACTTTTTCTCAATTCTGACTTGAAACGGCCGTTTGCTGGTTTGGATCATTCTCCTCTGTACACTAGTGAAGTACGATTGCGCTGGGAGCGGAAAACATTGGCTGCGTTTGGCAACGGCACCATATAAGATTGCATACTATGTTTAGGGCGAATTTCAGCTTAATGATAACAAATCCTGCGACTGTCAAGGTTGCCTTTTCTCAACGTGCTCCCCGTTTTTCCTGTTCCCCAAAATCGTGTGTGATGCATTTGCTTCGATTCGAACTAGCCGGCGCTGAAACGGAGGGAGGCACAGTGGTGGCAGCAACAACGACATGATAGTTTAAAGCAGCAATCTGCCCACCCGAAAAGGGTCACGTCGCAGCCACCTCGACAGCCAGCCTTGCCAGTGTCATGCTCAAGTTGATATCAATCAGCCTTTACACCCACTGATAGACTGCAGGCTTGTCCCAGGACTCGCAGCCAAATCATATGACATACTCGATATTCCACAATCTGTCCGTATCCTCAATATCCAGCAGTCCCCGTATCCGAGGCTTCTTCCACCCTCGATGACCTCATCCTACGCACACCCACATATCAAGAAGCGCACCCACGACCATTGACCATGGCACCATCGCCTACAATGCGGAGGCTTCTCAAAGAGACCGCCGAGCTTTCGTCGTCGTCCTCGAATCCGAACCCTTCCTTCTTCGCGGCGCCTGTCTCGGACTCAGACTTGCACGAATGGCACTTCACGCTCCTTGGCCCGCCGGCGCCCTCACCTTACGCTGGTGGTATCTACCATGGGCGCATCACACTTCCCACAACATATCCGCTGAAACCGCCCAATTTCCGCTTCCTTACACCCTCTGGTCGTTTCGAAGTCAATCGCGAGATCTGTCTTAGCATATCAGGGTTTCACGAGGAGACATGGATGCCTGCATGGGGTGTGAGGACGGCGCTGACAGCCCTAAGATCTTTCATGGCCGAAAAAGGATCGGCAGGCCAGGTGGGTGGGCTCGAGTCCAGTCCGGAGGTTAGGATGAAGTTGGCCAAGGACAGCCGCGCGTGGAGGTGTGATGCGTGCCAGAAGTCGAACGAGACGATCATGCGTGAATGGTGGGAGATTTGTTACAAGGCCGGCGTGAGAGTTCAGGAGGAGGATCTAAATCTCGAATCACTACCCGATGGGATGGCCCTAGAGGCCAGGGATCCCAAAGCACAGAGCATACCGGAGCCAAGCGAGGGCGGTGCAGAAAGGCATTTAAATGAGAAGACTGCACAGCCGGGGACTTCCCAAGTACAGGTGCCGTCCGATTCTTCGTCCACAACGCCCTTGATGCCACCAAGGCCCTCTTCTTCAACGGATGTGCTTCATGTAGACGGAGCGTATCAACCACACAGTCCATGCTCAACCCTCCGTCCGGCATCCCCGGCGTCTCTTCCCTTCGTCCCCACGCCATCGGCCGAAGCAGTCCAGGCATCCGCCGAAGCAGTCCTTACACCATCTGACCTCGCTCTGCCACCACCCTCGGACGACTCACGGGCCCGACACCCCATGGTGTCCAGCATCCACGCACCCCCAGTAGCAGCGGCTAACGCGGCCGTCTTACGAACTGCACAACCGTTGGCCCTTCAGCAGAACGGAGAGCGACAGCGTGAGCAGACCATCACAATCGACCGCGCCATAGCGGGTGTCTTTCTGGCCCTGTGTCTGATGGTACTCAAGAAGATCTTCTACCCTGCGGGCGGGGCTGGACATGGAGGTGTTGACGAGTTCTATCTTCAGCGGGAGTGACCACCATTAGATTGCGCGTTCATGCAAGGCTATTTGGAGAGGCATATTGAGTGGACTTATCGTGGCTGTCTGGCCCTTGATGCCGGGTGCTCGGTGCTCGGTGCTCAGTGCTCGAGGTTGCTTTCAATAGAGATACCGTCGGTCTTTTGCTTGACTGCATATTCTAGCTATATTACAGCGAACGCACTGCGGCCTTGCAGAGTGAGACGAACAAACACCGGCAGTATCAGACATTAAGGCTGGTTGGTACCTTTCAACGGGGTACCCGGCCCTGAATATTAGCACCAAAGATCAACAACGCAGCGCCTCCCAAGCAGCTGATAATCACACACAGGCATGTCATCTCTCATTGGGAACGCTCCAATGCAATACAGTGAGGACTCGCCCGCAGCCCACTAGGCGGACACGACGTCATGCATGCAGAAATCAGATCGACATGAGGCAAACGAGACCACCAGAAGAGCAGGAGGAGTAAGATACGACTACACATCACCAATAGACAAGGTCGGTCGGGAATGGAATGCACAAGCAATGAGAATGAGACCCGATCGGATCCATCGGGGACAGCTTTTCCGTCTACTGGGCAAAGGGCAAACCTTCAATTCGTATACGAGAAGCACTATTTGAATATCGAATATTGAATACCCTACTTCTCAGACTGCCAGGAGTCAGTGTTATCTATTGAGAGCATAAATCTAGCTCGATGGAGTCACTAGGAGACACTCCGTACTTCCCTCTCAGCCTTGTCGCCTGGATGAGGCTGATATTACGAAGTCACGGGGTGCCAAGCAGATGAGGCTGGCTCTTTCCTTTTTCCATCAACTTCATGCCTCCCAACATACTTCTTTGGTCCCCTTCAAGTTCCAAGTGTGCTCAGTAGCTGTCGCATTCGCGGCGCTGGTGCGGTGCAGAAGGACAGGCATAGAGAGAACAACATCCAGTGCTCCAAATGTCCATAATGTTGCTGCGCCTCATCGACACAGCCTCGCGGGACACATTTTTGGGGTCATGACGGCCTACTTATAAGAACAATTGATCCACGAACCGATGACAACCTAGGGGATCGTCGTTGCTCTGGAATCGACCTAAATATGGTGGTCCCAGCATTTGGATTCAGCGTGGGGGACTTCATAGCTGCGATTGGTAAGGACGCCGTCCACCGAATCCCATCCCCGGTTTTATCCCCAACTGACCCGTCGCAGAGCTTTGTGCCAAAGTGGGCAAATCTCTTAGAACTGTCGGTGGCGCTTCAGACGACTATCAGCATGTCGCGATCGAACTGGAGGGACTCCAACTTGCATTGGCACGGCTACAGGCGCTTGAGCCGACCGAAAGCAATGTCAGCCAAGTCAACGCCATCCGAGGGATGGCCTTGGCTTGCAGGCTCCCGTTGCAGGAGTTTCTGACTAAGATCCAAACCTACGAGTCTCAGATGGGACCCTGGGCAGCCAGCTCACTCAAGGGTGCCGGGAAGAAAGCCAAATGGGCCGTCTTCATCACCCAGGATGTTCAGAAACTGAGGGGCATGGTGTCTGCCAAAGTCTGGAGTATAAATTTACTACTGGCAACCCACGCTTCGTGAGCAACACTTCCACTCTGTTGGGATGTCGTGGTGCTGACTGGAGTAGGGAAACGTTGTCCAAATTACACTCCACCAGCGGTTCGCGGCATACAGAAGTTCTATCGATGATGGAGCACCAACAGTCAGATTTAGACGACCTTTCAGCGAGAATCAATTCAGACAGTCTCGAGAATAGGAGGCTGCACGAGGCCGGGGCTACTACCATGAATGATATATCGGCAAAGGTGGAAGACCTCTATATGGGTGTTCAGTCGGCTAGGACTTCGATGTCTGACATCCTGACCACCCTGACAGATGTCTCGGCCAATATGGCATTGACCCGAAAAGGTGTCTCATCTCTGCAAGAAATCGGCTCCCAGATCAAGACACTTTTGCCCACCTTCCCCCGCGAACTCCGTGGCTATCTCAGGACAGTTTTGCGTTATAACATGCATATGTACTTCACCCTGCTGGACATTCAGAAAAACATTGCCACGGCTCCGACACAACAGCTTCAGTCAAACTTCAAGTTCGAAGACGCCTTAGGTGTGACCCGAGAACTTCCCTATGAATGGTTTCGACACTGGGAGGTATGTATGTCGAAGTATTTTGTATTCCCCTGCTGGATACGGTTGGTTGACGCGAAACAGCCTTTCGAAGGACTGCTTCGTTCGCAATTTCAGAACACTCCTGGCGAGGACAAGGTGCTCGAAGGGAAGTACCTGATCGTTCATGCCAATCGGCCTACGGTGGCCATCAACAAGGGGAATTGGGGCAATTGCATTACCCCAGGCGCAGAGATTCTTATGCTCATCGTCATGGAGTCCATCTCATGGCATGTTACTTCATGCCCTCGACCCACTTGCGACGGCAGACCGACCTTGGACTTTTCAGGCGGCGTTATGGCTTGCTGGTTTGTATGACCCAAGGCTGTTCAACATGGAGCTGACTATGATGCCAGCCCCAAATGTGGATTGAAATATCTGCCGCAGAAACTACTCAGCGGACCGGGTCAAGATCAAAACATCTCTGACGCCATACAAGTGCTAGAGAGCCAGATTGTAGAAGATGCCGAAGTGTTCGGCCATCGTCCCCTACCTGGTAATCTGGTGGGAGAAGATCTGTTAGGCGTCAACGCTGTCGAACCTAGCCAGCAAGACATGAACGCTCCAGATATGGACAGAGGGGCAACAGAGCCGAGCAATATTCCTTTCCTCGCCGTGAAAGCTTCTCCCTCTAATGGTTCGGATCATGCCTCACATTTTCCAGTGGCCGAGGACACCGGACAGGCCTCTGACAACACGTCTCCGCTTCATTTCGGGCCCATCGGTGGTCGTGATCACGATGAAGAACCTGCGACAGGAGCTGCTCCGATTATGAGATGGCTGCAGGACACCAGCCCTCCAGAGCAGTCTACTTCTCTTCTGGAGAGGCAAAGAGAGAAGGACCAAGCACAGCAACGCGCACTTGAGCAGGAGGCCAACAACTTGGAAGCGATTCGCAATGTTTTCATCAGCAATGCCCCGTGCCCGCCACCAGATCACGAGCTAGCCAGCGAGGGGATGCCGTTTGGAGCCCGTATCTATTACCGAAACATCATAGACCGGTACCCGGATGTCCCCAAGTATCTGGCCCGGCGCCTGGCGGAAGCCAACTGGAACCGAGCCAACCGACTGGCGAAAGTCAAGTTTCCCAACTTGGCCAACTTTGAGGAGTATTGGCGTGAGGATGACACTTGGGCTGACGAGAGTTCCGCGTCGACCTGGGGTGAAATCAACATCCTCCAGTCACCTGCCGACTGCGACCCTTCGGAACGAGAAATGCATCGATTGGAGGCCAAACTAGCTCAAACCATCAACGAAGAAGGTCCATATGAAAGGCATCAACACCAGTGCACTGACTGCTTCACCACTTTCCCGGCTATTCGGCTGCTACGTCTCCATCAGGTATTGAAGCATTCTAGTCCAGGAAAACACACCTGCCTAGAATGTCCTTCATCCTTTGAGGATGAGAGATTGTACTACTACCATTGGCACTTGGAGCATTCTGACATCGCAAACACCTGCCCCATATGCCCTGCTAAGGCCCAGGATCGCCATTCGCTGGAAGAACACATCCAGAAAGAACATGAAAACTCCATTTGTGCAGCATTCTTCCAGAAGGAAGATCCTGAGGCCGCTGAGAGTGCCGCCGGACGGACAGACGATGGGGCCCCACTCTCACCGAAGTCGGCGGTGCAGACTGCTGACGGTATTCCTCCCATGCAAAGCGAGCATCCGAAATCCTCGGATCTGATACAAAAGTCGGAGTCTGCACTTGCAAAACTATTTGGATGGAATCTCGATGTGCTGCTCAAAGGTCTCGAGAAGAGACCAGCAACGGAAGAACCTCCGTCTCAGAAGGCCCCTTCCGGATGGGAGGAAGCCCATTATCCGTACATAGCAGACGCTATGAGAAGTCGTGTTCACAACGAGACCGCCCCTGACTATTGGACTGGATCACGTCGGCGGCACAGCCGTTCGGCCTCGCTGTATTCGAGCAGGAACAGTTCATTACACGGGAGCGACCAATTCGATGCGAGGGAGCAATCCATGATTATTTATAATCCGGTGTCAGACTCTGACGGAGGAGAATTCGACTTCCAGCTTCCGTCACCCCCTGTGCCGTTGGGGGCCATCACTCGATTTATATGCGATATCTGTGGCAAGGAGCTTGAAATCAGACGCAAGCGCGACTGGAGGTCAGTACCAACGGGATATGCTCTGCAGTTTGAACTATTGTTTTGTTAATCATGGTTCGCAGGAAACACGTCCTCAAGGATCTACGGCCCTACTGTTGTATTGTCGATGGCTGTGCCGAAAAGGTCACCACTTTCTCGCTTCGCCGGCATCTGCTGGATCATCTCTGCCAGTGCCATGGCTGGACCGTCTCTAGGCCGTCGTTACCGGCGCTCCAGGTGGCAAGCGCGAAGCGAGTAATGAGGCCTAGACACCGTCTCCTGAAAGCCCCTGATACTCAACTAGGAGGGATCTCCCCCGGAAGTTGCCCCTTTTGCCAGCGACCGACAACAAAGTCGCCCAGCGGATTCTGCCGGCACCTAGGCCGCCACATGGAGCTCATTTCGTATGCGGTCATCCCCAAATCCTACGAGCCTTGGACCTTCTATGACGGCAGTTCGTCCGACAGTTCTGTCAGCATCTTCTCTCGACTCCGCAAGCGAACTGGACGCCAGACCCAGACCCAGACCAAGGCCAAGACCAAGACCAAGACCAGAGGTTCCAGGGGAACCGGTCTACCATCAACCACTGGCCAAATGAAACGAAGTACGAGAACTGACCCTGACTCTCAAGTGATACGGCGCAGCGTGAAGTTTACCCAGCCTAAATCACCACCTCCACGGTCAGCTCGGTCTTCGTCTCCAGACCGTAGACCGCGAGGTCTAAAAGCCACCCATATACGACTTAGCCACCGGCGTGCATATACCTCACCTCACCCTCAACCTCAACACGAAGATAAAGGGAAAGCGCTGCTCAGGCCCGAAGCGAGAGATGCCACGCCTGCGCTCCAAGCTGACGCTGATACTGTCACTGGCAACGCGGATCCTGCAGCAAATGCATCCACGCAGTGGAACTCCTCCCGGGCCATTATCCTCGTTGGTTCGCCGGCCGACCTCCTCGTCAGCAGCCTCACCCCGGAAATCTTCGTTCGACAGTTTTCCTGTACCGTCCATCTGGTCGATACTCTGGCCCAGGCCCAGGCTCCTGACCGGGACTTGGACTTGGACTCGGACCTGCGTGTCCTTCCACGCGTCGTGCTCGTCAGTCGCAGCGCCCTTGCCGCGGCACCGTCGATCGACACTTCCAGCACACAGACTAGCAGTGAGGATGGCGGCCACGATCACGGTCACGGTCACGGTCACGCAGACACCCACGCCGATGTCGATGCCGATACCGATGCCGATACCGATACCAACCCTCAGGCGAAACGCCGCCTGAAGGTCATTGTGCTTCTGGACTCCAAGCCCCTGGCTCAAATCGTCGACCTTTCTTGGGCCGACCTGATCGTCCACGGTCCGTTGGATGTAGACAGCCTGCGCTTCTACTTGAGCGGCTTGTGTAAATGGCCATTTCCGACTGCAGCCGAGTAAAATAGAGGGAGTCATTCGGGCTTTTTGTTGCGTGTGTTTCTGCTTTCTGCATTTCTGCACCAGCTCAGCTGCCACCAATCAATCAAACAATCTGGCCAAGGCCTCTGTGCCTAGGTTCTAGTAACAATGGACATAGTACTCATACGGATACATCATTATCATCATCTATCATACAGGATCTGTACTCTGTACTGTATGTGTAGAGTATACACGGCACGGTCGTCGTTGAATTCGTAGTGCCTTCATTAACCAACTGCTTCCTTGGAAATGGTTTCTTTCTCTGTCAAACCTGACTGCTGATTATCTGTCACGACACGTCTAGGGGTCCAGCCATGACAGCACGTAGTAATCCAAATCCATGCTTTCAATTCTCCGAAGCACCAAAGTCTGCTTTCTTCCCCCCTACTCTTCACACTTTCTCTCATTCACCACCACCGAACACCATCTCCCGCGGATAGCTCAACCACCGCTCCCACTCGGGCCCCAGGAAATCGGCAATGATCCGCAACATGTACGCGCCCGCGTCGCCGACCTGCCACATGGTGCGACCGTGATGCAGTAGCAGCGCGTAGTAGGCCAGCAACACCAGGGCCTCTGGGCGTTTGGCGGCCAACAGGCGCGTGAATTCGGGTGAGGCGAGCATGATCCAGGAGATTATCATTTGGTATCTGTTGCCTTTTTGGTGTTGGGCATGTCCTTGCTGGTCTTGTTGGGAAAGGGGGGTTGGGGAGTTGTCGGCGTCGGCTAAGACGGCGTCAAAGCCGATTTGGAGGTAGGTGTGTGCTTGCTGACAGGCTTCCTTTTCCTCGTGGGTCATACCATAGGCGGTGTCTAGGAGTTCCGTGACGGCTTTGCAATGGTGGCCTTGCGGCGTGCGTTGATTGAAGCCCGAGCTCCAGGACAGGATGGGCTCAAGCTCGGATTCCATGAGCAGCGGCCAGGCGGAGACGGCGACGGTGTGGATGCCGCGATGGACCTTGATGCATTGTAGGCAGTGCGTCAAGAATGTGTCCAGCGCCCGGCTGCCGGTATCATCGCGTCTAGCAAACGTGTCGGCGAATAGATGGTGACCCAGGACCACGGAGAAGAGCAGGACGGCAACGCAGTTCGATCGGTCGACCTTGACCTCTCCGGTCTCGGTCCAAGAGGTTTGGTTGAAGAGAGATACGGCGCGCGTCTGCAGCGTGACGGCTAGATGGTGATAGGTTGAAGCGCGTTCGGGGTGAAGGAACGCAAGGTGTCGCGCGGAGAAGGCGAGCATTTGATGTAGCAGATAGGGCGATTCCAGGCCCAACTTGAGCGCGTGGGCTACGTAAGAGGGATAGCTGTCTGCATCAGTGTCGCCTTGGAGATCAACATGGCCGAGGTTGAACAGATCCCGATCAGCGGATATGTGGATTAGGAGTTCCATATGGTTAATATTGACAACGCCATCGTCGCCGAGGGTTGCGTCTCTTTCTAGGTGGCTTCGGTTGTTGACAATATCTGCCTGTGCGGACGGAGTCCCGGTGTCGGACAGGGAGGCTGTGGTCAGGGGCGTGGATCGAGCATTTGGTAGGGTTGAATTACTGCTACCGCTATGGCTGCCGTTGTCATCTGCTGGGCTTTGTGGTACGGACCGGTCATGAAGTAAGGCTTGCCTTGTTGTGGACGGATGCCCTGTTGAAGGATGCAAGGCAAAGCTGCAGTCCCGTTGGGACATGATACATAAGAGGCATACTGGGCGACCCCCATCGCACTGATGTGATGGTGCAGAATGGAGTCAGCCATGGAAGCAAAATTGATGCCAAAATATCGATATCCGTACCTTGACGTGCCGTCGCTTGCTGTCATGGACGAGTCAAAGTCAGCGAATGCTACATAAACCAGGACGAATCCAAAACGGTGGGTAGAGTGCAGGTGTGGTAGGAGCCGGGGGAAGGAAATCGGGTGAAATTCAGCCACAGCCACATCGTGACCTTAATTACTTCTTCCTTCTTCTTTCTTCCCTCTTGCTTCTTGCTTCTTGCTTTTTGCCAGTGCCAGTGGTGCGATTCAAGTTGCACTTACCACTCTAAGCAGCCTCCCCGTGACTTCTTGTGGCTGCGACGGAACATAAGGTACCAGTCCTCCGTACTCGCAGGATCAACGCTACATGAGCGGAAACCAAGGGGTTTAGTGTGATTGGATTGATTCGTCAAGCAGTGCAGTGGCCGAATACGCGTGTTTCAGGCACCAGAAATATACCCAGTAGGTACTCCGTATCCGGACTACAGAGTAGGTATCTCTGATCTGCACATTGTAAGGAGTACCACAAAGCAACCAGGTGTGTTCTGTAGGCCGTAGTCTGTACCTATCCGTACTCTGTATAGTGAGTTTTTACGAGGGACGAGGGACGAGGGACGGTCGTGGCTCGACTGTGGCTCGGCCGGCCAGCATTCGTCAGTGCCGAGAAAAGATCCAAGATGCTTCCCTAGTAATACTGATAGTGATAGTAGGCATCAAGCTCAATTGGACCGTTGTCTGAATCGTTGCTCAACTTGGGCCATGTAAATTGCGGATGGACAAGCATGGACGATGCACCGCAGTCGCAGTGGCAGTGCCAAGTCGCAGGACAAAAGAGGAAAGGCTGAGGCGCCTTGGCCGTGCTAAGCTGCGAGTAGTTAGCCTCAGTTCCGGACAAGGCTTGGCATGCTTACTCCGTATCTGCCATCCAATACGAGGACTGGCAATACGCGTATTCGGCTTCGTCCGTTCACAGATCCGCCTGATCAACTGGTTTCCATTCGTCGTTGCGCGGGGTTGGCTTGAGACATGCAATACGCGTGTCCGCAGCTGCGGTTCAAAAGCAGTGCAGTGCGAGCCCCAGTATAGAAAGAGAGATAGACAGGGAGAGGGCGCAAGAGCCAATGATGGCCTGTCCTTTCAAGTCTCAAACTGTATCTGGAGCATCCTCCCGATATATAAGGAGATGAAGCCGCTGGCACTGGCAAAGAAAGACACTCTTACTCTTGTTCCATTGTTGAACATCACATCAACTTGAACTTGAGTCTGTTCTCTGGCTTTACCTTTCACCTCTCACCTCTCGCCTCTTCCCACGTCGTTTCGACCTTGAATTCGAAGCCAGTCCTTACCGCAGTCCCGTCATTTGTTGGCCTTCCTGAACATCGTCGCAGCCTACCACTGCCACTACGAGGAGCATCAATCGGAATCCCTGTCTCAAAAGCCCTTCAGAAACCATCTGAACTGAACATGCCGACCCTCGAACCCTACAAGGACAACCATTACCTCTGGAAATATGTGCCCAGCCTCGTGCTTTCAATTGTCTTTACCGCCCTGTTTGGTATCGCAACCATAGCCCATACCTGGAGGATGGTGCGTTCCAGGATGTGGTTTTGTATCCCCTTCGTGGTTGGTGGTCTTTGTACGTCTCGTCCCAGTACCTCCTAGCATATCTCACTGACCCTTCTCTTCTCGCAGTTGAAGTGATCGGCTATCTGACTCGTGCCTTCTGCTACAATGCCACGGGCGCCTTGGTCCCCTACCTCCTTCAGGCCATCTTCCTAGTCCTTCCGCCAGTCTTCTTCGCCGCGTCATTGTACATGGTATATGCTCGTGTGGTCCGAGCCGTCCACGGGGATCGGTTCTCGCTCCTGACGCCGCGCATGACGACCGTCGTCTTCGTCTCGGGAGATTGGTTCTGTCTTAACATCCAGTCAACCGGCTCCGGGCTGCTGGCTAAGCCGAAGAATCAGGCAATAGGCGACTGGATCATCGTGGCCGGGTTGGGACTTCAGGTCATCATGTTTGCCGTCTTCATGGTGGTCTGCCTGACCTTCCATGCGCGCCTTCGAGCCCGCTTGGCTCAAACGTGCAGCACCATACCCGACGTCCCGTGGCAAGCGTGCTTGAACATGCTGTACGCGACTTCGCTCCTCATTCTGGTGAGGAATGTCTATCGGGTCGTCGAGTTCGTCATGGGTCAGGACGGCTATCTTCTTGCCACCGAGTGGCCAGCATACGCATTCGACGGCGTGCTGATGTTGCTGGTGATGATCGCCTTCTTTATCTGGTATCCGAGCGACATTGTTGAGAGCACGCAGGAGCCGTCCTTAATAGAGCTCCCGAGCCACGGTGCCAGTTTCGACGGGCATGCCCATGTTGGGGTCGAGTTTGAGCAAAAGAGAGGGGATGAGATTTCTCGAGGATAAGGACGTTGGAGGAAGAGGCAGACCTGAACAGCCATGGATTTACTGTCGCCATTACCGTCATTTAGCCTTCGATCGGCCTGAGACTGTTATCTTGCAGCGAGGTGTTTTTTTGGAGGGTTTCCACTTGGGAGGAGGAGATCTCATTGTAGTTGTTATACCAAGACTATAGATACAAACGGTGACTACTCGGAGGAGATCTCATTGTAATTGTTGTAACAAGACTATATACACAAACGGTAACTACCTCTGACTATGTCCGAGGGACGAGGGATGCAGGCGTCAAAGGTTGAAATGTTCCATGTTTCCTATCAAAGGGGTATACGGGGAGCCCAGATTATATAGATGTGTCTATACCAGCCTTCTGCTTGAAGGGCAGGCTGGGAATGCTTAATATCAGTGCCTAAGTTTGCCAGCAGGCTCTCCTCTCCGTATCCACGTTACGAAACCAGATCGTCGTCCCAACAGGTCCTGCTGGCAACACTCATTGCTATAGTGACCGTCAGACTTGGGAGATACTGTACAATGAGTGGCATTATTTGACGTAAAAGGAAATAAGCTGCAAAATGATCTATGATCGATGATCTATTATCCTTCGCCTATCGTCTATCATGCTTGTCGACCACTCATTGAAAGGTAGTATTGATTGTTAGAGACGTTGGCCTTATCCAATGTGAAAATGTTCTTTGGAGAGCTCTCCCGATTACAATGATACTAGGTGGACCGTACCTTTATCAATCATTACATGTCCATGAGCTCTGGCGTGATAGATGGTATTTACTGGTCGGGACATCACTGCTATCCAAAGTGGAACTGGTGTCTGCCCCAAAGACCCATTCTGCTCTGCGTTTCGCTCTGGCCACATCCTAGGGCTGCCCTGCCCTGCCCGTTCCGAGCCACCATCCAGAAGAACGAGAAATAAATGGATTTCCCGTGAAACACTTCGGAGCAAGAGTACGCTCACACACGACGGAAACACAGCCGCTTGGCTTGTTGTGCCAGCACAGATTGCCAGACTGCTTGTCCTAGTGTTGCGCCTAAACCACCTTCGCCCGATTGCCTCGCGCCCGACTCCTGGCAGCAGCAGCACTGTCGTAATTCTCGTAGCCAAGGTCCAAATCGCCATCGTCGTCACTATCATCGCTACTGCTACTGCTGCTGCCCTGGACTTTGCGGCCTGGCTCGCCAGGTTGCGTCCTGTCAGAGTCTCTTCTCTGTCTTCTCCGGCCACGATCCGCTCCTGACTCGTAGTTGTGGTTGGGAAGGGGTTTCATGGACATTGCATTCTGTGAATAGACGCCTCGACCCGCATTGTTTCGAGGTGTACTGTCGTTGTCGCCGTACAAGCCTTCGTCCTGGTCATAGTGATCAGACTCACGATCGCGGTCCCTTTCGTACTGGGCGTATTGGTATTGTGGAGGAGCACCGCCCCCGGCACCGCCCCGGATCCTCGTGTGGTCCGATTGTTCTGAGTCATAAGCATTCTGATCCATCATGGCTGCCAGTCGTTGTTCTTTTCGCTTGCTAGCTTCTTCCTGCGCAACCATCCATTTCTCGCTGACCTCCCACCGCCAGCCGTCCCCCGTAGTGTTGCATACAGGAAGCCCCCACAAGATGGGTGTCGGGCCAAAAAGGTGTCTCAAATTTCGGCGCCAGCCCAAGTCAAAGGCGTTGGGTAGTTTTTCGGCTTCTCGGTCGTCTAGGTATTCTGCATACCGGGTGCGCTCGCGCTCGGCTTCGATGTTGGAATAGGTTCTTCGTAGAGCTCGAAGAGCAGGCGTGTCATTGTTTTGACCACCGTTATGATGATCGTGGGTGTACCTGTTTGGGTGTTGAGGATACGATGGTTGACCACGGATGGAGTTAAAAGCACTGGGGATTGGCGAGGTGTGTTCTTCACCTTCTTCAAAACGCGAGGCCCCTGGGACAGCGTTGGCATGGAACTCGAGAATCTGCTCGCCCGCTCGTTGCAGTCGTTCGGCGACCCCTTCCGAGCTGCGTCGGTGATGGTTCAATTGATGCTCCTGGCGATTACGTTCCACACGTCTCCTAACGCTGCTGAGGTACCGGGTCCTTTCCAGCTTCTCAATTGTAGTTTGACCTTTCACGCAGAGATATATGTGCCACCCGGTGAATCCAGTCAGCACCAGACCTATGATGCCAGAGATCACCGCCAGAAGAACGATGTTGACGGGCGCGATTTCCTCCAGATATCCACCCTCCTCAAATAGTTCCTTCCACATCCACCAGGCCGAATTGGCAAAACATACCCAGCAGAAGAGGGATACGTATATCAGGAACAACACGAAAGCCTTGTAGTTGTGCAGACCGAGACAAGTGGCTAGCCAAGGACAATGATGGTCCATCTTTAGCACACAACGTCTACATGTTGAGCAGTGATGCGTCCGGTCTGGTTTCGGGGTATGGCACTTCTTGCAGTATCTTGGGGCTCCAGTAGACGAGACGGTGATATGTTGGACGTCAGTCAAGCTGTTTGTTGGCTCGTTTGTCGGAAGTATCGAGTAATTTCCCCGCCCCTTTTTCGACGAGCCCTTCGACGATTGTAACGGTGACCCTGGGTCTGTAAAGACCGCAACCGTGTATGACAGATTAGCGAGTCCGTAGAGGAGAATGCCTAGGACGGAAGCGGCTTGTATCAGCCACCACAGATGTCTTGACCGCCCCTTCCCAAACCCAATAGATGTCACCACCCACACGGCCCATGTTGTCAGACTGTAGATGAAAGCGAGTGGGAAGTAGGTGGCGACGGTGCAACAAGCGCGCTCGCATTTTCGAGCGAAGGACCGCACCCGCCGGCCAGAGGGTGTCGGCGGAGGTGAAGAGGACGAAGTCGAGGAGGCAGGCATGGAGACGGATGAGAGAGAGGAATTCAAGGTCGTCGAAAGAGTGGAAGCGAGACTCAGTCGGGAGCGCGAGTCCAGTGGTCTGTCATCTCGAGGGGAATGCGGACATGGTTGCACAGCGCTCAGGGAATGGGGCGTCGTACGGCTGAAAGAAGGACAGTGAAATGATTAATTGAAAAAGGGGACCAAGAGAGTGAACAGAGTATGCAGTATAGATGGAAGGAGGCTGTGCTGGAGGGTTCAGAAATAATAAGATTACGAGCCCTGCGTATGCTGCTTCTCAGATGGTTGGTAAGGTGCCTGAAACACGCAGCCCGTTCAAAGGACTGTTGGAGTCGCCAGGCAAGTGTGCATGCTCACGGTGACGTTGTCTTTGTCACTCAATTATTTATTCCCGACCACCAAGCACCAGCCACACCCCGGCCCCTGGCTCTACTCAGTACAGATACAGATACAGATCCGGATACAGAGACACTCTTAAGTGAAGTTTGTCAAACAGCGCCATGCAAACAAATCAGATTACATTGAAACCATGCATCTTATTCTCTAGGTCGCTGACACCTGGTGAGTCCGACGACCAGCCTCTACCTGGTACATAGTCCCTTGAAGCCGTCCCGTGACGTTACCTGTCGGCAGTCTTCTTGCATGATGACCAACCAACGGTAGTGCTCACACTGACTTCAAAGTGGCAGTGTTGTCACCCTTCTCACGGGTCGTTGGTGGCTCCCTGACCATGACATCCATTCGAAGTTCTTTGCCCTCGGCTCGCCGCAAATAGATGTGCTTCCGAAGCTCGAATCCCATCTTGCCATATATAATGATGTTGATATCATGGGAGCTCTCGAGGTAACAGGGGACCCCTTCAGTATCGGCCTGTGACAGCCATGATTAATTGATGCGCAAGAACGGAAAGATCGGGAAGATTCTTACCCGCTTCGTGACATATTCGATCAGCTTGCGTGCATACCCTTTCCCGCGGGACTCGGGCTTGGTTCCGACATAGTTGAGATACCAGGAGTTGTTATCCATCTCGCCCAGCGTTTCCTGCTTGGTATGGTGCAATAAGGGCAAGAATTCTTCGAAAAACCGGATCTTTCCTTCCTTAGACAACTTGTAATTAAGTCGCCACAAGCCACTCCGTAGCATCGTGAACCAGTCGTCAATGTTCTTGCCCGGCGGCAACCACAGTGCCACGCAACCGTAATTGTCCCCGGCCGTCAACACCAGTCCTTGAAGACAGTGGGCGTAGGTGACATACTCCATTGCGGCTCTGTGCAAATCAAAGCGCTCTTCTTCGGAGAGGTGCATCCGATCGGGGGTGTCGATCGCATACCGCACGATCTGATCGTGGCGAAATGCCTCTGCTAGGCAGGCGGCGGCTTCCTTGTACTCATGTGGAGCAACGATGCGGACTCCATCCTTATCGGCAGCGTTCGAGGAAAGTTTGTCGGCTATCGAGCTTCGTTTCTCGTGGACTATCGCGGCGTCCAAGACTGGACCGGCAGCAGTAGAAAGAGCCATATTGCACGATTTGGTGTTTAGCAGTTTTCGGCTCTTCTTCTTCTGTCCTTTCCCGTGATTTTAGTGGCATGGTCAAACATTGGCGGTCCACCTACTGTTGTATCTGGTCGAATCAACCTCTATCAATGGGTCTGGTAAGATCTCCAGTGTGAACCGAAGAAAGCTGAGCTCTCGAGACGGTGACGACTCGAGATGGAAAGCGAAGACAAGTACGGGATGCACGTAGATCAACCGACATCAGCTTTGACCTGGTTGGGTATGAGGATTGGAAAGAAGGAGATGTTCGCAGAGGAGATCAATCAAGACTGAATGTCTGGTCTGTTCCCGTCACACAATCGCTCTTGCTAATGTGGCAGTATCGAAAATGCTGCCTACCGCGAGGCTACTGATGAGGGCAAGGCGTGCGAGCGAGCGTCGGAGCTCCAAGGACGGTACAGGCACGGCAGTTGTCGAGAGCGACAGAAACAGCGATGCTTGTGCGAGGCCTCGAGGCTGATTGTAAAGTAGAAGAGAGAGAAGCCGCTGTCTGGGGCCAGGCGGAGCTTTATCAATCTGCAACCTGTCAAGGACTTTAGGCGCTACCTGGCAAAGCAGATATGGTCAGAGAGAATGGAGTCAAGGTCGGACGACGGCAGGGAGGGCGCAAGTCAACGTCGGCATTCACGCAATCTGAGTGATCGAGGCAGAGATTGTTCCCCACGCTATTGTTAGGATTGCAGCAAGGCCCTTCACCATCAGCAGCGTGTGACGAGTGCTATCTGTCAAGTCGTGCTGCTTCGGAGGTTGGCGGTGGTGTATCCGTATCTGTGCCAGTGCAGGTGCATTTGTGTCTGCTCCACCAACCAAGCAAAGGGATGAGCAGGAGGAGAAGGAACGAGGAGATGTTGCTATCACCGCATCGAGATGCTTATTCAGGCTTAGCCGGAAATTGGTCGCAAGCGACATTGAGGCGAGAGTTGGCGCATGCGATGCCCATTGGTTGCTGGCCTCAGCTGGTTCTTATCGCTGGCTGATCATCTTATCATCACGTGGGCCATTTTTTTTTAGCTCGCCCCTGGGGGACCAGGTCACGTGGGTCGGTCCCCAGAGGGTCGACGCTGTGCAGAGGGGAGTGACTCCTGGATTGCCTGGAAGACTCGTTTAAGGTGAATAATGGACATCCATCAAGAGATCGGGAACGGACTTCGACCAGCATCCGTCCAATGAGGGAGACGATCACCAGAGGCGGAAACGTGGCAAAATTGGTCTGGGGAAACATCATACATCATGCAGATATCCCACTCTGATGCTAGACGGGAGGGGTTTCGTCGGGGTCTGGCTTACCGCTATGTGCGGAAATAATCCCCGCTCCTAGCATCGCATTGAGCATAGAGGCTAGTCATGGATTCATTCATGCAGGAAGAACGGGCCCATGATAGTGATTGATGGAGTACCCCTATTTCACCGCTTGAGCCGAGATCGACTGTCTGAACAAAATCGGGCGTGCCTGGACAAACAACGAGGTCTTCGTTCAACATTTGCCAGGACGTTGCGTATTCATCTGGCATTCCAGCCGATGACATTGAGCAACTGCAGCGAGAGTCATGTTTCGTATCATCGTAGTATACAGTCCATATCAGGCTTGGCCGACCTGCTCTCACCATACAGTCTCGAAGAGGAGAACTATTTCAGCACCACACCTCGCTCAAGCCTCCAATACTGCCCAGGTGTTGTCATCAACTGTTGTGAAAATGATGCCAATAGCCAAAAGTTCTTCCGCACCCTTGTAGACATCACTCACAGGCATTCCCATCTGAGAAGCAATCATCTGGACGTGAAGACCTTCATTGCTTTGCGGAGTGTTCTTCAATGTATTGAACACCCGACGCGCAAGCGGTGAAACATTGGGAAGTGCACTATCGCCAGCAGTAGCAAACTCTTGCCGTGATTCACCCACTCCATTTGCAGCTCCAGTCTTCTGTCCGTTGGATTGAGCGGACGGCGGTGGTCCTCTTGTGAAGAACAGATGCACCGCAGTGGCCTCGAGTAGATGATAGAAGATTTCGTTGTAGTCTGTGATCGGACGAATGATGTGCGCTCCAATATGTCGTTTGTTGTTGAAGGCCTTTAATCTTCCCCAGACGCGGCAATAGCCATCTTCAACCAGTCTCGGTTTATTTGGCTCGACGTCCATCTTATCTGGGTTTGCATCACCGTCAATCCATTGTTTCACTTCGACAATTCCCGTGCCATCGTCGACCTTGTATGTGATATTCGTCGGCTGCGTACTGATGCTTCGAATTTGTCCCACGAAAGTTACCTGGACTATTGTCAGAAGACTGGATATGACTCTTTCTTCAAGAGTGCGCACTTGACCAAACGGTTCTCCATCTGCTCGGAAATCTGCATCGGGGTGGGGTTGCTGCGCATCGATGATCTGTTTAATCGTGACGGGACGAACTGTGTCTTTTCCATAGCCCCCCTGCAAGAGCAAGTCAGTGCACGTAATCTGATCATCTTTGTGTACCTACTTTTCCGCCTGCAGGGCTGCTCTGCGGCTCACCTGCCACAAAACCGCCACCATCTGTAGCACCGTTCGCGCCGTAAGAGGTCGAGTACTTGTTGTTGTATCCGTAATCTAGCATAGTCAGCGCCATTTCAGACGCGGAGCGGTGGCATACGAACCCATTTTGACGCACTTGATTGCTGTAGTTCTTCAACCAACAAAAGAGGATATTTGTGTCATGAGGCAGACGCGTGCCAAATCGAGAATCGAGACGCGTTAAGTGCTTTGCCCGCCCCACAACTACTACTGCGGACCGCTGGAACCTCTGGCGCGAAGGCGGTGACACAAATTTTTGGAGACTTCGTTGCCAGGCGCAGGCGATTTTGGACCGGTCAAGAGAAAACCTACTTCTGTCCAACAGAGGTTGCAAAATGGCTGGACTTGTGAAGCAGGCTACCTAGATTTCTTGGATCGCTGTACCACAGCTCTCAACCGCTACCATGGGTAGACGAGCGGGCTCCCCTGCACGTTCCGAAAATGAATTCGATATCGGAAGCGCATTGTTCGGAGGCGATGCGGACTTCGACACATCTCCCTCAGACGGGCAAAATGGGGCTCTACAAGACGGTGATGACCTGGACGTTATGGCAGACGACTCGGGCCTTGACGACGAGACCATCATTGCTGCGCAACAAGCAGCGTCAAATCGCAAGGGCTCGAACCTCAAAGGCCGAACGGTGAAAAAGGGCGGTGGTTTTCAGGCCATGGGCCTCAACGCCAATCTTCTCAAGGCCATAACGAGAAAGGGATTTTCTGTTCCTACGCCGATCCAGCGCAAGACTATACCACTTCTTCTCAATGACAAGGATGTCGTGGGAATGGCGCGGACAGGGTCGGGCAAGACGGCGGCCTTCGTCATCCCTCTGATTGAAAAGCTCAAAGTTCATAGCTCCAAAGTCGGAGCCAGAGCATTGATTATGTCGCCCTCAAGAGAACTGGCACTGCAGACATTACAGGTGGTCAAGGAACTTGGACGTGGCTCAGACCTGAGATCTATTCTACTCGTGGGCGGAGACAGCCTGGAGCAACAATTCTCGGCCATGGCCAATAATCCCGACATAATCATCGCTACCCCCGGAAGATTTCTTCACCTGAAAGTTGAGATGAGCTTGGATCTTTCAAGCATGAAGTATGTTGTCTTCGACGAGGCTGACCGATTATTTGAAATGGGATTCGCCGCCCAACTGACGGAGATTCTTCATGCGTTGCCGGCTTCCAGGCAGACGCTCCTTTTCTCTGCGACATTGCCAAAGACACTGGTCGAGTTTGCCCGCGCTGGTCTGCAAGATCCAGTGCTGGTCCGTCTGGATGCTGACAGCAAGATCTCTCCCGATCTGCAAAGCGCGTTCTTCACCCTAAAGTCCTCTGAGAAGGAGGGTGCCTTACTGCATCTGCTCCAAGACATCATCAAAGTCCCGACGAGTTCCCAGTTGATCTCATCTACGACGCATACAGAAAGATCCAAGCCTGGCAAAAAGCGGAAGAGGGAAGATACGGAGGAGAGCCGCGGTCCTAGTTCCGATCCGTATTCGACCATTGTCTTCGCTGCGACCAAGCATCATGTTGAATACCTTGCACAGCTACTTCGGCTGGCTGGATATGCCGTGTCATATGCCTATGGATCCCTTGACCAGACAGCCCGGAAGACCCAAGTCCATGCATTCCGGACCGGCCAGACAAATATCTTGGTGGTGACCGATGTGGCTGCGCGAGGTATTGATATTCCGGTACTGGCCAATGTCATCAACTATGACTTCCCCTCACAGCCTAAAATATATCTCCACCGAGTTGGTCGAACGGCGAGAGCAGGCCAAAAGGGATGGAGTTACAGTTTGGTCCGAGATGCGGATGCCCCCTACCTGCTTGACTTGCAGTTGTTCCTCGGGCGCAAACTGACAGTGGGGCGGGCTAACAATGACCACGTCAACTTCGCCCAGGATGTGGTGGTTGGATCATTTCGGCGAGAAGAACTGCAAACCGGATGTGAATGGGTGTCAAAGTCTCTGGATCGCGATGCAGATCTGGGGGCGCTTCGCTCCGTGGCAGACAAGGGCGAGAAGTTGTACCAACGGACACGAAACTCGGCATCGGCAGAGAGCGCTAAGAGATCGAAACAGCTCGTGTCCGCCCAGTCGTGGTCAGAATTACACCCTCTCTTCAACGACCGAGCGGATGACCTGGAAGCAGAAAGAGAGAAGATGCTTGCGCGAGTGGGAGGCTTTCGACCACAAGAATCAATCTTCGAGATTGGAGCTCGCCGCGGTGGCCGTAAGAACAACGAAGATGCCGTAGATGCTATCAGGAAGATCCGCTCCGGATTTGCGAACCGGAAGCAGAAGTCTTTAGACGCCGCGCAAGCCCAAAAGGGCACCTTTGATGAAGATGCCACCGCTGGGTCTGCAGGGAAACCAACGCCAGGCGCCAATGGGGATGAATCCGAATCCGAATTAAATGACGCCATGTCGACGGCGTCATCATCCGAGCTCGAAATCACATTTTCCGAACCGCATTCGAAAAAGCAGAAGGCGAACCCATCTGGCGATGACGGCAGCTCGTTCCGAGACCCGGAGAACTTCATGTCCTACCACCCTTCGTCGACCAACCTCACCGACGACCGCGCCTACGGCGTGCACTCGGGCAGCAACACCAACTTCGCGGAGGCGGCGCGCTCGGTGACCATGGACCTGGCCATGGACGAGTCGGGCAAGAAGTTCGGGGAGGCGCGGTCCATCATGCGCTGGGACAAGCGGCACAAGAAATACGTGCGCCGGGACAACGACGACGACGGGTCCAAGAACAACAAGCGGCTGGTCCGCGGCGAATCCGGAGTCAAGATCGCCGCCAGTTTCCGGAGCGGCCGCTTCGATCGCTGGAGGAAGGACAATCGCGTCGGCCGCTTCCCGCGCGTTGGCGAGGCCGAAGGCAACGCCACGCCTGGAGCAGGGGCCACTGGCCATGCCGGCCCAGATGGCCTGGGAGGCAAGCGGTTCCTCCACAAGTCCCAAAAGGCGCCCAAGGCCCCCGACCGCTTGCGCGACGACTATGAGAAGCAGAAGCAGAAGACTACAAAGGCCCAGGAGCGCGATTCGAGCATGGGCATGCACGGCAAGAAGGAAATCAGGTCCGTCGACCATATGGTCAAGGAGCGGCGAGCCAAGGAGAAGAGACGCGACAAGAATGCTCGGCCCAGGCGGAAGGGGAGGGCGTAATCGCGAGAAGGTGACAGCAAAAGCGTTGGTTGGTGTTTTGAGGAATGACAGCTATTACGCTTTAGAAAATGGGTGTGGAGGAGGCCCGAAAATCAGATCCCTGCCTCACGGCGATGCTAGTGGAGAGATACAGGATCTATAGAAGGCTTTGCACTCTGAACCCAGAAGCGACAGTGCCTTCCCGTTTGGTTCATTTCGCACCGCAAAATGGTGTTCATTCCTGCCTACTTAACGGAAGCTCTCCTTCAGACTTCTTGTTCCAAGTTCAGCTGTTTCCTTGTCAATTCCGCATATGGATCCTTCAACTCGAATCGAGTAACACACTTGATCTCAAGCGACAGACATCAATCGAAAAAACAAAACACGCAAGGCCTGTTCGTCACTGCAACAACAGCCACAGTGCCTTGCCACAACTTAGTAGTAGAACGTACGTGAACCCCTCCTCTCTCTTCTCACTCTGTCGTCGTAGTACTCTTTTTCTGGTTGCCGCCTCAATCTTTGCAATTCTTCTTCTCGAAAGGCCAGTTCTCGTTCCCTAGCATGAACTTCCTGTTCACGTTGCTTGAGAAAGTCTTCTCTGACCCTCTCTCGTTGATAGTCTTCGACCCTCGAACTCTGCCTGTCGATGTCATCGCGAAAGTAGAAGTCGCCGTCCTCGTCTGGGTAGTGCAGGATAGGCAAGCCAGACTCGGCGGAGACATAGCGAGTAAGGGGGACATCACTCACGCGATGCACGGCCACGACTTCCTGAGATCGAGCTGGTTGGGGCGGATCAGGATACACGATTTGTCTTCCCTCGAGAATCGGCATCGTCATCTGTCTCACGGGTCGTGGTGGGCGTTCGTATCTGGCTCCTTCGATTGGCCGCTCATACAGAATATAGGAATTCCGGTGAGACCGCGCAGGGGTGATGATGTGCTGTTCACCATGGTACGGTTTGTCTGCATATGACATGGAGCGAGTGGGTCCTCGATGGTGTTTCTTGTAGACTGTGTCTGGGTGCGCTTGTGGACGAACCAAACTTCCTCGACGAGGGACCCCTCCCGGACTGCCGATTGAGGTATTTGAGCTCTCTGCATAGTCAAATCCATAGTGACTAGATTCGCTGGCTTCCGACGATGAGCTGGCAACATCAAAGAATTGTTGTGTGTGCGGATGTGGAAAATGCACTGATCCTCTACGGGAGCGAGACTTTTCGCGCGACTGACCACGGGCTTCAGCCTGTGCTCGCCGTCGAGAGTAAGACCTGGAAGCATCCCCGCCGACAACTTCCGGATGCTCGTGGGGAGACTTTCCTCTCCGGCCTCGTTTGTCGGGTGCAACTTCGCCAAACATTACCTCGGCGGGAGGAGGATCCAAGCCATCACCAAACTCGCCGCCGGCGCCCACCGCGAAGATACCATCCTCGTGAGAATGACTCTTGTCGCGTGATTTGCTGCGTTTTTGGCTTTTGTCGCGTTTCCCCCCTTTATCTTCTTCCATGCGCTCAAGCTTCGCTCCGAGTGGCTTCTCTCTGGGGATCTGAGGTGGGAGGCCAGCATTATTGAAATGGATCGGACCAAGCTCGTCCCGCGGCGTGCCGTCCAGGTCAAAAAGTGGCAGGTTAGCGATTGGGTCGACTAACAGGGCCAATCCCGCATCCTTTCGTGGGCGATTATAGCCATCCTCGCTATATTTCGCAGCCTTGTCACTAGCTTGTTTGCCTTGATTGATGACATTCACGACTTCTCCGCTGATAGGCCTAGCACGTGCTCTGGGTTTCTTCGTCCTTGCTAGGATGACGTCCATTTCCGGAACAACGATAGTATGGTTTCTTTTGAGCACCTTCTTGGACTTGATATAAGCGACCTCCCAGTGAGCCTCACCAGCCTCATGAGCATTGGCTTTGCGTACAGCTTCTTCAATCTGGTCTCGCCGGAATTGGGACATGCGAATCAACTGTTCCAAGGCTATGCCGTCGCCTTTGCCTTTCCTTGCTTTTTTCTCAATTTGCTCAATGGGCGCAGAGATGGTGGTCTTGATGGCAGAGCTCCAATCTTCGCCATTTTTGTTGAAGCGGTAATATAAATAGTCCTGCGTTATTGCTGGGGTGACGAACCCTCTCTGGTGCTCGACTCGTGGATGGAGCTCCTGGAAATTGTCATGCAGAGACATTTCAGATATGCGCTGATGGACGCTAGGTCTGCGCTCTTCGTACTCGACTGGAGGCTCATACCCATCATCGACCACCCCGTCCATAGGGTGTGTGTGAGGGTCTACCGGACCAAAATGGTCTGGTGGAGGAGGAGGCTCCATTCTGCTAGAGGTCTGCTCAACGAAACTGGACAAGCCAGCTGCGGTCTGTATCTCGTGAGGATGCGTTTTGACAGAAGGGAGGCACGGAGGCAAGACAGAAACACTCAGGTTGGGTGGGGCACAGAAGTGTGGGAATGATCAGTGATATGGGCGGGAAGTAGGGAAAGCATATGCAGAGACAGAAGCCGCCCAGCGAGTTTGTAGTGACATGAAACCACAGAAAAGCCCCTCTTGCCAGCAGGATTCTGGTTAGCTCGACTGATAGTTATGCGGGCAGGGGGTTTCTTGAGAGTAGAACAGATCATAGCTGGTCCGAGAGTCTTATAAGCCACCGAGACCGGTCTGGTTGATCGCCTAGCGAGGCACATCCGCGACGTTTGCCTTGCAGGCAGCCGGCCAATGCCGAGGAGAACTGTGCAAGGGCGGGTTGGGGTGTGCAGGGAGAAGAGAGGTTCAATACGCGTCTTGCCAGCTGCGGGGCATGGGACTGTGAAGACGAGGAAAGGACAGGTAAAGGCAGGGTCGCCCGTGAAACAGCGGTGTCCAGGATGGTGGCCCTTCGTTGGAAGAAGAGGCAAAGCAATGGCCTCGTTAGCCCCATGCATGCAGTAGCGGAACATGGAGTGTGAAGAGTCGAGCAAATGGGCGACTCGCTTGGCAATCTCGTCACAGACACAGGCATTGCATTGCAGATTGCAGCAGGGCGATGTCAGGGCTGGCAGCAGGCAGCAAACAAGCGACCAGACCATTGTGTGTTGTTGTGTCGGTTGAAAGATTGAAGTGGAATGATGCTGGTGGTGTCGGAAAGATGCAGCGCAGCGCAGGCACCCACGTGACGGGCTGAGCCTTAGCCCTGAGGCCTGGGGCCTGCATCCTGCGTATAGAGTACTCCGAACACATACATTGTTTGCAGTTTCGCAAACCGCCTCCCTGATCTGTTCTTGCAATTCTGTTGAACCATGCCCATCTCAAGTCGAGTCCTCCCGTCCCGCGCGCGTAAGTGATCTCATGACCGAAGCCTTCAGTTGCCACGAGAAGAGCGGTGAAGAACACAGCCAACCCCTCTGCCGTCCGAACGCCCAATGCCCATCTACGCCCGACCAGAGCACGAGCCACCGGTCGATGTTCTTCCCCTCCAGGTGCCTCCAGTGAATCCATGCCTGCACTTTGCAAGCCGCCTCTGGCGACCCCCTGTACGGAGTAGTGTGTGTGGAAACCACCGTCCAGCAGTTAGATATGTTCCAATGAACAGGGATGTGTCTCGTGATGAAGCGCTATCGAGATTCTGAATGACGGTCTCCTGCCCTGCATGTCCGTGGCTGTCGCCGAGAGGTCAAACTGCATAAAGACCAGTACGGAGTACAACAAAAATGTTTGGGTAGGCGACCGGTGCCCTGAGATAGAGCCAGGTGGCTTCAAGACCAGCCGACCGCCCTACAGCTGGGCCGAGTGGGAGTTTCCGATCTGTGGAAACGAGTCTTAAACGCGCACGCCTCGCACTAGTCTTGTACTCGTATTCTCTGATCTCTCGAGCAGACTTGTGCAAGGCTTGCGTGCTGCAGGATCTAGTCTCCGCATAGGCTTCGTTGGCTGCCCTGCTCAAGATCTATTAAACAAGTTTGCATCTTGAGTTCATGCAGCCTCATTGCGCCATAAGGACTGTGCATGGTGAAGAGCTTGTCGCCTCACTTCCAAGCCACGCCCTATACTGGCGAATACCCCGGGCACGTACCGGGGGCATTAGCCGGGCTGGGAACAAGAAGATGGTGGGTAAAGATATTCGCAAGTTGTGCATTACAAGATATGGACGGTTGTAGTCTCCGAGCAAGCCGGCTGTTCCCCATGCAAGTGACCCTGACCCTGTAAAACTCCGTCTTTGTATCCCTATAGGGACCATGTCCTCTGAAACAGTCCTGGCCGTGTCTTGTGAAATCGCGTGTCCCATGAATTCCCAAACTCCATTTACAATGGGCGGAGCGCCTTGACCCTCATACAGAGTAATTTGCGTCGACATGCAGCACGAGCAGTGACCTTTACCGAAGGGGCACTTTGACATCCTGGACACCCCGCTTGATCACTTCGTCCAGGCTCCATCGAGGGACATGAACTAGAGATTTGGCAACCTTATCATGCTTTTCCAATCGTTTCCGGCTCTGTTCCAACTCCCAAGTAACACCTTCTGCCAGAGGAGGAGCACCGCCGGCAACCCCGCTGGAAAATTTGAGCTGGAGGACATTCCCGATCTCGTCGCAAGCGGCCAAGAAGCGATCAAGATCGTCCTTATTGTGAGCCGCCGAGACGCAGAATCGAGCGCGAGACGAGATCAACGGCGTGGCCGGATATCCAACCACGACGACTGAGATCTTGCGCTTGAGCATCTCATGGGAGAATGCAGGCATCTTAGCCGGATTGTAGAGCAGGAGTGGAATGATAGGTGAATCATCATGGCCGTAGATAATGAAACCCAATCGTTTCAAACCAAGTCGGAGGTACCGTGAGTTGAATGCAATTCTCTGAAGACGCTCCTCGCCTTGACCTGGGATGAGTTCTCCATTCATGAGTCTGAGGGAAGCAATGATCTGAGCCAGTACGGCCGGTGAAGGTGCTTCGCCATAGATTGTTCCAGCATTGGTGACACGCAACTTGTCAATGGTGGCCTTGTCGCCATTGACATAACCGCCATTTGCGCCGAAGGACTTGGTAAGTGTTCCCATGAGTATGTCCACCTCTGATGGATCGATACCAAAATAATCACAAACGCCTCTTCCTCGGGGTCCCAGTGCACCAATCGAGTGAGCTTCGTCGATGAAAAGGTGGAACTTGTACCGTTTCTTGAGCCTCACGAGGCCTGGCAGGTTGCACATGGTACCCTCCATCGAATATAGGCCTTCAACCACAACCAGGATTTTCTTCCACGGACGATGGGTGCGAGGCTGACCCTGGGAGATTGCCTCACGAAGTTTGGTCTCCAGGTCCGCCATGTCGTTGTGCTTGAAAGACGCGATCATGGCACCGGAAAGCCTGGACCCGAATCTAATTGAAGCATGGTTGAGTTCGTCGGAAATGATCAGATCGCCCTTTCCCACGAGTGCAGGGAAGATGGATGCGTTTGTGCCGAAGCCCATGGAGAAAACCATGGCCGATTCTTTGCCCACGAATTCGGCAATGAGTTGCTCGCACTCCACGGCGAGATCGGACGTGCCGACTTCACTTCGGGCACTGCTAGTAGACAGTCCGTACTTTCGAATCACCTCCTCCACGGAATCCGCACAAGGACCTTCAGATTGCGCGAAGCCCAGATAGTTGTAGGAACTCATGTTCAGAGTCTCGGTCGTAGTTCCCGTCAAGTTAAAATGAAGATTGCCGTCCTCGGAGGTGCGATCCAATAAAGTAATGTAGCGTCCTGGAACGCCGGTGGTCGGTCTATTAAAACAATCGTTGATGCGCATCTTCAGGCGACGGACGTAAAAATTGTCAAAATCACTGTTTAGCGCGGCATAGCCGTTGCGTGCTTTGAGGTGCCTGTAATTGTCCTCTTTGAGCCTCATGCCAAAGAAGTCACGGACGTGCCCAAAGATGATGAGGATGAGATAAGAAATGTAGGTGGTCAAAAGATAGTAGTAGGGTGGCTCGTCCATGACAGGATCAGGAAACTCGCCACCTTGGTGTCTGCTCGGGTATCGGTGGGACTGTGAATTTAAGGGGCCAAACTGGGCATGTTGTTTTGCCAATTTTCTCGTCTCTGCCGGCGACGGTGGCTGAAAAAGAGTGGTGGGAGGTTCATCCATATTTGCAGAGTCGGCACGCGCGGTCGACAACGAGATGCTCGGTAATGACAGTGAGGGCACGCTAGGCATTGGCGTTCCCGAGGCCAAAAAGGCCTGCTCTTGAGCTTTGCTTGCCGCGAGCAGCGCAGCTGCGGCTGATTGTGCGTCCTTTGTCTTTGGCGACGTGGAGAAGAAATGGGCAATTTTGCTAGCTTTTTGAGAGGTCTTGCTAACAAGGCTGCCGCCCTTTTCAGTCGGCGAAAAGGACGGCCAAGGGGTCGGAGGTGAACTGCTTAAAGGGGCGTTGGACAATCGACGAGGCATGGCCAAATCAATGGACCAGTGTGGCTCGAGGTGGGGGAAGACAGAGTCCTCGACACAATCGTCGCCGCCGACGCGACGTAAAGCGTAAGATATTGAACCGGTCGACTCCTTTCACCTTCACAGCTCTGTCTGTCGTGGAGGAACGCGCAAAGCCGGTGGCGGTGCAGGAAAAGGGCGCTCGGGGTGTTGCTACCTGGTCCGAGTGAGGACGAGCAACTTGTTGGGCTGCGGTGAGAGGAAAGGTGTCGTAGGGTCGCAGAGAGAGCTGTCTGCACAGGTATCGAAGGATTCAGGTTGGCAGTGGCAGTGGCAGGATTGGACCGCGACAAGGAGGTTTGCGAACGGTTGTGTGGAATGACGAACTTGAAGAGAGAAGAAAAGATTGGCTGGTTGACCGGCTGACAGGGAGATTCCGCTCTGATCCGGGACGAGCTGTGGTTGGATGAAAGGGAGCGCGTCCCTTGCAGCAGCCGCCCGCGCTCAGCCGCAGTCTTGCCGCACTGGCTGTGGCAGTGGCAGTGGCTGCGAGGTCTGCGGAGAGAACTGAGGAAGACGCAGCCGATTGCCAGTGAAGAGTGAGGGAGAAAGAGAAATCGACAGATAGACAGCTCTCCTGAACAAAGGAGATTCAAGAAACATACGGACGTACATACAACAGGCACACGAAGGGCACGCGAACCACTTCTGGATCCAATTTGAAGCTTACTGGACACTGGGACAGTGGACTGGAGGATGCGGCGGGCTCCTGAGGCTATTAGGGCACCACTTTGCAGATTTCAAGGACCGAGTTCTAGGCGAGGCGGGGCTCCAAAAGGCCGAGATTTTTATGGGCGCGGGCGTGGGTGTGGCGTGAAATTGGCTTGGATTTCCCACTGGCTCCAATAGGCGCGAGGACCTCATTTCGGGGGCTGTGTTAGGCTACTTAGGCATTGTAGTGCGCCCCTACAATTGGCGGCAAGGGTGGAAACAGAGGAGACACTTGCCTGGATTGGGCGTCTGCCCCTGGGTGCTTGGCGCATCCTAGCATCCTCGCATCCTCTAGCATTGAATTTCGCGCGATACTCCGTACAAGGGAGAAGAGCTTCCTGTTGCTCGGTCGGGCTAGTAGTAGTTAGTAGCCAGGGTATCGAGCACACGACTCCTTATCCGTATCCGTACTCCGTACAGGGCTAATTATCTGATCAAGAGTGTTGGGGATCTCCTTTCTGTGCAAGAGTTGATCGACCAGTATCCGTACGGACTACCTACCTTAGGGATCGACGATCGTAGGACCAAGGCTTCATTGTCAATGCCTGGATTGCCAGTTCTACCTAGATGCTACATACATTCGATATATACGACCTACCAAAGATGACGGAGATTGACCAGCTCGTCCTGCCAGAAACCGTTGCGGCCGGGTGCGAGGCTCAACAATTCTGCGCAGGGCAAGTTGGCACCGTAAATACCCGTGGCTCGGCTCCACTAAAAAGTCGAGCGCAGGCCGCATTTCGTATACATAGAAAACCAGACTGGCAGTAGAACAGCTTCCTCACATCCTACGGAGTACACAGTGATCTATCATGTCGCAGAACGGCGTCAATGGCGAGGCCGCTGAGTCTGACGAACTCTGGCGCCATCCTCGTCCCGAGTCCACCGAATTCTACGCCTTCCAGCAGCACGTCGCAAAGAAGCACGGTATCTCCGCCTCGTCCTACCACGACATCTGGCAATGGAGCGTGGATCATCCCAGCGCCTTCTGGGAGGAAATATGGCACTATACCGGGATAAAGGCCAGCAAGCAGTATGAATCTGTACGGGACACCCTATACCTCTGAGAGAGAGAAAAAAATATAAATGATGTTGCCCGCCAACCTGACATATCGCACCAGGTCCTGGACGAGTCCGCTGCAATGTTCCCCAAACCCGCCTTCTTCGCCGGCTGCGAGCTGAACTTCGCCGAGAATCTGCTGTTTCCCTCTTCCAATCCAAACCCAGCCTCTCTCGCGATCATTGCAGCTACAGAGACCACGCGCGAACAGGTGACCTGGGCGGAGTTGCGTGAGCGTGTCCGGACATGCGCTGCTGCCATGGACGCCCACGGCGTGAAGAAAGGAGAACGAGTCGCCGGGTATCTGTCCAATCATACCAATGCGGTGGTGGCCATGCTGGCAGCGACTTCACTGGGTGCTCTGTGGTCCGGTGTGAGCCCTGATACCGGTGTCCATGCGGTCCTAGACCGACTGCGTCAGATCGAACCCGTCCTTCTCTTTGCCGACAACGCCGTGACATACAACGGCAAGACCCACGAGACACACAGCAAAGTGTCTGAGGTTGTTTCGGCGCTGCCATCTGTCCGCAATCTGGTCATTTTCGAATCCATCCCCGGCCACCCCTTCGATCTTCCTTCTATAGCCAGTCAGCCAAGCACCACTGTCGAGATGTATTCCTCATTCCTGTCCAAAGGTGATTCCGCCAGACCTCTTCGATTCACATATCTACCGCCCGGGCATCCTGTCTATATCTTATATTCGTCCGGCACCACAGGAGTGCCCAAGCCAATTGTCCACGATGCTCTCGGAACGCTGCTCCAACATAAGAAAGAGCATCTAATACAGTCCGACATCAAGCCCGGCGAGCGACTATTCTACTTCACAACAGTGACGTGGATGATGTGGCACTGGCTGGTTTCAGGGCTGGCCGGAGGCGCGACCATTGTCCTATACGACGGCTCGCCATTCCAACCACACAAGCAAATGAGCATGCCGCTTTTGATCGACGAACTCCAGATCAACCACTTTGGTACCTCGGCCAAATACCTGTCTGTTCTAGAACAAGCTCACACGCTTCCGAGGGAGGAATCGCCTCGGAGCGCGACGCTGAACTCCCTCAAGTCCATCTTCTCCACCGGCTCGCCTTTGGCACCAAGCACCTTCCAATACGTGTACAAGAACCTTTCACCACCTTCTCCTCATCCGGGCATTTTGCTGGGCTCCATCACCGGCGGCACCGACATCATCTCGCTATTCGGGGCGCCGTGCCCGGTCCTGCCGGTCCACGCGGGTGAGATTCAATGTCGAGGCCTCGGCATGGCAGTGAGAGCCTTCTCGGCCGACGGCGTCGACATCTCCGGGACCGGCCAGCCCGGCGAACTGGTCTGCACCGTCCCATTCCCCTGCCAACCGTGCATGTTCTGGCCTCCAGGCCCCACGGGCGAAGCACGCTATCGCTCCTCCTACTTTGAAGTGTTCAAGAACGCCAAGACAGGCCACCCGATCTGGCACCACGGCGACTTTGTCCGGTTCAACCCTGCAACGGGCGGAATCTGGATGCTCGGGCGATCCGACGGCGTGCTCAACCCCATGGGCGTCCGCTTCGGGTCCAGCGAAATCTACAACATCCTGCTGGAGCATTTCAAGACCGAAGTGGAAGACGCGCTGTGCATAGGCCGGCGCCGCGAGCAAGACACCGACGAAGTCGTGGTGTTGTTTCTCAAGATGGCCGAGGGCCACAAGTTTTCCACCGACCTCGCGCTGCAGGTGCAGAACGTGGTCAGGAAGGAACTCAGTGCCCGCCACGTGCCCAAGATCGTGGACGAGTGTCCCGAGATTCCGGTGACGACCAACGGCAAAAAGGTCGAGGGCGCCGTCAAGCAGATCCTGAGCGGGACGCACATCAAGACGAGTGCCAGCGTGGCCAACAGTGGGTGTCTAGATTGGTACAGAGAGTGGGCGAAGATTCACTAGGTGTACGCTGTGGACCAGCAGACGCCACTATAGAAGAATAATGAAATAGAAATGATAGAGTATCTGAGACTGTGAGCGATTGAATTCTTTCCCTCCTTTTCTTGGACTCGTTGAAGGAGAAGACACGAGTTTCCATGAGCCCATGAGCTGTATGTATATTCTGTGCTGTACAGATACACTACGCACACATACCTAGCACCTATAGTATGTACCTACGAAGTACCTACCTTAGCGTGCACACCCAAGTATTTTTTATAAAGTATAGGCATAAACGGCAGTTTATGATAAACACCGGAGTTTATACGGAGTTTATACTAATATAGAGTTTATGATAAGATAGTAACTATTCTAAAATACTAGTAGCGCCCGCCCGCGCCCGCCAAGTCTACCACCTTTAGTACTAGGTTATATAATAAAAGCTCAAAATTTCTGCTTAAATTAGACCCACTCGTGCTAGTGGTCTAGCGGTAATACGTACGGATAGTAGACTAGCCACCTACTGCCTGTTCAATTCACCGAGTAGACGTTTAATATTATTTAAACGTTTAACTCGATGAGTTGAATAGGTAGTAGGTGCGCTTTTTTTCTTTTTAAGGTTTACGTATTTTATGATAGTTTTATGATAAACTTATGATAAAAAACTTCTTACTATAATAATAACTTTACTGAATATTTAGTCCTATAGCCTAATAAACGTTAAACGCCTCTTTATTATGGTTTAACTAAAGATTTAGGCTAAAAACTAGTAGGTGCCAAGACGTTTAGCCCTCTGCGCACACGCGGAGCACAGGTTTGCGAGACCTGTGGGACGATGGATTCACACCTTCTCGTGGTGTCCGGTGTCAGTAGCTGCTTGCAGCGAAGCCAAGATGAATCCAACGCGTTGTGGTCGGTTGCGAAGCTCAACGGAGCTCCACGGATGGCCAAGGACGCGGATACGACAACTACAAAAAAGAGGGAATTGATTTGAAAACCATCCGACACGTCAGTATTCGACTCGTACTCGAAACCGAAACAGGACCTATCGATCCTGCGGATGTGGTATCGCCTACTGACGCGACAGGACACCCTCAGCTTACACGCGCTCTGAGACGGTCGGGCAGGACTGGCCGCGAGGGTAGCCGAATCTTCTATGGGTATGTACGATCGGCCCTGTTAAGACTGACGAGTATAGTCCTGGAAAGCCGAGACGACGCGTAAAGACGTGTTAAACCTCGAGAACAAGCCCCCTACGCGCCGTCCCGGTCGACCGCGAGAGACCCTGTTAAGCTACGAGCACAAGCCTACTCTCGACCTCCTACGTCCCACCGAAGACCTTGTTAAACCTCGAGAACAGGCAATCTAAGGAGGACAGGAGGAGGACAATACTTGGAAAGACACAAGCCACCGAAAGGAAACACGCCGTACGAGGGGAAATAAGCTTGGTTAGTGAGGGTTACGACTAGCTTTGCCGGTGAGGATGCTACATACGAACCCTTTGCAAGACATGGTCGGCCTAGAGGCGGGAGACCGCGCTAGGTAACGCGAAACGAGTTGTCAAGGCTCGCGGGGCGTAGCATATAATGGCAGCCACGGAACGACCAAGCGCAGCTCCGAAAGAGGGCGTACGGTTACGAGACTGTCTATATGGCTTGAGAGGACAGACGCGCATGTCGGTGTATAAAGAGACAGGAGCTGGCTACCTTACTCGCACTAAGGCCTACTACTGGGTTGGGAGAAGTGGTGTCGTCCTAGCGAGGAGCATCAGGCTCGTACGCTCCTCGCTACCTAATACGCAATTAGGACCTGACCCCAATCCCAGTGGTAGTGGTGTCGTCCTAGCTAGAGAGGCCTGGTGCTATATGCTTAAGGAGTAAACAGAGAGTCACTTAGGCGGGAAGGGCTTTGGGGTCGGCCCTGACCGTAGAGGCTGGGCTATGGCCGAGTTCCATAGGAAACAGCGAAAACTAGGGTATAGTCTAGATAGGTAGACACGCCGAATATACTTCATGACTCTTTG